TATTAGGAATTATAGGTACTGATGTCCCAAAAGAACAGAAAAAACTTTTTATGTATGAAACAACAAGCTCACAGATGCTACCAGCCCAGAGGTGGAAAGAAGCCAGAGTCCCTACCAGAGAGGAGTGGGAAACCAAGCTGATGGACTATGCTGAAATGACAAAACTGACTGGAAAACTCAAAAACCAAGAGGACGAAAACTTTACAAAAGAATGGGGGGAAATTTATAAGTTGCTTAGGAGACCACTGTAAACAGATGGAAACATTAGCAGGATTTTGACTCGCTTGTAGCATAACAATTACCATGGATAATATGCTTTGATATAAAAACTGGAGTATCGAAGAATATGTAGTATTAAATATTTAAAATGGGACCCCATGGAGGGGGTGGGGGGAAGTCTGGAGATTCAGAGGAATCTCTCCATATGGATAATTTTTTTCACTTTGCTATTTATAATTTTGTATTGGTAAAACCAAATAAAAATGATTTTTAAAAAAAGAGAAATAATTATCTTGCGTATTGAGAACTATGGAAATTATTATTGTGTATTAAATGTATATCACACTCTTCCACCAAAATTCAGCAAAAAAAACCTCAAGGTGCATTTTACTAACTTATAAAGCTGATCTCCTGTATAAGAGACTCTAACAATCTGGTTCTTCTCATCTGTTACACTGAGGTCTGATGATCCACTATTGCACCATAAGCACACATAAAGGTAAAGGGACCCCTAACCGTTAGGTCCAGTCGCGGACGACTCGGGTTGCATCTTCCTTTACTGGCCAAGGGAGCGGGTGTACAGCTTCCGGGTCATGTGGCCAGCATGACTAAGTTGCTTCTGGAGAACCAGAGCAGCGCACGGAAACGCCGTTTACCTTCCCGCCAGAGCGGTACCTATTTATCTACTTGCACTTTGACGTGCTAGGTTGGCAGGAGCTGGGACGAACAATGGGAGCTCACCCCGTCACCGGGATTCGAACCGCCAACCTTCTGATTGGCAAGCCCTAGTGTGACGTTACCATATATGAGAGAGTGCTGGAGGGGAAATAGTTAAATAGGCTGCACAGACAGGACCCAAGGGGGTGGAGTCAGTGGGTCTATAAAGGAGTTCTGGGAGGAGTTCTGGGAGTTAGTTCGTTGGGAGTTGTGGGTGGGTAGTTGGTTGGTTTGAGTGGGTTGGCTGGTTGGGAAAGGCAGTTGGTAATAGACAGTTAGGGCAGTTGGTCCGTGAGTGTGGGGTGGTAGCAGAGATAGAGAGAGGAACATAAGACTAAGAAAGTAAAGAGGAACACTGTTTGGAAGGCTGTAATAGTTTTGTTTTAAGTCTGAAATAAAATACACTCTTCTTTATGAATTGAAAAGCTGACTGAGACTGAAGTGATTTTACCAGGGAGGACCTGGTTGGTGGCAGCGGATTAGTGGTGTACGGGTCAATAGTCCGTGAGATGACCGGGGGCTCCGTACTAATGCCACACCTAGGCTCTGTGGTTTAGACCACAGCACCACCCGTGTCCCTTATAAGCACACACAGACACCCCCAAAATAACTGACACACAGTGCAGTCCTATGCTGGTAGTACTGTGTTCTACCAGGTTCAGTGTGTATAGGACTGCAGCATGATTTGTGCATGTATAGGACTGAAGCGCACAAAATGTCATCATCCCTAATCGTTGCTCTGCACCCACCTTTATGGTTGGGGTCACCATCATGCCACTTGCTGGCTCCATGCGAGTTTTGACCATGTACAGGGTGTTTCTCTTCTGTGGGAAGTCATGGACAGAGACGGTGACCTCTGCGTCAAAGTCGGCCCCATGAGCCTCCACCACAATCGTCTCTTCGGTCTCTACCCGCAGGACGCTTGGGGTGATGAGGGAGTAGCTGCAGAGGAGAAAAAGCTCACAGAAGTGAGTTTGTTTGGTGCATTTAAATGTCATATGACAGCCTCTCCATGCTGCATCTGCCAGGATGTGTTGTGGGCACTCCTTGCGCAATGGATTTCACCGTTTGCAGTTGTTTGCAGTTCTGCTACTGTTAATCATTGCCCACCACTTCTGAGGACCCATTTGCATGGCCCCCCATAGGAGCCAACTCCTAGGGGCCGAGGGGGCTTCACCTCCCCATAAGATATTTGAGGGTGCCAGGACCCCCAAGTTAATGGGCATTGGCCTTCAAATGGTGTGTGTTCACCATGTCATGTGGGGCCTCCCCAATATTCTATTCAAGTTGGCACCCCTGGTGCCCCCCATGGGTGTTGAAATATGTTTGTCTTGTGGCATCTTTGTCCCTTTTAAAGCACACTCCTCCCCCGCCCCCGTTACTTTAGTCAGAGGCCTTATTTTGTAGCAAAAACAAAGTTTTGCGGCACCTTAAAGACAGAATGAATGAAGTGGCTATTGACCCATCACCAAGACATCGATTCTAACTGTGTCTACATGGAAATGAGCACCATTGAAAGAAGTGGGGCTTGTACCCCACTTCTTAAGAAATGTGGTGCTGGTGTGAACTGCTGAAATCTAACCTGTACTTACAGTTGGCTGTGAGAAGAAGTCGGGAAAGAGACCAAGAGGGCAGCCACCAGGTAGAGAGCAGTCCCCTCCATGGTGATCTGGAGGAACAGGAGAGGCAAGCTACCGTCTCAGTATTTATCCTCTGAGCCCCCTTCCAAGCCATTGCCCTTTTGCAATCTCTCCATGTTTAATCAGTAAATGGGGAGGAGTTGGAGCAACCTGGCAATTTCAAAATAAACTAGCAAGCCTGTCAAAAACCACAAGGATTTATCTGTGTGTTTTTAAAAACCTGTGCCTCTCCCGGAACAGGTCATTCATGATGGCAGTCAAGGGGAAGCAGCAATAATTGCATTCTCTCTCATTTTGTGTTATGCCAGGCCTCCCCAGGGCAGCTGTTTTGTGAATGCCATCTGCAGTATGCTCTCAAAATTCAATTTTTGTCCCCTGGTCTAAGAAGGTTGGCAATCCCTCCCTCTTTTCTGGCTTTGTGACCAGTTATCAGTCAATTATTTTACTGAGGTTTTCTTTACTAGATGTCACATTGTTATCTGTGTTCTAAAAATGCTTTTTGCTGCTTTCCACTATCCACATTGTACCGACACATCTAGGAGGGAAAATCAATGGGGATGGTGCCCACCCGATTACCCCTGACCATTGGCTATTGTCATGCTTAACCCTGAACTGGTGCCAGACACACAGTCCTCAGAGGCCTCCTAAAGAACCCCTCAGCCCACCAGAATGCTGGTGACATAATGTCTACGTCCAGGCTGGACAGTGACACAGCAGGCCTCTGCGTCAGGTGTGAGGAACCCCTGACCCTCCTGATACTACTGAAATACAGTTTCTATCACCTCTTGCCAATGGCTATGCATGCTGAGATGGATAGGAATTGTAGTTCAACATCTGTCATGGTCCAGTTTATGGGCGGTTGAAGCCCCAGCTGAGGATGTCGGGACCGGGGGCAAGATGGCGGGGTGGGAGCAGGAACGGGAGTCCGGAAACCAGGAGTCAAGAAGCCGAAGGTCCGAGGGTCAGGAAACCAGGAGTCAAGGGTTCGAGGATCAGGAAGCAAGGAGTCAAGAAGCCAAATGCAGCAAGGCAGGAAGCGTGTTGCTGTGGCAAAGAGCCGAAGGGAAATGCTGACCTTATATCCCTTCCCCGCTCTTGCCACCAGGTCCAGTGAGTTACCTAGCGGCCTCACCTGTGCGGCCGCGCCTTGCCTCTCCAGTCCTGCGAAGCCCTACTGGTCACAGGGTCTGGCTCCTGCACGCACTCTTGACAACATCTGGTGGGCTAAAGATTTCCCCTACCTGCTCTGTCACCCCAGGGTCGTTGTGAGGGTCATGGTTAAGTGGCCTCTACTCATGGGTACGCAACCCATGAAACTCTACCAGCAGCTTTCTTGAGCCCTCCAGTTGCGGAAAATAGTACAAGCGTCTGTTTCCTGATTTGTGATCTTCCTTGCTGAGCCCCCTGTGATAATGACCTTGGACTGTTGTCTGCTCTGGTCTCTAGGTCATATTTTGCACCTGATTCTCTGTGCCTGGTCTTGGTTTGTTCGGTGTGCTGCGCACTGCAACTCTACCCTTGTTGGTGAGAGACTTATACTTCCCGGGTCTGGGCCCCTAAGCTCTGTGGAGATCCACTTGGAATATGACAGTTATGTTGCCTGGGGCCGATGAGAGTTGTATAAGGGAGTCCTTCGAGCACCCCACAATTGCCTAACCTTGGCTCCCATAGGTTCAGGTCAAGGGTCACAAGCAAAAGACTTCAGCCAGGAGATAGAAGCAAAACAGCGACCTGTAGACCTGATCTTTATTGCTGTGACAAGACTTCTCGCTACCACAAAGAGAAGAAGCCCGAAGCCCTGAACAATGGTTACATCAGTATTTTAAAGTTTCCCAAAGTTTCCCATAATACATTTCCAGAAGCATCATCAAGACATCATAAATATGTCACAGAAAAGGTGTGGTCCCATGCATGCCACTGTCACTCAAATATACCATATTTTTCTGTGTATAAGACTTCCCCAGGTATAAGACACCCCCTATTTTCTGGGACTCAAAATTAAGAAACTGCACTACAGTGGTACCTTGGGTTACATACGCTTCAGGTTACAGACTCCACTAACCCAGAAATATTACCTCGGGTTAAAAACTTTGCTTCAGGATGAGAACAGAAATCGTGCGGTGGCAGCACAGCGGCAACAGGAGGCCCCATTAGCTAAAGTGGTGCTTCAGGTTAAGAACAGTTTCAGGTTAACAACGGACCTCCGGAACGAATTAAGTTCTTAACCCGAGGTACCACTGTATTCACTATCCGTGTATAAGACGACCCCTTATTTTATTTTATTTTATTTTAAATGATTTTTATTAAGATTTCAGTAAAAAGTTAAACACAAAAACATAAAAAAGAAATGCACAAATACATAGTACATAATCCAAAAAAAGAAGAAAAACACAGAGAGCAGAAAACAAAAAAAAAGAAACAGAACAATTAAAAACAATATCACCTTTTCATTTCCGTTTTTAAATTCACTTATTTTCTGGACTTCCTGATATCTCCCTCTTTTGTATTCCAGTCCAAATTGTTTGTCCAGCAATTTCTTTTCCACTTTTTTAATCCCAATCTTTAATCTTAATGTAATATAGCATTAAAATTTTACCTCTTAAGTACCAAATTTCCATTTCATTAAATTTCTTTAATCCTAATCTTTAATCTTAGTCTATCTATAACTTTATCCTGTACAGCTGGAAACCACTTATTTTCAATCCAACATCACTCTAACATTCTTTAATTTTGCAGTGTTTCTGTAGATAATCTTTGAATTTCTTCCAATCTTCCTCCACCGACTCTTCTCCCTGGTCACGGATTCTGCCAGTCATTTCCGCCAGTTCCATATAGTCCATCAGTTTCATCTGCCATTCCTCCAGCGTGGGAAGTTCTTGTGTCTTCCAATACTTTGCGATGAGTATTCTTGCTGCTGTTGTTGCATACATAAAGCTTATTTTAAACTTCAAAAATTGAAGGAAAAATATAGTCTTATACACGGAAAAATACGGTAGTCTTTCACGCGTGCTCCATCACAGTACAAACGAAAGCATTTACAGTTCCCTGTTCCCTGAGTCCAACAACATCTGAAGTGTCACATTATCTCTATCCCTGAACAGAGAAAGAAACTTGAGGAGGAGGTAATTCAGAGTAGAGAAATAAGGGTATGGTTATGATGACTTTTGCTCAATTAAATGGGCATAAACAACCGAATAAAGAGTTAATTGGGAAATGCTGGTTATCAGCTGGCTTCCAGTAACAGGTCTGGATAGAAATGGAACCTGGACAATCTCCAAAGACATTGTTGCAACACGTCTGCATGTTTACTAGGTCAAATATGCAGTTTAGTTAACTCAAAAGCAAATGCCCTAATACAGTGGTACCTCGGATTACATATGCTTCAGGTTGCAGACTCCGCTAACCCAGAAATAGTACCTCAGGTTAAGAACTTTGTTTCACGATGAGAACAGAAATCGTGCTCCGGCGGCGCGGTAGCAGCAGGAGGCCCCATTAGCTAAAGTGGTGCTTCAGGTTAAGAGCAGTTTCAGGTTAAGAACAGACCTCCAGAACAAATTAAGTTCTTAACCTGAGTACCATTGTACTGGGTGAGAAATGACTGGTGGTGATAGGGGCTGCAAGTGAGAGTCAGAAAGCATCACAGGTATTTTGAAGAAACCAGTGCCAGGGGTGCCAGGAAGGGTGACAAGGCCCCTCCAAAATTTTCGAGGAGGCTCAAAATTCCACAGTGGCCATGTGCACACACTGCAGGGGGTACTGATGTCACTTGTGCAAGCTGTGTGGCATGCGCACAACACATAGCATGCCCTGCGGCCTGCGTAAGTGATGTCAGTACTGACACTGGGTGTTGTCATAGAATCATAGAGTTGGAAGGGACCCCAAAGGTCCTCTAGTGCAATGCAGGAATCTCAGCTAAAGCATCCATGACAGATGACCGTCCAACCTCTGTTTGAAAACCTCCAAGGAAGGAGAATCCACAACCTGCCAAGGGAGACCGTTTCACTGTCGATCAGCCTTTACTGTCAGAACGTTTCCCCCTCGTATGTTTAGTCGGAATCTCCTTTCTTGTAACTCGAAGTCATTGGTCCGAATCCTACCCTCCAGAGCCAGAGAAAACAAGCTTGCTCCATCTTGCGTGTGGCAGTTTTATTACTGACCTCCTGGCTCCAGCTTCTGACTGTTTGGGTGGGACGCTTGCTGGGAAATCTTGGGCCATTCACAGTTTCTCAGCCTCATCTGTCATGGAAAATGGTTGTGAGAATGACATTTTAATGTATTTTTAATCTTTGTTGAAAGCCGCCCAGAGTGGGAGACCCAGCCAGATGGGCAGGGTACAAATAATAAATTATTATTATTATTATTATTAGGGGGGAACCATGTAAACTTCCCTTAACTCATTGGAGGAAAGGCAGAGTAAAAATTAAATAAAGGCACTCCCCTATTTTGCAGAACTAGAACCTATCTGCATCTAGCGGCAGTGGAATATCATGCTCACAAGACACATTTCCTTCTCCTGATCTTCTGTTTCTGGATCCCTCAGATGAATCCTAAATACAGTCTTATCACAGCACGAACCTCCACCGACACTCAGTGATGTTGTGGATGTAGTATTAGGACTCAAAAGCAATAAAGTCATATTATAACAAATCTTTTAAGTAGAACTCTTTCCCAGTCTGCATCTGCATTGAAATTATTATTTTTGCTTGTGCGTCTGCTGCCCTGGGCTATTTTGGGAGGAAAGATAATAATAGCAATAACAATTTTGTTATCCCTGGAAAGCGGCACCTGTTCCATTCATGCCTATGATGCACCTTTTAAAGGCACAAGAGCACTGCCAGAGGAAAAATGAGTGACAATTTTACAATGGTTCTAAAGCAGGGGTGGGGCTTTCTAGCTGGCTCTCACAAGCTCTCCCTAGGCCACATTCCTAGAGGAGGGCCCAGCCTGACTCCCTCCTCTGGCAACCTGCACAGAACTTTGCTTAACGGTTGCCATTAATTTGATTTTAATTAATTTTTATAATGAAATGTTTTAGAATGTTGGATTGTTTGATTGTTTGATTATTTGTTTGTTGTTAGCCGCCCTGAGCCTGGCTTTGGCTGGGGAGGGCGGGATATAAATAAAATTTATTATTATTATTATTATTGTCTCTACTTAAGAAAAGTCATATAAAAATGTATCAGCAAAATAACTACTCCAGATTAAGGAGTAAAAAATAATATATGAACTGATAAGGTCCTTTTCCTTGTGTCTCCTCCACGAAAGACCCCGAGGTCAGCAACACAAGAATGGGCCTTTTTTGCAGTGGCTCCATTTGTGGAATGCCCTCCCCAGGGATGTTTGACTGGCACCTTCATTATACACCTTTAGGCACCGGGCGAAAACATTCTGATTAAACATCTATGGCATTTAAAATGAGGTGGGGGGCATTGTTTTGTCTGCAATTATGCTATGTATTGTTGTGTTTTTATACTGTTAGGCGCCCTGTGATCCTCAGATGAAGAGCTGCGTTGTTGTTGTTGTTTAGTCGTTTAGTCGTCCGACTCTTCGTGACCCCATGAAACCAGAGCACACCAGGCACTCCTGTCTTCCACTGCCTCCTGCAGTTTGGTCAGACTCGTGCTGGTAGCTTCGAGAACAATGTCCAACCATCTCATCCTCTGTCGTCCCCTTCTCCTTGTGCCCTCAATCTTTCCCAACATCAGGGTCTTTTCCAGGGAGTCTTCTCTTCTCTTGAGGTGGCCAAAGTATTGGAGCCTCAGCTTCAGGATCTGCCCTTCCAGTGAGCACTCAGGGCTAATTTCCTTAAGAATGGATAGGTTTGATCTTCTTGCAGTCCATGGGACTCTCAAGAGTCTCCTCCAGAACCATAATTCAAAAGCATCAATTCTTTGGCGATCAGCCTTCTTTATGGTCCAGCTCTCACTTCCATACATCACTACTGGGAAAACAATGGCTTTAACTATACGGACCTTTAACTATATGGACCTTTGTTGGCAAGGTGATGTCTCTGCTTTTTAAGATGCTGTCTAGGTTTGTCATTGCTTTTCTCCCAAGAAGCAGGCGTCTTTTAAATTTCGTGACTGCTGTCACGATCTGCAGTGATCATAGAGCCCAAGAAAGTAAAATCTCTCACTGCCTCCATTTCTTCCCCTTCTATTTGCCAGGAGGTGATGGGCCCAGTGGCCATGATCTTCGTTTTTTTTATGTTGAGCTTCAGACCATATTTTGTGCTCTCCTCTTTCACCCTCATTAAAGGGTTCTTTAATTCCTCCTCACTTTCTGCCATCAAGGTTGTGTCATCTGCATATCTGAGGTTGTTGATATTTCTTCCGGCAATCTTAATTCCGGTTTGGGATTCATCCAGCCCAGCCTTTGGCATGATGAATTCTGCATATAAATTAAATAAGCTGGGAGACAATATACATTTAATTAATGAAGCTGTTGTTGTTGTTAAATATAACAACAACAAACTAGCGCAGGATCCTGTTTCCCCAGCACCAACCAAATAATCCGGGAACCCGCCCAAGCAAAGCATGAAGCCTATAACGCCCCTCTCTGGTGCGCAGCTGCCCCTAGGCGCGCAGCACCCGCGGAGCTCTCGGGCTCGTCCGCTCCTCCTCCGCGATTTCGCTCTCTAATCGCCTCCCCAAGTTACCAACAGGCTGCGCTCTGAGCGCGCCTCCCTTTCCTCGCCCAGGGAAGGCGGGGCGGCGACAGTGGGGAGGAGGAGAAGGAGGAGCCGGACCTCGCCGGGGAGGACGGGACTACAACGCCCGGCGTCCTCCGGCTCGGGGAGGGCTCGCTTGTCCTTCGATCGCCGGGCTTGAGGCTGAATTTGGGGAAGTGCGCGAGGGGCTGACTCCGGAGGCGAGCGGCTTGGCTGGTGCGCGGGCGAGCGCCCGCTTCTGCGCTTTTGGAGAGGTGGGCGCTGGGGTCATATTTTTTGTTGTTGTGTCTCTCTCCTCACCTTTCTCAACGAGGGATCGTGCGTAAAGAGGGGCGCGAGAGGTAGGTAGGTGCCCGGCGTCGGGGTGGGCAGTAGCATGGCGCAGGAAATCTCCCAGCCAGGAGGTGCCCCCCGCCTTCTCCAAGGCACGACCGGGCTGCAGCCGGCTGTGGCTTGCATAGCCTCGGGCTGCGTGCGCGCCTTGGAGAGGTGGCACATAAAGAGCTTGCGGCTGTTGCGTCCGCGCCCCAGCGTGGATTTATCCGGTGTGACCGCTAGGCTGGAAGGTCCCCCCCACCTTTTTTCCTCGGCCTTTTCCGCTCGGTGAGGACACCCTGTAATCCCCCATGACGTGGCCAGTAATCGCCCTGCCGCCGCCTGCTGCTCGCCGGCTGGCTGGCGCGGCGCTGGGTTGCCAGGTGGCGGGGCTGCTCCGGTGTCTTCTGAGCTGCTGTTTGCAAGGAGCTTTCCCCATCACTCTCCTTGCCCGGGCCTGGAAAAAAGAACCTGTAGCTGCACAGGAGCCCCTGGAGAACGAGGCAGGCCGAGGCCGGTTTCCGATTTCCACTTGCTTATCTGCCTACACGGTTTCCACAGACGGGTAGCAACGAAAAGAACAAAGGGCAATGCGGCACCTTTCCGTTTATTACGGCGTGAACTTTCATAGACTGCTGGGGTCCCTTCTGCACAAGGATGCACGAGCTGCTTGAGAGGGGATCTTAAGCTTTTGTGCCGCTGCACCCCAGAATAAGTTTTGGGCTATATCACACCATGCATCCTGTGGCTGGGAGACTCCTCATTGCATGATCCCTAACTCGTGGCACACACTTTGAACAATGCACCTCCATGCTGCACTTCGGAATAAGGGTCTGGATATTTTTTTTACTCCCAAGTAAACAGGGCACCCCGCATGATGCACCCACATCAACACTGGGAGACCATCCCCTACAGTGCTCTAGCTAGCATTTCTTTGGGGGGACAAGTCACTCTTCAACATGCTACCCATGCCAGTAGTTACCAGTATTAATAAAGTGTGGGTGTGTGTCCAAAATAAGCATTGATATATCTGTACCACCAGGAGCCTACAAAGTGCCACAGTCCAGGCCACTTTTTGTGGGCATGTTTTGCAAGGACAGTCTTCCGAGTCTCTGTTGACCATTTTATTGGAGAACTCATGTTTTGCTTTAAATTGCTAAGCAAGTTGCAAAATTTCTAAAAGTTTCAATTTCCTTCAGACAAGCCCCAATTGCTTACCCGGGTCTCTCCCTCCTTTTAACAATCTTATGTATTTCGTGTTCTGTAGCTTTCTACTGACGGTCAATGGGCTGTAAATAAGGCCTATATTCATTCAAATTATAAAGAATGTGAATCTTAGGTTGTGTACTCCTACATCCAAGCTTTGAATCGCCACAGATGGCATATCCACAGCAGTTGATGTCCGTGTAATTAAGGAATTGTGAGTTAGCAATCCTGAATATAATTTGGGCTGTCTCAAGGGACATCGAGATGCCTCCACATTTTCTCCAGGCCAAGGCTTTGTTTTGTACAAGTAGCTCTAAGGCATGATGACACAAAGCCTTTTTCTTCTTCTTTGCAATACATACACCAACAGATATGCACCTGGGAAGGGCAGGGAGGGTTTTGTAACCCAAATGCAGTCTTGGACCACCCCTCATCATACACTTCTTTTTGCTGAGTACTGTTTCTCCCCTGAGCACTCATGCCTTAGCATCTTGTTTTTGCCCAGATCTCATAGATTCGAATAATAGAACTGCAGGGTTGGAAGGAACCCCGTGGGTCATCTAGTCCAATCCCCTGCAGTGCAGGAATCGCTGCTAAAGAATCCCTGGCAGATGGCCATCCAATCTCTGTTTAAAGAGCCAGTGTGGTGTAATGGTTAAGAGCGGTGGACTCGTAATCTGGTGAACCAGGTTCGCTTCCCCTCCCCTCCACATGCAGCTGCTGGGTGACCTTGGGCTAGTCACACTTCTCTGAAGTCTCTCAGCCTCACTCACCTCACAGAGTGTTTTTTTGTGGGGGAGGAAGGATAAGGAGATTGTTAGCTGCTTTGAGACTCCTTAGGGTGGTGATAAAGCGGGATATCAGAGCCAAACTCTTCTTCTCTTTAAAAAGCTCTCAACGAAGGAGAGTGCAGCACCTTCCCAGGGAGATTATTCCACTGTCAAACAGCTCTTACCCTCTTATTCTATATGATTCTTGCAATTTGAATCCATTGGTTTGGGTCTATGGAGCAGCAGAAAACTAAGCTTGTTCCACCTTCTATGTGACAGCCCTTCAGATATTTGAAGATGGCTATCATACAGCTCTCAGTCTTCTCTAGGCTAAACAATACCCAGCTCCCTCAACTGTTCCTCATAAAGCTTGACCAGTGGTTAGGTGTGATGTGAATTGTAGTCCAGCAGGTATCTGGAGGACAATCACATCAGTAGGTCCTGTGGAAAAGACCCCGTGGTACCCAGCTAGATTGGAGAAGACCACACAGGCTCCTCCCACCCAGCGAGCCTCACCTGTTGAACCAGGCTGTGTGAAAAGAGACTGGTCCTGGTCCTTGTTGTGGCAGCTTTATTTCCAAACCCTCTTCTGTAATGCTGAAGGATGAAGCAGGGGAATGTGTCTTGAGTGGAACAGCACACCATATGCTGCATGTCACGGGTACAGGCAGCTAAAGCGCACTGGAGATATTTCCGATGACCACTGACCCGCTCTGCAATGGAAAACTAGCTCAGACCCATCTCAGGTTAGTCTGAAGCTCCATGTGGGAGCTTGAACAAGTCACAGCAGCATTTTAGGCCTTGGAACTCTGACTCAGCATGTAAAGTATATAATAGCCCCCTGTTTTCTTATTTAAGGGGTACTGTTTAAATACAGCATTAATAATCCCAGCTGAAAATGTGCTCTACGAGGATAGAGAGAGTGGTGGAAAAATGGACTGGGTAAGGGTGATGAAGGAGCAGCCAGACTGGGTGAGATGCAGGCTCCAGGGACGACCCAAAGCTGAGTTTGGTCTGGTTCCGCACTTGTCTTTTATGCTGTACGGAATATAGGCAGGGTCGTTTTACTAAGAGCAATGCACACCGTTTGTAAATGGATTATAGAGCTCTCTGAAGTAATGTTAGAGTAATAATCTGATTTCCACTTTGAAGAAGGAGAGAAGAGGCTCACAAGCAGAGGAGGAATCTATTGGTTATGTTAAAAGGGTAAAATGGGAAGAAAGGTGATGTTCTCTGGCTTCTACACCCTCAGTCCACCAGCGGTGGAAAGTGTGTCTCTGGGGGTGTCAAAAGTTACCAGTCTCTCTCCCTGGTTCTGCCCAGGCTGCTCTGTTGGCAAATCAGACAGAGCAAGGGTTATGACTACTGGCCACCCATCCCCAGTTTGGCGCAGAAAGTGGTACCTAGTGACAGTAGACTCAGAACTGTTTGCGGTAAACAGCTCCAGCATTATTTAGGATAACTTGGAAGTCATACTTTATTCAGTGGGGCTTCCTTTCAGGAAAACGTGCAGCGTACATATTTAAAGCACCTTGTTTGCGGGGCCTCTTTTTCTGTGTGGATCCCTGCTTGTGGAACACTCTCCCCTGGAAGGCTCACCTGGTGCCTTCATCACATATCTTTATGTGCCAGCAAAAGCGATGTTCTTCTCCCAGGCCTTTGGCTAATTAAACAATCTATGGACTTTTAAATTGGGGGGCAGGGGTTATTGTTTCCGTTTGTTGTGATGCTATGCATTTTTGTGTTTTTAATGTTGTAAACCGCCTCGTGATCTTGAGGTGAGGGGCTGTGTATAAATTTAATAAATAATAAGTAATTCAGATACCAAACTGCAATATATTTTGCACCCCTTTCTGCTCCATAAAATGGGTGTGGGGAGGGAGTCAGTGTTTGAAGCCTTAAAAGATTACAGTGGTACCTCTGGTTGCCAACGGGATCCCTTCTGAAGACCCGTTCACAACATGAAAGAAACACAACCCACAGCGGCACATCTGCGCACGCGTGGGTTGCAATTTGCCACTTCTGTGCATGCGCGTGACATCATTTTGTGCCTCTGCGCATGCGCGAGTGGCGAAACCCTTTCCGGTACTTCCGGGTCGCCGCAGGACGTAACCTGAAAGAATGTAACATGAAGCGGACGTAACATGAGGTATGACTGTATTGTGCCCTAAATGTATGTACCAATTTTCATTGTGATATCTGTTACACAGGGTTCTGTGGCTTTGCAAGGCGTCTTGAAAACAAGTTTAGGGAGGTTAGGGGAGAGAAAACGCTGCCTCTCTTACTCAAATATCTCCCTGTCAAATCCTGGATAGTATATAATCCAGCAACAGCTGAAGGGCACCGTGTTGGCTTCCCCTGTTTTAGGGGGAATCACCTTGAGCCAGTCCTTGACACCAGAAACATAAAAGTTACTCTGTCGTCTTTTCACCTAGTCACAAGTGTTGTGATTTCCTCTCTATCCCGTGGTCCAATATTTGGTGGTGTAGGTAAGACTGTGGCTGGCACGTCATCAGACCTGTATTGCTTCCAGCCCAGCCCACAATAATACTTAGCACGGACCTGTTTTTTAAGTGTTCAGAGCACTTAAAACATTCCTAGCAGAGATGGCATTTGAGTTGCAACAGCTTGACCGCCACTGAGCTTCCAGAAACGGTCAGAGTGAAGAGATCCAATCCTAGCATCCTTTGAACCGTATACCATGGTTCTCCCCGCACTTCCTCAGGATTTCCTCTGATTTTCTCCTCTCCCTTCCGCAGGCAGTAAGATGGCCGTTCGAAATGTACTCGTGACAGGCTGCTCTTCCGGCATTGGCCTCGCCCTGGCAGTGCGTCTGGCCAGAGACGAGCTGAAGCGATTCCGAGGTGAGGAGCTGCCTGGATCCAGGGACCAGTTGATAGGGAGCAGGGAGGGAACAGTGCAGCTCCTTGGAAGAATCAGAGCAATGGATCCCATTCTTCATTCCTGAGCCTACTGCTGCATTCAGTCCCTGCCAGGCTTTGCACCCAGAGGTGCTTTTCAGGTTCTACACTGAGGTGTGGATGTCTCAGAGGCAACTGCAGTTTAAACATGCAAAACATTGGCACTGGTGTAAGAGTATATAAAGCGGGTGGGTTAAAAAGCCATTTCCCTGTCAAGTCCTAGGCTTGTTTTCTTCCTGACAAGTTACCGTATTTTTCGCTCTATAGGACGCACCTGAGCAAAGGACGCAACTAGTTTTTAGAGGAGGAAAACAAGTAAAAAATATTCTGAATCAAATCAGTGTCAGGGCTGAAGGGGGAAGCCCGGGGTTTCCCCATAAAGCCCCGGCATCCCCAAGCTAGAACAGCGAGATGCTGCGCAGCGCTCCGTGTCTCTGTTCTGGCTTTGGGGACAGCCTTTCAAGCCTCCGCAGGGCAGCGGGGTGCCTTCACCCCGCTGCCTTGCGGAGGCTTTGCACAGCTAACCCCAAAGCCTTTGGAGCGCAGCGCGAGGTCCCGCTGCGCTCCAAAGGCTTCAGGCGGCTATCCCTGAAGCCGGAGAGCGAGAGGGGTCGGTGCACACCGACCCCTCTCTCTCTCCAGGCTTCAACAAAAGCAACGCGTAACCTCCGGAGCGCGGAGGGAGCGCTCCCTCTGCGCTTTGGAGGCTTCGCGTTGCTTTCGCTGAAGCCAAGGAGCCTGCATTCGCTCCATAGGATGCACAAACATTTACCCTTCATTTTTGGAGGGGGGAAAAGTGTGTCCTATAGAGCGAAAAATGCGGTAGTTTTCCTATATGCAGTGAGGAAAACTCACGTGTGCAGGTCTCTGGCTTCTGCCCCTTCCACGTTTGTGGAGACATTAGGCATTCAGTTTTGCACCTGCAGCCTGAAGTGGAACATGGCCTTGGATGCTATAGTTATTGTTTGGTATTCTGAACACCTTTGAGCGTTGTTAGATTGCCTTCCCTAACAGAGGAGTATCTTGGAGTACTAACTCTAGTTGGTGCATGCCCCCTGCCAAACCCCACAGCCTTGAGTATTTCTGAAAGAACTCACCCCTCACCCTCAATATCCCAGTGGTGTCATGTAACTCTTTCCCCTCTCTCCCTAGTTATTGCCACCATGAGGAATTTGGAGAAGAGTCAAGAACTGGTGAAGCATGCAGGGCCTGTGCTGGAGAAGACTCTGGAAATCAAGGAGATGGATGTGACCAGCGAGGAATCGATCCGACGCTGTGTGGACAGCATCCCCCATCACAGGGTGGATGTGCTTGGTAGGAAAACTGTTCCCCTGCAGCCTCAGTATTGGTTTTGAGGACTTTTTGAAGAAGGAATTCAACCCTTAGAGGCGCGCCTAATTGTGGGTGGTGCTGTGGTCTAAACCACTGAGCCTCTTGGGCTTGCTGATTGGAAGGTCGGTGGTTCGAATCCCTGCGACGGGGTGAGCTCCCATTGCTCTGTCCCAGCTCCTGCCAACCTAGTGGTTCGAAAGCACACCAGTGCAAGTAGATAAATAGGTACCGCTCCAGTGGGAAAGTAAAAGGCATTTCCGTGCGCTCTGGTTTCCATCATGGTGTTCTGTTGTGCCAGAAGCAGTTTAGTCATGCTGGCCAATTGACCCGGAAAGCTGTCTGTGGACAAATGCCGGTTCCCTCAGCCTGAAAGAGAGATGAGCATCGCAACCCCATAACCGCCTTTGACTGGACCTAAATGACCAGAGGTCCTTTACCTTTACCTTTTACCTACCTAAATGTGTTTCTAGTGATATTCTTAATTTAGAAGCTGGTCTTACCTCATTAAGTAGCACGGCATGGAAAAGTTTTGTTATTTATTAGCTCCAAATTTGCTCCTTTGCCACCTTCAGGTCTTTGGCCCATCAGGTGCTGGTTAACCCTCTTGGCCTTTGTGGAAAAGTGAGCTTAATGGGGAGAAATTACATTGTTGGCTTTTCTCCTCTTATCTGCTGACAGTGGAAGTAGAGCAAGCCAAATCTTTGGGTAAACAGAGAATAAAGGATATGAGAGTGTGGCAGCTACATGCATTAGCTAGCGGACCACGTAAGCCATGCTGTTTAAGCCTGACTTGGTCTGCTTTTAACAATTATATGCCTTTATTTGAATGCTTCATCAAGACCTAAATAGAGTGGAGCTGTTTTATTGGGCCATTTGAACATTTGGCTTTCAAAGATCTTAGATGGCGAATCTCTTAAAAGTTTGTTTTATAGCTAGATATAATTCCTATGAGGTGGGAAAGATCTCCTGTGTGTTCTTTTTCTAAATCATGTTATCAGAGAATCATTATGCATTTTTTAAATGAGATTGATTCCCGGTTGGTATCTAGAAATTCTTTTAAGTACCGTATTTTTCGCCCTGTAGGACGCACCGTCCCATAAGACGCACCTAGTTTTTTGAGGGGGAAATAAAGGGGGGAAATATTATTTTCCCCCCAGGCGTGGGGCTGGGGCGGGGGAAGCCCGAGCTTTCCCCGACTCCAGCCCCCAGAACAGGCAACTCTCCGCAAGGCGCGGGAGCCCAGTGCCGGGCTCCCGCGCCTTGTGGAGAGCTGCGCGAAGTCTGGGCGCGCTGAGCTCAGCGCGCCCAGGCTTCAGCATGCAGACAACTCTCCGCAAGCCTGGAGAGCGAGAGGGGTCGGTGCGTACCGACCCCTCTCGCTCTCCAGGCTTCAGCGAAAGCCTGCATTCGCCCCATAGGATGCACACACATTTCCCCTTCATTTGGGGGGGGGGGAGTGCGTCCTATGGGGCGAAAAATACGGTATCTTCTCAGTAAATTTATTTCTGAGCTGATGGCTGATTGCCTGAATGTCGTTGTCTCTTGGATCTGCTATGACCGTTTGACCTTACCTTGCCATTCTTTATAATTTGGTTTTCTTGAGGCCTTGGTTTTGTATTTTACACTTTGCGTTTTCTCTTATTGGTCAGTGTGCTGTAATAAATGCCTGTGTAACAGACCACAGGTAGCTGCCTCCTGCTTCGAAGTGGACAGTGTCTGTTTTCTAACAAGACCTGCTAGGCTATACAATCGTGATTTTGTTTCGGCACAGACGGGCCTGTGTAATGCTGGGCCCAGCCAGCCGTGGCTAAATAGTGATCCTCGCTCTGGATTGGACTTGGATCCCACAAGTATCTCATATTGTCCGCTGTGGATTAAGCCACTTCATTAAACCACTGTACGGAGTAGAGCTTATGCCAATTCTCACGGCTCATTTGGCAGGCACAGTCTGGAGCTGAAGCAATCCAGGGTGCCTTTTTTCCTCACGCAAAAAACACTTGCATGAGCGCTTCATTAAACGTACAGGTTGTGGGGCTCCACCCCATTGTGAAAGCCTTCGCAAGCAGGTTGAATGCGGATGGGGCAAGATGTAATCTGTGCTCACGGTGAAGCAGGCAAGCCCGTGAGCATAAACCCCGTGAGCGCAACATTGCAACAGGCCCAGACGGTCACAGGAATTCTCAGCTGGAAGTGGTGTGTTTCAGCAGGAGCCTTGTAGCTCAAACTGTGGGACATTAGCCCTTCAAGGAGCAACTGGTTGCAAACCAGGTATCCAGCTGTACAGTATCTAGAGGCTGGTAGAAGGTAAATGGCAGAATGAATGCCGTCGTTTCATTATCTCCGCTGATGGAAGACACCTCCAGCAAGGATATCGTCGGCCCAGTACAGTGGTACCTCGGGTTACATTCCGCTAACCCAGAAATATTACCTCGGGTTAAGAAATTTGCTTCAGGATGAGAACAGAAATCGGGCTCCGGCGGCACGGCAGCAACAGGAGGCCCCTTTAGCTAAAGTGGTGCTTCAGGTTAAGAACAGTTTCAGGTTAAGAACGGACCTCCAGAACGAATTAAGTACTTAACCCGAAGTACCACTGTATACCTGAAGGAGCGTCTCCACCTCCATTGTTCAGCCCAGACACTGAAGTCCAGCGCCGAGGGCCTTCCGGTGGTTTCCTCACTGCGAGAAGTGAGGTTACAGGGAACCAGGCAGAGGTCATTCTTGGTGGTAGCACCCGCCCTGTGGAACACCCTCCTATCAGATGTCAAGGAAATAAACAACAACCTGACTTTTAGAAGACATCTGAAGGCAGGTCTGTTTAGGGAAGTTTTTAATTTTTGATGGTTTATCGTGTTTTTAATATTCTGTTGGGAGCCGCCCAGAGTGGCTGGGGAAACACAGCCAGATGGGCGGGGTATAAATAAATTATTATTATTATTATTATTATTATTATTATTATCTCTGAAAAGCACCACCTTGCCCTGTTCTCTATTGCTAACTGACTCCTTACCCTTGCAGTGAACAACGCTGGTTTAGGCATGATTGGACCGGTCGAAAGTCAGAGCATGGCCTCAATGCAGCAGCTCTTTGATACCAATTTCTTTGGCTTGGTGCGCCTTATCCAAGAAGTCTTCCCTGGCATGAAGCGCCGACGACAGGGACATGTCGTCGTGATGAGCAGCGTCCTGGGCTTGCAAGGTGAGGCTCAGCCAGAAGGTGGGCTGGTGGGGGCACTCTAATGCGGAGCATTTGGGTAGCAAATGTTGTTGGCCAACGGGATGATGGTGAGGTGAGCTCTGGAGGAAGGAAGACACAGGGCAGCGGTAGATTCCTTCTGTTTCAAAAGCCTTCTAAATAAGAGTTCATTTCTCCCCTTTGGAACATAAGACATTTGTCTGCTCTGACTGAGAGTGGCCCTTGGGTCTTTCTCAGTCCCCTTGATTTTTTTATGGCGTTGCCAGGATGAATATACAGTGGTACCTCTGGTTAAGAACTTAATTCTTTCCAGAGGTCTGTTCTTAACCTGAAACTGTTCTTAACCTGAGGTACCACTTTAGCTAATGGGGCCTCCCGCCGCAGCTGCGCCGCCGCACAATTTCTGTTCTCATCCTGAAGCAAAGTTCTTAACCTGAGGTACTACTTCCAGGTTAGTGGAGTCTGTAACCTGAAACGTCTGTAACCTGAGGTACTACTGTACCTGGAACCTTCTGCAGAGAAATCACATGGTCTGTCAACTGCTCCTTGGCCTTTCCTCCAATCTCTCCCTACTTCGATATTTCTCACTCCAATTATGCAATGAACCCCAAGCAGATCAGGTGACCACTAATTAAAATATCTAATAGAGGTCATGGAACCAGAGATGGCCACATTCTGTGCTGCTGCTATAAAACTAAGGAGACAAGCTCTGAATGAATCTAATGGCCAATGTCTTAATATGCATATTTTAAATTAGCGGCTAAGGTCTTAACCTACATATTTTAATTGTTTTATATCTGTATTATTTTCCGGGCCCTAGCTTATAGTGCCCATTCAGCCCGGAAGCCTGAGGTCCTCCCCCGAGGGTCTTCTGCTGGTTCCCTCACTGTCAGAAGCGAGGTTACAGGGAACCAGGCAGAGGGCCCTCTCGGTAGTGGCACCCATCCTGTGGAACGCCCTCCCATCAGATGTCAACCCGAGATACACACCTATCTGACCTTTAGGTGACATCTGAGGCAGTCCTGTTCAGTGGTAGCCTTAATGTTTGATGCACTTAGCATGTTCTGATAGACTGCGAGCTAACCCAGAGATAGCTGAAACCTAGCCAGAGGTGTAGGAACATATACTATCAGGATGAGAACAGAAATATATGCATGTATGCAGAGTGCCCTATTGCTGTATATGTCCGTATTTCTGGTCTGTGACCATAATAAATTCATTCATTCCCTACCTCAAGCCATTTTTAAAGAACCTCCTACAGTTTTTGAATGGTATTCCCCATAATGCCCAACAGGCCACCCTTCTGTTCTCTCTCTTTCACTTTAGGAGAATACAAACATCTGCCTAACAGTACAGTGGTACCTCTCGTTGTCTGGGACCATCAGCTGAACTGCTCTACAGGCAGCAACACTAGCAAAGTCCATCAGAGCTAACTCCCTCCTATGAACTGAGGCCAGGTTCTTGCCCCCACGCTGATCACCTTATCATCCAAACACAGTAGTATGACACAGTATGGACTTGGAACATAGCCCGAAGGGGCCTGTGCAGGAAGTATCTAGCTCATTTGCCTGCAACTAGTGCTTCAGGTTAAGAACTTTGCTTCAGAATGAGAACAGAAACCTTTCTCAGTCCTCCCTGCGGATTCTGGGGGTTGAATCTGGCGGCGTCTGCATGTAAAGCAGATACTCTGCCCACTGAGCTATGGTCCTTCGTTGCTATAGGGCAGACATGTCCAACCAGTCAACTGCGATCGACAGGTAGATCCCCGGGTGATCATGGTCGATCGTGGGATCCTTATGGATCGCGGCTTTAAAAGAACTGGGGAATGAATGTCTCTGCCCCCACCTTCCCTCTCTGTTCCCCTATTGCGTCCAGTGGGCGGTGTTTGGGGGTTTTCTGTTGGCGATTGGGAATACGACAATTGGTTCTAGCACAGTGTGCGTTTGTTAGCAACTGAGTTTCAGTTGAGCGATTTATGTTATTCCCCCTTAAAAAAAGCTCAACAACTCTGCTCAACCCCCCCCCAAAGGGTCAACAACTCTGGTCAATCCTCAATGACAATGGGTAGATCACTGCCAGTTTATTAATACTGGGAGTAGATCGCAGTCTCTTGGGAGTTGGATGGGCCTGCTATAGGGCAAAGAGGTGAAGGCAAATTCTGCAAATAAAATTCGTCCACAGGAGGAAAAAGGGACCACAACGAAGGGGTAGCGGGCCTAAGATTGCATACATGGTGAGGGGGCAGGTCTTTTCTGAACCCAAGGAAGTACCAAGAAAGAAATTTAACACATCCTTCATAGATTTATCCAACAGTTCTGTCACGCACTGAAGCCCCTTCAGCTGTTAACTACTCCTGAGTAGGATACATCTTATTGTAAAATCACATAAAATAGATTTCTAATACGTGCATAGGAGCCTTTAGCTCTTTTCCAAAAGCCTTTTTTTGAGCCCTTTAAAAGGCCACCCTTCTTTTCCGTGTTGTTCTCTCAGATGGTATTGTGGAATACCTTGCAAAGCGATGTCTGCTTTGCTGTTGTTTCCTATTGCCTGAACAAGCTAATTTCTTTTTAATTGCTGCTCATAAAATAAATTGCCTATTCCTGCTGTTTTACTTAATCGGCCTAATGAATGAGGTGGGACTTTTATGCTAGTAAGATTATTTCCTCCCTCCCCTGGGTGTGGAATGGGTGTGATGGGCAAACTCCCACATTCTGACCATGGGCATAGCCATGATTTATTGGAGGGGCAGAAGCGAGTTATCAGTGACACAGCTGGCCAGTTAGTTAAGTATTTTTATTTATTTACTTGATGGAGGGGCAGCTGCCTCTCTGGCTATGCCCATCATTTCTGACTAGGGTTGCTACCTATTTCACCAACCCTGATCCTGTGCTTTTAAAAGCAATCTGGGATAAATAAATAAAAAATACAGGTAAATGTTGGTTTCCCATCACTATTTCCATGCAGGAAAAAACTTTCCCTGCTTTACTTCTGTGTGTTGTCCCTATTGTTAAAGGCAGAGGAGCTGGGGCAGTAAAAATGTTGGCAGCTCTGCTCCCGGTTGGCGAATGGTTTGTGTTTGTTGTGGTGTTTCTTACAACCGTTCCCCCATGCCCAGAACAGGGATGGGAAACCTGCGACCGTCCAGAAGTTGCATCAGCCCCAGGCAGCATAGCCTAATGGTCAGCGATGATGGGAGCTGCTGCTCAGCAACACCTGGAAGGCCCACAGTTCCCCCATCCCAACTCTGGAGCAAGAGGACATGCAGAGGAACCATCAATCTCCACAGTTATTTTACACCTCTCACGCCAACACTCCATTCCCTTTAGGTCTCCTCTTCAACGACATCTACTCCGCTTCCAAATTTGCTGTGGAAGGTTTCTGCGAGAGCTTGGCCCTGCAGGCCCTGAAATTTGGGGTCAAGTGAGTATTATGGGATTGTGAGACATCATGACTGGGGTTCTCCTCCCACTGAGCTAGACTCCTGCAAGCCAGGTTAGTGTAGTGTGGTAGGAAGCAGCCCTGGTGAATCAGTTAATTGGTCTGCCTAGCTCACAGTTGTCTGCGCCCTTTTGCCCCCTCAGATGTACACTAGTGGCCAAAATTGTGGAAACCTTTTGGGAAAAGTGTATTTCCAAGGTTTGGTGGCTCGTAACAACACTTATTTTGGAGTATTGCCATAAAATTATATATCAGTGGAAAGATAATTTAATGAAGAATGTAATGCAACAAAGTTTGTTCAATTATCTGTATTCTATCAAAAGTTGTAGCCAAATAACCAGAGAAAGGAAGCACAACTTGCTTAGGTTGATATGCAGTGGATTTCATTCATTTGAATGTGGCCGATGAGCATGAATGTTTAGCGAGCCAATCAGGTGAATTACATTCTTCATTAAATTATCTTTCCATTGATATATAATTTTATGGCATTACTCCAAAAAAGTGGTGTTATGAGCCATCAAACCTTGGAAGTACACTGTTTCCAAATGGTTTCTACAATTTTGGCCGCTAGTGTAGTTGGACTCCAACTCTCATCTCCAGTCAGCATCAAGGATGATGGGAATCGTAGTCCAAAAAGATCTAGAGGGCATCAGGTGGTAGGAACCTGATTTACACACACACACACACAAAGTATAAATTTAAACACACAGGGCAGTAATTAACTAATGAGTCCCGTGTTCCCCTCTCCTCCTCCCACCAAAAAAGAATTGGCTTCTCTTTCAGCATTCTGATAATTTGCTTTCTGATTCCCATACTGCATAAAATTTTAGCAGAGTTTTTATTTTATTTTACAACTCTTTCGAAGATTCTTATAATAACTTACCTCGTACATAAATATTCTGTCCCGTGTACTTCTTTTGCAGGCCTTTAATGGCAAAGCGCAGTGATTCTTCACAGTTCTGTCCCTTATGTTTGTGCAGAAATCAACATGCCACTTTTTGAAATGGTTGTTCGCAGCCCATTCTTCAGTCCTGTTAGATTTCCAAAGCAAGGTTTGATCTCCCACTGGAGATAATTTAATAGCACAAATTCTGCACAGAAAGGCAAAACCAAGACCAAGAGTCAGCATTAAAAGGGATCAACATACCACTACTCATTAAAGGCCTATCCAAAAAGCAAGTCTACATAAATGGTTCAGATACCTAGATCTGCCCTGCAGTGACAGGAAGCTTAAAAGGAACGGAAAAGGCTTGATCAGCAGGAGCCCACCAGCCTTGCAGGGGGCGTCTGATCCAACAGTTCTTAAATTTATTAGAGGAATTCCTAAAAGGCCTTAGAATATAGAGGAGATGTTTTAACAAACTACAGGTGCTAGGGAGCATTATTTAAATGCTGGAAGCTTCTGGTTAGTGGTTAAAAAAAATGCTTTAATGCCCAATCCTACACACATCTGGTTGGAAGAAAATCCCACTGAGATCACTGGGACTTGTTTCCATGTGTATCCAGCCCACAGCAGGCAAAGAGCAGGCACATAGAGAGGTCTCTTTCTTCCTCTCTATCCTTAGGTTAGGAGGTCTGTCTGTGTGTACACATCCCTTATGCCAGTCCTCCCTTTTGCCCAGATGCAAGTTATTCATGTTCCCAGTGGAACTAAGATCAGCACATTTGCAGCATTCTTTTTCCACAGTGAGAGGCTTTATATAACAAATAACAGAGGCATCTATACTGGACATGCGTAGGGGAGGGGAGTAATAAAAGGTCACACCATGAATTGTTGGGTTTTTTTGTAAGGGGTGTACGCTGGCTGTGTATGATGCTTAAGCAAAGGGGGAATTTTTACTGAGATACATTGATAAATTAGATAAGAATAACGGTGGGCACCTGCAATCAAATATTGTCGGGTACCCCTAACAGGAGTGTTTATTTCTGGTCTCTAGCCAGCCTGGCTGCCTCCCCTCGAAAATGATATTGTCAGGCTGGGAAAAAGTTAAGAAAATGGCAACTGGGATGCACAAGGGGATGGAGCGAGTCCCCTATGAGAAACAGTTGCAGAGTTGGAGACTTGTTTGTCATGATAGAAGTGTGTAAAACTGTGCATGGCACAGTGAAACTGAATAGAGAAAAGATTGTTTTTCCTCCTTTTCTCATAAACATCCAACAAAACTGAATGTTGGAAGATTCAGGACGAATAACTCCATGAAGTTCATAGTTGAACTATGGCACTTTCTCCCACAGGAGGCAGTGCTGGCCACTAACTAAATGCCTTTAAAAGAGACAAATTATCAGAGGATAAGCTATCAATGGCTAGTAGTCGTTAAGGCTATGCTCTGCCTTGAGAGTTCAAGGCAGCCATACTTCAGAATACTAGTTGCTAGAAGCAACAGGAGGGCCCTGTTGTGGGAGGGGTGTGGATGGCGCTGTGGTCTAAACCACTGAGCCTCTTGGGCTTGCCAATCGGAAGGTTGGCGGTTCAAATCCCCGCGACGGAGCGACCTCCCATTGCTCTGTCCCAGCTCCTACCAACCTAGCAAGTAGCTAAATAGGTACCACAGTGACAGGAAGGTAAACGGCATTTCCATGCGCTCTGGTTTCTGTCACAGTGTTCTGTTGCGCCAGAAGCAGTTTAGTCCTGCTGGCCACATGACCCGGAAAGCTGTCTGTGGACAAACGCCGGCTCCCTAGGCCTGAAGTGAGATGAGCGCTGCAACCCCATAGTCGCCTTTGACTGGACTTAACCTTTTACCTGTTGTGGGTTTCCCACAGGCATCTGATTGGCCACTGTGAGAACAGGATGCTGGACCAGGTGGGCCATTGGCCTGATCCTGCAGGCCCTTCTTATATTCTTCTCTTTGTCATTACATTTCTTATTTTCTTATGTTTGGCCCTCTTAGGAGGAGGGCAAACAGCTTTTCAAGAAGGACACTTCTGTTTGGTCTTTCCTGCCTAGAAACAACTTCCTGCTGCATTATTACCGTATTTTTCGCTCTATAAGACGCACCAGACCACAAGACGCACCTAGTTTTGGGAGGAGGAAAACAAGAAGAAAAAAAATCTGAATCTCAGAAGCCAGAACAGCAAGAGGGATCACTGCACAGTGAAAGCAGCAATCCCTCTTGCTGTTCTGGCTTCTGGGATAGCTGTGCAGCCTGCATTCGCTCCATAAGACGCACACACATTTCCCCTTACTTTTTAGGAGGGAAAAAGTGAGTCTTATAGAGCAAAAAATACAGTATATCTGAGCTAAAGTGCTCAGGTTCAGCACTAAAGTGGAACACTTAATTGCTATATATTTGTAAGGGAGGCACCTGGATGTTTGCAAAGGGAAAAGTGTCCTTTTTCTTTTCCCTCCCCTTCCTGAAATCTGCCCACGCAGTGCAAGAAGGGGGGATTTTTTCTTTTATTCGTTTACTAAATAAACCTTTCCCTACACAATGCCCAAGGCAGCTGGCAATAAAATATGTAGTTAAAAAGTAACCAGTACACTTAACAAATAACATAATAAGCCATAACATGGTAAACTTCTTAGAGAATTTTGCAGTTAAGTGCTCTATGAGTCTTTCTAAACAAACAAACAATAAAAGAGCCAAAACTCAGTATAATAAAGTCAGAGTAGATAAAAGATAAGACAGCAGGAGCAGCAAGTTGAAAACGTGTTTAAGTTTAAATAACGGAACAGCAATACCAAACAAATCAGTTCAGTAAGGGCAATGCCTGCTTAAACAGGAGAAGGTTATAATATCGTCGTTGCCATGATTACTTATACCGTCCATCCAAAGATCATGTTCACAACATAAAAATACAAAATGAGAACACAAAATACGGAATAAAACCAAAACAAACCTATAACCCCCCTCCTACAAACACATTTAAAAGGCCACAGCATGTTAATCAGCCAAAGGCCTAGTCAAGAGAAATGTTTTCACCCAGTACCTAGAGAGCCACCCTGGGGAGTAAAGGTAAAGGTAAAGGGACCCCTGACCATTAGGTCCAGTCGTGGCCGACTCTGGGGTTGCGGCGCTCATCTCGCTTTATTGGCCGTGGGAGCCGGCATACAGCTTCCAGGTCATGTGGCCAGCCTGGCGAACCAGAGCAGTGCACAGAAACGCCGTTTACCTTCCCGCCGGAGCGGTACCTATTTATCTACTTGCACTTTGACGTGCTTTTGAACTGCTAGGTTGGCAGGAGCAGGGACCGAGCAACGGGAGCTCACCCCGTCGTGGGGATTCGAACTGCCGACCATCTGATTGGCAAGTCCTAGGCTCTGTGGTTTAACCCACAGCGCCACCCGCGTCCCTACCCTGGGAAGAGCATTCCACAAATGGGGAGCCACTGCAGAAAAGGGCTGTTCTTGTGTTGCCACCCTCTGGACCTCTCATGGAGGAGGCCCATGAAGAAGGGCCCCCAGAGGATGATTGCAGGGTCAGGGTTGGTTCGTATGGGGAGAGGCGGTCTTTGAAGTACTGCAGTCCTCCTGTGCCGTTTAAGGTTTTATAGGTCAAAACCAACACTTTGAATTGGTCCCGGAAGCTAATTGGCAGCCAGTGCAGTCGGGCCGGGTTTTGTGTGATATGCTCAGACAGTCTTGCCCTGGCGAGCAACCTAGCGATGAGTAGGTTAGAGAGGTTCCAAAGTCAGGGTACAGCCGCCACTGAGAAGCCATTTCTTGAGTTCCACCAAACACAATTCACATGCCATGATGCTCACGGAGTCTGAAATCCCACAAAAGTTCTGTAAGCTGTTAAAAACACAAGCAGGCCAATTCTATGCCTTGCACTCATTTTCTTTTTACACACACCCTGTAGTTCCTGGATGCCTACTGGCTATTCCCTCCCCCACCACAAAAAATAATAATTTACCAACTCATATTCTTCTCCGTAGCTGGCTATTTGCCCAAGAAGACTGAAACCCTCACCTTATTTTTGGGTAACCCTTCCACCCCCCAAAAAAGTTCACTTTTGAACTGATATGTGCAGGACCACCCAAGTTCAGTATTAGCATGGAGGACGATGAATGAAACTTTTCCTTTCATGTGCCTGAGGCTTCAAGGTTGAAAGAAGGCATGAGAGATATGTCCTAATTAAATTCACATTCCTAGTGTAGTGTTTTGGTTTGAGTTCATTTTAGTCTGCTCTGTCTGAATATCTGTAAAATTTCTCTGGTTTTAGCACTCTGTTTTATTAGTTTGTTTGTTTTTTTGTGGACTGAAAGGCAGGATGTAAGTATTTTCATTTATCTGCAGAACTTGCGCAGAATCTTTAATATAGCCCACATAGACTCCCTGGTGGCAGATAAATTTTTGAAAATTGAGGGGAAAGAGTTAATATAAAAGGACTCCCTGGTGAACCAAAATTATACAGCCTTAACTCCACAGTGTGTTTTCTCTCAGGTGAATTTGGTCAGTTTTGCTTACCAGGTGTTATAAGAAAAAACTGCTCCTTTTTCCCTTCTGGGGTATCCAAGAGCCTGCATAGAGTCCTTAAGTAGGTTCTCTGTCAGTAGGAGAAAATAACAGAGGCCAACCAGAGAATATTGAGAAGCAAAGCAGCTAGTAAGCCTGATCTTTATTAAACTGTTGCAACAGGGTCTCCCACTCCCCCCACGCAGGGAAGGAGGAGAGGAGCCCAGAACATTGGTGTGCAAGCTCCTATATAGACTTTTGAAATTGCCTACCCTGTATCTCAGGACCACGCCCCAAAAACATCATACATACATCACAGAAAGAGGTGGCCCCCAGCAGAAATTTGAGTGTGTTGCTTCTCTCCTGTCTGCCAGGATACCTGATAATGCCTTATTATCTGATTGCCTTTTCTGGGTAGCGTAGCCTGGCCATTCCTTTGAGATGGTAAATACTTAGTTCCTGAATCTCTTACGCATATTGATAGTGTGCTCAGCTTAACAGATACTTGCCAGACTGTATTTACAGGGAGGTGTGAGCCCCTGCAGTCCAAAGACAATTAGAAAGCTTTCCCCATTTCCTTCCTCCTTGCAGAGAAATATTTGAGGTCAATTTGGGAGAGTCAAAATGGCTTCAGGATTGTTCTCCTGTACTGTTTCAGACACGTGGTTTATATACTTATGTGTTTGCCTTGTACATTTATGAACATTTATTATATATATATAAGACCTTAGAATTCCTATAACACAGGTATCGCGTTTTGTGTGGACAGCCCATTCTTTAGGTCATTATCGGCGCAAGACTGAGCAGGACAGAATGTGCTAAACCCAGATAGTAGTCTACTAAAGCAGAGATGAAGTGATCGGCCTGAATGCCAGAGGGCTATAGGCAAAATCCATGCTGGCTGGTGAAGCTCAGTCATGTGAAGGCAGGCAGTGTCCCCCCCCACCCCCCCAGTTTCTCAGCTCAGCAGACGGTGAAGTTCATTAGTTCCAATTACCGCTTGTTTCATTCTGCAGCATCAGTTTAATTGAGCCTGGGCCAGTGATAACAGAATTCGAGAGGAAGCTCTATGAAGAAGCAGCCAATATGGACCTCTCTCAGGTGGATAAAGAAACGCTGGATATATTTCAGGGCTTCTACATGGCCTATTCCAAGGAAGTCTTCACTGCGCTGGGGCAATCTCCAGAAGAGGTGGCTGAGGTAGGATTATAAGCTTTCTCCCTTGTTCCTCTCAAGCCCACAGGAAAGCTAGCTGGGATCTGCTTCTGGGGGGGAAGGGAACGGGCTGCCCAGCCTCGCTCATTATTATGGCAGAGCTTTCCAAACTTTTCATGTTGGTGACACACTTTTTAGACACGCATCATTTCGTGATGCAGCAATTCAGTTTTACTGGTAAACTGGAGGTTAAACTAACCCCTTATAAGAGCGTGGGGAGCGTTTGCGTGACACACCTGCACGCTGCAGCCAACACACAACAACAACAATAAAATAAAATAAAATAAAATTTACTCTGCCCATCTGGCTGGGTTTCCCCAGCCACTCTGGGTGGCTCCCAACAGAATATTAAACAGAATAAAACTTAGAGCCAGTGTGGTGTAGTGGTTAAGAGTGGTTAAGTCTTGTAATCTGGGGAACCGGGTTCGTGTCTCCGCTCCTCCACATGCAGCTGCTGGGTGACCTTGGGCCAGTCACACTTCTCTGAAGTCTCTCAGCCCCACTCACCTCACAGAGTGTTTGTTGTGGGGGAGGAAGGGAAAGGAGAATGTTAGCCGCTTTGAGACTCCTTAGGATAGTGATAAAGCGGGATATCAAATCCAAACTCTTCTTCTTCTTCTTCTAAAACTTCAAACATTAAAAACTTCCCTAAACCAGGCTGCCCTCAGATGTCTTCTGAAAGTTAGGCAGTTGTCGCAACACACAGTTTTGAAAGCTCTGGCTTATATTGGCCCATTGTTCCTTCTAACAGCAACCTTCGGTGCTGAGTGCCACTAGGCTTGTAGCTCGAACAGAGCCACTGAGTAATAAGATGGAGGTGCCCCAAGGTGTGCATAAGTGCAATGCTTTAAAAGTGGTGCTGGTGCCGGTAAGAACCCCAAAACTTCCCAGTGAGGCCTGAGAACACTTAGTAGCCATTAATGTAGAGGGAAAGAAAAGAGAAACTATTAAAATGGGGCGGGGGGGAGAGAAGTAGAATGCCTTGTTTAGAGGTAAGAGCTGACTAGAATCCTAAATCAGGAGGGAAGTTGTGCCACAATATTTTGTTGCAGACAGCCCTTGCTAGGTTTAAAATTGCTGCCACTTTGATCTGTGGTTCAGCTGCAAGAAGCATCAGCACCCTCGCAGCAGGGTGCTTAATAATAATAATAATAACACAGTAATAATAATAATAATACAGTAATAATAATAATAATTTATTATTTATACCCCACCCATCTGGCTGGGTTTCCCCAGCCACTCTGGGCAGCTTCCAACAAAAGATTAAAAATACATTAAAACATCAGTCATTAAAAACTTCCCTAACAGGGCTGCCTTCAGATGTCTTTGAAACGTCAGATGGTTGTTTCGAAAAAATAGTCATGCCACTGTTTCCTAGTGGTGCAGCAATAAAATTGCTACCACATTTGCAAAGCTAAGCAGGGTCTGATATGGTTTCAAATTGGATGGGAGACTGTGTGTTGAGATTCTTGCATGGCAGAGGGTTGGACTAGATGGCCCTCGGGGTCCCTTCAACTCTGTGGTTCTAAGATGCAGCATAATTCCCAGTTCTTGGTTTGAAAACAGATAGCTCCCTCCACCGGCCAATGTAGCTGGGTAACAATTAATGAAGGAATTCAACTCTTTGGTCAGAATCTATGGCAGACCATCATCCCACTAAGAGGTTGTGGGTGATGATTTCTTGAAGCAAATGTCCAAGAAGCAGGAAATGGATAGTAATGTTTTAGGGAAGTAAAACGTGATAAGCTAAGAGAAGTGCTTTGCTGATATTCAGCAAAGTAGATCTGAGGAGCCAGAACAATTATTTGCTGTGAAGCCTGTAGTATTTATACCCTCATAAACAAAAGCTTCAGACAAATTGAACAATTGATTGCCTCAATTCCGACTATATTTAGATGCTTTCTGGAGAGTCAGGATGAAGTGAGTCCCAACCCAGATAGCGTTTTCTTTTGTGGAGACATGCAGTGATAGTCACTGATTACGTTTGGACTTGAACAATAGGCTCATCTCCTATTTTTGTATCTCCTTGATTAAATTGCCAAAGGTCACGTTCCATGTGTATATGTGACTTCCAGTCTTGGGCACAATGAGGTGATTGGTTTAACTCCTCCAGCCCCCTTTGCCATCAGGTCTCAATCAGCCTCCTTGCATCATATACACGGAAAAGTACAGTACCTTGTACACAGATCTGTTATACTGTGGGCAGACTAGAAAGCACTTCAAACGGAAACAAGGTTAAAGCCATATTGTATGCAAAAGTGCAAGGCTGCTGCCGTGTTGCCGTTTGCGGTGGCGACAGTGACTCCAGTGTGGTGCCAGAACAGCAGGGAGGCAAGGGGGGAAGCAGCCCAGGTTGCAGGCAGCCCCCCAGGTGAGCTGCTTAAAGGAGGGCGAAAGGCATTCTTTTAAAAGGCTGCAGCGGGGTTTGTGGTGGGTTTCAGAGAGCAGTTTGAAGTTAAAAGGGCTTGAGCTTAGGAGCAGACTGTGAGGAGAGGAGAGGTTTGGGTGAGTTATGAGGGGATAGGCAAGGGGGTGGGTGGCATCTAAAGGGGGAGGGCTTGGCCAGGTGTGGGGGGAGTGGGGATGGCAAAAGGGTGCCAGCGAGCAGAGCAAACAGGTGGCAACCCCTAGTGGTAACATACAGGAATATTGGGGTGGAGTGCTTCCTAGTCTGCCCACAGTATAACAGATCTGTGTACAAGGTACAGTACTTTTCCATGTATAAGATGCCCCCTATTTTGAGGGACTTAAATTTAAGAAAATGGGGGGAGATGGCAGCACAGAGTTGTTGAGCTTTTGTTGTTGAGCTGAAAATCACTCCCCCTCATGCATCCCAAAATCCGCCTCTCATCTGTCCCCTCACTGGCACAAGCTGCCAATTGCTCACCCAATTGCTGCAGCGTCAGCCAGTCAACACCACCCATTGATGCAGCAACCAATAACACGCACAATAGCTACAAACAGCCGCGGCAGCAACCCATCAAACATCCACCCTATGCGCTACCCATGTATAAGATGACCCCCATTTTTTAGCATGCTTTTAAAAGGAAAAAACCGTTGTTGGGTCCCTGCTCCTGCCAACCTAGCAGTTCGAAAGCACGTCAAAGTGGAAGTAGATAAATAGGTACTGCTCCGGCGGGAAGGTAAACGGTGTTTCCGTGCGCTGCTCTGGTTCGCCAGAAGTGGCTTAGTCATGCTGGCCACATGACCTGGAAGCTGTACGCTGGCTCCCTCGGCCAATAAAGCAAGATGAGCGCCACAACCCCAGAGTCGGTCATGACTGGACCTAATGGTCAGGGGTCCCCTTTAGCCTTACCTTATACATGGAGACGTACGGTATTTTATTTACTTATTCCTGAATTGGGCCAAAGGCACAGTTTCCCTTGTATAAAAATAATAGGTGACAGTCTGTTATTGGTTATCAAAAATACTGACACAGGATATATGGTTGCCTATTGTTAAATTCTGATGAAAAGTTCCTAAAAAATTATTTATTTATAAATGTGTGTGTTTTTTAATCTTTTTAAAATATATATATATATTATTTTGACAAAGTAATAATCATAAATAAATAAGAATAAAAATATGCACCCCACCACGAGACCATTCCATTGTAACTATCCAACCTCCCAAAATTTCAACACCTCTTGCGATGGTTTGACCCCTTTCTATTTTAACAGTACAAAATCTACAAACACCTTCCATATCTCCTCGGAATCATTTCTCCTGCATATTCCCCGTCTTACTTTAATAGCGCATGTCAATTTATCATTAGTGTGTTTAATCTTGACTATGTGCAGGCTTTCAAAATGAATTCTGCCTTTCCTGCAGCAATCTCTTTGCACCCCTTGCTGAATTCTGAAAGGGCGATCGTGGCTGAGTGTTGTTGTGGTTGTTTTCTAACCTTCTGCTTCGCACTCCTCCTGGCAGCATACTATGAAAGTGATCACCTCAGAGAAGCCTCCATTCCGGTACCAAACCAACAGCCTCTACACGCCCATCACCACCCTCAAGCACGCTGACCCCAGTGGGAACTTGCCCCTCAACGCCTTCCATCAGATGATCTTCCAGCACGACCGGCTCTTCAAAGCCAGCCTCAGCCTTCTCAAAATGCTCCAGTGGAGGAAGAGGCGGGACATGGAGCACAGCAGGTCCCCCTGAGAGGAAGCGGCTGACCCGCCTCAGAGCCTCTCACTTCCACAGCCCACTCGCAGGCTTTCTAGAGAGTTTAGCATTGAATCCTGGGCGGCATTATACTCCCTAGATGCCGGGGCAGCCCTACTATGAGGCAAAGTGAGGCAGCCCTTGCCTCAGGCGGCAGATTCTGGATGTCTCATGGAGGCAAAGTCTGATCCATTGGGTACCATCGACTGGGGAGGTGATACGCTCTGATAGTTCACGTTCTTTTCGGTTTCGATTCTGCTGCATTCCTGTCAGTTAACAATAGGAAGGTGCCATTACGTTCCGTAGGGTTTGTTGTCGTCTTTGCCCTTGAGCACCAGAAATCCTGAGCTGATAAATTATTGGCTGCCGCTGAGGTCTTGCAAGTCTCCTCACAGAAGCGGGCAAGGAAACCCAGCCTTCTGCTGCAGAAGAGCGCCCCAACATCCTGCACAGGACCTGCCTCAGCATCATGTCCTCTCTGAACATTTAAGAATCTCATTACCAGAAGTAGCCTGAAATGTCATCTAGTCTAACCGAGGCAAGCAGCAGGATTTGGTTAGATTATGCATTTTATTTATGCTTTTCACAGGCTTGAATTTTAAGGATCAAAGAGAAAGGAGGTACCAAGCCCTCATAGGCCATCGAATAACTTGGGAAAGGGCCAATTCCTCCACTTTCTATGTTCCAGTAGCCTATGCTTTGTTCTCCACCAGGATAGACAACATGTCGCCCATGTTGTCAGTCTCCCATCAGCCTCTGCAAGTATGACCAGTAGTTGCTGCTGATGGGAGTTGTAGTACAACCACATCCGCAGGGCACAACATTGGCTGCCCCTGTTTTGCACACTATGTACAGCAGTCTTCCCCAACCTGATGTTCTCCAGATGTTTTGATTACAACTCCCAGCACCAGCAGAGGCTGTGAGGGTTGCAACCAAAACATCTGGATAACACCAAGTTGGGGACATCTGCTTTAGAGCTGGGGAAGCTGTCAGCCTCCAGATGTTGTGGAACTGCCAGCTCCCCATCATCCCTAAGCCTTGGCAATGCTGTCTGGGTCTCAGCAGTTGGATTTGGTTGGCCACAGTTTCCCCTGCCCTTGTATTCTGGAGCCAGGTAGCATTCTGGAGCCCATACCACTTTAGCCCTGCAAGTAGGATTGCCATATATTTTTTTCATCTTCCTTTATGTAAAATAAGAAAATTAAGACTCTGCACATAGTAAACTGGCATGTCAGTCAAGGGTTTTAGCAGAGCAGTCTCTGCTGATATGCTAGCTTACTGCATGCAAGGAGATTTATAGGAGTGAGAGAATTACCAGCGCTATACAAAGCCAGACTATCTGATCGTCTAGCCCACTACTCTGATAGCTTCCTCTGGCTTATGCTGACTTCCCACCACCTACTATTTGAACCTTTTAACTGGAGATGCCAGAAACTGGGGACCTTCTCCGTGCAAAACAGGTGCTTCGCTTCTGAGCTTTGCCACCTCCCCTTCATTAAAAACATGGCCCTTACCACATGTGTAATCCAAAGTGGATTTCTCCAGAATGCAATCACACCTGTCTTATCTCATTCTGCCTAATGGAGGGACCAACTTGAGGACAAGCAGGAATATAACCAAGAATCTGGACTTCTACCTGACTGACCTCCCCTTAGGATTCCTGCTGGAGATGTCAAGCAACTCTTGGCAGTCTTGGACCAGCTCTGAAGTCAGGGCTGGGGGGAGCTGTGGCCTTCCAGATGTTGGTGAACCACATCTCCTGCCCTTGACCATTGGCCATGCTGATTGGGGCTGATGGAAGTTGAAGACCAACAAAACCTGGAACGCCACAGTCTCTCCATCACTGATCTAGAGCAACTCTCAGAATGGAGAAGCCGTCATGAGAACAAGTCTATGAAGCAGCTTTTAAGGCTGAAAAAGAAATTGCAATTCCAGTTTTATTTTCTTAACGTAACCAGGAGGAGGAGGAAAACTGAGGGAGGCATTGGGGTGAAAGCAGAGATAGGAATCCTTTTAAAAAAAGGATGAGGAAGGGAAAATGCTCTTGCTTCTTGGACCAACCGTGACTGAATATAGGGGGACAGGAGAACAATGATAGGAAAAGATGCTGACATTCCACTAGCTTAAATAAACCAAGCGGTCGTTCGGGCAGCCCTACATCTTAGAAAGCACCAACAGGAGAGCATTTTCTGCAACATTGCAAAGAATGGCAAAGCACACTTCTCAGATTGTCTGGCTTGGCTAGTCTAGTATGGGGATTGTTGAGAGTGCTAGATTTGGGTCAGAGGGCCCTGGGTTCAAACCTTTGCTCTGCCATGGAGTTAGCTGGGTCTCCTTCAGCCAGTCACTGTCAGTCAAACCTACCTTGAAGGCTTTATTGTGAGGAGAAAATGGGAGAGAGTTACCTGTTCTGGCCTGAGTCTCATGGATGAAGATTAGGATTAAAATATAATAATTAAAATATCCTAAGTAGAACTGCCCCTTTTCTGTGTCTTTTTTACATACATCCTATATCCAAATCTCTATCAGTGTGGGTGGAACAGGGGTTTCCAACCCACAAGGGAGTGGACCAGTTAGGTAATTTAGGTATATTCTTGAGGCGGGGTTTGTGTGAGAGAGAGATTCAGGAGAGAATCCTGTTTCCAAATCCAAATGATCTTCCAATTTAGGGACACTGGCTGGTTTTATTGAGAAACTGTCAAATAGCACCATCTTGTGCACCTTTACTCAGAATTAAGTCCCATTAAGTTATTTGGGGCTTACTTCCTGGTAATTGTCTAGGATTGGCGCCTGAGTTGTGCACATTCCACCATGCAGTAGTCTCTTAAATAAATACTTTTGTACAGGAATTGGCTGCTTTGATACCTATTTGTGTCTTGGTTGATTAGTAGTCATTGTTTATTGGTTTGCTATATTTCCTGTAAATTCCACCAAAGAACTTAATGGGGGAGGGGGCTTGACTGGGGGGAGGGAAGAGAAATGTTAATTGTGTGCTTCACAACTAAAGCAACACATTTGTTGTTGTTTAGTCGTGTCCGACTCTTTGTGACCCCATGGACCAGAGCATGCCAGGCACTCCTGTCTTCCACTGCCTCCTACAGTTTGGTCAAACTCATGTTGGTAGCTTCGAGAACACTGTCCAACCATCTCGTCCTCTGTCGTCTCCTTCTCCTTGTGCCCTCAATCTTTCCCAGCATCAGGGTCTTTTCCAGGGAGTCTTCTCTTCTCATGATGTGGCCAAAGTATTGGAGCCTCATCTTAAGGATCTGCCCTTCCAGTGAGCACTCAGGGCTGATTTCCTTCAGAATGGATAGGTTTGATCTTCTTGCAGTCCATGGGACTCTCAAGAATCTCCTCCAGCACCATAATTCAAAAAGCAACACATATGGCAGTCTAAAGTGTATGGATCAGGGAAAGACCATTACTTTCTGAATCCATGTGTGGAAGACTCACAGCTGGCAGATCATTCTGCCAACTCCTGTTATTTTGGGGTTTTGCAAGAGTGACCAACAGAGTATAAGAACAATCACAGATTCTTGTGGCACCTGAAGGCACTAACACATTGATTAGGGCAGAAGATTTCACAGGCCCACCTTGTCAGAAGATGTATCCGTTAAAAATCTTTAGCGCATTCAAGAAATTGAATCCCTCCTGCAAAACATCTGGAGAACAGCAAACTACAGCCTGGAGACCAGACCATCCCATTCCTCCCAAGGCCTTCCTGCCCTGCTGTCGCACTAAGAACCTCCCAATCTATTGTTTTAAAGAGGCATTTTGGGTGGCTGGAGTTGAGAAAGTAGCAATGTAAGGGCCCCATTTTTAAATTTTTATTTTGAATATCCACTTGCTAAGCTGCTGGGGTAAAGGGAGGACACAAATTTTAAAGATGCTTCGAGTGATAAAATTATTTATTTTTATTTTTATTTTTATTTATTTAATTTCTATACTGCCCTATACCTGAAGGTCTCAGTGCGGTTCACATAAAATATTAAATACATAAAATCAAAACAAAAACAACAACCCAATTAAAAAACCCCCAAAAGACCCAGCATTTTAAAAAGGGTATAGGATGTAGATTAAGTCAGGCAAAGGCCTGGTTAAAAAGGAACTATGGCCAAACTATCACAGGAAAGCTTTTTAAGAGACATTTGTTTTGTATTGGGGTGGCTTGTACTTCATCCAATAGGCCATAGCAATATGTAGTAGTAATACAGGGCTCACGTGTTTTGCATGTAAATAAATGGGCTACAGAAGCGGAGATGTTTTAATGAAAATGTTCTGGGATGGCGCCTGGTGTGGAGCAGCCTAGGAAGCCCCTGTGTTCAAATGTTGTCACCGCCATTAGGTCACTAGATGATCTTAGTCAAGTTCCTTAGCCTCAGCCTGCTCCCATCTGCAATACAGGGATACTATATAAGGTTAGAAGAATCACAACAAATTATAGCATACTTTAAATACTATATAAATGCTAGATATTATTAACCATGTACTTGTAGCAAGTAACAGACCTTAATAATAATTTATATCCCGCCCTCCCCAGCCGGAGCCGGGCTCAGAGCAGCTAACAACAGTAAAATGATACAATATTCTAAAATCATTTCATTATAAAATCAGTTCAAATCAGGTTAATAGCAACCATTGGGCTAGAGTTCTGTGAGGATTGCCAAAGGAGGGGGTCAGGCTGAATTGATCACCATGTGCAAGCTCTGGAATTAATCTCTGTGAGACAAAGGTGTAGGGGTTTTACTGAAACTACTGTATTTCCATCGTTTTGGAAAGAGATGAGGGAATCAGCAGTGTTGTGCAGTAGGCAACAGCTGTTCCTTGTGGCTGAGTCTTGCTTCAATAAACCAAAAGGGTTACCATTTTAATGCCACCTATCTGACGTTCCATCTATGTCTCTACATTAATCAATCTGGCATAACTTATCACCTCGTTAGAATTATTGATGGAGAGAAGAGCCATCAAGTTGCTGTCCAGTCAGCATTGAAAGGATGGGAAGATGAGCCACTCTTGATTGAGCCAACTGCCATTAGGACTGGGTTTTCAATGACTATGTATTCTTGGAACACACAGGAAGAAAACAAAACTTCTTGACTCAGCATAGTTTTTACTCTTGAGTCACTGGCTCCCCCAGCCGCCGCCACTACCCCTCCTAGTCACCATGGCAACGTGATAGGATTCTATGTGCAACCCTGCATGAATTTCACAGCATTTTTGTAGATAGTCCTTCCACATTCCTTCTGATACTGGTTCATTCCGAAGGTTATGAGGAAGTTAAATTTCCTGAGGTCAGCGACATGGGAAACTGGAGTGACGCTCATTGCCATTGGGGTTGAGGATGGTTTTGCTGACAGCAAGGTTTTCTAGTTCTTGTGGAGAGACAGCTTTGTCTTGCTTATTCCACTGAAGGATGCCTTGGTGATCTCAACAGTCCATTGTTTTTCTGCTGAGCGAGAAGTTTATAAGAAACAATGGTGTGTATGGAAGGGCACATTTATGCCATTCAGTTGCATTAATTCAGAATAACTGCTTCCTTCACTTGTTACTTATTTTATAAAATAAAATGGGATGCAATTTCAATACAGCAATTAACATACAACAGTAAAAACAACAACACACAGTTCAGATTAAATCAACAATTCAAGATTATTGCAGTAGTCAAACTACAACAATCATCACCCCAGGACATACTGGTTGGGGCAGCTGGGAGTTCGAATCCAACAGAACTGGGTCACAGACTCCACCATCTGGAACTCTCTGCATCTAGTGGACATGAGTTCGATGCCCAGTTGTATGGAAATAAGAAGCAGACCCTTTCCTGAAGATTGCACCACCCCAGAAGATTCATACGAGTGATAATGTTCTGTGAGAGGTCCTGGGCCCAGGCTATTTAGGATTTTATAACTTCCGTCCTATGCATTGTTACTACATTGAGCACAGTGAGTCTTACTCCTCAGTAAATGTGTATTGGATTGGGTCACATGGGCAGTACCATAAGCTAAGCCCAGAAACCTACTAGCAATCAGTGGCGCCCCTTCAGAGGGGAATAAAATATTCCATACTATGGCTAACTCCAACCAATCGCTGGGCAACTGTGTTCAAGGGTAGAACCATGCAGAGCTCACTGTAGTAATCAAACCAGAAAGTTGCTACCCTGTGAAGAGTGGGCAGCAGGGACACTTGTCCACCAGGAGAGGGCACAGTTGGCATACCATCTGAAGCTGGCAAAAAGGACCCAATCCAACTATAAAATTGAACCTGATCCTTAAGGAATCAGTGGTTTGCTTTTCATGTTTCTAGAACTTGTTGTTTTTATCTCATTTTTAGCTTGCTGTATACCACTTTAATCGCTTCACGCCGCAATGTACTAATTTGTTAAATAATAAATTAATATAAGGTCGGGATGCAGGTGGCGCTGTGGGTTAAACCACAGAGCCTAGGACTTGCCAATCAGAAGGTCGGCGGTTCGAATCCCCGCGACGGGGTGAGCTCCCATTGCTCAGTCCCCGCTCCTGCCAACCTAGCAGTTGAAAAGCTCGTCAAAGTGCAAGTAGATAAACAGGTACCGCTCTGGTGGGAAGGTAAATGGCGTTTCCGTGCACTGCTCTGGTTCGCCAGAAGCGGCTTAGTTATGCTGGCCACATGACCTGGAAGCTGTACGCCGGCTCCCTCGGCCAATAAAGCGAGATGAGCGCTGCAACTCCAGAGACGGTCACGACTGGACCTAATGGTCAGGGGTCCCTTTACCTTTACTCTAAAATAATATAAGAGGGATGCGGGTGGCACTGTGATCTAAACCAGAGAGCCGAGGGCTTGCTGATCAGAAGGTCGATGGTTTGAATCCCCGCGACAGGGTGAGCTCCCGTTGCTCGGTCCCTGCTCCTGCCAACTAGCAGTTCGAAAGCACATCAAAGTGCAAGTAGATAAATAGGTACCGCTCTGGTGGGAAGGTAAACAGAAGCGGCTTAGTCATGCTGGCCACATGACCCGGAAGCTGTCTGCGGACAAATGTCGGCTCCCTCAGCCAGTAAAGCAAGATGAGCGCCACAACCCCAGAGTCGTCCGCGACTGGACTTAAAGGTCAGGGATCTCTTTAGCTTTACCTAAAATAATAGAAGAATCCATTTCCATCCATAACAGCTAAACCACTGACTTAGTCTTCCTTTAAACTGCATGGTACTTGTGACATCTGCCTCTGACTGGTTCATTCGCTGTGATGGTTCACCTATGTTCAGTTTATTAGAGTATTAAGCAGCCTGCAGTCAACTTCTGTGAGGAGTGGGAAAGTTGTCTATCTGTCTGAGATCAAAACCTCACACAGTGCAGAATAGGGCAAGAACAGAGGTCCCAGAATGTAAGAAAGTTAAGTCAACAGGCAAGGAAGAAAGTAGCGAACGGGCTGTGAAAGAGAAATTGTGTAGGAAGGTAAAAATAAATAATGTGTTTGGAAAAGGAAAGAAAAGGCAGAGGTTTTTGGGGTGCCTTGGGGGTGCCAAATGACTAACCTTTGCTTGCTATCTGGGGGCACTGCTTAGTGCTTAAAAGAAGCAATAGACACATATGCATAAAATTTGCAAATGCTAACATACACACATATATGCAAATAAACAAGAATGGACATTCCAAAGAACGGAACTGTTTGGTGTACAGCAGTTAAATGAAGCTCAACAAACCCTAGCTGTCCTCTTGCATTTGTTAAAAGGAAGAAATGGAGGTGCCTTTGATGTACAGTTGACAAGTGACAGTAGCCCCCCCCCATCTCCACCACAGTAGCTGGCAGCAGACCCCAAAAGACTTTGTCTCTGGCCAGTGGCCACCGCCTAAGGAAGAGGTTCCCAAAGTGGTCTGCAGACCAACACTGGCCTGCAAGCTTCATTCCGGTCACCCCTGGTGTGTCTACGAAGAACGCCTATACATTTGCGCTTCTTATTGAAGGTACTTTTGCTGCCCTTAAAATTGTTGTGTATACAGTGGTGCCTTGGGTTAAGAACTTAATTCGTTCCAGAGGTCCGTTCTTAACCTGAAGCGTGCTTTCACTAATGGGGCTTCCTGCTGCCGCTGTGCCACTGGCGCGCGATTTCAGTTCTTAACCTGGAGCAACCACTTCCTGTTTAGGGGAGTTTGTAACCCGAAGCCTCTGTATCCCGAGGTACCACTGTACCTGCTTTGTAAAGTATTACCCCCCCCCAAAAAAGAACAGAGAGGCATTTAACAGACCATTTGTGTTCTGAGTTGGCGTTATTGGTCCCAAGCCGCAGGGGGCGCTGTGGTCTAAACCACTGAGCCTCTTGGGCTTGCCAGTCAGAACGTTGCCGGCTCAAATCTCCATGATGGGGTGAGTTCCCCTTTCCTCTGTCCCAGCTCCTGCCAACCTAGCAGTTTGAAAGCACACCAGTGCAAGTAGATAAACAGGTACCGCTGTGGCAGGAAGGTAAACGGCGTTTCTGTGCACTCTGGTTTCTGTCCCGGTGTCCCGTTGCACCAGAAGTTTTAATCATGCTGGCCACATAACCCGGAAAGCTGTCTGCGGACAAAGGCCGGCCCCCTTGGCCTGAAAGTGAGATGAGCGCCGCAACCCCATAGTCGCCTTCGACTGGACTTAACCATCCAAAGGTCCTTATTGGTCCCAAGGAACATGTGGGGGTTTGGTCAGGTGGTGGTGGTGCCACGGCTGGCCCACCCATGAGGCAAAGTGAAGTGTGCATTACACAGGCACGTTACACAGGGGCAGCAGATCTGGCCTCCAAGGAATGCATCACCTGCTGCTGCTGTTGCATGGTTGCGGCACACTCCTTGGAGACTGGATCTGCCGCCTCCTCAGCAGTCCCTCCCCAATGCAACCTCTCAGTGAATAGGAGGTGCTGCTAGTTTCCTCCCACCCTTAGGGTGGCAATGGCAGAGGCTGCCCTCTGGGGTCTCCTGGATTCTGCACCTGCCCAGTGTGATTTTCAGCAAGCCCCCTTTCCCACCATGACAACCTTTGATTCCCACTCAACCTTCGGGTAAGGTTGAGTATACCGGAAGGAGCCTCTCCACCCTCATCGTCCAACCCTGACACTGAGGTCCAGCGCCGAGGGCCTTCTGGCGGTTCCTTTACTGCGAGAAGCAAAGTTACAGGGAACCATGCGGAGGGCCTTCTCGGTAGTGGCGCCCGCCCGGTGGAACACCCTCCCATAAGATGTCAAGGAAATAAACAACTACTGTATCTGACTTTTAGAAGACATCTGAAGGCAGCCCTGTTAAGGGGAGTTTTTAATGTTTGCTGTTTTATCGTGTTTTTAATATTCTGTTGGGAGCCACCCAGAGTGGCTGGGGAAACCCAGCCAGATGGGTGGGGTATAAATAAATTATTATTATTATTATTATTATTATTATTATTATTATTAAGTTGATTTCCCCCTTCTTGTTGCCATGTAGATCTTTCCTCCCATGCTTGTTCCTTATGATAATAATGATTTTATTATTTATTCCCTGCCCATCTGGCTGGGTTTCCCCAGTCTCTCTTGGTTGGGGGAGGCATTTTGTGGTTCACCTTAGCTGAGATTCCTGCATTACAGGGGATTGGACTAGATGAGCCTTGCGGTCCCTTCCAACTCTCCAATTCTATGCTTCTGTGTCTTGGGCCGGCCTTGGGGTTGCTCTTCTCTTGGTGAATGGGGCTGGAATCGTTTCATATCACACGTCAGTGGCTTACGGAGCACCTCTCTGGGAGCCGTGAGGCTTCACGTGACTGTTTGTCACGTCTGGTAAGGGGCCACCATACGGATTGGCGCAGCCACGTGGGACTGGAAATAGCCTTCCTGCGAACGCTGCACGGGCTCCCTTAGCAACCACGCGGGGGACGCAGACACATGGACTCCATCCTTGGAGGCGAAGCAAAGTCCGGCTTGGAGCCGCGACGCTGAGCGCGCCCTCCGTCCCACCCGAGATCGAGACGCGTTTTCCAGTCTTGGCTCAAGCGAGAGAAGATCCACCCCAGCGCCGCCCACGTTCACCGGCTGCGCCTCCCCGACCGAGTCCAGCGAGCCGGATCCCGAGCGCCCGCGCCGCGAGATTCCCCGCGCGGCGAGCTCAGCCTGGCTCCAAGGAAGCGCGCGCGCGAGCGATCGCGGAGCCTGACGCGAGAGGAAACCCTTCGCCCATTGCGCGGGGGAAGGAGGGCGGCGGCGGCGGCGGCGGCTTCCTGGGAAGAGCGGCGCGCCTCGGCTCCGCCTGTTGATCCCTTTTCGGGGGAGGGGGAAGACGAGCGGGCGGGCGGGCGGGCGGGCGGCCTTCGCCTGGGCATCAATCAAACCCTCGGAAGCCAGAGGGAGACGCGCCCCGTGCCAAGCCGGGGAATGCCGGCGCTCGTCGGGCTGCGCTGAGCCCTGCCTGCGCCTTTAAGGGCCGGGGCCGGAGCGGGGAGTGTCCCGGGCAGGCGCTGGAGGCTGGACGGGCGGGACTCCCCGGGACGGGAGCGGCGGCGGAGGCGGCGGATCGGGCTCCGGGTGGGCCTTGGCGCACGGAGCGAGGGCGCACGGCGACGGCGCTGCCAGCATGGACTGGGGCACGGAGCTCTGGGTAAGGAAGCGCGCGGCCGCCGCCCCCCCCTTGGGTTTTGCTGGGAGGCACCCCATATTCTCCCCCCACCAATCCTTATCTCCCTCTCTCCCCTCCCTCCATGTCCGATCACTTCGTCTCTCCACTCAAGGGTTGGGCTTCTCCATGATTCCCCAGACTTGATTTAAAGCGCGTTTCTCCGCCCTCTTCTCCAGCTCCCACCCGAAACTCAGAGTTTTCTCCCTCGTGTCAGAGTTCAGTCGTCTGTGCCCCCCCCCCCCCACTTCAGTGCCTGCCTCCCCCTCTTTTCCTGATGGCTGCTAATACTATTCTGGCTGCTACTTGTCCTGGGCTCTGTCCTTTTCACTGCCGCCTTGTTCCGTTCCGTTTTCTTCTCTTTCGGTGACCCTGTTGCTTTCCTCCCTCCCTTAGCCCCTTGGCTGAGAAAAGGGATGTTATTTGTGTGTGAGAGAGAGAGAGAGAAAGAGAGAGGGAGAGAGAGAAAGAAACCAATATTTTCCCTGGGTCGTTAGGCTCTGAGCTTACGGGAAGACTGCATGTATTAACACAGACTAACTTTAATTTGGCCAGGTAGATAAGACCACCTGAAAACAAGAGGAGGCGCTTTCACATTACAGTAATGATCTTCAATATTTAAAGCTGTAGCTGTACCCATAGCAGACTCGCCACTGCTCCCCTAAGTATATATTTTTTCCTGGTTCTGGCTTCTTACGCTTGATAATTAGATGGGCAAGAAACCCTTTGTCTACCACTTTATCATGAGTAAGTGAGCTGCATGTTTTACTGTGATAGCCTATCATATTTTGGCTCTGCTGTTGCACTTTTGCATATTGGGGTGCAGCTCTCAGATTGGGAACACCTGAGTTGTGATTTAAGAGCTGGATGTCCCAATATCCTCTGCGACATTGTCCTCATTCACACATAACAAGCAAGCATGTTAAGTTTAAGTTAAATTTAAGTTGTAGTTTGGCTTAGTGTGTTACCTGAACTTGGGCTTGTGGTTTAGCTCTTTCCCAAGGGTGAAACTAGGCTTTATTTCACCCAAGTCAAAGACCACCCATGCATATTTGCACACACACACACAGGCTATGGGAGCCTCAATGGCGCCCCTTTGGAGGCTTCACCTGGCCCAAAAACCCTGGCTAGTCCCCCCCCCCTTCGCTACGCCTCTGTCTTTCCAGATAAGCTGCAACCCAGGCTTGTCCTAATGGTCACTGGGCCTCTGTATACCATTTGAAGGCATACATCTTCCATTATGTGCTGCTTTACTGCTTGTGAGAAGATGCCCCTAACTCAGTGGCTCCCAAACTTTCCCCCTCATGGACCATTTAAAAATTGCTGATGGTCTTGGCGGACCACTTAATGATTTTTTCTGCCTGTTGTTCCAGTTGTAATATGCTGTGCTAGATGCTGTGTGGTTTTTAATTGTATATTTATTTATTCCTTCTTTTATTTGTTGCATTTTGTACTACAATACAGTATAAGAAATGGCTGTGCCGTATCTGGTGTTCAACCAGTGTGGTGTAGTGGTTAAGAGAGCCAGTGTGGTGTAGTGGTTAAGAGCGGTAGACTCGTATTCTGGTGAACCGGGTTCGCGTCTCCACTCCTCCACATGCAGCTGCTGGGTGACCTTGGGCCAGTCACACTTCTTTGAAGTCTCTCAGCCCCACTCACCTCACAGAGTGTTTGTTGTGGGGGAGGAGGAAGGGAAAGGAGATTGTTAGCCACTTTGAGACTCCTTCAGGTAGTGATAAAGCGGGATATCAAATCCAAACTCCTCCTCTTCTTCTTCTTCTTCTTCTTCTTCTTCAACCGTAAAAACACAGACACATTGCAAACCACGTGAATGAAGCTCATAGGTCACTAGCGGTCTGCTGCCAACCACAGTTTGGGGACCTCTGCCCTAAACAACCACTTGGAGTGCATGGGCTATATGTATATGTAAAACACTCATGTGTACACATCCGTCAATACCTTTTAACTGTCCTGCTGTACTTAAAATCAGGGAGGCCAAATAATGTAATTTGTGGGCAAAGTATGAATTCTAATCCTGGCCCATTTTAATGAATGCAAAACCCAAAGAGTGTTAAGTTTGCCAGACTGTACCATTTTGTGCTTCAAAGACTGACTTTAGTCTTACATGGTCTGTTTTAATCATTACATGGTCCACCAATACTGGTTAAATGTATGAAGCAAGACAGACTGCGTACTCTGGGTCTGTTAGCAGCTGAAAGCCTAATTGATATGTATTAAGTGACGCTGAGGAGGCTCTCTTGCTAAGAACATGAGAGGGGCAATACTTATTGTAGGTAGTGAGCAAACTCTCAGGATTTACTTTGTTTTTTACCAGACTTCTCATATTCACCGCCTGGAGTCTGGTACAAAAGACAGATACATAGAAGAACTAAAGGATTCTGAGCACAGGAATTTATTTTGAGTACCAGAACTGAACTGAGTGTACAGTCCTTGCATACACTAACCCTCTTCTGGCTACCCTGAAATTCTTCATTTTGGCAATATGAGGGAATGAGGATTCATTTTGTTACTGCTGTTGTTTGTCATGGTGCCAATTGTTTAATCTACTGCAAATCTCCCAGTAGATCAATCTACTGCAAATCTGCTAGTAGATCAAGACCGTCCTTTTACTCACCCTTGATGTCGTGAACCAATGTCTACATAGTCCAGTATTCTTTGATAGGTAAAGGGACCCCTGAGCATTAGGTCCAGTCGCGGACAACTCTGGGGTTGCGGCGCTCATCCCGCTTTATCGGCCGAGGGAGCCGGTGTACAGCTTCTGGGTCATGTGGCCAGCATGACTAAGCCGCTTCTGGTGAACCAGAGCAGCGCACAGAAACGCCATTTACTTTCCCGCCAGAGCGGTACCTATTTATCTACTTGCACTTCCTGCTTTGGAACTGCTAGGTTGGCAGGAGCGGGGACCGAGCAACGGGAGCTCACCCCATCACAGGGATTCGAACCGCCGACCTTCTGATCAGCAAGCCCTAGGAAATTGGCCTTTGGTCAGTTGGACTGTGGTCTTCATTTTGCCTTCTTCTGATCTAGAATATGCTTTGCCTCATGAAAACTTATTTTGGAGCAAATTCAGCTTCTCAGAATGAGGCCCTTAAGGCACCATCAACTTCTATGCACATGAGATTTAATCTCCACTTCATCTTCCCAGGTAAGCTATGATGAAGAGTAGCCAAAGGTGGGCAGAATGTGTAGCTATTGCATAAAGAAAAACAGGGTAGAGACTTCAATCAGCAGCTGAGGAAGGGGGGGAAAACAAACACTGTTGCTTTAAACAGGCAGCAACAGAAATGTCCCTTAATCTGCTTTGGGGTAGAACAGGAATATAGTAATGATTTTAAATAGCAGAGGAAGAGACTTTCATGTAAGGCAAAATTGCTGGTGATGCAAAGTGAGCTGGAGAAAAGAGTTTGGGAGAATTTTATTTGTAGTTTGCTCTGTTCTAGAGCCTCAGAGAGTAAGACCTTTGTACCCAGTTCAAAACATAGTTTCCTAAGAAGAAAAAGTGTTGGGTATATGCATTTTATAAGTTTGCAGAGAATATTTGGTAGGAGGCCCTTCCCTGATTACCTTTTCATGGGTTGAAGGTGATGATTGATCGTGAACACATCCAAGAGAGGTTGGGAGTATTAGTAATGCCAGGCCCCTTATTTTTGGTCTGTATTTTGACTTTTCTGTTTCTCTTGCCAGTTGCTCAAAAGGGGCTCTTGCTTTTGCTTCTCTCTCGCAGCCCTTATTTTATGTGCTGTGAAGCACGTTCTGGGTTTCTGGAAGGACCAGTGCTTTCTCTTGCACCTGGTTTAGGTTTTTGCTTGTGTGCATGTGGAAGATACAGGATCCGAAGGTGTCTTTCTCACCCCTTCAGCAAAGCTTCTGCGTCTAATCTAGTTAGTTCAGAGATTAACTTTAGCCTGGTTGCATGAGTAGAGGAGGCTATTTCTGGATTCTGCCCTTGCATGGGCAACAGTTGAGTGCCCTCGACAGGGGAAGGAATACTTAAATACCCTCAAAATTCAGTCTAACCATTTCCACTGGTAAAATTGATCTGCATACTTCTACATCTGCATATTATAACTTGGCCAGTTTTCTGGGTCTCTGGGTTCTCTACCATGGCTAGGGTCAAAAGGGGCAATGTACAAGCTAGAATCATGCAGTCTATGGTTGCTAGGCCACAATTAATTCAGAATGTTGCCATTTGTGAAACCTTCCACTAGGTGCCTGAGTTTGTTGTCTCTAAATCCATAGATTTAGTTGGGGGCTGCTTATTTGCCTAGAGTCTGATTCTCATTTAATGAATTACCTGTGCAAGTAGCACTTGCATGTCAGAAACAGCATGCAAAACTGTGTGTGTAGAACATGCTGCTGTACAAACTGCTGGGAAGCTACAGATTGGCCATGTCTTTTCATACACCATCTGTATGCACAGCAAAATATCGATGGTCTATACTCATTTAACTGTAGCAGTTGGCAATCCGATTGTCCTGATTTTTCCCATGTGGTCATGCTCTCTGTATAATAAATCAAACTCTGGGGTGCTTTTCAAAAACTTGTGGCAGATTCATAGAACCGATTCCCCCTCACCTTCCAATGTTGCAGGATGTGTCTTGTTTTGTACTCTGCCAAAAAAAAGGGGGGGGGACACAAGAATCGGTTGATTCCTACGCTCAAGAGCCAGTGTGGTGTAGTGGTTAAGACTCCTAATCTGGGGAACCGGGTTCGCGTCTCCGCTCCTCCACATGCAGCTGCTGGGTGACCTTGGGCCAGTCACACTTCTCTGAAGTCTCTCAGCCCCACTCACCTCACAGAGTGTTTGTTGTGGGGGAGGAAGGGAAAGGAGAATGTTAGCCGCTTTGAGACTCCTGAAGGGGAGTGAAAGGCGGGATATCAAATCCAAACTCTTCTTCTTCTTCTTCTTCTTACGTACATCTTGACTGGACATAAAAGTCTCTATATCTGAAGGGATAGTTCCCTTTTGTTTAATGGGATGCTGATGTTTAATCATTGGAATGAGCTATGTGATAGAACTATTATTTATTGTTTATTTATTAAATTTATATACCACCCTTCATCCAAAGATCACAGGGTGGTTTACAGTATGAAAACATAAAATACACAACAATAGCAAGCAAGCAAGCAATAACCATCCCAGTACTGTACAGTGGTACCTCAGGTTACATATGCTTCAGGTTACAGACGCCGCTAACCCAGAAATAGTGCTTCAGGTTAAGAACTTTGCTTCAGGATGAGAACAGAAATCGTGCTCCGGCGACACGGCAGCAGCAGGAGGCCCCATTAGCTAAAGTGGTGCTTCAGGATAAGAACAGTTTCAGGTTAAGAACGGACCTCTGGAATGAATTAAGTACTTAACCCGAGGTACTACTGTACTGAAAACTGCATCTCCCTCAACACTAATCTGAAGGAGGTGGAGGGGTTTTTTTTGGAAGGAAGAATGAATAGATAGGATGGGGTTTCTCCTCTGCAAGTTGCCCCACGTGGCTGTTTACTGTTCGTCCCACAGTCTTGTTTGACTCAAAGATCAGAAGAAGCTTGCTTGGAGGGGAGGGAAACCAGCAAAAGCAGGCGGAGGGTGGGGGGGACTTTTAGGGGAGATCTGGCAGCCGCGCAAAGTTTTAAGCACCTTTCCGCACATTGAGCCTCCCCTCTGCCCTTTCATTAACATTAACTGGCAAGTACATGTTTACCAGCATAACATGTAGTTTTGTCCTTTGTTGCAGGATGGATGGGAACTTGTCTTTGAAATGGTGTGTGTGTGTGTGTGTGTGTGTGTGTGTGTGTAGAAGCCTATACTGATTGCCGAGTTGCTCCTGTGCAGATATATTTAACCTGTTGTCCGTTGTTCAGGCTATTCCGCCTGATGTCTCTGGGTGTGGTCCAGGGTATTTTTTGTTAACCTTTAGCTAAGGACTTGCAAGGCTTTGGAGCTTAAAAAGGGGCGGTGTTTAGATTGGTGAATTGGGTAGGATCAAACAGTTCCACTGTTTGCAAATCTAGCCAGGGCTGTTTATGTTGGGTGAGGTGGTGTCTGTTTTCTTTAGCATGTTCTTCTGCTATCGCTGCACCTCCCATTTCATCTCTCTTGAAGGAACCTCTTGTAGCTTCTCTAAAGTGGCACAGAATATGTGCCGCTGCTTATAAGTAGGTATTGCCTAAAGCAGGGGTAGGCAACCTAAGGCCCATGGGCCGGATGCAGCCCAATCGCCTTCTAAATCCGGCCTGCGGACGGTCTGGGAATCAGCATGTTTTTACATGAGTAGAATGTGTCCTTTTATTTAAAATGCATCTCTGGGTTATTTGTGGGGCATAGGAATTCATTTATTTTCCACACACCCCAAAAAATATAGTCCAGCCTACCACATGGTCTGAGGGACGGTGGACCGGCCCACGGTTGAAAAAGGTTGCTGACCCCTGGCCTAAAGGGTTCCCTCAAAATGACTTTTAAGAAATATTTATGTAATGCAAATTAAGAATTCATAAAGATTGATATTGCTAAAATCTATCTAAACAATACCTAGCATTCTGTTTATGATGGATGCTGAACCTGTACCTTGTTTTGGATTCTATTTAACTGGAAAACCCATTCATCATCATCATTTCTATAATTTATAAGCCGCCCATCTGCCTGGGTTTTCCCAGCCACTCAGGGCGGCTCCCAACAGAACACTAAAAACAGAACAAAACCTCAAACATTAAAAACTTCCCTAAACAGGGTTGCCTTCAGATGTCTTCTAAAAGTCAGATAGTTGTTTATTTCCTTGACATCTGATGGGTGGGTGTTCCACAGGGTGGGCGCCACTACCGAGAAGGCCCTCTTCCTGGTCATTAACAAACATTAACTGTTAGTATTTGGACGTTTCCGTGGGTATATGGAAAGGTGGTGGGGGTACAGTGAACTTTTTTTGGGGGGGGTAAATGGTGCTCAGTTCACATTTCAGAAAAAGGTGGATCATGTCGAAATGTATGTCAGTTTTTTCACGTAAACATTTGAATTTGTACCAAGTCATTTTTACCCACGCACTCTGTGATCTTTTTTTTTTTTTGTAATGTAATGCTAGCAAAATTGTGTTCATCAAGTTATTCTGAATTGAATAGCTTTTTAAGTGAGTCACAAGGTAAAGCGTTGGCACATCAGAAATCATAGTTCGGTAATGTCACAAGCCAGCATGCAAGCTTCTAGGTTCTACAGAACTCTTTATCAAGCTAGATGCTAAATACAGGGGTGGCAGAGAAGCAACTCATATGCAGAGTGTTCAAGTCGCTATACAATGGTACCTCGGTTTACGAACTTAATCCGTTCCAGAAGTCCGTTCTAAAACCAAAGCATTCTTAAACCGAGGCGTGCTTTCCCATAGAAAGTACCGTATTTTTCGCTCTATAGGACGCACTTTTTCCCCTTCAAAAATGAAGGGGCAATGTGTGTGCGTCCTATGGAGCGAAGACGGCATAGCCCCGCGACCCTCTGCTGGCTGGAGAGGTGACGCGCGGCTAGGGCAGGAGCCTCTATAGCCGCGCGCCACCTCTCCAGCCGGCAGAGCGTGCGCGGGGCTAAAGAAGCCCCACTTACCCTCTCCCCGTTGGAGAGGTGACACGCGGCTATTGCAGCAGCCTCTTTAGCCGTGCGCCACCTCTCCAGCTGGGAGAGCGCGTGCGGGGCTAAAGAAGCCATAGCCCCGCGACCCTCTCCCAGCTGGAGAGGTGACGCGCGACTATGGCAGCAGCCTCTCCGCTGCACGCCTTTCCGCTGCTCCCCGACCTGCTCTTTGGGGCTTCCAAGGTAGCCGCCTGAACTCACCTTAAACGGCACCATGTTTTAGAGGGGGAAAACACAAGGGGGGAAATTCTCCCCCTCTCTGCGCAGCGCCTCCTGCCGCTTCGCTGAAGGGGCACTGGGCAGAGAGGGGGAGAATTTTTTTTCTTGTTCTCCCCCCTCTAAAACAAGGTGCATCCTATTGTCCGGTGCGTCCTATGGTGCGAAAAATACGGTAATGGAAAATAGGTTAATCCGTTCCAGACGATGAAAAATAACCCCTAAAACAGAAATTTAACATGAATTTTACTATCTAACGATACCATTGATCCATAAAATAAAAGCAATGTACTGTACTATAAAATAAATAAGACTGTATTGATGATTCTTTTTTAAAAAAAGAAAATGTGATTTTTTCTTACCTGAACTGATGATAGTCTTCCACGGCTTCAGGGGTGGGATGGGGGCTGCAGCAAGGCTTCCTGTGGCCGGAGCCCTTCCACCGGCAGTGGAGCACGTTCGGCTTCCGAGGCAAAGTTCACTAACCGGAACACCTACTTCCGGTTTTGTGGAGTTCGTTTCCCAAATAGTTCGTTAACAGGACTGTTCATAGACCGAGGTACTACCGTATTACACCCAGGGTGTTATGAGATTAGGATTAAGTTCCCTATCTGAGGGGGAATTTGGCCTCTTTGGGCCCTGTTCTCCTGCCTCAGTTTGAACTGGCGGGCCCAATCTGGCTTCAAGGGAGAATATAGGAAAAAAAGAGGTATAGTCTGAGTCGTGCTCAGTCGTATATATACTTGAGAGAATCTCCTTTAACACGCAACATGCATAGGATTGGGCTGCAATTAATAAAGCTGCGGCTGGTGGGCAGGAATAATGTATTTTTTGCTCCATAAGACGCACTTTTTTCCTTCTAAAAAGTAAGGGGAAATGTCTGTGCGTCTTATGGGGCGAATTCGTGGTCCCTGGAGCCGAATTGCTCTTTTTTTATAGAAAGAGGGAAGGGGGTCTTGAAACAAAGCCGGTGATCAGCAAGCGATCAGAAAGGGGAGATAAGGGACTCTAGAGATAAAGGAGGCTGCCTGGGAGGGGGGAGGTAAAAGCACATGGATCCTCAGGATTTTTGCATTGGGTCACCCCAAATTCTCCATCAGATCACATAGCATGTCCATGGCTACAGCCCTCACCAAAAAAACACACGCATCCACTGTTTCACCGAGTTGCAATGGCTCAAAAACGTGTTTACAAAGCACAGATCCACAAGGATCCTCAGGATTTTTGCATTGGGCTACCCCAAACTCACCGTCAAATCACATATCATGTCTGTGGCCACAGCATGAACCACAAAAATCATACATCCACTGTTTCGTTCAGAATGTTTTTTTTCCTTGTTTTCCTCCTCTAAAAACTAGGTGCGCCTTATGGTCAGGTGCGTCTTATGGAGCGAAAAATACGGTATGTGGCAGGGTCTCGATTCCTTGTTAGCAAAAGGAAAAGGAAAGAGAGTTCTGGAATGTGGGGTTGTCTAATCCGCTCCCCATTTCTTCACTGCTATGTTTTATGCCATAAAGCAAGTGATTCACTTAGGCAGATTCTTCCTGGTAGCTCGCACCCAAGAAGCTGGGAGTATTTGTCTCGATTACCAAAAAAATGCAAACCCTCTCTAGACATGAAAGCGTTTCCTCCCTGCATGATGGCATTTCTTATAAATGCAGCTGACTTCCTGGCAGTAGTTGCTGTTCCTTTATTTTGTTTGTGTTGACACTTGGGTAAAGGGGTGTGTGTTTTTTTTAATTTCAGACTTTCTTCCTCATACCTGACCTAAAACATGGTTAAAATGTAGGGGAGAATGGGGCTGTGCCAAATGGAACTGAAAGCAGTTTTGTCTCAAATAAGGGTGTCTATAGCAATGCCTCATGTAAGCAAGAAAAACTGGATCTTTTAATTCCAATTTCTAGAGTGCTGTCTAGCTGTAATTTTCACAAGTGACTCTGCGCTGAAGATAATGCGTTATCTAAAGTTTTCCCTACCTTTGACCACCTTTCTTTCTTTCTTTCTTTCTTTCTTTCTTTCTTTCTTTCTTTTACTAGGCTAGTGTGTAAGTTATTTGTTTGATTGTGGTAATTTTTTTGCTAGAGATAGGGAGGGGAGTTCCATTTTTCTGATGGAAAATAATTGGTTCAGAGAGTGGAGTTTCAAATAGCTGTTCCTTAGCGAGTTCCTGTGGGAGACAGCTTCAGCTCTGTAGCCAAGGAAGGGAATTGAGAGAGAAGGAGCACCTATTAGTCATAATATTTATTATCCATATGCTAGGTTGTCTTGCTTTCTTTTGGGGTCTCTTCATGTGACAGTGTTAAAAACTGGCATAGAAAAGCTAGGAGCCAAATGGCTCCTGGGACTTGGGTTGTGGGTCCCAAAACAGAATGTCTAGTCGCCTTTGGGGGGGGCGTCTGCAACACTTTTAATTATTTTGATAAGCATGAACTAATATGCAATTCACATAAGTGACATATTGTTAATATCACATTTTTAACAGAAATTGTTAATACATGTTTAATTTGGAGTTGACAATAAAATTATTGGTACCGTACTTCAGTTTTCAAAACACTCTACTCTTTATTGTTAAACTCCTTAACATATTGCCTATCCTTAATATATACTTTGAGGCTTCAAAGCACATACATTTCAGTAATCCTTGAGTGTTAGCCAGGCACACACAAAAACCAAACTTTTTGAGGTGCTTGCAAATGGAGAATCTTTAGGTGCAAAATGTGCTTGGCACTCTGCCAATTTCGAACCCTGCACCTGTACAGCTTAAAATGTTAACATGTTACCTGCTTTATTGCATTTGTATCCCATGTTTCCTCTAATGCAGGCATGTCCAAAGTCCGTTTTGGGGGCCTAATTCGGCCCCCTGGTCAGTTTAATCCTAAAAAAAGCTCAACAACTTTGGTCAGCCTTCACACATGTTCACTTCATCAAATGTGGCCCTTTTTGAAAATAGTTTGGACACCCCTGCTCTAATGAGTTCAAGGCAGCGTACGTCATCATCATCATCTGTGATAGGACTCAAGGTGGCTTACAATAATTGCTAAAAGCATATGAAACAAATCATTAAAAAGAAATTAAACATAAAATTATGTACATTATTATATATCTTTTTCCCTCTCCCTCCCCTTCCACTTCCTTTTTCATCCTCATGACAGCCCTCGTTAAGTTCGCTTAGGCAGAGAGTTGACAGTTGGCCCTGTGAGATGGTGACTGGCCCAAGGGAATCAAGTGAGATTCGCAGCTGAGGAGTGATCCCACTCTGGATCTCCCCAGTCTTAATCCAGCATTCTGTAGTCACTGCACCACACCTCTTTCAACTGTATAGCTTTGTAGATTTAGCACATCAAATGTGCTTGTGCAGACGCAGACTTGCCACTGGTACATAATTCACATGGTCTGCCATGCCCTCTAGAGCGGATTAGAGGTGGCAACCCTGACTTTGCCCCCTGTAATGTGTGAAATGGCATCCTGTGTCTTTTGCACGCTATTCTGATGAGCATTCCAGTCTCTGCAGCTGAGGTGGCTAACCTTTCCCCCCTCCACCGCGAGGACCGCATTTACCCTTGGCCAACTCAGTGTGGATAATATGGCAGTGTGACCACCCTACTACACTCTTCCACAAGTTCAAGCATGGTGATGCAGACTGGCACACAGCCCTCCCTCCTCCACTGATCCATGCAGATCAGCTGAGGGGGCGAGGGAATCACCACTTTTCTGCTCATTAAATGTTTGATCTGTTTACAGAGGAGGAATTTATGTCACTGGGAGGGCATAGGTCTCTGGGCACCCCACTGCTGTGTCTACTCTACCTGGGGTAGTTGTTGGGTTTTTTTATTTTTTATTTTTATTTTTTAAAAATGATATTTATTAAGGTTTCAAAAAAAGGATACATAAAAATAAAAAAAATAAAAATACAAAATACAAAAAAAAACACACAATTAAAAACAATTCCATCTTTTCATCACTTCTCTTTCATTTACTTGTTTCCCGGACCTCCTCATACCTCCCTTTTTTGTATTCCAGTTCAATTTATTAGTCCAGCAATTCCTTTCCCTCCTTTTTAATCCTGATCTTTAATCTTCATATGTTGGGTTTTTTTATTTTGCCACTGCTGCCAAAATGGCAGGGAGGGAGTTGTGGGGTGGGAATCAGGCCCCTAATCTGGAGGACAGCCTCTCCTGCTTTAAAGAATACGGAGTACACTTTTGTTCTGTTCCACCAGGTTCCGTCTCCATGCCGCAAATGTTGGCTCAAAGTTTGTGCAGTCTCTGAGTCTTGCCACTCTGAATGCAACTGTAAGAGACGAGAGCACAAATAAATGATTGCTTGTGTCTGCATGCCTTGGTGTGTTGAGAGCCTTTTCAGCTGACATTACTGCTCCTTCCATCTCTACACACACACACACACACACACACACACACACGTGTTTTTCACAGTCAAAGCTGGCATAGTCTGTTGGGGTGAAGCCTTAGTTGCCACGGAGACTGTCTTGCACTTTGTGCATCCAGGAGGGGCGAGGGAAGAGGAGAGAGAAAGGAGGAGACGCTGGTGTGTGTTTTGACTGTGAAGTGGAGGAAATGAGATTCTCTTGGCATGTGGGGGTAAAGGATGCCAAAGATCCGAGTAATTTAGAATAGAGTGGGAGGGGTAGGTCCATGGAAAGGAAGCCAGTTGCTTACTTGGCAGAGGTGAGATTCCACTATTTCCAGAATCCTTGTACAGTCATACCTCATGTTACTTTTCTTCAGGTTGAGCATTTTCAGGTTGCGTCCCGCGGTGACCCAGAAGTACCAGAAAGGGTTACTTCTGGGTTTTGCCGCATGCGCAGACGCGCAAAATGGCATCACGCGCAGACGCGGCGAATCACAACCCGTGCTCACGCAGATGTGCAGACGCGGGTTGCATTCTGTTTATGTTGCAAACGGGCCTCCGGAACAGATCCCGTTCGCAACCAGAGGTACCACTGTACTTGCAGGAACCTGGCCTTCCACTTCAGAGTTTGTCTTGGGGACCAACTCAAGGCATTTTGGTGTCGGAGGCAGGAAATCAAAATGGCAACCGCCAGCTCTAATTCATATGGGGAATAATCTACCGGGCAGTTCTCCCAAGCAAGTCTCATTGGCACCAATGGGAGATGGGCAGAGAATGAAATCACCACAAGGCTTCCTCTGTGCTCACCTTAACCAGGAGATTGGGAAAATGACTTGTGAATATGTTTGCCATTATACTTAAAAGATTCTTTGTGAACCTCCTGCTGCAAAGGTGGAGAAGTAGGCTCTATCCCGTCGCTGTCAAATGCCTGTGAGTGTGCCTTGATTGGCTAGCTTTTTAAATGGGGAGGCAAAGCACACTGATCCCGTCTGTTAAATATTCAGTAGGAAAGCAAGAGGCGTCCCTGCATGGGAAATATCTTGGCTGCTGCACAAATAAGCTAAGGATAGGACGCTTGCTGTCAGTCATTGGCCTGGTCCTCTTGTGACAATGAGATGCTGTAGCAGCTGCGGAGTCAAGGTATGTATTTGGCAACCCTGCTACTCAATGGTTTGTGCTCAATAATGATTTGATGTTAAGGAAAAGCTGGGTGTAGTTATTGATGGTGGCTGGTCATTAGGTCCCAGTGAGAACTGTAAAATGACACCTTGTCTTCTGGAGTTGTTGGCTCAGCGTGGTTCTATCTTTGTTCAGGAATTCTTGCCTGCATAATCAAAAGCTTGGAGTCTTCATCAGGGTACTACTGCCTTCTTTCATATGCTGGAAACTAGACTGGAAAGAAATCTCATTTGCCTGGTTACCTGGGTTCAGTTCATACATAGTATCAAGCCATGACTCCTTCATCCTGGGCTGTGTTCAGAAAGTGGTGTTGGGGATGAGTGTTCCAACCCCTTGGCTCTCACTTGTGGGGTGCCTTGGGGCTCCGTCCTCTCCCCCATGCTTTTTTCTATATCAAGCTGCTGGGAGAGATCACCAGTATGGGCTCGGTGTTCACCAGTATGCGGATGATACCCAGCTCTACTTCTCTTTTAAATCAGAACCAGTGAAGGCGGTGAATGTCCTATTTGAGTGTCTGGAGGCTGTTGGAAGATGGATGACAGTTAATGGATTGAGGTTGGATCCCAACAATACAGAAGTGCTGTTTTGGGGAGACGGGGTGGGTGGGTGTGAGAGACTCTCTGGTCCTGGATGGAGTAACTGTGCCCCTGAAGGACCAAGTGTGCAGCCCTGGAGTCATTTTGGACTCACAGCTGTTCATGGAGGCAGAAGGTCAATTCTGTGTCCAGGGCAGCTGTCTACCAGCTTCATTCGGTACACTGGCTGAGACCCTTCTTGCCAGAGTGCCCTGGTTATCTCCTGCTTGGACTACTGCAATGCACTCTACGTGGGGCTACCTTTGAAGGTGACTCAGAAACTACAACTAATCCAGAATGCAGAAGCTAGAGTGTTGACTGGGAGTGGCCACCAGGTCCATATTACAATGGTCCTAAAGGATCTACTCTGGCTCCCGGTAAGTTTCCGAGCACAATTCAAAGTGTTGGTGCTGACCTAAATGTCCTTGGCCCTATGTACCTGAAGGAGCGTCCCACCTCATCTTTCAGTCCGGACACCAAGCTCCAACTCCGATGGCCTCCTGATGGTTCCCTCACAGCGAGAAGTGAAGTCACCAGACAGGGGACCTTCTCCGTAGTGGCACCTGCCCTGTGGAATGCCCTCCTGTCAGATGTCAAGGAAATAAATAACTATACAACTTTTAGAAGACATCTGAAGTCAGCCCTGTATCAGAAAGTTTTTAATGTTCAATGTTTTATTATGTTTTTATATGTTGGAAGCTGCCCCAGAGTGGCTGTGGCAACCCAGCCAGATGGGTGGGGTATTATTATTAATAATGTTGTTGTTGTTGTTGTTGTTGTAACTATGGAAGATTTAGATTTGTTTTGTTATCTCATCCAACTTCCAAGGAACTCCTGGAGACCTACCTCTTTCTCTTTCTCCTCCATTTTATCCTCTCAACAATTCTGTGAGGCAGGTTAGGCTAAGAAATAAGGACTGACCAAAGATCGTATACTGGCATAATGTCATCTTAAAAAACAATGGCTTGTTTTCAGCCAGCAAACCAGAATATGGAAACATGGTTTGAAATGTATTTGCAAGCCATGGTTTGATGTGGTATCTGAATAATAGTAGTCATTGCTCCACCTCTAGAGGAACAGAAATACTGAGCAGATGGAAGACGAAAGCTGACATTCATCGTACCTGAGACTTCCGGGGTGGCGCCACCGGCAATGGCGGACTCCCTCTGAACTGGAGGGACTAGCTCCACGGAAAACGGGTCTTCTCCGCTACAGCGAAGCGGGGACCCACTTAAAAATCACAGGCGGATGAAGCCTGTGACCATGGGACTCGGCGGGCACCTTTAGCGCGCCCCCCAACCCGCTAAGGAACCCACTAACGGGCTCCGAAGTGAAGAGGGGGAAGTGGTGCTGTGAGTCAACTGCTATTTCCGTGGAGCGAAGCCGCATAGCTGTTGCCGGAGAGCGCTGCCTTTTTCCTGGGACAATTTGGACTTTAAAATAAGCACCCGTGAGTACTTAGACTTTGAACAATTGGACATCAAATAAGGACTTGCGAGTAGGAAAGAATCGGACTTTAAAAATTTACTTGAATTTGGTACGGAATGGGAAGGTCTAAACAGGAAGTCACCCTTCCGTTCTTTTGTAAACAGAATAAAGCAAAGGCAATTTAAACTAGAGCTCAGGAAATCGCCTTTAAAAGATTGGATTTCACCATTTAAAATTGTGGAACCCCCCTTCGACAGCAGGAGAAGGGGGGGATCTTTTTGGACTGTTTCAAGTGACTTTAAAGTGAAATAACTTTCCTCCGTCCTGATCCTGGAGCGGGCTGTCAGGACTGACGTGTGAAGTTCATTAACCAAAGACAAGTGTTTTTGACAGATGGCTAAAAGAAGAGAAACCTAGTGATTCCACTGTTCCCTTTTACATTTTAAAGGATTATATATGGACAAAGTATCTTAAAAAAGGAAACTTTGTTGCAAGAATAAATAGAAGTCTTCCCCCTAGGGGGAGTCTGTGAAATTGTAACTGTGAAACTGTAACTAACTCCAGGGAGTCGACAGCTGTTACAGATTACAACCGTGGGAACAAGTATCTGACCTTGTAGGACAATGTATTCAGAAGCCTTGTTGTATGCTCTCTATAAAACAAACGATCTACTGGAACAGTTACACGAGAAGGTGAATTGGATGGCGACTTCGACTAGAAATTTTGAACAGGCAGTGGGAAACTTTGAACAGACAGTGGGAAAATATGTGGAGCCCACTCAGGATTTAAATCAGGAGTGTGTCTTGACAGAACAGGAGTTTTTGACATTAAATCAGGAGTGTGTTTTGACAGAACAGGCCCAACAGGAATATGATTGTTTGGATTTGACAAATGAACTTGGAAAAAGCCATATCTGGAAAGGAAAAGTTTGGCTCGGTTTGGAAATGGGGGGCTGGATTGACCCCCCTATGCTGGGATGTTTGGACTTTTCAAATATGGCAACGGGCCGTGAGATGTTTGGGACTGTGGGGGCTCTCAATTTTGGAGGGCCTTTGAAACATGCTTTTAAATACTACATGGAATTCATTGTTGAACATGGGAAAGGGGCTGATCTGTTGAGAAGGGTTAAAAACATTGTCAAGCTGGAGTTACCACGAGCAGGAGACAAGGGAAAATACAGTTACAAATATGAAGAAGAGCCGCGGAAGGGTCATGGAAGAGACTTGAGGGCCTTGGACATAAGGTTGCCAGGTTAATGGGCTAGATTGACGGGAATAAGGACTGACAAAACCCGGAACCAGGAGGAAGGGACGCTGGATGAAGATTGGATCTGTTTATACCTCTTTTTTCAACCATTAGAACTGTTTTATAAAATTGATGAATGATAGAAGAATGTTGGAATGAAATTACTTGGCTTTAGCAAAGATGTTTAAAGAATTATGAAAGAATATTATGATTATGAGAAGTTGGTAAGGATAAGATTTAAGTTTTAAGTTTTAAGGTTTATTTTATTATAGAAAGATAAGGTCAAGGATTTGCTGGGATAATTAATAACTAGGATACAAAGAAAGGGAGGAGGAGGAGGTCTAAGAAAGAAGGTAATGACAGTTAAGGATTTGAAAATAATGAATTTGTTTTTAAATGTTTTTAAAGTTTTGTGATTTTTGCATTCTTCTTTTTTTCTTTTTTTCTGTCATTTTTTCTCATTTGGAATTTTTTTGTATATGGTGGGAAGGGGTTGGGGTTTTTTTTCCTTTCTTTTTCTATTTTGTCAGTTATTTTTATCTTTTGTACTCTCTTCCGCTTCTATTTTATTTTTTCTCTTTTTTGTAACATTTTGAAAATCTCAATAAATATCTTTAAAAAAAAAAAGACATTCATCATACCTGTTGCATGTTTGGATGCTGTGATTTGAGTTTTAAAAGACAATTGTGTGACTCTTAGTTTGACATGCTGCTCAAGTTGAACCCTATGGGCTTTGACACATTTTTAAAAAAAATATGCTGTAGTGTTGGTTCCAAGGAATTTGAGATTGTTTTTCCAGCCCTTCTGGGTTGCTTATCTATTTACCTTTCCGGTCTTGCTGTGCTAGATTGCCCAAAGCGCTGAGCTTTCCTTCATTTTATATTGGGGCGGGTAAGATCCCATTCATAGTCCCTTGCAATACTTGTTCCAATTAAGATGATGATGAAAGACGCTCCTGTATTTGAGTGTGTGTGTAAGCAAATGGGGAGTGGAAAACAAGGATCTGCAACTGGCCAATAATCGCCATATTTCTTCCACGTTTATATGAGTCAAGGGTGGGGAACTTTTCTTTCTCTCAAGGGGTGCATTCCTGGACGGTGGGATAATTTGGCACCAATTTGGGCAGGAGCAAAGCCAGTGATAGGTGGTGCCAGAGCCAAAAGTGGATGGGCCCACCAGCTTGTCTCTCTTTCTTCCATCCCCTTTTCTGCCTCTATGCACACCCTCACATGTCTGTCTTAGTCCTCTGCCCAGCAGGCTGCCAGAAGGAGGACAGATTGCTCTTGCCAGAGCTCTGAACTGATCTCTTACAGAGGGCTTCCTTCCTCCCCTCGCCACCGCCCCATTCCTTCCCGTGTTCCCTCTGTTTTTGTCTTTCCTTCTGCCTTTCCTGAAAATAGACTGAGGGCCACACAGAGCCCTTGGGCTGTAATTTTCCTGTCCCTGATATTACTGCTGAAAGATCCGGTTAATTCTCCCCACCCCTGTCTAGCAGAGAAATTGACTTTTTCGTTGATGGAGATCTAGTGTTGCAGCAGGAACCCATGAAGTAATATACTGGTGAAATAATAGGAAAACTGATCTAGCAAGTTGCCCACCTGTAGACCTGTCATTTAAATGCATCTGTTGCTGCTAATTATAGTTTGGAGAGTGTGTGTGTGATGGAGGAGAGAGAGGCCTCGTGAAATGGTCCCCAAATTTCAACGGGAACACAGTGTTTGAAGAGCTCAGGTGCTATTTATAACTGTTGAGACCTTGGCACTCTTTCAGAAAGCACCTGCCTTCCTTCTCCCCTGCTATTCAGCTAGCACTGTCAAGGCGCTTCTTCAGCCCAAAGCTCACCTGAGCTGAAAAGGTGGTCTTGTAACTGAGACCTCCAAGTGACCTAAGTATGTAATAGGAGATTGCCTTGTCTTGCTTCTACCACTACAGTTCTTTTGGTGAACTTCCCCAGATCTGCTGGGGTTCAGTGGCAACTTAGCCAAAGGGGGGGCAAGGTGACAAGATTGTGGGATCCTCTCTAGTCATGTTAGCATGCTGCTTCTGTAGACATCAGCGTTCTGTGATCCATTCTTTCCAACAGCCTCATTTGTATGAGGATCTTTGCCTTGTGGCTGCAGTGTCTGTGCTTTGCTTAACATTTTGTATGAAGCCCTAGGGGGTCCATCTCACGGTAGTCCGTATGGCTTGTGCCTTGGTTGCCGTCTGGTAGTGGACACTCAACTTCCTGCATGGGGGAACATAAACAATGATCTTTGTCTTAGAAATACAAATACAACCATGGTTTCCCAAGTGTACACTGAGACTGTTGTGGGATTCTTGGAGTAAGGCCTTGAGTTTCTGAGAGCCATAGTCCTGGTTAGTGGAGCTGAGGTGGAACAGAACAAGGATTGGTATGGAGAAGCTGGCTTCAGGAAGCTTTATCAAACTGCTGCTCAGGTGTGCAGCCACCTCTCAGATCTGAGTACAGTGGTACCTCAGGTTACAGACGCTTCAGCTTACAGACGCTTCAGCTTACAGATTCCGCTAACCCAGAAATAGTACCTTGGGTTAAGAACTTTGCTTCAGCATGAGAACAGAAATTGGCGAGGCAGCAGTGGGAGGCCCATTAGCTAAAGTGGTGCTTCAGGTTAAGAACAGTTTCCGGTTAAGAAAGGACCTCCAGAACGAATTAAGTTCTTAACCTGAGGTACCACTGTATACTTTTACTATGAGAATTTTTTATAAAGCAGCATATAAGCATAACAAATCCAGGAATATAACCCTGTCCAAGAGTAAAGGGGTGGGTGTTTGGTGGGGATGGGGAAATTGTGGCCTTCTAGATGTTGCCAGACTCCCAACTCTGTCAGTACCACTTGTGGTCCAACAAGAGCTGGAGGGTGACTGTTTTCTCATCCCTGGTGTAGAGGATGGCTCTGTATCCGAAAGTCATACTCCTGATACCAACTACTATGCCCTGAGCAAAATCCACTTCCAAAATTGTGTAAGGACTGCCTTTCACCTACCCAGGCCCTGCCCCACTGCCTGTCCTCTCAAAGGTGAGCAAGGTAGCCCTGGTGCGCTTTAGGTCTGTCTGAGCCAGGGTGGATTTGATTTAAATCAAATCAATTTAAACCACTAGTCAGTAAAACTTGATTGAAATCATTTTTATTTATTTTTTTACAGAAAGTCATTCCTGCTGGTATATTCTTAATATTTACAACCAGATGAAGGTTTCATTTTTTGGAATAATAAATTTTCAGAGCAGTTTTTACAGTTATAACAAAAATTACTGATTTGGTTATACTATTAGAAATACATAGACATATAATTATGAAATTATTGTGAGGTTTAATAAGTTAACTGTTTATATTTGGACAACTTTTCTGCTGTACTTTATTGGAAGGAGAAAAATAATCATTTCCTTAATAACAATTTAAACAATTTATTTAACTAAAACAATAACATTATGGCATATGTATCCATGTTTGTTAACTGATGTGGTTAAACATTTTTTAAAAAAAACAAACACACACACACACCTCAGCACACATGAAAAACTTAAAACAAATCCTTATTTCCTGATGGCCTTTGGACTATAATGTAACTTAATAAATAGAAAAGTATCTTTAGGAAGATATTTTCCTCCAAAAGCATTTTATTTTAAAAATCCAATAAAAATTTTAAAAAATGATTTTTTAAAAATCGATTTAAAAAAATCCTATTTCTTTGATATATATTTTAAAAAATCATTGATTTTTATCCACCCTGGCCTGAAAAACTCTTCCTGAATCAGCTGCTGGATTGCTCATGATAGTGCCAGCAGCCCTTGGGGCAGGAGAAAGACAGGATGTTCGTCATGGCCATTTGGTAAATGGATCCTGTGATTATGGGCTCATCTCTTCCCAATCCCCTCAGTCAATAAGTATGCTGTATAATATACAGTGTATATCCATGCACTGTTGGAGCAAGAGTAGCCAATGAGAGCTACTTCTGGTGCTAAATGCTCCTGATCAGGATCTGTCGCTTCTGTTTCCACTATCATTATCAGCTACTTCTACTGTCATTCCCAGAAAGTACCCTAGGAGGAGATGACTTAAGTGAATTTTTGAAAAGAGCCTTTGATCTTGAAAATTTTGAAAGAAATTTTTAAGTGCCGCAGAAAAAAGCTGACGAGGACCTGCTCCCTGGTCCTTCCTTTCATCTTCTTGATGGCTTCTCCAGCCATTTTTATCAACAGTGGTGTGAAATGCCCTGGTCCTGAGGTTCCGCGTCTAGGCTCTAGATGTTTTGTTTTCTAAGTGAGATTCTAATTAGGATCATAAGAGGCTGCCTTATTCTGAATCAGACCCTTGGCCTATCAAACTTGGCCCAGTATTGTCTACACACTGACTGGCTAGAGATGTGTATGGTTTCAGATGGAGAATTTCTCCCAGCCGTACTGGGACCTTCAGAAGCAGAGGCCACTGAGCTATAGCCCATTCCCCCAGAGGGGGGAAAAACCCACAATTCTTCATCTTACTATTTATGTAGTGTCATGGGTACTACATAAGAGTGATAAAGAAACAGGTTCCTGCCTTGAGGAGTTTGCAGTCCAAAATTCAAAACAGGGGAAAGCTACAGAATGCGAGAAGGAAGAGGAGTTCATTAAAAGTTCAAGCTAACAAGTTTGGTTTAGGTAGGGTTGCCATATTCCCCGAACTTTTTACCGATTTTGCAAAAATCTGCCCGAATGCCAAAATGCTGCCCAATTCCAGGACATGTCCGGGAAAATCTTGGACAAATGTTAGCCCTAGTTAGGGCCAAAGAAGGTGATGGAAATTCTTGGAACTGAATCTCCCATGCAATAATTCTTTTAAGTTTCAAAGAACTAGTTTGGGGAGGAGGGTTAGCAACATGAGTTTTCCTGATCTAAATCAACCTTCAGCTGCTTTGAACTGTAAAGCAAAGCAAAGCTGGATCTCCCATCACAGTTAGAAGGGGATGCAGACTTGGGTTGGGGGAAGGAGGTTGTGCAAAAAGATTCATGGGAGCAGTGGGTTTTTTGGCGGGATTTGTAGGAGGAGATGGAGTCAGCCTCGCAAAGGACATATGGGAGGGAAAGCTTCTTTGAGTTCCATCAGGGAAAATAGTAGTAGTAGTAATAATAATAATAATAATAATAATAATAATAATAATAAATTGGCGGTTGGAGGATGGATGGCGGCTAACAGATTGAGGTTGAATCCTGACAAGACAGAAGTACCATTTTTGGGGGACAGGAGTCGGGCAGGTGTGGAGGATTCCCTGGTCCTGAATGGGGTAACTGTGCCCCTGAAGGACCAGGTGCGCAGCCTGTGAGTCATTTTGGACTCACAGCTGTCCATGGAGGCACCGGTCAAATATGTGTCCAGGGCAGCTGTTTACCAGCTCCATCTGGTACGTAGGCTGAGATCCTATCTGTCTGCGGACTGTCTCGCCAGAGTGGTGCATGCTCTGGTTATCTCCCGCTTGGACTACTGCAATGCGCTCTATGTGGGGCTACCTTTGAAGGTGACCCGGAAACTACAACTAATCCAGAACGTGGCAGCTAGACTGGTGACTGGGAGCAGCCGCCGAGACCATATAACACCGGTCTTGAAAGACCTACATTGGCTCCCAGTACGTTTCCAAGCACAATTCAAAGTGTTGGTGCTGACCTTGAAAGCCCTAAATGGCCTCAAAGGCCCAGTATCCCTGAAGGAGCATCTCCACCCCCATCGTTCTGCCCGGACACTGAGGTCCAGCTCCGAGGGTCTTCTAGCGGTTCCCTCACTGCAAGAAGCCAAGTTACAGGGAACCAGGCAGAGGGCCTTCTCAGTAGTGGCGCCCTCCCTGTGGAACTCCCTCCCACCAGATGTCAAAGAGAACAACAACTACCAGACTTTTAGAAGACATCTGAAGGCAGCCCTGTTTAGGGAAGCTTTTAATGTTTGATGTATTACAGTCGGTGGAAGAAGATTGGAAGAAATTTAAAGATTATTTACGGAAACATTGCAAAATCAATGAATGTTAGAGTGATGTTGGATTGAAGTTAAGTGGCTTCTAGCTGAATAGGTTTTAAGGCTACAAATGTATCAAGATTAAGGACTAGGACCAAAAAGATTAAGAGAAATGGAAAAATTGGTTTAAACAGGTAAAAATCTAATGTCATAATATATCAAGATTTAGGACTGGAATTAAAAAGGAGGGTAAGAAATTGCTGGGTTTACAAACTGAAATGGAATACAAAAGAGGGAGGTATGAGGAAGTCCGGGAAATAAGTAAATTTAAAAGAGGTTATGAAAGGACGGAATTATTTTTAATTGTTTTTTGTTTTTTGTTTTTTGTGTTTTTTTACTTTTTTCTATTCTGTACTTTGTATTTTGTATGGTGTATTTTTCTTTGTTTTTGTTAAAATTTTTGTGTTTATCAATGTGATTTTATTTTTTCTGAAACTTTAATAAATATTAATTAAAACAAATTAATGTTTGATGTATTACAGTATTTTAATATTTTTTGGAGGCCGCCCAGAGTGGCTGGGAAAGCCCAGCCAGATGGGCGGGTTATAAATAATAACAATAATTTATTATTATTATTATTATTATTATTATTATGGTTTAAAGCAGAAAAGAAAGCAAATGCTGACTCACAAAGAAATGTTGCTTTTTTTCCCCTTTTCCTTGATTTTGAGAAGTATATAATCCGTACCCACTCCCAAACATTGGTCTGCATGATGCTCCCAGTTCCATGGCTGATATACCAGTAATCTGGTCATTGTCTGTAGCTCTTGTTGATAGGATTTAGTGCCATTGTTCTTGGCATTTGCTGTTTCTATTGAGCAACTTTATTGATGATGTAGTAGAGCTTTTATCTTGGCGATAAAAGCCTTGGCACGACTTCAGTGCAAAGAATCAAGACTTTTCTGAAGCCTTTGGTCTTGATTGGCTAAATAAAAGCAGCGCCCTGGGGAGTCGCTGTGGAATGGCTACAAATGACCAAAACCTCCTTTATTGGGTGCCCTGTTTTGTGAGTAAGCCTGAAAGCAAATCTTTGTGAAAACAGAGATGCGATGCTGTGTTTTCCTGAGCTTTAAGCCAATATATCTACTTCAGGACCGAACAATTCATTCAGCAAAAGAAGTTCACACTGAAACTATATTGTGAGCTGGAGGTCAGAAGGTAACCTGTGCATTCTGATAAGATGTCAGTGGCACAGCCAGATTTGAAATTCTGTACAGTTTTGGTCACTTCCAATTGAATTCAATTTGGGTGACCCAAATAATCAAGAAGTTGAGCACCTTCCTCCACAAGTAAGAGATAAATCATTTGGAGCTTCTTAGCTTGGGGTGAGGAATAGCCAAAGTGGTGTGTGTGTGTGTGTGTGTGTGTGTGTGTGTGTGTGTGTAAAGGTAAAGGGACCCCTGACCATTAGGTCCAGTCGTGACCGACTCTGGGGTTCATCTTGCTTTATTGGCTGAGGGAGCCGGTGTACAGCTTCTGGGTCATGTGGCCAGCATGACTAAGCCACTTCTGGCAAACCATAGCAGCGCATGGAAATGCCATTTGCCTTCCCGCTGGAGTGGTACCTATTTCTCTACTTGCACTTTGACGTGCTTTCAAACTGCTAGGTTGGCAGGAGCAGGGACCAAGCAATGGGAGCTCACCCCGTTGCGGGGATTCGAACCGCTGACCTTCTGATCGGCAAGTCCTAGGCTCTGTGGTTTAACCCACAGCGCCACCCGCGTCTGTGTGTGTGTGTGGCATTGTACAAAGCATTATACCTCTTACAAAGGAAAGAGTTGCATCCGAAGCTCTGCCCACTCTTCCCTCTGGCCCTGCCCACCGCTAGAATTAGAATGTGGACCCTGGTAGGTTGTCCACAACAGAACATGGCCCACAGCCTGGAAAATGTTCTCCACTCCTGATTTAGTACATTTATATGACACCTCTCTTCATGAAACTCGAGCCAGTTTGCATGGGGGTTTCCAGACCCTCTCGTATGAGCACTGACCAGACCTAGGCCTTCTTGGCTTCAACAGGGTTTGTGTACCATCCATGTGTCTCAAGACCACCACCACCACAACAACAAGAAAATACATCATGTGGAGAATATCAGCATAACACTTTTTCTCTCTGTCAAACTTCTAGCCTTGAAGGCCACCCAATGAAACCAACAGATAGTAGTAGATTCAGGACACACAAAGTACAGTATTACTTCGCACAATGCCTCCAGATGGGATGATGTCTACAGGCTTAAATGATCCCAAAATGGAATTTGACAGTTTCAGGAAGGATAAGCCCATTCATCTCAATGGGGCTTCTTCGGGAGAACTTTTCCAGCGGATTGCATTGGACAGAAATCTTGTTATTCACGTAGGCTTTTAAATATTGCTGTCTGGCCTTTTATCTGCTGGCCTCATGTTTTATTTGTGGTTTTATATATATGGATTTGTTTTTTAACCTTTTAAAACTGCCCTGGAATCAATTTTGATGAAGTTCGTTATCAACAATGTTTTAGATTAATGCATTTTGCTCTGTAACTGACAGATCCGGACTTTACGCCTTATTGCAGTCATTTAACAAAAATTTAAATGGTTTGTTGAATGGTTTGTTCTGCAGCCATGGAGAATAGGTATTTCTGCTTATGCTCTGATTTTTCAATAATCTTCCCAGACTGCACAATGGGTACTTGTTCCAGGACTAAGCACTTCCTCCTTCCAACTTAGTCCCAAGGTGAATCTGAATTAAAAAAGTAGGCTGCATCTGAATAGATATTGGATTAGATCAAGACCCTGAGTCTCTTAGTTTGCCTGCTGTCTAGAATGCAAAGGGATTAGAGTGCAGGAAGTGGACTGCTCCTTTTAATGAAGGCATCAATCACGTCAGCTGCTGCTGCTGTCAAATTCTTCACCAGTTCTGGTGCTGTAGCCATAGAGCAGTCATGTCCAACCGGTAGATCGCTGTGTGTCCCTGGTCGATCGCAGGATCCTGATTGATCGGCCCCTACCCAAAAGTTCAACAATTCTGGGTAGATCACTGCTTGCTAGTGTGTGTGTGTGTGTGTGTGTGTGTGTGTGTGTGTAGTGGGAGTAGATCGCAGTCTCTTGGAAGTTGGACGTGCCTGCCATAGAGGAACCAATGCACGGTTCATAACATTTCATAGAATTTTCTTAAACATAGGGTTGGAATGGCCCACAAGGGTAATCTAGCCATGCAGGAATCTTTTGCCCCAAGTGGGGCTCAAACCCATGACCCTAAGTGTTAAGTTGTGGGTGAACATATCAGACGACACAGCGATTCTCCAAACAGCTCTTGTTTATTCACAGGTCAGAACAGAACTGAACTGAAGGGTTCAGCCAACCTACTTAGATAGAGCTCAACTACAAAGCAACAGTAACAACTTTCTGTAACTATCCAATCACTGAACGTCGCTTTCGATGCCTTATTTGCATATGTGGACCTGAACTATCTACAGTATCCCCCTGCTGGCCCAGGGTGAGAACTTCAGTACATAACACTAAGAGTTCCTCTGATACTATTCAGGTGGAAGAGGTGGTGATGGCTGCATTGTTTGCCCTTTGTATATGCTGTCCCCTTGTGTCATCGTATCCTAGCTGGCATGTAGAAACTCTTGCTGATACCTGGGACTGGGGTGGGGGGGGACAGCCAGACCTGGTGTGCATGTTCCTGCAGCAACTTTACTACAGTTGGGTGAGATCCAGTTAGGCTGGCCGTGTTTCTTGGATTGCAAGATGAGGGCCGGCCAAAGGAGTGCCTTGCAACGTGAACAGAAAGGTTTAGCAGGTCTATTCTTTCCCTTTAAGTCCCCTTCACTTCTGCAGCAGCTGCCTTGCCTTGGATTGACGCCTGAACTTCTCGCCTTTCTGTGCCACTCCAACCTACTTGCCTCCTAAAAATAATACATGGTGGCAGCGGTGGCTTGGCAAGGGCACCGCACAGCAAATGCCAGCTTCCAAGGGTGACTCTGAATGTCCTTCTGTTTTGATGCCCCTTGCAAATGAGCAGCGTCTTCAAACAGAAAAGCTGGGGATTTCTGGATGGCCAACTTGCCAAGCAGCTTTCAAAGAAGGCAGGGTTCTGCAGAGCCCTTCAGAGGAGAGGCATGCATAATATGAGGATGCGTGCCTCACTGGTGTCCCTTCTCTCTTTCTGTAAAACCCTCCCACATGACATGGCCTGGCTCCAAAAGCCCTCTAGAAAAACAAGCTTTGCAAAGGCACAAACGAACCGAGGCAGCCAGCCCTGTGCCTGTGACGCTGTGTCCTGAGCCTCCTTCGTTCTGCTAAAAGTCCAGGCATTTCAAGTTTCTGCAGATAAAATGGGTTATGACTTCATCAGGGCTGGGATAAAATATTCTTAGGAGCTGGCATCGGATCTCGTGTGGGTGGCTGCATTTCTTCCAGCCCTGGGCTTTCACGATTTAGGTCTCTGTGTAGGAAGCTGGATTCTAGAGTCATCATTTGACAGGTTTCTGGAATTCCTGGTTTCAACCTTTAATTTTAGTTTTTGGTGGCTTAGATGCATTTAACTGCAAGATGTGTGTGTGTTTTGTTTTTGCCAACCTCCTCAGTGGAAGCATTTCCTTTTGTATTGTATTTTACTGTGTCGTCCCCTACTTAGGCTCCCCACTCTAAATACAGTGGTACCTCGGGTTACAGACGCTGCAGGTTACATACGCTTCAGGTTACAGACTCCACTAACCCAGAAACAGTACCTCAGATTAAGAACTTTGCTTCAGCATGAGAACAGAAATCGTGCTCCAGCGGCACGGCAGCAGCAGGAGGCCCCATTAGCTAAAGTGGTGCTTCAGGTTAAGAACGGACCTCCGGAGCGAATTAAGTACTTAACCCGAGGTACCACTGTACTTTAATTTGAGGCTCTCCTTCTGTTACGCTGTTTGATTTTTACATTTTACATTCCATTAGGTCAAATGCAGGTTTGTTTCATTCAACATTTAAAAAAATGTACTACTCAATAAAACAGCCAGTATATAATTTATTCCTTAGATTTGGACCTTTCCCTTCTCCCATTGGGTGAGTTGGGGTGGGTGGGCAGTTCCCAGAGTTTTCTAAGCACTGTTCAGAAGACCTACTTTGCTCTCAATCTTAGATTTTCTCCTTGTCGTATTTCGTTGTCATTCTCCAAATAGCAGAATATCTGCTGAGTATTAGATATTTTTGTGAGTTATATGTCGGGATATCTGGTAATTGGCATTATTTATTACCTGTTATTCATTACATTTATTAGTCAATTTTATTTGTACAAAATGTGACCCAGAGTGACTTACAAAATAATGCAGACGTTAAAACCAAATATGCAATTACCATTTAGCATTTGATAAGTGGAAGGTGCTAGCAGATTTAAACTGAGCTTTCATAACTCCAGTGTCACAGTAAAATTTAACACCCAAAACTTGAAATTCTGGCAAAGTTTTGTTATTTGCTGGATATTTCTTTGTATTCTTCATGATTCCTTTCTTCCTCTGGTAGCTTCCTTTTCTTGCTCTATTAAATACAGTGGTACCTAAGGTTAAGTACTTAATTCGTTCTGGAGGTCCATTCTTAACCTGAAACTGTTCTTAACCTGAAGCACCACTTTAGCTAATGGGGCCTGCCGCCATGCCGCTGGAGCCCGATTTCTGTTCTCATCCTGAAGCAAAGTTCTTAACCCGAGGTACTATTTCTGGGTTAGCAGCGTCTGTAACCTGAAGCGTATGTAACCTGAAGCGTCTGTAACCTGAGGTACCACTGTACACACTTTGGAACCTGGTAAGAAATTGTGGTCTCGGCCCTGCATTGCAACATGCCTTTCACAACTGCGGCGTTGACACACTCAGTTGCCTTGTACTGGGGCAGAGTCAGACCATTGCCCACCTTTCATAGCAGTGTTGATTCTGAGAAGCAGTTGTGGTTCTATGTGCAGAGGCTTTTTGTGAATATTTTAACTGCAGGTGGCAAATACTGAACCTGGGGATCTTCTACAAAGCATATGCTCTGCAGCTGAGCTTTGTCGCCTCTTCTAGCTAAGTTGTCGTTTCATTTGGTGCTAAATACAGGGATTTGAAGTCAGTACCATTGGTTCTCAAACGCCTTGGTACTCAAACAACTTGGAACCCAAACACTGCAAACCCAGAGCTAAGTGTTCTGGTTTGCGAACGTTTTTCGGAAGCCGAACATGCTCCGTTTTGAGTGCCACACTTCAGATTTGAGTGTTACGCTTCTGATTTGAGTGTTACGCTGAGGTCTGTCTGTTTTTTACTATTTATTTTGCGTTTTTGTTTTTGCAGCTCCTCTTTTTTTGGGGGGGGACGGTGTGTAACCCAGTTCAGCTCCTGATTGATTGATTGTGTGACTGCAGTACATTGTTTATTGCTTTCATTTTATGGATCAGTGGTCTCGTTGGATAGTAAAATTTATGTTATATTGGTGTTTTAGGGGTTATTTTTAAAAGTCTGGAATGGATTAATCCATTTTGCATTACTTTCTATGGGAAAGCACGCCTTGGTTTTGCAACACTTTGGTTTTGGAACGGACTTCCGGAACGGATTAAGTTTTGAGAACCAAGGTACCACTGTTGAGCTTGCTTTCAGACCCAGTGCTAAGGGCTGGCAACTACACCTTCTCCTGTGACGAACCATCTTCCATTGGCAAGCTACCATATTTTTCACTCCATAAGACGTACCTGACCATAAGGCGCACCTAGTTTTTAGAGGAGGAATGCAAGAAAAAAAATATTATTTAAAGGGAGCACTGAGCAGAGCCTTTATGCATCCCTGGCTCTGCTCAGCGCTCACTTTCACAAGCCGCGTGGAGTGTGTGTGTGTGTGTGGCTCTTGGGGGCTTTTGCGAGAGGTGGGGGAAGCGAGAGAGCCTCGCTCTGTCCCTTCCCCCACCTCCCGCAAAAGCCAAGGATAGCCGCCAGAAGCCTCCGCAGGCAGAAGCTAAAACAGTGCTCTCTCTAGCTGTTCTAGCTTCTGGGGTAGCCTGTGAAGCCTCTGCAGGGCAGTGGGGAGCCTTCATCGGGCTATCCCAGAGCTGCTCAGGAGCTTATCGGGGCTGGCGGTGGAAGCCCGGGTCCCCCCCCCCAGCCCCAAAGAGCAGCTTCTCCCAGAGCTTTTCGGGGCTGGCGGGGGAAGCCCGGGTCTGTCCGTCCCCCAGCCCCAGGGACCAAACATTCGCCCCATACGACGCACAGACATTTCCCCTTAGTTTTTAAGAGGAAAAAAGTGTGTCTTATGGAGCGAAAAATACGGTACTTTCTCTTACTGTGGCTGGAAATGTTTTTAACAAGGCAAAGTGATATTTAACTTGATGGTTTGTCATGCTTTTGTTTAGTTGCTTTTCATAAAACGTGTTTGAGATACCAGAATAAAATGTGGTATGTTAAGTGTCAAATACCAGCTCAGTCTCTGCATTGGTTTTGAAGGGAGCCAGGAAACGCACAAAATACGCTGTAATGTGGAGTCTTCTTTGTCATTGAACTGACAGTATGAAACTTGATTGCATGTTTTACAACCTAATTTCCTCTAATTCCTGGCGTCTGTTTTTAAGTCAGGGAGAAAAGATGCAGCTACATTGTACTGTGATATACGAGGTGAGACCTCTTGAACTCTGTGTTTGACTTGGCATCTTTCATTTTCTGGGTTGACTTTTGTGTGAGACGTAAAGATTCCTACTGCATGGAGAGGCAGGTGACAAATTCTGTTTGCTTTTTAAAAAGAGGCTTCAATGTGATATGGAGATCCTCAGGTTTTCCTGAGTTAGACCTAGTCTTGGCAATGATTAGTCTGAGGTTGCCCCCAAAAAAGAAGAAAAATGAGAGAGACTTGCAAGTTATCAAACTGTTCTATGTGACCATGGCTGCACAGATGTTATTGGCCCAGAGATGGGAAGAAGATGGAAGTCCCTACCAGAGAAGAATGGCAGATGAAGTTGATGGACTATTCTGAAATGGCTAAAATGACCGGAAGAATCAGAAATCAGGAAGACCAAAATTTTAATAAGGAATGGGGGGGAATTTATAACCTATCTTCAAGACCATTGTAAACAGTTGAAATCGTTAGTAGGATTGGAATATCACTTGTCGTTTAAGAGTGAATTCTGGTTACAATGGAGAGATAAAAGATTTGGATTATTATAAAAGATGCGGGAGGAAATGAGTAAACTAGGACCCACAAAGGGGAGGATGGAATCTTGTTTTTTCTGATATATGTTTGATATATACCTGTAAAATTTCAATTTGAAAACATTTAAAAAATATTATCAAACTCTTCAGTTTCTCATGCAGAAATAGATGTGTGTTTGTTCTGCACCCAGAAACAAACATTTGGGGAGTGGTGGGTGTGAGGTTGTACGCAGTGACCCTGATTGCATGCAGGTTTCAGAGTCTACCTGTTTCCTTCCATCTCTTATCTTTGCATACCACCTTCAGCTTTCAAAGGGATGGGCAGCTGTTATGTACACTGCATTTGTGCCACTCGTCATGCCAAGAACGAATCTCTCATTTAAAATCTACTTTGCTCGGCTCTCTGCGCAAAAGTGGTTTTAGATATAGCCCTTGAATACTTCGCAGCCCTTTCTGGTAGCTTTCCAGCAACATGCAACTGTTCTTTGAAAGACCAGCCCACTCATCAAAGCTTTTGGGTGAGGGACAAGAGAGCTGATTAGTCTTGGGGTTGCCGGAACAATGCAGTCCCATGACTCAGTTGAGGTTGGCCTCATTAGAATTCCTGCTCTGTTTATCCAGCCTGGCGAAGTGCATTCCAGGCCTCGCTGCCTCAACAATGCTTGTAGGTTCATCTCCAAATTGCACCATGCCAACTCTGGCCCCAAGGCACAGAAACGTGTTGACTTGCAGTTGGATCTTAATGTGCAACCCTTTGGAAGGACACTTTGGGCTCTGTCGCTGTAGTGCATCTGTACTGTACCTGATTCTGTGGTTGCCTAGGTTGTTTACGTGCTTCTTTGAAAGTTGATGTGGCATAGTGGCTAATAGGTAGAGGTAAAGGGGACCCCTGACCATTAGGTCCAGTCGTGGCCAACTCTGGGGTTGCGGCGCTCATCTCGCTTTATTGGCCAAGGGAGCTTCCGTCCAGCTTCCGGGTCATGTGGCCAGCATGACTAAGCCGCTTCTGGCGAACCAGAGCAGCACACGGAAATGCCGTTTACCTTCCCGCTGGAGCGGTACCTATTTATCTACTTGTACTTTGATGTGCTTTTGAACTGCTAGGTTGGCAGGAGCTGGAACTGAGCAACAGGAGCTCACCCCATCGCGGGGATTCGAACTGCCAACCTTCTGATCGGCAAGCCCTAGGCTCTGTAGTTTAACCCACAGCACCACCCGCGTCCCACAGAGTGGCTAATAGATGGAGCCAAATACTGGGAAACCCCACCTTTAAACCTTGCTTTTGCCACTAGGTGGCCTTAGGCAAGTCACTCCTTTGACCTCACCCCCATCCCAGCTCTAATGCGGGAATAATACTGACCTCTTTTTAACAAAGCCCTTGTGAGGATAACGAGGAGGAGAGCAGCTTTGGACACACTAAACTGCTGCACAAATATTTATCATCATTATCTTGATCACAGGTTTAGCATTGTTACCTCTGCATAGCTCTGGGCTGAAGCTGAAGCCAGTTCTGACTTGAAAATGGTCACCTATGAACTGTAACAAATCCTCTTCCATATTGCACAAAGATAGTTCTGTGAACTGAAGTTAAATTTTTGAAAAGTTGGCCAGGTTTAGGCATTAGCTGTAGCTTGGTAGAATATTGGAAGCAGCCCAGAGTGGCTGGGGAAACTCAGCCAGATGGGTGGGGTAAGAATAATTTATTATTATTATTATTATTATTATTATTATTACACATTTTGAGAGCCTCAGTCCACGGCATCTTGGGTAGTAGGCCTCCAAATAACTACAGAATTGCATTGGAGAAATTAATTCAGTTAAGGCTATCAGCAGGGAGGTTCACTTGAGTACAGTGGTATCTCGGGTTAAGAACTTAATTCATTCTGGAGGTCCGTTCTTAACCTGAAACTGTTCTTAACCTAAGGTACCACTTTAGCTAATGGGGCATCCTGCTGCCACCGCACAATTTCTGTTCTCATCCTGAAGCAAAGTTCTTAACCCGAGGTACTTTTTCTGAGATAGCGGAGTCTGTAATCTGAAGCGTCTGTAACCTGAGGTACCACTGTACCCAGAAGTGCTGAAAACATTGTGAGCGGGTCCTAGGATTGTGCTGATTTTCCACCTCTAGGCCAGCCACACATTAAGCAGCGCAGTGAAGGAATCCTTATATGTGTAAAAGTGTGTGCTCAACAGGTTCTGGAACTGGCATGCATGTTGCACACTTTCACATGTTTTTTCAGTGTTTGAAAGACTTCCCAGTACAGTAATACCTCCTCGAACGTCCGCCTTGTGTAGCGTCCATTCTGGCGAACGTCCGCAGCAAACCTGGAAGTATCAGAATGGGTTACTTCCGGTTTTGCCACTCCCGCATGCGCAGAAGTTCAAACCACTCCGCGCACAGACGCGGCGCTTTGCTCTGCATTCTTTTTGGCTAGCGGCTGGGGCTCCAGAACGGATCCTGGCCTAAAAACAAGGTACGACTGTATCTTTATAATTTGGACAGGTTGTTGTTCAGACTCATTAGAAGACTGTCCCTTTGGTTGCGTGATCTACCACCTTAGTAAACTTTTTTGGTGTACGGAAAGGAATCGGAAAGGTGGCCAACAGTTTCTATCTGCAGTAGCCCCTTCTTTTCCATTTGTGAGATTAGATGATTGACAGCCTTGTGATTTTTATGCTCTTGTTTGTAGCATGGGTCGATGCTTTGAGGCTGTGGCGGGTGGAGGCGATCCTCTGTTTTGCTGTGTGTGGTGAAATTCAGGCTTGCTTTGAACTTCTCCTACCCTGTTCCCAAGAAAGCATAATGAGTCACACTGTCCTGGCTAATGCGTCCTGACACAATCTGGGAAAATCTCTATCCTCTCTTGTATGTTGATTTAAAAGCTCAGCGCTGACCCCCTAAGATCCTGCAGAGGCCTGATGTACTCCAGCCATTAGACTCCAACTCCCATGTCGTCAGAATCCCTTGTACTCGCTTTCAGGCAGACCCTGCAGTCCCGTCTGAGCATAGGAGAGCGAGGGCTGAGCACTCTTTGCAGCAGTCTCTCCCCAACCCATTTAGAGATCGCCTGTTTCTTCAGCACTGTGTGATAGAGCATGAAACAGACACCAGCTCAGGCAGGGACTACTCCATCATGCAGCAATGAAGGTGAGGGAAATGGGTCTACAGTGGTACCTCGGTTTAAGAACAGCCCTGTTTATGAACGATTCGGGTTACGAAAGTCCGCAAAACCAGAAGTTTACCTCGGTCTATGAACTTTACCTCGGTCTAAGAACAGAAAGTGAACGGTGGAAGGGCACCCGTGGCGGGAGGCCTCATTAGGGAAAGCGCGTTTCGGTTTCAGAACAGACTTCCGGAACGGATTAAGTTCGTAAACCGAGGTAGTGGTACCTCTGGATGCGAACGGGATCCGTTCCGGAGCCCTGTTCACATCCTGAAGCGAAAGTAAGGCGCATCTGCGCATGCGCGGTCGTGTTTCACAGCTTCCGCGCATGCGCATGGTGTCATTTTGATCGTCTGCGCATGCGCGAGCGGCGAAACCCGGAAGTAACGCACTCCGTTAATTCTGGGTCGCCACGGAGCGCAACCCGAAAATATTTAAGCTTGAAGTGTATTCATCCCGAGGTATGACTGTACCTGCTTTTAGGTTTTTTTTAGAAAGACCCAAGGTGGTGGTTATTTTTTGGAAGGCTTCCCCACCCTCATCTTTTTCAGAGGTTAAAGGGATTGGTGTGGGGTGGGCTCCCCAAGAAGGCCTCACCCACCAACTGATGTCACCAGCTGATAAATGGGTGAGCGTGGTTTGGGGGAAATGGCCTCAGCAGCCAAACTGGACCCCCCAAACTGGCCTGTTTAAAGTACCCTAGTTGCAAGCTTCAAGAAAGCCAGCCAGCCAGCCAACTTCTGCAATGAGGAAGAGTTTGTTCCATCGTCCATGTGTGTCATCAACAGTGAAGTGTGTAGGCAGACAGGCAGACACACAGCAAGCTCTCACTCTTCCTCCTTGCCCAGGAACAGTTTTGTTTTTTTAACTGCCTTTTAATGATACAGCACAATTAGCTTTCTAAGGCAGACTGCCTCACCCTGCATAATTGTAAGGCTGGCTTTGCGACAGAGGCTAAGGGAATAGTGGCTTGCTTAAGGTTGTTTAGTGAGTTAAATAGTTGAAATGAAACTTGAATGGGGAGCTTGCGGGGGGGGGGGGAGCTGTTGCTGCATCTCTTGGTAGGTAATATACAGGTTGCATTTGATTGTCATGATAAGCCATGATTTATCATGATGGCAGGAGACCTAGGTAGGCCTCTGGTTTGCGTAGGCTGGATCTAGACACATCAAAAAAGCTTTTCAGGAAAACGCGCTGTAAACCTCATAGTGGGAAATCACATTGGTGAAAGACGGAACTCCACAGCGCCATCTGGTGCCACAGTGTTGTAACACATATAAAACACTTTTTCTTTACTACAGTGGTGCCCCGCAAGACGAATGCCTCGCAAGACGGAAAACTCACTAGACGAAAGGGTTTTCCGTTTTTTGAGCTGCTTTGCAAGACGAAAAACGAAAACGTCTTGCAAGTTTGTTTCCTTTCTCTTAACACCGTTAATACAGTTGCGACTTGACTTCGAGGAGCAACTCACAGAATGCGGTGTGGTAGCCTTTTTGAGGTGTTTGAAGACTTTGGTGATTTTTGAAGCTTTTCCAAAACTTCTTTTAAACTTTTAAAACTTTTTGGGGGTGGGTTGGAGTTTGGGTTGGGGTGTTTGGAATTCAAGGACTTGGTGTTGGGGAGGGGTTTGCAAGAATCTGGAAGCTTGTGTGGTTTTTTTCTGCATTTTTATGATTTTCTGTGACCATTGGGCCACTCTGCTGTTTTTTAAAAAAAAAAATCTGGATTTGAATTTCTGTGTGGTGGGTGGCTGGGGGAACAGTTGAGGAGGGGTTTGCAAGAATCTGGAAGCTTGTGTGGTTTTTTTCTGCATTTTTATGATTTTCTGTGACCATTGGGCCACTCTGCTGTTTTTTAAAAAAATTCTGGATTTGAATTTCTGTGTGGTGGGTGGCTGGGGAACAGTTGAGGAGGGGTTCTTCAGCAAGAAGCAAAGAGTGGAAGAGGAACCTTCTTCGAGTTGTCCCCAGAGTCTTAGAAAATGTACTGTACACTTTGTTGATTTTTAAATGTTTTTCTGTCATGTTTAGAAACTTAATTTATTGTTCCTTCAATTTTTGAAATGCTCTTTACAGTATGTGTGACTTTAAAGAGCACTTAATAAACTCTTGTTGTACCAAATTTGGCTTTGTTTGGACTTTTTTTGACCATAGGAACGCATTAATTGGATTTCAATGCATTCCTATGGGATTTCATGCTTCGCAAGACGAAAAATTCGCTAGACGAAAAAACTCGCGGAACGAATTAATTTCGTCTTGCGAGGCACCACTGTATTGTAGCTGAGTCCATGGTCTGCCCGCCCTAGTTTGACTATGAGCAGGAGATTGGAAGCTTTCACTGCTGTTTTTGACAATTGAGCATTTACACCTAACCCTAAACCATGCTTATTTAAAAATACCATTTGTTTGAAACAAGTAAACTTTATTTCCCATTGCTTGATTTGTTTCAAATGAACGGCAGTTAAAATGAACCACTGTTTTCTGGGTTTGCGTGAAATTGCAAGCTGCACTTAGCATTTGCTTCCATTCTTTTTTATTTTTTACTTCCAAGCTACTCCTTGGAGCCACACCACAGAAGGAAAGCGGAGTGGAGGAATGCATGAACCCAAGGATCATTCTTGTCACAATAAACTAGGGTTTTATCATGACACCTGAATACAGTCATTGAACCAATTCATTTGGATAGATCTCTTTTCTCTGAACCCCTATTTTTGATGATGAATGGACAATTTTCAAACTTGTGTGATCAGTTACGCCGACTTTTCATTGAAATGGTCAACTTGTTTGTTAAATTTCCCTGAGCCCCACCTTCAGTCTGAATTAGGGTGGCCTAAACACAGGTTTGCCCGTACCACCTCAGTAAGGCCACAGTCTAGTACAGTGGTACCTCGGGTTAAGTACTTAATTCGTTCCGGAGGTCCATTCTTAACCTGAAACTGTTCTTAACCTGAAGCACCACTTTAGCTAATGGGGCCTCCTGCTGTCGCTGCGCCGCCGGAGCCCGATTTCTGTTCTTATCCTGAAGCAAAGTTCTTAACCTGAAGCACCATTTCTGGGTTAGCAAAGTGTGTAACCTGAAGCGTATGTAACCTGAAGCGTATGTAACCCGAGGTACCACTGTAATGGGTATAGTTTTCTTGCTTCGTGCTGTGAGGCAACAACGACAACTCCGGCCCCAGTCTTCTCATTGTGCCTTTCCAGATGCTTGACATGGCTTGGTTTTTAATTTTTATTTATTTATTGGGGAATGAGTACGTTCCCAACCTCACCCTGCAGCCAGGCATATATATCTGCCATCTTTGTCGTGGGAGTTGTCAAATTGGCCTTTTCTTCTCTTAACTGGGAAAACCTGGCTGGCTGCATTCTCCACAGCCTGCACTCAAAGAGGAAGGAAAAGCGATGCATGTTTTCCCTGCAAACACTGCCAGCTAAAGCAAATCCAATTTGGGTCTTTGGTGTGGCTACTAACACACTTCTGGAGGATAATGGAGAAACAAGGATTCATGGCTTTGCTAGAACCACATAACCCACACAGGGTGGGGGAAATACAACCCCCTGAAGGTGCAGCTAGTGTGCTAGTTGTCATCTCCACAATCCAGAGGGAATGACTGCAGGTGGGACTGAGCCTTATGCTCAGCTATGATGAGCTCATGAAGCCACAAGCCTGACCTATCAGAAGCACCGAGGCCTCCTCCATCATGTTGCATGCTTGATCAATAAAGTAGCTTTCATACAGGTGAAACTCAGAAAATTAGAATATTGTGGAAAAGTTCATTTATTTCAGTAATTCAACTTCAAAGGTGAAACTAATATATGAGATAGACTCATGCAAAGCGAGTTATGTCAAGCCTTTATTTGTTATAATTGTGATGATCATGGCATACAGCTGATGAAAACCCCAAATTAACAATCTCAGAAAATTAGAATATTAAATGAAATCATCAAAACAAGGATTGCAAATAGAGCAATATTGGACCTCTGAGAAGTAGAAGCATGCACATGTACTCAGTACTTGGTTTGGGCCCCTTTTGCATCAATTACTGCCTCAATGCGGCGTGGCATGGATGCTATCAGCCTGTGGCACTGCTGAGGTGTTATGGAAGACCAGGGTGTTTCAATAGCAACCTTCAGTTCTTCTGCAGTGTTTGGTCTCATGTCTCTCTCTTTCTCTTGGCAATGCCCCACAGATTCTCTATGGGGTTCAGGTCAGGCGAATTTGCTGGCCAATCAAGCACAGTAATCCCATGGGCATTGAACCAGGTTTTGGTACTTTTGGCAGTGTGGGCAGGTGCCAAAGTCCTGCTGGAAAATGAAGTCAGCATCCCCATAAAGCTCGTCTGCGGAAGGAAGCATGAAGTGCTCCAAAATCTCCTGGTAGACGGCTGCGTTGACTCTGGACTTAATGAAGCACAGTGGACCAACACCAGCTAATGACACGGCTCCCCAAATCAACACAGACTATGGAAACTTCACACTGGACTTCAAGCATCTGGCATTGTGTGCCTCCCCATTCTTCCTCCAGACTCTCGGTCCTTGGTTTCCAAATGAGATGCAAAAGCTGCTCTCATCAGAAAAGAGATTTGGGGAGCCATGTCATCAGCTGGTTTTGGTCCACTGTTCCCGACCCCTGTTCTATTCTTTCATCCAAGAGGGTGCAAGAGAGAGTAGCTTTCCTCAACCATCTGGTGCATTCACAACCAAGGTAAGACTTGAACTGAGGACTTTCTGCCGCCAGCTCAAATGCTTAAGCATGCTGCTCTCTTTCCACCACACTCAGTAGCGTACGTGGGGATTAGGTTGCTGCATTTGTGACGGTGGGTAATGGAGGTTTATAGGCACAAGCAAGAAGAAGATTAAGGTTGCAGGAACTTGCACAGATTACTAAGGTTTGTTTAGGACAGTGCATGAAGGACATGCAGCCTGTGTTGAAGGTGATCAGTACAGGGTTAGGTGGTCTGTAAACTGCTGGGGTCACTAGCAAGCTGTTGGAACCGTGCTATGTCTGAAAGCTTTGCCTGTAGCTGTCTTGCCATGTTTATTAATCAGTTGCTTTTGCTGCAACAGAGGAGAATTGTGGGTGAGGGTAATGAAAGCTTAATTATCTGAGTGGGATCTAAGCCAGAAAAATCTGTACCACAGGGATTTCTTGAGACCACTGTGGCGGAAATGAAAAAAAGAAAAGAAAAATCCAAGCACGTGATTTGGATGTACCTGTTCTTAAATAGGTTGTAGATTATCTATTTTTAATGCTTTTTCCTGGTTTTAAATGTTTCAATTTTTATTTTATGATATATGCATGCTTCCTAGAGAGAGTCATTAGGGAGGAAAAAATGGCACTAATCTGAAACCACCCTCCCCCCCCCCCCCCGATTATCTTGATAATTACATTTAATGAAACAAATGTGTTTTAGAAATGGACATTTTGGGGGGGGGGTATAGCAGTTGAAAATTTTGTGCCCCAGGTCACCAGTTATAGTACAGTAACCTCATTTATAATGCTTTCTGTCTGGGGTTGAATAGGCAGTGACTTCTAGATTGTAATAATTGGGTGGGGTTTGTGGGGAAGGAGAGTTTAACCCATGGGTAGGCAAACTAAGGCCCAGTCGCCTTCTAAATCCAACCCACAGACGGTCTGGGAATCAGCATGTTTTTACATGAGTAGAATGTGTGCTTTTATTTAAAATGCATCTCTGGGTTATTTGTGGGGCATAGGAATTCGTTCATATTTTTTTTCAAAATATAATCCTGCCCCCCACAAGGTCTGAGGGACAGTGGACCGGCCCCCTGCTGAAAAGGTTTGCTGTCCCCTGGTTTAACCGTTAACTAGATAGGGACGCGGGTGGCACTGTAGGTTAAACCACAGAGCCTAGGACTTGCCGATCAGAAGGTCGGCAGTTCGAATCCCCACGACGGGGTGAGCTCCTGTTGCTCGGTCCCTGCTCCTGCCAACCTAGCAGTTTGAGAGCGCGTCAAAGTGCAAGTAGATAAATAGGTACTGCTCCGGCGGGAAGGTAAATGGCGTTTCCATGCGCTGCTCTGGTTCTCCAGAAGCGGCTTAGTCATGCTGGCCACATGACCCAGAAGCTGTACGCCGGCTCCCTCGGCCAATAAAGCGAGATGAGCGCTGCAGCCCCAGAGTTGGTCACGACTGGACCTATTGGTCAGGAGTCCCTTTACCTTTAGACATTAGATCTGCAGTGTTGCCTTAGTTACCTGCAAGCATCGCTGAGGACAGAAGACCCACCCTCAGTTGTCAGGAATGGAGATAGGTGAGAATTGGCCATTGTCTTTGCTTCTTGCTGAGTTCTGTTCTGTTGCCTCATGCTCATTTTTGTGAGAGGCTTGACAAGGGTGTGTGACAAGATTCAAGCATGTATTCTTCATATGCATTATACCTTACCAACTTTGCGTGGAAGGCCAGTCATGATTTCAGGGTTGTAGTTGGGCGGCTGAGGAAATGCTGGCTTGGCTGAATTGAAACTTGAGCTGAAAGTCTGACTAGCTTGTTTTCCGTCAAACGGTCCCCTCAGCCTCATGGATGGTCCAGAGCTGAGAGTTAGAATGTGCACATGAGGTCCTTCGCTCACTCCCTATTGTGGAATTGTAGAGTTGGAAAGGACCACAAAGCCCTCTAGCCCAACCCCCTGCAATGCAGGACTCAAACCCCAGATCCTGAGGTTAAGAGTCTCATGCTCTACAGACTGAGCCCCATGACTTCTGGTCATGTCCACTTAGAAGTTCTCAACCAGCAGGTCTAGGGAAGAATTCTGCCTGAAGGATGAGAGCCCCCATGCCAGCCACTGCCAATGAAGCTGGGCTGGATGGACTATTAGGTAAGGTAAAGGTAAAGGACAGTTAAGTCCATTCAAAGGCGACTATGGGGTGCGTCTCATCTCGCTTTTAGGCCAAGGGAGCCGGTGTTTGTCCACAGACAGCTTTCTGGGTCATGTGGCCAGCTTGACTAAACCTCTTCTGGCGCAAGGAACACCATGACGGAAGCCAGAGCGCACGGAAACGCCATTTACCTTCCCACCGTAGTGGTACCTATTTACCTACTTGGACTAGTGTGCTTTCAAACTGCTAGGTTGGCAGGAGCTGGGACAGAGCAACAGGAACTCACCCCATCGCAGGGATTTGAACCGCCGACCTTCTGATCAGCAAGCCCAAGATGCTCAGTGCTTTAGACCACAGCGCCACCTCATCCCATTCCCTGTGTAAGGGAGTGTCATGCTTTTAGATGCGCATGTTCTTACCCCATAAAGTTCAAACTGCTGGTGGCCAGTGAGCATCTGTTCCTTGATTTCCTGGGCAGCGGGGCTCCAGCTCTCTCGATCCATATGTTCTCTATCTATCCCCAGAACAAGCTCCAAGGCTGGTTGCAGTCCATTTACAAGGCCTCCGTGATAGGGTTTATTCTTGGTAAACATCCTCCGAGCTGTTTTCCCTCCTAATGTTGCTGTGAGTGGGAGGATCGGCATTTCCTCTTGTAATCCCCCCATAGGATCTGAGCTCTGGGAGGATCCCAGTCTGAAACTTGGTCTCAGCCAAACTCCCATTCGTTGGCCAGCCAGCCAGCCATTCTTCCTGCCAGATGTCCTGTTCCCTGGAAGCAACAGCTTGTTCTCGGCATGAAGATTTTGTGCTGTTGGCCAGTGGCTCTGACACTTTTAAGTTTGCGTAAGCTGGTGGGCTCCTGGGCCCCTATCAGGTTTAGATCACTGCTTTGCTGTTTCAACAGTGATCCTCAATTCTTCCTGTCCACTTACAGTCTTTCCCCACCTCTCCAAATATAATTCTGGGCAATGGGTAGCTGTGATGGACCATTATATTATATCCTGCTAATGAGACTTTGCATACTGTTTCAGCTAACAGTGTGAACTGGGAAAGACTTGGTTGAAATCTCTTTTCAGCGACAAACTTGCAGGTGATTTTGGGGGAAACAACATTTCTTTCCCCTGGCTCCTTCATATGCAGTATGGATTAAAAATACTGACCTGCTTTAAAAGGATGTCTTAAGGGTTATTTGGATAAAATGTGGTTAGCCGTTTATTGCCTAGTATAATTATCCTGATGACATATTTAAAGTACCGGTTTCTTGTACTGTACTTGAATGATCAAAGTGGAAGTATATCTTGAGAAACCATCTTTCATTTTAGCAAGGCTGTGGAATGAAGGAGTGCAAGGCATTTGCCCCTTGAGAACCTCTGTGAAGTACCTGGAGAGAACTTGCTCACTGCACTTCCAGTATGTTGCAGAAATGTTTTTTTAGAGAGAAGATCTGCTCAGTAGAAGCCTTTGTTGTCGTTTAGTCGTGTCCAACTCTTCGTGACCCCATGGACCAGAGCACGCCAGGCCCTCCTGTCTTCCACTGCCTCCCGCAGTTTGGTCAAACTCATGATGGTAGTTTCGAGAACACTGTCCAACCACCTCGTCCTCTGTCGTCCCCTTCTCCTTGTGCCCTCAATCTTTCCCAGCATCAGGGTCTTATCCAGGGAGTCTTCTCTTCTCATGAGGTGGCCAAAGTATTGGAGCCTCAGCTTCAGGATCTGTCCTTCCAGTGAGCACTCAGGGCTGATTTCCTTCAGAATGGATAGGTTTGATCTTCTTGCAGTCCATGGGACTCTCAAGAGTCTCCTCCAGCACCATAGAAGCCTTAGGTAGTTATATTCCTTTGCTTTCATCTCTGTTGCTTGGGGAGTTCTTGCAAGCGTAGAGATAGGCACTTGGTTCTCCTGACTTTTAGCCCTGCAGTTCAGTACTTAGGAGACCACGTAGGAAGTGGTCCAACGTAGGATGCCAGAGTAGGTGTGCTGCCTCAACAAAAAGAGGACATTTCCAAACCGTTCTGCCTCCTTAGGGGTAGCTATTTCCACGCTGACTTACTAGCAGTGAGAACTGCCTAGACTGGTTGCTGCTTGGACTGCCCAGTTTGTTCCATAGTCATGGTAATCTGTATTTTAGAAAGCCTAGCTGGTGAGATGATGCAAAAGAACTCTCCTGCTGCTTGACAAACTTCCATCTGGTTTCCATCTGATAATGGCAAGGGAGAAGAGTATCTGTCATGATATGAGTCTCCTTCCCGAGTCTGTTGAAGTCTCTTTGCTTTATTGTCCTGGGAAGGTGGTCACGGACATTAAAGAGGGTGGACTTCCTTGGCATTGACTGGAAGTGCAGTGAGCAAGTTCTCTCCGGGTGGAGGTTCCAACTTACGTACTTGTGAGGCTGAGAGCACTGGGAGAACTGCTTGGCTGTCGAGGATGATAAGTCATTTGTTAGGAAAGGGCAATCCTTCTGTGCATTGGGATGTTGCAATAGCAAGTTCTGCAACACAGGAATCTCTGCGGTGTGGAAGCTGCTTCCATGGCTTATGCAACTTCTTAAATATAATAATAATAATAATAATAATAATTTATACCCCACCCTTCCCGGTTCAAAAACCAGGCTCAGGGTGGCTATCAACAAATTTAAAGCACTTAATTATAAAAGCAGCATAAAATACAGTATAAAAACATGAATAACAATAAAATTCAAAAATCAGTTTAGGGGAAATAAGCATTAGATGATCCCCAGGGCCAGCTGGCTGAATTAGTCCTACTTGGGCCAGCGAGGAGACCAGGGGAGAATTAGCTTTGGGGTCTCAGAGTGGGTAGCATTTCTCTCCTACGTGACTGCAAGGCACGCAGAAGTAAAATATACCCTGGATGCCCTCTGGGCTGTGTTTTCGGAAGCAGAACTTTTTTTCTGGAGACCTGCACTCGCCGCAGACATTGTGGAGCTGCTACTTCTAGTGGCAGTGAGGGTTTTTTGATCAGAGTCTGCTTAAATTTCTCAAGGGTTCCCTCGCTCTCTGTAACGTGTTTTGATTGAACTTGATGTTCAGCCATCCCTCACTAACTTTGCAAAGCTCCTGGTTTTTGTGGTGTGTTTCTTCCCATCTCAGCCAAGGCCGCCAGCTACCAGGGTGTCTTCTAAGCTTATCTCTCCCACATCGCACAGAGAGAGCAGCATGACTTGGTTCAGAAACTTCCAAAATATAATATTCGCTGCAGTGGCTTACATCTGAGGGCCAAACTAGATGTGACGTTTTTGTTCAGGCAAGCCAGATATGTGGGTTTATGAAATAAATAAAAATAAACCACCTTTTCCCCCAGAATGCGCCTGGGCCCTTACGTAGTGTTGTAGAAGGATGTTGACATTTTTGCTGACTCTAAAAATGTTCTTCACTCTATCTCTTGCCTGCTTCATTGCCTACTACATTTTGACGAAGAAGCCACATCAGGAATGTGTTTGTTTGTTTCACAGTTGATGCTAAGGTTTTTTCCCTGCGTGAATCCACCAAATTGAAGCAGAGTTTTTCCTGCTTCATGGAAACTTGGAGAAATTCTGAGCCTATGTGTATGTAATGTAGGGACTTTTGGGGAAATCTCAGCTTCAAGAACTTTTCCCTTTTTCTGCAGCAGAATGAAGTCTGAAGGGACAAAGTCCATTCTAAGGCAGATTAGCTTTCCTGCTTGCCCCCTTTAAGAGTGAATAATAGCAAGCCCTTTGCTGCTTTGGGAATGATTATCATTATTATACATTTATAACTGGCCTTTATCCCTGAGAGGACTCAAGGTGGCATACAGGGGAAAAACAAGGATCGCTAAAAACATAGGAGGGAGAAATCATTGAAAAGCAATTAAGCGTTAATAGAATCAAAACTGTATACATATATGAGATCTGTTTAAAACATACATATGATTACAATAGAAACAGCACCGGCCCTTTCATTAAAAGCAGCCAGTTCCCCAAAACCAGCTGCTAGAGGGCTCACAATTATACCGCCTCCTGGAGTTTGGAAGGCTGTGCTTCGCAATACATTGCCAGCTCAATTATTTTGAAATGGTTCTTACACAAACTGGTGTTGGGCGTGTCCACTCACACATGCAAACACATTATAAGTGGAAATCCTCCTTCGGGGCCTTCAGCAAAGAGACATTGACCGTGTTTTCTTGAAATTTCCTACTGCAACAGTGAGGACTAGAAATATACTTTCTATTTGAAGTGTAATCTGGCATCCTATGAAAGCTCAGTTCCATACTTCATGACATATAGAATTGAAAGGGAGCAGTATGTACTCTGGAATTCTTACTTCAAAGCTTGCTGGCTCTCTCTGTCTCTCTCTTTCCCCATCCATCTGGCTTGGAGAGTGGAGATGATAAAACTGCAGTCTCCAGAGTATGCATACAGAAATCTCAGTTACAGTGGTACCTCGGGTTACATACGCTTCAGGTTACATACATTTCAGGTTACAGACTCCGCTAACCCAGAAATATTACCTCAGGTTAAGAACTTTGCTTCAGGATGAGAACAGTTTCAGGTTAAGAACAGACCTCCAGAACGAATTAAGTACTTAGCCCGAGGTACCACTGTAGTTAGTTAGTTAGTTAGTTAGTTTAGTTTAGTTTCTCTCTCTCTCTTGTGTGTAAGTGGAACCCATTGAATACTACTTGCTTAGTAAGGCTCATGAGTTCTTTTAACTTTCCCACTCTGTGACCTTGAACAAGACCACATCCCCACTCCTGTGATTCTAATATCTTCCTGGAGTCTTTCCTGGAGACTGCATGGGCCAAAAAGCTTGCAAAGTATTTTGAGTGCTTTGGGACGGAAGAGATCTAAGAGCAAAGTATTGACTTGCTGTCTGTCCATTGCATGGCCTTATATCAGCTCTGTTAAGGCTAGGATGTGGGCTGATAAACAAGGCAGAGACATTATCTCTGTCTCCTTGTACTCCGACCTTGATATCTGCATAGCACCAAACAACCCAGGCTTGTTTTATTCCTGGAAAATGTTATTGCATCATAGAATTGTAGAGTTGGAAGGAACTCTGAAGATCCTTTAGTCCAACCCCCTGAAATGCAGGAATCTCAGCTAAAACATTTATGGCACCCTCTGCCCTAAGATAAATTTAACCACCACACACATTTGTGTTATGTTATTATTACAAGAGTGATTCCTGATTCTGATCCTACCTATGAGATTCGGATGTTGGATGGCTGTGTTTGACCCAACAGCAGAGAGATATTAAAAGAGAAGGCAAAATAATTATTTCTATTTTACAGTATCTGACATGCAGTCAGAACCTTAGCTACAGAGCCTTGAGGTGGGTCTAGTCTCCTTCAGGGTATTTTGGACTCTTCCCTTAATGTTAGATTTACATTATTATTAATATTAATATTTTTTTTAAAAAATGTGTCTTTGTTTCCAAAGACATCTCTTATGCAAAGAGAGATGGCAAAATATGCAGGCAGTGTTCTGCTTGTTCAGTAAGAAGGAAATCTGTCTGGTGTTCTGGCCAATGAGTGTAATGCCTGACAGACACATTAAAAAATATGCCGTTAGAATAATGTAATTAACTTAAAGCACACAATCCTTTAAAAAAAATTAATATTTTTATTTACATTTTTAATACAGAAACAAAACACACATCCCTTTCCCTCCACCCACCAATTATACAACTTTCGTACCAGTCACGACATACAACTAAATACCTAGCGACTCCCCTTCTACCATTTTCATAATTTCTTTACTTTTCTACTAAATCGCATATTCCAGATTTCTAACCTTCAAATTTCTTCCTCTGTTAATTTCTATTCGCTCCTGTTCTGCTGGATTTACTCAAGAAAGACCTGCTAGGTTATTTACTTGTTTATACTGGTTCTTAAAATATTCAATGAACTTTTTCCAGTCCTCCTTATATTCTTTTATCATCCTTTTCTCTTATCCTATTCATTATACCTGCCAATTAAACAAATTCAAGCATTTTAAACTGCCACTCTTCCTTAGTGGGTACCATACTCGTTCTCCACCTTTGTACGGCACACAATCCTAGGCGTGTTTAGTAAGTGTGGTTTGGATTGCAGCGTTAGACCGTTTGTATTTAGCACCTTCCAGTTTGGGGTAGATTTGAGACATCTTGCTGCAAAATTTGTGCCTAAAGGTCCGCTTGCAATTTGTATACAGATCAGCAGAGGACTTTGGTGAAGCTCTTTTGAGTTCCTGCTTAGCATTTCTGAACCCCAGAGCATGCAGGGCCAGCCTTCCCAATAACATGGCTTGCTTGGAGTGCAGAATTCAGCAGCTGCCAATTTTCTCCTGCCAACCTCCATCTCTTCTGAAGTTAAGCCTGTTATTTGAATCCGCCTTTTGCTTGGGACTTTTTCCCTCTCTTTTCGGTAGGCAGAGCCAAGGTCTGAGTGGCTGACTCAAGGAAACAGCATGGAAGTTGTTAAAATGATTCCCTTTGGCCCTTGCTGGGATTGTTTCTTCTTTTCCAGTGGCCAAATTATTATCTTGCTGTTGACCTCTTGACCTAGAAGATGTCATTGCATGACAGCCCGTTGCTTTTTGGCGTTTGGCATATTCAGCGGTCATGTGTTTGGGTCAGACATGGAGCTGCCTCAGAAAATAGCATCCCTGAGTTGAGTTATTCCCTGTTGTCAATTTTACCTTGTGTTAAGACATATGCTTGTGTGTTTCCCCACTGGAAATGCACAATGCAACCAGGTAAATTATTCCCTATACAGTGGACGCTCAGGTTGCGAATGTGATCCGTGTGGGATGCATGTTCGCAACCTGCAGTGGCACCTCTGCGCATGCCTGGGTTGCGATTCGGCACACGCGCATGCACAAAGCGCGATTTAGTGCTTTCTGCGCATACGCGACTGCTGAAACCCGGAAGTAACCCGTTCCGGTACTTCCGGGTTTCGGCGGTCTGTAACCCGAAAAAATGCAACCTGAAGCGTCTATAACTTGAGTATGACTGTATTGTGGAGGGAAAGAAAGAAAACTCAACACAGGGTTTCTCTTTTCAGTAGTAGCCTTGTGTCAATCTGAATCTAGTCCTATGCTCAGGACTCAGCGAATACTGTTGAGGCTTTCCTAAAATGTTTGTGGGAATTAATGTTTTGTGGTTTCGTTTATCCGATTGCTTTGTGTGGTTTATTTTGAGCACTCGGGGAGAGGGGAGGAAGACAGCAAACCACACAAAGCATTTCCCTCCCCTGTTGGCAAAGCTCATTTGACATTAGCATGAAACCCAGTAAGGTGGAAGGCTAGCCCAACAGATGCAGCAGGCGTCTTCTCTAATAACCTGTAAACACTTGCCGAAAAGTTTTCTATTCAGGGAAATTAAGAAAATCAGTTTCTGTAGTCGCTGGTTTGTAATTTTAAATCTTTATGCGGTTTTTATTGTGCATGGATAAAAACTGCTTTGATATTTTGTTTTATGAGATTACAGCATACAGGTATTTTTATAAATAAATAAATACACTGAGTAGAGATGGCGAGGGTGGCCCAATTTACACTTCCCATGACCATAAACAGCTATTCTTTGAAATTTGCACTTCTCCAAATTTTGGGATGCAGTTCTCCAACCAAAATGCATGTGCTTATATTGGAGGAAAGTGCACAAAAATGAAAATGTGCTTTGGTGACAGTAACATGCAAAATGCACTCTATTAGAGAAAATGGATTGAAAAATTGACTGTTAGGGGAAACGTACACTAAAATGCTTGCAAATTTTGTGAGGGCTTTTTTTTAAAAAAGCGCAAACTGCAATTAAAATTGCAAACTGATGAGGAAATTTGTTGAAGTGAATTTAAGATTGGGAAGATGAGAAACGGTGGGATTTACAGATCCATCTATTCCTAACACTAATAACAGACTACGTGGAACATCGGTGAGGACTGGAATAAACTCAGAATCTAGCCTGTTGCCCCTGTGTTTGTGACCCGCTGTGGATTTAAAGCAGGGTACTCTTAACTACATGAGATAATGTGATGTAATTAAACTTTTGGAAGCAGAACACCAGGTAGTTTAGTTACATAAGCAGTATATTCAGAGAGGTTTTCAGACAGTATTAACTTTCTTTTCATCCTCCTGCATGCATGCATGCATAAAAATAAAAGTTGCTTAGCTACGGTGCTGGAAAACTTCCTCAAATCTACAGCAACTGCAAGTAGGATTTTAAAACAGGATTCCACGTTGAGGAAGTGAAAAATGGCTAACTGGCTGGGGTCCGGGCTGAAGAAAAACCCCAGTTGCTTTTAAACCTTGCTGCCTTCATGAAGCATATGTGTTATTCGACAACCTTATGCAAAGAAGTTTCCCTTTTTAAAAAAACATTATTGATGCTTATAAATTTAAAATTTTTACTTAAAGCCCTGGCAGCTGTATAGTGCTATAAAAGCTTCCAATGGACAGGCATAGCTCTACTCTAATTCACAGAATAGCAGCACTCAGTTCTGAGTCATGTGTAATATAGACCGCTTGTTCAAAGGTAGTAGAAAAATCCTGCTTTCTGCTTGTACAGTCCTACAGCGGTACCTCGGGTTACAGACACTTCAGGTTACAGATTCCGCTAACACGGAAGTAGTACCTTAGGTTAAGATCTTTAACTCAGGATGAGAACAGAAATTGTTCAGCGGCAGCGCGGCGGCAGCAGGAGGTCCCATTAGCTTAAGTGGTACCTCAGGTTAAAAACAGTTTCAGGCTAAGAACAAACCACCGGAACGAATTAAGTTCTTAACCAGAGGTACCACTGTACGTTTGTTTTCGAACAGCTTAGTTCTCGAACGTTTTGGCTCCTGAACGCCGCAAAACCATAAGTGAGTGTTCCGGTTTGCGAACTATTTTTGGAAGCCAAAAGTCCGGTGGGGCTTCCGCGGAACTTCCTGCAGCCAATCAGAAGCCGCGCTTTGGTTTCTGAACGTTTTGGAAGTCGAATAGACTTTCACCCATGGTCTCTGCACCATTCTCAGCACTGTGGCTCATGTCGAAGTGTTGCTGTGTGCAGCGCATGTCCAAGCTAACTTGGGGAGCAAGCCCATTATGAAATGCCAAACAGGCTCAAACTAGGCTTATTAAGAATATGATTAGAAGCTGCCTTTTTTGAGAAAAGCAGAGGATTACCCTTCTCCATGTCTTTTCTCCTGTGTAATACCTTCCTGTACCTTTTGTTTTGTAAACTCAGCCACATGTTCTTGGGTGGCCCCTTGCTCCCACTGTTATGGAGATTGTTGTGTCAAGGGGAGTGTACTGCCCTGGCTCATTTGTTTCCCTTCTTGCATTCAGACAAAGTTCTCATATCTGTTGCGAACATAAAGAAATACTGGCAAGGATCCAAGAGGTCGATATTCTCAGTAGATCTGGTGGTTAGTAGTTGCACGTTGAGTGAGGAGATAGACTCTGCTTATCAGGATTCGAAATTAGCAGGGCACCAGGCACATTTCACGCCTGAAGATTCTCCATTTGTGAGCACCTCAAAAAATCTGGGTACCATTTTTTTGTGCCTGGCTGACACGCAACGTTTACTGAAATGTCTGTGCTTTGAAGCTTCGAAGTACAGTTGTATCTTGATTCTTGAACGCCTTGGTACTTGTGCATTTTGACTCCTGAACGCCAAAAACCCGGAAGTAAGTGTTCTGGTTTTTGAATGTTTTTCGGAAGCCGCACCTTGGTTTTCAAATGTTTTGGAAATCGAATGGACTTCCGGAACAGATTACGTTCAAGAACCAAGGTACAACTGTATATGTTAAGGGTAGACAATATGTTAAGGAGTTTAACAATAAAGAATAGAATTTTTGAAAACTGAAGTATGGTACCAATATTTTTTATTGTCAACACCAAATTAAACATATATTAACAATTTCTGTTAAAAATGTGATATTAACATTGTGTCATTGGAATTGCGTATTAGTTACTGCTTATCAAAATAATAAATAAAAAGTGTTGCTGACCGCCCCTCCCCCCAAGAAATGCCAACTAGACATTCTGTTTTAGTGCCCACAGGTCCCAAAAGCCATTTGGCTCCTAGCTTTTCTATCACAGTTTCTATCACTAACTCCTTAGCTATGCAGAACCCAGGGCATCTGGAGATAGAAAGATGTGCTCCAGTTCTCCTTCTTTGACTGCTTTTCAATGGGTTTTATACAGGGGAGATTCCTGGTGGATTTTGCCTTCTGTTAGTGTGGGGAAGGGGGCAGTTTCTACTTCCAGACTCCAAAATGTTATGGGTTAGACCAGGCACTGGCAAACTCGGCCCTCCATATGTTTTGGGACTACAACTCCCATCATCCCTAGCTAACAGGACCAGTGGTCAGGGATGATGGGAACTGTAGTCCCAGAACATCTGGAGGGCCGAGTTTACCTATGCCTGGGTTAGACCTATGAGTAAGGCTGGCAAGGGGACAAACTCATGTGGGCATCCGGGCAGAGCTACATGACTGGCACCTCATAACGGACAGGCCTACACCTGCAAGCTCATTTACCTGTTGAAATTTAGGCAGTGAGCCAAATGGATAGATCAGCGTATGGCAGATAAGCCTTGTTGCTGTTATGCAATCCCTAAGTACACATCTCTTCCTTCCTGCCCTGACAGGCTCTGCGCTGTTTAACCTAGCGCTTTCTGAGTTGGTTAGCCTGTGTCTGGGCTGCGTCATTTCAGACGGTGGGTAGGGGCTTGCATGGCCGATATTTTCCCCCTTCTATACCCCCCCAAAAAAGTTAATTTGCATAGAAAGCTAGCTTCTTGTTACCTTTATACAGTGGACCCTCCGGATGCGAATTAAATTCGTTCCAGATCTCTGTACTTAACCTGTCCGTAACTGGAGGCACTGCTTCTGCGCATGCATGCGGCACGATAGAGCACTTCTGTACACACGTGCAGTGTGCAGAGCACTTATGCGCATGCTTCCGGGTTTGCCACGTTCGCAACCCGAAAGTTACGTATCCAGAGGGTCCACTGTACCTCGCTTTTTACTCCAAGGAGCTCAAGGTGATAGACGTGGTTCCCCACTTGCGCCCTGCAGCGTTGCAACAAACCGCTGAAGTCGGGTAGGTGGAAAAATGATGAAAGGCCCAAAGCCACTCAGTCAGCATCATGTTTGAGTAGAGATTTGAAACCTGGACTCACAGCTCCTAGTCTGACAGAGGAGCCAACACACCTCAGTGGCTCTGTTGGGAAAGGTTCTATCCTTGACCTGCTAGTTTTCCACGTGCAGAGAACTTTGTGTGCCAAACCTCAACTGCAGCCGAAAGTGGTTCAACCCGGACACGTTTTTTACCATCTAAATGCATGTTCGGTTCCGCCTATTGGGGCCAGCACAACACTTGTTTTCGGTGTTGTTTGGTAATGTTTCGCCTGCTCTCTTCCCCTTTAGGATCAATTTGACACAATTGAGCGCCACACTCAATGGGGCCTGGACCTGATGGACAAATACGTCAAGTTTGTGAAAGAGCGGACAGAGATCGAGCAGGCGTATGCAAAGCAGCTGAGGTAGGTATTATGCCTGGGTTATTACAAGGACGGCTGAGCCTGGCAGGGAATGGCAGCGCTTGGGACGGGCCATGGGGAGGGGAAGGGGAAGGGATACATCACCAACTGGTCATTGTTTATGCTTGGCATCGGAGAATAGCAGTTTGTCAGGGAGAGTGAGGTTTAAAAACTTGCTCCTGAGGTGCTTGATAGATTCTGGAATAGTGTAGAGATAGTGGGTGGAGTGACTTTTTTCTTCCCTTTTTAAGATACTTGGTTAGAATCAAGTTGATTTTTCATTCGGTTTATGATGGACAAAACAATGAAGTTCTTCACATTGTGAATAATTGTGGAACTGCCACTGGATGTAGTGATGGCCACTATTTTAGATTCAATGAAACAGCAACAACGACACAGTGACACCTTGTGTGGCGTTTGCCCTCCTAGGTGTGTGACATCATACTGGGTCATAAGTAAAGGGTTAAATAAGTGTTAAAATGATTAACCAATAGGAACCCAGGGGGAGGTGTTAGAGATAGAGTTGTTAAGAAGTCAGTCTGGAGGGAGAGAGGGAGGATAAATCTGTGGATTGGGTTAGTTTGATGTGAGAGAGTGAGAGAATCTGTTAAGAGGAGTCAGTTAAACAGTTGGGATAATCATTTAGAAGGTATTAGGAAGGTATAGGCCGGTAAAGAAACTAAGGTTAAGAAACTGACAAGAAAAATTATCTGAAACCATAAACTTGTTAATGCTTATAAAATAAACTTTGTTATTTGGTTTAATGTTAACAACTGTCTGGACTCAGTGTGTACCCGAGAGAAATGGGTTGGTGGCAGCGGGGAAGTGAGCACAGTGGTGGCACAGGGATCAATAGACCGTCAAACGTCCAGGGACCCTGTGTGATCGCCACACCTTGGTTCTTGAACAACAACAACAACAACACCACAATGACAACTTGGTTCTCAAACCTAGTCCATTCCTGGAGTCCATTCAACTCCTGAAACCGTTCGAAAACCAAGGCACGGTTTCCGATTGGCTGCAGGAGCTTCCTGCACTCAAGCGGAAGCCGTGTCGGATGTTCGGGTTCTGAAAAACATTTGCAAACCGGAACACCTACTTCCGGGTTTGCGGCATTCGGGAGCCTATTTGTACGGGAGCCAAGCCATTTGAGAACCAAGGTACCACTGTAATTGCCATCATCTCTTATTAAACCCATCCTTGTGAATTGATCTAATTCTCCTTCCTCCCCTCTCCCCCCATCCTGCCCCCCAATGCTTAGAGGCACTGCTCCTCCAAATACTAAATGTTGGGGATAAACAGAAAAGGGGTTCTCCTTTCATCTCCCACTTGTGAGCACCCACTGGATGCAGGATGCTGGGTTAAGTGGACCTTTTTAATTGAGGCTTACAGTTTCATTTCCAGCATCTGCTCCCAGGTCTGTTTTTATTCATTCTCTCTCTCCTCCCCTACCCCTCTCCCCATGATTCACTGGTCCAGCCGAGTTCCCAAGCAGCTTTGTCCAGCCTTTGAGACACAGTCTCTTTTCTCTCTCGCCCTCTGTCCCTGCGCTTCTTAAAGCTGTCTCCTTCCCAGCCACTTGTTCCAGCTGTCCCTGAAGCAGAGCCAAAGACTCGCTTTGGACGGAGCCCCTTGTCCAGGAAGACCCAAAAGAGTGTTGAATTTCTGGCTGACTCAGTACTTCAGGGGCCATCCAAGTCCCTTTGCTCTTTGGCTGGATCCTGTGACACTCATTCCTACCACCACCACCCAGTCTGCCGGTCTGGATGACCAGGCAAACTTGGAATTGGGAGCAGAGTCCTCCGAGGTGATTGAACTGGACAGCAGCAGCACAAAAGTTGGCTGCTTTGCTTTCCCCTCCTCCTCTTCCTCCAATAATCGAGTTGGTTAGTCTGTTCTCGTCCCACCTCTGCTCCCCACCCCCACCCATCCTTTTCCACGAGTTTTACTCCTTTTAGAGTCAAGAATTACTCATTTGGCTCCTTTCCCTTAAAAGGGTTTCTCCTCTTCTCTTGAGCCCTAGAATTGCAAAAAAATTCAGAAAGGCACAAAGTCCATCAACTGCGGGCTCCTTTATACCTCAGCACTTCATGCACCGTTTGCCAAAACCACAGGAAATAACTAAACAAAGCGTCCGCAGAGCAAGTACAGTGCTTGCTCTCCTCCTGTTGCCCCTCTTCTGAAGCTTGCTTGAAAGCTACAGCTGAGCCTAGCAAAGCCTGTTCCCTTGGCTGAGCCGTATAATGACGCTACGAGGCGCACCTCTGTGGGAAAGCAGCTTAGGGGCCCCAGAGAGAATGCCTTCTCCCTGGCCACCCCATGCCCGAGGCTCTGAGGGCAGAGGAACTACCAAGAGGGAGGCCCCTGCTGATCTGACCACCTGAGAGGCTCTGTGGGACAGGAGGCAGCCTTTCAATGGCTCCCCGTAAGTTTCCAATCACAATTCAAAGTGTTGGTGTTGACCTTTAAAGCCCTAAATGGCCTCGGCCCACTGTACCTGAGCATCTCCACCCCCATCGTTCTGCCTGGACACTGAGGTCCAGTGCCGAGGGCCTTATGACGGTTCCCTCACTGTGAGAAGCCATGTTACAGGGAACCAGGCAGAGGGCCTTCTCGGTAGTGGCGCCCGCCCTGTGGAACGCCCTCCCAGCAGATGTCAAAGAGATAAACAACTACCTGACATTTAGAAGACATCTGAAGGCAGCCCTGTTCAGGGAAGTTTTTAATGTGTGACATTTTAATGTATTTTTAATCTTTGTTGGAAGCCGCCCAGAGTGGCTGGGGAAGCCCAGCCACATGGGCAGGGTACAAATTTATTATTATTATTATTATTATTATTATTATTTCAGGTATTTGGAGTCTGAGTTGTTTAGGGCTTTAAACACGAAGGTGAGCACCTTCAGTTGGGCTCAGAAATGAACTGGCAACCAGTGCATTTGTTTCAGAACAGGGGTTATATGAGATCTCAGTGGAACCCCAGCCAGTTCATCTGGCTGCAGCTGCTTTTTGGACCAACCGAGGTTTCTGAATCATCTTTGAGGGCAGCCCCATGTATAGCACATAGTGAAAATCCACTCTGGAAGTTACCTGGCAAAATCAGGTGGTCCTTGTTTGGTCCTGCACACATTAGAAAAGAGTTTACTTGTCTTATGGAACAACATGGACACTGCTCCAAAGGGAACGTTTCCCTGTTAGAGCCAGAGAGGTCCTTTCTGTCCTTTTGGTACAGCATATATATCTTTATTCCAAGACTGGAGGTTAATTATTATTTACTTCAGTCTTCTGTCTAGCTTTGTAAGAAAATCCAGTTCCACATAAAAGTGGCTCATCTTTCCTTATTTTAAAATGCATCCCAACTTCATCATCATCATCATTTTATTTGTATGCCGTCTTTCCATAGTTAAAACAATGCTCTAGGCGGCTTACAACGTGACAAGATTTACATAATTACCAACGTAACAAAAGTCACAAGCAATATATAAAACACATCAAAAAGTACCCAACCAAATGGAAAACAATTTCCACATAAATCGTAAAATCTAAAACTAAGAATATGGCAGTAGTATCGATCACAATTTAAAATGACATAGATAAAAAATAAAAGCCATTTAAAAAACAAAAACGGAGCCCTCTGTGTCCAACAGCAGCGGTAGCAGGCCTTTATGGAGCCTGTCAGGCCTTGCCCCAAGCCAGGTGGAGAGAAACAGGGCAGGGCCCTTCAGGTCAGTCCTGGGCAGCAGGCTTGATTTTCTCCCTATTTCAAGCTCCCGTTGTGGGTCTTCCCAATTCTGCTGTGTATTTCTAATATTTGAAGAAAAATGAATTGGAATTGGGGGGGGGGGAGCCTACTTTTGAAAACAAAAGATTGGCATGACCAAAGATCCCACACTTTAGAAAAGATAAGGAAGATAAAATATTCGCTCAATATCCAGCATTCATGGGAAATTGTTGTATAAAACATTACCAGCTTATTTAAACCTGTCACATTTGATAAGAATTATCTCTGGGATGTTCATCTGTGCAGATTATCAACACTTCCATCGACACATGACTGGAGCTGCTTCTTATAGGCCTAATATCGAAGCTGTCCAATTTTTTACCTGGCTCCTGTTTGATTTGTTAGCCCTACGGTGCAGCAAAATGAAACAAGGTGACAGGATGTCAGCCAATAGATGAAGGCAGGAGTTTGATGTCTGAATGATATAAGGAGGCATTGGGAGGGTGGGGGCACAACGGGAGCTCATCTTCAGGCAGCAAAATGCCTTTGGCTAGCTCATTTTCGCTCTCATTTATAGGAATCTTGTGAAGAAGCATCTTCCCAAGAGGACTACGCGAGAAGACCCAGAATCAAAGTATGTATTGTGTCAAGTGCATGTTTAGCTGCAGCGATGCATGAGATATTCCTACTCAGTGCTACACATTTTTGCGGCAAAAGTACTCTGACCACAAAAACTTAGGTCAGTGGTTCACAGACTTTTGTGCTATCAAGCCCTGGGCCCTTTGCAGGGCCGACCACCCAAGCAGTCATTCATGGTGGCAGTAAAAAAGGTAAAGGACCCCTGGGCAGTTTAGTCCAGTCAAAGGTGACTATGGGGTTGCAGCGCTCATCTCGCTTTCAGGCCAAGGGAGCCGGTGTTTGTCCACAGACAGCTTTACGGGTCATGTGGCCAGCAGGACTAACCGCTTCTGGTGCAATGGGACACCATGACGGTAGCCAGAGTGCACAGAAACGCCGTTTACCTTCCTGCCACAGCAGTACCTATTTATCTACTTGCACTGGCATGCTTTCGAACTGAAAAACACTTATGTCCCTATGGAGATGGCAGTCCCGAGATTATCACCCCTCTTTTATTGTCCATTCCAGGTCGCCCAACCACTGCCACTGCTTGATCTTGGCAGATCAAGATGAGCAGGTGACAGCAAAGGTTGCAAGGTTTTTGCTGGGGCAATCAGAATAAGATGAACCATTTGACTATTGATTCAAAACCCCAAAATGTATTTTATATAATTGACTTTTATTTCTGTTCTTTGTATATTGCATTGTTGTTTTATTGCTATGGCCGATGGCTGATGCAAATAAAGATTCATTCATTCATTCATTCATTCATTCTCTGCTGCTGGGCACAACCTTCCTGCCTTTCCTCTCATTTTCAGGTTCTGCCAATATCAGGCCTTTCTTCAGGTGGTGAAGGAGCTGAACGACTTTGCAGGCCAGCGTGAGCTGGTAGCTGAGAACCTTCTAACGCGGATCTGTGTGGAGGTTGCCAAGTACTCGCAGGAGCTCAAACAGGAGAGGAAGTCGGTAAAGTGCTCCCCTGCCTTTGTAGGGTCAAGAAGCATGGTGGTCAATGGGGGGACCAAATCAGGTTCTGATTCTGCTGCCCAGGGGTCCTGAAGAACAAAACCATTCAGGTGTACCTCTCTGTGAGGGGCTCTTCATATTTTGTGCTCCCCTGGCTCTCTTGCTGCTTGTTCAGCAGAAGTTGAAGGCATATCGTCCCTGGCCTTTTTGCCTTTGTGCATACAGAGTGGATCGCTTGGCCATCTGTGGGGAGAGCTTCCATGCTACTTCCAGATGTTCCTGGTGGCTGCTGGCATTGGCGTAGAGATTTTTTATGTACTTACTTACGATGGCCAGGATCCAGAGAACTGTGAAACTCAGTTCTGTAAGCCCAAGAGGGCTGTAGATCTGTTCTTAGTTTGAGTAGCAGCCACTGCATGCTGCGTGGCAAACTGCTTTCAAAAACTGTTTTTGACTGCTGAGTCCACCATGCCTTATTGTAAAGTACCCCCCTTAAAAAAAAAACCACACCCAATTTTGGTTCATCTGTCACTCTTCCATCAGGAGAGTGTTTGCTAACAGAAAAAGCACAATAAAATAAAATAAAACAACAACAAAATCAATTTGAATAACATAACAAAAAGGGGACACTAAAAATATCACCTTCTTGTTGCTAAATTCTCCATCTGCAGTGTTGACTTTTGAGTCACTGAGGGTTGGGAACTAGGATAATGTTAAAATTAGGCAGGTTTTGGAGAGGAGGGCTAGCAATAGATTCAGGATTTGAAAATATTGTAGCCACTGTGCTCTCTACAGCGCGTGTGTTTTAATCTGTATTTATTTATTGCAGTATTTCTGTATGACTTTTCAAAATTAAGTTCTATGGAGCAGTCTGCATGACTTCAGCACAGTGGGACTAGAGTACCTGATTAGGAAGTAACCTTGAATTATGAGTAGTTCTGGTTTTTCAAGCTGAGGCATCTCCTTTGAAGCCCATCCCACTCTGTCCCAAAACTCTCTTTTTCAGATTGTAGACACTAGGGACTTGGACCTGTTTGGGGGCCCATTTCTTCAGTAAGTTTTCTTAGGGTTGTAGTGTTCTGGTGAAAAGATGGGGAGAATTAGGTAGATCGGGTAGCAGGTAGGTACAAGAAGACTCTTTTGGTAGTAGCAGGTGGCCTTTTGCTCTTTCTGAGGTACTTCCATCATCATTTGAAAATGATTGACGGAACTGTTTGGATTCTGGCAGAAGCATCATGACACTTCTAACAAAGGCTTTCATTCGGTAAACTTTCTCCTTCTCCAGCACTTGCAAGAAGGCCGAAGGGCTCAGCAGCAGCTGGAGAACTCCTTCAAGCAACTTGAAAATGTGAGTTGTTTTTATCTTCAGCCTTGCTCTACATGCAGTGTGCAGAGTCCGAGGCTCATATGCTCCGAAGACCTAAAACAACTTCTGTGGATTTGGCCAATGTTCAGAGCGGGAACACAGCTGTGGAGGGGTCATTGATCCCTTTAGAATTCTCCAAACATTTAGTGAATGTTTCCTCTGTCCTTTTTTCAAAATTAAATTTGGGGATGACAGATGGAGGAAAGCAAGGAAGAGGACAGAATCCAATGCACATGGAAAAAGAGAGGGGAATGCACAAGCTGTAGCACTGGCTTTATTATGGCATCAACTATAGAATTTCCTGTGTTTTGGAAGTCTCTAAGAACTTCTCAATTTTTGTAAATCATCCGGGGGTGGGGGGGAGATCCTAGCTTGGGCTATTCAAGAACAAGCCTTTATAAACCCATCTCTGGCATTGTTGCTAGCGCTTTGTTCTTGTTGCATGAAGGGTTTTAAGAGAAGATTTCAAAGAAGGTGCAATAGAATAATGTGCAAATAAGCCAAGACTGAAACCTTGGAAGACCACAGGGATCTCTTGTCAACCTGTAAATGTTTTTCAAGAGCCCTTTGTAGGGGTGTGTATGCATTAGATGTAGACTCAAAAAGAAATGGTATACTTGCTCAAGTTTCCCTTAAAGCAGAAAAAAAATCATATTATAAGACCTTGCATAATTGAATGTCCTTCCTGCATACATTCACACGCAGGTACACTCAGTTTTTACATGTGAGTGTGCATGCACTTGCCAAAGTCAGTTCCTGCCTTCCCTATTTTGGCTGTGCAGTGCCTCCATTGCTACGTTCTACAAGACACAAACACATTGTTGTGTTTACTTTTCCCCATATTAATTAGTGGGAGGAATTGTTTGTGGGCTTTGTTTTACTTTAGAGCCCAGTTTAGAATATTCACTGGGCTGAATTTTGAGCCCTGCCTTAAGCGTAACCTTGAACGTGGAGACAGTCTGGAAAGACAAATCTTAAGTGGCCTTCCAGTTGGTGAACTTCAGTGAAGCTCTTGCTATCGAAACTGGGAAAGGCCCCCTGTCCATTCTCCACCTCTCCCCTCCCTGTCCACTGGGGTACAATCAATTTTACCTGAATTACCCCCACCCCAATAAATTATGCCGTCTGTCCCCCCACCCCCAAATAAAAGGTGAGCTCACTTTTTTAGTAGCTTCTTTCAAAGCCTCAGCAAGCTTTGAAAGTAGCTCCATAGACAGTGTACACAAACAGCTTTTCCACCCACTCCTTTTCCAGTAAATGTTTGCATGTGTCATTTAATTGTAAGCCTGCAGCCAGAGTCTTTTTTAGTGTTATTGATTGTACTGCACCTTGTTTTGAAAGCCCGTTATACATAACAATCTGTTAACCCCTCCTCCCATTTCCAGCTTTTATTTGAAAGCCCAGAACGGGGCAAACAAAACGGGAGCACTTAACAGGTGGTGTGATTTAATCCTGCCTGTGAAACCAAGAGATCTCATCGCCTAAGTGCGAGTGATGCTCATGTCTGTATCCTTGCAAGAGAGATATGGCAGCATCTAATGCTTTGCATCCAAATGGATGTAGCCTTTCGTTAGGCTTGCTGTTGTGGGCATCCCTCACTCTCAAAGACTCTCTCTCTTACCCGCAGAGCAAACGCAAGTTTGAGCGAGACTGCCGAGAGGCTGAGAAAGCTGTGCTGACTGCCGAGAAACTGGACCAGGACATCAATGCTACCAAGGCAGATGTGGAGAAGGTCAGTGCTTTTGAATAGGAGTGTGCCACTGCTCCCCATCCCTAATAGCGTTTAGGAGGGTATCGGAGTTCTTCTGCAATGGAAGTCATGACGGATATCCCTTGTTTGCTTGTGCCCTGTAACTGACCACCTACCCCTTGCTTTTGCTTATGAAAGCTTTCTAAGCAAACCACAGCTTCTTTCTCACGTTAGCCATTAAAGCCAAGACATCATATTTTTGGGAGATAGTGGGTGGGTGGGTATGGAGGACTCCCTGGTCCTGAATGGGGTAACTGTGCCTCTGAATGACCAGGTGTGCAGCCTGGGAGTCATTTTGGACTCACAGCTGTCCATGGAGGTGCAGGTCATTTCTGTGTCCAGGGCAACTGTTTACCAGCTTCATCTGATACGCAGCTGAGACCCTACCTGCCTGCAGACTGTCTCATCAGAGTGATGCATGCTCTAGTTATCTCCCGCTTGGACTACTGCAGTGCACTCTATGTGGGGCTACCTTTGAAGGTGACCCGGAAACTACAACTAATCCAGAATGCTGCAGCTAGACTGGGGACTGGGAGTGGCTGCCGGGACCACATAACACCGGTCCTGAGAGATCTCCATTGGCTCCCAGTACGTTTCCGAGCACAATTCAAAGTGTTGGTGCTGACCTTTAAAGCCCTAAACGGCCTTGGCCCAGTATACCTGAAGGAGCATCTCCACCCCCATCGTTCAGTCCAGCGCCAAGGGCCTTCTGGCGGTTCCCTCACTGCAAGAAGCGAAGTTATGGGGAACCAGTCAGATAGTTGTTTATTTCCTTGACAACTGATGGGAGGGCATTCCACAGGGCAGGTGCCACTGCCGAGAAGGCCCTATGCCTGGTTCCCTGAAACAAGAGCATGCACCACTCTGGCGAGACAGTCTGCAAGACGGTCCTACGGTTTACATCTTGTGGTTTGTTTGGGAGAGCTAAACCCACAAGCCTAGGTTTGGATGACTTACTAAGCCCAGGGGCGGGGAACCTTGGTTCCCCCCAGATTTTGCTGGGCTCCCTTGATCCCTGAGCACTGGCCATGTTAGCTGGTAGGAATTGGATTCCCTCAGCGCCTGAAAGGGCCACAGATTCCCCACCTCTGCTGTAGAGCTGACTGTAACCAAAGTATTTCTGCTGATCCATTTCCCCTTACCTTCTCCAGGCGAAGCAGCAGGCAAACCTGAGGAGTCATATGGCTGAGGAGAGCAAGAATGAATATGCTTCATATCTGCAGAAGTTTAACCACAATCAGAGCCAGTTCTACTTTTTGGAGATGCCACAGATCTTCAATGCAAGTCTCTCTAAGCAACTTCCTAACATTTTAGTTTAGAGTTTTCTGCAACTCCCTTTACCCTAAGCCGTCCTTCAAAGTAGCCCTCAACAAACAATAAAAAGCCATAGAACATTTTAAAATAAACCTTGCTCTATAAAAATCAACCATCTAGCGATTCTTCTACATGAACCGACCTGATTTGCAGTTCCACACTAATACACAGATCAGAATGCAATCATCCTTCTGCCCTTCTCAAAATTTTGCAATACAGTTCTCTGCTCAAAGAAACATAACAAAATGCATGTATAAGTTTTAATTCCATCCAAAAAGCATATTTGTGGCAGGTCGTGGGGGAAATAACAAAATGCAAATTTTAATGCAGGGTTTTGTTGTTGTTTTTTAATCACATACTGATGTGGAAACAGGGCAGAACGTACTTAAGAACAAACACGTGTGAAACTAGCATGAACCAGAAACACACTCTGATCTTTCCATCCCTGCAACAAGGGGTAAACATAACAGCTCTAAAAACTAGCTGTCCAGCAGCAGCAGATTGGGACCAGCAAACGACAAGGATTGCTAAAAGCTGGAGGAAAAGATAGACCTGCCTCAGGTCACCTAAAATGAAGCAAGCGCCATGGAACTTTCAGAAAAGGGAGTTCCATAAAACTAGAGCTTCTCCTAGAGCAGCTCTTTTTGTGGCTCCTCCTCGTGGAATATTTTCTCTCTCTCTGACTTCAGATATTAGATAGGCTCTCAGCCTTCCCCCAGAAGAAAATAACTTGGCAGTGGAGGTCATTGGGGACCTATAACACATGTCTTCGTCAGGAAGTTCACCTTGGGCCACTGCAGCCTTGTTAATCTCTGCTCTGTGGGGAAGGCTTCTAGCATTTGTGGGAAAAGGGGCTGGTTGAGAATGTGGAAAGATCCCATGACAAAGAAAGCAGGAACCTCCTCTCTGGGGGTAATGGAGGAAGGTGGGTGGGTTAATAACCTTTCCTAACTTCACAAGTGCCATTCCTGGGGTGGGCTTTTTTAAAAAAAATTCCTTGAACATTATTAGGGCTGCCACACAAAGTATTCAGGCTGCAATTGTGTACATACCTACCTGAGAGTAAATTCCAAATTGAGCTGAATGGGACTAACGTCTGAGTAAGGCATGCATTGGATCCTTTTGTTAATTGATTAACCGTCTGCTTTAAAACCTAAAATTTTAAATTTGCATTTGTCTACTACCAGAACCTCAGTAATAAGGGCCTTTTTGTGATAACCTGACAACAAACCATAGCTACCCTTCTTAAAAAGGAAAGGTGGTTTTAAAAGGGTTTCTTATTCATTTCCCACTGCCTCATCAGAAAAACTTTAAAAACATAGCTTAGAAAATAAAGAAGGCAGTTTATTGCTTCATCGATTAAAATTGATCCTTGCCAGTTTGCAATCTACTGATGATAGTCCTGAAAATGCTAGAAAATGCACTCACACCCTAGTTGTCCCGTTACCTAAAATATTTTTATCTGGAGACAACTGGGAAGTTGAGCCTGGATGGTATTGCATTAGAACAAACCCAAATACGAAGAACAGGCAAGAAAAACTGATGAGTTATGTGGAGTTGGCGAAGCTGACAGACAGACTTCGGGGAAAGGACAGTAGGGATTTTGAAAAAGAGTGGGAACCTTTTATATCATATTTGCAGAAGAAAAGAAAGAATATTGACCTGATGGTAGGATTTAAATAAACATTCAAAACCTTATGGATAGGGAACAAATAATGTAATAAAAGGGAAAATATTATATTCGTAGAAAATAGCAGAATATACTAATGAGATTAATAAATCAGAAATGGAAGCTGAGGGAAGTCCAAAAGGGGGGAGGGAGAGATGTTATGTAAGTTGAATATTATAAGTATATTTGGAATGAGAGAAAAGAAAATTAATTTAAAAAGTTTATTTTTTAAAAAAAGAACAAACCCAAATGCAGCTATTATAACAGGCATTTTTTAGATGGCATCGTGACATTTTAAAATTTGCACCAGCCTTCCCAGTGCCACATGCCTTGCTGACTGCAAGGAACAGAGGCTTGATAACCAGACGGGCCTCTTCGTTTTGTGGGTGATGTGGGTTCTGGTAGGACGGGGGTGCTGAGGGGATCCTAGCTCCCTGTGAGGAACCTTCCCTCTCTAATCCTCAAGTTCTGATTGTCCCTTTTGTGTGTGTTGCTCCCTTCCTTCCCCCCATTCCTAGAAGCTGCAAGAGATGGACGAGCGGCGGACACTGCGCCTCAAGGAAGGCTACAGTGTTTTTTCAGAGACGGAGCAGCAAGTTATGCCCATTATTGGGAAGTGCCTGGAGGGCATGAAGGCAGCTGCAGATGTGGTGGATGAGAAGAACGTAAGTGCCTCCCAGATAAGTTGTAACATTTCCCCTGGGTACTGCAGAAAAGTTGGTGTGCTGTCAAATAACCGCTGTAGTCCATGCATAGGTAATAATAATAATAATAATAATAATAATTTACTTATACCCCACCCTTCTGGCTGGGTTTCCCCAGCTGCTCTGGGCGGCTTACAAAATAGATAAAACATAATAAAGCATCAAACATTAAAAACTTCATTATCTCCTTGACATCTGAAGGGAGGGTGTTCCACACATTAAAAACTTCCCTGAACAGGACTGCCTTCAGATGTCTTCTAAATGTCAGGTAGTTGTTTATCTCCTTGACATCTGAAGGGAGGGTGTTCCACAGGGCGGGCGCCACTACCAAAAAGGCCCTCTGCCTGGTTCCCTGTAACTTCACTTTTTGCAGTGAGGGAACCAGCAGAAGACCCTCAGAGCTGGACCTCAGTGTCCAGGCTGAGTGATGGGGGTGAAGACGTTCCTTCAGGTATACCTTGGTTCTCAAACAACTTGGAACCCAGACACTGCAAACCCTGAAGTAAGTGTTCCAGTTTGCGAACCCTTTTTTTTACTCACATTTCAGTTCACAATATGATCTCTGAAAGGCAGGCTTTACTTGGTAGTTACATAAGGAAAGAGTGAGTTTGTCTCATAGAGAGACTGAACTCACGTGCTGCTGGCTGAGAGCCAGCAGACAGCAAAATTATATTAATAGAACAGAATGACTGCAGGAGAGCAGCGTGGCAGCAAAAGATCATCAAGAGAGCAATAAGAGACAAGACAAACTGAGAAAATGGCTGCATGGCTCTTTTGTGGAGTCAGCCAGAGCCATGGCCACATGCAGGGAGAGGAAGCTCCAGACCAGTGGAACAGGAAGTTACACTGACTGGATGTCCCCCTGCTTGTGTCCACTCTAGGGAAATAAGGAGTGTTGCATTTGACCGTACCAATGGATTACATCCCACAAACTCAGTGTACTCTCAAACTATCACAAATTTTCTGCCATATCCTCTTCGGGTCCTCAGCAGGACTGATAATGGGTGTCCCCAACCCCATCTCGTTTGTATTGTGTTGGCTCAGCAGCACAACTGGGCTGGAGGTGGTTCTGTTCCTCAAGGTCACTCAGAAGGATGTTCTTCTCCTGTAGGATTCCCAGATGCTGATTGAACTGCACAAATCGGGCTTTGAGAGGCCAGGAGACATGGATTTTGAAGACTTCAGCCAACCCATCAATCGTACCTCATCAGACAGCAGCCTTGGCAACCCCCGCGGCACCCTCGATGGTCGCCTGGACCCCCGCCTGCTGGGCAAGAGCAAGGGGAAGCGCTGGCCCTTCAGCAGGAAGAGCAAGGTGAGGACTGGCATGGAGGGCCTGGGACAGCCTGGAAAAGGGTGGCCGGGAAACAGGGTGGATAAAAATCAATGATTTAAAAATAAATTTTAAAAAATCAGATTTCTAAATTTTAAATTGGAATTTTTTAAAATTAAATTGGGGTTTTAAAATAAAATGCTTTTGGAGGAAAAATCTTTCTAAAGATAGTTTTCTATTTAAGTTACATTATAGTGCAAAGGCTATTCATCAGGAAATAAGGAATTGTTTTAAGTTTTTCATGTGTGCTGAAACTTAGTCTAAGCCTCTTCTTTTTTTTTAAAAAAAAGAAGAATTTGTTTAACTACATCAGTTAACATGGATACATATGCTATAATGTTATTGTTTTAGTTAAATAAATTGTTTCAATTGTTATTAAGGAAACGATTGTTTTTCTCCTTCCAATAAAGTACAGCAGAAAAATTGTCCAAATATAAACAGTTAACTTATTAAACCTCACAATAATTTCATAATTATCTGTCTATGTATTTCTAATAGCAGAACCAAATCAGTAATTTTTTATATAACTGTAAAAACTACTCTGATAATTGATTATTCCAAAAATGAAACCTTCATCTGGTTGTAAATATTAAATGATTTAAATCAAGTCTTACTGACTAGTGCAGGCTTCCTCAAACTTCGCCCTCCAAATATTTTTGGCCTACAACTCCCATGATTCCTATCTAGTGGACCAGTGATCAGGGATGATGGGAATTGTAGTCTCAAAACATCTGGAGGGCCGAGTTTGAGGAAGCCTGGACTAGTGATTTAAATCATTTTGATTTAAATCAAATCCACCCTGCCAGGAAGTATTGTCCTTCTGCCCTCAACCCATTGGCCCTCAGGGGCCAGTGTGGGATTCCCATAGCTACCAGGTTCTGTTCACAGATCTGGTTGTGGGATTGAGTAAAATTGGGGGAAGGATTGGCGAGAAGAGGGGTGATCACCGCAGTGTTTATCTCCTGGGTTCCTCTCCAGTCCGGGATCTCCAGCAGGTTGCCCCTTTTGACCTCACTCCTTCCTCCCTGCCTCTGCCACTTTGCTCGTCTGCCAGATGGCAGCACGACAGGCAAGCTAGCAAATGCCATGATTTTGCATCTCCCTCCATGTCATTCCACTTTCTGGCTGCCCTCTCCCATCTCCTTTCCGGCTGCTTGTACTAGTCCTTAACAAAGAGGTTTCTCCTCTAACTTTCTGGGCCTGACCAATGCTTCCCCAAAAGTGGTTTTCTTGCAATAACTAATGGTAGTCACCTCTGCCGTTGGAAGGTCGTAACTTGGCTATCCCTTCCTTCCTGTTATTCAGCCACTGGCCAGGTCAGCCTCCTGCCCTTCGTGTCACCCGGGCTCTCTGCTATGGAAGCCTTGGATCTCTGCCTCTGGAACCTGCTATTCTCACTTCCAGCTGCCCCTGTCACTCAGAGGAGGGTGTTCCTCTTCCCTACAGTCCCTAGCTGACCCCTGTGTTTGTATTATGGAGATGGTTATGGCATAGGCCCAAGATCTGCTTCAGCAAGCCCTCACATTTCTAGCTAGTTTTCTCCAGAGGCTCCTTTATAACTTGTGCACAGGCTGTTCTTACGCAAAAAGCTCATTTTAGCAAGGCCTTCCTTCCTTCCTTCCTTCCTTCCTTCCTTCCTTCCTTCCTTCCTTCTTTCCTTCCTTCCTTCTCCCACCTGAACAACTTCCTCGGGTGCTGTGAAGGTTCCTTTCTCCTGCTTTCCTCTTAAGCTGCCCTTCGTTTTGCTCCCTAACTCTTCTGCTGCTAGATCTGGGCTGTGAACTCTCCTCAGCCACATCTGTCCTGTAAATCTTGCAGTGCAGATGTTACAGGAGAGCCAGACTCTGCTGGCTTGGCTCACATAAAAATACTGTGTAATTTCTTCCATGTCCTGTGTGATGCCTTGCTTCTTGCTTCCTGTTGCTTCCTGTTTTCTCCTTGCGTAGCCACAAGTGTCTTCTAGTTGGGGAGGAAATCAGAGCACTAACTCTGTTGACCTTGGGTCTTTGGTTGTTGTTGGGCTACAACCCCCCACCCCCTCACCATCCGCTGTGCTGGCTGAGGAAGATGGGAGCTGTGGTCCAGGATCCAATGTTTCTCTAAGAGAACTTGCCAGGCCCCTTTTTAGCTCATGTGGGACACCCAAAAGATCTTCAGTTATAGCCCCTCCTTCTTTTGCTTCCTGCATCCGGGAGGTGAGGTGGCAAAGGCCGTTCATAATCTCAGCGAAGCCTTGTTTTCCTTCCGTCATGCGTCCCACACCGGTCTGATAGTTCTTGCCTCTCACTTACCGCCCCCCTCCCGGCAACAGTGCTTTGAGATGCTGACTTCTGAGCCAAATGAGGGTGTGTATGCCAAAATCCCAGCATTCCCTTGATCGATAAAGTCTCTTAGATTCTGGCTTGCTGCCTTTAAGCCCCACTGCCCGGTGCCGATGCTTTTCACAGCATATATATTGCCTTTATTCCCCATCTTTCTTCTGCCGTGGAACCTAAGGCAGCAAACAGGGTTTTTTCAAGGCGGTCTCCCATCCAGTCCCCGACCAGACTCTCACCCGCTGAGCTTCAGCAAGTTTCTCTTCCTAGCTTGCGCAGGGCTCCCAAGCTTCTTGCAGTTCCCCCATGGCAAGGTGCAGCCACGCCGGAACGAGTCTGACGCAATTCCTCAGCCGCGACTCTCCCAGCTGTTGCAAACCAAGTGCCAATTTTGCGCAGCTCGACAGGAAGCTGCTGCCGGGCTGGGGTGCTCCCCTGAAGCGACCGCATGCTGCTTTCTCATCTTGATTGGCAGCGTGGCCTTCAGAGGCGCAGGGAATTTGGGTCCAGCTCCGAGGAATCCCTTGACCCGCCATGTGACTCATTCCAAGAGAGACAAAGGTTGTGTGTTTTCGTCAGGGTGCTCTCAGTAAAGCAAGGCTGATTCCACCCTGTGATGGGGTAGTCAGCAACACAAAGCAACATTTCAAGGGGGAAGGGTCCATTGGGAGGAGGGGTGAGTTGCACGAGCTCTGAAGGCTTAATTTGAAACAGGGAGAGAATGGGGTGGGGAGTGGAAACGGTGGCTCCCTCAAAGTATTCAGTGCTACTGAATTCCCTGGTCTTCAAAAATGGTTTCTGAAGGCTGATCGCCAAAGAATTGATGCTTTGGAATTATGGTGCTGGAGGAGACTCTTGAGAGTCCCATGGACTGCAAGAAGATCAAACCTATCCATTCTGAAGGAAATCAGCCCTGAGTGCTCACTGGAAGGAAGATCCTGAAGCTGGATCCTGAAGCTCACTAGAAGGACAGATCCTGAAGCTGAGGCTCCAATACTTTGGCCACCTCATGAGAAGAGAAGACTCCCTGGAAAAGACTCTGATGTTGGGAAAGATTGAGGGCACAAGGAGAAGGGGACGACAGAGGACGAGATGGTTGGACAGTGTTCTTGAAGCTACTAACATGAGTTTGACCAAACTGCAGGAGGCAGTGGAAGACAGGAGTGCCTGGCGTGCTCTGGTCCATGGGGTCACGAAGAATCGGACATGACTAAACGACTAAACAACAATATTGTATCCCATTCCTTCAAACCTCATACTCCCATGGCATTGCAGGTTAGGGCCACCCCTTAAATCATGGGATCGGTGACCAGGAATTTCAGGGTTGGGGGGGGGCAATATCTAAGGACATGTTTGAATGAGATGCCTACACAGAAAGCCAGCTTTGCATCTTGGCATGACTCTGCAACTCCCTCTCTCTTTTTCATACTGTCCGTGGTGGTGAAGTGTTGCTCTACATCTTGTGCTGTTACCTCCTGCCTCTCCCCCCCCCCACTTCCCCATGTATTCTTGGTGGTGGGGTTTTATTACAGTGCATTCCTGTTATATTGGGCACACTGGATTGCTATTTGTAGTCTTGTCAGGTGGTTGAGGTAGGCGAACTTAGCCATTGCTTCTCAGGGCAAATGGTTTCTAAAAACGTTTGGCCAACGTGTTGTTCTCCATTGTAAGAATGTACCGTATAGATGGAATGTACTGTAATTTTTGTTGTTGTTGTGTTTTGGGGGTGGTTTTTTTTGTGTGTGTGTGTGTCTCTGTGTGCCTTTTTATTTTCTTACAGAGTTTTCTCCATTCTTTTGTGTTTCGTTTCCTGTTCATGACCCTTGTCTGTCGCTAGCTTCCACCCCCTCCCCTCTCTCCCTTAAGTTGCCCTTCCTCCTCCACTTCTTCCCCTTCCTCATCTGCCATCAATGGACCTCCATCCCCCAAATTCACCCGTGACCCCCTGTCTTACTGTTTGAACGAGATCAATAAGACAGTCAAACCCCGCATCACGTCCTTCCGCAGCCTCAAACGGGGGGTAAGTGGACAATTGCTCTTTGCTAAACCAGCATCACGTGCCTCCTGCTTCCAAAGGCAGCTGCCTGCCAGTTGTAGTTTTGGTGCTGAGAAGACACTTTTTAAAAAGCCAGAATCCTAGATCACCTATTCGTTTCAAAGCAGCCACTGTTTGCCAATACACTGAATATGGAAAAGAGACATTTCAAATTTGAATATGCAGTCAGTCTATCCATTGTCTGTTTTTGGTGCAGCTGGTTATGCTGCTTTCTTGACCTCAGGTCTGACATATAGCTATAAAATGTCTTAAAGACAGATATTGCCCCTCCCTCTTCCATTCTGACCCATAGAGCCTCTGATACATGGAGTCTTGCAAGGGCAATGAGGTCCATTGAGCTCAGATACTAGTACAAGTGACTTCAGGCGATAGCTTGCCTGAGATATGGGTTATTGACTTTTTAGCTGTGCCTTATTATTATTATTATATTTTATTTGCACAGACCGAAACAAGAACTAGTTTTAGCTCCAATGAACTGGCAGTCGTAGTCCACGCATGAATGTAGTTTCAAAGACTTGCACTTTCCAATCTTACACACCTAAAGCATTCTTATGCATGCTTCCACGAAATCATGCCAAAGCAGTTCACAGTAAAAGTTGGAGGAAGAGAAGGGTTTAGTTGCTGTATTTCTTCGGGGCTCAGATAAGGTGGCTTTTACTTGGGAACATGTTACAAGCTTAGGTGGTGGGAGAAATTGGAAGGCACCCTTCTTCCCAAAGCAAAGCCCATCAGTTCTTATCAATCAGTCTGCACAATTCAGGCCACATTTATGCCACAAAAGCAAATGAGCAAGTGTGCTGGAAGACGACGCTTATGGAGCAAATAACTCTGGTGATTTGTGCAGTTGAGTCGAATTACACTCTGTAGGAGGGAGGCAAACACACTCCCTGCCTTGCCTCTGTCACTGCCAAGCAGCCCCAGGGTAGATTGTCTTTCAGCCTTGGTGCGACTCCGATTGTGGTCCCTTGTTTTAGAAAGACCTACGGATCATGGAATTGGAAGGTGCTCACAGCCCGCTGTGATAATCTGCAGTTGTCTAACAAGGTCATAGATGCCTTGGCTTGCTTTTCTGACTAGATCTGGTGAGGGTGCCTGTTGCCCCTCTGTTCTGACCCTTACAGCGCACAGTAGAGAATGAAGGACACAAGGGTGGAAAAGAAGGCTGCTGCATTTTCACCCTGGCTGTGTGCTAAGAAGTCCCCAGTCTGGATCTAACCCTGGCCTTCACTAATTGGTCTTATACAATCCATGCACCACTCATGCTCAAACTACACGTGTTGCTTAGTAGCGTGAGGTTTTCCCCTCCCAATTTATTTATTTGCCCTCCAAAGCTGTGTGGTAAAACAGGAGTTTGGAGTGGAAGATCATACAGGTGGGGGAGGTGTTTGCTTGTTGCTTTCCACTTTTCCTGTCCCAAGTCACTCCCCAGTCACTTTCACCCCACGGAGAGGAAAGGTACAGGTGGTCTAGCTTACAGGTTTGCCATAAGAACTGCTGAAATAATGCTATGAAGTTCTTTGAATGCTCAAAAGCACTGTTGATTATTTCTGGTGGACCTGCCCTAGTGCCCTATACATAGAGCTGGGTGTTGGGATGCGTCCAAGGGAATGGGGGCAATTGGCACGCCCCCAGCTGGCTCCAGCCCACTAGACGGCAGCCGGGCGAACTCCAGTTCTTGGATCAGCATATAACTGCGACTCGAGTTTCATGAAACCTTCAGAAACTGAGCACGCAAGCCAGCAGAGATAAGAACTCTTCGCAACAGAAGGGCAGATTAAAGGCTGTGTAAAGCATATTTAGGGACGCGGGTGGCGCTGTGGGTTAAACCACAGAGCCTAGGACTTGCCGATCAGAAGGTCGGCGGTTCGAATCCCCGCGAGGGGGTGAGCTCCCGTTGCTTGGTCCTTGCTCCTGCCAACCTAGCAGTTCCAAAGCACGTCAAAGTGCAAGTAGATAAATAGGTACCGCTCCAGTGGGAAGGTAAACGGCATTTCCGTGCGCTGCTCTGGCTCTCCATGAGCCGGCCACATGACCTGGAAGCTGTACGCCTGCTCCCTCGGCCAATAAAGCAAGATGAGCGCCGCAGCCCCAGAGTCAGCCACTACTGGACCTAATGGTCAGGGGTCCCTTTACCTTTTTAAAGCGTATTTACAGGCATTTTATTCAGCATCAGGACAAAGGAAAAACATGTCTGCTCCCCTTCGTGTCCAAGCAAACAGCGTAAGCTATACACAAAGGCAAGTTCCCAGCAAGCTGTGCTGGTGTGTAAACAGGCATGTGACACACAACAATCCACACATCTGTTTTAAGGTGGAATGGAATATCAATATCCTAACACTATTTAGGGCAAGCAAGATCTGCTGCAGCAGGGCCTGTGAGGCTTTAGGGCAGGGGCCGGCAAATTTTTTTAGCCACGGGCTGGTCCACTGTCCTTCAGACCTGAGGCAGGCCAGAGAAGCGGCACCAGGGGGCTGGAAGAAGAGGCGAGGGGGGCAAGTAGTCCTCCTCCCCACTCCCAGCTTCTGCGCTTACCTTCCCAGGGACTGCCGCTGCTGCCACCACTACTGCCGCTGCTGCTTCTCGTGGGTCGGCAGAGCGAGCTCATCCACTCCACTCTCTGGCCCGCAGGAGTACCAGGGCAGTGGCGGCGGCACTGGAGGGAAGATGAGCAGCACAAAAGGGCTGGCTCCGGAGAGGGGCTGCTTAAAATAGCGCTCAGCCAGCTCAGTCCAGCCCCCTTCCTCCTCTAGGCAGGGCAGGAAGAAGCCTGGAGGTGGCGCTGCAGTGTGTGAGGGAGAGAGGGGAAATGGAATGGCACAGGGGGGGAAATGGCGCAGCCCAAAGGAACAGAATCCCCACGCTGATCCACAGACAGTCTGCGGGCCAGATCCTGAAGGTAATTGGGCCTGATCTGACCCGCAGCCCTTAGTTTGCCGACCCCTTCTTTAGGGCCTGGGATCATTGCCGCCTGCAAGCTGTCAGTGGTCCTTTCTGTGCCTGGGGCTGTACTAAATGATGTGCCCTAAACCACAGATGAGCTGGACAGATTAGGTGGACAAGGGAAGAGGCAGGGGTTGGGGTCAGTAGGGCAATGCGCATAGAGGCGCCTTAAGGGCACCAGTCCCATTCATGTGTGTGTCTTTTCCTGCTGCCAGACTGTGATCACGGAGGACTTTAGCCATCTGCCTCCAGAACAGAGGAGAAAAAAGCTCCAGCAGAAGATTGAAGAAAGGAATCGGGAGCTGCAGAAAGAACTAGATCAGAGGTCAGAAACCGAAAACCACCATCCTTTTCGCTTGTTAGGCTCTTAAGATGAGATTTGTGTGGTCTAAGCGGTGCTTAAAATTAGCTCTTGGCAGTTTTAAATATATATATATAGAGAGAGAGAGAGAGATTTCAGTATTTGAATCTTTTCAAAATCTGTAATTAAACTTGATAGTTAATAATGGTTTATAATATCCATGAACAATCTAGCCTTCAGTGTTACCGACACCAGGCTTAGCCCAAGCAGTTTTACTCCCTCTTTTACTGTAGTGCTTAGAATTCAGCCCTCTATATGCCTGTTCAGAAGTAAGCCCCGTTGAGTTCAAAGGGACTTAATCCCAAGTAAATACCTATAGCCTTTACTTTGGAGGCCACTATCTCGTCGGTCTTTTCCAAACAGCCAGGCGGGGTCCGCTGAGAACACTTGACTTGGTAAAAGGCCAAAAAGTTTACTGCTTGTCGGTTGCTATCTGTCATAGGGCAGGATCCTGGCCTGACTGCACTGGCTGCCCATCAGTTTCCAGGCCCTATTCAGAGTTCTGGTTTTGATCTACAAAGCTTTAAAAGGCTCAGGGTCTCAAAGACCGCCTCTCCCCATATGAACCTAGCTGGACCCTGAGACCATCCTCTGAGGCTCTTCTTTGCGTGCCTCCCCCACGATAAGTCTGGCAACATGAGAGCAAGGCCTTTTCTGCAGTGGCTCCCCGTTTGTGGGATGCTCTCCCCAGGGAGGCTCGCCTAGCTGGGCGAAACATACTTTTTTCTCCCATGCCTTTAGCTGATCAAGCAATCCAAGGCCTTTCAAACTGCTTATTTTTGGTTAGTTTGTTACTATCAGTGCCTTTCCCCCTAGAAAAATAGGTGCCGGTACTCACCATGAAGTTGTTACAGTAAGTGCGACACTGAGAGAGAAAGAGAGGTGTGTGCCGGTACTGTGTACCCTTGAATAACCCCTGAAAAATAGCCCTGGTTACTAGAATAATTTTTTTTGTGTGTTTTTATATTATAAACCGCTCTGTGGTCCTCAGACATAGAAAATAAATAAATAATCATAGGGATTTTTACGCTGTGCAAAATTTGTCATTATTTTGCTTTTGTGTAGAAATCCTTAATCATATGAAAGGTGATATCATGGATGCTTTTGTGGAGGGCCTTCTCGGTGGTGGCGCCCGCCCTGTGGAACGCCTTCCCACCAAATGTCAAGGAAATAAACAACTACCTGGCTTTTAGAAGACGTCTGAAAGCAGCCCTTTTTAGAGGAGTTTTAATGTTTGATGTTTTATTGTGTTTTTAATACAGTCTTACCTTGGGTTACATACGCTTCAGGTTACAGACTCTGCTAACCCAGAAATATTACCTCGGGTTAAGAACTTTGCTTCAGGATGAGAACAGAAATCGTGCTCTGGCGGCGCGGCGGCAGCAGAAGGCCCCATTAGCTAAAGTGGTGCTTCAGGTTAAGAACAGTTTCAGGTTAAGAACAGATCTCCAGAACGAATTAAGTACTTAAGCCGAGGTACCACTGTATTATAAATTAGGAGCCGCCTAGAGTGGCTGGGGAAACCCAGCCAGATGGGCGGGGTATAAATTATTATTATTATTATTATTATTATTATTATTATTATTATTATATTCCTGCATAGCAGGGGGTTGGACTGGATGACCTTCAGGGTCCCTTCCAACTCTACAGTTCTACGAACCATGAAAATTAATGCCATCATAAATTAGTCTTTTACAGTGCTGCAAGATACCGTTGTAGTTTTTGCTGCCATTTGCTGGATCAGACTCTGGAGATCATTGTTTGAGCTTAAGCTTCCTCTGCAGATTATGCCCTTCATTTCCTTCTGACCTCGCTGCCCTGGTTTGCATGTCATGATAAGCCACAGTCTAGTGTCTTAAACCATTGTTGAATCGTGAGCGTGCCTCTCCCTTGCCATGTGGTTTCTCCCCCTGCCCGGCCCCACCCCAGTCACTCGCTGCGTCATCCAAGCCCTGGCCACAGTTTGTTTGTTGCAAGCAAACCATGAACAGAAAGCCAGAAATGAACCAAGGTTTGTTCTTAACGTGTTTCTGTTTTTTTGTTTTTCAAAAAAAATGTATTGGTTTTCACAACATTATAAACAAACAAACACATAAGACAAACAAACATAAATCATAGCCTTATTGAAAATTACACTTATTAACATTGTTAAGTGACTTCCTCGCTTCCCCTTGGTTGGATTTCATTGCATATCCTTTTAACAGTTTTCCAAATCACAGTTTAACTTAAACATTAACATCCTTAGATCTTCACATTATGAAATTAAACATATTAATTCATCACTTAACATAAATAAAATCCTAAGCCAGTTAAGTATCTGCAAGCTGTTTTCAGTTAATTTAACTTAACATATTTAACTAAGTAATCATTAAATTTAATCCACTCTTAGTGTGTTTCTGGCTTACCGTCCATAGTTTCTTTGAAACAAACAAGCCACTGTCTAGAAGCAGATGATCCAGAAAGTCGCAGTGTGGCTTGTTTGTGCCATGCAAACTAGAGGGAGTGGGTGTGCCATGCTTGCAGGAAAAGGCATGTCCACAGTTTAAACCATGGTGGCTTATCATGATATGCAAATGCGGACGCTGCCTATATTTAGGATTACAATCATGCATCTGATGGTGGACTCTAGCCCAGGAAAGCTATAATAGTTGTAATGCATTTGTCTTTGTGGTGCCTCGCGGCTCTAGTATTTTGCAGCAAAAACAGCACGCATAGCTACCCCTCTGGATAAACGAATGAATCTTTTTGCTTTCGGACAGCACGGAAGGTTAAGAGTACCTCGATGGCCCTGTTGGGTAATGCAAGGCAGCCAACCTCATGGATTCCTGATTTTATGAACCTGCTTTTTTAGAGTATCTTCACAACGCAGAACGTTTTGCCCTCCTCCTTTCTTTCAGGGATGCCTTAAATAAGATGAAGGATGTTTACCAGAAGACGCCGCAGATGGGAGACCCTAATAGCCTTGAGCCAAAGATCTCTGAGACTCTGGGCAACATTGAGAGGTTGCGACTAGAAGTCCAGAAATGTGAAGTAAGAGACTGGCAGGCAAAGGGGGGGCGGGAATTCTCTTGCACTTTCCAGATTCCTTACTTGCACTTATGTAAATCATCACATGTGTGGCTCAGGCACAGCTGACCCAGAGCTGTGTCCCAAATTTTAAGGTTTAGGCATAATTCTATTTTTGTAGATCTGACCCGGGCAGCAATTTATTTGTCATTTATATCAGTAACCCAGGGTTAGGGAACCTCCTCATTGGGCCTACAGGGCCGTTTCAAGCAAGTCACGGCCACCTGGAGCAGGTGAGAGACCTGTTTCCACCAAGAGAGGTTTGCAATTGTTCATCAGGTCTAGTGGGGCACTTCTGCAAGCTGCACATTTGCCCTCACCATTTGATTTCAACCGTGAGGGCAAAAAAGTGTCGCTCCAGCGATGGGCAGATGAGCCGTCCCACCCACCTGCTGTATTTGGCCTACTGGAGGGGGTGGAGATATGAGCTGCCTGCCAGATCCAGTTGCCCACTTCTTCAGTAGCCCTGTAAACTGTGCTTCACACCATATCCGATGTGATTCTTCTAGAGAAAGAGGCGCCGGAACTCACCGTGAACTCACCTTGTTCTCTTATAACAACAATGGTGCCCATAAACAAAAGACCTGACCTGTTAACAGATTGGGGTGTGCCTAGCAAGTGTGAGACAGAGGTGATTTTGTGATCAGCTACAGACAGTGGTAGGGTCAGACATTTGCCCAGATCCACTGCCTGAATCCACACTCTGCACAGAAGCCACCCAGACCAGGCCAGAGATAAAATGGGAGGGTTCTCTGCTGGCACATCTTCCAGGTGAAGGAGCCAGCTGAGAGTGCCTTGGATGTGGTTCCCAATTTATTGGATCTGAACTAGGTAAAGGTAAAGGGACCCCTGACCATTAGGTCCAGTCGTGGCCGACTCTGGGGTTGTGGCCCTCATCTCGCTTTATTGGCCGAGGGAGCCGGCGTACAGCTTCCGGGTCATGTGGCCAGCATGACTAAGCCGCTTCTGGCGAACCAGAGCAGCACACAGAAACACTGTTTACCTTCCCGTCGGAGCGGTACCTATTTATCTACTTGCACTTTGACATGCTTTCAAACTGCTAGGTTGCAGGAGCAGGGACCGAGCAACGGGAGCTCACCCCATTGCGGGGATTCAAACCGCCGACCTTCTGATCGGCAAGTCCTAGGCTCTGTGGTTCAGGTTCTTCGCCATCTTACAAATAACTGCTGATACACAGCTGTACCTTGGTTTTCAAACAGAATGCGTTTCGGAAGTCCGTTCGGCTTCCGAAACTTTCGGAAACCAAGATGCGGCTTCTGATTGGCTGCAGTAGCGTCTTGCAGGCAATCGGAAGCCACTCCAGACATTCGGCTTCTGAGCCAAAGTTCGCAAACCGGAACACCTCCTTCCAGGTTTGCGGCGTTCGAGTTCCAAGTTGTTCATGAACTAAGCTGTTCGAAAACCAAGGTATGGCTGTACATTACTGCTCATTAGATGGGACAAAAGCTGCAGCCCTGCTACTATTCATTCCCATGACATTTGCGCAGAGCAGCTTCCTGACAAGTTACACTGAGGGAGGAGGAGGAGGAGCAATCTGTCCTTTTTTCTCCCCCATTTTCTACCCTGAGCATCACAGCATCTTCAGGTAGCCCTGAATGTCGTGTGTGGAAGCCTGATTAGAACAGGGATGGATGAAACATTGGAGAGGGCCTTGTTTTCTTCAGTGGATCATTGTGGCCATCCACACGTTTTCATTCTTCAAAAAGCCACAGCAGATAGGACAGCTGTGCAAGCAGCCCAGGCACCACTGTGGGGAAGATGAGGGATGCGGGTGGTGCTGTGGTCTAAACCACTGAGCCTCTTGGGCTTGCTGATCAGAAGGTCGGCAGTTCGAATCCCTGCGATGGGGTGAGCTCCTGTTGCTCTGTCCCAGCTCCTGCCAACCTAGCAGTCTGAAAGCACACCAGTGCGAGTAGATAAATAGGTACCACTGCGACGGGAAGATTAATGGTGTTTCTATGTGCTCTGGCTTCCGTCACAGTGTTTCATTGCACCAGAAGCGGTTTCGTCCTGCTGGCCACATGACTCGGAAAGCTGTCTATGGACAAATGCCAGGTCCCTCGGCCTGAAAGCGAGATGAGTGCCACAACCCCAGAGTCACCTTTGACTGGACTTAACTGTCCAGGGGTCCTTTACCTTTTACCTGTGCAGTGAAATCCTAACCTGTGTCCCTTCTTCTTCTATAGGCTTGGTTGGCAGATGCAGAGAGCAGGATGTTGAGTAACCGACCTGATAGCGTCACACGCTACAACCGCCACTTGGATCATGCAAGCACCCTGAACAACAATAACTGCTCGCATGACAAAGACAGGTGAGAGCTGGGTTTGCAGGGCAAGGTGCAGGACTTCGGGCTGCCCCATAGCAGGTGTGGCAAGGGCCCTCTTTTTTATGAACAGAAGATGAGCCAGGGTTTGGGGCATTTGAATCTCTGCAAGTCCCTGGAAGGGCTGCTTTGCTGCAGTGGAACAACTTGCCCAGCATGAGCTACATGGGCTGAGTTGCTCGTTGGAACGGAGCCAAGGCCTCAAAACTTCCTTGAGCATCAAATTCATTTTTCATTACTTAATTAAGTTTCTCTACTGCCCTGTACCCGCAGGTCTCAGGGCAGTTTACAAGATGAAATCACAATATATAACAACACAAAATACATAATCGAAAACAAAAGGAAACCAATAACCCCCCAAGCATATTGGATTATTATTTTTGACATGAGTTAAGGGTTCGTGTATTATGTGTTTTAAAAGTCTTTAAAAGTTGTTACACACTGCGAGTCTCAAGACCTTCCCCATTAATATTAGGAATTGTAAATAACATGGTTAAAGCAGAGATCCAAATCTGAAAAAGCCAATACAGTACAATGGTACCTTGGTACTCAAAACGGCTTAGCTCCCAAACAAATTGGCTCCTGAACGCCGCAAACCTGGAAGTGAGTGTTCCAGGTTGCAAACATTTTTAGGAAGCCGAACTTCTGACGCGGTTTCCGCTTGAGTGCAGGAAGCTCCCGCAGCCAATTGGAAGCCGTGCCTTGTTTTCTTTTTGAACGGTTTCGGGAGTCAAACAGACTCCCGGAACAGATTAACTTTGAGATCCAAGGTACCACTGTACACATATTTGCAACAACCTTATCACAGGTTCTCATTAACTCTTCCACTGAAACCTAGTTTTTGGTGTATTCCATTTGTTGCTTGACCCTCCCCACCTCCATCTAAAGAGTTAACTTCGGGGACATGAAATTGTCCCTAAGCCCTGGATGTTACAGGCTAGAGAGAGAAGCAGCAGAAAAACTGGACACATTGTCCAGTTGCTTCTGTTCCTAGAAGCAGTGGAGACCTGGCCTGTGGCTGTGGCTGATGTCCGTTGCTTTTTTGAGGGTATTGTCCCCTTGCACCAGGCCCTGGAGTCTCTTCCTAGTCTGAGGCCTGTTGCTTTTTCCAGTGTGCAATGCAGTGCTTTTACTGGAAAGCAACCTGGAGCTCACAGAGATCAGTAGAAGAAGACAGGACCTACAGAATAAAAAATAATAAAAACCCCAGTCCTGTCCAGTTCCCAGCAGGGTGGTTGCTTGGACTCAAAATAACCCATGTTGACAGAAGAAAGCAGCAAAGCCCTCTGCACATGCATGAGGGAACAACCCTCAGCTACCACCACACAAAAACTTTTAAAGAGAAGGAAAAGGGTTTAAAATAGTGGGGCCATGAGAACAAAAGACGGAGGTGAATGGGTCACGCTTCTATGCAAAACATGAGTGACGCTGCGTTTCAGGGGGTTGGACTAGATTACGCTTGGTGCCCTTTCCAATTCTACGATTCCGTGACCCATTCACAGAAGTCAGTTGGTGGCTACTTGCAAATATAACCATCTCCTATTTGATGTTCGTTTAAGGTCGAGTTTTCTCAGAGCTTAAATGGACAATGACCCCCTGCGGAAAGTGGCTTGGCTCACTTGCGTGAGCTGCGCCTTATCCTCTGTAGAGTGCATCTGCTTTATTGGTGCATTATGAGCCTGAATTGAATAGGTAGATTTGTGTAGGTTAGCAGCTGGATCGTCCTACCTTTTGGGCCAGGGAAGGGATTGTTTGCTTTCTGATAAGGAGAACATTTCTTTTTCTCTCCCTTCTGATTCTTTGGTTTTTCTCCCACCTCCATCCCATTAACTGGTACTGACCCTCCTGGCTTTTGGTCAGATTCAGTAATTGCCATTTGCGGTGCAGCATAAATATGGAGGTCCTGAATATCGGAGGGAAGCATTTGTCTAAGGGAAGCTCTTGCGGGAGAGCCCAGCGACCCTGGTTCCTTGACTTGCTTTGATCCCAGCGCTGGAGAGAGAACCAGCTTCACTCTCTTTTCTCCGTTTCCCTTGCAGCCTCAACACCACCCACTCCGATGAGAACCAGGACACACTCAACCAGCCCATCTACACCGAGTTTGATGACGACTTTGAGGAGGAGTTGACGTCTCCCATAGGCACCTGTGTGGCTCTCTATCAGTTTGAAGGTACCTGCTCAGCAACTATATTTGCAAAGGGACGCGGGTGGCGCTGTGGGTTAAACCACAGAGCCTAGGACTTGCCGATCAGAAGGTTGGCGGTTCGAACCCCCACGACGGGGTGAGCTCCCGTTGCTCGGTCCCTGCTCCTGCCAACCTAGCAGTTCGAAAGCATGTCAAAGTGCAAATAGAGAAATAGGTACCGCTCCGGCGGGAAGGTAAACGGCATTTCTGTGCACTGCTCTGGTTCACCAGAAGCGGCTTAGTCATGCTGGCCACATGACCCGGAAGCTGTACGCCGGCTCCCTGTGCCAATAAAGTGATGAGTGCCGCAACCCCAGAGTCGTCCGCGAATGGACCTAATGGTCAGGGGTCCCTTTACCGTTACCTTACTATATTTGCAAGGAACAGTCCTGCTTTTGGACTGTGCTGTTTGGAATGTGCTATTTCACCCTGCTACCTTGGCAGCGCCAACTTGTGAAGGATGCAGTGGCCAGGCCAGGCCAGGCTCCTTTTGGCCTATATGGCTTCGCCTAAGAAAGAGACCCAGTCTTATTCTCTTCCTGCCCCGCCAGCACAGTTTTCTAACAAAAAGTAGTGTCCTGTATCCGGAAAACGTGATTCCTCATCCTATAAGTTCTAGAGAAATCAAAGGTAGCCATGATGCCTTGAAGTGGGGGAGGAACCCAAGAGCCACAAAATTTACACTGTACAAATCCCCGCAAATTGTTTTATTTGTAAAGCATGTGCAAAATGGTCCAGTTTGCATAATTGTTTCATTGGGGCTTCTACCACTGCACACTTTCACCCCTCAAAATAATAATAATTTATTATTTATACCCTGCCCATCTAGCTGGGTTTCCCCAGCTGCTCTGGGTGGCTCGCAACAGAATATTAAAAACACGATAAAACATCAAACATTAAAATCCTCCCTAAACAGAGCTGCCTTCAGATGTCTTCCGAAAGTGAGATAGTTGTTTATTTCCTTGACATCTGATGGGAGGGCATTCCACAGGGTGCACACCACTACCAAGAAGGCCCTCTGCCTCCCTGTAACTTCACTTCTCGCAGTGAGGGAACTGCCAGAAGGCCCTTGGGACTGGACTTCAGTGTCCGGGCTGAACGATGGGGGAAGTGCAGTAGCGAAAAGGAAGATTCTCCGGAACCTGATTTCTGTTGTACCTTTCCTGCACTTTGGCAGACCCTCAGCATGCAAATAGTCCTGTCACAGGACGTCCCTCCCTAGAGCGCTAATGGCTCATCCAAGATGGCAAAGCTCACCCCATACAGTCTTTCTGGGACTGTGGAGGGGTTGCTACAGCTGTGGTGCCAGTGTGGTGTAGTGGTTAAGAGCGGTAGTCTCCTAATCTGGGGAACCGGGTTCGCGTCTCCGCTCCTCCACATGCAGCTGCTGGGTGACCTTGGGCCAGTCACACTTCTTTGAAGTCTCTCAGCCCCACTCACCTCACAGAGTGTTTGTTGTGGGGGAGGAAGGGAAAGGAGAATGTTAGCCGCTTTGAGACTCCTGAAGGGGAGTGAAAGGCGGGATATCAAATCCAAACTCTTCTTCTTCTTCTTCTTCTTTCCCTGCCAATGTCCTGGCTGGGAACACCGGTCAAGTATCCCAGCCGCATGGGCTATGGAGGCAGAGGTAAACCAACCTAAATAAACCACTGAGCCTCTTGAGCTTGCCGATCAGAAGGTCGGCGGTTCAAATCCCCGTGATTGAGTGAGTTCCCATTGCTCTGTCCCAGCTCCTGCCAACCTAGCAGTCTGAAAGCACACCAGTGCAAGTAGATAAATAGGTACTGCTGTGGTGGGAAGGTAAACAGCGTTTCCGTGCACTGTGGTTTCCGTCACAGTGTTCCATTGCACCAGATGCGGTTTAGTCATGCTGGTCACATGACCCGGAAAGCTGTCTGCGGACAAACGCCAGCTCCCTCAGCCTGAAAGTGAGATGAGCGCCGCAACCCCATAGTCGCCTTTGACTGGACTTAACCGTCCAGGGGTCCTTTACCTTTACCCTTTTTACTTTGGGTTATTACTTAAGCTTCTGCTCACTTGCCAGCTTGCTTGCTCTCCACCCCACTCCAGGTTCCAGTGAAGGTACGATCTCCATGCTGGAGGGCGAAGAGCTCGGCTTGATGGAGGAGGACAAGGGCGACGGGTGGACCCGTGTACGGCGAAGCAAAGGAGGCGAGGGGTACGTCCCCACTTCCTACCTGCGGGTCAACCTCAACTGAGTGCCGAATTGGCCGTGGTACGAGGCCTGCGGCTTGGAGACTTCTGAGTCAACAGCAGGGCGCGTGTGGAAGAGAAGTGCAGTGTTTCAGCTGACTGGGGGAAGGACAGTGCAATGCCGGCTGCGGGTGACCCCATCCGAGAAGGAAGGTCACACCAAATCACCACTGCAGAAACTGGGGGAGGCGACTTTGCTTGCCTGAAGAGAAGAAATGATGGCTGCAGCCCGCTCAAAATCTTGGATAAGAGCCATGGGGGAGAGGGGTGGAATTGGTCTCCATGCTAATAATGTGCCCCCAACCAGTAATTTCCCTTTCCTCCCTCCCCGCCATGCCTTTGGAGGCAAGCTTAGCTACACTAGATCCCTTGCAAAACGTTCTCTAGCAGGAACGGATCGAAACGTGCCGCTTGCTTCCTCCTTTAGCAACGTTGCGGTTCTGCATAAAGGATGGGGATGCCTCGCTTCCCGCCTCTAGCCCTGGGTGGGTCTCCCATCGTGTAAGCACAATTGGTGTGGCATGCGTGCGGGGGGGGGGGGCGTTGCTTCCTCTCTCCCAGCTGCCCTGGGCAAAATGGGCCCGCCTTCTCATGGGGGCAAGGTGGCAGCCATCCCCCTCAGTAGGGCTGGTTGGAGCAGAGCTCTCTCTAAGGAATCAGTAGCTGCTTTGCACTGCAAGTCAGTAGATTCTGTGTGTTTGTGTGTGTGTATGTATGTGTGTGTGTGTGTGTGTACCAGTGAGAAGGGAGCCGAATTGAAAGGAAGCCTTTAACTTGCACCCTCATGCCACTGTGCCTGCCATTGGCTTTCTGGGGTAGGGTGGAGGGAGAACCGGGTTATGAATAGCTGCTTGGCAAGGCAGTCGGCTGCTATCGCTGCGTAAGGTGTGAGCACCACCACCTCTGCTCAGAAGGCAGGCCAAATGCCACAGCCGCATCAAACACACCCAGCTCCTCTTTCCTTGAAACGCACTTTATTTTTCCTGGATTGATTGGCCTGGCCCCTTCAGCCATTCAGAAGTGCCTACTCCCTGGAGTCACTACCCTGAACCCTGAACTTTGCCATTGGGGACAGCCACCAATTACTTCCTGCCCCCCAGATCTGTGGACTTTCGTGTGGCTTTGTTTTTAGGAAACAAAACAAAAAGAGGACTCTTAACATATTAGCCTTTTTATACAGTGACCAATTTATTTTACCACTCAGTTTAGCTTCTTACTCACATAATCGGTAAAATGTCCCTGGCTCTTAATCCTGGTTCCCCCATAAAGCATGGAGGGGGGGGGTAAGGGGATTTGGGGGGGCCCAAGCCACACTCTCTCTCGAGATGTAGAATGTATTTGCTGGTGCCTTTTTACACTTTATGTAAATAGCAGACAAAATTTAGCCTGTGCAGTTGACTGTTGGTTTCTCTGGCCTCCCAAGTGCGGGTTTTTTAAGAAGTTTATAAAAATGCTAGATGGCTGTGTATGTCGATCATTTGGGAGCGGACTACCCCCTGTCCCTATTTATCACAAAGACCCCCTGCCAACCAACCTTTCTGCCCCTTTATCATAAGCTGCCTCTATGGCTTGTAAGCAAAGCATACATGACATAGACGGCAGCAAAATATGAAATGGCACTTGGCAAATCAAGGGTGTTAGGAGACCCAGGGCCCTTCAGCCCTCAGCCCCCCAGGATTAGGTTATGGGGGTTGCTGGAAGACCACTATTTCACAATTTCTACTGCAGAGCTGTAGTGAGATGAGGGAGTTTAGTAACCTGAGGGTTTGGGGGGGTGCTCAACTGCTTAAGATTAATTACATCTAATTCTAGAAAGAACAGTGCCTTGAGTATCTCCTTTCATTTTGGAGTGGGGAGACACCTTCCAGCATCAGTATTGGGCAAATGCCACTAATCAGTTAGCTTGGAGAGCTTAAATACATCTGCAGTTAAGTTTCAACAGCCTTGGTCCAAACACCAACACGGATACCTATAAGCATGTGCTGAAACAGAAGGGGTGTGTAAAATGTAACTTCCTGGGTTCTAAAACCACGCCAGTAATCCCAGATTTCCCCATCTGTAGCATTCTTAATTGGCATTCAAACTAGAGTAGGATGGGAACAGAATGCTTCCACCACCATATAGTAACAAAGGCCTTTGACTGCTTTCTACCTGTTCAGTCCCCAGCAGAGGCTGCCTGTATTCTCAAAGGCTGGGAAAGGCCCCAGTGGCCTCAGGCAGCGTAGAAAGACGACCATTTGTTTCCTAGAAGGAACGTCTCTCTCACCGAAAAGTCTCGGCTCCTTGCGAACGCTGCCGCCTGTGCCTTCCAGTCCCGGAAGTTTCTCGTGGCAGCAGCATCAGGTGCTTCTTCCTTTGGCTTCTCAACCAATTACTCTTTGCCGTTCCCTGCGTGCATCCCAGCTGGTGTGTCAGGAGTGCAAAACTCTTAGTCCCGTTCATTCCAATTTCTGGGAAAGGACAGTCAGGATCTGTTCAAATTTCTTGTGCCTCTCCACCCGGTCCACATCGGCTCCTCTGCTGCCCCAGAATAAGCGGAGGGAAAACTCAGTCTGGAATGCTTCCAGGAGTTCTGGAGTACCTTGGAACCCTGGAGAAGGGATAAAAAACAGCCGTGAGGCTCCAGCAGTTGTCCATGGGGAGTGAGAGAGTTACACGTAGGTCAGGCACCAGGTTTGCCCACAATAGAGGTGGCTCAAGGTGTGAAGTTGCACATTATAAGCTTAGAGAGAAGCAGTTCCAGGACATAACAAAACAGCAGTTTGAGCAGTGCTGGCTTAACGGAAAGGCTCAGCACGAAACCATATTCTTTAGATGCCACAATACCAGGTAGAAGAAAGGGCAGCCCCTCTGGGCCACAGTGGCGCTTTTGTGCATCAGCTTAAACACACATGCATGAAAACATTAAGGCAGCATGAAAAGGAATGCCTCTCTGCAAGCCTCTGCTTGAGGCACCAGGTGTTGGCTGTGCAGAATTCAGATCCTGAGCAAAGCAGATTATGATGTTATCACAAGCAACACAAGCCACAGTGGACAGATGCAGCATGTCGCAAATTTAACCCCCCGAGCTTCAGGGAAAGGAACTAATAGGCTACTCAAGTAGTGCTACAAGACATGAACTCCTGTGGGTTGGTTCTTGCTATCTAGCTTTTTTATTGGAAAGGCAGCAGAAAAGCTGGCTGGAGAAGGGAGAGAGTGTTTGCCTGGGGCTAAGACAAGCTGACACAGAAGAAAATAATGGAAGTGCAGAAGCCTTCGCTGCCTAGAATAAAATGTAGGCGAGGGAAGGCCTTGGCACAAGTTGCACGTGCGCCTGAGAGGCCTCGCTTTGAGGATCCCCTTTGGTGTTTTTGTGATGTGCAAACTACACCTCTTCACAACCTCCCAAAAAAATCTCGCTGCTTCACATTTTAAGCACCAATGTGGCTACAGGATTTGACTGAGGACACCCAACAGTCTCTTGCTTGAATTGGGGGGGGCGTGTCAAACAGGGCATGCATCTGCACATGAACACATGGCATTTACAGAGGGAATGGCAATGTTTCTGCCACTCCGTAGGACAGAAGGAGGTGCTGCCCATGGCAAGAGCAAGGCTGGACCTAGGAATCCATGCTGCAGAACTTGGCTGGCAGGCAAAACACAGTCCAGCAACAGTAGCAGCAGCAGCAGCAGCAGCCCCTTTTGCTGTGGCAAAAGTCAGCGATGGAACGGTTGCCTGCCAGATTTCGCTTTGGAAAGCCCAGGTTCCAACCCCTACACAGCCATGACACTCACTTTGCCCCTGGATGCATCTGTCTATTCCTGCAGCTCAGCCAACTTTGTTTCCTTAACTTTTTCGGTTTCTGGAAATCTCTACAACAAACAATCTCCATGTACTCCCAAGAAACGTTCCATGCATATGCAGTTGTAAATGTTTGAGAGAATAAAATGTAAGTCTCTCATATACTGTACTCTAACCTGAGCACAAAATGAGACTGTAAAGGGATGAAGCAGCCAACCTCTGGACAGGCTTGGGCTCATCAGTACTGTCCAGAGCTATCCTACCTTGGAGCTTTGCTTCAGCACTGATTCGGTAGGCACTGGCGTTGTTGGCCATGAACCGAGCTGCTTCCAGTGTCCGTAGAAGAGCGTCACAGGTCTCCTCATTGCTACCCCAGACTTCTCCTTCCATAAGGCAGAGGAGGGGCAGGATGTGGGGAACTGCAACTTCCTTCAGGGTGGGGACTGAATTCCCTGTGGGGCAGAAGCACAAATCACTTTATAATTAAATTATTTTTTAAAAAAGAAAAATGGAAGGGGCCACAACTAGAAGAGCCCATGCCTTGCAGGCAAAAGTCCTGTGTTTGATTCCTGGCATCTCCAGTTAAAAGGACCCCAGGAGCCTTTTTGTAATGGGAAAGACCTTAAGGAGTTGCTGTCAGTCAGAGCAGACAGCGCTGGCTAACAGGCTGACGTGCAAATTCTCAAAAATGCTGCTGCTTCAATTTAGAGCTCAGTAAGTAAATTAATAATGCTTTTTAAAAAACAAAAAATGGAGCTTCAGGAGACAGTAGGAGAGCAACGGTATATTAGATGCAAGTATATAGGAAGGATGAATTTTTTCTCCAAGAGCCTGTGCACATAATTCATCTGGGTGTCATCCAACTGCAGGAGGAGCCTACAGAGTGGTCCCCAGCCAGAGGCAAGGTAGTTGCCTCCATCCACACCTATTTCCAAGATGGGGAGGCAGCATTGCGTTCACATCACCCCCAGCTTCCCCTGCACAGGCTTTTTCTTCCTGGGCCGCCATGTAAATGGGGCTGTAGCCAAACACCGCCTTCTGCACGTTGAAAGGTGGGTACAAAAGTGACCTGACCTTGAGATTGGGGGGGGGGGGGCTGCAATGACAAGCCAAGAGCTGCCATAGTGTTTAGTACCAAAGCATGGAAACGAAGGTTTCAGAAGGGTACCAAATGGTTTTTAATAGGTCCCTTTCAACTCTACAATTCTACGGTTCTAGCAAAGCCCTTCCTGTGAACTGTGGCACAGGCAGATGCCACAAAAATAAACATCCGTGGGGCTATACACTGTGCGACACCTGCAAACCACAACTAGGTTCAAGCATGTGGAAAGGGAGCCATAGAACCATGTCATCGCGTAGACGCCATGTTCTGCATCCTCCGGCGTGCCTCCGTCAAAATGGCTAAGAGGCCTCACCTTCAGCCCGGTTCAGGCACCCCATGAGAGGCTTCAGCATCTTCTCAAAAGTGATGGCGCTCTGCGTGTGGTTCTGGCGCAGGTGCCTCCATGTTTGTTCCAGTCGCGTGATCTGTAGAGGGAGAAGCAGAGTCAAACTTACTGGACCAGCTACCAGCAGACTTCTGTGTCACAAAAAGACCTGGGTGATTGACCTGATAAGGTTTTTTTAAAAAAAAAACCCACAGAGCATTAAAACAGGGGTCAGCAACCTTTTTCAGCCGTGGGCCAGTCTACCATCCCTCAGACCATGTGGGGGGGCTGGACTATATTTGGGGGGGGTGAATGAATTCCTATGCCCCACAAATAACCCAGAGGTGCATTTTAAATAAAAGCACACATTCTACTCATGTAAACACACTGATTCCCAGACCGTCCGTGGGCCGGATTGAGAAGGCGATTGGGCCGCATCCAGCCTAATCCAGAAGAAGAAGAAGAAGAGTTTGGATTTGATATCCCGCTTTATCACTACCCAAAGGAGTCTCAAAGCGGCTAACGTTCTCCTTTCCCTTCCTCCCCCACAACAAACACTCTGTGAGGTGAGTGGGGCTGAGAAACTTCAAAGAAGTGTGACTAGCCCAAGGTCACCCAGCAGCTGCATGTGGAGGAGCGGAGATGCGAACCCGGTTCCCCAGATTACGAGTCCACCGCTCTTAACCACTACACCACACTGCTCCCAGGTGTTGCCTACCCCTGATATACAGGATGGAAATGTGTTAAATCCACACAAGGGGGTTAATAAGTCTGTATGCAAGCTTCTGCATAACAGCCAGGGCTTCTTCTATATTCACACCCTGTGGTTGGGCAAATTTAAATTCGATCCCTTTCACTGGCATTAATCTGCACATTTTTTTCTGAGCCCGAAACCTCTTGGCCTTGAATGGCAAGTTCAGGACCAAAATAAGGGCTGGCATTATCAGCACGTGCAGATTTATTGAGGTATAACTTTGTACATGCCACGAGCAGGGACTTTTTAATGAAACATCAGAAGAATTCAAGAAGGATAACTGGGATGAAGCCTCCCCATTCTGAGGAAACATGGCTCTGTTAAAATATCCACGCTCTCATGTTCTAAAGCACATTACAGTGGTACCTCTGGTTACGTGCTTAATTCGTTCTGGAGGTCCGTTCTTAACCTGAAACTGTTCTTAACCTGGAGCACCACTTTAGCTAATGGGGCCTCCCGCTGCCACCGCACTGCCAGAGCACGATTTCTGTTCTCATCCTGAAGCAAAGTTCTTAACCCAAGGTACTATTTCTGGCTTAGCGGAGTCTGTAACCTGAAGCGTATGTAACCCAAGGTACCACTGTACATCCTTCAGTGAGGCCCAGAAACTAGATACTTGTTTTTCAGATGAAAGTGGTTTGAGGGGAGGAGAGATCACAACAGCCATCTAACAGCAAGTCACACAAAGTGAGAGCAGGGCTGGCTTTTCCGAAGGGCCACGCTTGTCCGTGGCCCACTACACAATCCTCCTGGGCAAACAGCTGCTCCACAGCCTTGGCTTTCCATACCCTGCAGCAGATCCCGTGACCAGAGTGTTGGCAAATGCCTTACTGTTCATTTCACTCCCCTACTCATCTCTCACCTGCGGCAGCTGCAAGGCTTTCATCACAGCAGAGAGGGCAAAGAGGTCCCCCGCTGACTTCCACAGCTCCACCGCCAGCAGAATGATCTTGTGCAGAATGGCCGCCCGCTCAGCTGGGGACCCTGTGCAGCCTAGGATGTCCACAGCGATGCCCAGAGCGATGAGGTGGTGCCTGAGGGGTGGCAAAGGGGGAATCTTGAGTGGACAGACAGGGGTCGCTGCTGCCCTCAAAACAAACACAGTCTTGTGCAGAAGCAATGACAGATAATTATAGAGTTTTATTTTGTCCTCCCATGAAATCACCACAAGAGGGTGCTGTGCCACAGAAAATGGACATCTTAAAGGTAAAGGTACCCCTGACCGTTAGGTCCAGTCCCAGACAACTCTGGGGTTGCACACTCATCTCGCTCTATAGGCCGAGGGAGCCGGCATTTGTCCGCAGACAGCTTCCAAGTCATGTGGCCAGCATGACTAAGCCGCTTCTGGGGAACCAGAGCAGCGCATGGAAACGCTGTTTACCTTCCCGCCGGAGCGGTACCTATTTATCTACTTGCACTTTGACGTGCTTTCGAACTGCTAGGTGGGCAGAAGCAGGGACCAAACAACGGGAGCTCACCCTGTCACGGGGATTCGAACTGCCGACCTTCCGATCGGCAAGCCCTATGCTCAGTGGTTTAAACCACAGCGCCACCCGCGTCCCTTACTCCCATCTTATCCAATGCTAAATGTGTTTGAATATACCCATAATTCAGGAAATCCCTAATCCCATCACCTACCATCAGAAGAACAGAATTTTATACTACTGCTGAGTGATCAAGTAACATCACAACCACATTATATCGCAAACCCTTGCAAACACAGGAGCGAATTCTTGGGGGCTGAGGTCCCCCATAAAATATTTGAGGAGGTTGCCCCCCACCAATGTTGATGGGCATTGCCACTCAAATGGTGCGTGTGCACATCATGTGATTATGTGGGGTGGGGCTTACCTCGCCCCCCAAATATTTTACTCAAGTTGGCACCCCTGCTTACAAGGTAGGATTATTCCCCCTATTGCAGCTGTGGGGCTGACATTGAGACAGTCTGCCTAAGTCACAGCGTGAACTCAGAACCAGACACATCCCCAAATCCTTAGCCTCTTAGTCACTCCACCGTATCAAAAAGGTGTAGCATAAATTTTAATAAGTAAACATTCCAAACTCGGGAGCACAGCAGCAGTTTTGTGGTAGGAAGAGGGCTTGAGGCCTGTCTGACCAATGCTCCAATTTCAATACCACACCTAGAGTTTCCCACCACAAATGTTTCAACTCTCAAGGGCTTTGAATTTTACACGTGTGATTTCTAGTCTTGGGGAAAACACTCAGGTTTTCAGATTAGCCAGAATCACATCACAGCCCAGGTGTGAAACTCAACATGGTGCATACAGAGGTTTGGGCTGCTGTTTGCTGCTCAGACTATTCAAGTGAATACAGTCAACCAGTTGCCAAGCGGTAACCGAGTAGTTACAAGATCACAGTGCTAAGTTAGCTATTTATTTGGAGCTCTGTCTGGCCGGAGGCTGGGTGACTCCCCGTAAAAACCCTCCTGCTGGATTTTCCCTTGCTGGATTTCCTACTCGAACATGTTTCCACTTGGCAAACAGCTTTGCATACTCATCTCAAGCCCTAGAAGGAGGAAAAATGCAGCCAACACACACAAAAGTATTTCAGGGCCCCTAGAACACTCAGCCTAAGAAAATTCTTTTCCGCCTTCCAGTACATTCATTAGCAAAGTTTACAATTTCCATACTGACTTGGTTGCCCCCCACACCCGATCTCTCTCTCTCTCTCTCTCTCTCTCACACACACACACACACACACACACACACAAACAAACAAACACACAGAGCAATTGCATGAGCCACAAGCAACCAACTCCTGGGGTAGCTGTGGTCATCCTAGGAATGCCACTCTCCCCTCTTGTGGGGTCTGCTCCGTTAAAGGTAAAGGGTAAAGGGACCCCTGACCACTAGGTCCAGTCATGGACGACTCTGGGGTTGCAGCGCTCATCTCGCTTTACTGGCTGACGGAGCCAGCGTACAGCTTCTGGGTCATGTGGCCAGCATGACTACTTCCTTCTGGTGAACCAGAGCAGTGAACGGAAACGCCGTTTACCTTCCCACTGGAGCGGTACCTATTTATCTACTTGCACATTGTGCTTTCGAACTGCTAGGTTGGCAGGAGCAAGGACCAAGCAACGGGAGCTCACCCCATCGCGGGGATTCGAACCGCCGACCTTCTGATCGGCAAGCCCTAGGCTCTGTGGTTTAACCCACAGCGCCACCCGTGTCTGCTCCATTGCCCACTCCCAAATGTCAATACCTTTCCAGCAGGTCTTTCCGCAACTGATGCCCTTGAGGGAGGGTTATGAGTTCCAGACCTGAGCTGACCCCCATCACCCGCCGCTGCTCCTTGGACACTCCAATGATTCTGGCAACCTGAAGAATAGAGGGGGGACATTTTGGGGAAAGGGTGAGGAACCTGAGGCAGCCAACGGCCTCCCTCCCGCCATTCCGCTCCCCAGGCTGGTTTCCCTTGTGGGCTGCCACAGATATCGTGCTTCCCACCTGAGGTAAGCAAGCATAAAAATCTGCTTTCTGTAACGAGGTGCACAATGAGAAGTGCTCAGGTGAGCACCCAGGAACTAAACACGAACACAATGTGGTAGTAAAAATCATCATTTTTGGGACCCAACGTGTGAGAACCTTCCCTGGTCCATTAGAGCGAGGAGAGATCAGGCATTTTAGGAATCAGAACATTTCTTTGAAAGTTGCACTATGTAGGAATGCAAAAATGCAACCCACATGCATTTTTTTCCATTTAAAAACAAGTCGGCCTTCCCCACATCGCTTCCACACAGCTCCAATCTCATGGCTCTCCATTGCCTTCATAAGGCTTTTAAAAACTTCACAATGAATCTCTGGCTTAAAAGCAAACCTATCTCTTCTGAATGAGGCAGCTTTATTTTGTTAAACAAAATTAAAACAGTGTCATAAATAGCATGTGTGCAGGAGTAAGCAAGAGGGCTGAAGGAAGAGAAATCTTGGCTCCAAAGCTTTCTGCTCTGAGATTTATTCATTGATTTTAAAAGAAAAGTAAACGTCCACCTTGTCATGTTTAGTTCTCAGGGCAACACCATGCATCTCTCTCTCTGTCTTGAGATGTACTAAAGACAAAGGTTACCTACCTCTTAACCAAGGCAGGTCTTATCCTTAATTATTTAGTTTATTATACTTTTACCATCTAGGATGGACTGTGAGTGGGTTTCAGAAGGATAGCAGTGTGTTACAGTAAAAACAACAGTGTCTTGGGGCATTTTGTAGGCCAACAAAGAGATCAGCTTTTGTGAGCCACAGAGCAGTTGGACACATAAACGATGGTCTAGCCAGTCGACAAAAGCTCTTGGCACAGTCCATCTGTCAGTTTTTGCATCATCTTAAAAAGAATGAAAGCTTTATAATTTATGCTTATGGGCAGAGAAGAGATTCTACAGTCATACCTCAGGTTATGAACGCTGCGGGTTGCACGTTTTTGGGTTGCGGACCGCGCCAAACCTGAAAGTACCAGAATGGGTTATTTCCAGGTTTCAGCGCTCGAGCATGTGCAGATGCACAAGATGACGTCACGTGCATGCGCAGAAGTGCTGCAGGTTGCGAACATGCCTCCTGCACAGATCACGTTCGCAACCTGAGGTATGACTGTATTCTGCATTTCACTGAAATGTCCGGTAAAATCCTGATGTCGAAAGTGTAGATTTTGGTGGGGGGTGGGGGGGAGCTCAACAACTTTGGGCAAAACTAGAAACACCCTCCCCCCAGCTTAGAATAGGGCTGGGCAATATATGGATGTATCACCTAAAACTGGTTTGAAGTCCGTATCCTGATATTGGTTTCATAATTTTTGACCTGGCCATATATCGCAAATCATGGTGTGTGTTAGCGTGTGCGTGTTATTGTGAAAATCACAATGTGGGAAAAACTGTGAAGCCAGCCAATGCCTCTCCATAGTTCCATTCTCATTTCAGATATTATGATGTATCCGTACATTGAAATATTTAGCTGGTGATATATCACAATACTGAAAACCAGATATTGCCCAGCCTTGATACTGAGCTGGAAGCCAGGTCTCCTACCTAGATTTAGCCCCTACCCCATTGTGAGAAGGAGAATTCACCCCCCTACCAAAAAAACACACCTCCTAGCCGAAATATTTTGTGCACCAGCCACAGTGGTGGTGCGGCAGAGAACATACTACAGATCAGCATTGAGCTCAGCAGTGAGCTCTCAGGACAGGTTTGGACAAAAACAATCATCTGTAAAAGGCCCAAAATGTGCCATACTTGAGGTGGGGGCAGGAGATCACCGGGACGAATGGTAAAGTGAAAAGTTGTTGTTGTGTGTCCCCCACCCACCTGCCGCTGGTCTCTCACCTGGCAGTCTACCTGGAGAATGTGTAGGGCAGTTGCCCGGCAGTCGTGCTGGGCAAACAGGTCCTTGAGACGTTTTAGGGCGCTGGGCTCCAGGGGTTTGTTGTCAGGGGCCAAGAGCAGCGACTTGAAGTGGCGAGGCTGGAAGGAGGAGGTGGTCTCTACCAGGGGCCATTCGAATTCTGGCTCCTCGGCAGCCTCCGCCGTGTCAGGGAGGGTAGAAGGTGCCCCGTCCGTGTCCAGGAACCCAAAGGACGTCTCTGTGATGTAGGCCTGGCCCCGCCACCGTTCTTCCTTCCGTAGACGTTCCACATGGCTTCCGGGGCCTTCGGGAGCCTTGGGAACCAGTTCGCAGTAGTCGCTCACCAGCATGGACGGGGCCCTCAAAGGTTTGGGTGGAGCCTTGGAGTGGAGCCGTCCCTCAGAACCGCTCAGTGGTGGACCTCCCAGTGGGCGAGGCTTCAGGGCGTTGGGCCGCAGGACAGGGTCGCTGCCTGTGCGGAAGGCAGGAGACAGGGGAGGGAGCTGGCACCGGTCCTGGGCTCCAGGTGATGTTTCTGGGCTACCTGTGGGTCAGAAGAAAGAACAGGCACTAAGTCCACGCAGTGTCAGGGGCTGGGCAGAGGAGGAATGGTGGAGACCACCTCCCCAGCCTGAACCTTCCTGAAGGAATTACAACAGGGGTTTGAGGGGGATCACAGCTCAGAGGAAGATGAGGGGGAAAGTAGGGAAATAATGGGAGAGGATGAGGCAGAGACGGAGCAGCTGGCTGACACGTTATCACTAGAAAGCATTCCAGACCCGCCATCTCCCAGAACGTGGCGAGCCTTAAAAGTAGGAGAGCAAAGGGCTCAGAAGCAAAGTGGCCTCAGCGTCACCTGTAGAAGAGATAACGAATGAGGAAGTGGGAGAGGAGGGTGGAGATTGACCCAGGACAACGTCATTATTCCAAGAGGCTACATTCCCAAGCCTTTCTCTGTAAATATTGAATAAAAAGTAGATGGTAAGGACTTTTCCTTGTCTTATCCATTCCTGGCAGGGTGGATAAAAATCAATTTTTTTAAAAAAAATTAATTGGATTTTTTTTTAATTTAAATTGGATTTTTTTTATTTAAATTAGATTTTTAAAATAAAATGCTTTTGGATGAAAAATCTTTCTAAAGATAGTTTTCTATTTAAGTTACATTATAGTCCAAAGGCTATTCATCAGGAAATAAGGATTTGTTTTAAGTTTTTCATCTGTGCTAAAACTCAGTCTAAGTTTGCTTTTTTTAAAAAAACAAACTGTTTAACCACATCAATTAACAAACATGGATACATATGCTGTAATGTTATTGTTTAAGTTAAATAAATTGTTTAAATTGTTATTAAGGAAATGGTTGTTTTTCTCCTTCCAATAAAGTACAGCAGAAAAGTTTTCCAAATATAAAGTTAACTTATTAAATCTCACAATAACTTCATAATTATCTGTCTATGTATTTCGAAGTCTTACTGACTAGTGATTTAAATCGATTTGATTTAAATCAAATCCACCCTGGTTCCTGGCAACTGGACGTGGGGGTTGGTTCCTCTGCAGTCTGAAAGGCAGTAAGCTCCAACTCTCAAATTAAGCCCATCAAACCCAGGTCATCGTATTAGTCGTTGGCCAATGATGCTGATATTCAAATATCCAAATCTGGGTTATCGTAGAGCTGAAACAGTGCCCACTGCTTTTCCCAGTCAGTAGAGCATGAGACTCTTAATCTTAGGGTTGTTGGGCAAAAGATTCCTGCATTTCAGGGGGTTGGACTAGATGACCCCAGGGTGCCTTCCAACTCTAAAATTCTATGATTCTGTGACCCAACTGTCTTTCTCGATTGGCACCCATTCCAACAGCAACAACTGCTGTCCTCATATACCTTTTCTAAATAAATAAGCAAAACAGCCCAAGGAGGTCTATTCTTCAAAATCCCACAATTTACAACCTAAGAGAAACAATCCATGATTTACTCTGGTTCTGAAGTGTGGTTTGGATTTGTTGTTGTTGCTGTTTCTGCTCTCAACCCATTAAAGTAGGACCTTGTTGTGTTGTTCTTTTTCCATTGGTAAATGCCATGATTTTTGAACAGAATAAAAATCTCTCCTTTCGCATGAAAAAATAAAAAGTGAAACATCATGTCTATTTTCAAGCTGGATGACAGAAGGTAAAGATAAAGAGGTTAAGGACCCCTGGACAGATAAGTCCAGTCAAAGGCGACTACAGGGTTGCGGCGTGCATCTCACTTCAGGCTGAGGGAGCTGGTGTTTGTCCACAGACAGCTTTCCAGGTCATGTGACCAGCATGACTAATCCGCTTCTGGTGCAGTGGGACACTGTGACGAGTGCCAGAGCACACGGAAACGCCATTTACCTTCCAGGCACAGCAGTACCTATTTATCTACTTGCGCTGGTGTGCTTTCAAACTACTAGGTTGGCAGAAGCTGGGACAAAACAACAGGAGCTCACCCAATCGAGCGGATTCAAACTGCTGACCTTCTGATCAACAAGCCCAAGAACAACTGGACAGTGGAAAACATCCCAGAAAGCTGATGAAAACTTAACAGCTTGCCTCTTTTAAGTCTAGTAATAACTGCACTGAACTTTTACCATTGCTTACCCACCTCCAGCATTACAAACAGAAGCTGATATTGAGCCTGCCATCTCCACGTCACTCACCTGTCAGCAAATTGCTGTCCGACTGGGCACCATGCAAGGACGGCTTCCGATCCAACTGGTCTAGACTACTGGGGTCACTTCCACTTCGATCTTTTGTCCTGGGGTGGGGGAGGCGGATAAGAGGGAAATGACTGGCTGACCAACCCATTCCAGCCCACCAATGCCGCCTTTCAAAAACCTGCAGAAAAGCCACTTGAATGTGTGGACCAGCTGCCAGATAATGCTTAGACTCACATACAAATGGACATCACACTGACGCGGCTTCAAGAGCCACAACGCAAGGCAGGTCAATTCACACGTTTATCTCATACTTGGACAGAAGGGAGGGGAGGAGGGAGCCCAAGGCCCTCTGAAGCACTGAACTATGGTTTGGCATTACATCTGAACGAGACCAGGGAATTGCTCACAGCTATTTAGACGTAGGTCTAAAAGTTGTGCTTCCTCCTAGTTGGCCTGCTTAAATCACAGGAACTTGTGGCTCTCCAGATGTCGTTGAACTACAACACCGATCATTCACCCCTAACCAGTACTATTTTTCTAGAAAAAGAGGTGCTGGAACTCACCATGAACAACTCCTTCGTTCTCTTAGAATGGCAATGGTGTCCACTTGAGAGGTGCCAGAACTCACCTGAGAGATGCTGGAACTGAGTTCCAGTTTGGGGGGGGGAAGCCCTGCCCGTAACCATTGGCCATGCTGGCTGGGAATGGGATTTGGGAGTCCCATTAGGCACTGGCTTAGATTTGCACAAGAAAGCCATGCCATGCCCACCATCGCAACCTCCCCCAAGACAAAGCTCCCACAGTAATTGTTTGCTCACCGAAGCAAGCTCCCGTCTCCCGTCTCCTCCGCATCTGCGGCTGCACGGAAGCTGAAGCGCCGAAGGGGCACCCTGCCCGGCCCCGGGGGTTGGCCAGTGTCGCTGTACCGCTCCTTCAGCCAGCGGAGGGGCACGCTCCTGTTGACAGGCCGGGACACCACGGCTCCCGAGGCGTCCGAGATGGCCTTCTGATTGCCCACGTAGAAGCGCACCAGGGCGGGCACGTTGTCAAACTGCTCCTGCTCAAACTGGAAGAGGGTGCGGGAATAGCCCTTCCGGGGGCGCAGCACCACGCGGATGATCTTGAAGTGCAGGGCCTGGCCGCCCCAGCGGCACGACAGGACGTAGTCGCCAGAGCTGGACCGTGAGTCACGAATGAGGAACTCTCCATCGTCCTGCAGCAGAGACTCTGCCTCCTAAGGCCAGAAAGGAAAACGAGGGAGAGAGAGATAGAGGAACTTAGTTTGCGGTTGGAGGTGGCCGAGGAGATCAGGAGCAAAAACAGTGTACAGTGGTACCTCGGGTTAAGAACTTAATTCGTTCCGGAGGTCCATTCTTAACCTGAAACTGTTCTTAACCTGAGGTACCACTTTAGCTAATGGGGCCTCCCACCACCGCGCAATTTCTGTTCTCATCCTAAAGCAAAGTTCTTAACCCGAGGTACTATTTCTGGGTTAGTGGCGTCTTTAACCTGAAGTGTCTGTAACCCGAGGTACCACTGTAGCAAGAAAGGAGGGTTGTCTAGCAGGATCCAAGGAGTCAGTGTGGAGAGGTACTGCAAGTCCATCGGCAGGAGACCATATCTGCTATAGGATACCTTTGACAGCTACATCAATCTCTCTTCTGGGCCAGATACAATATGCACCCTTCAAAACTCTTCCCTTCCGGACAACTATTAAAGGAGAGAACCTTGCAGCTACTGAACGCAATAAGCCCATAGGGCAGTGGTTTTCAACCAGTGTGCCGTGGCACCCTGAGGTGCCTTGAATGATGGTCAGTGCTGCCATGGGCAACACTAGCCTCTGTCCCTCTTTCTTTCCCTCCCTCCTCTGATGCCCTCTTGCATGTCTCTGCCTCCCAAAGACCTGCACAGCTGTTTGTTGCAGCATTCCGGCTATAAGCTCCGCAGGCGAATGGTGCCTCTGGGAGACACCTCTCTTTGGGGCGGGGGGGAGCAGCTCACAGACCAGGGGCGGCAGCAGTGGCTGCCAAGAGGACTCCTAAGGAGAGTGGAGAGAAGGCTGGAGGAACCCTCCGCAAGGGAGGGTGTCTGGAAGAGGGAGAGAGGCTGCCAAAGATTGAAAACCTCTGCCATAGGGAATCCACAGTGGGAAGAGATTTTATAGGGCGTTGTACTGGGTGGCTGTTTGGGTCCCTTCTAACTCTACAATTCTATGATCTCCCCCCCCCCCCCTTTGAGAGGACATGGAATTTGCAGCTTCCGCACACTTTGGAGACACAGAACCATCTTCATCTATGATTTCACCACCACTGTGCCTGCTCTCTGTGCTGAAACAGCTCCTCCTCTTTGTCCAAACTTCCGAAAGAGGCAAAGAGGATTAAGGTAGCTTTGTAAAGGGCTTTGCGTTGAGCAGGACAGGCATTGCGAGTAATACCATCGTGCTGAATTCCACTACATTTTCTACTGCATGTTATTGTTTCCTTCAGCTGTGAACCAACGCAGAGGACTTAGTTGATGGACGGGAGAGAAATGGCACAAGTAATCACGAATACATCGGGAGAAGCAGACCTTCGCCATTCAGAACAGTTTGGGGTACCACCGGCAGATTTCTACACTTTCCGAGAGTTAAGAGACAGTCCCAGGAAAGCATTGTTAAGTTCTCCTCCTGCTCACCGCCACAGTATCCGTGAGCTATTACCTGCCGTGGCAGACAGCCGTGGTACCAGGCGTGGCTGCGAAGTTGCTCAGGGTCCAGTTTCAACTCCTCTTCCAGCTCCTTCCTCAGCTTCTCACCAGCCAGTTCCATATTCTTCTGCTCAGATGTGGAGCAAGAAAGAAGGAGAAGGCGTTAACCAGGCAAGGGGCACAAGACATAAAACAGCTGCTAAGCTGTGTATAAGAAAATATTGATGTACAGTACAACATAAATAGTCTGCAATGTTAGTCCAGGTAACTCGTAGCTTACGTGCATTTAAAACTTGTGCGCATTCAGCTTAAAAAAAATATTAAAAAGGGGGTCAAAAGCGGGTAAAAAAGACTTTGGCAATCTCACCACCCTTGAACGCAATGTGTTTTGACTATACACAATTTTGGCTTTGCCTGCCAACCCCTGCCTAAGTTGAGAGTTGCCTGCATAAGTAGATTCCAGCAGTGCATATTGGTTCAAGTGCCCAAACTAGGACTGGCAGATCCACTCAGCCTTGGAGCTCAGTGGGTGGCCTTGGGCCAGTAACTTTCTTATGTCTCTGTCGAGCCTACCACACAGGGTTGATGTGGGGATTAAATGAGGGGGAGAATCAGCTGCACCATCTTGAACTCTTGTGGGATATAAATGGGGGGAAAGCATTACAGAAGACAGTGGACTGTTGTAAACAAAAATTGCCCTTTTCCCTTATGGGGTATCCAAGAGCCCATATAGAGTCCTTACATAGGTTCCCTAGTGGTAGGAGAAAATAACAGAGGCCAACCAGAGAAAATTGAGAAGCAAAGCAGCTAGTAAGCTTGATCTTTATTGATCTGTTGCAACAGGGTGCTCCCCTCACCCACAGGAGAGGAGGAGGAACCCAGAAAAATGGCGTCCAAGGCCTTATAAAAACTTTTGAAATTGCCACCTTGTAGAACAAGACCACCCCCAGAAACATCATACATACATCACAGAAGGGGTGTAACCTAAGACCACCCCTCAGATACATCATACCTACATCACAGAAAAGGCGGTCTTAAAACAGAAATTTGAATGTTGTTTTTCTGCCATCATTGTTTATCTCCTGTCTGGCAGGTTACTTGATTGGATTGCCTGGGGAGCCTGGCCAGTCTTTTGTAACGATAAATACTTAGTTCCTGGGCCATGTCACAGGCTCACACCCTATTCAAACACAGACATACCCTTAAGACAGGATTTGTGAAGGAAAAGACAATGGGGAGGCTTTTCCACTTTGACCTTGCAGAGAAAACATTTGCTCAGTTTAGGAATCAAAATGACTTCAGGTCGGTCTTCCTGTGCTGATCTATGTACGTGCTTCGTTGGTATACTTAGGAACATTTTAACATATATCTAAGTCCTCAAAATTCCTATCACAGGACCAAACACAGTGTACATATTCATAGTTGTGATGCCAACATGCTCTGCAATGTTGCAAGAAGTAAAAGGGGTGCACTCCTATCCCCTCCATTTCACAGGGCACCTGCTTGGGACAGGTAAACTCCTTGGGTTGGCCCTGCAGGAGCAGGTGGGGGGGAGAGATAACAGCCAGCAGCAGCCTGGAGCCATGACAACCTACCAGAAAGAAACAAGCACTTTCTCCTTCTGGAGTTGTTTGCCTTGGGATGGAATTAACCATTAACAGGAAAGGAGTGTTGGAAAATAAAAGCAGTGCTGTCTTCAGAAGCAGGCTCAGCGCAGGTGAAGAAACGGAAGCCAAAAAGGCATGACATGAATCCCTTGCCCAACAAGCTGGTCAACATTTTCCAGCTAAAATCGCCTCTCAATCTTAAGGCTGCACAGCCATGATCAGTAGCGCCATTGTTCATAGGAATCTGAAAGACCGTTCCGTTCTGACCGGGGGAAAAGAGTTGCCAACCCAGCCAGAAAGTGCATTTTCAAAAGTCTCCTAAATATTTCCACTCTGAGCAACATTCTAGCTGGGTGCCCCCATTGTACCACCTGAATTAGAAGCTCGATTAGAGTGTTTCTGCTTCCAAGAATGCAACAGTGCGGGGGGACTCTGATGCTGCCCCACCCTCAAACCCAATTAAATGGGCTTCATTGTATCTGCACTCTCTCTTACTTGGAAGTACCGTATTTTTCGCTCTATAGGACGCACTGTTTTCCCTTCAAAAATGAAGGGAAAATGTGTGTGCGTCCTATGGAGCGAAGACGCCATAGCCCCGCGACCCTCTCCCGGCTGGAGAGGTGACGCGCAGCTATGGCAGGAGCCTCTACAGCCCCGCGTCACCTCTCCAGCCGGGAGAGCGCGCACGGGGCTAAAGAAGCCCCCCGCGACCCTCTCCCGGCTGGAGAGGTGAAGCGCGGCTATTGAGGCTCGTGCCATAGCCGCCCGTCACCTCTCCAGCCGGGAGCGCGCGGGGCGAAAGGAGCCCCCCGTGACCCTCTCCCGGCTGGAGAGGTGACGCGCCATAGCCGCCCGTCACCTCTCCAGCCGGGAGAGCGCGCGCGGGGCTAAAGCAGCCCCCCGTGACCCTCTCCCGGCTGGAGAGGTGACGCACGGCTAGTGAGGCTCCTGCCATAGCCGTGCGTCACCTCTCCAGCCGGGAGAGCGCGCGCGGGGCTAAAGCAGCCATAGCCCAGCGACCCTCTCCCAGCTGGAGAGGTGACGCACAGCTATGGCAGGAGCCTCTCCGCTGCGCCTTTCCGCTGCTCCTGAACTGCTCTTTGGGGCTGGTGGTGGGCTTCCCCGCCAGCCCCAAAGAGCAGGTCAAAGGAACCTGAAGCCTGGAGAGCGAGAGGGTCAGTGCACACCGATCCCTCTCGCTCTCCAGGCTCCAAGGTAGCCGCCTGAACGCACCTTAAGCGGCACCTTGTTTTAGAGCGGGAAAACAAGAGGGAAAGTTCTCCCCTCTCTGCACAGTGCCTCCTGCCACTTCGCTGAAGGGGCGCTGGGCAGAGAGGGGGAGAATTTTTTTTTCTTGTTCTCCCCCCTCTAAAACAAAGTGCGTCCTATTGTCTGGTGCGTCCTATGGTGCAAAAAATACGGTAAAGCGCTGGGATTTGCAGGCATTGACAGCCTCTTCCCCACCCTTGACCAGTGTTAGAAACTCAGGTATATAAGCTAATCGCCAAATGGCACCTCTTAAACCTGGGCTACGGTCGGCACAACAGAATCTCTAGGCAGGTTTTTTGCAATGGAACTTACTGTTACTATTATTAATTTTATTTCTATACTGCTTTATATTTTAAAGGGGAAAAAATCTCAAAGCCATTTACAACACATTAAAACAGGGGTCAGCAAACTTTTTCAGTCCACTGTCCCTCAGACCTTGTTGGGGGCCAGACTTTTTTTTTAGTGGGGGGGAGTGAATGAATTCCTATGCCCCACAAATAAACCAGAGATGCATTTTAAATAAAAGGACACATTCTACTCATGAAAAAACATGCTTATTCCTGGACCGTCTGGGGGCCGGATTTAGAAGGTGATTGGGCCGGATCTGGCCCCCGGGCCTTAGTTTGCCTACCCATGCTCTATTCTCCCTATTCAGATACAGAAGCTCATAGCCGAACAGTTTTGAGTCCCGCATTTTCTAGCAGAAAGGGAGCTTAACTCACCCTGAAAGGTACCATCCAAACACTTTCCCTGGATTTTTCTTGAGGAATGCATTTAAAAAGGAAATAAATAAGTAGAAAGTGTGACATACCATCATCTCCTAATAATGGCTTGTTGAGGAAACAACTTCTCCAGTGGTAGATGTGTCTCTATCTCCTCCAGAAACATTGACAATTTGCACGGAAAATGACTTCTGACCGGTTCCCCATTCACCGGCTTCTGAACTGCCTTCCAGCCTGCCGCCACTGACTCTACAGCCTGCATAAAAAAACACTTCCTTTTAAAGGGGCAGGAAAGGTGATGACAAGATTGAGGTTACAAACTCAATGAGGGAGAGGAAACCGATGTCACAAAAGTGTGTCACATACAACCAGAAGTCCCCTCTGAACTCATCCACCTCGGGGGGGGGGGGGGGGAGAGAGAGAGAGAGAGAGAGAGAGAGAGAGAGATTAACACACTGGTTTAAAAGAAGATAATAATAAAAAAGAAATTCCAGAGGATCGGTACAATTTCACCTCATGCAAGGAAGACTTCAGTAAGTGGAGTAAAGAAAATGAGGAAAATGGAAGCAATAAGAATTACCAACAAAAGAAGAATGGCAAATGAAATTAATGTACTATGCAGAATTAGATAAATTAACAGGAAGGATTCGAAACCTACGGGACCAGAGATTCTTAGAAGACTGGAGTAAATATTTGAACTATCTGAAAAGTAATTGTAATAAACAGATTACGCTAGCAGGACTGCAAGAAGTTCTGTAAGAAGGACTATGTGAAATATTGCAAGGAAGACTATGAAGAGAATTATTAGTCAATGATAATTAAAAGTAATAGAGAATTTAAAAAATGCAAAACAAGTGATAAAGAACAGAAAATCTTCAGAGGTTGTTGATGGAAGTCTAAAATATTGTGGAAGATAAGAAGTTATGTTAAATGATTATTGGAAATGATATGTTTAAAAAAAACCTAATAAAAATGTATATAAAAAAAAAGAGAATGAGGAAAAAACATAGGAGGCTTGCAGCAGATACTAGGAATGGTTCTTTTGCTTCAACAGACATGGTGAAGGTGGCAGAATCGACTCTTTCAGTCTAATTTGATTCAGCAGGAATGGCTCCAGCCAAAATAAACTCACAAGCAAGCCTGAGGCATCAACCTGGAATGCTAGGGAGAGAACAACTGAATTAAATGGCCCTGCGCCCTGATTGGAAGGGATGCCTCCTTACAAACCAAAATGCAAGAGACTAGATGCGGAAGGGGGAATGGTACATCTAGCTTGCCTACCTTGCCCCAGTCTCAGAATAAAGTTATCCAGGAGTCTGTCGCTAACAGACAGATGTGAATAAAGGAATCCCAAATCACGACCCCCTCCTCACATGTACACACACCACCATGTGCACATGCACGGCCAACTTTGCCACTGCCAAGCTAATGGGCTCAACAGTCAGCTCCACCAGCTGGTCAGAATCAACACAGAAAGAGAGGCCAGGGTGAGCCACACAATAGAGAGGAAATGCTCCGTCCAGTAGGTGCTTCCCCTTCCCCCTCTCAAGCTTTTCACGCATTGTTCCCAGCACAGGACCCACACAAGCAACAGCTTTGGAAATCCTTGCAAAAGCAGCTTGATCTAGGGAGGATGGCCAGAGGCACAGACAGACAGACAGACAGACAGACAGTATCAGGCCAGGTGTGCTTTTTCCTGGAGAGCACTTAAAATCTACCATCCTGTATATTTCCACATCAGGCACAGCTGATACATAACCACAACAAAACCTGTTTGAATACACCCAGAACTCCCTAACTCACTCTCTCTCTCACCAATACACCCCCCAACTGAAATCTTCCGTGTCTTCAAAAGAGAAGGTTACTGAGTGCCCCAGGACGCGGGTGGCGCTGTGGGTTAAACCACAGAGCCTAGGACTTGCCGATCAGAAGGTCGGTGGTTTGAATCTCCGCAATGGGGTAAGCTCCTGTTGCTCAGTCCCTGCTCCTGCCAACTTAGCAGTTTGAAAACACATCAAAGTGCAAGTAGATAAATAGGTACCGCTCTGGCGGGAAGGTAAATGGCGTTTCCGTGCACTGCTCCGGTTCGCCAGAAGCGGCTTAGTCATGCTGGCCACATGACCCAGGAAGCTGTCTGCCGGCTCCCTCGGCCAATAAAGTGAGATGAGCGCCGCAACCCCAGAGTTGGCCACGACTGGACCTAATGGTCAGGGGTCCCTTTACCTTTTACTGAGTGCCCCAGAGTAGCACCCCAGATCACCAGACACTGAAAATAGCCACAGCAGTGCTTACAGCTTCACGCGGACCCCCAGAGGGAGATCCAACCATACCAAGCCAGCCCTGCAGTTTGATCCCTGCATTGCAGGGGGTTGGACTAAATGACCCTTGGGGTCCATTCCAACTCTTAAAGAATCTATCCTGAAGACAAGGAAAAGAGAGCCATCCTTCCTATAACCTCAGGTGCTCTGTTGTGTGTGTGTGTAAGTTCCTCTGGGAGCCCTTCTGAATGAATGAATCAATGAATGGATCAATGAAACGTCCAGATACATCCCTGACCTTTGCTTGCCCACTCTCAGCTCTCCAAGGTCCCCTTGCTGCCTCAAAAGACGCTGCCCTCTATGCCTAGTACTACCTCCCAGAACACCTACACAATAAGTCCACCTCTCTTCCTTCTTTCTAATCCCTCCGCAAAGCACAATTTCTCTGTGAAGCCTTTGGCACAGCCCCCTAATGTCACATTTATTAATTTAAAGCATTTTACTCTGCTCTTCCGATTGACAAAAGCTCCCATTGTAACGAAGCCTATGTAACTGCATATTCTTCCTCAGTTTCCTTTCCCTTCTAGCCTCCCAGTGTCGCATTTAAATGAGGATCCTTTTAAGGCAGGGGCCTGACCATAAATAGCAAATAGCTAATTATACCGTCAAACCACAGCCACCTCAACTAGAGGGCCTTGCAGAGGCGAAAACAGTGGTTCCCAAAGTGGGGGGGGGGTGTTCCGGGGGGGGGCAAAGAGGCAAGTGAGAGGCAGGGGCCCCTGGAGGTGTCTTTGCCCATCAGCCTCTGAAAAGCTGGCATCACTGGATCAAGTTCATTAACACTGCTGAATTAATCAAACTAAGTAGTTTAAATTGAATTTTGAATAAATGCGCAACTGATTGTCACTGTTTTGAATTTTACTGCGTTATTATCTTCCTGAGTGGGTTGTGCAAACTTCCATTCTTAAATATTGTTTTTATATGTTAAGGAGCACTGCGTGCAGATGAGTTTATGGAAGCAAGGTGGGGGAGGGTGGCCTGAAAAAGCTTGGGTTTCTATGATTCTAAGTTCCCACACCTCATAACAGGAGGGTTTGGGGTGTCATCGTCTTAAGAGCACCATGAGTCATTTCTTCTTCTTGACAAGGCAGAAGCACGAAAGAGAAGACACTTCCCCAATTTCGTTATTTATTATCTCAGTCGTTCCACGGTTCATTGCGGTCACGGCCCTGATTGCGGCTAGCTGAATAAGGTTCCCGACACAAACTGTGCCACTTCACTGATATAAATTAACATGGGTGGCGCTGTGGGTTAAACCACAGAGCCTAGGGCTTGCTGTTCAGAAGGTCGGTGGTTCAAATCCCCGCGACGGGGTGAGCTCCCGTTGCTCGGTCCCAGCTCCTGCCCACCTAGCAATTCAAAAGCACGTTGAAGTGCAAGTAGATAAATAGGTACCACTCCGGCGGGAAGGTAAACGGCATTTCTGTGCGCTGCTCTGGTTCGCCAGAAGCAGCTTTGTCATGCTGGCCACATGACCTGGAAGCTGTAAAGGAGCGCTGCAACCCCAGAGTCGTCTGTGACTGGACCTAATGGTCAGGGGTCCCTTTACCTTTACCCACTGGCCACAAATATTCTTCCTTGGAATCATAGAACTGCAGAGTTGAAAGGGACTCCGAGGGACATCTAGTCCAACCCCCTGCAATGCAGGAAGCTCAACTCAAGCATTCACGACAGATGGCCATTCAACCTCCAATGAAGGGGAGTCCACAACCTTCCGACTCCCGGATGAGTCTGTTCCACTGTTGAACAGCTCTTTCCGTCAGAAAGTTCTTCCTGATGTTTAGTCAGAATCTCCTTTCTTGTAACTTGAGGCCATTAGTTTGTCTCCTACCCTCCAGGGCAGGAGAAAACAAGCTTGTTCCCTCTTCTTCCCTTTAGATATTTGAAGACGGCTGTCATATCTCCTCTCAGTCTCATCTTCTTCAGGCTAAACATACCTAACTTCCTCAACCGTTCCTCATAAGGCTTGTTTCCACACCCTTGATCATTCTGATCGCCCTCCTCCAAGTCATGCATAAAGACATTGACCAACCATGGGCCCAGGACAGAACCCTGCCGCACCTCACTTGTCACTTTTTCCCAGGAGGATGAGGATCTTGTTCAGCTTTAGCTCTCAGCTTCCTCTTAAAAACTGAGAGCCACTCCAGTCAGACCAGAGTCATGCCTTTGATTCCTAGAAGGGAAGGAGTCACCAAAGACTAACAGTCTGTCTGCAAATCACACTCTCAGACCTAGAAAGGCCTCAGGTCCCAGACTCAACTGGTTGGGATTTCTTGCAGATGAGGGAAAGGCACTCACTCGATTATTATTTCTTCATAATAATAATAATTTATTTATACCCTGCCCATCTGGTTGTGTTTCCCCAGCCACTCTGGGCGGCGCCCAACCGAATATTAAAAACATGATAAAAGATCACACCTTAAAAACTCCCCTAAACAGGGCTGCCTTCAGATGTCTTCTAAAAGTCAGATAGTTGTTTATTTCCTTGATATCTGATGGGAGGGTGTTCCACAGGGTGGGTGCCACTACTGAGAAGGCCCTCTGCCTGTTTCCCTGTAACCTCACCTCGCAGTGAGGGAACTGCCATTGGAAGCTGACCAGCCACCACTGATTCAATGAACTTGCCTACCCCTCCCGAAATGTTTTTTTACATCTCTAGGTCTGTGTAAGTGTCTATAATTCATGTACAGAGAATGCATTTTATAACCAACAGCCAGTTCATTTTTTGTAGTTATGGGGAAGGTTCCACGTGATTAGGAAGTATCCTGGCAATACTGTGAGTTATTATGACTTTAGTGAATTGTATGGATTGTGTTGATGAATGGGATGTTGTTGTTGTTGTTGTTTGCTTTACATATGTGGGTGGCACTGTGGTCTAAACCACTGAGCCTCTTGGGCTTGCCGATTGGAAGGCTGGCGGTCTGAATCCCTGCGACGGAGTGAGCTCCCGTTGCTCTGTCCCAGCTCCTGCCAACCTAGCAGTTTGAAAGCACACCAATGCAAGTAGGTAAATAGGTACCACTGTGGCAGGAAGGTAAATGGTGTTTCCGTGCGCTCTGGCTTCCATCACGGTGTTCCGCTGTGCCAGAAGCAGTTTAGTCATGCTGGCCACGTGACCCGGAAAACTATCTGCGGATAAACGCCAGCTCCCTCGGCCTGAAAGCGAGATGAGCACCACAAACCCCCTACTCACCTTTGACAAGACTTAACCATCCAGGGGTCCTTTACCTTTTACCTTTACCTACTGTGTTTGATATTACAGTGTTTGCAGTGTTCTTCCAGCTCTACAATTCTCAGATTCCTGTGTGCCACTTTTGAGCTCAGCGTTTGTTACTGAGAAAGTGGGATGCCAATTTAAAATCCACTCTACTCAACTATGCCATGGGGCGAACTCGGGGCCATATCATTACTAGCAGTTTCTGAATGTTGTCCAACTCCCTTCAACCTGCAAAAGTTGCGCAGCTCTTGCGTGGTGATAACTTTGTGTGTGGAGTTCGGCTTGGTGTTGTGTTGGGGGGGATGGGACAGAGGGACACACATACACACACAAACACGCCCACCTTGCAATATCAGGTAAGGATACTGCTCCACAACTCTGACCAAAAACTAAGCTGGAATTTGGCACACGGAAACCTCACGGCGGCAGGGCCGGATTTAGGTTTGATGAGGCCCTAAGCTACTGAAGGTACTGAATGGGGCCCTTTATATGTCCAGCTGTCCTTTGTCAACAACAAATTGTCGCTGTTTTTTGTGTTGAGTATATGCTATATGGTAATTTATGGACCTAATAGTAATTTATGGTAATTTATGGACCCTAACCCTAAAGCCATCTGCACAGAACAAAATATATATTTTATCAAAGCAATTGTTGAACTGAAATACAATTAAGAAGTATATTAAAACACTGTTGCTGTATGTAGGTTTTATTTTATTTGTTTTATTTGTTTTTATCTTATATTTTGGAAATGTACATACAGGGGTTTTTTTCTTTAATTTTTTTTGGGGGGGGGCCAAGAGAGTGGGGCCCTAAGCCATAGCTTAATTTATACGTAAATCCGGCACTGCACGGCGGCGAGTGGAGCCGCGAAGTTCCCCTCCCAAGTCCGGAGACCAGGAAACGGCGCGCTCGGTGGGAAAGGAAACGCGGCCGCCCGCGCGCAGCTCCGCCGAAGCCCATCTATGGTAGCAGAGAGCCAGCTCCGTTTTGTGCGCCTGGAAAAGGACAGGCGGCCCAGAAGCCTAAACCTCCGACCCTTCACTAAACAAAAAGAAACCCAGAGACTCACCTTTCCTCCTTCGGGTGGGTGAGGCCGGCGGCGAGGAGGAGTAGGGCGCCACCGAAGGAGCGCGGCTCCCAGGCAAGCCCCACCTTTTCAAAGGTGGGGACCGCGGAACTCCCCGCCCCGAGGGAGCCCGGCGGCGGCTTCCCGGTTCCCGCCGAGCTCTCTTGGAAGCGATTACGACCGCGCAGCGACTCCACGCGAGGCCCGGGCGCCGCGCTCGTCGTTCCTGCTCGCCGTCGAGCCGCGCCTGCTGCCTCCTCCCCGCGGCTACCTGCAGCCGGGGAGGGGCTTCCCCGGGCGCGCCTCGGCTTCCGACCTCGCCACCTGCTGAACCCGGGCGACTGCTCTCCTCCAGACCTCGCCGGGCCCGTCCGAAGCGGCAAACACGCTGGCGACTCCCCGGCGCGCGCAGTGTGCGCTGCGCTCCTGGGCGCGATAGGAAGGCGCGGAGCCGCGGAAAGGGGCCTGGAATGTCCCTCCGCCGGGGGGGGCACCTCCTAGTTATGCTTCACAATTATGGAATAAACTTGAGTAAAATAGTGCGGGGGGGGGCAGGTAAACCCCGCCCGGCATAATCGATCGCAAGACGCAGCGCGCGCTCGCGCACTATTGGAACGGCAATGCCAATCAACTTTTTTGGGGGGGGACCCGCACCCGAAGGGACCTCAGTCCCTAGACAGGGCCGGATTTAGGTTTGATGAGGCCCTAAGCTACTGAAGATAATGGGACCCTTAAATGTCCAGCTGTCCTTTGTCAACAACAAATTGTCGCTGTTTTATTGTGTTGAATATATGCTATATGGTCATTTATGGACCTAATAGGTATCTAAAGCCATTTGCACATAACAAAATATATATTTTATCCAATTGTTGAACTGAAATACAATTAAGAAGAAGTTTATTAATAGTGAAATACAATGAAGAAATATATTAGTAGTGAAATAATTATTAAGCTCTAACTTAAAATGATTTTTTTATTCATAACAAACTTAACGCAAACACATTGGCAATAACAAAAGTTCCTTTGGAAACACAGTTTACAAAGACTCAAAATCTAGTTTCTAGAAACTTGCTATAACATGAAATAATAATTGTAGGTTTTATTTTATTTGTCTTTTATCCTATATTTTGGAAATGTACATCCAGTTTTTTCCTTTAATTTTTTGGGGGGGCCTCAAAAGAGGGGGGCCCTAAGCTATAAACTTGTTTAGCTTATACAGTACGTAAATCTGGCACTGCCCCTAAGAGTTGGCTCCTACGCTTCACATACTTGTATTTGTCAGCATCCTTCCTAAATTGTGGTGCCCAGAACCGGACACAGTATTTCAGGTGTGGTCTGACCAAGGCAAAAGAGAGTGGTACTATTACCTCCCTCGATCCGAATTTAGGAAGGATGCTGACAAGCTGGAATGTGTGCAGAGGCGGGCTACCAAGATGACCAAGGGTCTGGGGGAAACCAAGGAGAATAAAATAAATACAAATGCAATGGGTCTTATTCCCAGGGAAGTGTACATACTGCATAGCAAGTATGTTTCAGATCACAGAATTAAAAGGTGTTTTTTAAAAAATATATTAAAAAAACCCACACACAATTGCTTAGAGTTTATATCCAATACTAATAGCTAGTTTCCAGGGTGAAACTGCTGTGATTCCCCCACCATGACTACCTAATAAGAAGCACTTGCCGCTGAGACAGACCACCATTCAAGGCACCCCAGGGTGTCACGGCCAGGGCCGTCTTAAGCATAGCTGTGGCCACGGCAGGCAGAGGCTCTGGGTGTGGCACTCCGCCTCTTCCCTGGCACCCTCCAGAACTTGGCGCCCCGGCGTTCCACACCACTTGCCTCTATGGGCAAGACACCCTGGTCACGACACACTGGTAGAAAACCCCTGTTCTAAGGCCTGGGGTGCCTTGAATGGTGGTCAGGAGTGCCGCTGGCAGTACTGGCCTCTGTTCCTCTTCCCTTCCCTCGGATGCCCTCTCCCATCTCAGCCTCCCAAAGGCTTGCACAGCTGTTTGTTGCAGCAGCCCTGGCTACAAGCTCCCCAAGCAAATCGTCCCTTTGGGGCTGGCCAGGGGGTGCTGGTTGCCAGGAGCTGAAACAGCCTCAGAGTAAGCAAGTGGGCGAGGGAGCCCAGCCAGTCCACCAGCCCTTGCTGTCGGGAATGGACAGACAAGAGGGAGGCCAGGCAGAAAGGTGCCACATTGGCCTTGTGAACCCTGCCTGGGAGCTGAGTGCCCAGTGCTGAAAGGGAGCCTTTCCACCATGCAGGCCTGACAGCGCCCGCTGCTGCCTCCCCAGGTAAGGTGCTGGCCTCACGTTCACCTTTGGCTGGTCTTCATTGGGCCACTAAGGCTGGGGGCATCCTCTTCCCAGGCCCCTGTGAGGCAGTGTGAGGAGGCATCTCTCTTTGGGGCAGGAGGGACAGCTCAGAGACCAGAAGCGGCTGCCCAGAGGACTCCCAAGGAGAGGAGACTGCCAGGCTGCCAAGAGAGGGTGTTCGAAAAGGGGTGATAAGCTGCCAGCTTTGCAGGCAATGGGTGGCATAACTGGGCTCCTGAGCCTCACAGGGGTGCCGCAGGAAGAATGGATTTGGTCAAGGGAGCCGTGGACTCAAAAAGGCTGAAAACCTCTGTTGTGTATAATAATATATTCCTCAAACTGATGAAAAAGTAAATATTAAAGATTGACCAGAACAAGAGCTCAGCTTCCCACCTTACAAGGATACGAAGTATTCCCCAGCTCGTCAAAGCTGAGATCTGCTCAAACAGGCCACTGCATGCCTAGTGTTTGAACCTAGAAACACAGCAGTAGTTCTTATTGGTCCTGGTTCTGGTTGAACCCAGCCCACTTTCACATATGCCAGTGCTATCACAAATACTGATTCACTCCCATCTTGCCCTTTCAAGCTATTGCATCCTCTTGTGTTTTGAATACTTCGCTCTGATGACTCAGTCCTAGAGAATGTCTTTGCCTGAATACTTAGAATATTTTTCTTAAACTCTGGTATACATTGCTGTATTGAAGGCTTCAGTAAGATCTTGCTGCTTTATCAGGAACTACCAAAAGGAAGGTGATCTTTTGATCTCACCCAAATAACCACCCATTGCAAGTCAGATCTGAATAATTCTTGAACGTGAGGTACACATTCACGTTAAGCACAGCTCACATTTCCGCTGAGGCTGTTTTTCAAAAGGAGAAATCCTGCTAAATCAGCTGTTTGGTATGGAGTGGGGAGGTAGAACTGAACCCAGTCTTTGGTAAGCTGAGCAGCTGATTGCAATATTTTTTTTACTTATTTTCAATACATTTTTTATCAACCCGGGGGGGGGGGCTGCATCTTTTATTATTTATTTGTTTCAAATATTCATAGAGTGCTTTTCTATTTAAAGCAATACCCAAAAGCAATTCACAGCCAAAGCGACTATTTTTTTTAAAAGCTGCCACAGACAATAAATAGAGATCAATAAATCAGAATAGCAACTAAAAGACTATTCAGCAATATTGTGTGCTATGAAGAGCCACGTATAAACCACCGCAGTCTAGAGCCTCATAGCTGTACTTGACCATTGTCCATTGTTAATTTCCACCTTTTCTTCTTAAAATACCAAGAGACTCCTTCTCAGGTCAGAAACTGGATGCTTAAGGCAATATCCAATTAAAACCAAATCTCAAAGAACACTTAAGTATGCAGATTTTGGCAATAAAAGGGAAAAGTAGTTTAGGAAGGCAGAAAGCTCACAAAGGAGTGGAGAAATCGATAACTTGATAATTTTGACAGGAGAGTCTGAGTGGCTAGGGAGACCTAACTTCCATGTTAAGCAGTATATTAATTGTCTAAAATGAATAAATAATCAATAATTTGGAAGCCTAGGGGCTTTCCGTTCCCATGGACTTATTGTAGGGCTTTACACAATTCACCTTGCTTCAGTTTCCATCCTATAAATGCAGTGGAAGTAAGGGTAGGCAATAAAATACTATAAATTGTATTTGCATATTTGCCAGGCTTATTCCACAGGTGGCTGGGTGGGAACACAGCAGTAAGTTGTTGTTTTTTTCTGGAAAAGGTTAGGATTGGTTTAGATGGCACAAAAGCTCTTTTCAAACTCGTGGACCACTCTTCTGAGCTTGACTTATGAGCAACAAATTATGTATTTGTTCTGTGAAATGCAGCAAGAACACAGCACAGCCTCAGGGGTTGTTGTGTTTTTTTTGGGGGGGGGGGGAGGTTGCTACCCAAAGCAGTTGCACAGCACCATCCAGAATGCTGGCTGGAGCTCCCACATTCAGCCCCTCCCCCAGTGCCCCTGAAAATACTGCTGTTCCAAGTAGCGACATTGGTTGCCCAGCTGTGTCCTGTAAGCAGAAAAATGTGAATGTCAGCTGAAGCTACAGGCCATTTGCAGATCCCAGATTAAGTGGATGAAGCTGGTTTATTGCCAGCTGCCAAGATTGCATTTTATGGAGCAAAACGACCTCTTGTGGGTGCATTTGGTAAAAGGGGGAAGTTTGGTTCGACAGCAATGCTCCAGTTCTGACACTCCAGGGCAGAGGTCAGCAAACTTTTCCAGCAAGGGGCCGGTCCACTGTCCCTCAGACCTTGTGGGGGGCCAGACTATATTTTGAAAAAATAATAATGAATGAATTCCTATGCCCCACAAATAACCCAGAGATGCAATTTAAATAAAAGCACACATTCTACTCTTGTAAAAACACGCTGACTCCCGGACCGTCCACGGGCTGGATTTAGAAGACGATTGGGCTGGATCCAGCCCCCGGGCCGTAGTTTACCTACCCATGCTCTAGGCTCTGAGGTCTTGCTGTTTTCTTTTCTTTTTCTTTTTTATTGAATTATGTTGTATACACAAACAATTAGAACAAAACTTACAGTCGTCAAAAAGATTAAGTAAATAAATAAATAAAATTAATAAGGAAAAGTAAAATTATAGAAGAAAAAAGAAAGAAGTATAAAAGAGAAGAAAAGGGGGGAAGAATATATATGGATATATATGGATATATAACTAGGATAACAGTAAATCACTCATTGTTAGACTAATATTTTACAAACAGATTCTTAAATTAAAACACAGAGAACTACATACAAAACTATCTACAAAACAACAAATAAAGACTTCCACCAATACCACAACAGTTCATTGTTCTTAGTAAAGATACTATCCTGTATTTCAATTGGTTCCTCATCTTGGTATCAGGACACTATTGCTTTTGCAGTGTTATTCTAGGCACAACCAGATCTTAGGTGCTGAACCTTGATTCATAAGGTAGTTGTTTAAATGATCCTATTCTTTCTTAACTGTTGTATTAGATTTGTCTCTTAATACATCTGTTAGCTTCGTGAGTTCCAAGTACAGTGGTACCTCGGGTTACATACGCTTCAGGTTACGTAAGCTTCAGGTTACAGACTCCGGTAACCGAGAAATATTACCTCGGGTTAAGAACTTTGCTTCAGGATGAGAACAGAAATCGTGCAGCGGTGGCACAGCGGCAGCAGGAGGCCCCATTAGCTAAAGTGGTGCTTTAGGTTAAGAACAGTTTCAGGTTAAGCACGGACTTCTGGAAGAATTAAGTACTTAACCTGAGGTACCACTGTACTCGGTCAGCTTGCATAACAATTCTTTGGAGGGTATCTGATTTTCTTTCCAATATTTAGCCACCAAGACTTTACCACCAGGTAAAGGACCCCTGACAGTTAAGTCCAGTCATGAACGACTGGGGTTGCGGCGCTCATCTCGCTTTACTGGCCGAGGGAGCTGGTGTACAGCTTCCAGGTTATGTGCCAGCATGACTAAGCCGCTTCTGGCGAAACCAGAGCAGCGCACGGAAACGCCGTTTACCTTCCCGCCAGAGCGGTACCTATTTATCTACTTGCACTGGCATGCTTTCGAACTGCTAGGTTGGCAGAAGCTGGGACCGAACAACCGGAGCTCACCCCGTCGCGGGGATTCGAACCGCCGGCCTTCCGATTATTAAGCCCTAGGCTCAGTGGTTTAGACCACAGCGCCACCAACATCCCTCTTAGCACCTACTCCCTGCTTAATTGCGTCGCTCTGTGAGCACTGATTATAAATTTCACGAAATTTATTTACTGTTTGTTGTCGAAAACTTCAGGAGAACTCTGGCTGGATTGCAGCATTACTTTGCTCCTCTGGGGGTGATTGTGGCAGGTGCTGTTCTGACCTTAATTAATTTCCCTCTCAAGGATACTGAGGCAATGCAAACTACAAAGATGTGCCATGCTCTTAATAATTCCCAATTTATGCAGTTTTCTATAGGTTATGTTAATGTTATTTATTGTGTTACAGGTTTGCATGCATGCACAATGGACATGCCCTTCTTATAATTGTTCTCTCTGTTTTATAAGCATTATAAAATGAAATAATTAAAAGCTTTACAAAGAACAAAAACTTTGTACACTCCCTGTGCTAGATGCGATCTAAGACAGCAGAAAATAAATTAGCTGCTGAAGCAGAGAAACTGAATGAGGATGTTGAAAATTTGTCACTGAAAATTAAACAGGAAACATGAAAGTGCTACCACATACAGAATGACCTCAAGAACAGCGTGCCGGTGTGTTGTAAGTGACAGAATGGCAGCTAAAATAGAATAAGCATCATGTTGAAATAAGTCTTAAGTTTAAAAAAGCAAAATAATGAGATCTGCAAAGAACATGGGGTTTTGGAAAAAGAAAAGGCCCTGGAAGTGTTGGAGATGAAAGAAATGATGGCTAGACATACGCAAGAACTTGTGGGGAAAGAATGAAAAATAAGAGCCTGAAGAACAAATTGCCTGTATGAACAAGAAGCTGTAAGTGAGATATGACAGGTACCAACATTTCCCAGAGACAATTTTTGTTCGCTACAGCTGCAGGGCTCAGCATGACATTCAAAAAAAGCCATCTGGTCGTTCATTCATTTGGCTGGAGTCTGGACAGTGAGACTTCTTTCTGTAAGTTGCTTTCTGTAGGCTGCTACGCTAGAGCAAATTAAAGGTTTATGTCTGCAAAGTTTATTCAGATGCCACATTGGTTTACAACAACTAGCAATAGTTTCCTATCGTATGATGATGATATTGTTAGATTGCAAACTTTTTCCAAAAGGGATACGTTTCCCGTTGCAAATAACCCTTTCAAGCATTGCCATCTTTTGAACCAGGGGTCTTGCAACTTTGCCACTAACAACTGTCTGATCTCTTAAAATGAATTGGTGATGATGTTTAGGTCCATCATGCCAAGATTAAGCGTCCTGAGTAGACTTCGGCAGATTCCCTCCTTTTCGATATGCACAAAAGCATAGTCAGGTTGATTTATATGTGACCAGTTGGCAAATCCATGATCTTTTAAGGGTTAGAAAGAAAGCCAGGGTCATTTTTAAAATCTAAAACCTTTTCGGGCTAAAATCTCTGCTTAACCTCACAAGAAACAGCTATTGAGATATCACGGGAGACAACTCTAAGGGCCAAGTTCCTTTCGCCACCCCAATAAAATATTTGAGGGGGCCGGGCCCTCCCCAAGTTGATGGGCATTGCCATTTGAATGATGTGAGTGTGCCGTGTCCTTTGATCAGTTATGCAAGGACCCTTTAAACAGCAGCTCAGCCAACCACCTTTCCCTTCTGCCTGTCCTCTATGAGGTCATGCGTGCTCAACAATGAAGGCCATGACATATAGCTGCTCGAATGTGCTCCTTTCCAACTGACTGTTTTAGAGAGCTCAGAGGAAAGATCTGTGGTTTTCTTGACTTGTTCATGTTGCTTTTCTTGTTTGGTTCTTTTTAAAAATATTTAGAATTCGAGTTAGCTAGCTAGCCAATTCTGTTGTTTGTTGAGTTTTTCATACACACACATGCAGATTTTGGGATGGATAAGGTTGATAAGCATAGGATTATTCATTTACTATGTCTGGGCAGAGCCCTTTTTGAAGTCAGAGACCAGGTGTAATGATATTTGTAGTATATTTTCTCCATACCAATGGTATGAAGATGCTAGTTTGGGGGGGGGATAGCACAAGAAATGTTGGGGCCGCTTGTTAAGGGTGAGCCTGCTCCTTAAGATCTTCAGGTCAGGAGAGGATCTTCACCGGGACCAGCCCACCCATGAGGCGGCCTGAAGCAACTGCCTCGGGCACAGAAGCCCAAGAAGCTGTCCCCGTGCAGGAACCCTGGCAAGAGTTTGCCGAAACCTCACAAGAGGTCACCAGAACCTGCCGTGGTCACGTATGCTTTGCCGCCACACAGCCAGGTAAGAAGGGATGCTTTGGCGGGAGTGGGGTGGCATGGCAGCCGAGTGGGGTAGCACCTGAGGCAAAATGGGATGCCATGTCCTTGCTCTTCACCGTGTTCCTGCGGTAGTGGAAAGCGCAGCTGCAGAGCCGTCCTTCCCATAGGACTTAGTGGTGCGTTGCGCCAGGGCGTGGCCACTCAGGGGCGCCCCAGCAAGTGGGGGAGCTGCGCGGCTTTGCCAGCGGCCTCCCCTTTCCCTGCACACCCGCCAGCTGCGCCCCGCCAACCATAAGGCTGGTGGGTGTGCAGCTTCCCTCCCAAGCCTCTACGAGGATCGCTCTACTCCCGAGGAGGCTTGGGAGGGGTGCAACTTCACTCCCAAGCCTCTGTGGGGATCGCACTCCCACAGCGGTATGGGGGAGAGTTGCGCCTCCCCCCCGATGGCTGGCAGTGTGCAGCTATGGCCACCCCAACACTATCTGTGGTAATTTGGGGGCGCTGGGCGGATATTTGCACCCCGGCGCCGCATCTGCTAAAGACGGCCCTGCACAGCTGGTTGGCTGAGCCTTTTCTATGACCACCACACCCAAGACAGTGGAACTCCCTGCCTCAGGAGAGCCATTCAGCTCCCTCTCTCTCTTGACCTTTCATCAGGATATGGCTGCTGCTTTATGATTTCATACCTTTTTTTGCTCGTCCTCTTGGTTATTTTATTATTTTGTTGTTTGCTCTCTGTGAAAAAAGCAGGTGAACAAAGTATTTAAATAAAATGAATGTTACTTGCCCCTCAGGGCTTCAAGATCCAGCCCGGTCTTCAGAATTTGTATTTTTTAAAACAAATCTGTACGCTGCCCAGAGAGACAACCTGAAATATTTTGGTTCCTGGCTTTGTACCCCAAAATTTGTCTACTAAGGCACACCACCTTAGCTGGGCCTTGTCAGAAAACAGCTCTCCCCATGGCTGCTGCTAGAAAAGAGAGGCCTTTATAGCACCCTGAACTCCTGGCAAAGAATTGAGCAAAGTTGAGTGAAAGCTGGGCTTTTTTGCTTCTTCTTTGGCACCTCCTCCTCCGGGGTGGGGTGAGGAAGTTCCCCAGCCCCCACACCAGCCCTTTTTTCTCTCTTTGTGGTCTGATGTCAGTTGCAAAAGAGGAAGCTGTCGCCTGTTGCAGTTTCGCAGCCGCCAGGAAGGGTGCTGCTGGTGGCTGTGGAAAGCAGCCCCGGCACAGCACCCAGAAGCAGCCCCTTGGGTGTTGGTGGTGGTGAGAATGGAGCTGTGGAAGCAATGCGCCCGCTGGCTTATCCAGTGCCGGGTGCTGCCCCCCAACCACAGAGTGACCTGGGAGGGTGCCCAGGTCTGCGACTTGGCCCAAGCCTTGCGCGATGGCGTCCTACTCTGCCAGCTCCTCAACAACCTCACGGCTCACGCTGTCAACTTGCGGGAGATCAACCTGCGCCCCCAAATGTCCCAGGTAAGCAATGAGGCAAGGGAAAGAGGGTCGTGTCGCTTGAGCCAGCAAGGTCTCTGTGTCTGCGTTGCTCTGAAGAAAGAGCAGGGTGGAAGCACAGTCTCTCACAACCAGAAATTCTTCAGTGGAGCTTGTGAAGCTAGCGCTGGTCGCTGAGGGCATCTACAGCTTTTGGGCATCCCCATGGACATTTGTGTGTCAGGATTTAGGGTTTTAGCCTCTGAATAATTTGGGGTAGAGAGAGGCAGGTGTCAGAGGATCTAGGCAGCAAGAACAAGAGTAAAGAGCAAGGGAATCGAGTGTGGTATTTATGATTTATGCCACCAATATATGTGAGCTGTGATAGCAGGAAGGGAGAGCATGTGATGATGCGCACCACCCATAAGCAGGAGCATGAAATCCACCTCGTATTTGTACGCTGAATCTGGTGGGGAAAGGGTTAAGCTACCTCTGAGGAAGTAATTGCTGTGTGATCTTGCATGTGTGGGTGGGGAAGTATTGGTCTGCCTGTAGCTGCTGTGCAAAGCAAGGATGGGGAGGGGTTTCAAGGTGCACAGTGGCGTGGGACAGATGTGTAGATTTCGCTTTGACTGTGAGACAGGAGGGCTGATGCCTCTGCTGGTGTATGTGCATGCGTAGAGATGAGGTGAAATCGGCTGGTGAAAATAAGGAGGAAGCACGGAAAGGGGTTATGCAAGAGTGATGTGGGACATATACATATGGAAAGGCACAGGCCTAACCTAAGGCGAGGTTGCATGACCGGCATGTGAACAGCCATGGCTGCAGGCAGCTGATATGGTCCAAGAGAGGCTCTGTGGCCACTCAAGTCAAGATGTAAGAAGGGAATGTATACAGACCTGTGTGTAGATCGTATACGAGACTAAATTGAGCGTGGTTCCTTTGAATGTTAGGCCCTTGCTGGTGAATTTTTCATCATAAAATGCAAACTCTGGAATCAGAAACCTTGATGAGAATAAGGGGTGCTCATTTTGACCATGACAGTTAACTTCTTGTACAGTTAGGTGTTGTTGTTGTTTTTCAAAAAAAGAAAACTTCTGCAATTGATAAGTCATACCAAAATGACAGCAGGTGATATGTGGCAGGATGGAAATTGAGGGAGAATCATTTGTGGGCTTAGGTTTTCAAAGTATGAGGTCTCACCTGTAGAAGCACCACCCAGACCTTATTCGATTTAGCAGATGCTGCCTTCACCTTCTGAAGCGTTTCCCAAGCGCAACAGGTTGAAACTTGCTGTTTGTTTAGAAATGAAGAGAGCTCATATTTCTGAGAACTCTGTAAACTTTGTGGGCAAGTGGCAATTGTAGTGGGTGAGGCGGGGGAGACATTTTGTGTCAAGGAAGAAAGCTTGGTTTTGCTTAGGCAAATTTCTCTTTTGTGTATAGGAGCACAGTCTCATATCTCACATCACGGCAGTGTAGCCTACAGGGAAGAGAATTTTCCTGCAGCCATTTCCTCTTGGCTCTTATTGTACATGGCCTGACTTGCCTGGCGTTTAGCGAGTTGCATTTGTTTCTCAAACTGTTTGAATTCGAGCTGCACACCATATATTTAAAGCACATGACTTCCTGCAAAGAATTGTGGGAACTGCAGTTTCCCTCTCACAGAGGTGCAAATCCCAGCACCCCTCACAATCAACAGTTCTCAGGATTCTTTGGGGGGAGCCCATGTACTTTAAATGTGCATTGGATGAGTTTTAAATGTACATTGTGGAACTGCCCATATTTTGCTCTCTCCCCAACAAGTATATGAACCCGGCTGTTCAATGAGATCTGGCGAGTCGAGCGCGGCTACTTGCACATTACACACACACACAAAAAACCCCAGAGGAAGAAGCACTGGTCAAAAAGAGGGCAGAATTACATAATTATTTGCATATGTTAACTTGCATGTGCATAGGCAGAAGTAGAACTAATGACTGTAAATTTAAATACAATGCATCTAACTAAAGTAGAGAAGACTGTGACCAGGTAACCTGGTTAGCCCAGGTGCTAACAGCTGATGGGCTATTTCTCTTTTTTTCTTTTTTCTTTTCAAATAATCTTTATTAGTTTTTCAATTAGATACTCCACATACACATATTGTATTACATTTATACTTGCTCTTCAGAGCTGACTTCCCTCCTTCCTTCTTCTGGTTTTTATATCACATATAATTTTATTCTTCCATTTTATATATTTTCATTCATTTTCCATATTTGTCCATAGTGTATCCATAAACAAATAAGTCCTCATGTTTATACAGTTATTGTTGTCTGTCTGTATTCATTTACCACTACTGTTAGTTATATTAGTTTCCTTATACATTTTGCTGCTTATTATTTTCATTATCTATCACTTTTCTTAAACTTTCCCGTTAAGAGGTTTGTTTCCAACTCTACTGGTTTTACCATTTCATCTTATCTTTCCTACATACAACATAAATTTTTGCTGATGGGCTATTTCAAGGCACCTGCTCTCCCTCCTTATGTCCTCTGTGGAGTAAGGCAGATGTCCACCCTAGGAAAGTCTAGCTTGTTGATTAGGGCTGGGCTGGCCCTACCATTAGCAGAGTGGGAAAGTATACCCTGTGTGTGCCACATGGCCTACCCTACACACCTTGAGCTACTCTGCCGTCCTCTGGAGTGGTGGACGCTATTTCATTGCCAGCATGGAGATAATATTCAGTTGCCATCCCAGACAGCTTCTGTGCAAGGAGCGAGAATGCCACCTTGTCCTTCTACAGGCAGCAAAATGTCTTGGGCTGGCCTTGGGGAAAGGAATATTAGCAGTGCTAATATATTTCTAGTAAAAGGGGTGCCAGAACTCAGCTGCCTTGTTCTCTTATACAGTGGTACCTCAGAGGTTAAGTACTTAATTTGTTCCAGAGGTCCATTCTTAACCTGAAAATGTTTTTAACTTGAAGCACCACTTTAGCTAATGGGCCCTCCTGCAGCCACCGCGCCGCAGGAGCACGATTTCTGTTCTCATCCTGAAGCAAAGTTCTTAACCCGAGGTACTATTTCTGGCTTAGCGGAGTCTGTAACCTGAAGCGTATGTAACCTGAAGTGTATGTAACCCGAGGTACCACTGTAATGGCAATGGCGCCCACCTGAGAGGTGCCGGAACTGAGTTCCTGTGAGTTCCAGCTGAAAAAAGCCCTGAATGTTAAGGTTTTATTAGGACACATGTAGCTTCCCACTCTCTGGATTGGCTCCAGTATTATTGACTCAATCCATCTTAGGAGGAAGCAAGGTGATGAGCCTGGCAATGAGACAACATGGCAGATTAGCGTTGCCCACGCAACTGAGGTGTTTGGCGGGAAGTCCTGGCTGTTTTGTTTGTTTGGTGTCTGAGCCAGCTGTAATATATTTTTTGTGCTGGCACCATCATCAGCATTGTTATCGCTTGATTTCTGTACAGTGGTACCTCAGGTTACATATGCTTCAGGTTACACACTCCGCTAACCCAGAAATAGTGCTTCAGGTTAAGAACTTTGCTTCAGGATAAGAACAGAAATCATTCTGTGGCAGCAGGAGGCCCCATTAGCTAAAGTGGTGCTTCAGGTTAAGAACAGTTTCAGGTTAAGAACGGACCTCCGGAACGAATTAAGTACTTAACCCGAGGTACCACTGTAAAGCACAGCCAAGGTACAGTGGTACCTCGGGTTACATACGTTTCAGGTTACATACGCTTCAGGTTACAGACTCCTCTAACCCAGAAATAGTACCTTGGGTTAAGAACTTTGCTTCAGGATGAGAACAGAAATTGTGCTCTGGCGGCGCGGCAGCAGCGGGAGGCCCCATTAGCTAAAATGGTGCTTCAGGTAAAGAACAGTTTCAGGTTAAGAACGGACCTCCGGAACGAATTAAGCACTTAACCCAAGGTACCACTGTACTAAGGGAGCCAGGCTTCTGGGCTCAGCCCACCACACTATTTAACACACTGCCATGCGATGCTACAACAATCATGGCTGTGCATTTTCTTTTTAGCCACAGCTTCTGTTGAGGCAAGATGGATGCCGCCCAAGCAATGTGGCGCATCAGAGGAGTCACCTGCAGAAGAGTGGAATGTGTGTGCTGCCTTCACATCTTGTTTCCCGCTCTGGGATCCAGGCACATGCTCAGCCCACTATATTAAAAACAAAGCGGTGCTTCCAACAGATTCTATCAGGCTTTCCCCCAGATACCAGGTTTTTTCAAATCATAAGTTGGCACCCAGGGTTGGTGTAGCAGCTCTTCGACATCCTTCTCCACGCTACCCTCTTATAATCTGTTGCAGAATGGATCTGATTCTTAGGACTAGAATGAGGCTAATACTTGTTGGAGTGCCAGTGCCCTGCTTCAATGGCTTGCCGATGAGGTAGGGACTTGCACCAAAACAGCTCAAAAACAGCTAGAGTCCAGTTGCCGTTGACTTTGCATCATCAATTTTATAATGAAATGATTTTAGAATGTTTTATCATTTTACTGTTGTTAGCCACTCTGAGCCCGGCTTCAGCTGGGGAGGGCGGGATATAAATAAAACTTATTATTATTATTATATTATCTAGCAGTGGTTATTCTTCTAGGCTGCGGCAGAGGGAGAGAAAGGACGCAGGGATATTCCATGGGCTATGCTGAAATACTAACTGCCTTTGGCTCTTATTTTGCATCATCTGTCACCTAACAGTAATCATTGCATCCGGCAACCTGAATTTCTGCTGTCTTAATTGGACTTTATAAAAACTGTAAGAACTGCTGCCTGAATTTCCTTTTTTTCTTTTCCCTTCCCCTCTTCTACCTTTTCTGTCATGTCTTTTAAATTGAGCACCAAAGGGCATTGTTATTGCCTTGTTATTGATCTATAGCTGCTCTGGGAACCTTTTTGACTGAAGAGTGAAAATGCTTTAAACAAATTAAAGAAGGGCAAACCATGGTTTGATGTACCCTGAAGTGCTTATGCTCATGATGAAAGTAAACATTACCCGACTGCTTTCTGCTACTGCGAGGGCATTTGAATCGAAGCTTAGCACAACAGAAAAATAAATGCTTGAAGTGCACTAGGAAGTATGTCAATGAAAGCAGAACATCTCCTTGCAGTATTTTCCTTGATTGTTGTTTCCCTTGCAATGCTTTTAGATCAGAATACAGATATTTGCCAGAGTTTATTGTACCCACAAAACCCATCTCTGGACTGATCTGATAAAAGCTTGCAATTCTGCAGTAGCCACCCTAGGCATCTAGTCATACTGTTGGTGGAAGCAGAAATTCCTTTCCAGGCAGCCCAATCTTATGAGGGCAAGATATAATATTTCCAGACCTCTCCAGAGGGATGTAAGAAGGCATCCATTGTGTTCTGCCTTGTATTTTTTGCAGGCATCTCTGTTTCTATTCTGCTGCAGTTCAGCTTTCAACAAAAACTACAATATTTGTCTCAATGGTCTGCAGTGGTGAATTTTTATGCAATAAATTATGTCCTTAAATTATCATTATGTTACTCCACACCATTCATTTCATTGCAAAGGAAACCCAGTGCAAGTTGGGGGAGGGTTGTCATCAATTTCATATTGTTACACATTGTTTGGTGACTGAAAATCACAGCAACAGGGAATACCAATCGTACACACTGGAACGATTCCCATTCTGGACATGGGACAAATAAGGGAACATTGGTGATTTTGGCTCCCATTTCTATCTGTAGCTGCTCCAGGAACCTTTTTGGCTGAAGAGCCACCAAGTCTAAATTTGTGGGAAATGTTACGAAGCCTGGAATTATGATAATCACTCCTTCTAATGGCAAATTCATGCGCTGAGTGGAGCAAGGATTGTTGCTAAGCTGAGGCCACTGAGAAACAAGAGGGAAGTATCAGCAGACTTGGGGAAACCCAGGGCTTGCAGAAGTACAGGAAAATGTTTTTTAAAAATACCCCAGAGAGCACAAAGGTGACTTACAATAGCCATTAAAACAATGAAAAACTGTCCAACAAGAAGCTGTGAGCTTACAAAATGCTGATGACAGTTGAACCAAGAGGGAGAGAGAGGCAGGCAGCCAGAAAAGGGTCCGAAGAAACCAGAAGTCAGACAGACTGTGAGCCTACACTTTACTATAAGTGCATTTGTTGCAATAATATCAGGATCTGTTTTCTTTTAAAAAAACAACCATCAAATGTGCTTCCCTCCTCAACTAGATCAGGATCAGTGTGGTGTGAGCAATATGTGAACATAATACAGATTTATTGTATACTGTGGTCCTAAGATCTGGATCCCATGCTTGGTTTTTTAATAATATTAAAACCTGTGGTTGCTGCAAGCATAAAATTTAAAATATCATGTACTTAGGCTCTACATGAGTCTATTAATTGATTCTGCAAATGCATGTGTGTGGCATTTATCCCTTTACTTCTGAAACTATTCCCTCTCAAAGCCTTGACAGCTCTTCTTCCAGGCTGATAGGATCCCTGAACAAGAATGATCTGCTCCACGATAAAAAGTAGGGAAACACTGCAATATTCTGTTGCTTGTACCTGTAAGTCGATCCGAGGGAGATTCAGCACAGCTTCTGCAAAAGGAAGTACCCCAGCTTCACAACCTTTTTTTAGAATTTGTGGAGAGTGTTTGAGAAATAACGTCTTGACAAATACTCTCTCTAAGACTTGGAAGGAATTGCAGCTGTCATGGGATAAGGTGGCAGGTCATTATCTGAATCAGTAATAGTCCAAAAGACAGTAAATTGAGTCTAGCAAGGAATAAATGGACAGTGCTCACAATGAAGGAACCAGGAAGCAAAATTGTACAGGGCTTTGTATTTTTTTATTCATAAGCGATTTGGAGTCGAGGGCGAGTCACAAGGCAGCCAAGTAGCCAAGTTTGCTGGCAAACTATTCAGGAAGTTGTTTTTTTTAATAACTGAACTAGCAAGAGCTCCAAAAGTAGGGCATTCAAATTCTCCAAATCCCAACATTCTAGTTCCCCAAATCCCAACAGCCTAATCTACATAGGATGCAAATTATTTCCCAGTTACACAAACCAAATGGTAGGTTGAGGAAGATTTAAGCAACGTTGCTTTTTCCATGGTCCCCTGCCACTGCTGCTTTATCTGGGCTAGTTTCCCTGTCCTTGAAGTCCCCCTTCTCAAGAGCTCCTCCAGACAACACTTTTAGTCTGCATTCAAGGCTGGGATGGACTTACACGCACCTGCATTAAGGGCTGCTTACACCCTCAATCATTTCTGAACCATGACATGGCATTTGCTGCAAACTGTGTGGTATCCATTGCTCCCGCCCCCCAAGAAAAAGTTACTTTTCATACTAAAATTTTCCATTTTAAAAATACACCTCTGATGCGCTACAGCCCTGGGGTGCTCTTGCAGTATACCGTACTGACTTGAATTTGCTTCTTGCTGATGTGGCCACTCCCACATACTTCCTATTCATGATGCATCAGTGGAAATGAGTGAGGGTTTAGCACAGCCAGCACGTCCTTAACCACTGATCCCACGGACTCGGGGGAGATAGTTATGCTGGGGTGGGATAACCTGCTTCTGTGTGGTGTAGTGGTTAAGAGCGGTGGCTTGTAATCTGGGGAACCGGGTTCGCTTCCCCGCTCCTCCACTTGCAGCTGCTGGGTGACCTTGGGCCAGTCACACTTCTCTGAAGACTCTCAGCCCCACTCACCTCACAGAGTGTTTGTTGTGGGGGAGGAAGGGAAAGGAGAATGTTAGCCGCTTTGAGACTCCTTAAGGTAGTGATAAAGCAGGATATCAAATCCAAATTCTTTTCCTTCTTCTTCTTCTTCTCCTCCTCCTCCTCATCCTCCTCCTCTTCTTCTTCGAGAGCTGCTGGCCTGCTCTGCTTTGCTGCTACCTTTGTGGCCGGGAGGGCATACTCTCCAAATGTCCCAATTTTCCAGGACAGTCCTGGAATTACGAAAGCGATCCTGGCTTCTGATTTGATCCCTGAACCTCTCCACAGTGGTACCTTGGGTTACAGACGCTTCAGGTTACAGACGCTTCAGGTTACAGACTCCCCTAACCCAGAAATAGTACCTCAGGTTAAGAACTTTGCTTCAGGGTGAGAACAGAAATCGCACAGCAGTGGCGTGGCAGCAGCAGGAGGCCCCATTAGCTAAAGTGGTACCTCAGGTTAAGAACAGTTTCAGGTCAAGAACGGACCTCCAGAACGAATTAAGTTCTTAACCTGAGGTACCACTGCACAAAGAAGTCCTGTACAGTGGTACCTCGAGGTATACCTGCAGACGGAACTTGCTAGGTTACAGAGTTCTCCGCTTTGGAAGCCTCAGAAATAGATCTGCCATCGGGCTTGCAAGACGACTTTGTCTTGCGAGGGCCTGAGATTTCAGAAATCGCCCTCTTAGCTAGTGGCGTAGCAGCTTATCTGCTTAGCGATGGCCTGATAAACTAGCTAAAAGCTGGTAGCCGCTCAAGCCGCTAATAGCGCTAATCAGTTAATCAGGTCAATGAGCTGGACCTCCAGAGACAGAATAACCGTTGACTAAGGACTCTCAGAGCGTACTCACTGCATCTACGAAGCATCACTGTACAGTGGTACCTCGGGTTACAGACGCTTCAGGTTACAGTCTCCGCTAACCCAGAAATAGTGCCTCGGGTTAAGAACTTTACCTCAGGATGAGAACAGAAATCACATGGCAGCAGTGGGGGGGCCCATTAGCTAAAGTGGTACCTCAGGTTAAGAACAGTTTAAAGTTAAGAATGGATCTCCAGAACGAATTAAGTTCTTAACCTGAGGTACCACTGTATTTCCCCCGCCAGTGCTGCTGCTGCCAACTTCAGAGAAGAGGATGAGCCAGCGCTTGTCCCAAGCAACAATGGTGGCTGCAACTGCGAGGGAGCGTCTCACTGCCTAACCATGGCTGCAGTTGTTGACCTTTTTGAGTTTTGCCCAAACGGGCTGCCATGCGCCTGGATTTTCCTGGACATTTGCCCGATTACCCCCCCGGACACTGTTGCCGACTGCAGTATTCTGGAGGTGTCCAGGAAAATCCGGGCGTAGGACAACTCTAGCCAAGGCCCAGCCCTGTGTGATACACTTGTCTCTGAGAGGCAGGTAGAGGACAGGGCTACCCTGGATGGGAGGAAAGGGCAACAGAGTGGAGTGCAAGGAGTTTTGATTTAAAAAAATGTTTTGTTCATCCATTGCCGGAGGAAGAGGGGGGCAGGGGGAGCGCACCACCCCCGGCACCACGATACCAGTGGGGTGCCATCGCGGCTGCCCCCCCATGCTGGAGGCCACGCCCCCAGGACATGTGCCACGCCCCCGGGGCACGCACCAGCCACGCCCCCGCCTGCTCTCCTCCCCCCGGTGCTGGAGCATGAAGCTCCGCCACTGTGTGCGTCTGCATCTAATCTTTGTCTTTTCTTAAAATTTATTTATTGGTGTGTGTTTTTCTTTCTGTAAATCTTTGTTGTTGTTTGGTCGTTTAGTCGTGTCCGACTCTTCGTGACCCCATGGACCACAGCACGCCAGGCACTCCTGTCTTCCACTGCCTCCTGCAGTTTGGTCAAACTCATGCTGGTCTCTTCGAGAACACTGTCCAACCATCTCGTCCTCTGTCGTCCCCTTCTCCTTGTGCCCTCCATCTTTCCCAACATCAGGGTCTTTTCCAGGGAGTCTTCTCTTCTCATGAGGTGGCCAAAGTATTGGAGCCTCAGCTTCAGGATCTGTCCTTCCAGTGAACACTCAGGGCTGATTTCCTTCAGAATGGATAGGTTTGATCTTCTTGCAGTCCATGGGATCTCAAGAGTCTCCTCCAGCACCATAATTCAAAAGCATCAATTCTTCGGCGATCAGCCTTCTTTATGGTCCAGCTCTCACTTCCATACATCACGACTGGGAAAACCATAGCTTTAACTATACCTCTGTAAATCTACCAAAGAATAAAATCAGGACTAATGAGTTTTCTCAGGACAGTGGAGGGCATGTGTACTGTGTCCCATTGGTGTCGTGTGGGTGGCACTCGCCCTTCTTCTGATAGGCTATGTTTTGCAGGGGGACAAAAAAGGAGGGTTGAGGAGGGTTAGTTGAAGGAGAGCGAGAAATGTCCCTAGTTTCATCTGAGGAAGGTTGGAGGATATGGGGAGGGGAGGTGCATCAGTGGGATCAGGAGTCAAGTGAGAAGTAAGGACCTTGTTGCTTTCCTTTCCTCCCTTTGCTCTTGGGGCTGTGACTTATTTCTTTGCCCAGCTGCGGGGTGCAGGGAGCTGGAAGAGGACCATAGCTGTCAACCGTCCCTTATTTGGCAGGAAAGTCCCTTATCCCAGCGCTGTGTCCCGCTGCTGTCCCTTATTGATGATGTCCCTTAAATTTCCTGGGTTTCAAAAGAAGCAGCTCCTCTCCCTCCCTCCCTGCCGGCCAGGGAGGAGGGAGGCTCCAACTGTGTTGCTTGGCTGCGTTGCTCACCCAATAAGGAGTCTAAGAACTGGGGGGGTGGAGCTTGTATGACCGCCCCAAATCGGCCGCGTTGCCTGGGAACCTGCCTTTGCTCAGTGCTTCCCAGCGGAGAGGTGACGGTGGTTTTCCTTGCTGCATCCCCTTTGCCGGGTTGCTGCGCTGTGGGAACCACCACTTGAGGCTTTGTTTGGCTGCTGGCTGGGCTTTCTGCCTTTGGCTCGTAGGGACTCAGAAGTTGAACATACCTGTGTCCAGAAAATCCCTTATTTTGGCTGCTGATCCCTTATTTTCGAGGCTGCTGGTCCTTATTTTCAAATCTGTAAGTTTACAGCTATGGAGAGGACTAAGGAATGGTGGCAGGTGAATGGGCAAGAGAAGGGCTTTCCCTGCATTCCCATGCATAAAATCCAAGCTCTGCATACACAGCACTTATATATGCCTGGGGGTTTTCCCCCTGCAAAAGATGATAACATGGGTTTCCACTCAAGCACAATTGCTCAGAGGATCTTTCCCCTGTCTTGAGCCACCACTGGGAGGTGGAAGAGAGAAGTTAGGCTTGCAAATGCTTACAGCTGCTCAAGTCTCTGTCTGAGCATTTCCCAGACTCTGAGTCACCCACTGGAAACTCAGTTCTCTTTCCTTGGCCATTGGTTCACATGAAGTCCTTGGCTTGTGCATTTGACCCTTAGGATCCTAGGCTGGAATGGACCAAAAGGAACGTCAGGTCAGCAAATGCTCACCTATGAGTTTGGGACATTTCTATGATGGAAGGGCCAGTCTGAAGGAACAAGCAACCCAGTGTTTTCTAAGTAGTGGTTATATTTTGGGGGTACTGATCAGGTGTGTGCCCCGATCCCTTGCAATGTTGGCCAAGGACACATGGTTGGGATGTGCATGGCCATCTGGCTTGAGAGCAGTACATGTGAAAAGGATCTAGGAGTCTTGGTTGACCACAAACTTGACATGAGCCGACAGTGAACGCGGCAGCTAAAAAAGCCAATGCAATTCTGGGCTGCATCAATAGGAGTATAGCATCTAGATCAAGGGAAGTAATAGTGCCACTGTATTCTTCTCTGGTCAGACCTCACCTGGAGTACTGTGTCCAGTTCTGGGCACCACAGTTCAAGAAGGACACTGACAAACTGGAACGTGTCCAGAGGAGGGCAACCAAAATGGTCAAAGGCCTGGAAACGATGCCTTATGAGGAACGGCTAAGGGAGCTGGGCATGTTTAGCCTGGAGAAGAGGAGGTTAAGGGGTGATATGATAGCCATGTTCAAATATATAAAAGGATGTCACATAGAGGAGGGAGAAAGGTTGTTTTCTGCTGCTCCAGAGAAGCGGACACGGAGCAATGGATCCAAACTACAAGAAAGAAGATTCCACCTAATCATTAGGAAGAACTTCCTGACAGTAAGAGCTGTTCGACAGTGGAATTTGCTGCCAAGGAGTGTGGTGGAGTCTCCTTCTTTGGAGGTCTTTAAGCAGAGGCTTGACAACCATATGTCAGGAGTGCTCTGATGGTGTTTCCTGCTTGGCAGGGGGTTGGACTCGATGGCGCTTGTGGTCTCTTCCAACTCTATGATTCTAATAATAATAATAATAATAATAATAATAATAATAATATATTATTATTTGTACCCCGACCATCTGTCTGGGTTTCCCCAGCCACTCTAGGCGGCTTCCAACAAAGATCCAAGATACACTAAGATGTCACACATTAAAAACTTCCCTGAACAGGGCTGCCTTCAGATGTCTTCTGAATGTCAGATAGTTGTTTATCTCTTTGACATCTGATGGGAGGGCGTTCCACAGGGCGGGCACCACTATAGAGAAGGCCCTCTGCCTGGCTCCCTGTAGCTTTGCTTCTCGCAATGAGGGAGCTGCCAGAAGGCCCTTGGCGCTGGACCTCAGTGTCCGGGCAGAACAATGGGGGTGGAGACACTCCTTCAGGTATACTGGGCCAAAGCCGTTTAGGGCTTTAAAGGTCAACACCAACACTTTGAATTGTGCTCGGAAACGTACTGGGAGCCAATGTACCGTATTTTTTGCACCATAACACTCACTTTTTTCCTCCTAGAAAGTAAGGGGAAATGTCTGTGCGTGTTATGGAGCGATTGCCTGCGGGTGGCAGGGGGGATCTGCTGCAGTCGTGAGCAGAGGATCCATGGTTCCCCTTCCTTCCCTCCTCCGTGGTTACAAAGCATGGATCCACATGGATCCTCAGGATTTTTGCATTGGGCTACTCCAAACTCACTGTCAGATCACATGTCTGTGGCCACAGCATGAACCACAAAAATCATATATCCACTATTTCGTTTAGAATTTTCTTTCCCTGTTTTCCTCCTCTAAAAACTACGTGTGTGTTATGGTCTGGTGCGTGTTATAGAGCGAAAAATATGGTAGGTCTTTCAAGACCGGTGTTATGTGGTCTCGGCGGCCGCCCCCAGTCACCAGTCTATATGGTGGCACTGCAAGGATTCCTGGAATGGCAGGGTGGCCTGTTTTGCAGAGGGCAGTCCTTTGATGGAAGGTGTGCTCTGTTAGTAGAACAGCTGCCTGGTCTAAGTGTGACTGAAAGATAAGGCTTCCCCACTGTGGACAGATGTATTGTGATTTAAATTACGATGGTTATTTCTGTATTTGAAATCTATCCTGATAAATTAGCACATGCTAATCTGTGTCCCTTTTGGGGCTGAAGCGCAAGTGGCCATCCTGTGGGGTGGACAAGTTGTGGCACACCCATTTCAGGTGACAAGATTTCCTTGGGAGAACCACAGAGTCATTACTAGACAGAATGATATGGCAGAACCCCCTTCAGTCCCTGTAAGAACTAAATCTGTATAGAGCATCTTTTCCAGGGAAATGTTATACAGTGGTACCTCGAGTTAAGTACTTAATTCGTTCCGGAGGTCTGTTCTTAACCTGAAACTGTTCTTAACCTGAAGCACTACTTTAGCTAATGGGGCCTCCTGCTGCCGCTGCGCCGCCGCTGCACGATTTCTGTCCTCATCCTGAAGCAAAGTTCTTAACCTGAGGTAATATTTCTGGGTTAGTGGAGTCTGTAACCTGAAGCGTATGTAACCTGAAGCGTATGTAACCTGAGGTACCACTGTACGTGGAAAGTCCATGTCTCGGAGGCGTGTTCTCTGAAGATGCAAGTAAGAATAGAAAAACCCGAAATGTTAAGAATGGGGTGTGAATTGTGCTGAATTGCATGGGGTGGGAGAGAAGGCTTTTATTTATTTGTTGTTTTAGATGGTGAAGTACCTGTGGCAAAGTTTTGGTGAAAAATAGTATGGGGAAGAGGATAGTGGTCTCTAAAACATATCTGAATCACTGTATCCTTCTTTTGGAATAGCCTTTGGAACTAGGTAACCTGTGACCCTGAAGATGTTGTTGAACTCCCAAATCCCATCAGCTGTAGGCAGCATGGCCAGTGGCGTCAGGGGTGATGCAATGTCTAGAAACATCTGGAGAATTGAAGTCCCACACCCCACCCCACTTTCAGAGGGTGTCAAGAGAGCCATGTATCTTGAGGGGAGGGCCTGACTATTAGAACAACTTAGAGGGCCTTTAGCATTCCAGATGCTTTGGCAGGTTACAAACCTATAAACAAGCACGCACACCCAGTTGCTGCTATTGTCGTTGAATGGGGCTAGGTGTTAATTAGAGGGAAACCAATCAAGGACTGGGTTTGTAAGGTAGTTGGTGTAGCTGCTCTAGGAGAGAAGGAGCCATCAGAGATTTAAAAAACTAAAAATAAAACCAAAGCTACGTGTGTCTTAGCAACAGGGCAGATTGTGATAGTGTAGATGGAGAGGAAGCCTTGAGAGGGGAGATAATTTTGAGCACTGAGGAAGAGCAGATTGCCATCGCTGTGTAAATCAGTTCAGATTAGGCCTTTCTCGGAAACGTCATAACTAGCAGTTCATGATGCGGCGATAGAGCTCGTGCTTTGCTTGCCGAAGGTCCCAAGACACAGAGTTGCCATGGAGTCAATCAAAAATCCCCTAGTGCAGTGGTTTCCAATTAGCTAAGTACTGTGGGTCTCCAGTTTTTCAGAGCCACTCCAGAAGGATACTGTGGTCAGGTGTATTGCATGCCTGTGCAAATCTGTGGGTCTGTGCCCTCCTTAAGTCCTTTAAGTAGTGGACCACACCTCTAGTGTTGTGATAGTACAGACATTTCAGAATGGCATCTTTTCCCGATCCCTTTCACTTTCCTTTTTTGGCACAGTGACTCCTTTAGAAGTGCTGATAAGCAATCTTTACCAAGAGACAAAAAAGAGAAACACAACTCTCTTGAGTTTGTTGGATCCTCTTGGAAGTTTCCAGCACATACACAAAAAAATGATTTTTTAAATTGGACTGCATACAAAATTTGGCAGGAATCTGAGGGGATAGGCCAAGAGCGAGTCAGACTTTTCAGATCCAGGTTTAGATCTCAGATCGTGAAAATGTGGACACCAGCAGTGTCTGGCCTATGGTGTGCTTCAAGGCTTTCATCACTGCTCGGTTTTTATTGTAAACTGTTAGAAGAAACCCTCTGGACTTGAGCAGATAGTTTGATTCTGGTTCTATTTTTTTTTAATCAATCTGAAAGCAGAGGTATTCACAGCTGTTGCCAAGGGGATGTGGTTAAAGAGGCTGAATCAGAAAAACACACAGCTGAAGTGCAAGCCAAGAGCTTCGTCCAAGCACCTCCTGCAGCTTTGCAAAGGATTCTGGGGCACAACATCACAGCTCTTGAAATACAGGCTCTTGGACCCTCCCTGTCTTCAACATAAACCTCAGCCATCCTCTGCCTCAAATTTATTTGTAGAATGTGCACTTCCGTGGTCTGTTGTGCTTTGCACATGCACACTAAGTTCAATGCACCTTACTTCCTGGTAAGGGACTGCAGCCACATCTTCTAAGCAGACCCTGTGTGTTCCACTTCTTGTTGTAAGTTCTCTATTTGGGTAGTTATTTTAGTTCTTCTCCTTTGCACCTGTTCCAGTTCAAATACCTCAAGGTGGCCACAGATGATCAAAACGAGGCCGTATTGCAGATGTCTTTGATGAGGGCTTGCCTAGTTTTATGAGTACTTCTTGTTCTCTACTGATTATTCTGCTCCTCATATTTTGTCCTCCAAATGGCCTTTTCTTTGTACCTAGATAACAATTTAGTGATTTCGTAGTTTTCCATTGGTCGAGATCCCCAGGCCTCTTTGCTTCAACGTAAGTTCCAGCAAGAGTTGCCAACCAACCCCTTGCTTGGATAGCTCACTTGGTAGAGCATAAGACTCTTGATCTCAGGTTCAAGGGTTTGAGCCCCACATTGCGCAAAAGATTCCATGCGTTGCAGGGAGTTGGACTAGATTACCCTTGTGGTCATCTCTGATTCTATGATAGCTCAATGATAACCAGAAGACTCCATCCTGGCCTGCTCTAGTGCCTTTAACAGCAGCTTGATCAGCAGGGCTGCTCCCCAAAGGGTGGCTTTAAGCATTCAGAGGCAGATTTAGGGGAGCATGACCAGTTCAGTCACACTGGGCACCAGCGGTCATTCGCAGGCACCCTCCTGAGTGTTGCTGGAGGGCTCTGAGGGGAAGGCAGCGGAGGGGGACTCAGCAGCCCAGCGGGCCGGGAGCCAAGCCCTGGGCTGTGCTGATTTTGGGAGCGGCATACCGGGGCATTTGGACTTGGGCGTCACTTTGTGCTCCAGAGCGCTGTCCCCAAAATAAGCACCACCCAGGGCACCCCACCCTCCCTGCCCCCCATTGGCTACACTACTGCTGGGCACAGAGCCTCGGGTGTGCTGCCAGGGACACCACAACTATTATTTAGAATGCAGCGCAAGGCAGAGAGGAGCTGAATTTTGGTGTTGAAATTTGTGACCCAAGCTCTTCTTTCGTAAGGATTGACATTTGTTCTGATTCAGCAGTAAACAGCAGGTTTTCTTGGGGGAAGCGGCAGGGGAAAAGGAATGTCTTTTGGACCTGTGCTTAGAAATCACAGGAGAAGTGTGGAAGAGCACTCAAGACTAAATATCAGGAAGAAATTTCCGGTGGTGAGAGCTGTTTGGCAATGGAGCAGACTCCCTTGGGAGATGGCGGTCTCCCCTTCATGGGAAGTTTTTTAACAGGTTGGGTGACCGTCTGTCAGGGATGCAGGGGTGCCCGAGTTGTGATTCTTGCATTATAGGGGGTTGAACTAGATGTAGCATGTGTGCCAGCGTCCCCACACTTTCTGCGAGCTGAATCAGAACAAATGTCAGTCCTTACAACACAAAAGCAATGCTTCAGTGGCAGATCTTGGGGTCTCAAATTTCAGCGGTGCCCTGTGCGATGCCAAAATTCAGCTCCCCTCCATCTTGCGCTGCATTCCAAGTAATGGAAGCTGGTGCGCGTGGTTTCATTGGCACCTGTTTCATGCCACGTCTGCTTTGCCCAGTGGGAGCTGTCCATTTTGGCTTGGTGCGGTTCTCTTGTTCTGAGGAGAAAACGGCCCGTGACAATGATATTTATCTGCAGCCTGAAGATGAAATTTGATCTTCATAACTAGGTTCACCATAGTTCAGGGAGACACATAGTTTTTCTTCTTCTCTCTTCTATATCTCAACTTGATCCCCTCCCCCTCTTTCCTTTTTCCTTCTGTGATGGAACTCCTATTTGGGGACTCCCCTGGCTTTTTTCTGACCCACGTAGGACCAGTCTGGATAGTTGGCCTTGATAAAGATTTGACCTTTTCATCCCCAAAAAGTTTTTGATTTGAGTTTCTACTGAAATGAGACTGCATTTTAATGTTGTACTTTAATCTTGTTTTTCAGTTGTATTTTAGTCAATTGTTTTATACTTGGTGTTAGCCGCCCTGAGCCCGGTCTTGGCTGGGGAGGGTGGGGTATAAATAAAAATTATTATTATTATTATTATTATTATTATTATTATACTCCCACAATATTAGAATTCTGAAATACTAGGCATTAAATGCCCCCTCCAAGAAAAAGCTGTGAAAGGACTAAACCCATACAAGGAATGTAATCTGGTTCTTGGTACCAGTTCAGATTATGATGCAGCAGACTCATCACTCATAATAATTTGCTTGTGTTTTTACTTCTATTTTTTTTTTTTAAAAGTGGGGAGTCCAAACCCACTTTGCTCTGCCCACAAATTCCCTCAGGATCTGGGTTCGAGAGGGGAGAGGAGGGCAAGGATTGCTTGAGGTGTGGAGAGACATGTACTTTACCCCATAATCTGTGTGGGGAAACAGGAGGTAGGGCCTTGTTTACTCTACCATAGATGCAATAGTGTCTCTGATGGAAGTGTGGAAGAACTCCGCAGCTCCTTGCCACCCCTGATGCCACTTCCCCTTTCACGGAAGGTACATGGGGCAGAGTTACCTCAAGGTGTCTGTGCTGGTATAGTCGGGGCAGCAAGTGGCTGCATGGGGTGTGTTGAGTGGGGCTGGTGAAAGGGCTAGAAATTTCCACTCTGACCTTTATGGGTCTTTTGCTAGCTGGCCATATTTAAGGGATGATGAGCCATCTCACTGCGGTTGAAAAATGTGCTGAACACATAACCATCCCAGCCAGCCATGCCACTCAGCACATTTGGCAGGAAGTAAACGTGTTGGGGAAACATGGTCGTATGTCCCCATCCACATGGGATGGGGAAGTCAATTGTGCAACTCAAACGGGGCTTGCTCCTTTCAACTTTCTGAGTATGCGCTTGTTGGCATCTGTCTGTCTTGGGAGACAACAGAGGAGTGTGCCTTTCGGAGCGAAGTCAAACCATTGGAGAGTTACAGCACCTGTTGTGAGTGTGGCGACTGATATAGGAGAGACATGTTTTGTTGCAGCTGGGGCGTCTGGTTGTACTGCTGCAAGGTCATTCCTCCTCAACCCATCTCTTCTGCTAAATTTTGCTCCATTGCTCCACCTAGGAATTCACAAGTGTTAATTGCCACCTGCTTTAAATTTTTTGTCTCAGTGTTATAATTTGAAATATGCAGCTCCCTTCTACGATTGGATGGAAGACTTATACAAACTTGCAACATATGAACGACTTGCATATAAGTGCAGGCTTGCCATGGACAAATTCAGTGAAATTTGGAATCCATTCTTACAAATACTGTAATAGGTTAAGATCTAGTGAAGTACAATAACAAGCTTGTAAAATATACAGTTTTGTGTTTTCTTCCCTCCCCCCTTTATTTTCTATTCTACACGGGTTTTGTTTCTCTTTTTCTTTTTCTCTCTTTTATTTACATATCAGCATGTTTAGTGTATATATAATTATATACTTTTTGAACTTTCAATAAAGATGTTTAAAACAAAGCAAAATATATGTTTTTTTAAATATGTAGCAGATTAATGGTTGGCTCCTGCCAACCTAGCAGTTTGAAAGCACATCAAAGTGCAAGTAGATAAATAGGTACCACTCCGGCGGGAAGGTAAACGGCATTTCCGTGCGCTGCTCTGGTTCGCCAGAAGCGGCTTAGTCATGCTGGCCACGTGACCCGGAAGCTGTACGTCGGCTCCCTTGGCCAATAAAGTGAGATGAGCGCCGCAACCCCAGAGTCGGTCACGACTGGACCTAATGGTCAGGGGTCCCTTTACCTTTACCTAGCAGATTAATGTGCATGCAAAGTGCTAGAAGGAAACCTGTTGGTGCTGGTTACATCATAGTAAGAATTAGAATAATAATAGGGCTGGGGAATCCCTTAGAGCAGGTAGATCTGCTGTTGATCACACACCCCCTTGGCAGCCTTGCTTAGAGTTAGGGATAACCTAGCAGAATCCAGGGGGAACTAGAAGGCAGTGATAGAACTGAATACGCTGCATGTTTTGCACTATGTTGAGCCATGGTGGTCGTGTTGCTGAGTCTCATTCTCAGCTTATGTTCCTTCTCTGTGCTCTACTTCCAGTTCCTGTGCCTCAAGAACATCCGAACCTTCCTTGCTGCATGCTGTGAGAAGTTTGGTCTGCGCAAGAGTGACTTGTTTGAGGTCTTCGACTTGTTTGACGTCAGGGATTTTGCAAAGGTTTGATTGCTTCATCTGCCTTCTTCACAAAAATACAGTTTTCGTAGGCACTTTATTATTGTCTTCAAAGGAGTCAAGGTAGCCTGTGAATGTGATACAAATCTGTTTCATACATATAATATGCAACTCAAAAATGTAGCTTTATAGCCACAATAGCCAATAGTCTCCATGTGCAATACATATTAGCAAACTGATACATGTTAATATATTAATCAGCTGTAACATGACACATAAAATGTGCATGCTCTAAACAGATCACATGCTTGCACAGAAAAACTATGGATATGCAAGCTGCCCCAAACTCATGTTCTTTTTTGTGGTTCTTCAAGCAAACACCAAAATATTCCATTCCTCTTAAAACACTTGAATGTACAGGAGTCCTGAGGAAATGCAGACACCTCCATTCCCAAGCCAAGCCCCACTTCCGACTCTGTCAAAAATCCCTTAGCAGCTGGTGCTGCAGTGCTCAGTGAGTGCAACTGTCAGGAAACAGCCAAAATAATGGAAACGTGCTATTTATCCGTATTTATCAATAATGATCATTTGCCATACTTTGTGGTTTTGATAACAAATAAGTGATTTATATTAGGGAACAAATTATCTTTAAGAATAAGCCCAAGTTCAGAGGTCATGACCGCTTCCTTGTTTGCAATAACACCTGCAGTCACATTTGCATTGGGTCTTGGTCCTGTATACCTGAAGGAGCGTCTCCACCCCATCATCCAGCCCGGATGCTGAGGTCCAGCGCCGAGGGCCTTCTGGCGGTTCCCTCGCTGCGAGAAGTGAGGTTACAGGGAACCAGGCAGAGGGCCTTCTCGGTGGTGGCGCCTGCCCTGTGGAACGCCCTCCCATCAGATGTCAAGGCAATAAACAACTATGTTACTTTTAAAAGACAACTGAAGGCGGCCATGTTTAGGGAAGTTTTTCATGTCTGATGCTGTATTGTTTTTAATATTCGGTTGGAAGCTGCCCAGAGTGGCTGTGGAAACCCAGCCAGATGGGCGGGGTATAAATAATAAGTTGTTGTTGTTGTTATTATAAATTATTATTAACTAGAGTTTCGACATCACTTGAAGCTTTAACCTCAAGACAAGGATGTTCTATGGGGCAGAAGATGGCAGCTTTGCCAGCCAGGGGGCAGGTGCTGGCCATGTCTGATGCCTCAAGGGTGGAGCCAGAAGAGAAAGAGGGAGGTGGCGTCCCCCAAGTGTTGTGGGAATGAGTTCTAAGCACCTTTTTACAAAAGGGAACATACATAAGGAAGAAGGAACTTGTGGTTTAAACCACTGCTTGAGTCCTCCCTACAGGTGTGTCTACCAGACCTTTCAGGCAGGCAGATATTCTCATTTACTGTATCTGCTGCCCACATTTTATCATTCCAAGCAGCTGCGTGATCATTCACAATCTCTGAGGCAGCAAAACGTCTTGAGTTGTCAGCCTCAGTGCAAAATCACCCTGAGCGCAGCATTGCCTCTGAAGGAGTGAGCTGCTGTATTCACACCAAAGCTTTGGGAGCTGCCTGACAGCATGTAAACAATATTCCCTGACCTCCCGCTCTCTGCTCAGTAGGCCAGAAAGCAAGCAGGCGCTTGCCCACAACAGGATATGAAATGCAGCAGCCAAACCACGCAGGCGAGTTGCAGTGGGCATGTTCTAGAGGAGGAAGCCTGTAACACGTGCGATCTTGCTGCAAAGGGTTTCCTTTAAGCCAAAGGTTTATTTTAAAATGCTAGCGCAAGGTTCCAGCTCTATGATTCTATGATTCTAAGGTTTCCATTCTTAGCTAAATGTTTGCCTGGCTGCAGAGAAAAACGTGGAAAGATTGAGTGAAATGAATGGAAGGATCATAGAGTGAGAAGTGTAGGGGGGTATGATGGTCATCCAATTTAGATGTGCTAATGTAGCTTATCTTATGCCCTATGATGAGACAGAGGGAAGCAGAGGGAAGCAGCTGCCTCAGGTGGCAGATGCTGAGGTAAGTGGAGCAGCCACTCTGAGCGGCTTCCAACAAAACACTAAAATACAATAACCTATTAAACATTAAAAGCTTCCCTAAACAGGGCTGCCTTTAGATGTCTTCTAAAAGTTTGGTAGTTATTTTTCTCTTTGACATCTGGTGGGAGGGCGTTCCACAGCGGGTGCCACTACCGAGAAGGCCCTCTACCTGGTTCCCTGTAACTTGGCTTCTCGCAGCGAGGGAACCACCAGAAGGCCCTCGGCGCTGGACCTCAGTGTCCAGTTTAACAGGACTTAAAAGTGGTTAATTTTGGTTGGATTGTGCCCCTTTATATAGTGATTTTCTTAAACATTTTAAGCACTCCACACACATTATCTTAGCAATTCTTTAAACAGCCCTGTAAGACTTGTCAATAGTGTTGAGAGCTGAGGCTGATCGCTTGCCCTGTGAATTCATGGCTTAGTCAGAGGTAAAATTTGAAGCGGGGGATTCCCTTCTCACATACTGAGTCACCGTGCTGCATCAGTTCTCAGTAGCAATAATGGAAACAACAGAGGCCCCAAATGCTTTTAAAAGTATCAAACCACTTTAATAAGTCATGGCCTCCCCCAAAGACTCCCGGAAACTGTAGTTTGTTAAGGGTGCTGAGAGGGTGCTTATTCCCCTCACAGAGCTACAATTCTCAAAAGTGGTTTAACAGTCAATCCCTCTCCCCAGGGAACAGTTTGCTACTATTCTGGAAATTATTATTTAAGGGGTGTCTGGAAACTGAGGAAACCGGCATTGTCCTTCATCTTCATAGTCTCTGAGTATATTTATATGTCTGCGGATTAGGGTTGCCATATTTTGAAGAGCAACAAAGAGGACACATTTGCCAACTTCTACGTTTAACAATGGATCTCTATGATGACGCTTATCATGAAAAAGAGGGCATATCGTGGAAAAAGAGGACCTATGGCAACCCTGGAATTAAAGCAGCTCTTACTTCCACCCCACCCCCAAATACTGCAAGCATGACATCTCCTAAGTAGCCTTATCAGAATGTTTTCTGTTAAATTAAAATGGAACAATTGTACCTTAAGTAATTATAGTCAAGGTAACAGGAAAGGCTTAATTTATATGCAAACATTCTGGAAACATAGACTAATTTCATTGGTGTTTATGCAACATGTCAGCTAAATAATGTTAACAGTACAATGTGATACACTACAACAATTAACAATTAGATCGTGTTCTTCCTTTTAGTCATTTTCTACGTTGTAAAGGCTTTAGAAGTGTTTCTAAAAAGAAATCCAGAACTGGACAACCAGCTGCAAAGTAGCATTCCCTGAGCCCAGGCTACTGAGTAAAGCTCTCTTCATCTTGTGCCATTTCCCCCATCTCCACTGGCTGGCTCTGCATGCCCTGGCTGGACACTGGGGACTGTCTCTCGGATGAACTTGAATTTCTGTTTATTTCATCGGGTTTTATTGTTTTGCTGTATGTTGTTATTACTGGCTCTGCTTTTTGACATTTCAACAAAAGCTGCCTTGGCTCTACAAAACATTGTGGAATATTAATGTTTTAAAGTCAATACAGTGGTACCTTGGGTTACATACACTTCAGGTTACATACGCTTCAGGTTACAGACTCCGCTAACCCAGAAATAGTGCTTCAGGTTAAGAACTTTGCTTCAGGATAAGAACAGAAATCATTCTCCGGCGGCACGGCGGCAGCAGGAGGCCCCATTAGCTAAAGTGGTGCTTCAGGTTAAGAACAGTTTCAGGTTAACAACGGACCTCCGGAACGAATTAAGTACTTAACCCAAGGTACCACTGTAATCAAGTATCCATAGATTAAGTCCAATGTTGCTGACCACACACCTCTCTTTTTCTCTCTCTCCCTCTCTTCTTCCACGTAGGTGATTGACACCTTATCAATACTTTCGTGGACACAGGTTGCTCAGAACAAAGGGTTCGTGTAAGTGCAGTTGGCTTTCATGCGTGTCTCACACAGATGTGGCATTTTGTGAAACTGTTGTAAAACTAGGGGCTGCGCCTTTGCTCACTCTACTCCCCTGCCATCTCTGCTCACATTAACACGCCCGCCCCCCCAAGTTTCTCCTTCCCACCCCATGCAACTGCGAAGCTCATGTCGCCTTCCAGTGTGGTGTAGTGGTTAAGAGCGGTAGACTCGTAATCTGGTGAACCAGGTTCGCTTCCCCGCTCCTCCACATGCAGCTGCTGGGTGACCTTGGGCCAGTCACACTTCTTTGAAGTCTCTCAGCCCTACTCACCTCACAGAGTGTTTGTTGTGGGGGAGGAAGGGAAAGGAGAATGTTAGCTGCTTTGAGACTCCTTCGGGTAGTGATAAAGTGGGATATGAAATCCAAGCTCTTCTCTTCTTCTTCCCAACCTAGTTTCTGAAGCCACTTCTCTCTTGTATTCTGCAGTGCTGCTTTGCACCCTAGTTTTCACCTGCACCACATGTCCATGCCTTCTTTTGTGAGACCCCCCTTTCACACTCCATGGTAACCTCCTGCATCTTCCTCCTCCCACAAAGTACATCTAGTAAGTCCAATTATTAAGCCACCATCCCCTTCAGGCCCTTTCGTGCCCCAGTTTTCCTCTTCAACCCCATACAATTACTTCCTGCTTTTCTCAACAATCCCTTTCACGCAGATCATCCCCTGTTTCCATGCCATCTCTTCTCCTCTCTCCTGTGGTGCAACCCCCTTTGTCTGTGTGTGCACACGCACACTCACCGGCCCAGTTGTCATCTCCAACCCCTTTTTCCTATCTCTTTTTTTATAAAAAAAACTCCCTTGCACACAGACCACTGTTTTGATTGTTCCTCCCTTCTCTCTGGACTCGAACAACAGCAGAAATTTGAGTAGGTGTGGAGGAACATTGAGGTGAAAATTGTGGTTTTTAACAATGGCAAAGGTTTCAGTAAATCAGGGGTGGAGGGACAATAAAGGTTGTTTTTTTTAAAATATATATAAAAAAGATAACCAACAAATTTTAACAAGGAGAAATAGCAGAAATGGGTATGACAGAAACTAACACCAAAAAGCCTAACATACACAGCCTGTCCCAACTTTCTTCTTGCTGCAGGCAAGCCTTGTTTTAATCTGCCACTTCCTCTCATCCCTTTCGTTATAAGAAAAAGACAGCTCCCGTTCCCTTATGGGGTATCCAAGGGCCTGTATAGAGTCCTTACATAGGTTTCCTATCGGAAGGAGAAAATAACGGAGGCCAACCAGAGAATATTGAGAGAAGCAAGGCAGCTAGTAAGCCTGATCTTTATTAATTGTTGCAACAGGGTCCCCACTCACCACATGCAAGAGGCAGGAGGGACCCAGAACAATGGTGAGCAAGCCCTTATATAGACTTTGGAAGTTGCTCACCCTGTAGCCAGAGACCACCCCCCAAAACATCATACATACATCACAGAAAGAGGTGGTCTACAGCAGAAATCTTGTCTGCCAGGATACCTGATAATGGTGACTGGTTGCATTACCTGGACAGTCCGCCCATTCTTTTGTGATGGTAAATACTTTAATTCCTGAAACCAGGTCACAGGCTCATCCTATTCATACACACATACGCCCTTAAGACAGGTAAGCAAAACACAATGGAGAGGCTTTTTCATTTCTTTCCTCCTTGCAGAGAAATATTTGAGGTCACTAGGAGAGTCAAAATAGTTTGGGAGAGTCAAAATAACTTCAGGATTGTTCTCCTGTACTATTTCAGACACGTGGTTTATATACTTATGTATAATAATAATAATTATTATTATTATTTATATCCTGCCCTCCCCAGCCAAAGCTCAGAGCGGCTAACATTTGCCTTGTAGATTTATGCATTTATGCATAAGCATTTGCCTTGTAGATTTATGAACAAATGATTTATATATATGAGACCTTGGAATTCCTGTAACACTTTCTTAATCTACTCATACCTCTGCTACTGTTTAAAATCACTTTTTCTTCTCTAGCGTATTTCCATTCCTGCTTTACTGCTGTTGTTTAAAACCACCAATTTCCTCTGTGTCTCTCCATCCCTGCTTTATTCAAAACTCTGCTGTTGTTTTAAACCACCATTTCCCTCTCGGTTTTCCCCATCCCTGCCTTGCTCAAAGTGCCAGTTTGGCTTCAGCAAAGAGGGGAGCCATGAACCTTTTCGTGGTCTACTCCAGCCCAGTTCTATTGACAACTGGGCCAGAAAGAGAAGATATGTTCACAGCTATCTGTATGCCAAATAATCTTACGGCACTCAGTACATTTATTGTACCTTAAATTTTCCTTGACTAGAGACCAACCACTGAAGTTGCAAATAATAAATATTATTGATAAGTCCGCAATAAATCTTAGGCAGTGGCTACTTTGCCGACAATGTGTTGGCCTTAGATGACAGATAAGTTCATCCAAAAGAAGGTTGGTGGTTTGAATCCCCACAGCGGGGTGAGCTCCCATTGCTCGGTCCCTGCTCCTGCCAACCTAGCAGTTTGAAAGCACGTCAAAGTGCAAGTAGATAAATAGGTACCGCTCTGGTTTTGCCAGAAGCAGCTTAGTCATGCTAGCCACATGACCTGGAAAAACTGTCTGCAGACAAACATCGGCTCCCTTGGCCAGTAAGGCGAGATGAGCACAGTAACCCCAGAGTTGTTCGGGGCTGGACGTAACTGTCAGGGGTCCTTTACCTTTACCTTTTTACTTTGCCGACAATCTGTCGCCCTTAGATAACTGATAAGTTCATCCAAAAGAAGTTACCAAGCAAGGGGCTGCAACATCTGAAATAAGCATCCTCTGATACCACTATAAATGCTATATCTATATAGGCATATATATAGTTGCAGGTACTTGAGTAGCATGTGGATATTACATTCTGATCTTAAACCATCTTTGTTATTTTACAGGCCATTCCCTACAGAGGACAGCATCGCTGATGATGATATATACAGTGGCTTATCGGATCAGATTGAGTAAGGAGCAAGACCATTCTGGGAGGGGAGGGGTATATCATTCATGCTGCTTTTCCCTGGAAGGAGTCCTGGGCCTTGAAAGAATGCATGACATCAGAAAATGATCAAGTGGATCTTTTTCCTATCACTGTACGCTGGCAGAACCTTTCCCCTCCTGAATTCCTGCTGCTTCTACGATTGCTAAAGGCGCAGAAGTATTGATGGGAAAATGATAATCATTGTGCCAATAAGCTTCTCTCAGGAATACAGGTCTTTGAAAGTAACTGAGGGTAGTCTAGATAGCGACTTGAGGCAGACTCCTGTGACCCATGGCAACTGAACCCACATGGGTCTCATTCCAACAAAATCTACCTTCTCTCATGTCAGGGGTGGGAAGGCTAAAGTTCTTTCTCTCTCCCTTTCCACCAGTGACACCATGGAGGAAGATGATGACCTCTATGATTGTGTGGAAAATGAGGAGGCTGAAGGAGATGACATCTACGAGGATCTGATGAGGTCAGAGCCAAGTGTCATGCCGGTAAGTGGCCAGGAGGTGGTAAACTATCTATTCCTTGGAAGGCGCAATTACTGCTTCCGGCTCCACCCACCATCAGAAGAAAGTCATTGTGCAGTCTGTCAAAGAAAGACACTGCATGATTTATGTGGGTATAGAAGGTAAAGGACCCCTGGACGGTTAAGTCCAGTCGAATTCGACTATGGCAGACATCCCCAAACTCGGCCCTCCAGCCGTTTTGGGACTACAATTCCCATCGTCCCTGACCACTGGTTCTGTTAGCTAGGGATGATGGGAGTTGTAGTCCCGAAACAGCTGGAGGGCCGAGTTTGGGGATGCCTGGACTATGGGGTGCAGCGCTCATGTCTGCTTTCAGGCCGATTTATCTATCAGATTTATCTCTCAGACACAGCAAGCATTTTACCATCTGCAACTTGTTCATCTTCACAGCAGCCCTGTAGAGTAGTCCCTGGTCGCCATTTTAGAAGGATTAAATTAAAAGCAAACAAGTCAGTGTTATTCCTGTTTTATTTATTTCTTATTGATTTATTAAATTTATCATGAAAAGATCTCAGGGCAATTGACAGAATAAAATACAAGATAATTAAACCAAAGCAACAATGACCGCTCCCCGCATAAAACAGGGGGTGACCTTTGCGTGGATGTGCGCAGCCCCTGGATCTGGAGCGGCTCCATCAGCATAGGCTTGGCTTTGCCTTCCCTCAGGTGGGATACCTGGAGGTCTCCGCCTACCCCAGTCAGTTGTCCAATCCCACCTGGGGGAAGCGTTGCCAAGGAGATCAGGCCAGGTAGGGGAGGGATTACCTGCCCACACAATAGAGGGAGGATCTTACCTGGGAATCCTCACTTGGCTCCAGAGCAGATCTCAGGGCAATTGACAGAATAAAATACAAGATAATTAAACCAAAACAACAAAACAATATCCCCCTCTTCCCCCAGACACATTTAAAAGGCTGTAGAATATTAATCAGCCTAAGGCCTGGTCGAAGAGAAATGTTTTACCTGGCGTCTAAAAGTATATAATAAAGGCACCAGGCGAACCTCCCTTTTTAACACCTGACCCATTAACATAGTTAACATCATTAGGGTGGCCTAGTGAGTGATGCATTTGAACCCGAGTCCAGGGCCCAGGCTTCATCCACTGACCCACAGCAACTCATCTGATAACATGGTTCCCCACTGTGTTGTATGTTTTGCAGCAGCGAATGACTGAACTGGACAAGAGGAAATGTTGCCTTCAGGAGATCCAACAGACGGAGGAGAAATACACAAGCACACTAGAATCTATCCACCAGGTACTTATGCCACTGCCGCCTCCTCCCTTCTCACAGCAGTTCAGGTGGCCGAATTTCTCTTTGCCCCACATTCAGGCCTTATTCGAGGCCACAGAAGCAGCACCTCCCTGTCTGGTTGTCTTCCTCTTTCTTGCTTTTTGCAACTCACCAGGCAATGTTGTCGTGCTGTGAGTTTCCTCACTCCTGCCAGCGGTTGTGGGTGATGTGGAGCAGGGCCAAAGAAACTCACTCAGCCAGATGGCATCAGGTCACAAACTGAGTTGCACCAGTGATTATGGGAGTTGGAAGGAGATGTTAAAATGGGCCTGAGGTTTTTGGCGGCAGCTGCTCACCGTGTCTTCATTACTTAGTTCTACCCTTTGTTTGTAGCGACAAAGAAGGGGGAGCGTGGCCCTCAGCCTGATAGACTGAGAGAAGGATCCCTCCTCACAGTGGCTTCTTCCTCTGCTCACAGCATGTATAGTGCTAAACTGGGCATGCATAAATTTCTCCCCAGTACTGTATGGTATATTCATCCCCCATCAGCCAATGTGCATCTTGCTGCCTTGAATTGTGCTTGTTATTGGATCATTTCAACCAGGTTGTGCTCTTTCCAGCATTTCATGAGACCTCTGCAGCTGTTTCTGCAACCACAGGACCTGGAGAATATTTTTATTAACATTGAGGTAAGAATCTAATCTTTCAGGCACATTGCTTTTTTTAAGTACTCCTCCAGCCGCTCTAGATATATTAAGTGCCCCAAGTTACTGTTGTCCATTGTCAAAGTGCTAAAATTACCATATTGACCTGAATATAAGCCTCACTTTTTCCAAATTCTGACCGTGAAAAGTTAAAGTGTGGCTTAAATTCACAACCTTACAAAAATCTGCTTTTACGATATCGCTGCTGACAAAGACATACGGTAAAACGGAACGGGTGTGAGTGCCTGCAGAATTTTAAGGGAGCGGCTTATATTCAAGTGTTGTCTTTTTTTCTTTTCCCCCCTTGAATTTTAAAGGTGTGGCTTATATTCGAGGCAATACGGTAGTTTGGTTTAACATAGCAACCAGTTTGTGACAAAAGCCTTGGTGGCTTTTAGTAGTGTTGCTGCCAAAGTCATAATTCCCTGGCTCAGGATGTGAACCTCTCTGACTTATGTGAGGTCTGGGACACCACAGTTCTTCTCTGGCTCAGATTGTAAAAAACAAGTTGCTTTTTTTCAAATTTTAAAATTAATTTTCCAAATTTGTAACAGAAATAACATGCAAAACACACTAAAGAAAACACATTACAATACAAAAAAGAAAAAAAGACAAATAAAAACACTTATTACTTATAACCTAATTTAACTTTCATTGTTAACTGACTTCCTCAAATCCCCCCTAACTGAATTTCATTATATCACCTTGTAAAAGTTCTCCAAAATCATATTTCTTATAAAATTAAATCCTTCAATTTACTACCCTCTTCTCTTTTATTGGTATTCTTATCTTAATTCTTTACAATTCATTCTTAATCTAATCCTAAGCCTATTTGATACTGCCAAGTGATTTCTAATTATATTATATTACAATATTTGGCTAAATATTCTTTGAATTTCTTCCAATCTTCTTGATATTCCTCTACTTTCTGGTCGCAGATTCTTCCAGTCAGGTCAGCCAGCTCCAAAAAGTCCACCATCTTCATCTGCCATTCTTCTATTGTTGGTATCTCTTGCGATTTCCAATTTCTGGCTAGTAAAAGTCTTGCTGCTGTAATGACATACAAAAACAATCTAACATCTTTTTGGGCATAAAAAACAAGTTTCTTAATTCCCTCCTAACTCCTCAGACACTTGTCCTTCCCTTCACTGGTCTTAACCACATTTTCCTTTTGCCCCGTGTTTCCTAGACACAGGTCCGTGCTTTAAAGCTCTGTGTCTGTGTGCTCCCCCCCCCCTTCTTCCTCTTTTTTGCCCTGGTTCTTTCCACACACACAAAAATGTTCCTAATTCTGAATTGGAACAAAAGGCAATTTGGGTTTTCAGAGGATTGACGTTTGCTCGCAGTAAAGAGCAGGTTTTCATGGGGAAAGTGCTGAGGGAAAAGAAAAAGTGCTTAGACAGAGTGCTATAAAGCACAGGCCAGTGCCTAGAAACATGGCAAGAAAGGAAGTCTAGATGAGCCCATGGTTACCTTGTTGTTGTTGTTGTTGTTGTTGTTGTTGTTTAGTCGTTTAGTTGTGTCCGATTCTTCATGATCCCATGGACCAGAGCACGCCAGGCACTCCTGTCTTCCACTGCCTCCCGCAGTTTGGTCAAACTCATGCTGGTAGCTTCGAGAACACTGTCCAACCATCTCGTCCTCTGTCGTCCCCTTCTCCTTGTGCCCTCCATCTTTCCCAACATCAGGGTCTTTTCCAGGGAGTCTTCTTCTCATGAGGTGGCCAAAGTATTGGAGCCTCAGCTTCAGGATCTGTCCCTCCAGTGAGCACTCAGGGCTGATTTCCTTCAGAATGGATAGGTTTGATCTTCTTGCAGTCCATGGGACTCTCAAGAGTCTCCTCCAGCACCATAATTCAAAAGCATCAATTCTTCGGCGATCAGCCTTCTCTATGGTCCAGCTTTCACTTCCATACATCACTACTGGGAAAACCATAGCTTTAACTATACGGACCTTTGTTGGCAAGGTGATGTCTCTGCTTTTTAAGATGCTGTCTAGGTTTGTCATCGCTTTTCTCCCAAGAAGCAGGCATCTTTTAATTTTGTGGCTGCTGTCACCATCTGCAGAAGTGGGTATATCTTTCTCTTTTCATCCTATGTAATTTTTGCATGTTTTTACTCATAGTTCCATTCATTCACACACAAGGGCAGCGGGTGGCACCGTGGTCTAAACCACTAAGCCTGGGCTTGCCAGTCGGAAGGTTGGCAATTCGAATCTGTGAGCTCCCATTGCTCTGTCCCAGCTCCTGCCAACCTAGCAGTTTGAAAGCACACCAGTGCAAGTAGATAAAAAGGTACCGCTGTGGCAGGAAGGTAAATGGCGTTTCTGTGTGCTCTGGTTTCCGTCACGGTGCTCCATTGCGCCAGAAGCAGTTTAGTCATGCTGGCCACATGACCTGGAAAGCTGTCTGTGGACAAACACCGGCTCCCTTGGCCTGAAGCGAAATAAGTGCCACACCCCATAATGTTGAGGTTCAGGGAATCCTATCCCTCCCCCGGGCGCAGCCAAAAAAGCAGATAAATAAGAAGAGTTCTTACCACACAATTTATACAGTATTCACAGAGAGAGACAAAGGAATGTAGTCCCTATTCAGTAATGACATTACTCCAAGTAAAGCCCAGCCCCCTCCATCTCTTTTATCCTCCGTCATCCATGCGCCAGCTGATCTGGGCTTTCTGCCTCTGAGCTTTCTGTCCTACTCTCCTAGTCCTGGGAGAGGGGGGCTCAGGAATGCTGTCCAAAGACACCAAGTCTGTCAGCTGTCTCTCCCCTAGTGTTTCTTCCTCCTGCTGTTCCTCTCCCAATATTTCCCAGCTTTCCCCCTCTGCAGTCTCTGAACTATGCCCTTCTGCAAACCACTGTTCTAAATCTATACAGTCCTCCTGTTCTTGGGAAGGTTCAGGAGAAGGGGCGCCCAGTCCCCATCATTCCTCCTCAGTCCAGCCTGACACATAGTCACCTTTGACTGGACTTAACCATACCTTTTACCTTACCATTCCCACATAACTTTGTACTTTGTAATCAAAATTCTTAGGTAATTTTGTATTTTAATATGCATATTTTCTCTTGAAATATCTTTTTCAATGGAGGTGGGTGTTATACATTTGCTGAGCGCTGTGTAATAACATTTAGAGGAGCATAAAGTCTGTGGTATAGCTAAGTTCTGATCCAAAGCTTCTGAAAGGTCCAGGTCAGGACATTTCACAGAAGATTTTGCAAAGAGCTAATTCAGCCCAGCAGTGGTGGCTGCTATGGTGATGGGAGACAGACTCCAGTATTTTTAGAAGTGCTAAGGTAGGAGCATGTAATCTGAGACAGGACCCCTTACATATCACAGAGGATACTTCAATGCGGTTTCTGGATATATAGTGAAGATTTTAGTTCCACCACACATGCATTCTAATAGCACATCTGCTTGCACAAAGATTTGTCATCACGAATATTCTGGGACAAGAGATCATTCAAATAAAGAGCGCAGGATGACACTAAAGAAGGTGCTTTGACCAATCACGAAAAAGAGAACAGTAAAGTTTTTAAAATCAATTTTAATAAGATGTTCTTATGAACACACACATCCCGCTAATTAAACAAAGTAAAATCGTTTTGTGACTGGATAGCAGCCCATTTCACTTTGAACCAATGCAGCCCCTCTCCCACTTCTACCTTGTCTGCCGGACTTGTGCAAATGCATTGGTTTTCCAGGAACGCCCTGGAACTGAAAAACACCCACCTAGCTGTGATGGCAGCATGCACCTAAAAGCATGAATATTTGCCTACTTTACTGTAAGCCAGGTAGCCTCAGGACTGTAAGCCAGGTAGCCTCAGGACAGATTGTTTATTTCACTGCAGTCATCTCCATCTTGCAAGGCTACATATTTGAGTTCACTTGTGGCCTAGACTTCCTTCCTCTGCTAGGTCCTCTGTAATATTTCATGCAAAAGGGTATGTGCATATATGTGCCGTTTCTTCTCCAGCCAGAATGACTCACTTGTAAAGTTAAGTCACTCATTCCGGCAAGAGTTTTTCTGCTTGATCATCATTTCTGAACGCAGTAGAGACAGAAGCCATGATGTTGGGATCCTATCCAAGTCACAGTTGCCTCTGGGTTTCCTTGTCCTTCCACAGCCAACAGCTCCCCAACCTTTTCTACAGAGGCACAGCCAGGCATGCATGAGGTAGCCAATAGCTTGGTTCCAGTTTGTTGATGACACAGGGTTTGGGGAGACTGCATAGCCTAGGAGACAAGCAGAGTTTTGTTTTGTTTTGGCTTTTAAAAACACCTCCATTTCCGCACACAGTCTGTTTCTCCGACAGTAAATGTAGAAAATCTTCAGACAGGTGAGAAGGCAGCGAGTGAGGGCAGCATGGGAATAGCTCAGAATTTGTTTTAATCTTTCTAACATTTTGAATCTTCAAGAGTTTAATCTTTCACGAGTTTTGAAAGTTATTTATGGTATTATATTTTAAGATGGACATAGTTTTGAAAAGATAAGCAAGAAGCTAAAATAGGATTTACAGCTGCCATCTGTGAGAAACTCAGTTTGATCTGATGAAGCACAAAACAGGATGCAATCCAGGAAACCTCGTTGAAAGTGCTTGCAGAAATTGTTGTCGTTGTTGCAATTGTTACATAACAGTGGCCATCACTTATAATTGCATATATGTGTTCATTTTACATTGTGAAAGTTTGTCAACTTATCAGTCACTTTCATTCTGTTTTCATTGTTTTTGGAGTTCCTCTGATTTTGTCTCGGGTGCCTTTTTCCTCCCAAAAACCCATAACTGCAGACTGCCCACTAAAAATCAGCAGAGTGTGTGTGTGTGTGTGTGTGTGTGTGTGTGTATGAGACATATTTAAAGGTGTTGAGGGGTGGAGCCTACCTAATATCACACAGAATGGAGTTCTGTAAATCTGGGGCCAACACCAAAAAGGTAAACATATATAACAACAACAACTGGAGTCTTGTCTTTACAAAGTTTCACACAAAACTTTTCCATAGCAATTGTTGGCTTTAGCGGCAGACTATGTAACTTTCACATGGATCATAGTGGGATCAGCTCTATAAGAAATATTTATCATTAAGAATGGAAGAAGCAACCCTTTCCTAAATTATTTTGCAGTTTCCCCGTGAACCTGAATAAATGTAATGTTTGCACCAAGTTCCAAAAAACCACAGAATGGCCCCAATCAGTGACCTCTTAGAGTCGTACCTTGGTTGTCAAACGGAATCTGTTCCGGAAGTCTGTTCAACTTCCGAAAAAGTTCGACAACTAAGGCGTGGCTTCCGATTGGCTGCAGGAGCTTCCTTCAGCCAATCGGAAGCTGCATAAGCAGTGTTGGACGTTTGGCTTCCAAAGAATGTTCGCAAACCAGAACTCTCACTTCCAGGTTTGTGGCGTTTGGGAGCCAGAACGTTCGACTCACAAGGCGTTTGGGATCCAAGGTATGACTGTATTCCCTTGTTCAGTCCTCCTACAACTGTGGTGTTGGAGACTGCATTGTTCCCTGGGTGTCTGCAGTGATTCCCCGGAGCTCTGAAAACCATGACCACTGTTTTGAGTATAGATTCTCCTACAGAGTCCTTGTTCTTTAGTTAACTCATTCTTCTCCATACTCTGTTTCCCTTCTGCATCAGGAACTTTTGAAAGTTCATCGGTGCTTTCTCGTGGATCTGAAGAGCGCCCTATCTTTTAGCAACTCTCAGAACCTCTACCAGGTGTTCATCAAGTACAAGGAGAGGTGAGTCCCCCTCCCAGCATGATTGCGTGTGTCCGATAATATTGTGGCCTCAGGCAGAACCCTGGTTAAAGGTAAGTCCTGGATTCTTCAACCTAAACCCATGCAGCACCTCCCCTGAACAATGTTTGGATGCAGTTCATGCCCAGGTGAAGGGGAAGAGGTTGAGGAGGAGGAATGGTGGAGATCGCCCAACCCCTTCTCCTGAAGCTTCCAGAGAAGAAGAAGGCAGTGTTGAATTACAGCAGTGGTTTGAGGAAGGTCACAGCTCAGAGACTGGTGAACAGAAGAGTTGGGAGGTGTTGGGAGAAGAGAAGGGGGAGACAGAGACAGACACGTTATCACTGGAGAGTATTTCTGACCCCCCTTCTTCCAGAACGCGGCGTTCATTGAGGGTGCAAGAGCAAAGGACTCAAGAGACAATTATCCCCAAGCGGCCACCATAAGGGGAACTGCAGTTGCTAGGAAGGGAAGGGGGAGGAGCTCAGTTGGAGCAACGCCATTAACGGGAGACAAACTGCATTCCTGGTCTCTCGCCGTGTTGATTGAATAAACTCATTAGTAAGAACTCTTCCTTGTTTTTCTCTGCTTCTTGCTGCCACCAGGGGAGGGATAGACTTCCCCGAAGCCTGACACCAGGTGTCTGTCCAAAGCTCACTGGACCTCCATTCACACCAGCTTCTTCTGCTTGCCTGCAGGTTCTTGCTCTATGGTCGGTACTGCAGCCAGGTGGAATCCGCCACAAAGCACTTAGACCAGGTGGCCAATACCAGTGTGGATGTACGCATGAGACTGGAGGTGTGGAAACTGCTCTTTGACATTCATGTGCTGGACTCCCACCATATACCAGCTTGCTGCTAAACTTTCTTATCCATGGATCCCAGCAGTAGAGATTTCTGTTTTCCTCAGCCTGTTCCAATTGTATTATGATGTGATGTATTCTGTGTTTGGGACCTCACGTTATAGGACACATGCCACAACTGGGCAGCGCAATGGTATTAAAATGTAGTGCTGTAAATCACCCGGCTTAAAACTGAAACCCTAATAATAAAACAGCCAATCCAATCCAGGGCAGAGTTAGGCACAGGGGCACCAACTATAGGGGGGCCCGAGCACCCATAAAAATTTCGTTGCGGGTGCTCAGCACCCACATTGCAGTGCCCCCGCCTCAACTTCCAGTGCCTCAAAAAGCACCGGAAGTGATGTCTGAGTCCTCAGAGATGCTGTCCAAAGCCTTGCAAGACCTCAGAACCTGACTTCTGGTGCCATCATGGTGTCGCAACATGACATCATGACGATGTCACAACGTGACATCATGATTATGTCACGGCATGTCATCATGGTGCAACCTGGGGCCACAGTCGGTACCCCTGGTTAAGTACACCTAAGCCCATTGGTTTCAGTAGTTCTAGGTGCTCCTAGCTTTGCAATGGATGAAAACAAAAGTTTTATGCAATGACAATATCTACGTTTTAACATTTGATTTGCTATGGTAGCAAACTGGAAGCTGGGCTCTAGACCATTCTTTGTAAGCCACATTTAACCTATTGAACTGAAAAGCAGACCTCCTAAAATCAGTGGCTTGTTACGGATGCTGGCTGTTGACCCCTTGCTAAAGAAAAGGCCTGCAAGTGAGTACAGATGTTAAGAAGGCATCTTTTTCTGTTCCACCCCATGTTTGTCACACTCAGTGCAGTTTCTGTCCTGCCTCCCCTCATCTTTTTTTTTTTTAATAATCTTTATTGCTTTTAAAACTTACAAGAAAAGAAGAAAGAAGAAAATAGGCGAAAGAAAAAGACAAAATAGAGCAGAGAAGGGGAAAAAACAATACAATACAAAACACAACCTTAACACACTAAACTAAACAAAGCAAAAGAACAACAATTTAAAAACATATATCATACCATTTCATTACTCTATCTTTCATTCCCTTATTTCATCGACCTCCTCTCACCTCCCTTTTTGTATTCCACTTCTATTACTTGTTTCAGCAATTCCTTTCCATCTTTCTCTATTTTTATCATTATGAATATCTTAACATATTTTGTACCTTATTTTCCATTAATACTGAAATACTTATTTATACCTAACTCCTTATAACATTTCTGCTAAAGCCATAAAATTTCATTCCAACAATTTTCTAACACTCATTAAATTTACAATATTTCTATATATAAACTTTAAACTTTCCCAATCTTCTACCACCATCTCTTCTCCCTGGTCTCGGATTCTGCCAGTCATTTCCGTCCATTCCATATAGTTCATCAACCTGGAGATCTTCTGTCCGAGGCTCTTAAATCTTTTCCAAGTCCCTTCTGCAGTTTTTCTTCATATTCTTTGATGCTGAGGGTGCCTCCCCTCATCTTCTGCCAAAACTACATTGTACATCCCACTGTCCACTGTGACAAAATTGAGACTTCCGTAATTTATGTGAATTACGTTTTCATTTCATTATTCCACCCCACTCATTTCAATGTAAAGGAAACACAATGCTAATAAGGGCCAGGAGGGGAGAAGTGATCTGCTTTGACAGTTCGTGGACTGAAGCAACAACAGTGAATACCAATTGCATGGTTTTCCACTCCGGGACAGAAAAGCCATTTCCGCTCCATTCCCATCTTTCTCAGAATCCTCCGTCCACTCTAGTAGCAGGTCGGCCAGGATTTAAGAACACCAAAAATTTAAATGGACATTGACAGTGAAGTAAACCCTTCAGGTAACACTTTTGAGTGGAAAGGGGCAAGGAAATTGCTTAGGGTTTGTCTACACTTCAGTTTGTCCTGTTTCTTTCCCCCGGGGCTTTCTGCAGATGGACATGTGTTCCAATTAAGTGCTAAAAAGTGGGTTTTCCTGGGGAAAGCAATGGAACAAGCCGAAAACCTCTCAGACGCCTGCTTAATAGAGACAAGCATAAGTGTGGATGAGCCCTAAGTCACATTCAGCAGTTTGAATGTGAAAGAGAGAGATGGAAATTCCCAGGTGTCAAAAAAGGTTATTTATGTACGGCGGCCCGTTTTTTGTTAACCCCAAAATGGAAAATGAGTGAGGTCCCAACCAAAGAAGAATGGCAGCTTAAACTGTTGGAATATGTGCAGCTTGCTGATCTAACTTATAGAACAAGAGAACAAGAAGAAAATTTGTTTGAAGAAGATTGGGAAATGTTTATTGAATATATGGGGGGTAATTGTGTGCACTTGAAAACATTGGCAGCATTATGATAAATTCAACAGTGTCAATAAGTTTTGATGGAAGTAACATTGGATTACTGAATGGTTTAGTTTATATAAAATATGCAGGGATTTATGCTATGCAAAATGAAGCATGGAAAGAGAAGAAGGGAAGTCATTGATATTTTAAGGTTGTCTAAATGAATTTTCTAAATTGTAAAACAATATATATATATATATATATATATATATGAGAAAAAGAGAGAGCTAGATTTACCGTAGCTGAACCTGGGATCCCACTTTCAGAGGCACATAACTCACCCTCTGGGCATTCGGTGTAGGATGAATCGATCCCAGTTTTTAGGAATCTCCTTATTTCCAATAGTCTGCTTGTATATATGTAAACAAAGCAAGCGTTACGGACAGTGCTGTTTTTCTAGAACTTTGCTCCAATTTTCTGCCTTTTAGGAATGTTCGCAACGAGCCAATAATGGCCGGTTTAGCCTGAGAGACCTCCTCATGGTACCCATGCAACGGGTACTGAAATATCATCTGCTTCTGCAGGTAACAAACATTGATCAGATTATGTAACGCCAGGGAGAAGAAAAAGGAAGGGGAGTATTGCTCTGAAAATATATGGCTCTATTGTCTTCTGTGCAGCCTCCATTCATTTTGACCAAGTTCATGCTGGATAAATTCCAGTTAGAGTGAGCCAGTTCTTGGGTTCTTTCTGCCTCTAGATCAGGAAGGTGGTTAAAGCATAGTGAGTGAAATAAGGCAAGCTGGGAGCCAAGAACCCTATTGTTTGTTTGTTTAGGCAAGACATCCCCATCTCTGGGACTCCTATTTATAAGCTCCTACCGTAGGAAAAGTGAGAGTCCTGGAATGTGAGCTTCCTCTTTGTGGTGGTGTAATTCGAAATTCTGCACTGGACTCAGCAACTCTTTACTGGCAAAAAGTATTGGTTTCAGCTCTCAGTGATGCTGACATACAAATGTTAGCATGTAGTGAAGATTACTTTGGCTATTTTATCTCCCAAATGCAGAAGTTTGCTCATTTTTCTCTGCCTCCTCCCTCCCGCCAGGAGCTGACCAAATACACAGTGGACCCAACAGAAAAGGAGAATCTGCGGCTTGCGCTAGATGCTATGCGGGTGAGACATATTCTAGGGCTAGGCAGATTCTAGGGAATGTATCGTGTTTGCAGCCTTGGAATTTCTGGGGTCCCGTGACAAAGGGAGGCTGTACACCCATCTAGGCCACCTGAGGATATTTGCTTGTGTATCTGTCAGTTGGGTGGGGGAGTGGTTCTGGCAAATCAGCTGGGTGGGACTTCAGGGACTTCCATGGCCATAATCTGAATTCTAGGAGAAAGTCTTTCTCAGCCCTGATGCTTGAGATAGAATTTGAAATGTTGAGCATTAAAGCTGAGTATTTTTCTTTTTATTTTATCTGCATACAAAGCATGTACTAGTGCAGGTCTCTTATTCCATCTCTTATTCTGGTTTATAGCAAGCAACAGAAGATGGTGGAACCTAGACCTGGTGGGGCACCTAGGGGGTCACATGTGGGGTGCCTGGCTTCCCAAACTCCTCCCGTGTAATGTTGTTGTAGTACTAAGTCAACCACTCTGCGGCTTGTTTCCCAGTTCAATTAAGGGAGGTTCTCAGTGCAACTTACTCTCATGTAAATGGACAGAAGACTGCAGGCAGCATACATCACTCACTAAAATCAACAAAAGCCACAATAAAAAATATTGGAGATGTAAATCACAAGTAGGAACCATCTTTCATATGTGGTGGTCGTGCCCAGGAATTAAACAGTTCTGGGGCACGATCTACAAAGAAATGAAAAAACTATTAAAATTCACATTTCCCAAAGAAACCTTCTTGGGATTTTAACCAACGATATCCCAAAAGAAAGAACAAGATTATTTCTATATGCAGCTAGGGTACTGGTAGCCAAGTGCTGGAAAAGTGAACAGATCCCTACTAGAGAAGAATGGGAATTAAAGTTAAACGGGTACTTGGAACTTGCAAAAATGACGAATCATTAAGGAATAAACCAATCGATGTAGTCCAAAAGGAGTGGGAATGCTTTAACACTTACCTAATGAGACAAGGTTCAACAAGCAAAATTTGGTTGTTGCTAGAATAAATCCATAAATAGAAAAAATGTTTCCTTATACCAAGATGAGGACATGAATTGAAATACAGGAAGAAACCGTATCAGATAGATAGAATGAATCGTGGTGAAGTAGATGGTAGTCAAAAATAAATAGAATAACAAAAGAGATCTATTCCAAAAGGGAAAGTACTTTGAGAATTGATGCTTTGGGATAGTATTGTATAGTTAATTTCATTTCATTTTTGTTCATGATTTTATTTTTGGTTTTTTGTTTGTTTTTTCCTCTTGTTTTTTTTCCCTTTGCTTTGTTTCTTTGTTTTCTGTAGATTTGTTTGTTATGTCTAGTCTTGTTTGTATTTGAACAAAACTCAATAAAAAATGGGGGGGGGATTATAGCAATTACCCCAGTGTCATACAGTTAGCTTCATGGCTGAGTAAAGTTTTGAATCCGGGTCTGCCAGGCCCTAACCCAATAGCCTTACCATTAAACCTGTATACAGAGTACCTCTATAAATTACAATGCAATATAAATTACCCCAGTATACTTTTATTTCTTGGAGCTCTTTCAGTCATTGATGCACATGAGGGGGAAGAATTGCAGTGGCGCTGGAATGAGGGAGTAGGACGGGTGAGGGAACTTTGGGGTGGTGATGGCAGCAACCTGCAGGTGTGGCCTACCTGCTGCAAGGTGGCGTCACCACAACAGACATCTTGCTTCTTTCTGCGTATGTTCTCATTTACTGTATATTTTAATCTCCTGAAGCTTGCTTACTTGCATGTTAGACCCATGGAATACAATGGGACTTACTCCCAGGTAAATGTGCATAGGTTTTCAGGCCCAATGTAGACTTGTCTGCGGGTTCCAACCAACTGGAAAACCTTGACAGGGGTTCCTGATGTCTTTAAAATACTAAAATTAGTGGAGGACAGACTTCAGGATTGTGAGTCTGGGATCTACCTTGTGTTTTACCAGAATCCCAAGAGCCACCAACTACAGATATACATTTAGGGTTCATCCACACTTCTGCTTCTGCCATGCCTAGAAAGAACAGGGCTCATCAGTTTTTCACTTGACCCACACTTTCTCAATACAGATCTGAACTGTTTTCCCCTACCACTCCTTTACAAAGGAAAACCTGTTCTTTAGTGATCAATTGAAACAAATGGCAATGCAGGGAAAACTCAAATTGCTGTTTGCTCTGATTGAATGCTAAAGAATGATTTTCTCCGAGGGGAAGCAGTGGGACAAGAGGAATTCTGGATAAGACCTTAGTATGAAAAAACATGGGAAACTGAGAAGAGCTTACAATCTTCCCACACAGGGTTTTATTTATAGTTTCTGCAAGCTTTCTTAAATTCAGTTGTCACATTTCCAAAAGGTGTGTGCCATTTGGTATTGTGAAACAAGCGGAAGTCAGAAATTCTTGACAATTGACTAAAATCTTCCAGAGACCTACCGATAGATTCCAGTTTATCTCCTGCCCTGCACCAAACCATTTGTATGAACACACCTTACAGGGTTGTGAGTACTTACAAGAATAAAACTATGATGAAAGGTATGACTCCTCAGAACATTGCCTAAAGGGGTTTGTTGCATTGTTGTTGTTGTTTAACTCTCACTTACCTCTTTGATCTTTGGCAAGTACTCCAACCGATCATTTCTTTTCGAATATCGGATCTCATTCATTATTTCCTGCATTAGGATCTGGCTCAATGTGTGAATGAAGTCAAGAGGGACAATGAAACACTGAAACAAATCACTAATTTCCAGCTCTCCATTGAGAACTTGGTGAGTGTTGCGGCAAGAGATTTTGCCAACCTTCTCTTGTTTTTGATAAGGTCTTTCGACTCCAGCAGGTATCTTCATATCCATTGAAAAATATAAATTTGTACTTTGTTGATTTTCAGTTACAAATAAATTAGATAAAATAAAAAGGAGAAAAGAAAGAGAAATAATACTATCAACAATCATATCCCATTCTTATCTTGATTATTGGAATTCCTTTTGTTCCCACTTTTGCAAAGCTGCCATTCTAACAGCTTTAAGTAAACAAATAAAAAATTATTCCTGCTAATGCCCCGTTCTCCCTGTTTGCTGCCAGAACTCTCTCGCCCCCCTCCAAAAAAAATAATATGTGTAATATGTCTTCTCCTATGCTCCTACCATCTCCAAAATTTGTAATCTTATCAGGGACATATATAGTTTTGGAATGAACTACTGTTTGAACAAAAGATTGTAAAAGCTTTCCTTAATATGAAGGCATATAATTCTTAAAGGAACTGCCTTCCATATCCATATCCAGCATCTGCCTTTGGAGGATCATCAGGTCTTGCAAAGTGCTTGCATGGGATTTTCCAAGCTTTAAGAATCAGCTGATGAACTGATGGTTGGCTCTTGTGGAGTGCTATGCTCTGGGCTTGGCAAGACACATGCTATGCAGGTTGTGACTTTGCCCACAAGGTTTAGTTTCAAACAATGCAGGCGAAAATAGGTCACTTGATGGCTCCATCCACCTGTCGAAGTTACCTGGCAAGGGTGGGGGAGATAACAGTTTGGTCCAGTCCTAAATAAGCATCTTCTGAATGCAGCCAGTTGATCTCCTGTAAAGGAACACGTTCTCCTTCTCCCTAGACACAATCCCTGGCTCACTTTGGGAGGCCGAAGATTGACGGGGAGCTCAAGATCATCAGCGGGGAGAAGCGCTCAAAAATAGACAGGTGATGGCATGCACATCCTTTAGAGAAGAGGTTCTCAAACTCTGGTCTGTTGGACACTGGTTGTCTATGAGCTTCATTCAGGTGGTCCATGGAAAAGTTTAATGAGTATCTGTACTTGGCCCTGTACTTGGTTTGGTCTTTTATTTTCCAGCAGTGGAAACAGAGGCTGTTCTGAACAGGGCCAGATTATCAAACAGGCCAGCAAGGTCCTGGCCTTGGGTTGGTGCTTTTTTTCATGATATGGCTGTGGTGTAGTCTGCTAATATTTCCCTAGGAATTTATCAGTTAGACACTTCTTGGTTTGCCTAGTGTGGGGCCCAGGATTTTCATAACACAGAACAGGTTTTAAATAGGATGTCAGCACTGAAGAAAAGACAATATTAAGTGGTTGGATAAGACCCCTAGCAAACTTCAAGATCTTTTTTTCACCCCACAGCTTTCCCCATGAAAACCTGCTCTTTAAACACAACAAACCTGCTCTGAAGCGCAACAAACAGCAATTTGGATTTTTCTGTGGATTGCTGTTTGCTCCAATTCAGTGTTAAATGGCAGGTTTTCGCGAGGAAAGCTCTGGAACAAACGAAATATTGCTCAGACACAGGACTTTAAAGCACAGACAGCCTGGTAAGTGTGGAGGAAAAATAAGTGTGGATAAGCCCTTTGTTGAAGCAGCCCAACGTTTTCTTGGCCCACAAACTCCCTCATTGTACATGGTTTGGTTTTTGCAACTACTTTCACATTCACTGTCTGCTGCTGTTTCCTCGTGTGAGCTATGTCCAGCTTCAGCATGCACCGAGATGCATGTCTGCATTCACCCATAATTATAATAGTTCATCTCATTTGTGGTTTTCAATGGCAGATTTATCGGTGGCATCCTAGTCTTAAGTGCTCCAGCAGAGACGACATTCAGTGCACAGTAGAGCCAGAGGTTTCCCTCATAGAGAAAACTGCAGCTTTGGATAGCACCCAAAAATATTACCAAGGGAAGCCTAAACAAAGCAAGGTTGTTTGTTAACTGCATTCAGTGCAGGAGACTGCATAATAAGATTATAAAATGCATGCTTTTTATGGGCTCTTCCACACTTCCTCTTGTTGCACCGCTTTCCTCCAGGGAAAATTCACTGTTTACAGAACAAAAGGAAATTGGGGTTTTTTGCAGATTGAGGTTTGTTCTGATTCAGCGGTAAACAGTGGGTATTTTCCTGGGGAAAGTGGCAGGGAAAACATAAAACCACTCAGCCCCCTTGCCTAGAAAGCATGGAACGAGTGGGAAACCTATTCGACATGTGCTTTCTATTTTCAAAAAAATATTTTTATTAAGTTTACATTTTATAATATTTAAACACATTGTTATTGTACATTTAACTTCTTTTGCTCTCAAGAGCTTATCAACTCCCCTCCCTCCCACTTGTTGGTTTTCAAAGTTAATCTTTATATCATAGCATTTATACATTTTCCAGTTTACACTTCACTCATTCTGAAGGTCACAATTTTAAAATAAATGTAAAAAGGTAAAACCAATTATCATCATAAGTCCTCTTACAATCCTGCTAGTGTTGTTAATTGCTTACAATAGTCCTTCAAATATTGTATAAATTTACTCCAGTTTTTTTGGAAAGCTTGATCGTGCTGGTTTCGGATTTTCCCCGTCAGTTTCGCTAATTCTGCAAAGTCCATCATCTTAATCTGCCACTCTTCTTTTGTTGGTATTTCTTTTTGTTTCCATTTTTGGGCTAAAACAATTCCTGCTGCAGTCGTTGCATACATAAATAATTTTTTATCTCCCTTTGGTATTTCATCCCCCACTATTCCTAGTAAAAAGGCTTCCAGTTTTTTAAGAAAAGTATTTTTATACATTTTCTTCAACTCGTTATATATCATTTCCCAGTAAATGATGTATAGGTGGTATTCAACACCAACCAAACTTGCTAAAATGTATAGGACAAGAAATAAAGAGTGTTGGAAATGTAAAGAAAAGGAAGGGAATTTTTATTACATGTGGTGGACCTGTAAGGAGATAAAAGCTTACCTTTCTAGACATGGGACAAACAGAAGTGGGGATGATACCTTTATCTCACCCTTGTTGGAATGTCTCAAGTTAAAACTGTCTTGCAGGTATGCTTTTCTCCTGGACAAAGCCCTGCTAATCTGCAAGCGGAAAGGAGATTCATACGATATGAAGAAATTTGTCGATCTGTCCAGCTACCAGATCCGAGATGACTCTTCTGTAGAGAAAGACAACAAGAAGGTAATGTTTGGGTATGCATTTGGGGGCTGGGCTGGGGGGGGGGCTGAGAAGGGAATGGGAGTTGTGGCCTTAATTCAGCAGGCACCTCCACCCCAGAACAGAACTCTGTTCTTCCCATTCTTCCCAAATGGGACTAAGAGGGAACAAAGGAGTCCATGTCAATAAATATAGCCCAGCCAAGATTTTATGCTAATCTGTTATTCCCCTTTTCTTTCTTCTTGCCAGTGGACTCACATGTTTGTCCTAATCGAGCTTAATGGTTCCTCGGGCTTCGAACTGTACTTTAAGACGCGGGAGTTGAAGAAGAAATGGATGGAACAATTTGAAATGGCCCTGTAGGTCTACTCTTCTACTCCTGCCCCTGTTGTATGCTACCCTTTACAATCCCAAGAGTGTTGCAGTCCGGCTGCAGATCCATTCTAGTCACTGGAACATTTCCATGACAGTACCATGATTCTGCAGCATAATATTGACCATAATATTACCAGAAAAAATGTGCAAAATTGGCAGATTTGATGTAAGAATCTGAATCTTTCTAATGGGCTGGGATGGACACCCAGGCTGGTGTTTTGTTGTGGGTGTTTTCTGCAACCTGTTCTTGACACAATGATGTCTTTATTTTGTGTTGGCTCCAAACCAACAGTCCATGAGCCCATGAATTTGATGTAGCCACCATTGTTGTAAGCTGCTGACTCCCTCTTTCTCAATTTCTGGTGCAGCTCCAATATCTACCCTGAAAATGCTACAGCGAATAGACACGAGTTCCAGATGTACTCCTTTGAGGACACCACCTCCTGCAAAGCCTGCCAGATGCTGCTGAGGTACATATCCCATCCCACTCTACCCAAGCCATACAGGAGGGACAACAACCGTATTGGCCCAAATATAAGCCACACTTTCCCCCCAAATTCTGACAGTGAAAAGTGCGGCTTATATTCGCAACCTTACAAAAATTGGCTTGGAGCGTACTTGTCCCCAGATGTTGGCTGGTTTTGGCTGGGCCGGCTTCCAAGATGGCGGCGTGATGAGGGGGTTCCTGAGAGGGAGCCAGAAGGCGGCGAGGAGGAGGGAGGGAGGGAGGAGCGTGGATGAGAGAGTAAGCAGGTCTGCAAGGAGGAGGAACAGGAGATGCAGTTGGTGTGCTGGGACTGGCGCTAGTCCGAGGTGCTGCCTGGCTTTAGCCTGCTGAGGGGCGCATAAGTCCCACCAGCAGCCGCCTCTCTCTGCCCATCCTGTTGGGGGGCCATGTGGTGCTGACCCTCTAGAACAGCGGTTCTCAACCTGTGCGTCCCCAGATGTTGTTGGACTACAACTCCCATCATCCCTGAGCTCTGGCCTTGCTAGCTAGGGGTGATGGGAATTGTAGTTCAACAACATCTGGGGACCCACGGGTTGAGAAAGGCTTCTCTAGAAGCACTGCTGCCTACCATCACTGCCGCCGCCGCTGGAGTGAAGACACTGCCTCCTTGGCCCCCCTCAGCCCCCACTCCTCCTTGGGTATTGTCTTTTTTCCCTTTTCCTCCCCATTACTTTTAAAGGTGCAGCTTATATTCGGGCCAATACAGTATCTCTTTTGTTGCATAGTAATTTTTATTTGGTTTTTCAAATAACAATTCAAATTGCATATCCATATTTAGAGATTTCTCCAAATCTCTGGACTTCCCACCTTCCCCTCCATGAGTCCTATCATACACCCTCTTAACTGCATATTTTTCCACAATCCATATTTTGTATCTTTCCATCCTGTCCATAATATTTGTTATGTTACAAATGTTATTAAAATCCTGCTAGTGTGTTCATCTCTTTACAGTGATCTCCTAGATAAATTATAAATTTTCCCCATTCTTCATTGAAGTTTAGGTCTTCTTGGTTCCTGAGTCTTCCAGTCAGTTTTGCCATTTCGGCATAGTCCAATAGCTTGATCTGGCATTCCTTTCTGGTAGAAGGGACAACTATCTTAATAATATAGCTGCCAGTTTTATGTGATCCCACCTTTAGCAGTGAAATTAAATGCTTTTTTTAAAAAACAACAACAACACTTTATTTAACAATCAACAATAACTTACACAACAATTCACCATTCAGTACAATCTACCATACCTAACAATACATGACATTACATTACATTACACGACATTACAATACAATACAGTACATATATCAACATTCAAAATTTTTATCTACCGGTATATCTATTTTAAATGCTGATGGAGTTATTAATATCAGGATAGCCCATGTAAAAGTTTTCTCACTGTGGAACATGGAGATTTGGATCACATCAGGCATTATTTGGAACCACAACCCCTGAGCTTTAGTGCATAGCGGCAGGAAACCCTGTAAGACCTCAGGCTTGCAAGATCTGCTTTGGTTTTTCTATTTTATTTTTTTTTAATGATATTTATTAAAGTTTCACATAGAAAAAGACACATCAATAAGAAAAAAAAATTAAAATTAAGAAGAAAAATACAGTATACAAAATACAGAAAAAAAAGAAAGAAAAAACAGTTAAAAACAATTCCATCTTTTCATCACTGCTTTTGGATTCACTGATTTTCTGGACCTCCTCATACCTCCCTCTTTTGTATTCCAATTCAGTTTGTTTGTCCAGCAATTTCTTTCCCTCCTTTTTAATCCCAATCCTTGGTCTTAATATAATATAACATTAAATTCTTACCTATTAATAGCCAATTTTCCATTCTTTTAACCTTTTTAATCCTAATCCTTAATCTTGATCTATATATAACTTTAAAGCCTGTACAGCTAGAAACCACTTAATTTCAATCCATCATCTCTCTAACATTCTTTAATTTTGCAATATTTCTGTAGGTAATCTTTAAATTTCTTCCAATCCTCTTCCACCAACTCTTCTCCCTGGTCACGGATTCTGCCAGTCATTTCCGCCAATTCCATATTGCTTTGGTTTTTCTAGAGCCCCAAGATCCACCAATCAGAGACTGGCACTTTGGACCCAGAAATATTTTTGGAGTGCTAGAACTGAACAGAGCTTAAAGTTCTCTCAAGCAGAAAAATCCACTCATACTTATCGCCTCAAGCGTCCTTCATTGTAGTCACAGGAGCCAGATCCTAGGGGCCGAGTTCCCTTCGGCCCCCCAATAAAATATTGGAGGGGGTCCAGCCCCTCCCAAAATCAGTGGGCATTGCTATTCAAAAGGTGTGCATGGAATTGATTATGCGAGGCAGGGCTTACCTGCTCCACCTATTTTATTCAAGCTGGCACTCCTGATTTCAGCAGTATAATTTAGGGTGGGGCTGTCATTTTGTAGAAGAGAAGAAGAAGAGGAGTTTGGATTTGATATCCCGCTTTATCACTACCCAAAGGAGTCTCAAAGCGGCTAACATTCTCCTTTCCCTTTCTTCCCCACAACAAACACTCTGTGAGGTGAGTGGGGCTGAGAGACTTCAAAGAAGTGTGACTAGCCCAAGGTCACCCAGCAGCTGCATGTGGAGGAGCAGAGATGCGAACCCGGTTTAGGAGATTACCGCTCTTAACCACTACACCACACTGGCTCCAAAAAAATAGGCTTCGTGAAGCCAAAAGGAAAACTGTACAAGAAATCCTTTTTAACCACATCAACTGAATTAGGCATACTTTTCTTCCGGTAAAAAAAGGACAATAGAAACAAACATTTTTTTTCCATGAGCCTCTTGCGAGTTAAGATGTGCAGAGTCTTTCTGGGATACCAAGGTGGGTTGCCTTTTAAAGTCGTTTAAAGTCATACCCAGGCTACAGTGCCTACCTTGCTACACTAAAATTTGTTACAAAACGATGCACTTGTTGAACAATTGAGAGTCAGAAAACCTGATCTACTGCAAATTACCCAGAGATCTGATCTACCAGTAGATCCACACCTATCTTCTACCCAGCACTTATGTAAGGCAACTAAGCAAGACTTTATTATACATAAGCCCCCTCTCTCCTCTTTCCCATCTTCACACAGAGGAACCTTCTATCAGGGCTATCGCTGCAGCAGATGCCGGGCACCTGCTCACAAGGAATGTCTGGGGCGGGTGTCACCGTGTGGAAAGTCCAGCTCAGGTAAAGGTAAGGTTTCAGACTCCTCTAAATTGGTGGACGAGTCTCTAGAGCAGCCTTTCTCAACCTTGGGCCGGGTCCCCAGATGCTGCTGGACTGCAGCTCCCGTCATCCCTGACCACTGGTCCTGCTAGCTAGGGGGTATGCAAAGAATGATTATCGATAATGAAATGGGAAACAATAAGCTGGTGATACACAGTTTTACCTTACTTTAAAAAGGGTGTGTGTGAATCAGAGCGCCATTCCTATAGTAGGTAAGGTAAAGGTAAAGGGACCCCTGACCATTAGGTCCAGTCGTGGCCGACTCTGGGGTTGCGGCGCTCATCTCGCTTTAATAATAATAATAATATCTTTATTGTCATTGCCCCCTTCGGGGACAACGAAATTACTTGACTGCTCCATGAAAACACTAATTAAACAATACAGTATAATACAGCAAGGGAGATTAGATGACTTTCAAAGTCCGGGCTTCCCATTCAGGGCCGAGATCGCTTTCTCCGTCCCGACGGCAAGAGCTCGAAGAGACAGTGACCAGGATGCGATGGATCTTTTACTATGTCCAGTGCCTTCCTATGGGACCTTGTGGCATAAATCTGCTCTAAGGTGGAGAGTGGGCAGCCAACAATGCTCTCTGCTGCCTTAACAACCCTGCACAACCCCATCCTGTCCTGGGTAGTACAGCTTCCGTACCACACACATAAGCCATAAGTAAGCACGCTCTCAATGGCACAGTGATAGAAGGCAAGCAGCAGTTTCTGCGGAAGATGGTTTTTCCTTAGTATTCTCAAAAAGTACAGTCTCTGCTGCGCCTTCTTCACAAGCCCCCTTGTGTTGACACTCCAGGACAGATCCTCTTACTGGCCGAGGGAGCTGGCGTACAGCTTCCGGGTCATGTGGCCAGCATGACTAAGCCGCTTCTGGTGAACCAGAGCAGCACACGGAAATGCCGTTTACCTTCCCGCCGGAGTGGTACCTATTTATCTCTCACTTTGACGTGCTTTCGAACTGCTGGTTCGGCAGGAGCAGGGACTGAGCAACGGGAGCTCATCCCATCGCGGGGATTCGAACCGCCAACCTTCTGATTGGCAAGTCCTAGGCTGTGTGGTTTAACCCACAGCGCCACTCATGTCCCTTCCTATAGTAGGTGGTGATATACTATTATGTATATTCATTTTAAGCTCTTCTCTCCATGCCTATTGTAATCTTTCCTTATTTTCTGTTTAATGCAGAGTCTGGATCTACCATGAAAAAGGTAAAAGAAAAAGAATAAAAGTTGGAGTTAATAACAATAATAGGTGGGGTGGGGTGGAAGGACATCTGCAAGAGAGCCTAGCAGGAAGCGGGGTTTAACGCTTACCCTAACAGCTCTCACCCTCTGCCTTTCTGCTCAGACCTCCCCTCCCCAAAAGAGTCCTATTTTTAGCCTTGGGACCAAGTTTTGGAGGAGTGGGAAGGGCTTTTGCAGAGAAGAATTGGCAGGAGGGAGGAAGCTAAACAGTCCCTTCTTCCTGCCAGTCCTCCCTTGCCCTTGTGCTCATAAGACAAACATGGGGCCCCAGGAACCTGTTTTTGCAGAGAAGTATTGTGTGGTTCTGCCCAAAGGTTGCTTTTTTAAGCAGAAGCCAATGGCAGCTGTCTTTACTTGGTGGCTGAAAGACACCACACTTGTTTCCTCCCGAAAGAGCCAAATTAAGTGCAGGCATGCACAGCAAATAATACCTAGAAATTGAAAGAACTGGAATTTTAGAACAAAATTCTGGGTATTTCCAGTTTTGGTTAATGTGGATATGAATTATAAAATATAGATGGTGTTGTGTTCTTTCCCATTCATCGCTCAGTTAGAGACAAGCAGTTATCGATTTGACTGGATTGTTCAATTCATTTGTAAATTGTTTGCATGCTGCCGCTTTTGTCCCCATAGCCACAGAGCCCTGACCCCCAAAATATCTCCTCCCTTTTCTCCTTGGCCCCCTTATATTCCTTCAGCCCTTGCCTCCTTTACTTCTCAACATCAGGTCTTTTTGCTGCTCCCCTCCCCTGCTATTTCCATCCCCCCACTCCATCCCCACCTCTTCAAACCCACTGCTTCGTAAATCCTCTTCTCACTCATCTTCCCAATCCTCAGTCTGCTTAGCACCAAACCTTTCTGCTTGCTTCCACCAGCATGTAGATCCTTCTGTCTGTATACTTTGTGTGAGTTTTTACTTTCTGAAAACTGACCCTTTACTGAGGGCTTGTCCACACTTCCACTAGTTCCATGCCTAGAAAGCATTTGGGGTCCAATTGATTTCCCCATACTTTCAAGGCATGAGTCTGAGCTGTTTTTCGTTCGCTCTGCCACTTTTCCTGGGAGAACCACAGAAAAACCGTTTGACGTTTGTTCCGATTCAACAGTAACCAGCAGGTTTTCCTGGGGAGAAGCAGCAAGACAAGGGGAAGTGTGGATGAGCCCTGTGAGGGAAGTTTGTCAGCATGCAATGGGCTGAACCTTTCTCCTCGTGAATGTGAATAATTGTGAATGTTCTGTGACATCACAGCAACTCAGCCAATGGTGTGGAAATGGTTCATAATCCACAGTCAACCAATTTTTAGCTTAAGATGTGTACATTGTGCATAATGAATAAAATACTCCATACAGGTTGAATATGATATATCCTTCCAGAAACTTGGATGTGTACCTTGGTCATTATAATTTTCTATATCCTGTTAACCTCTCACCTCATTCCCGTTACCTGAACCAAAATCCATTTTTCTGTGCAGAATAAATCCAATCGACATACGCTGGAGAGCGATAAAGCTGCTCTAGGTGAGTTGTAGTTACCTGATAGCTCACTTTGTATGTTTCCGCAAGGACACCAATGATGGCAGGTGACCGATGAAGGAATGAGGCTGGCAGCCCCCCAAGACTAGCAGCAGAGCATCTGGAGAACTCACTGCTTGCATTCACCTACATGGCCCCACCCATCACTTGGACACAGAATAGTGTGGTTGTTCCTAGTTATTTAAAAAGCTCACTCCCATAGCATGTGGTTGAAATAAAAGCAATAATAATAATAATAATTTTATTAGTCGTACTCAACCCATCTGGCTGGGTTTCCCCAGCCACTCTGGGCAGCTTCCAGCAGAGTATAAAAACATAACAAAACATCAAATGTTAAAAGCTTCCTTATACAGCGGTACCTCGGGTTACAAACGCTTCAGGTTAAAGATGCTTCAGGTTACAGACTCTGCTAAGCCAGAAATAGTACCTTGGGTTAAGAACTTTGCTTCAGGATGAGAACAGAAATTGTGCTGCGGAGGCACGGTAGCAGCAGGAGGCCCCATTAGCTAAAATGGTACCTCAGGTTAAGAACAGTTTCAGGTTAAGAATGGACCTCCAGAACGAATTAAGTTCTTAACCTGAGGTACCACTGTACAAGGCTGCCTTCAGATGTCTTCTCAAAGTTGGGTAGTTCATCTCTTTGACAGAGTGGGTGCCACTACCGAGAAGGCCCTCTGCCTGGTTCCCTGTAACTTCACTTCTTGCAGTGAGGAAACCACCAGAAGACCCTTGGAGTTGGACCTCAGTGTCAGGTCTGAATGATGGGGTGACGGGGTGTGAAGATGCAAGGAAACTGATTCGTCTAATCACTGCAATTCTCTTCTTTGCTCTTAAGGGCTGCCCAAAGTGGAGGTCTGCCAGGAGTATTATGGTGTTCCTCCACCTCCTGTGGCATTTGGTCCACCACTGAAGCTCAATGTGGGGGATATTGTGGAGCTAAACAGAGCTGGGGCCGAGCAGCTGTGGTGGCAGGTAGGCATAGTCAACATTGCTGTCCAACGGTAGCTCTTCGGTCTTGAGGTGACATCAGGATAACATGGTGATGAATAACTGGGATGATGAATGAGCTATTGCATAGGTAAAGGTAAAGGACCCCTGAGAGTTAAGTCCAGTCACGGACGACTCTGGGGTTGCAGTGCTCATCTCGCTTTACAGGCCGAGGGAGCTGGCGTTTGTCTGCAGACAGCTTCCAGGTCGTGCAGCTAGCATGACTAAGCCGCTTCTGGCGAAACCAGAGCAGCGCACAGAAACGCCGTTTACCTTCCCACCGGAGCGGTACCTATTTATTTACTTGCACTTGGACGTGCTTTCAAACCACTAGGTTGGCAGGAGCTGGGACCAAACAATGGGAGCTCACCCCGTCGTGGGGATTTGAACCGCTGACCTTCTGTTCGGCAAGCCCAAGAGGCTTAGTGATTTAGACCACAGCGCCACCTGCATCCCATTGCATGCCTTCTCAGAATACAAATAAAGGAACTACTGAATCTTTTAAGTGCAAGTCTGCCAGTGTGATTTGAAGAACCAAGGGGGAACATAGGTAAAGGATGATGAACTCTTCTCCTTCCCTCACCCTCTTACTCCTTCAATCTGCCTTGTTTGCCCACTGACGTGGCCTTTTAAATGGCCCCTGTCCTAACAGGCAGCAGCAGAGGAGGAGTTCTGCTGCCAATCAAATTGCTGCCCAGAGCTCGGCATTACTCTTGCAGGAGGAGTCTTTGCGGCCCACGCAGCATGTCTTCCGAAGTTCATGGACCAATTTAGCATTCATCAGGCTACCTATTCCCCCAGAAGATCCTCTGCTCTTTCTCACAGTCTAGAGGTAGGCTAGTTCCAAGTCACTTAAATGTGCTAAATTTGGGACTGAAACTGAAAAGGGTGGCTTCTCGCTTCCAGTTCACAGCACACTTAGATGCAAGGGCTATTTTTTTGGCAGCAGTTTGCGAGGCATTCTGTGAAGCAGGGGAAACTATGGCAAAAAAAACCTCCAGGTCATTTCAGGTCAATGCTTGTAACCAACTTAAAGTCAACCACTAGAACATTCCCCCCATCATCTAAAGTTCTTTTCAAAAATGTTCAACTGCAGATTGACCATACTTTTCATGAGTTCTTTGCTTTCGTTCATTGTTTTCAGGGAAGGAACACATCCAGCAATGACATTGGCTGGTTTCCTTGCAAGAAAGTGAAGCCTTATGTCTGTGTAAGTAGCACATATCTGGGGGAGGTGATTTCTTTGTGTGTTAGAGGATTATTGAAACTGGCGTGGTGTGTTGTAAACCATTGGTCATCACACACACACAAAATAGAATTAGGTTGAGGTACAGTTTAGCATAAGTGGTTCCCAACACACTGGACACCACAGAATCATGGAATTGTAGAGTTGGAAGGGATCCCAAGGGTCATCTAGTCCAACCCCCTGCAATGCGTGTTTTGCAATTTTTTTTTGTCTAATCTGTTGGGCTCCTAGAGCAAACACAGAAATCTTATCAGCAAGTACTGTAATGCATTTTCTCCCTATTATTAAAAAATGAAACTTTCTGAATAATTCCTTTGAAAATGTTTTCCCTAGAAGAGGTATACAGGGAGTAGTACAGTACATAACAAACAATATATTTCACTTCTCCCTGGCTGCAAATACATAAACAACAATCAATCAATCAATCAATCAATCAATTATTTGTACCCCGCCCACTCTGGGCATCTTCCAACAAAGATTAAAAATACATTAAAATATTACACATTAAAAACTTCCCTGAACAGGGCTGCCTTCAGATGTCTTCTAAAAGTCAAATAGTTGTTTTTCTCTTTGACATCTGGTGGGAGGGTGTTCCATAGGGCAGGTGCCACTGCCAAGAAGGCCCTCTGCCTGGTTCCCTGTAGCTTTGCTTCTCGCAATGAGGGAACCACCAGAAGGCTCTCGGCACTGGACCTCAGTGTCCAGGCAGAACAATGGGGTTTTAACAAATACTCCAGGGTCATAGATTTGTAGAGTTGGAAGGGACCCTGAGGGTCATCTAGTCCAACCCCCTGCAATGCGGGAATCTTTGGCCCAACGTTGGACTCAGACCCATGACCCTGAAATTAAAAGTCCCATGCTCTACCAACTAAGCTATCCCTGCGTTTTCCCTCATCTAAATATACTATGGACATGCTTTGATATATCAAAGTTGTGAATAACTTCCATATCATATCGGCAAATAATTCAAGGAAGTAATCTGGAAGTCCATAATCAAATTTCACAGAGTACTAAAATGGTGAAGGCAACAAGATGTGATCTCCAACTAAACAAAAGTTTCCACTCTTTATTTTTAATACACTGCTTCGTAGCTACAGGTGTATCTTCAGAACATCAAGGATTAGTCCATACTTGTTTAAAAGGGTTTCACATTTGTTATCCCAATTCCGAGAAAATCTATTGGAGATTTCCTCCAATTAGCATTTTTAGGCAACTTTGCGTCTGGCATATGCTGTGATTTCAGGCAATACAGAAGCAGGGCGGTATGAGCTGTGGACAATATAGAAAAGAACCCAACCTCAAATCTCATCTTGACAATAGGAATGCTACATGGGAGATTCAAGTATGTGCTCTATTGAGATGTTGAATGAGTGTTGGTGGATGACATAGATATTGCCAGTGCTTTTTTTCTGGGGGGACGCATACCCTTAAACATCACAGCTCCAACTATGGGGGCAGCTATGTTCCTCTGGGCCCTGGCTCTATTCTCACTCACAGCTCCAGTCATTTCAGACCCGTAAGATGTTTATTTTATTTTTCATTTCTATTTCCTGGACAGATTTTTAAGTGGGATGTGAGTATTCCTCTAAATACCAGTTGCTGGGGATCACAACTGGAGAAAATGCTATTGTGCTCAGGTCCTTCTTCCAGGCATCTAGTTGGCTCCTGTGAGAACAGGGTGCTGGTCTGGAGGGGCTTTTGATTTGCTACAGTAGGGCTCTTCTTAATAATAACAATAATTTTATTATTTATACCCCGCCCATGTGGCTGGGTTTCCCCAGCCACTCTAGGCAGCTTCCAACACATATGAAAACATAATTATTGTGGTTTGGGGTGGTTATTATGAAATTGCTACTCTTTGCTTTCATTTTTATTCTGGGGAATGTCATCATCAAATTGTTCCCCTGGGCTTTTTCCATTACTTTTTGGAGCAGGGCTGGTGCCAGACCTCGGAGGTGCCTCAGCACCATGCCACTTACGGGTGCCTCACCCTCACAGACAAGGCAGAGCTCTTGCCCGCTACCACATGCAAAGGCAGCAAGGCCCCCTCCCCCAGGCCACCCCGCCTACCAACACCCATGACAAGAAAATTGAGATGGCTGCTGCTGTGCACCATCCAGTCCTCCTGCTGGGATGACAGATCCAGTGCTTTTTTCTGGGGGGACGGACGGAGGGGGACGCAGACCCCTAAACATTTTGTGAATCTAAGTTTGGCCTCATTGAGAGGCAGTATTTCAATGTGAGTAGGAAACTGACAGTACCCCTAAACATTTTTTTTTTTTTTTAGAAAAAAAGCACTTAACCCTGTGCTGTTTAGTTACCCATCTTGGATGCTGGATTCTTCCAGACAGGTGTTTCTTGTGGGATCAGTATGTCTCATGCATTCAACTTTTTTGCAGCATCCATACAATGCCATTATCACCAAAATGCTAGCTCATATTTTTTGCAATTTAATCCAGGTTTAAAGGGTAAAGGGACCCCTGACCATTAGGTCCAGTCGTGGCCAACTCTGGGGTTGCGGCGCTCATCTCGCTTTACTGGCTGAGGTAGCCGGTGTACAGCTTCCGGGTCATGTGGCCAGCATGACTAAGCCTCTGGCAAACCAGAGCAGTGCACGGAAATGCCATTTACCTTCCCGCCAGAGTGGTACCTATTTATCTACTTGCACTTTGACGTGCTTTCAAACTGCTGGGTTGGCAGGAGCTGGGACTGAGTAACGGGAGCTCACTCCGTAGCGGGGATTCAAACCGCCAACCTTCTGATCGGCAAGTCCTAGGCTCTGTGGTTTAATGTACAGCACCCTTTCGATTAAAAGTCCAATGTTTTTTTAAAAAACCTGCTGCCAGGTTATCCATTACTGATATTTCAATAAGCCAGTTAACAATATTAAGCCCCCATCTGGAAGCACCCAAAAAAGAGAGAAAGTGTTTTTACTTTGCAACCCAATGCTATAACACTGCATTCACTAAATTAGAAGGAAACCAGCTGGAAAAAAATATGCCACAGAAATAATTGATAAAATATGCCTTTGGATTTAAGCAGCATAACTGCACAGTATTGCGTATCATCTTCTGGGTGATGTCTTTGCCTCATTTGTCAAAACTTTCCCACCAAAATGAATGAGGCAAGGATTTCCCCCTCTGCTGTTTTTTCAAAAACTTTCCACAATACAAATCCTACCCCAATTCACAGAAAATAAATACTGTATTACCTTTTCTTTCCCAGATTCCTCCTCCAGATCTGTCAGTCTTTCATTGGTAAGTAACACCACAGAATTAAACCATCTCAGTAGCTTGTTATCCAAAACTCCTTATTCTGTGATGTCTAGCATGAGGTTAATGAACCTTGCATCCTACATAGGCCTAGGGTTTCAGCTGGTAGTAGCCCACTTGTAAATCTACACAGTATGCACGTACAATGAGACATCACATGCACATACAAGGTTTGCTGTGAGGTTTTCCCATGCTATTGATTTTTAAATGTGTTTATCCCATATCAGAAGTTCAGAGCTGTTACACCAAGCTGAGAACAGAGTCTTCTTCTTTTTTGGCAATCACTCTTAGCCAAGTAAGATTGTCTTCCATAAACACGGTTTTAACAGTGAGTTCGTAAGTGACTGCGGAGGCCAATTCTGGATCCATACGTCCTTCCACAGTGGGGACATAGGTTTCTGGGCAGAGAGTTGATCATGGTGAGGGTTTGTCAAACATGCCTTCCTCTTAGCACACTTCTCCCTTTCATCCTGAGTTTGAGCATCTTCAAAGTCCATGACACCTTTGGTAAAGGCTGTTCTCCAATTGGAGCGCTCGCAGGCCAGTGTTTCCCATTTATAGGTGTTTATACTACATTTTTAAAGATTTGCCTTGAGAGAGTCTTTAAACCTCTTTTGTTGACCTCTTTAAACCTCTTTTGTTGACCACCAGCATTACGCTTTCCATTTTTAAGTTTGGAATAGAGTAGCTGCTTTAGAAGACGATAATTAGGCATCCGAACAACATGACCAGTCCAACAAAGTTGGTATCGAAGTATCATTGCTTTGACACTGGTGATCTTTGCTTCTTCCAGTACACTGGCATTAGTTCGCCTGTCTTCCCAAGTGATGTGTAAAAATTTTCACAGACACCATTGATTAACAGGGAGAGGACAGTATTCTCCCTTGCTCTCCATTTAATTGTTGCAATAGAACAGGCACTCATCTAAAGACTTTATGAGAACGCTGTTATATTGAATAAAAATAAGGCACATAGGATTTCTCATGCTACTTCGATCTCCCACCTTGTCTTTTGTGGTGGTGGTAAACTGTGGGATACAGAGACACCCAGTGACCAAATGCTGTACTGCAATTAACAAACACCCCCTCATTGTACAGGTATGCAGGGCCCATGGAGCGGGCAGAAGCAGAACAGACCCTTGCCAGTCGTTCAGATGGGACTTTCCTGGTGCGGCAGAGAATCAAGGATGCAACTGAATTTGCCATCAGCATCAAGTAATGTTATTGCTCCCCACACTAGAAAATCAGGGTAGAGAAGGAGATTTGTATGTGCAGTACAGTGGTACCTCGGTTTTCAAATGTGTCCGTTGACAAACATTTTGGAACTCGAATGCTGTAAACCCGGAAGTAAATGCTTCGGTTTTCGAACACGCCTCAGAAGTCGAACCGGAAACACGGCTTCCGTATTGAGGCTTCCATTTTGAGTTTTCGGTTTTCAAACGTTTCAGAATTCAAACTGTCTTCCAGAACGGATTATGTTCAAAAACCGAGGTACTGCTGTATAATAAAAGGAAAGGAAGGAAGAAAACCTTGAAGCTGGCAAAGTTTTAAAAAAATCATACCTTTTTAAAAATAATGCACCTCCACACTAGAATCCATTGATTCAGGTTTCTTTGGAAGTTGATGCTTATAACTTCTTCATCATCATTTTTTTATTTGTACCCCTCCCACCTGACTGGGTTGCCCCAGCCACTCTAGGCAGCTTCCAGCATATATAAAAACATAATAAAATATTAAACATTTAAAAGCTTACCTATACAGGCCTGCTGTCAGATGTCTTGTAAAAGTTGTATAGTACCTTATCTGCTTGACATCTGATGGGAGGGTGTTCCACAGGGCGGGCGCCACTACTGGGAAGGCCCTCTGCCTGGTTCCCTGTAACTTCATTTCTCACAGTGAGGGAACTGCCAGAAGGCCCTTGGAGCTGGACCTCAGTGTCTGAGCTAAATGACAGCAGCGGAGATGCTCCTTCAGGTAGACAGGGCTGAGGCAAGTACTCTTTGGTGAGAGAGACCCAGCAGAGATTTAAATACAGCATGGAAATATAGGGTGCTAAGACCTTTCAAATGCCCCCTTCTAAGTTGCTTCCAAAGTTTCCCACTTCCCTTAGCACAGAAAGAGATCACCAGTTCAGTAAGGTAAAGAGAGTTTACTTACAAACTCTTCAGAGGTCAGATTCATGTGCTCTTCCACACAGCAGCGAGAAAATACAGGCGGTACAACTTAGTTTCAAAATCGGTAAGAGTTTCTAAATTATTTGTATAGAGAGACAAAAATGGCTTTCTAAAGCCACACAGTCTAAGTTGGATGCTCTAGCTTAGACATTCTTATATGGTGGAAGGAAAAAGAAGGAAGAGTTTGGTAGCCCTTCCTCTCAGGTAAGGCCTGTGACCTAGCTGAGCCTGGCAGGACAGCTTATTCTATGATCCTAACCCCTTCAAGCATTAATTCGATTTAAGCATGTTGGTTATACAAGGCTGATTTATCCCAAATTATTGTGTCAATTTTTGTCCCAGCCTCTCATTAAGAAGGATTCTACAGCACACCAACAGCTGTAAATATATACGTACCAGTTCCTTGGTTTCTTCTTCACAGTTGAAGCACTGCCTTATTTCAAATGCCTAAACAAACAAACCCCTGTGTTGCAAAATATGAGTCAGCAACACAATGGCCAGAAACAATAACAATGTGAAAAACTTTATAGAATAATTCAAAACATCAAAACTAATGAATGAAAGTCTCTGAAAGTCCTTAAATGAATCACGGTGCCAGACTTTACCCGGTGGAGAGCAAGCTGTGAAGTGACTACATAATCGCATGAGCACTTTTCCAGAGTATTTTTCATTATATCTATTTGAAAAAAAGTTGGTTGATGAAGAAATTACATATCTTTTCTACTTACAAGTGTTGAACTAATTGGCTGATGAAGAATTCAACGAAACAGTAGTTGTTATCCGGAAACACTATTCAGCAGAGTTCAGAGTTGAACATCAGAATTGGACATTTGCTGATTATTTCAAATGCCAGCATTAATTTTGACTTTGAATGAGGCAGACACCTTAGTTCTATCTCTTAGCTTAGAGCTCCTCTAAATGAGGTTACGTGACCTGTTGTTGCCAATTGTCAACAATGCTGTGCAGAAATGGGAAACCATTAACCCAACTGTCATGTGGCTTTGTGTCCCTCAGGTTCAACGCTGAAGTCAAGCACATCAAAATACAGACCAAGGAGGGTTTGTATCGCATCACAGAGAAGAAAGCCTTCAAAGGACTTATAGTAAGAATCGGTTTTCCCTACTGTCTTCACGGTAACTGTTACAACTGAGGAGAAGAATGGGGGTCAGGGGAACAAAATGAGAGGAAGTTGGGAGGGAGAGTGAAGGCAAACATATTTTTATTTCAGTTTCAGGATAGGCAGAAGTGAGATCTTTGGCAAGCACCATCAGAATAGTGATGATGGCAAAAGGCCAAACCAGGCAATGCATAGGATGGTAATTAAGAAGGTGCATGAATAGTCTCTCTACAGTTGGGGCTGTTTCGTTTAAGTGAAAAGCAATCACCCAAGCTGTGATCAGAAGCAAAAGAGCACAATGCAGAGGAGCTGCTTAACTCTTCCCTTTAGGGCACATCGCCGCATCCCTTTCCCAAGGAAAACTCATGGTTTAGCACTGAATTGGAACAAGTGGCAACTGGGTTTCCTGCAGATTGCTTTTTGTTCCAATTCAGCGCCAAAGAGTGGGTTTCCTGGGGAAAGCAGTGGGACAAAGGCAAAATCCCTCAGACCCATGCCTAGAAAGCACAAGACAAGCGAGAAACGTCTTAGGCCCTTAGGGCTCATCCACACTTGCCAAAATTTCCTCTACCCTTTCCAGGCACAGTTAGCTCTTTAAAGCTCTAACAGCTTCGGCCCTATATTCCTGAAGGGGCGTCTCCATCCCCTTCATTCAGCCCAGACACTAAGGTTTAGCTCCAAGGGCCTTCTGGCAGTTCCCTCATTACGAGAAGTGAGGTTACAAGGAGACAGAAGCAGAGAGCCTTCTTGGCAGTGGCACCTGCTGTATTTTTGTATATTCTGTTGGAAGCTGCCCAAAGTGACTGGGGTAATCCAGTCAGATGGGCAGGATACAAAAATGTTGATGTTGTTGTTGTAAGTGTCCGAGCGCCCTTTTTATTTTTTTTGCTCTGGAGCTTTCCCCATGAAAACCCACTCTTTAAAGCTCAATTGGAGCAAATGGCAATCCATGGGAAACCCAGATTGACATTTGCTCCAACTGAGTGCGAAAAGACAGGTTTTCATGGGACGGCTCGGGGGGGGGGGCGGAATCCACTCATGCAGGAGCTTTTCTATGCCTGGAAAGAGTGGGGCAAAAGGTAAATGTGAATAAGCTATTAGTCTGCTTAATATCAGCTTCCCCAAGATAAGTTTTCTAGAAAGAGCAAGATAGGGTGAGAAAATATGGGGTGACTACAATGTATCATCTAGTGAGTGGACAAATGAAAGGAACATGTTAAATATCCCCACCTCTGCTGTCCCTGCACTCAAAATGGCAGCCACCAGACGGCTGAGAGGCTGTTCGTACATCTTCTATGTAATCTATAGTTGAGCCCTGGGAATCAGTTTGTGGCATGTCTCGCATGTTACACAGAAGCCAAAGAACCAATTCTGAAAAGGGGAATTAGAGTTTGGGGTTCAAAGAAACAGCTGAGATGTATTTCAGTTGTATTCCTTTTTTCCCTAATATTGTTCTGATATGTGCCTTGCACGTCATGTCTTTCTTTCTCAAGTGAATGGTTTAGATATGCCTTACCAGCTACACATGCTGCCTTTCCTCCTCTCCGGGGCATATTGTGCAAGCTTTAGGATGTTGCCTGTATCAAGAAACTCTTCTTTCTCTCTCTAGGAGCTGGTGCAGTTTTACCAAGAGAACTCCCTGAAGGATTGCTTCAAGACCCTCGATACCGTGCTACAGTTCTCCTTCAAAGAGCCTGGGAACAGAACAGTGCCCGGAGCCTCTGGTGTGTGTGATCTGAGTCTATCTCTACAGTTTCAAGACTTGGGGGAAGTTGGGGACAATAAAAAGCAAGATATAGGATGCGGGTGGCGCTGTGGGTTAAACCACAGAGCCTAGGACTTGCTGATCGGAAGGTCGGCGGTTCGAATCCCCACGATGGGGTGAGCTCCCATTGCTTGGTCCCTGCTCCTGCCAACCTAGCAGTTCGAAAGCACCTCAAAGTGCAAGTAGATAGATAGGTACTGCTCCGGCGGAAAGGTAAACAGCGCTTGCGTGCGCTGCTCTGGTTCGCCAGAAGCGGCTTAGTCATGCTGGCCACATGACCCGGAAGAACTGTCTGCAGACAAAGGCCGGCTCCCTCGGCCAGTAAAGCGAGATGAGCGCTGCAACCCCAGAGTCGTCTGTGACTGGACCTAATGGTCTGGGGTCCCTTTACCCTTTACCTTTATAGGAAAGCAATGGAGGCTTGCTGTGCTTCTCTGGGGTTATTCTGTGGCAAGAGACCCAGAGGTACAAGGTCTTCCAGACAGAGAATGCAATCAGAGCTGTCCATGAGTGCAAGTTTTTTGCACCATGTACACAACACCATTATGTGCCCCCCCACTTTTACATTTAATCTGGATTTCTGGTTGCAGTGACACTCTATTATTGTTATTAACCTGCCCTTCCACCCAAAGATCCCAGTGGATTACAATATTAAAACACAGCTTGTTAACACAATGGGGGGGGGGGGGTTGTCACATTTAATATGGCTTTCAATGAATGGTCTTGCCACATCCGTGCTCCATTTCCTCCTCAACAGAGCATGACCCGGCCACTGTTTTTGGCAGCCCAAACTACAGTGGTACCTTGGTTCTCCAACTTAATCCATTCCGGAAGTCGGTTCCAAAACCAAAGCGTTCTAAAACCAAGGCACGCTTTCCCATAGAAAGTAATGCAAAACGGATTACTCCATTCCAGACTTTTGAAAAACAACCCCTAAAACATCAATTTAACATGATTTTTACTATCTAACGAGACCATTGATCCATAAAATAAAAGCAATAATCAATTTACTGTACAATAAAATAAATAAGACAGTATTGTAGATGATTAAAAAAAATAAAAAATTCTTACCTGCACTGTTGATAGTCATTGTTTGGATGGGAGGCTTTTATCCATTTCCACAGTGGCACAATCAATCAATAAGTAACTGAACTGGGTTCCACACAGTCACACAAAAAAATTAACCGAAAAAACCTCAAAAACAGAAATGCAAAATAAATAGCAAAAACAAAAGCACCAAACTTCACCCATTCCGGAAGTCTGCTTGACTTCTGAAATGTTCGAAAAGCAAGGCACAGCTTCTGATTGGTGCAGGCGCCCTGGAAACAATAGCCGACAGCCGCATCGGACGTTCGGCTTCCAAAAAGCGTTCGAAAACCACAACACTTACTTCCGGGTTTTCGCCGTTTGGGAACCAAGGCGTTTGAGTACCAAGGCGTTTGAGAGCCAAGGTACCACTGTACACAAATGTGTCTTGTCTCCAGTTGCCAGATGCAGAAGTGACATCAGAATTTCAACAATCTGGTTCAGAGGAGCTATTCTCTTAACACGTTTTCAACACAAGGTCCAAACTCCATGGTCCAACCTGTGTCAACTAGCGTGTGATGAACAATCGATTACTATTCTTTAATAGACTAGGCAATTTCCTACCTTCCTTCAGTGGTTGCCTGGCTTTCTCTGTGTTTAAATCCACCTGTCCGTCTATTGCATCTAATGGAGATGGAGGCTGAAGAGCAGACATAACATTGAGGTCAGCTACGTGTGGCCTATGCAAAATACAAAGACTGGATCATATAACTTGTATTATTTTGCATACAGTAGTAGTGCACTGTAGATCAGGCCTTCTCGATCCTCTTTGGCTAACATGCACCTAAGGAAGCTCTACATCTGTCACTCTTACCTGGCCAGAGCACAAAAGGGAAATCTTCCAGACCTCTCTGAATTCTGCAGAGAGAAAGGGTTGGAGCATGCAGACTATTAAGGCCTGGAATTGATAGTGTCATGCCTGTTCATATCCTTTAGGCCAGAGCTTTCCAAACTGTGTGTCGTGACATGTTAGTGTGTCGGCTGCAGCGTGTGTCTCGCGCAAATGCTCCCCGCGCTCTTCCCGGGGCTGGAAAGGGGTTAGTTTAACCCCCAGTTTGCTAGTAAAACTGAATTGCTGTGTCGCGAAATGATGCTTGTCTAAAAAATATGTCACCCACATGGAAAGTTTGGAAAGCTCTGCTGTGTGCATTTGTTGATCACAATCACTTTTAACTTCTACATCATGCTCACTGCCTTCCAAGTGGTGTGCAGTTTCCGGGATGTGATAAGCACCCCCTTATTGTTTCCATGCCTAACTCTTTATTATTCCTTGACAGGCAAAAGCTGCAAGTACTTTGGTTCAGCTAAGGCTCGCTACAATTTCTGTGCAAGAGACCGGACGGAACTGTCCCTCACAGAGGGAGACATCATAAAGATTCTCAACAAGAAAGGGCAGCCAGGATGGTGGAAGGGAGAGGTCTATGGCCGGGTGAGCACCTTTATAGCCATACCACTCTGAGCTGCTTGCCTTGGAGAATGTGATACCTTAGGAACAAACTGAGACCGATATACACCCCTCACCTCTGAAGTGAATGAATTTTGGAGCCAAAAGAAATATTGGGGACCTGTCAGGACTTTTTGCACTATTCCAATAGCACTAATGCAACTGTATAGAGCATAGCTGTCAACGTTTTCCTTTTTTTAAGGGAAATTCCCTTATTCCAAATAGGATTCCTCGCAAGAAAAGGGAAAAGTTGACAGCTGTGGTGTAGAGGTGGCTGCCTTCAGCCACACACACAAACACAAACACACTTTGGCCATTTTTAAGCAAAGCAATGTGCAGCTAGCTACACGGGCTATTTGTCAGCTGGGAGCTGATGTGTGTGCCCCAGCTGAATTGGGACCAGGACTGGGTTCATCTCTGGAGCAAGGGTTACAGAAGGGTCAAAATGGAGGCAGAGTCTGGGTCTGGAACAAGGTAATCCATCCAACAAGCACTAGACAGAACAACATCCAGGGCCAGGAGCAGCTGAAGTTGCAGGCAGGGAGATGGTTCAAACACAGCAACAACTACAAGGGACAACTAAAGCCAGAGCAGGGGCACAAGCTCCTGGGGGTTGAGCCCTTTTTGCCCCGAGAGCAGCTCATCCTGCTCCCCCCAGTGCGTGCAGCACCCCAGGCACCCATGCGGCTAGCTACGTCACTGGGATCATCCACGAAGTCAGCAGTAGGAACTGGGAAGTGGGGAGCACAGACTGGGAACCATAGACCTGCTCAAAGCCAGAAACAAAGGTGCAGGTCTGATGTAGATATGGTCATGGCCAAGCTGGGTCCAGATAATTCAATAAATTATTTAGGGAAGTGTAGCTGTGGTGGACTCAACAGAACAATTCTGCTCCTTATTCCTCTTTTCTGTATCCATCCCTGCATGGTTCACCAGGGCACCAATACAGAAACTAGGAAGCTGCCAGTTCAAGTACCAAGTTGATTCCAGCACTGATTGAATGTATATTAACTAGGCTGCTGATGTCTACTGGGAGAGCTTTGAGAGCCCGAGGTATGATAGGAGGAAGAGACCTCTTATCTATCTGTAGTTCTCTTCCCCCATCTCCCACATAAATACATCCTTGCCACATCACCAGGAAACAATAATTACATAGTTCCCCAGAACATGTTGAACGGAGAAAGATGGCAGAACACTAGCCTACATTGCTGTCAGTCCATGAAATGATGTCACAGTTGCTGTTGGGGTAGCTGCTAAAAATGAAATGCCTTCAATGAGGTTACACTGTGTATGTCAACTCAAAGCTGCTGAGGCTAGAACCTCATTTGAATGGTTAATCCCTAGCATCTACCAGTAGCTGAGAGTTTGCTAGACTGGACTTGCACCAACATCAGAAAAAAATATTGTTGGCATCTAAAGTCTGTGGCTCTCGCCCTGGGAACATTCTCATTGCCTGATAGGGCTCTCCAATCATTCCTTATATTGATGTGCTTTCTCTACAGGTTGGCTGGTTCCCTGCAAACTATGTGGAGGAAGATTATTCAGAGTATTGCTGATGGCACACCCAGTTGGGTGCATTGAAGGATTCTTTTGCAGCACATCCTGGGACAACCACAGAATCATTTTCCTGTAACCACTGCTGTGCAAAAACTATTATTTATGAACTCTCTTTAATTCCCCTCACATTGGTTTCTGACCTTCACTTTGTGTTCTTAATGTCAAATAAACTGGGTGAGAACCTGGTTGTAACTACCAAAGAGCAAACCTCATCATCAAAATCATGTGTGAAAAAATAAAACTACAGCATGAAAAGCTGCTTCTTTTAATGTCACAATTGCTCATAGCCACAAAGATATTGTGAGACAAGTTCCCTTTGAGTGTGCATAATAGCTGCATAACCCAGCATGCAATTTCCACGTTTTCTGCATGGTGTCCTTGATCTGGAACAAATGTGTTTGGAAACTGCCAACATTCAAATGTAGTCTCCCTAGACCCTTCTTCACTATTGTTATTCTTCATTCTTTTAATACTGCCCACAAAAAACCCATGTAATTTTTCAGGCAGATGCCTTGGTGGTAGTAGCAGCTTCCACCTGAGGCTCTGGGTCACTGCTCTGCTCCTTGGTCCTTCTAGACTCTGTGTTCTTTCTAGATTGCTCCTTCTAGACTCTCTGGTCTTTCTCTAGAACAGGGGTTAGCAAACTTACCGTGCCTTGCGCTGGTGTCTCCAGCGCCGATCGCCCAGAGGGCAGGAGAGCGCGTGCCCATGTGCGTGTGCACACGCTATTTCCGGTGCACTTCCAGGTCGGAGGAGAACCGGAAATAGCTTGTGTGCATGTGCACGGGCCTCCTCTGACCCGGATGTGCACCAGAAATAACGCTTGTGCTTGCGCAAATAACGCTTACGCATGCACAAATAATGCTTGTGCATGCGCACAAGCTATTACCGGTGCTGCTCTGACCTGGAAGTGGGCAGCCGTGCAGTGCAGTGCCGGTAAGAGCGGGCAGTGGGCAGCGGGGGTTGCTGCGGGCCGGATAAATGAGCCCCTCGGGCCTTATCCGGCCTGCAAGCCTTAGTTTGGGGACACCTGCTCTAGAAGGTATTAGTGAGACCACAGAGAAAGACCCAGAGAGTCTAAAGTCTTTGGACCGCCAGGCTTCTCCTTCTAGTGGGAAACCAGTTGCCTGGGTGAAGGCAATTTGCTGAGCCTGGGCTAAGACAAAAAGGGTCTGCATGTGCATTCGGAGTTTTCAAAAGCTTGTCAACACATACCACTTGAGCCACAGAACTTAGGTTGTGATTTTTGACTATGATATTCAACACCGACAGGATAAATTTGGAAATACAGTGGTACCTTGGTTTCTGAACATCTCCACTGATGAACATTTCGGTTTAGAAACGGCGTAAACCTGGAAGTAAATGCTTCGGTTTTCGAACATGCCTCAGAAGACGAACATGCCATGCGGCTTCCGCTGAATGCAAGATCCTAAGGCCTAGCTGTTGGCTATTGAGTTTTTGGTTTTCTTTCTTTCTTTTTTTTAAAATAATTTTTATTAAAGTTTTAAACAACAAAGAAATAAAAGAAAAACATACACAATACATATAACAAAAACACAAAAAACAAAAAAAAGCAAGATTCAACAATAAAAATACAAGAAACATAACAATTAAAAACAACATCTCTGTTTCATTTCCGCTTTTTAGTTGCTTATTTTCTGGACTTCCTCATACCTCCCTCTTTTGTATTCCAATCCAAATTATTTGTCCAGCAGTTTCTTTTCCACTTTAATCCCAATCTTTAATTTGATAAGATATTAAAATATATAACTTCAACTTCTTTAAACCTAATCCTTGGTCCTAATATCATATACCATTAAAATTTTCCCTCTTAATATCAAATTTCCATTTCTTTAAATATCTTTAATCTTAGTCTATCATTAACTTTAACCTGTACAGCTGGAAACCTCTTGTTTTCAGTCCAACATCACTCTAACATTCCTTAATTTTGCAGTGTTTCTGAAGAATTTCTTTGAATTTCTTCCAATCTTCCTCCATCAACTCTTCTCCCTGGTCACGGATTCTACCAGTCATTTCCGCCAATTCCATATAGTCCATAAGTTTCATCTGCCATTCCTCCAGCGTGGGAAGTTCTTGTGTCTTCCAATACTTTGCGATGAGTATTCTTGCTGCTGTTGTTGCATACATAAAGAAAGTTCTATCCTTTTTTAACACCATTTGGCCGACTATGCCCAGGAGAAAGGCCTCTGGTTTCTTAGGAAGGTATACTTAAATACCTTTTTAATTCATTATATATCATTTCCCAGAAAGCCTTAATCTTTGGGCACGTCCACCAAAGGTGAAAAAATGTACCTTCAGTTTCTTTACATTTCCAACATTTGTTATCGGGCAAGTGATAGATTTTCGCAAGCTTGACTGGGGTTATGTACCACCTGTATATCATTTTCATAATATTCTCTCTTAAGGCATTACATGCCGTAAATTTCATACCTGTGGTCCATAACTGTTCCCAGTCAGCAAACATAATGTTATGTCCAACGTCCTGTGCCCATTTAATCATAGCCGATTTTACCGTTTCATCCTGAGTATTCCATTTCAGCAGCAAGTTATACATTCTTGACAAATTCTTAGTCTTGGGTTCTAACAATTCTGTTTCTAATTTGGATCTTTCCACCTGGAAGCCAATTTTCCTGTCCAATTTAAATACTTCCATTATCTGATAATAATGAAGCCAGTCTCGCACTTTGTTTTTTAGTTTTTCAAAACTCTGCAATTTCAATCTATCTCCGTCTTGTTCCAAAATTTCCCAATATTTCGGCCATGAGTTTTTGGTTTTCGAACGTTTCAGAACTTGAATGGTCTTCCAGTACGGATTACGTTCAAAAACCGAGGTACCACTGTAACTGTTAAAAACAAATTGTTTCAGAAAGACAAATTTCCTTCTATTTTTTTTCTGCCTGTACTAACTAGCCATAGTCAACCAGCTGATGGTTCTTTAAAAACTTAATAGGCTGCCCAAATTTTGGGGGGGTGGTTTTCCCTAGAACTGGGTGATATCTGGCTGGAAGCTGCCCAGAGTGGCTGGGGCAACCCAGTCAGATGGGCAGAGTACCAATAAATTATTATTATGCATCATAATGTATCACCAGCTAAATATCGTGATATCCCGATATATCATGATGTCTGAAATACGGATGGAGCTATGTAGAGGCACTGGCTGGCTTCACAGTTTTCCCCACATTGTGATTTTTGCGTAGGAAGTACACACACTCACACTAGGGATAGCAACGTATCAGTACATTGTTAGAAATCAGTTTGTAGTCCACATTGTGGTCACTGTTTCATAATATTCAACATGGTGATATATCGTGAATCACAGTGTGTGCGTGTGCTATGTAAAAATTCGCAATGTGGGAAAAACCGTGAAGCCAGTTATTGCGTCTCATGATTCCTTCTGTCCCTGTTTCTCTGTACTATAAAATGGCAGTTGTAACAATATGTTAAAGGTAAGTTAAAACATATCGGTTTTAGACCCCTAAGTAGTAGCAGTTTCCAGGACATTACCCTGTTTACACAGTTACATCTTTATTTTAGATAACATAATACAGTGGTACCTTGGTTCTCAAATGGCTTAGTTGTTGAACAAATCGGCTCCCGAACGCCGCAAACCTGGAAGTAAGTATTCTGGTTTGTGAACGTTTTCGGAAGCCGAACGTCCGACATGGCTTCCACTTGAGTGAAGGAAGCTCCTGCACCCAATCAGAAGCCGCGCCGTGGTTTTCGAATGGTTTCGGGAGTCGAACAGACGACCGAAACAGATTAAGTTTGAGAACCAAGGTTCCACTGTATATTGGTGATGTTTAGCTGGTGATATATCACAATGTTGAAAGAAGAAGAAGAAGAAGAAGAGTTTGGATTTGATATCCCGCTTTATCGCTACCCGAAGGAGTCTCAAAGCGGCTAACATTCTCGTTTCCCTTCCTCCTCCACAACAAATACTCTGTGAGGTGAGTGGGACTGAGAGACTTCTGAGAAGTGTGACCAGCCCAAGTTCACCCAGCAGCTGCAAGTGGAGGAGCGGAGACGTGAACCCGGTTCACCAGATTACAAGACTACCGTTCTTAACCACTACACCACCCTGGCTCTCAAAGCCAGACATTGCTCAGCCCTAATACACATCATGATTCGTGATATACCGCCAGGTCAAAAATTATGCAACTGATATCATAATACAGACTTCAAACTGGTTTGGGATGATATATCAATATATTGGCCTGTCCTTGTTTTTCTCCAGACTAGCATTTATATATACCATTAAAACAAAACAAAAAAATACATTAGTTATCATTAGATCTGATCTCTCAGGGCTCTTCACACTTCTGTTTACCCTGCTGCTTTCCCCTGAGATTCAACTCTTTACTGCTGAATTGGAGCAAACATCAGCTGGGAAAAACTGCTCAGACCCCTGCCTAGAAAACCTGGGACAAGCAGAAAACCTCTCAGACCTGTGCTTTGTACACACAGGCAAGCAAAGTGTGGATGAGCCCTTACCTAATAAAGGGTTTTGCTCCTATGGTAAAGGAATGGTGCTACCTAAAATGCCCTCTCTAAAGTATCAAGTATTAAGATTTTTGAATATTTGGAATCAGATTTTGGAAGACTATTCAGCCTCAGCACCCTATCTAAATTAAACTGATAAGCCATTTAATTTATATCCACACAACAAAAAAACAAAAAGCAACTTAGTTCTAACTCTAAAAACTAAATCTAAATATATATATTTTAAATATTTAGGAACAAGGAAATGAAAAACTCAAGGAAGCCATGTAATACCTTCTTCCAGCTCCAACTGTCAGCTAGAAATGAGTAGATTCAAACAGTTACTGTGATGACCTCATTTACCAACCAGCAGTGTTGTGTAAGCATGACATCATAGAGAAAAGAGAGAAGAAATATGATTGGCTGAGTAGATGCTGCTGCTTCTTAAAGGGAAGAATAAAGGTAAAGGTAAAGGGACCCCTAACCATTAGGTCCAGTTGTGGCAGACTCTGAGGTTGCAGTGCTCATCTCGCTTTATTGGCTGAGGGAGCTGGTGTACAGCTTCTGGGTCATGTTGCCAGCATGACTAAGCCGCTTCTGGCAAACCAGAGCAGCGCACGGAAACGCCATTTACCTTCCCGCTGGAACAGTACCTATTTATCTACTTGCACTTTGATGTGTTTTCGAACTGCTAGGTTGGCAGGAGCAGGGACCGAGTAACAGGAGCTCACCCCGTTGCGGGGATTTGAACTGCCGACCTTCTGATCGGCAAGTCCTAGGCTCTGTGGTTTAACCCACAGCGTCACCTGTGTCCTGTCAAAGGGAAGAATACTAAGCTTCAAAATTCACAGGATGATATTTGAAATAAATCTTAAATGACTTTGTGTTTGCTTCCTAAAAATCAAACTTTCTTCCATTTTTCTTACCTGGTAGGCTAGTGGCAGTACTAGCCATAGTCAATCCAGCTGATTGTTCTTTACAAACTTGTTAAAATGCCCTACATTTTTTGGTGGTTTTCCCCTCAAACTAGCATTTACGTACCAACAATACAAAGAAAAAAATGATACATACATACATACAATGATACAAGAGCAGTTCTCTTACCTGATAAAGAACTTTGCCCACATAGTAACAGAATAAACTACCTGCAACATCCTCTCTAATCTAAACTTTAAAAATCCTAAATAATTGAAAAAACTCTAAACCTAAATGCAATACATAAATATTTTTAAAATAGTAACTTTAGGACAATCAAAAATGAACAAATCAAGAAAACTACTCACTTCTCCTTCCAGCTGTGACAGAAATGAGCACATTAATTTACAGTACCTGCCTCATCTACCTACTAGCATTGTTTAGCAAGCATGACCTCATAGAGGACAGACAGAGGGGAAAGGTGATTGGCTGAGCAGATGCAGCTGTTTAGAGAGGCTTTGCACAACCTTTATATGATCATATCTCAATATCAGCCTCTTAGGAGGCTCAGCGGAAATTTCAATCTGGGTGGGGGGGGGGGGGAGATTGGCAACTGACCAGATAAAACCTGCCTGGCCTGCTTTTGTACCCTTAAAAGAAATGGATCTGCAGAAATATTCAAGTGAATCTTCTTCCTGGGATGGATCTGCTCACTGGTGGAGCTTAATCTTCTGTTCAGTGCAAAGCTACAAGATTCACGAAGTGGCAGTTCTAAGCAAAGTTCTGTGAAAGTGAAAACTGATCACTTTTCATGTTAGTTTTTAATGTAACCAATACACTCCTTAAAGGATTTCCTTATAGAAACTGTTGCTAGTCATTGGAAACAAATGTGGCATTGCCAAACTACCTCCCTAAGGTCTGCTATACAGTGGTACCTCAGGTTAAGTACTTAATTAGTTCCGGAGGTCTGTTCTTAACCTGAAACTGTTCTTAACCTGAAGCACCACTTTAGCAAATGGGGCCTCCCACTGCTGCCACGCCGCCGGAGCACGATTTCTGTTCTCATCCTGAAGCAAAGTTCTTAACCTGAAGCACTATTTCTGGGTTAACGGAGTCTGTAACCTGAAGCGTATGTAACCTGAAGCATAGGTAACCTGAGGTACCACTGTACAGTACTTTTCTGCATTCTTCCAACAATTTGCTGTAATAGATTATCAATTTCTTCCAAATAATTTGAAAATAAGGCATAACGGAAGTAATTGAGTAGCTCTGGGTATACCACCTTTGATGCCAATATTTATTACCCAAATTTTATAACGCAATGGTTTGTCTACCGGACTCTTTTTTTTTCTTTTTTCCCTAGTGCATGGAAAGATCCTTTGATTTGGGTGCTCAACCCTTTCCCCACCCAGAGCTGCTCTGATCAAACCTGGAATTTTTCTGTTACAATACTAAGGGCAGAAGGGGTTGGTGGGATTTGGAGTACACATCTCCAGTGTATTGTTTGGCACTATCTGAACACTTGCCTTATTAACACGATTTTATTATACGTAGCTGCCCTGTCCTCCTGGCCTGGGCACTGTTGCCAGCCCTGCTTCTAATAATAATAATTAATAATAATTTTATTATTCATACACTGCCCATCTGGCTGGGTTTCCCCAGCCACTCTGGCGGTTTACAGCACCTAAAAAAATTGTAAAACATTAGACATTAAAAACCCCGATACAGGGTTGCCTTCAGATGTCTTCTAAAAGTCAGATAGTTGTTTATTTCCTTGACATCTGATGGGAAGGCATTCCATAGGGCTGGTGCCACCACCGAGAAGGCCCTCTGCCTGGTTCCCTGTAATCTCACTTCTCGCAGTGAGGGAACCACCAGAAGGCCCTTGGAGCTGGACCTCAGGGTCCGGGCTGAACGATGGGGGTGGAGAGGCTCCTTCAGGTATACTGGGCCGAGGCCTTTTAGGCCTTTAAAGGTCAGCACCAGAAATGGTGTTCTACCTGTAGTAGCTTTAACAACTATTGGACTAGCGCCCAGGAGGACAAGGTCCGAGTTCCCACTCAACCATGAAGTCTACTGGGTGTCATCTCATCTCAGCTTAGCTCACCTCGCTGGGTTGTTGCTGTGAGGATAAAATAGGGATGGGAACAGTGTACTCCACCTTGAGCTCCTCAGAGGAAAAAAAAAAGTGGGAACTCCCTGCCTATTGATATCAAGCAGGTAATACCTTAACAATATTACCACTATTTATTAAATTTTATACCACTCTTCATGGAGGGCGGTTCACAACAGTATGCTTTTCTGGCACCTGCTATTTTTCTTAAAAATATGAAGCGGTACAGAAATGCAAAATAAAAAAAATCCTTCCAGTAGCACCTTAGACACCAACTAAGTTTGTTATTGGTATGAGCTTTTGTGTGCATGCACACTTCTTCAGATACACTGAAACAGAAGTCCCCAGACCCTTATAAATAGTGAGACGGTGGGGAGGGGTATTACTCAGAAGGGTGTTGGGAATGGGTGATTGGCTGATAGGTGTGGTAAACCTGTTGAGGACTGTTAACGACTGCAATTGGTCTTACAGGAAAAAGCAAGGGGTGAGATGGCTAAAAATAGCTTGATCATGTATAATGAGATAAGGTCTCTCCATGGTTTTAAGTTTGGTAAGGTAAAAGGTAAAGGTAAAGGGACCCCTGACTGTTAGGTCCAGTCGCAGATGATTCTGGGGTTGCAGCACTCATCTCGCTTTCTTGGCTGAGGGATGAGTACAGCTTCCAGGTGATGTGGCCAACATGACTAAGCCGCTTCTGGCGAACCAGAGCAGCTAATGGAAACACCTTTTACCTTCCTGCCTATTTACCTCACCTATTTATCTACTTGCACTTCATGCTTTCAAAATGCTAGGTTGGCAGGAGCTGGGTCAGAGCAACGGGAGCTCACCCTGTCGCAGGGATTTGAACCGCCGACCTTCTGATTCAGCAACTTCTCTTTCCAGTCTATTTCTGAAATTCTTTTGTAATAAGACAGCTACTTTGAGATCTTGTATAGCTGAAGGGCACCTTTGGCATTTGATGGCATACACAATGTTAGAAGATGAGCAATTAAATAGTCCTGAGATGATATGTTTGATGTTGTTGGGGCCAGTAATGGTGTTGTGTATGTGGCAGCAATAAATAATAATAATTAATTAATTAATTAATTAATAATAAAACCGTTCTTGTTTGGGCAAGCCTAAACATGTGCTTAATAAATGTTGTGTGTTTTTTTTTTAGTATTTTAACTATTTTGTTACATTTTGAAGTGTAGATTTTAATTTGGTGTTTTTTTAATAAAAAAAACTGCAATCAAGCGGCACATCAGTTTTAATGGAATGATGAAATGAAACTGCTTTTTGTGGGCTGCTCTTAAGGGGCCTCTTTTTTGTAGGCTAAAAGGCGGGGTACAAATATTGCTAAACAAAAAAACTAAATATTTAAAAGCGCCTCCCCCACCCCTTCTCGTGTGTGTGTGTGTGTGTGTGTGTGAAGCTTGCCCTGTTGCTTCTCACAGGGTTTACGTGTGCTTGAAAATAATGTGACATGTGTAAAGGAACTAAAGGAGAACGTGGGAAAACATACTCTCCCCCCCCCCGCCTCAAACAATCTCAGCCGCAGTGGCGGCACTATTGCGCACGCGCACCATCAGCCGACGCCGGCTTCTGTGCGCGTGTTGGGGGAAGGGAAGAGAGAGCCCCGCGCGCGACTTTGCCCTGGAGAAGCGCGCGCCCGTCGCTTTGCCTTGCCTCTCCCCTCCCTCTGACAAAGGAGCGCGAAACCTTCTCCTTCCGCCGCTTACATTGGCTGAAGCGGGCATGAAGGGGCGGGGCTTTTCCCCCAGAGTCAGAAAGCCCGCCTTCCGAAAGATGCTCGGCTGTGATACGATGCCGAAGCTGTCCCTTGTATCCCTCCCACCCACCCCCGCTCTGCTACGCCGACGCTCTCCAGTCCTTATTCAACTGGCGGAGGGGGAAGGAGGGGCCGCAGGGCGGGAACACAACAATGCGACGTCTCCCTATTGGCCAGCCGGCGACTGAAGGGGGGGACTTTTTTCCCCTCTTCCCCTGATTGGCTTTGCCATGAGGAGAGAGCTCTCTTCCCATTGGCTTGGAAGAAAAGAGAAGGCCGGTTCTGCCGAGAGGGAGCACGCGCGTGTCCCAATGGGCGCGCGCACGCACGCACGCGGGCGAGAAACCTGTTCTGCCTGTTGGGTGAGCGAGCGCGGCCGAGCGCCTTCTTGGTTAGCGCTCCCTCAGTCGGGGACGCGCGGCAGAGGGGCGGTGGGGGAGGGGAGCGAGAGCATCTTTCTCTCACACGCGCGGCGGTAGCGGCGGCTCCAGCTCCTCCTTTGTTCGCCTCCACACACCCCACCTCGCCCGCTCTTAGAGATACCGGGCCGCCCGGCTGGCGGGGGCCGGCACGGTAAGGGGTGGGGTCGGGGGGGGATGTGGGGGCTGAGGGAGGGTTGACCGCGCACGCGCGTGGATGGATGGATGGATGAATGGATGAAAGAAATGGACAGCTGTGTGAAGGAGGAGGGAGGGCGTCGTGAGGAGGGGGCCGCGGGGGGGGGAAGATGACCTTCGGAGCGTCGTGTGTGGTCGGAGTGGGGGGGCGCCGTTATTTCGCCTCACCTGCCGCGCGGGTGGGGGTGGGGGGGTCGGCGGAATTGAGGGTAAGCGGATAAAGGCGTGCGCCCGCGTCCCCGCCTCCTCCTCGCACACCCCCACCCGCAGCATCCTTCCTTTCTTCATGTTCCCCCCCCACCCTCCCGAAAGGACCCCCTCCTAGCATTTCGCACCCCGATCTCAGCATCGATTTTGGCGTGTTGTTTCATAGATATAGTTAACGTCCTTTAAAAAAAAATAAAAATCATTCAGGATGGGGATGTGGGGCAGTTTCCAGCCATCCAGGTTTTTAAATCCATTCATTCATTCATTCATTCACTTCTTATCACATCTACATTTTGTCCGCGCTTGACCTGCTTAAACCCGTCGACTTCCCCGGAGCTGTAATAGGTAACTGTTAAAAATCCGCCCCCCCCAAAGAGAAATTCATGTGGATGGATTTGCAACCGGTTTGGAATAAATAATATATTGTGATATTGTGAATGCATTGACGGTCAGTTCTCCCCCACCGGTACAGTATTAGCAACATTTAAGTGTTACGTTAACATTTCAGGATAATAGTTGATAGGTATGATTTATATTGTACTATGTAGCAGCCTAAATGAGAATAAAAATTCTATTATGTTGGCATTATATTAAATCCACCCATACACAACCGAAAACCAGTTCTAATGGGCCTAATATTGGTCACCAGCAGCCCAGTATTATTCCCCACTCACCCTCCTGCACCCACCAGCCCAACACCTTCACTTGCCATTCTTGCTTCCACTTCTATAATCCAGTGCCTCCTGCTTCAAGCCAACATCTCCAGGGACAATACTTATTCTTCTTGTTGTTGTTATTTATTTGTACCCTGCCTTTTTCCCTGACAGGGACTCAAGGCAGCTTACACTTAACATGGGGGGAACGATAGAACCATAGAATATTAGAGTTGGAAGGGACCCTGAGGGTTGTCTAGTCCACCCACCTGCAATGCAGAAATTTGCAGCTGTCCTAATAATTAAAAAGACGATTAAACAGTAATAGAATTAAAACTATATATATAAAGCTCTCTCTCGATATATGATCTATTAAAAACATACAGATAATTACAATAAAAGCATCACAGCACCAGCCCTTTCATTAAAAGCAGTCAGTTCCAGAAAGCTTGTTGGAACAAGAAAGTCTTCACCTGCTTGCAAAAGTACAGCAAGAAGGGAGCCAGTCTAACTTCTCTAGAGAGGGAGTTCCAAAGTCTGAGCAGCCACTGAGAAGGCCGATCACTTGCTCCTCCACTTACCATCAGCAGGTCTCTGTAGCATCACTGTTTATTCAGAGTAGAAGAATAGCCAATTTCTAATGGATCACCCAGTATCGACTGGTTGCTGGGATTGCTGTGAATTGTGTTGGACTAGTGTGCCTTGGTCTGAGCCAGCCCTTAAACAAGTGTGCATATTCAGGATTGCTTGAAACATCTTTCATTTATGCTGTAACTGTTAAAAGGACCTGCATGCATATACTCTTATACATAACAAGCCTAAGAGGAACATGAGAATTTTAGGTTTGCTTCTCAAAGTAGAGACCTTACAGGACTCTTTCCCGACCCTGTTGTGCACTATAGCAAGCCTCTAGCTACCTCCTTCATACACTTCCTTATTCCCAAGGGCTGACAGATGCATCCCTCCAACATGACCTTTTCTCCAGCTACCCCTAATGCTACTACTCCTTCATTATTCCTTGTGGTTTCTTGTACAATAGCAGTATTTTCTCATGTTTTTCCCACAATTTTTGAAGGTATTGGACATGATATTTAGTATTTTTATTGATTTTTTTATGTAAACTGCCCTGAATCTTTTGTGTGTGTGTGTGTGTGTGTGTGTGTGAGCGAGAGAGAGAATGGTAAATAAATTTATTAAATAAATGGGTGACCCATCTCCAGGCTCGTATAGCCAGCTAGGGATGGAGGCTCTTTCTGTCCTGCCCTCCTAGTTCTCTTCACTCCTTTGCATATTCCTCCTCTTTTATTCTTCTCCCTTTATAGCTTGCTTGCCCCTTGTTTACTCTCCTCCAGTCCCCTCTGTCCTTTGGTTTTTCTGGAAGCCTTGAATAAAATAGGAATGCCATCAAGGCAGTGGAATCTCTCTGTGGAGGTTCTTAGAGGTATCTTTTCCTGTTCTCTTTTTTCTTGTTGTTTCTTTTTAAGCTGTTGTCTTATTTTATTGTGAAAAACTTCATTTAAAAAAGAAAGAAAGAAATGGCATAAGCCTCCCTCATGCTGGTTTAATATTCCTATAAGTGCTGCTCAGAGTAAGTTCTCCATTCCAGAGTCCATTGCAAATTGCAAAGTACTCAGTATGTTTATACAGTGTGTGAATTTGTGTGACTATCTGTCACTTTCTCTGTCTTGCGCTTCGATTATGACGGACTGATGCTGCTTTCGGTCTCTCTGGACATCCAACATGTCATGAGAATGCCATTCTTTGCCCTGCCAAAGTCCTTGTTATGTGCAGTAAGCTAGGCTATTTTCCACTGCACAGTGGAGCAAAAGGGAAGTTTGTGCTTTTCTTCTTTTGATGACAGCATGATAGGTATGACAGGCCCCTTACTCAGCTACAGCATTTGCTTAGTCTGGCCACCTTATGGAGCCAGCCATTGACACATCCAGCATTTTCTCAAGGAACCTAGGAAATTGAGCTCCACATCCTTCTCTCTTCACAGATGCACTCCCCTTCTGAACCATGAACATTCTTCCCGTTACTCCGGACTCTCCTCACAGACAGTGCCCTTTTCCTTTCAGCCTCTCCCACATGCTCACTGCTCTTTCCCACCCTGCTTTAGTTGGGGAAATTGCATTTCTCTTACTGCTTGTGCCATTCACCAACCCACCCACACCATTTCCTTTGCTCCTTCAGTGTATCTCCTTGCCACTTTACCCAAGGGTCACAGTTACCCATTACCTTTTTGAAATATTTTCTTTGTCAACAGCCCAACCACTCTTTCACTCCTCTTTTTTTGGCAGAATTCTGTAGAAAATTGAAATATTTGCCTGGCTGAGATAATTGGGGCTCAGAAATAATACATAATAATACTGAATGCATTCATCCATAGCACTGATTCATTGGTTTAGCTTTATGAGGAGCGAGCCTTGTGTTTGCTTCCCTTCTCCAGTGCAGCTGTGAAGAGGCACTAAAAGCATTTGCTCCCATTTTGGACTAACTGTAGCTTGTGACATCCAAACCCAGAAATATTGCAGTTAGTCTTAACTGTGCTTAGATGTACAAGCCAATGATTTATCAAGCTGCTTGTTTTTACTAGCCGTAGTTGACATTAACTACAGTTTACAATTCATATGTAATTCTATACCATGGAAGCTTCCAATCTTGCAGTCGTGCTGGAGGAGGGGTTAGTAAGCAAGTCCTAGGCTTGGTTCACCCTATCCTTGTAACCTAAAACTGTGGTTTAGCATTAGGTGTGAAGCAGGCCGTTGTATAAACTGCAAAACAGATGTCACATGTACGTGGCTCCAGTGTTAGAAATTCAGATATATAAGCTAGGTGCCTAATGGCTCCTTAAACCAAGTTTACAGTCACCAAAACAGAATGTACAGTTGCCATTTTTGGGCAAGACAGTTTTAAAGTATGCAGCCTGGGAGTCATTTTGGTCTCACGGCTCTCCATGGAGGTGCAGGTCAATTCTCTGTCCAGGGCAGCTGTCTACCAGCTCCATCTGGTACGCTGTCTCAGAGTGAGACATGCTCTGATTATCTGCTGCTTGGACTATTGCAATGCGCTCTACGTGGGGCTACCTTTGAAGATGACCCGGAAACTACAATTAATCCAGAATGCGGCAGCTAGACTGGTGACTGGGAGTGGCTGCCGAGACCATGTAACACTGGTCCTGAAAGACCTGCATTGGCTCCCAGTACGTTTCCGAGCACAATTCAAAGTGTTGGTGCTGACCTTTAAAGCCCTAAACGGCCTCGGACCAGTATACCTGAAGGAGCGTCTTCACCCCCATCATTCAACCCAGACACTGAGGTCCAGCTCTGAGGGCCTTCTGGCGGTTCCCTCCCTGTGAGATTTGAGGTTACAGGGAACCAGGCATAGGGCCTTCTTGGTAGTGACACCTGCCCTGTGGAACGCCTTCCCAACAGATGTCAAGGAAATAAACAACTATATGACTTTTAGAAGACATCTCAAGGCAGCCCTGTTTAGGGAATTTTTTAATATTTGAAGTTTTGTTCTGTTTTTAGTGTTCTGTTGGGAGCCGCCCAGAGTGGCTGGGGAAACCCAGCCAGATGGGTGAGGTAAAAATAATGAAATTATTATTATAATTATTCAAATGATGGACTGACTGTGCTTGATTTGTAGTTAAATATCTGGCTAGTTCAGATGACAACCTTGAGCTAGGTTAAGAACTTTGAAAATGTAAAGAAGAAAAGTCACTTGATCCAGGGATAGTCCACACATATATTGGCCTATTCCTACCTCTTTTTCTTAGTGGTGACTGCTCCTGCTCAGGCTGCACAAAAAGCATTTTGGTTCCAGAAATCCAATCCAATTGTGCAGATAAAATATAACTGATAGAATTCTACAGGGTGGGGTATAAGTGTGTGACAACAGTCCAGATCCAATGATCCCCAGGGATGCAGCTCCTGATGGTGGAGATGCCTAGGCATCTTCACTTGGTCGCAAGTGGTTGAAAACCAGGTGCAAAATGCGTCTGGCTAATTTTGAACACTGCTTGGCACATTTAGAAGAATGATAGCAGTGTTAGAAACTCAGATATATAAGCTAATCTTCAGATGGCACCTTAAACTTACAGTTGCCACAATGAAATGTCTAGGCACCCTTTTTGCCGTGGAGTTTTAAGGGGGAAAAATATCAAAGCAGCTTACAACGTATTAAAATATCAAATGAAACAATCCAGAATAAAACAAATTCAAGCTTCAAGGAAAATATTTCAGATCCTCCTCTAAGTGACATTTTGCTTTCCCCATATTTATTTGCCTACTGAATTTAGATAGCTGACCCATAAGAGAAGTACTCAAGCAAGCCAGTGGGGTTTAGTGGCTAGAGTGTCGGACTGTGATCAAATCCCCACTCAGTCATGAAACTTTGCTGAGTGTTCTTAGGCCAGTTACAGCCTCTAAACCTACCTCATAGGGTCATTGTAGGGATTAACTGAGGAGGCAATGAACCATGTACTATACTACCTGGAGAAAAAGGTGGGATATAAATGCAATGAATAAGCCCTCCTGCTTACCTGCTTAAGAAAGCTAGTGGAGCCAGTCAGATAGAGATGTCAGTTGCCACCCTGGCATCCAGGCATCTCCATGTGGTCGTAATTGGATTCACACACCAGTCGCAAAATGCTGCTGGCAAATTTTGAGAACTTAATTTGATTTGATTCTGGCATTTAGTTCTCTTATTTATTTTATTTATATTTTAATGCTGTATTATTGTTTTAACTTGCAATTTTGAGCTGCCTTGGGGGTCATATAAGGCTGAGAGGCAGAATATAAATTATCTGATAAATAAATATTTGAATTTAGGCCTCCTTTGGTACAAGTGAATATGTTTATGTCTTCCTTTTCAAAACTGTAACAAAAGCATTACTCTTACTACATTTATGCATAGTGCAGTGGAGGAGTGGGGAGCACGTTTTATGGCAATGGGCTTGTTTTAGTGTGTTGTAAACTGTTTTGAGTTTTTTTTTCTCTTTCAAATATAAAGTGGTCTAGAAATGAAATGAATAAGAAGAAACTCCACCACGAAAAGGGACACCTAGACATTCCATTGTGGTGACTGTAACCTAGGTTTAAGGAGCCATTTGGCGATTAGCTTATATATCGCAGGTGGAGAGGGACGTGGGTGGCGCTGTGGTCTAAACCACAGAGCCTAGGGCTTGCCGATCAGAAGGTTGGCAGTTTGAATCCCTGCGATGGGGTAAGCTCCCGTTGCTCGGTTCCAGCTCCTGCCAACCTAGCAGTTCGAAAGCACGTCAAAGTGCAAGTAGATAAATAGGTACCGCTCCAGTGGGAAGGTAAACGGCGTTTCCGTGCAGTGCTCTGGTTTCGCCAGAAGCGGCTTAGTCATGCTGGCCCACATGACCCAGAAAAACTGTCTGTGGGCAAAAGTTGGCTCCCTCGGCCAGTAAAGCCAGATGAGCGCCACAACCTCATTCACCACTGGACTTAACTGTCAGGGGTCCCTTTACCTTTACGTTTTATATATCTGAGTTTTTAACACGGACTCAAATATAACAGCAGGGAAGGGGCTTAAATAAACCTAACAGCTTGTGTTAAAAAGGTGTGGGGGGGCCTAAGAGAGCTCCAAAAAGCTAACAGATTTGTGAAAGTTCTGTTCTAGTTCTCACCCATCTGAACCTCCAGTGACAATGGCTCATGAATCTTTTAAATAAAGTCGCATGTTTACCATAGAAAGCATTCTATTACTGTGTTAAGTGTTTAAGGACTGTCATCCTAGAAACACATAACTAGAAGTCCCATTGAATTCTTAAGTATTCTTTTGAACTATAGGTGAGGATATTATGATATTTCTTTGTTTGTCAAAGCTGCAAGTTTTCCTTTAAACTATGGAAAAAACTTGTCTTTATAAAGGTTTAGTTGCCCGCATCAATAAATGCAGTGCTGCCTTAGCATCTTTTTTGCCACCATCCTTTTGTCTCTCTCCCTCCGCCAACTTAATAAAGGGAACAGCCTAAAGAATTTTGTGCAAATTTCCCCCACTGCTTCCCCTTGAAGCTTAGGTAAAGATTATCATAGTCAAACATCATAATTTATTATAGTTACCGTATTTGTCGCCCTATAGGACGCACCTAGTTTATTGGGGGGGAAATAAAGAAAAAAAATTTATTTCCCCCCCTGGCGCGGGGGAAGCCCGAGCTTCCCCCGACCCCAGCCCCCAGAACTGCCTGCTATCCGCAAGCCTAGGGAGCCGCGCCGGTCTCCCCAGGCTTGCGGACAGCTGTGCGAAGCCCGGGCGCGCTGAAGAGGCTTCGAAATGCAGGCAGCTCTGCGCAACCCTCCGGAGGCCGGCGCGGCTTGGCGCCGGGCTCCGGAGGGTTGTGCAGAGCTGTATGGAGCCCGGGAGCGCAGGCAGCTCTCCGCGACCCTCCAGAGGCCGGCGCGGCTTGGCGCCAGGCTCCGGAGGGTCGTGCAGAGCTGCGCGGAGCCTGGGAGAGCAGGCAGCTCTGCGCGACCTTCCGGAGGCCGGCACGGCTTGGCGCCGGGCTCCGGAGGGTTGTGGAGAGCTTCCTGAAGCCTGGAGAGCGAGAGCCTCTTACTCTCCAGCCTTCAGCGAAAGCCTGTATTCGCCCCATAGGACGCACGCACATTTCCCCTTCATTTTTGGAGGGGGGAAAGTGCGTCCTATAGGGCAAAAAATACGGTAGCTACCAACTAGGAGTGCTTATGAGCTTCAACTCCTGGTTAAAAGCAATTCCTTATTAGTGTTAGCATCAGTGACCGTGTTACCTTTAAAAGCGATAAAGGTCAATGGAAATAGTGATTTATTCATGAGACTGGGAAGTGCGAGTGCATAATATGGTTGCCTGTCTGAGATCCATTAACTGGTTTAAGGGATCATTCTCTCTTCACATCAGTGTGGTGTAGTGGTTGAGAGCCAGTGTGGTGTAGTGGTTGAGAGCGGTAGTCTTGTAATCTGGGGAACCGGGTTCGCGTCTCCGCTCCTCCACATGCAGCTGCTGGGTGACCTTGGGCCAGTCACACTTCCTTGAAGTCTCTCAGTCCCACTCACCTCACAGAGTGTTTGTTGTGGGGGAGGAAGGGAAAGGAGAATGTTAGCCGCTTTGAGACTCCTTAAAGGGAGTGAAAGGCGGGATATCAAATCCAAACTCTTCTTCTTCTTCATCAGTTAAATCATAGAGTTGGAAGAGGATCCCAAGCGTCAGTTTAGCTCAACCCTTCTTGTGCAGGAATCACAGCAAAAGAATCACTGGCAGATGGCAACCCAACATCTGTTTAAAAATGGTAGTCTGTTCCACTGTCAAAACAGCTCTTATCAGGAAATTATCCCTAATGTTTAGTCGGAGTCTCCTTTCCTGTCATTTGAATCCATTGGTTCCTACCTTTTGGAGCGATAGAAAACAAGTTTGCTCCATCATCCTTATGACACACCTTCAGATATTTGAAGATTGTAGTATGTACTTCCTTCTCACGCAGAGTTAGAAACTCAGATTTATAAGCTAGGTGCCAGTCATAGGTTACGGTCACTACAGCAGAATGTCAATTTGCCAGGGGGTTGGACTAGATTACTCTTGTACCTTTCAACCCTACAATTCTATGATCTCAACTACATTGCTTGACTCTTACAGCAATTCACTTATCCCAGTATGCAAGAAGAAGAATCATACACAATGGAAATTGTATTAACTATGAACAAAGCCAGAAATCTCCATTTAATTGCAATTGAACCCACACTAGTAGCAAAACGCGCCTGAGAAATTTTGAAAACTGTTCTCAGATGCTTTTCACCTGTCTATTTAACTGTTTACCTTGATATTTTGTCACTGGGGCTGAGACTTTCCATCACCTGTGGTTCCCCTCATGCTTGTAGAGTTTGGCATCCTTACAGGCTGTTTTTTTATACCCCTGGCTAGCTTTTCTCCTTAGCAAACCCTAGCTTCAGAGTAACAATTTTCTTCTGAACCACTGTGGGAGGAAAACAAATTCTGCCTCCACACATGTCCTGATCCCATTAATCATCATCTCTGGCAACTAATGCAATGTACATTTAAAAAAAAATCCTACGAGTAGATTTTAAAGGAAGGGTGGCTAACCTTTAACCATTCAGATGCTGCTGAACTGCAACATTATCCCTCACCATTGTCTATGCCAGGCATACGGAGTTGTAGTCCCAAAACATCTGGAGGGCCAAGTTTGGCCATGCCTGGTCTATGCTGACTGTGGATGATGGGAGTTGTAGTCCAACAACATCTGGAGTACAACAGGTTAGCCACCCCTTACACACACAATCAGATGAGTGCTATTTATGAGAACCAGCATTGTTCCAGCATTTTAAGCATTCCATTTTATCTTATGTGTTTTCAGGAAGCCACATGCATAAAAAATACCCTTACCACATCCCTTGTGTTAACTTGGTCTTTGGTAAAGGTAAAGGGACCCCTGACCATTAGGTCCAGTCGTGACCGACTCCGGGGTAGTGGCGCTCATCTCGCTTTATTGGCTGAGGGAGCCGGCGTACAGCTTCCGGGTCATGTGGCCAGCATGACTAAGCCGCTTCTGGCGAACCAGAGCAGCGCACGGAAATGCCGTTTACCTTCCCGCCAGAGCGGTACCTGTTTATCTGCTTTGCACTTTGACGTGCTTTCGAACTGCTAGGTTGGCAGGAGCAGGGACCAAGCAATGGGAGCTTACCCCGTCGCAGGGATTCGAATCGTCGACCTTCTGATCAGCAAGTCCTAGGCTCTGTGGTCTTTTGTATGTCTCCCTAAATGAGTACTGAAGATAATGAAGGGATAGGTGGATTTAATGGGTGATATTGGTTCCCTTAAGTAGGATTTTACTTGGGATTACCTTAATAAATGCTTTTCAGTTGCCGGCGCAGCAACAGCAACCCCCACAATAATATTAAATTATTATTTTCAGGTGCAGGCACATTAATATGCATTATTTATTTCGATTTAAGACCTCTCTTCATCAGAGACCACAGGGTAATGTAAGAAATAATAATAACATTTACTAAATAAATAAATGAATGAAATTTATTAGAGTGCCTGTTTCAAAATATATCACAAATGGTGTGTGTGTGTTTGGGGGTTGCTTTTCTTTTGTGCAAGTATTTAAATGTGTGATTTGCCTAGACTGGAATGCAGCAATTCTTAGTGTTTGGCATGATCCTGGAAAGGCTTACTTACCTATATATAACATTTATATATCAGGTCGCTGTGTTGATTTTTTGGTAGGCAGCTGGTGTCTTTGAAAAGCTAGGGTGATTTTAAACAGAAAAGTAAGTTCAGTTGTGGTTTTTTCAACAGCATTGGAATAGATACTGACAATTCAAAGAAATTGCTCATTGCCACGGTGGACAACTGCTATGAGTTAACAAACAACCTGAAGTTCACAGGTAGGTGAACTTAAAGGATAAAAAAATCATGTATATTTCAGCTGTTTTTAAAAAATGAGAGACTTCGACAAAATACATTTCAGGGTTTTATTTTGGGTATAATATCCCCCCCTCCAAACTAAAATGTTAATCTAGATAAAAACACTGATCCAGAGGAAAAGAAGGGGGTGGAGAAAGGACGAAAAAAGAAAAAGAGGTAGAGATTGAGAGATTTTTTAAAAGTTGGCTTCTTTAGCCTTGTGCAGCCTCCCGCGGCTGGAGGGGCGCGCAAGGGTAAGGAGGAAGCCCGGGCAGCGAGGGGATGGATCGCGCTCGCTGCCCTGGCTTCCTCTTTAGCCTTGCGCAGCCTCCCCGCGGCTGGAGAGATTGCGCAAGGCTTTTCTAGAGGAGGGAGAAGGGACTGACTGACCGTGTCAGTCCCTTCTCCCTCCTGGGGAAAAGCCCGCAAGAGCCGCACGAAGCTTGTGTGTGGCTCTTGGGGGCTTTTCCTGCCTGTCTTCCCCCCTGCATTCGCTCCATAGGACGCACAGACTTTTCCCCTTAGTTTTTAAGATGGAAAAACTGCGTCCTATGGTGCGAAAAATACGGTACTTAACCTGAGGTACCACTGTACTGGGTGATGAGAGAAGGAAGTGGATTCTAGCCAGGAGCTGGTGTTATCCTTCGTTCTGATGTAACAATATCAATTGAATGGTATCAGATTGTATCTTTTTTAGGAAACGGAAGACGCAAAAGCCAGCTGGTGTTTTGTACATTAATAACCTTAATAGTAGGATGCTGCTGTGCAGGCTTCGGGAAATTGGAAGAAAGGACTTGTGGCACCGCGTGGGCAGGGCTTGCCTTTAGCCAGTAGCTCCTAGGAATGGTGTCAGCTGGTGAGCTGCAATTCAACTGGGGAGTGGCAGGGAGGCGAATGGGGTAAGAGGTACAGCTGGCTGAAAACGCTACTGACAAAGACTACTATGGGGAAGGCGAGGAGAGAAGGCCACACATCTTTACTCAGCCAGGGGGATGGGGAAATGCCGATAACACAGCTTCCTTCTGTGAAGAACATGGAAGGACTGTCCATGAACTAGTGATAGGTCAGAGGCTTCTGAACAGGCTATGCTGGGAGAAATGGAAGGGGGGCTTTGGAAGCAAATACATGTACACCAGGAAATAAAGCCTATTTATCTGCATCATGTTAACCTGGTTGAAAGATTTCCTGTGAGCATAAAGGCCCTGATCCATGGGTGGGGTGGAAGTAAGTCCCAGTCACTCCGGTTATTCTCTCTTTTTTTTCCCCTAAGCACAAATGGTGATGTTTCCAGAGCAGCACATAACTATGTCATGCTGTGAACCACTGATCATGTATTTTTCCTCTGACAATGAAACACAAATGGTTTGGGGGCTTTGTTTCTCACTAATAATGAATTATCTTGCCCTAGGATACTATCTTGAACAACATCGTTGAAAATGTCTACTCCTGATCCTCCAATGGGAGGAACGCCTCGTCCAGGGCCTTCTCCTGGGCCTGGGCCTTCTCCTGGTGCTATGCTGGGCCCCAGCCCTGGACCGTCTCCAGGTTCTGCACATAGCATGATGGGCCCCAGCCCCGGGCCACCATCAGCAGGACACCCTATACCACCACAAGGGCCCGGAGGTTATTCTCAGGACAACATGCATCAGATGCATAAGGTAATAAACCACAACATTGCTTTGCTTTTGTGTATATATAATATACTGCTGTGCTCTCCTGGTGTGGAAAATCAAGTGATCTTTGTCGCAATCTTCCTTCTTTCAACGTCCCCTCCCCAGTAAAATGTAGCACATCTCTTCTCAGTCTTATGTTTCAGCCTAAGAAATAGAGGCCTTCCCCTCGCAGGTCCATTCTTTAGAAATTTAATATTTTAGTTCTCTGGTTTTAACCACATCCTGGGGCTTCAGGTGACTGTTTCTACGTGGTACTGAGACTTGCCGTTTTCCAGATTGTGTTAACCCCCAATGTTTCAGGCAATTTTTCCGTTCTGAAAAGTGTTTCATTGCTATCTTGCTGTGTGAAATGTCCATACATCTTTTAAAATTAGGCCATCTTGTACATTTTTGAAAGAAGGTAGAAACTTAGCAGTGTTGGTGGGCATACTTATTACCTAAGTCACACACACTGCAAGAGCACCTTAACCGACAGGTGTTTAGAAACGGAACTTTAATGTTCAGTGAAATGTGTGTAGTAGCAGTTCTCAATAAGCTCGTTTGCACATCCCATTGGTTTCATATCATGCACACTTAGAAACTGTTCCAGTGAAATAGCTATTTAAATGGATTTTCGATATTTGTTTTTATATTGTTGTTGCAGCCAATGGATTCCATGCATGAGAAGGGAATATCTGAGGATCCTCGTTACAGCCAAATGAAGGGCATGGGAATGAGGGCTGGTGGGCACACAGGAATGGGACCTCCTCCTAGTCCAATGGATCAGCATTCTCAAGGTATTGCTTTCTTAAGATTAATATGCATCAGATTGCAGATTAACTCTGTATTCTTGATATAAATTACAGAATCTGAGATTGTTTTTAAGCAAGAAAAAGATTTTCAATTTTGGTGGTACTGGATAAGTTGCTGCTTTTACAACTGGGCAGATGTAGCAGGCAGTAACAGCACTGCTTTCTGTTACTGATCTGACTGAGAACCACCTCCGCAGACTTTCAGCATACATTTGAAGCATTTGTGCTCTTTATTCCTAGCAAATTTTGGCATTATTATGGTGTGCGTTTTTAAATAAAAACAGCTGTATATTATATTGTTGTATCCCACCTTGGAACCTTACGGTGAAGTGTGGGTAAGAAATATTTTGAATAAATATCTCGTTTTAAATGGCTAATTAAAAATTAAAATTAGATAAACGTATCTGTAAAATGCAAAAGCATGTTTAAAATATAATTGTATTTAAAGCTTGATTACAGCAGATTGATCTCTCTCCCTCTGTCTGCGCACTCTTCTCTCTAGGTTACCCTTCTCCTCTTGGTGGTTCTGAACATGCATCGAGTCCAGTTCCAGCTAATGGTCCTTCTTCTGGCCCCCAGATACCCTCTGGTCCTGGAGGAGTCCCATTAGATGGTACTGACCCCCAAGCGCTAGGGCAGCAGAATCGTGGCCCAACTCCTTTTAACCAGAATCAGCTGCATCAACTGAGGGCTCAGATAATGGCCTACAAGATGCTTGCCAGAGGCCAGCCTTTACCTGACCATCTTCACATGGCCGTGCAGGGAAAAAGGCCAATGCCTGGAATGCAGCAGCAAATGCCAACTCTACCTCCACCTTCTGTATCTGGAACAGGACCAGTGCAAGGACCAGGGCCTGCACCTGGACCAACACCTCCGAACTACAACAGACCTCATGGTACGTATAGGCTTAAGTGCATTATTCTGGGGAGATTGGCCACAGAGTAACCCACTTCTGCTAGAGCTCCTCCTTCTCCCTCTCCCATTTAAGGAGTGATGCAAACGGTGGAGGAAGAAAAATCTTACTCTGTGTGTATGTGTCTGTCCAATGTATGCACAGGTATGGGAGGGCCTAACATGCCCCCTCCTGGACCCTCAGGAGTTCCCCCAGGAATGCCCGGGCAGCCCCCTGGTGGACCCCCAAAGCCCTGGCCTGAAGGTAAGACCTTTGTGAGGGCAGGATTAATTGAAGTTTAGCTTTTTTTTAAAGTTGTATATTGAAATACATTTTGCATGAACAGCAAAATCCTATAAAAACTTGAAGGATGCAACTGTACTTTTTGTTGAGTTTTGTTACATTAAACTAGCATGGCTACCCCTATATAATCCATGCCATATCACATTGTTTCAGTGATACCAATTTGGCCATTTTTTCTGAGTTGAAAGTGATAATTCTTAAGATACGTGTTCAAAAATCAGTTTGAAAACTGCCACTGAATTACAGTTCTAATTTTTGTGCATGAATTATTATTAAATTTATTTTTATGACATCTCTGATACCTCAACCCAGCTCCTCTTCTCCCCCTCCTCCTGATTGTTGTGGTGCCAATGGTGACCCACTTTAGGACAAGCTGTTATTTTCCACCTTTGGGTCCCAGTCCAGTAGTTGAAGACAAATGCTTTAAATAACTGCAAAGTGGGTTTCAAATCATGGGATTTAAAAACTTTAACTAGGATATCTTTTGACTTGATTGATTCTGCTATCCATGCATAAACTGAACACCTCCAAGCTAGTCTGCAGCACCATGAGGCTGAAAAAGATTACAGAACTCCTCAGCCATCTTGATGTTTCAAATCCAGAAATTCTATAACTTCCACCATTGGAAGGTATAAGTACCATTAGAAACTCCAGGTCACACTGGAAAGTCAACTTCTGGGGATTACTGTATTAAATTTGAGGTAATTTGGCACTGATTTGTTAAAAAACAATAAATATTCATTGGCAAAAAAGGGGAACTTCTGCCTGACAAATGGAGTCATCTTCAAGTAGGATAAGATCAAGTCCTGAAAACCGCAACATATTCAGACCACTTTCTTTTTGTTCTGAATTTGTGTTTACTTTCCTCACTTAAAAAGGCCTCTGGGACTTGCCTCAGCAGGATCCAAACTCCCTTTTGTAACATACAGTTTTGAGGAGGAAAATGGGCACTAGCTGTCTGAGGCCATCGGAACAAGGTGGCGGTTTGGGGGTATGTTTTGATGCTAGTAGGAGAAGCTACTGTGCAAACTGCTGAAGGTGTTATTAGTGTATCAGAGATTTCATGTAGCTGGTTTTGCCAGCTTCTAGTTAGATTCCTTTTCCCTTTATGTTCTGTATTTTTGGATCCACTCCTCCCAGCCATAGAGCTCCTGCAATATTTAGGTTTTTCTCCCAAACCAGATAAGCAGATATTTTACTCTTTGGAATGGTTCTTATTGATGGCTCATTTTCTCTAGACAAGTACACCAAATAGAGTTAGAAAGTTGTAAACATTCCATGACATCACAGCAGCTTAATGGCTTGAATAAAATGGTGGTTGAATAGTAATAGTTGTCAAACAGTTTTCAGCTTATTATTATAGGCCAAATAGTGGAATAGGTGTTCGCATTTAGTGCTCCTTTAATTCATTATAGAGATCACTATAAGAGGGTGTGGTATTTTTTCAGGTCATTTCCTGGGTTGAGAGCCAGTCTCATGAGTAGATGGAATGGCAGGTGTATACAGCGGAGGCCATAGCAAGCCACAGTGGGAAGTGGTTGACTTTCTCTTAGCTTACTGTATAAGATGTCTGTGAGGATGAGCATGGGAGCAGAACACCACTATCTCCTGTCTTGAGCTGCTTGCAGGAAGGTTGGGTTAAATTATAACAAAACTAAACTATTATTCAGCTGTTTAAATGTAGAAATTGGTCCTTGAACACTGCAGTCTTTATGCTCATATGTGCTTATATCAGGCTCTTACACGAGGGAGTCTTTAACAGCCTTCTTCCTACCAACGTTCTTCTATAGGACCAATGGCAAATGCTGCAGCCCCTACTAGCACACCTCAGAAACTGATTCCTCCTCAGCCAACAGGCCGTCCTTCACCAGCACCTCCGGCGGTACCTCCAGCAGCATCCCCTGTAATGCCTCCCCAAACTCAGTCACCGGGACAACCAGCCCAACCTGCCCCAATGGTGCAACTCCACCAGAAGCAAAACCGTATCACTCCAATCCAGAAACCAAGAGGACTTGACCCAGTTGAAATCCTTCAAGAGAGGGAGTACAGGTAAAAATGTAGCTACTACAAGCTTAACTGTTTCACTGGTGCTTCTGGGCAACAGGTTGACTTTAATGAAGGCTGCATTCAGTGAAGTGACCTTTGGGGGCCTGTTAGCACTATTCTAGTCTTGGTCTTCATTGTGCTCTCATGCTGGAACAGCAGGAGAATGTTATTAGCAAACCTGTGTTTGACCAAAGCCAAGTGTTACAGCTTTGTCCCTTTGCAGAGGGGTGGATTTAGGTTTATCTTGAACCTTTGTTGCCTTTCTCTTAGCTTCCTGACCCCTTGGTGGATAACTGCTGTAGCTGATATCTCTTGTTTAGACATGATAAAAGACCTAAACAGATGCATTGTTTGTCTTAATCTACTGTGTCAGACTGCAGGCTCGCATTGCTCACAGGATACAAGAACTTGAAAACCTTCCTGGGTCACTGGCTGGTGACTTGCGAACCAAAGCTACCATTGAACTTAAAGCACTACGGTTGCTTAACTTCCAGAGACAGGTAGGCTGAGTTCCATAGCTGGAACTCCTGTTGCTCAAGACTATTTTGGAAATCGGAATCACATATTTTACTCCAGGGTTTTGTCACTTAATGAAACGTACAAGAGGCAGCATTTCAGATTGAGTAGTTTCATTTCAATAAAATCAGAAGCTTAAAATGTGACAACCATCTCCTGGTCTTCCAGGGTCAGTTACTTGCTTTTCTGGTAATTTTTTTGTTTAGATATGGGCTTGGTTTCATAATAGAGGACCAAATCAATTGTCAGGTGTGCCAGTGCTGTTTTGTATTCATAGAAACGTATCTTGAAAGCAAGAGGTGCTAACTTGTGCCAATACTATCTTGGTGTAGTCTTTTAACACCTGGCCTACCTGTTTTGCTTGAAGTGCCAGAATTTGTTTGTGCCTTAGGCAAATATGTCTCTGTTTTTATGAACTGGAATAATTTTCTATTTATGTCTGCCTCATATTTATATATCATAAGATAGTTAAAAGAGGTGGCAATTCCGTAGCTTTCCTTTTGAAGAGAAAATGACCAGATAGCCATACCAATGTAGATAAGTCCTTCAAAATGCACTTACTGTTCTTTTCCTCTTATTTTCCTTTGTTCCATTTCTTTGCTGCTTCTTTGTCTCCCATTTTATCCATGCTCCTCTTCTTTCCCTTTCTGTTCTCCTTTCAGCATTTCCTTCTCTTTCTACACAGTTATCCACCTTATTATGTCTTCCTTCTCCACTCTGCTTCCCCCACAAATTATTGTTTGGTCTTCTGCATATCTTTATTGAATCCATGTGCATCTCCCCCATGCCATTCTTCTTTTCTCCAGTGCTCCCACTCAATAATTTTCCGCCCAGCCCACCCATTTTTTAAATTTACCTTTAGCTTTATTATTATTAACCTTTTTTCTCCAAAAGCCTTTCCTAGACTAGGCCTCACTTTGAATCAAGGTGTTTCAGAGACCTTGGATTTTCCTCTTCACCTATCCTTCCTCTGTTGTGTTTGGCAACTCCTCTTCCTGAAGGGCATTTTGGGGGTGGTTGTGCTCATCTAAGTACTGTTAAAAAAAAGAAAGAAGAAGGAGCAGGTGGAGTTACTTGAATAACAAAATAGAAATAATAAGCAATATCATCATCATTTTATTTGTATGCCGCCTTTCCATAGTTGAAACTATGCTCAAGGCGGCTTACAACATGACAAGATTTACATAATTACAAACAGAAGTCGTAAACAATAAATAAAACGCATCAAAAGTACACAACCTAATGGACACAATTTCCACATGAATAATAAGTTCTAAAACTAAAGATACAACTTCCAACTGGAAGATTGTAATTGAAAATGAATAAATTATTTAATAAAACTAAAGATAAAACAATAATATCAGTAACAGTAACAGCTCTCTCAACCCCCCAGAATCAATACTCCAGCCCAAGAATCTGTTCAACAGCCTCAACTTGTGTAGCTGGAGTCAGTCAGCACTCCACTCTCCCAGGCCAGATGGGAAAGGGCCAGTAAGGCAGGGTGCAGGTCTTCTAGGGCTCACAGCCAAGATGGTCTCATTTAAAAGAACACAGATAAAAATTAAAAACAATTTAAAAGAGGAGCCCTTGGTGCTAAGCAGCAACTGCAGTCCTTGTGAAACCTGTCAAGCCCCGCCCCAAGCCAGGTGGAGAGAAGCAAGGGCAGGGCCCTTTAGGCCCTCAGCAGGCAGTCCTATCAATCATTTGAGGTGGCTATCCATGTATATATGCTTTGTTGTCCTGCCTTGCTTGGAATTCTAGTGGTTGGGGCTCTGAGGTTCAAAGGAACCTCAGATGTGGATACGTCTCACGCCTTTCAGCAGGGTCATGTGCGCATCTTCCCTGTTTAAATAGACTGATAAATGAAGGATCCCCTAAAACAGTGATGGCCAAACTTGGAACTACAACTCCCATCATCACTAGCTAACAGGACCAGTGGTCAGGGATGATGGGAATTGTAGTCCCAAAACAGCCGGAGGGCCAAGTTTGGCCGTCGCTGCCCTAAAACATATTGGAGAATAGGCCCCTTCCTATTCATTTTCCTTACCTTGCCCATCCCTTTAAGGTATGTGTACGTATATATGAGATCTAAACCATTCTGGGGCTTTGAGACCATTTCTATAAATACCATGTTGTATAGTTTCTCCTTAAGTTTAGCACTTCCATTCACTCAGTTTAACACTAACACAATTAACGCTTTGCTTTTTCTTTTGAAAAACCACTAAAAAAGACAATTGCAAAAATATCTTCTTGTAATGTGCAGTTTTGGATATGACTTGGCAGGTACATGCCTTCCTTTCTCAACTTTCAGATCGGAATTGACTCTTTCTTTTAAAATTGTTGTTTCAAAGCTGCGTCAAGAAGTTGTGGTATGCATGAGAAGAGATACTGCTCTGGAAACAGCACTGAACGCCAAGGCATACAAACGTAGCAAACGGCAGTCCCTGCGGGAAGCTCGCATCACTGAGAAGCTGGAGAAACAGCAGAAGATCGAACAAGAACGAAAACGCCGGCAAAAACATCAGGCATGCAATTCTTCTGTTTTTACGTGAGATGGTGGTGTGGAGAGGAGGGTGGCAAAAAGAGCAGTGCCGGTGAACATTTATTATACTACTAATGTTTCCATTTTATTTTTCTACATGAAGTTACTGCATTGTTGTAGGTAACTAATATGCAGCAAACAAAGCAACCCCATCAATTTCTTGAATGAGGAGAAGGGAAAATTAGGTGGTGGGGTTGAAATCACTCCTAAATGTTAAGAAGGCTAAAGGGTTAAGAGAAGAGGGTTAAAAGAAGAGATAAAGGGAAGTAAAATGTATGGCAACAATGGAGGTGACGAACTAGGTGCATCAGTGGTCAAAGAGCTATTGAAAATATGGAGTTAACCATCTTTGGTATCCATCGCTGTAGGTCTGATTTCTTTAGCATAAAAAGTTAGCCTATCGCTGGCCTGTTTATCCAGAGAGGGAGGTAGATGAGATTTCTAATGTTCTCTACAATAAACTTCTTAGCTACTAAAACGGTTCCTGTATTTTCAGATTATCATGTATTGGAACTGCCTAAACATAACACTATGATTAAAATCTTAAATAAGAGTACACTGCACTGTTTTGCTTAGGACTGTTGAGTAGCATTCCCACTACAATCCTGTGAGGTAGGTTACAGCAGGCATAGGCAAACTCCAGCCCTCCAGGTGTTTGGGACTACAATTTCCATCATCCCTCGCTAACAGGACCAGTGGTCAGGGATGATGAGAATTGTCATCCCGAAACATCTGGAGGGCCAAGTCAGGGATGATGACAGTGGAGTAGAGATTTGAACCCAGGTCTTCATAGTCCAATCCCAAACCTCTTTCCACTGCATCTCACTAACTATAGGATAGGGTCATGTTCACTCCTTGTTCACCTTTGGCCACTCTCTGTATCTGAGGAGGAGATGTTTTTGATTCACTGAGTATCCTTTGGCTTACCATTCTCACACGACTGAGCCTACCTCACAAACAATTTTGGTGTTCCCATCAGGAGTTTATGGGCAGCTTGGTGTACATTGGGCTTCCCTGGAGGTTGCCTCAACCTGAGCACTCTGTTTGTCTGCTTCTGGCTTTGTGGAGATAAGACTAAAGGAAATTACAAACAGAAATTGAGATTTTGGCTGGAGGAAGGAAACCTAAATTATTGGAAGCAGTAACATCCTGCATAACATTTGCAACAGCTAAGAATGTGACTGGGCTTAATATGCAATTGAATACACTTGTAATGGGCATTTTGTGATTGCTGATATCACAGTTGTAGATTGCCAACAGTCTTAAGAGGCTCTGTCACAGGTGTATAAATTCTTTAATCCCTTTCGTATTACATTTCCTTTTAGGAGTACCTCAATAGCATTCTTCAGCATGCCAAGGATTTTAAAGAATACCACCGATCTGTCACAGGGAAGATTCAAAAACTTACAAAGGCTGTGGCCACTTACCATGCCAATACTGAGCGTGAGCAAAAGAAGGAGAATGAGAGAATTGAGAAGGAGAGAATGCGCAGGTTGATGGTAAGGTTTGTTTCAAGATTGGAAACTAGAAATGTTTCAGGCATAAAATTTGCCCAGCTGAGCTTGCAGTAGATTGCAGTTTGGTACACTTTGTTTTAAATAACGGTTGTTCCTAATTGAAAGCATTTTTTTTTTTAAAGGCTGAAGATGAAGAAGGGTACCGTAAGCTAATTGATCAAAAGAAAGATAAGCGCTTAGCCTACCTGCTTCAGCAAACAGATGAATATGTGGCCAACCTGACAGAGCTGGTGAGACAACACAAGGCTGCCCAAGTTGCAAAGGAGAAAAAGAAGAAGAAGAAAAAGAAGGTAAGCTGGAGTTCATTAACTTGCTGTGATCAATAATGCTGATGAAATGCAAACTTCGTATAAGCATTTGGGTTGGAAGATGCTTTTCATTTCATTTCAGGCCTTTGGTTGTGTGCTTCTGAAAAGGGTCCAATTCTCTAGTTATTTTATTTTTTGGCATAAACAACATAGCATTGCTATCATAGCAAATCAGAATAGATCACACAATATCCATAAATAAAACACACAAAGCAATTGTTGTTAAATAGACTACTATTTCAACATTTTATGTTAAAACCAGTCTTTTTTCATGAGCAAATAATATGACTAAAGGATCTAACTGTTCTGTCATAACCTGTTAGATTTCTCACGGCGTCTTTTGAAGCTGCCGAGAAGGTCCAGAATATGCAAAACATACCAGCTCTTCAACATGTTCCTTACTCATCTATAAATGTGATTAAGCCTTAGATGTCATATACCAACAGAACATATATTTATAGAAACTCTTAAGATTTGTACTTACATTTTGTTGTGGAACATGTTGCCATAGCCAGTTCTGGGCACCTAAGGAAATACCTTGCTCCAAATCCCTTTCCCATAGCAAGCAGCCGGTTTGTGGTCCCTTCTCAAAAACTTCCTGCTTTAAGGAACATAGATGTTTCTGTGTCTGAGTGCAATTAATTAAATCGAATTTATTTCCTTTAAAGCTTCCAATTTTCTATATGTTGCCTTGGAACATGTTTCTGCTCTATTTGTACTAGATCTTTAAAATTTTGTAATGTGGGTCTTGGTAATGCAATAAGCAAGTTATATACCCATTCTCAATTGAGCATGGGAGGTATCCAAGTGGATTACAATCTCCCCTATTGATTGGAAGGCAAGACTCATATGAACAGCTTTTTCCTGGAGACGTCTCCTGGTCCTTCAGTTCATTTTCTGCCTTTGCTTGGAGCAAATCCTACTTGCTACTCCTGTGTGTTATTCCTGAGCCTCAGGCCTGTTGTTTTTCCTCCATTTAGTTAGTCCCTTGTTTGTTTTCTCCTGGTCCCAGTCTCCTTTTCTTCAGCATTCTTTTTTTATTATTATTATTTTTGTCTGAAAGCAAAGGAGGAAGAAACACTTTCTTATCATTCTACATTGGTTTGTTGCCTATATTCTCTTATTACCTGTTTTTACTCCCTCTCCTCCCTTGCTCCTACAGGAAAAAAGGCAATAGTTTCCAAAATTATGCTCAGCATTACATCATGACACATTATGTCAGGGTGGTCAAGCATTCGTGGACTGCCTCAATAATTGTCAGGAGGCAAGTTCTATCCTCTACTGTCAATGTGCATGTTCTCCGGGAGCTGATCGTGTTTCTTGGTTGACCCCAGTTGTTGATGTTGCAGCCACAACCAGGAATGAGATCCTCATAGCACTGTACCTACTTTACAAAGGATCACTGTGGCTCTTGTCTTCAGTACAAAACCATCCAGGATTCTTCCTGTACTCGCTGCAGACACGCTCTCCAGCCAGCACCATTATCACCCACAAATGTTAGCCCTGCAGTGTCAAATGTGGGCCTCCAGAGGGCACATGATGACTTTGATTATACCAGGCATCCCCAAACTCAGCCCTCCAGATGTTTTGGGACTACAACTCCCATCATCCCTAGGTAACAGGACCAGTGGTCAGGGATGATGGGAATTGTCGTCCCAAAACATCTGGAGGGCCGAGTTTGGGGGTGCCTGGATTATACTGAGGAGATTGATTCAGAAGGAGAAGGCATTTTAAATGCACTAGCAGTGATTGAAACTGCAGTTCTCCAGAGGGGATCAAACTGAATGGTTAAGTCAATGTCTGCTGTTAACTTGACAGTTATTAAGCCAGTCCTCTTGTTTTCACCATGACCTACAGATCATTTTGAACCACCTGAAGGATCATGGGTTTCTCATCAGTCAAGACAAAAGCCATCTACATTCCACTTGCAGGATTCAGCATAAGGGAGCAATGATAAATACTGCTCAAGGCACATCCCCACTCTTCCTACTGAGAAGTTCTGCTTCACCATGGCATCTATGGCCTCTAGCAGGACAGCAGAAATAATGGTTCTTGCCCAAGCTTTGGAACACATATTGCCATGGGAAAGTTTCTATTCTAGGCCACATCAGTGGACACTTCTCTCATATCAAGATGCCACTCTGGAAATTTATTTTTTCCCATGTGGCAGTCTCTGTGCTGGTGGACAAGATCTAGCAACTTCTCCAGGGGAGTCCTGATCAAGGACTTGCTGTACATGAATAAATGCCAGTTTCTTAGGATAGGGAACCCACTGCAGGGGCACATGGGATATATCAGAAGCATCCCACAGCTTCAGCTGAAGGACCAGCAACTTCAGTTCCTCCTCTCCTTGTAATCTTTTCATTCTAGCTGGTCACTGCACTCTGTAACTAAGAGAAATGCTGCTTGAGGTTCGTTGCTGTTTTTGCCTCCTTCGTCACGATCTCCTTTCTTTTCGTGTCATGTCTTAGATTGTAAGGCTGAAGGCAAGAAATGTTTTATCCCTGACATCTAGGAGCCTTTTTTTGGCTGAAGAGTGGGATAAAAGTGTCTTAAGTAAATAAAGTGTTTAAAAATGCAATTTCCTATTCTGTTAACAAAGGATTAATGTTCTTCCTTTATTTCCAGAAGGCTGAAACTGCAGAAGGACAGACACCGGCAATTGGACCAGATGGTGAAGTAAGATCCAATAACAACAACAATAATCATAATAATATTCTCCCTATTCATGACTTTTCTAGCCACAGTTTAGTGTGCTGATCTGTAGCCATTAGTCATAACACTATAAAGTGCTATGGAGCAGTCATCAGATACTGTTCCACTTCATTCTTTCCCTATTTCCCAATTCCTTAAAATGGTTAAATGGATATTCCATGTTCAGAGACAGTTACCGAGAAGGACACAGCAGGCTAGGGGCTGAGTGCTTTGGCCTTCATGCCCTGCTTAACATGCTGCTAGAAAAGTCTAGAAAAGTCCAATGGGGTGACCTGACATAGGCAGTCTTTGTGTTGCCAGTGTGCTCTCACTACTTGTGCATCTAGTCTGACCATCAAGAGCAGCACAAATCCTTGAAGAATTTCGGGGAGTTTTGTACTTTATAATCCCAAGCAAATGTTAAGGACGTTCCATTAAAAAGGCATTGTTCCCTTCCACTTAACCCAAGCCAGAGCCACCATGTTCTTAGGCCTAAACAGAAGAATCGTATAGAATACTTTACCAGAGCCCTGTCTAGCCATCAAGGCATGAAAATGACAGTTTCAAAAATGGAGAGCAACTGCCTATGTTGCTTTTGTGCTGGCAATAACCTCTTCTCATCCTGTAAGTTCTGTTGCATGCCTTTTCAATGTTTGGTCCTTTCTTTATGTTCTTTTATATGTTTTGATTACTTCCCACTGAAAAGCTCACCTGATTTTGTGGAGCAGATTCCTTGGTGGTAGTAGCAGGTTCCACCTGAGGCTCAGGATCCGTGTCCTGAACCTTGGTCTGTTTTGGATTGTCTGGACAAAGCGGAAGGCATGGAAACCCAGCACTTGAGCCACAGGCTTAGATTAAGGTTTTTGACTATGTGGAAATGAATTTTGGAGGATAGCCAGCATCAACATTCACAGGAGAAAATTGAAAGAAATGTTAAAAACAAGTTTCTGATTGCTTCTTGAAAATCAAAGCTTACCTGGTAGGCTAGAGGCTGTACTAACTTGCCACAGTCAACCCAGCTGATGGTTCTTTACAAACTTGTCAAACTGCCCAACATTTTTGGTAGTTTTCCCTCAGACTAGCATTTACATACCATTAATACAAAGAAAATACAGTAGCGATATCTTTAGAGCATCAGGTCTTTTACGTGATAAAGGACTTTGCCTGTATAGTAAAGGAATAACCCTTCATGTAACATCCTATCTAAATTAAACTGATAAGCCATTTAATTTATATCCACGCAAGTAACAAAAGGCAACTAGTTCTAATTCTAAAAACAACTAAATCTAAATATATATATTTTAAATATTTAGGAACAAGAAAATTTAAAACTCAAGGAAACCATGTAATAACTTCTTCCACCTTCAACAGTCAGTTAGAAATGAGTATATTCAAACAGCTGTTGTGATGACCTCATTTACCAACCAGCATTGTTGTCTAAGCATGACTTCATAGAGGAAAGAGAGAAGAATGGTGATTGGCTGACTAGATGTTCCTGCTTATAGGGCTTTCCACAAGCTTTATATGATCATATTTCAATATCTGCTTCTTAGGAGGGTCAGCAGAATCATTAGCCTGAAGAAGTTAGGGCCTGCTGCCCAGTTAAAAAAGCCCTCAACTAGCATGTTTTTGTGCCTTTCAACAAAGATTGTTCTTCAGAAATCTGCCAGTGAAGCTTAATATGAACATTGCTGTTTCACTGCAGTTAAAGGCAATTTGAGCACCAGCTCTCTGAGAGGTTCAAAGAAGAAACTACAGAACTGCTTTTGAACAATTGAGCAGAAAATAAATGAGCTGTTTAAGCAGAAGGATGAACTAATGAAGAAGCTTGAAAACTTGTTGTTGAAAATTAAACAGGAAACACAAAGTGCTGCCTCACGCAAAATGACCTCAAGAGTATTGTCAATGTGTTGAAAGTGATGGAGAAACAGTTAAAACAGGAGACTCACCACCATATTGAAATAAAGCTAAGTTTGAAAAATGAGCTCTGCAAGGAACATGAAGGTTTTGGAAAAGATCATGAAAGGGCTGCAGATGAAAGAAATGGTACCTAGGCTTCAACGAGAAACTGTGGAAAATGAAGAGCTGAAGAATCAACTTAAAAGAAGCCAAAGAATAAATTGCATGTATAAATAAGTAACAATGATATAAAACTGCTTAAGGCTCAGTCTGAGAAACATCCAGCTGATGAGAGGACCATCAAAGCCCAGGCTGTAAATAAGCTGGCTGTAGTCATTTCAGTCCAAGTCTCCTGGTCCTTATTTGCCAGCTGCTTCCCTATCGCAGCTTCACTGCAAACAGACCATAGATTTTCAGCCATTTAGATGGTATCATAATCATCATAATTTTATTTGTGTGCCAACGTGAGGAGATTTACATAATTACACACATAACAAAAGTAGTCATAAACAATCAATAAAACACATTAAAACATACACAACCAAATTTATTTTAAATAAAATTTATTATAAAAGCAAACATACACAACCAAATGGAGCAATTTCCACATAAATCATAATGCAATCTAAAAATAGAGATACAAAAAATTAATATCTATAACAGCAAAACAGCCCCTAAACAGTACCCCAACCCAAGAGTTTGTTCAGCAGCCTCAGCTTTTGTAGCTGGAGTTGGTCAGTGCCCTGCTCTCCCAGGCCAAGTGGGAAAAGCTAGCAGGGCAAAGAGACAGCATTGCATGTACTCACTAATTTCTTCTGACCCTTTGTCTATTCTAATCAAACATATGTGAAGCACTCCAATAGCTGCAGGAATGTGCAAGTTTCCCTGTCCTTGTCCAACAAAGTGTCCACCATGTCACAAAAGCTCTCAGTAAGCCATTTTTCCCCATAGAATTATAGTGTTGGAAGGTACCTTGAGGGTCCACCCCCTGCAATGCAGGAATCTTAACCAGATCCTACATGACAGGTGACCAACCAACTTTTCTTAAAAAGGATGCATAAACAGTACCATCATTGGGGACCCTCGTTTTTTGTACTGTGGGAATATAAAACAATAAGTTTAACACACATTTGTGTTTTTTCAGCCTTTGGATGAAACCAGCCAAATGAGTGACCTACCTGTGAAAGTGATCCATGTAGAAAGTGGGAAAATTCTTACTGGCACGGATGCACCGAAAGCAGGACAACTGGATACTTGGTTAGAAATGAATCCTGGGTAAGTTGCCAACAGATTTAATCCTTTGTATATTGCCATGAAATTAGCACCTTGTAACTGCATCCTGTTTGTTTGTTTGTTTGTTTGTTTGTTGGTTGGTTCAAAAGTCATTTTCATGGGGTCGTCCACTACTTCTGAACTTTGATTGTTAAGAAAAGCTAGTTTGTAATATGCCTCTAAGTTTTGTCTTCAAAAGGGGAGTATTGGTATGGCAACAGCTATTAGCCTCAGTTGCTTAAATCAGAGGTTTTCAACTTGTGTGCCTCAGCACCCTTGGCTGACAGCGATTGGTCAGGGATGCCGTGGGAGGGCCCTCCTTCTCCCTCCCTCCCTCTTGACATCATTCTTGCATATCTGCAAATCAATCAATCTTTGTCTCTTTCCCCACCCCAGTCCAGCCTGAATCATGCTGCTCCTCCTGCTGTTCCCACTTACATGCACACCAAAAACCGCACCCGAAAAGGGTGGGGTGGGGCAGGGCGGAATGTGGGTGGTGGGTGGGGGGCGGAACAGGGAAATCCCTACATAAACACGTCCTGTAATGGAACCCCAGTGTACATGGCTACCACGGGGGAGCTGCAGAAAGAATGTGGTTGGTCAAGGGCACTGTGGACTCAAAAAGGTTCCCTAGATAAATCAAGCTTCCCTATAAAGAGACAGTAAATCTGGCTACCAGTTTCTAACAAGGCATCTCAGATGCCTCCAGCTGTTCACAGTTGGGGGGGAAGGATGCTGGCCTTAGGTAGCTCCTTGATCTGATCCCACAGGGCTCTTCGTATGTACTTGGGGCTCACATTCATGAAACCTTCCTTTGGTTGGATGGCATGTTACAGAGCAAGTGTTCTCTTTGTTTGATTTTCCCACTCAGCAATATTGCCCTACTTTGGAAATCCCAAGTCATAGCTTCCCTCACTGTGTGGGAAAACAGAAAATTTGATTTGTGGTGAACTTAGATTTTGCTTGTTTACCAGAGAAACATTTTTCCCTTCCAGCCTTGGGCATATTAGGGATTACTTTTTGCTGTGTGTACAAGGGACTGGAGTGGGGATAACTTTTTAGAAATGTCTCATTTTCTCTGTTCAAGATTCCCCCACCCCTAGTGCTACTGACAGAATACAGACCCCTATTTTCTAGACTTGAGATTCTTTCTTCCTGCAAACTCCCCCAGTGACTTCAGAAAAGAGGAGCAACCCTAGCCAGATTGCTCTCCATGACTGATTAAGTAGAAAATTAAGAGTATCACATTTTCCTATCTAATTTTTTCCCCGTGTTATCCATATTAGCCATTTTAATATCTGTTTAAATAGATATGAAGTAGCACCAAGATCTGACAGTGAAGAAAGCGGATCAGAAGAGGAAGAAGAGGTATGAAGGAATGGCTCAGCTTTCACATAATTTTCTTGATCGTGTTCTGTGCAGATGTAGCAGATAAGCCAGAAGACTGCTGTGGAGGCATGGTCAATGCCCACAAATTTTATCTACATAAATTCCATGTTAAATATTATGATATACACAGGCTGTGGTTCTTGAGATTTTGCCTGTGGTTGGTCAGTGTGTACAAGTATTTCAGCAGACTGTCCTAATTAAGACAGCATTGAAAGCATTTTGATTTTACTTCGGTATACATATCAAAACTGATGCAGTTTCTGTTTCTGACAGGAGGAGGAAGAGGAACAACCACAACCTTCTCAGTCTGCTTTACCTGTGGAAGAGAAGAAGAAAATTCCAGATCCAGATAGCGATGATGTATCTGAAGTGGATGCAAGGCACATTATTGAGTAAGGCTCACATCATCCCTCCGTGTTTATGTTACCAACTATCTTTCAGGTTTACCTCTAAATATAAGTGAAAGTGTCAGATGAAGGTGTTGGTCTCTTCCTTCACTGGAGGTTTTTAAACAGAGGTAGGGATGTTATCTTGTCAGGGATGATTGAGCCAGATAACCGTTGGGGTCCCTTCCAACTCTGCAATTCTGTGATTCTAATGTATAAGTTCACCCCACAAGGAGAAGAGGGCAGAGTCTGTGCTTGTAAGTCTACCAAAGTGTCTGAAATCAACACACACAAAGACTTTAACACCAGGAGCAGAAAGATACAAGGCTGTAGTTAAACAGGCTTGAGCAGAGGTTGCTCTTCTGATATCTCTTGTTCTTGCCCGACCTTTCCTACAGCCCACTTTCAAAGGGGCAAGAGGAAGAGTTCTCCTTCTACAGTCAAGGAGTAGAAGAGACTCTCTCGCTCCCTATCTCTCTCTCTCTCTCCCCTACCCAAGAGGATAGGAGTTGGGGAAAGGACCTATTACTCTCCACCCCCATATACACGTAGGTATCAGGGACACCATAGATCCAGGGTTAGTAGCTGGGTCTGGTTGTGTAAATTATTTTCAGCCTGCCTTTCTGGCTGACAGGAGGCCTCCAAGGTAACCAACAGAAAATGAAAATTAGTGCACAGTAACATATAATACAATTATTTTTAAATAGAGTCATGACTTGTGAAAAATTAAGGGATTAATTAATTAAATTTAATTTATTCGCCATACATTTTTCATCTCAAGCTGATTTACAGTAAAAGCAGGCAATACATTTCAGTAACAATAAACTATGGATAAAAATAACTTATATAACTAATTGGCTAAAAAATATAGCACAGCAGCAGCATCATATCCCCCAGTCATTCACCTAAGAGAGAAGCAGGTTATAGATCACTTGAATGATCCTAGAAGAGGGGATCCACGGTGCTGTGTAGAGTTAGATCTGCCCCTCACTGTTCCTTGTATAGTGGAACATTGACATTCGAATGTAATCTGTTCTGGAAATCAGTTAGACTTCTGAAACATTTGAAAACCGAGGATCAAAGGGCTGTGAGTAAGTTCAGTGGGGAAAATTGAGAAATGCGCCTCAGATGCTGTTCGACTTCCAAGGCATGTTTGAAAATGGAAGCATTCACTTCCTGGTTTTTGGCGTTCGGCAGCTGAAATGTTCAGCAGCCGAGACGTCCAAAAACCGAGGTTTGTCATGCCAGTTTCCAGCCTGAAACACTTATCTCCCACATTTAGGTTGATCCTATACAAAAAAATACACAGCAAACCAACCAACCAATAACCCTGCTCAAACAAACAATTGTCTTTGTCACCCTGCACTATAAAAGGTTAAGTTTTCTTTTAAATGTTCTAAGTTAGTAAGAACAGAAAAGACCCTGATGTTGGGAAAGATTGAGGGCACAAGGAGAAGGGGACAACAGAGGACGAGATGGTTAGACAGTATTCTCGAAGCTACCAGCATGAGTTTGACCAAACTGCGGGAGGCAGTGGAAGACAGGAGTGCCTGGCGTGCTCTGGTCCATGGGGTCACGAAGAGTCAGACACGACTAAACGACTAAACAACAACAAGTTAGTAAGGGTTTTGCCAGTTAGGTATATGATCCACGTTTACACACACCCCCCTCTCATTTTTTCTCTCACTCTTAACCCATTTCCCCAACCTCTTTAATTTTTTCCCTTAGGAATGCAAAGCAAGATGTTGATGACGAGTATGGAGTGTCTCAAGCCCTGGCAAGGGGGTTACAGTCTTACTACGCTGTGGCTCATGCAGTCACTGAAAGGGTGGACAAACAGTCCACTCTCATGGTGAATGGTGTCCTCAAGCAGTATCAGGTGAGAAACTGAAAGCAAGGCCCTTTTCTTCAGAGCGGTGTTAGCTTAGGCACTTGTGCTGCGTGTAGATGTGCTTAAAATTGCAAAAGAGGAAGCAAGTATTGACAGTATTTTCTCTCCATTTGTCCAGAAACGTGTGAGCATTTCTTTTTCTTTTCCCATAGATTAAAGGTTTAGAGTGGCTAGTATCCTTGTACAATAATAATCTAAATGGAATCCTGGCAGATGAAATGGGTCTGGGTAAGACAATCCAGACCATTGCTTTAATTACATACCTCATGGAGCACAAACGTATCAATGGACCGTTCCTCATTATAGTACCTCTGTCGTAAGTATTCCTATTGGATCCATCTGCCACTTAAGGATTGTCACATTCAAACGCCTCTGTGTTCATGCAAAATATCTTATTGTAGTATATCACCATTATAGTTCTGATGCAGCCATCTGGGCTGGTCTGCTTCGTGCAGAAATAGGAACAAAATATGGTCACCAAATTCAGGAAACATGATAGAAACAGGGTGAGACTAGCAGTGTATGTGTGGCGATAGTATAAATAACTTTCTGAATTGGGAGCGTTAAAGATTAGACCTATTAAGCATAGCAAGAAATCGCTGAGGGAGTGTGGCTGGTGTAATGCTGGAAGTATTATTTAACTCAGACTTAGCAAAAAGCTGGTTTGCATTAACCACTGCATGGCCACTTTTTGAGGCATGTTACTAGGCCAGATTAATCCCATTCAGTTCTTTGATTCCATGTAACTGTATAGTTGGTTGATTTGAATCAGGTGGTCATAAGTCAAAAAGTGCTATGAAATGTGTAAATACTGTATTTGAAGTGCCACGGGGAACTAGTCTGCTTTGTATTATTCCTCCAAAGCTTTTAGTGTTCTATTCTTAAGAGGAACTAGGTCCATAATTCATATCGTTATTTGATGCACTATTTGCAAGAGAGACGGCAAAAGCATTACATGAGCTTTGCTAATAAAACAAATGGCTGCTTGAAAAACAAGTTTGCATGTCAAACTCTGTTTCAGGATCGGTGAAACTGACTCTTATCTCCAGCTAACCAAATCACCTGATAAACTGGCAGTTGTGAATGCACATTTGTAATTCACTTTTTTGATGTGCTATTTTGAAGGGGTTGTACGCAGTTCTTGTTTTTTAAACTGCCAATCTTCGTATTATGTGTGGTTCGTGACTATATAAAATGAAGTCTTTGCTGTTTTTCTGTTCTAGAACTCTCTCAAACTGGGCATATGAATTTGATAAGTGGGCTCCTTCTGTGGTTAAAGTCTCATACAAGGCAAGTATTGTGGTTCAGATTTTCATTTCAAATTTGTCAAGATGGAATGATGAGTCAGTTATGATTCCCCAGCATCCTCTGACTGAAAGCAAATTGTTGCATTTCCCTGTACATTCAGAAACAACTGTGGCATAATATTGGGGGCGGGGTCACCTTCCTGTTTCTTAAACTACTCTTGCCCATCAGTGTAACAGGACTGCTACAGAAAAGCTTCTTCTAAAGTTAAAGAGAGAAAATGCTTATTTTTTTCTTCTTATTTTCCAACGTCCAGCATATTTGTTTGTGACCCAAAGTTGTCAGCCCTCCCCCCAAGCCTCTTGCTTTTCAACTTCTTTCCTGCAAATAACACACAGCTTCCCCCCATAATCCCTCAGACCTGTGTGTGAAAAGGAAATTTCTGTTTCCTTAAGTGGTATGCATCTTCATCAGCCTTTCTCCATTAACCCTTCTTTCTCAGACATCTCCCTGTACCTTCTGCCTTTTTCTTCAGTGCTCCTTTTTAATTTACCTTTCCTGTTTCTGCTTATTTGTGCATTGTCTGCTTTTCTTGTAATTCCTTCCAGCCTATAAGCTCTACATTCCTTGTATCTAAGCTTCCCTCAGCCAGCCCCACAAAACCCCTGTCTTTTGTTTGCCTTCCTTTGCTAAATCTTGACTGCAGACAACTTTGTTAGAAAGTTCATGTTCTAGCTCAGCCAGACAGAGTCAGGGGTTTCGCAGCCGCAAGTGCAACACAAATGTCAATTATTTCTCTGAATTCTGTGCTTAGTTTTTCTTAATTCTTTTTGTTAGGGCTCTCCGGCTGCAAGACGGGCATTTGTACCTCAGCTTCGAAGTGGGAAGTTTAATGTTTTGCTCACTACATATGAATATATCATCAAAGATAAGCACATTCTTGCAAAGGTGAGGCTTTCCTGTTTGAAAGCAGGATTTGCTGGTGTGTTGATTTTCCATTAGTTCTAGAAATGAATCATTGTGGTATCCTAAAGGTATAGACAATATTAAACAGCTTTTCTTGCAAAACCAACGTTAAGTAAAATACATTATTGGTATTAGAATAACAGATAAATGAAGCATTTACAACATCCCCCCACCATGCATAACATTTTCCTGATTACTGAAAAATGGAGGACCCTTGCTTATTTTGTCCTTTTAAACCAGGGACAGGGAACCTATGGCTCTCCAGATGTTCCTTCCTTGACCACCATCAATGCTGGCTTGGGCTTATGGGAACATCTGGCAAGCCACAGGTTTCCCCACCCCTGAATTAAACTGTGGTGTCTTCTCTCCCAGTCACTTGATCTTCAAGATGGATCATGTCAGTTATGTCTTCTGAAGCAATTCAAAGTGGCAGGCCCCTTTCCTCTCTGATTAAGAGCAGATACCCATCTCACCCATAATGAAAGGGAGAAAGAAAGAGTGTAGTGTACGTGTGAATATGTTGGTTTTTTTAAAAAGAAGAGTAATTCAGCTAATGCAAATGGCACTTGTTGCATATGGTACTGTGGTTGAATATGATATGCAATCTCTTGCTTCTCAGTTCTCATTTGGGTGAGATACTTTTGCTGCAGTAACACCTGTACAATATTATTTGCTCATTGGTTGCGGTTTGTCTTGGTTGCATGAATAACACTGCATGTGCTCTGTTGTGTTATGTCCTTATTAAATTTTCAATAAAAAGCAATATTGAAAGAACAAAAATAAATAACGGCTTATGTCAGCCCACATGTCAGCTGCCTCGTATGGCTCATTAACTTCAACTGCAATCATCGAACCCTTTGCCATAGAGCAACAGCAGTGTCCTGGGAGATGTTGCCAAGATGGGGTATTAATAAGTGCCAATTCACAACTTTCTCATCATGATTACATTTGAGTAATTGCTCACAAGAGCCATAGCACTAGTTTAGCCTATGTGGGATGCTTCAGAAGTCCCATTTCTCTGGAGCATTTGAGGATGGTGAGAATTTCCCCGTCTTCAATATTTCCATTATATTGATTCTACCTGTTATATTGCTTCTACAAATTAGTGGCATAGTGAATATTCCCCTGCATTTTTCTTAGGTGCAAATTAAAACTGAACTAGTTTAACAGATACCTAGCTACATCCAAACTATCACCTTGCTGTGGGGTGAGCTGTACTGTATTGAAAGCCTAACAATCATACCTGAGAAGTAAACTCTTAAGTAAAGTAGATTTGGTTACTGTCCTGCACCATCAGATTCGTTGGAAGTACATGATTGTTGACGAAGGTCACCGAATGAAGAACCACCATTGCAAGCTCACCCAAGTCCTGAATACACACTATGTAGCTCCACGTCGTCTGCTTCTCACAGGGACTCCACTACAAAATAAGCTGCCTGAACTATGGGCTCTGCTTAACTTTCTCCTTCCAACTATCTTCAAGAGCTGCAGCACGTTTGAACAGTGGTTTAATGCTCCTTTTGCCATGACTGGAGAAAAGGTAAGTGCAGGAAGAAGTGTCTACCAGTGTTTTTCACCCAGGGTTTTTCACTCCAGGCTCTGGAGTCATTTCCTGTCAGTCCCATGAAATTTTGCAATCTTCCACCTTCACTTTCCCCTCCTTGCACTCTCCAGTCACCCATAAATATTACCAGTTTTTATTTAATTGTTCTTAGGGAGAGGGGTTTGGATTTTTTTAGGGTGTCACAATGTGATACAGATGTCTTACAAAAAAAATAAATACTGTTTTTAACCAATTTGATTTATTAGAGTCTTGTGATTCTGTGTGACTCCAAATAGTTTTATTGCAATGATTAGGTCCATTGGCACAACATTTCTAACATTTTGTACATTCTTTTAGTGAGCTCAAGTGTTAGGCCATATTTACTTTCAGAATTGACTTCGCTGTTGACTGTCTTAGTATACATGCATGCAGCATGCTGTTCTGATCAGATGCAATGGTGAATTTCCTTTCAAGGCCTCTCTTCCACTGTGTATTGTTCAATATAGTAAGTACCGATGGGACTGCAATTAACCCATAGTAGAAGGCACTGCTAAAGAAAAACACCTTTCTGGTGTTTGCTTTTAATATTTTGCATTTCAAAAGACAGTGCTCACTCTGAGGTAGAGCTTTAATACTACGCCAATTTTGTGTATGTGTGCATTTGGCAAATAGTTTGGGGCAGAAGATGAATAGGGATAGAAGATCCACATTTTCCCTGTGATTACATTTGGTTTGACTTCTGGGTGGACATTTTCCTCATTCCAAGCCCTTTAAGAGAACTGTAGCATTTCTCCCTCGCTCCTGCCCTCCTCCTCCTGTGGCAGCATGGAAGTGGAGGAGGGAGAGGGGGGAAATGCGAAAGTTTATTTTGGGGGGAAGTGGATGGGAAATACACACACACACACACACACACACTCTCACACTCTTATAGTCCTGTTACAGTCTGTTACTTTGTTTTTCAGTCTATGCAAGATGTTTCCTCTAATTTGCCATGTTGTAATCTTGATGCTCACAGCATTTTAAGTCAGGGTTACAGATTGGTAAATTAGAGCATCCGTAACCAATGGTGACTTGGGGCCAAATTAAGTAGACTTGCCTCTCGGAAGCCAGGTTGCTGTCAATCAGCAAAGGGGCTGTAGGATTTGAAACAGAGAAATGGATGGCAGGAGGAATGTACTAAAGCTTCACCCTTCCGTTCCCTGCTGCTTTTCCCTTAAGAGACAGCACTCATATCCGTTGCAGCAAAAAGGCTGTCTGGAACCCCCGCTGGGAAAGGGGGCTGTAGGGGAAGCATCAGGTGCAGGAGGGGTTAAGCACTGTGCCCTCTTTGACCATTTTACACCTCTTTGGTAGTCTGGCTTTGCTTTCAAAGATCTTCTTCAACCCTGCTGCATTTATCTATCTATTGATATGTGAGATTGCGTAATTGTTACGGCAATTGTGATCATTTTAGGGGATTAGAGATGAATCAGTGAAATGAAATTTTTTTGGTTCATGGTTTTATTGTTTATTGTTAACATTATACTTAATAATGATAGTATGGGCTTTTTGTCTGAAAGTGATCATACTTTTTTTCTAGTGATGTTGGGAAAATATATTTAAATAACGCTTGTTTCCTTGAATCTGCGTGCAACTAAAAACAGGTGGATTTAAATGAAGAAGAAACTATTCTGATTATCCGTCGTTTGCACAAAGTGTTGCGTCCCTTCCTGCTAAGAAGGTTAAAGAAGGAGGTAGAAGCACAGCTGCCTGAAAAGGTAACACTTAAAAAGCAGGCAATAGTCCAGCTCTTAGTAGAATCTTTCATGTCATGTTGTCCATATGCAAGTTCTTCTGGGTGGCATCATTCCTAGTTCACTTGTTTTGAAGGGGCTGCTGGAGATTCTGTTTTATCAAGGGAAGTCTGTAGAGAGGCTTGGGACATGGGAGGCGTGATGGTTCAGTTGTAGAGTGGCAGTTCAGCACCAAACTAAAATGGTTCTTTGGTACCTGAGATGGGAAAGACCTAGAGCTGGAAACTTGGAGAGCCACTAGCAGAATGTACAGTACAAGACTAGACAAACAAATGGCTTGTCTCAGAATAAAGCTTGGTATGTATCAATGGACCATTCACATAATTTCAAAGAAGGCTGGGGTACTGCTACTAAAGACATCTTTCATTACGTCAGGCTTAAGATGCTCCTCTGTGTGCTTTTAACTTGTTGCGGCTTTTTTGCTGACTATTGTCTAGAATTTAGGATTGTGATGCTCCATCCCCAACACAGAGCCTGGAATCTGTTGTAATATTTAACTTTGAGAGAATATTTCTGACTTGCATTCCGTTTCTAGCTCTTGTGGTTGCAGAGAAAAATCTGAGCACTGCAGTTTGTGGGAGGAAAGGTGCTTTTGGTGCAGCTGTCTTAATTCTGTAGGGCTTGAAAATAAAGATGGTAAAAAATAAGTGTGGAACTAACAGTTCTGGCAGTATTTTGTCCTTCACTCTCAGTGCACACACCGATCCCAGTTCATTATTATTCCTATTTATTACCGGTAAATTTGTATACCACCATCCAAATATCACAGGGCAGTTCACAACATAAAAATACAAAATGAAAACAAACTGCATAATAAATCAAAACCAATAACCCCCTTCCCACAAACACATATTAAAAGCTATAGAATTTACTTGGTTGGTGTATTCTGTGATCTGCATCCTAGACATGGGGTGTAGAACTCAGAGGTTGATAGAATAAGAGCTTTCTGATTCAATTAATGGTATTTGATCTCTCCCAGGGCATGGTTGGATCCTACTCCAGTGAGCTGCACTGACTACTACCTCTTCCCTTTCAGAATGAGATCACAAACGGGGCATGTCCTGAGTCTTTTTGATTCAATCTTTCCTTATACCTTTGCTAACAGCTGCTTCCTGGGCATCTGACCCAGGAGAGATCCCATGAGGTCCAGTTGACTATTAGATATCAGAAAGATCTGCTGTAATGAGTTTTACAAACAACAACCACCACCATCCTAAAGTTAATGACTTAAGGCAAATTTATCCATAGAGGAATCCCAAACAAATGTTGTTTGGCAGAAGTTGACCTAACTGCCTTCATCTCAGCATCACTGTAACTTATCACCATTGTCAGTGTCATCACAGATCCCTATACTGTGTGTAGGGTAGATGAGATCCTTTCATGCAGATGAGATCCTCACATCTGCATGCAATGCCAAATTTTGCCCTCCAGGAGAGCTCTCTTCTGACAGATCTGCTTTCTACATCAATATCAGCTTCCAGTGCAGTCGGAGGAGTCATCAGTCAGGAAGTTTGGGGCCCTTTCATAACTTCTGTAATTCTTGCTAAACAACTAAGAGATTCACCACCACCAATGGTGTTTCCAGCTCAAAGGTCTTCATATTTCCATGTTGGGATTGTATAGGGCTTGGCTCTTTCTCACCTTTCTGCAACACAAGCCCTCCTTATAAAACAGACATGGCCATGGAGAACTTATATTTTGTTTATTTGGTCTCATAGAATCTTTGGACATACTTGGTGGGTTATGACCACAGAGATTACAAAACCCAACTGTTCAGCCACCACAATTGCACTACCTGAAAACTGAGTCTCCAATGCAAACAGATGCATGCCTTAACACAACCTGTTAAGAAATCAATCTGACTATAAACACTATTCTGAAGGGGAAATGGTGGTACTCAAATCTGCCCCAGCTCTGTTTGGTTGTCTGCTATGTCCTAGGATTTGCCCATCAGCTCTCTTACTAGCTCTTTTCTGTGAAAGGGTGCTCCAGAAATACATTAATATTAATATATTTTAAAAAATCTTTTTTTATATACTAGGGGTTGTACCCCTACTTACATTGCTCGCCAACTCCCTCCCGTTGCACCCAGGCAAACCCCACCCTCCCTTTATGCCTGTTCAACCTCCCTTTATACCTCACTCCCCTAAATCCTTCCTTTACTCTTTAACCCCTCAAAAATCCCCCTCCTCCCTTTATACCCCCAAACTCTCCTGCTTCATGAAGCCCCACTTCGCTGTACAACGTGCCTCCCAAAATCCTTCCTCCTGCAGCTCATCCCAAAAAACAACTTCCCCTCACAGCTTGCCAGAACCACCACTCCCTTTACATGTCGCCAAACCCCCATCCCTTTTGTCCCTGTCCCTCACTGCTGCTGCTGTGTGAAGCTGTGGGGGGAAGGAGAGAGAGAAAAAATGCATTTTGAAATTCAAGCTTCCTTCTCTCTTTTTACAGGAGAGAAGAAAGCTTCTTATTTCCCTTTGTTTCCCAGTCTAATGCTGCAGACCAATTAGAGAGAAGAATGTGCATTTTAAAATGGGGCAGGAATGAAGGGAAAAACCTTTCTCTGCTTTGTTCCCCTCCCACCCCCACCAGTAGCAATGAGGAGCTCAAGAAACAAGCTGGGCCTGCTCCAAACCTTTCCACCCCACCCCCTGCCTCAAGTGTCCCCCATCCTAAATTTGTGCACCTGGTTATTCCTGTCTAAGTGCAGAACCTTTCATTTGTCCCTGTTAAAAAGCATTTTGTTGGGTTGGGCCCAGTTTTTCCATCTGTGAAGGCCATCTTGCATCCTGATTCTGTTTTCTGAAATATGAGATACCCCTCCCAGTTTGTTATCGTCTGCAGATTTGATTAGCATCCCCTCTATTCCTCATCCAAGGACAGAACCCTGTGGCACCCCTCCTGTTACTTTTTTCCAGGATGACGAGGAACCATTTGTGGGGACTCTTTGAAAAGCCTTATACCAAGTCAGAGACCATTGGTCCATCTATCTCAGTACTGTATACACTGACTAGCACAGGCTCTCCAAGGTTTCAGACAGAGCGACTTTTCCAGCCCTACCTAAAGGTACCAGGGATTGATTGAACTTAGAACCTTCTCCCCAACTGCCCCCCAAATACTGCTACTCAAAGATTTCTACAAGTCTGAAGACTATGAAAGCAGTGAAATCTCCCAAACTCAGGAAGTGCCAGGTTATTTGGATCCATGCTTTGTGAACGCAGTTTCATGAATTAATATCTCTTCTCTCTGTTCACAACAGGTAGAATATGTGATTAAGTGTGATATGTCTGCATTACAAAGGGTACTTTATAGACACATGCAAGCCAAGGGAGTGCTGCTTACGGATGGATCAGAGAAGGACAAAAAGGTTTGGACTTTTTCTCTCTTTTCTCAACCTTTTTCTCTAATGTGCAGTAAGGACGGGCATCTTATTGCCAGGTCTAGTCAATTAGTGTTTTTATTCTTTTCATGCAAGGATTGTTGTGATGATAGACAATGTTTTTTCAGAGGGGAAGGCAGCCATTTTACTAAAGAATTTGGGTTTGGGCTCTTGAGGGCCTTCAGATTAATGAAGAAACATCAGGTCTCTTTACACAAGCCACTGAATGAACAATAAATGGTATCTGACCATAACACTGTTTTGAAACGTAATTTTAAAAGTTCTTATTAGTTCCAAAATTTGTAGCAATATCAGGGTGAGAAGCTAACCTGCAGTGGTGCTCATTTTTTAAAACGTGATGTTGCAACATGGTTGCTTGAATAATTTTTGTGAAGAGGTGCACCTTCATGAAATTATGTACTTAGCTTATCTGGTTGCACTTCTCAAGCAAAAAAGCCAAAACAAAGCACATAATTCATGAAATAAGGCAAAAGAAGGTCTCTGCCATGGTTTATGTACTGTCCAACATTTGTTCTATTGTTTAATCCCTAGATAGAAAATGATAGATTTATTAGGAATCACAGTGATGAAATATGCCATAAATAGTTTAACACCCCCCCCCAAAAAAATAGGTTTTGCACACATTGGTATCAATAATTGTAGTTCACTTAGGGAGAAATGTTTGAGTAGTGCTGTCTTATTTTTCCAGGGCAAAGGTGGTACAAAAACGCTCATGAACACTATTATGCAGCTGAGGAAGATTTGCAACCATCCCTACATGTTTCAGCATATAGAGGTAAAGAAGTGTTTTTGGTGTTGACATTTTCAGCCTGCTCAATGAGGGCAACTAGCAATGAAGGGCCAAAAGTATTGCTGGAATACTTGTTCTTTAGCAGAAATGAGGAACTGCAGCCCCCCCCATGGTGTTGAACTACAACTCCCATCAGCCCCACCCAAAATGGCCAATGGTTTGGGATGTTGGCTGTAGTCAAACATCATCTAGAAGACCACAGGTTCTCCTTCCTGTCCTACAAAGTAGTTTGGGCATGGGAAGTCTCGTAAACGTTAGATTGACCCACCATTTCTATTCAGTTCTGTCCCGCTCCCCCAACTTCTTCTACCTTCTGGAACCTCCTCAATGCTGGGTCTTTGCTGTGCAGCTACATGGAGAATCTGACATGCAGTTGCATGTTTCTTGCTGCTGTGACTTCCTGTGAGAATATTAAATATAGTTTCGGTAAGAATGCAGCTCCTTCTCCTTCTTCACACTAATGTACCCACTACCCTGGTTTACCCCACAATTTGAAGATCCAAAAGTTAACTGTTTAGGCTCTTTTTAAGTTCTTATTCATGGAGGGAGAGGGTTATCAAAAGCTGGCCATGATGGCTACACTGCCTCCACAGTTGGTGGCAATAATGCTTCTGATTACCAGCTGCTGGAAACCACAGGGGGGACAGAGTGTTTTTGTGCTTGGATCCTGCTTGCGGGTTTCCCACAGGCATCTGGTTGGCCACTGTGAGAACAGGATGCTGGAATGGATGGACCATTGGCCTGGTCCAGTAGGCTCTTAATGTGGTTGTATATATGCAATACTTTGACAACATCAGCCTTTACCAACCTGGTGCCTTTCATGTGTTTAGGACTGTTAACTCCCATTGACTGCAGTCAGCAAAGCCATCGTAGTTCTAGTTCAAAGGATATGGAGGGCACCCGATTGGCAAAGCCTGGACTTAATGTTGGAATCTATATGGAAAGCTTACAAATGTGGAATCCAGTGATGTTTGTCTCTTGTTCTTCTGTAGATATTTATGCCTCGTTGAAAAAGATTTCAAACCCAACTGAAGCATCAATTTATTTGTAGGGTGCTTAGATTTTAAAATTGTCATAATAATGATTATGATAGCTGAAAAGTTAATTATTGTTTACCATTATCTCTTTGCACGTTACTAAAGCATGTGGACCATTATCTCTTAGAGGAAACCGTCTCTGGAATATCGTTCGGCCTGTTCTGTTCATGATTAGACTGGCTTTCTTATGTTTTGTTGTAGGAATCCTTTTCTGAGCACTTGGGCTTCACTGGAGGCATTGTGCAAGGGTAAGTTGGCCACCACAAAGAATTTTAGGAAGTGCATGTTTTTCCTGGGTAATCTCTGAAACCAAATGCTAAAGAGGAGGAGATTTTTATGCCCTTCTTGTGAGCTTCCAGAGACATTTGACAGGCTGCTTCTGAGTTATTGTGGGATCACTCACTGCTTTCTCTTCAGTAAAAGGATTTTGGTTAGGCTCAAAGTGCCCTCAGAACCCCAAAACCCTCTATTGTTCATTGAGTGAGTCCTTTATTTCTCCAGGAGAAAGACCAGGCCTCTTCTCATCATTAGGCACCAACACTTGCCAAGTGTTTTGTTAGCCCGCTTACAGAAGCCCTCACAATTCTGTTCCTAGTGTTCACGTTCCTCCTTTTAACCGTTAAGTAAATTTCCCACTTGTCTTGTAGTTCCATCTTCCGTGTTGGTTTGTGGTTCTGGTATGTTCTAGAATCCTTCTGTCTTTAGCTTTCAAGGTTGGTTGCTCTCAGTCACGTATCAATCATGTATTACCCCCCGGCTGTACTTTGAGGTATCCTGAGAGCACCTGGGGACCCCACAGCTAGAAGACTAGTTATGATTAACATTTCCCCCTGAAAAACACTAATGTCGGCCTTTCCCTGAAACCTGAAGCTGTATAGAAGTATTAATTATGTTCTAGAGCCCTCTTATTGAAAGGGCTGGTGCCGTGTTGTTTTTTGTTGTGATTATTGGCACGGTTTTAATAGATTTTATATTTGTACATAATTTTAATTCTATCAATGTTTATTTGTTTTTTTCATTATTGTCCCCTCCCCCTGTGTTTTTAGCAGTTCTTATTTTTATCTGTAAGCCTCCTTGAGTCCCTCAGGAGAAAAGACAGAGTGTAAATAAATAAATAAATAAATAAATGATTGATTGATTGATTGAGCCACACTGTCAGTTCACACAGTTAAAAAGGAGATCCAGTAGGGCCAGGCTTTGTGTAAAATTGCTGTGCTTCCTGAAGAATTCCCAGTATCCACTGAACATACAAGACTTCCACCGCAAACACACAAGCATTGCTTGGCAGATAAATTGATGTGAAAGCAGGTCCCCAAAGGCAGAATGTTAAAAGCCGCTATACCAGAAGAAAACAGTTTCTTTGTTTCTCCTCCTCATGTTCTGAACCAGGCTTGACCTGTACCGCGCTTCAGGGAAGTTTGAGCTCCTAGATCGGATTCTTCCCAAGTTACGAGCTACCAACCACAAGGTGCTGCTTTTTTGTCAGATGACCTCCCTCATGACCATAATGGAAGATTATTTTGCTTACCGTGGCTTCAAATACCTCAGGCTAGATGGTGAGTTTTGCATTAGGGCCTGTAATGTTGTAGGAAGACCTGGTTTTGGCACGCAATTAATTACCTTTCTTCATGTAGTCTCTGTATGTCTTTAGTCAGGCTGTGTGTGTGGAGCATTGTAAGAAAGTGAAACGCACCAACTTCAGTGTGATCCTGTATGGCCCATGGTGTAGCATGTGGAGCCATCGCGTAGGAATTTGAGCTCTTCCCTCCCCCACTGGGCTCACTTCATGCTAAGCTTAGTGTTCTGGCTGCACCATTTCCAATTCTTTCTCTCTGCTACAAACATTCACAAGTTGATTTCTCTTTCAAATTTCAGAATGGCAACCCGACACTGTCAAGTGGGCTGATTCCTTTACTTAAGTTACAGTGACCTGCCCTGGTTCTCCCTCCCCTCCATCCTGCAAGTCGTAGTCTTTCCCAACGACGCCCCTTGCAGGTGGTTCTCTCTTGAAATGATGAGTCCTTTTTTTAATAATAATCCCAAAATACCATTCGTTTAAACATTCGGGCTGATATGTTCCTCTATCACAAGAGGATTTGAGCACATTCCCTCTGTATTTATTCCTCTTTGGTTATGCCAGTCTTTTATTATTTCAGTTTTCATGTTTCCTCTTTTTTTCCCTTCAACTGGTTCCTTAATTAGTGGCAATGACCCTGTTCACACATTTTTCCCATTTTAAGGATGGTTTGTGAGGTAAGATCAAGAGCAGGTCTTGAACTCATTCCCCCTCAACACGTGATGCTTCACTTTGCATGGGAATGAGGCCTTTATGGTGTGTTCCCAAGTGAATGCCATAAAGTTTGAAGTACAGTGGTACCTCGGGTTACAGACGCTTCAGGTTACAGACTCCGCTAACCCAGAAATAGTACCTCAGAACTTTGAACCTCAGAACTTAAGAACTTTGCTTCAGGATGAAAACAGAAATCGCGCAGCAGCAGCGCGGTGGCAGTGGGAGACCCCATTAGCTAAAGTGGTGCTTCAGGTTAAGAACAGTTTCAGGTTAAGAACGGACCTCCGGAACGAATTAAGTTCTTAACCCGAGGTACCACTGTATTTACATTCTGACAGGGGACTGTCCAATAGCATCATGTGCTGCACATGTGACCCCCAACACTGGTCAAAAATGGGGGTCTGCTTGTATTGTGCTAGTAACAGAGAAGGCTAAGTGTAGCCAGAGTTGATGGCCTACACTGGGCAAAACAGAAGCCTGTTTATGTCATCAGCGTAGGCCCTGCATGGTTGCTACTTCAGCAAACCACAGAGGCCTGGCAGATCATGTACCCTACCTCCCATGTCACCAGCAATGCTGACCTAGGAACTCGCTACATGATCCACCTGCACTGTGTGATTGTAGGCCAGTAAATATTGCTAGTTGAGTCTGGGGGTCCCAACCATGTAGAAACAGCAGCCGCAACTCTTTTATAAATTGGCCTTAATTAACATAGCCTGCCTCAATGGTTTCCTTGGTGAATGATAGTGGACAAAAGCAGGATGGTGCCTTTTTACTGCAGGTACTGGTGTGCAGCTGAGTATTCATTTCTATCTTATTCCCCTCTTATCCCCAGTTTGGAGTACAGAAGTAGGAAGAGGCAGGATTGGGAGAAAGCACCAGTACCAACTTCCCTGTCCTCTCTTTTCCCCTTCCCCCTCTCCACCCCACCCCAAGACAGTATCTGCTAATCCAAACCACCTGATTGTTCTCTGATTGTAAGTTGTCTTTTGTAATACCATTAGGAACTTAAACAGTTAAATTGATATGCAAGCTCTCCAGACATTTTGGAATGTGGGTGTATATCTCAACTTGGTTGGTTCCCAGTATAAAAAATACTTCCCCTCTGTGGACCAGTGCTATGCTTACCCAGATTTCTGGGGTTCTTAAAGATGACAGGCTTTCTACTCAAACCAAAATTTGTAGCAGTGGGGGGAAAACCACTCTTGTCTCTCTACTTTTAAAGGAACCACTAAAGCGGAAGACCGTGGCATGCTGCTGAAAACGTTCAATGAGCCGGGCTCTGAATATTTTATTTTTTTGCTGAGTACCCGAGCAGGAGGCCTGGGGCTAAACCTACAGTCTGCTGACACTGTGATCATTTTTGACAGTGATTGGAATCCCCACCAGGTAATAATAAAATGTATTTGTGGGCTTCAGAAATGAAGTTTTTTGAAACTGAATACTAGTATGGGAGTGGGGTGGAGTGAGGTTGGTAATGATAAATTTGTAGTATGCCTGTCTTATCTGTTGAGCTGATACAAAAGAAGCAGAGCTTTTATGTGTCTTGCTGTACTTTGGTCAACAGTAAATGCACATCTATTTGATTACAGAAGTTCTGGATTTTCAACAGAATCTTGAATGTTAGCGCTTCTCTATAGTAAAAACTGAGGCTCCTTTGAATATGGGGGGGTGCTTTGTGCCAAACATGATGGGAATCTTGGGATAGAAATCTTCCTATCACCTCCTAAAGCAATCTGGCCTACACTGAACACACTATGTCATGGATGTCTTTGGGAAGCTCCTCACATAACTGATTAACAATGTTTCTTGTATTCCATGCTTCTTCCTAAAGGAAGCCCAGGGCAGCTAACTTAATGTAATACAGAAAAATACATAAAACCATTCAGCATTTAAAATATCAGTTAAAATATATTTAAAATGGCATGCTAATACTTTCAGCCCAAAGACCTCACAATTATGCCCCAAAGTCCTAGACAAAAGTTTTAACATTCTGCTTGAATGTAGCAAATCTAGCAGACTACCTGATTTCAGCATAAACAGACTTCCTTAAACGGGGCACTTTTGCTGAAAACACGCTGTCCCAAATCACCTTGCCACCCCTGCTGATGGGACCACAAACAGGACCTCTCTCACCGATCATTAGTTTTGGGTCAGAATCTATGGGGAAGGCACTCCTTCAGGTACTCAGGTCCCAAGTTACGGCTCTGTAAACCAAGATTTATGTAAAAAGTTTCTATATTACCCTTTGCCAGAGTTTCCAAGACATACACACACACAAATATATAAATAAAATCAGCTATTCCGATAACCCTGGTGAATGGGCCACAGAATAGAACACTGGTCTTCAGTGGAAGGGTCAGGACACACTACTGGTTCACAGGCTGACCTAAGGTAAGTCACAGCAGCTTCACTACTACTATGCAAATGTATGGTGGTAAATTAAGAAGTGGGTTCTGAACAACACTGTTCTCACGTAGGTGCAACTTAATCCATTGGAGTATTGTGGGTTGAATCTCTCTAAAGTGCTGTGCATCAAAGCACATGAAGGTGATAGCTGAATTTTAACTACTCTCTGAACAGTGAGAGCTTTCTTCTTCTCTCCCTTTCTTAGGACCTGCAGGCCCAAGACCGAGCACATCGCATCGGGCAGCAGAATGAAGTCCGTGTGCTGCGCCTTTGCACCGTGAACAGCGTGGAAGAGAAGATCCTTGCTGCAGCCAAGTACAAGCTGAATGTAGATCAAAAGGTTATCCAGGCTGGCATGTTTGACCAGAAATCTTCCAGCCATGAAAGGAGAGCTTTTCTCCAGGCTATCTTGGAGCATGAGGAGCAGGATGAGGTAAGGGAGCAGTGGGGTGGTTTTTTTGCTTTCTCCTCCTCCAGCGTATGAGTGGTGAATGCATTGCCTAGCTTTGTGCTTTGTATGACGCTGACGCAAGGGACTGTGGGCTGGAAGGAAATGGCATGAACCCTTGTCATGCTAGAAAGTGAATTTGAGTGTCAATGAAAGGGGCTGGCTTGACAGCCCTGGAGACTGAAGTCCTCTATCTATCCACAGACCAGATACAGCACGGGCAGCGGCAGTGGCAGCGCAAGCTTTCCCCACACTGCCTCAACCCTGTGCCTCAACTCCGACTTGGAGGAACCACCTTTAAAGGTGAGAGGGGTCATTCAGTCGCCGCGCCTGTCCAGTCCTTCGCCTCACTGTGTTTTAAGACTGTCAGCAAAGTTGCCAACTCGGGTGGCGAACTTCCCTGTCCACTGAGACTACCCAGCTCGTTTTTACATGAGTAGCCAAATCAAATGTGAAATAGTAAAAACACATTCAATGTACAGTTTTGAGCAGTGAGTTGCCAGATGGTGCATCTCCATACGAGTTAAACGGGGCTCTTTTGAAATCTTTCAGGAGGAAGATGAAGTTCCTGATGATGAGACAGTTAACCAGATGATTGCCCGGCATGAGGAGGAGTTTGACCTTTTTATGGTGAGAGTGACTGCCTTGCTTCTTGCATTTCAAACAGGTCAGCCTTATCTTCCTGAATTCAGTCTAGTATTAAGGTATACTGGAGGGGTGTTAAGTAGTGTTAACTAAAAACATCAGTCTGGGTCTAGAAATCAAGAGTCCTTCCAATAAAGAGAAGTTTTTTTGGGGGGGGGGAAGAGAGAAAATACAAGGTTTCTGCAAATTCTGCCCTTGCAAACCCTTTGAGTTCATTCAATTAACTGATTATACTTGCTTTAAAAAATCCCAGTGGCAGTGAAAGCAGGACAAGCACCATGGGTTCTTGTACAAAAAAACATAAACGTGAGGAAGTACTTGTGTTCTGGTTGACTAGGGTGGCTATTAGTCCGAGTCTCACATTATGGCAGCAGTAGTGGAGAGAATGAATAGATAGCAGAGAGTGCCATCTTATTCTTTGTGAATAAGCTGTTACCCAGTTCTAAGGCTCAGGGTAGGTGACATACTGCAGCTGTTGGGTTGGATCCTATGCCCTTGGGATGCTGCTGTCCTTCTGTTTCCTCCAATAATCACGAGCCCCTCACTTTAGGGCCTTGAGAAAAAGGCAGAAGGGGGTGGGGAGGAGAATCCTCCTACCCCTCAGCCTGTGAACACCTATGTTTACACTAGCTACAGGTTGCTAGAGGAGGGGAGAAGGTGACAGGTGAAGTTCTGGATTTTCAACAGAAAGGAGGGAAGTGGCAGCTGAATCTGGCTTCTTTCAAAGAAAATGATTGCATTGTTTCCTTCTGCTCTGATATGGTGTCTAGGGACAAGAGTTCTAACAGGTAGAACTCAATCCATGCTTTTCCATAGAAACATACACTTTTCAGGTGTACACCCCTTTTGGAGCATACTTGAAATGGCTTCCTCATCTTTCAGCAGGCTATCACGCATCCATGCTGACCTCCAAAGCCTGTTAAATTGAAAATAAGCCCAATTATAAAATTATTGAGATTTATGTCAAGCATATTGCAGCCCAACCTTCATCCACTAGGCAAAGGGTGGCTAACCTGTGGCACTCCAGGTATGGCCGTACTCCAGCTCCCATCAGCCGAATAAACTTGGGAGTCCTACAACATTTGGACGTTGTCTCATGGACAGGGCATTCCTGGGTTTTATTTTAATGAGAGAGGCAATATATAAATATTTTAAATAAACTAACGTTGTTAGGCTCTGTCTTCTTTTGATGGCAAGTCTCACCCTACTCTAGGGACATGATGCCTGCTGGTGTTTCCCCACTATCTCTCAGCAGAAACAACTATGATTGTGGCATGAATTAGTGTAATTTTTATCCTTTGTTTTCTGTATAACCCCTAGTCTGCCCAGTATGTTGCTAACACAGGCTTAGTTTCCCATTGATGACCTTCTTCTGCTTGATGACTCTCTAAGAGCAGCTGCCCTGGGTCCAAGTAGAATATATAACCAGTATGGCCTTAGAATATATAACTAGTACAGCCAACATACTCTTTGGAGCCTTCACCTCAGGCTATTTTCCTTACAGCGCATGGACTTGGATCGCAGGCGAGAAGAAGCCCGCAATCCAAAGAGAAAGCCACGTCTAATGGAAGAGGATGAATTGCCCTCTTGGATCATTAAAGATGATGCTGAAGTAGAGAGGCTAACCTGCGAGGAAGAGGAAGAAAAGATGTTTGGGCGAGGTTCTCGGCACCGTAAGGAAGTGGACTATAGTGACTCGCTGACTGAGAAGCAGTGGCTCAAGGTATACATGGTACAGCATCGTTCTCCAATGATTTTCTAAATTTTTATTTCTACTTGTGTCTGTGTTGTCTGTCTGTGTGTCAGTAAGTTGAGGAAAATACCCAGTCTCAGAAGTTTTGATGGTCAGCTAAGATTGTGCTAGCAAGCACCGAGTTTGGCAACAATACTTGTTCGACACGATTATCAGAAATACTATGATGTTGTTAAATTGATAACCTAAATGTTGGCATTTGTAAAGTCTAGGAGCTTTCTTGAAATACACATCAACTTCACCTTGCAAAACTTCTGTTGGGTATTAGGAACTCAGCTGTGTGGAAACCATGTTGCCAAATTTAAATTCAACTGATCTCCTTGACAGATTGCAAACATTTCAGATGCAGTAGGCCTGCTTGCTATGCAGCTGAGTGTATGCTCTTGCCTGTCTGGCCCAGCAAATATTTCATCCTACTTGTTGCTAGGCAGTGATCCAGAGACTGGGGGCTCTTTGGCCTGCAAGAGGCAGACTTTGGGGCAGCACGGGGAGGGAATAGGAAGCTGGTCCTAAGCTGCAGTAGCCATCCCGAAGCACTGTTCCTCCTCCGAGATTGTGCAAGAGAAAGAAAGTGCAGGTTGGTTAACTTTGTTCTGCTGCCGATCAAGCTAAGGTGGTTTTTCTTTGTGGAACATCCCAGGTGCTGAGTTAGGCTCTTATGAGTTGAAGGAATCAAGCCCAAGAGTTAATCAGCAAAGGAGGAAGAGTTGTTCGGCTTTGTTCAGCCTTCCCAAAGGACGAGAAATTCAGTGTGCAAGTCAGGAGCCAGAGAATCTTGCTATGAAATTCAGTTATGAGTTCCTCCTTCCAACCTGCTCCCTTAAGGGCATGTTGGCGAAGCCAGGTTCTCCAGCTGAATAGTGAGGCCTCCTCCCACAAGTTATGCTGTCCTGTTTGTCCAAGGCAGGGCCATGTGACTAATACGGTGAACCCCCGTTTCAAGGCATTTCTTACAGCTTCGTAGAGTGAACCAAACAAGGTGTCCTGTCCAGACTAAACACTAGACAAGGATCTGTCCACTGCGCTCTGAGTCTCGGTTGTTCTTGTTGCCTAAAATACTTGAAGCTTTGACATTTCTTACCATAGACTTCTGCTTGCTACCTGAGGGGAACACCCAGGCCTATGGACCAACTGCACAGAAAGTGAGTCTGGCCTTAAGAAGATCCATAGAGCACATGACTGAAGTCATTAAGGTGGTCTCTGCCACAACTTATCCTGTTAGAGGCATTCTAGCCTGCCTTAAGGCCCTGAAGGAGGAGTTGTCAGAAAAATTAAAAAGCTGCAACTTCTCTTGCAAATATTCTTGTACCTCATACATGCTATTGTTGCAAGTGCTGACATTTTTTTGAGAGAACTTATTCCTCCTTTTCCTGTTTCTGGAAACGTGCAAAGACCATCCTGGAACTGTTAAGGGGAAACAGTTTTGCCAAAGAAGGTGGCTCAAGATGCTGTCGCGTCCACTAGCTGGTCTCTGCAGACCTTGACATGTGTCTGCATCTTTGTGCTGTTTCATCTATCCCTTTGGAGAGGAGCAATGCTATAAAATGTACCAGTGCCTTGCCATTGGGAAGTTTGGTGCAAGTTAGTTGCATGTTCTCATGGGCACATGCCTGTCTTCCCTGGAACAAATTCTTTGGGAGAGGGACTGAAATGTTGATGTGGCATGCATGCCTTGCATGCGTCAGATTCAGTCCATTTCAAGATCACCAGTGGACCACAAGCTGAGAAAAACATATGCTGGAGACACTGGGGAGTAGCTGATGTTCAGCAGTGTCTCTAGATGCAGCATATTAATTTCCAAGGGCAGGAGGCCGAAACTCAAATCGAGAAAATGCCATTCCAGCTCTCCAGCTTCTCTGATGGTAATGGCAGTGCCATTAGAGGCTATCTGCTTAAAAGACTGTGCCTCACAGCAAACCAGATTTCAGAGAAGTTTATTTTGCAGAAGAGTCACTGGCATGGTGACTGTTGGTATCCCAATAGTTTCAGAGGAAACACAGGCATCATGCATCAGGATTCATGCAGGCAACAACTTCAAACCAGAGATTGTTCAGGCACTTTCTAGCTTGAGACCAGCATGGGCCTTTGTCACCAAGTAGAGTATCCCTTATTGGGTTTGAAGTGCGTTTGAAACCTTGCTGAGAACATGATCAGCACCTTGATGCTTTGGAGTTGGGCTTTTCTTTGTTGGACTTTACTCTGTTCCGAGTCATCATACGCCTTGGCGGGCAAGCATAAGCCCACCCTCTTTCATCCCCACCCCCTTCCAGGGCCGAAAATGGCACATATGTCATTGGTCGCGCATGCCTTGAACGCATGCAAAATGGGAGCTGCCTGTATTTCATATTGGGAGCTCCAGCATTTAAACCTTCGCAGGTGAAAAAGCTGTGCATGGCCTTTTACAATATACACTGCATACATTGAGTTTGAAGGGCTGTGTGCTGTAAAATATCTGCTGTTGAAGCTAAAAGTTGAAACGCGTCCTGCAGTTTTCTGTGAATCAAGTGGACATCTAATAGTCAAACTTGGGTTCTTCAGTCTGCAAAACCTTTGCTTCAGCAATTCTTACAGGGTCAAGCTGCTTTTTACAACCAAACGTGGAGCACTTTGCTGTGGATATTGCTGCTTTTAAAGAAAAAGAAATCACTTTAAACTTGTCTATATGATCAGATCAATATTTGGTGGGCACTGAAGCAAAACTATTGCCTATAACTGGTTTGTGTTTTGCTTGTGCAGACCCAGAGTAACCTGGTGGAGCAAGATATTTATTTCTGAGTGCTGTATGCATTTTGATAAGATCTATCAGTATGAAGAGAGACATTTCTAAGCCTATCTTTCTACCAAGGGGTATCCAAACCTTGTTTATAAATGTAATAATTAGAAAAACAGTGCATGAACCTCAGGGTTCTGATGCTCTCATCTACCTCCAGTGAGCAGACCACTGCCCAGCAACAAATAAAACAGAAAATGTTGTCTTAGCTGAAAATTTTCTGTCTGATTGTTTATTGGACAGTAATCCATAACCTGCATGTTTCAGTGGTAGTCTGTTGGTTGTTTGAGTTGTTGCTTGTTGTTTGAGTTGTAGAGTGTGGGGTCTTAGGCTAGGAGTGGATGGTTGTACAGAGGAAGAGGTGGGTGCTCTCTAAGTCCTTCCCAGAGACTTTTTGCTTCAGCATCTGCTCCATATTGGCTGGTCAGAGAGCGTGCCCTGTCTCTGGACTGCTACCTATCAAACAAGTAGAAACAAAAAAAGGTAAGACCACTTTTTCTGTGTTACACCATGTTTGAAGGTAGCAGGGAGGAAAATATTCTATTTTATTTTTGCTTCTGGCCTAAGTACTTCAAAAGTTAGATGCTTTATCAAAAGATAATGCAGATCATTGCCAATAAGTCAGTCACTAAATATCAGAGTGACCTGCCAAGCAAGGTTATATGTTCTTCTCCTTTATTGCATATCACCTTAGCTTTTCCCCTGACAGATTCATTGAATTCATTTTTATATTTTAAAAATTGCAGAAGCGTAGCCATATTAGTTCTAAACAGCAAACACACTACCATGTTTTGCATTATGAATGCCAGGGATATCTGAGCTTTCATCGAGTAAACCAGTTAGTCTCTAAGGGCAACATCTTTTCTAGAAGATGTCACATAGCAAGCACTGGCTGGCTAAAGCAGTGCAAACAAACTGGCAGGTAATCCTTGCCAGCTTTATTAATCCATTGTATGTGATGATGCTTCATATGGATGGTCCACACATTTGGTTTCTGGTCCTGAGAAGAAATGTGAGGGCAAAGCCATTCACCAGATAAGTCTCTGTCAGACAGAACCATGTGGCACTTACTCAACTGCCTCTTTTTACAAAGCAGATATTATTCCTAGCTGGGCCGTCTTCGTGGGCATGCTTGTCTTCTGCTTCCTTACCCACGAGCTGGATTCTCCAGGGCAGCATCTTCCTGCCTTCTGATAGGAAAGGCAGCATGTTTGGGATCTCTCTGTAGCCCCTCTTTTCAAGCCTGGCTTGAGCTGTGCCCACTAGCAAGTAGCTGAGGCATAACCACCAGGAACTACACTGGTCCTAATAGGCAGCCCAGCCTTCAGCTGTAATGCTTTCATATTGAAGTTGAAGATCACATCTTTTTACCACACATAATGAGGGAAACAGGAGACTGATCTCATCTTGGCAGTTCCTTGGCACTTAAAGGAATTGTGGCAGTATCTGGAGACAACGAGCTTAGTTTTTTAGGTGGAGCATTTCTTGTAATCGCATTTTTTGAACATCCCACCCTATCCAAAAGAGCAAGCAGAAGCAAGAATGTGGAATGAGTGTACCCCACAGCTGGACAGTGGATCATTGGCCAGAGGATCTGGAAAGGGATTAACAATGCTTTATTTCCTAGGAAAGATTTTAAAACCTGCTATAGCTTAGGGCAGTGAGTGGCAAACACATTAGCCATACCAGTGAGAGGGAAATTGCTCATACGTGCCTTCAAGTGTGAGGCAAGCTGGTTTTTTGTTTTTTATGTTTTACATGGACTCCATTTCAGTTCTGGATCAAGAAAAAGGAATGCCTTTAGCTCCCAGATACGTTTCCATTGGACTCCACGTTTAATGTTTCATACTTGTGCCATTTAAAAGTGAATTCTGCCTTCCACTAGAGCCCAATCGGAATCTTTGCAGGAATCTAGCAAGGTCTTCAGCCCATACTATGTGTTTTGGTGTTCTCTTTTGAAGAGGCACAGCAGTGTCTCCCAGCTAATGTTCTGGACATCCCTTCCTGGTATGTCCTAATTGATCACAAAGCAGAGGCCCCAACAAAAACATAGAAACTACATGTATTCATAGTTCCTTGAGTGATTTCACCCCACCCTCCTTCCTCTGGAGGTGTCTTGCTCTGAGTGAGACAGTAAGACCTTCAGACTTTGGAAGGGGATGAATAGAAAGCAGCATTTCTGGTGCCCCTTTTGTTTTGACACCAGTTCTGAGAGAGATGTGGGCACTCTTCTCCCGTGCAAATGAGCTTTCCGTGGTGTTTCATGTGTTGGCCAGTGCTGAGGTATAGTACCTAGTGTGTGACTAAAGAAGACCGTTCCAAGAAGGCGAGTAATCTCCATATTTGGGGGGAAAGTGAGGTTGAGGTGGGGAATTTGAAAATGGCAGATACAGTGGGTGGTACCCCCCAAAGGCCCAGTTTCTATAGAAGAAGAGTCAGGGCAATTTCTTAGGCTCCAGTCTTTTTCTTTACAGTCATTCAAGAGCCGCCTGCCTCTATTGCACTTGTTCTCTCTCTGTTCACCAAATTGACCAGAGTCAATATGACACATGCAGACTCCAGGTCTCAGTTCCTCAGCAGCTGACAATAGCATCTACAGCACGTATTCCACAACTTACTATTCACCATAATTGAAAAGGCAGGTATTGAGTGTGTGGAAAGGCTTGGAACCAAAATGGGTGGAAGCCAGGGTGTCAGTGCCATTTAAACAAATGGCAACTAGAACCTTGTTGGCAGGCCATTCTCCTCTTAAAAGTCCTCTACCAGTTTTCAGGTGTTATGGATAGTGCCTGAATTGCAACCTTGAGGTTAATTTGCTTTGGATGAGAGCCTCTAGCCATGTATGACTAAAGAAAAAGGAAAGATGGGCCATTTTTACTTCTGAGTTTTCCTACTTCTGTTATACATGGCCTGCAGTTTGCTGGCCTCTATTCCTCTCCTGTGCAATCTGAAGCATTAATGTGTCTTGTTAACTGGTGGTTAGTAGCCGCGGGTCTCTTTGCAGCTTCGGAAGAATTTGCAACTGAGCTGGCAGGAAGGGGCATCCCCACACCCTCCTCTGCACTGTCACAACAGATTCCTCTGCAGAGTCCCAGCCTGCCGGCCCTGTTTAACATGAGAAGAAAAGCTCATAGGTAAGAGAACCATCTTTCCTTTCCCACCGCTACAGAGTTGCAGCCTTCCATTATCCTTTACTGGTTAACCCGGGAAATAAGTGTCTTTTGGGAAGCGGCCCATGCAGACATCCCATTCCTCACTGTGCTAGATTGCTTGGATGTTTGTGTGAATGTCTGTGTTTGATCATTTCACGGTGTGTCGTCTTCATGCTTGCTGTTCATTTTACCTGGCTGACTGAGCTGCTCCTGTCCGCAGGCCATAGAGGAGGGAACGCTGGAGGAGATAGAAGAGGAGGTGCGCCAGAAGAAATCTTCCCGCAAGCGCAAGAGGGACGTGGACGTCAGCTCATCCACGCCAACCACCAGCACTCGCAGCCGGGATAAAGACGATGACAGCAAGAAGCAGAAGAAGCGTGGGAGGCCCCCGGCCGAGAAGCTTTCACCAAATCCACCCAACCTCACCAAGAAAATGAAGAAGATAGTTGACGCTGTGATTAAATATAAGGACAGGTAACAGAAGAGCGGGATGTTTGTTTGTTTGTTTGTTTCTAAGAAGGCATAGGACATTCTTCAGTATTTCTGCTCTCTGGGTAAAAGTTCACTTTCCTAAATCTCTCCTGGATAGACTTCCTGCTGCTGCATTTGGCTTCAATTCAAGGAAAGATATCACGAGTTAAAAGGACACTGTGAATTAGGCACATGTCATTTACATAATTTGCATTTTATTTTCACCATCATGGAGAATCCAGACTGAAGTTGATGGATAGACATGTTGTTCTTCTGGATGAAGGCAGTGGGTTGATTCAGATATTGAAAGACGCAAATGTGGGTTAATTTGTAGCCGTGCATATACATCAGTATTAAAATCAGGAACTAACAAGTAATCTCAGTATTACCACTTTTATCAGTTGCCATCATTTCTGACGTTTGTGGTTGAGTGCCATTGTTTTTGTATCCAAAATGGCACCAACCACAAACAAAATGGGAAGATACCAGCATGCTCAGAACTGCAGAAGTACAGAGAACCTTACAGGCGTTAAAAAGGCCAAGCAGACGAAAAACAAAAAAATCCCACCAGTGATGATTGTGCGTGCTGAAGTGGGCAGAGAATGCTGATTGCTTGGGGACAGGGAATGCAATGGAGTATCCTGGAAGAAGGCCTGGCTGATTGGCTGGAACAATGTTCATGAGCATTAGAAACTGCAACGTTTTGTCATAGGTTCCACTTGTCTACCTTGATCCTCTTAAATACACTTGAGCTGGCTAGATCAATTACTGAGCGATTTGAAGGGTGCTGGTGATCCAGGGGGCCAGGCAATGAGCTATCCTTGCATCAGATTATTTTTGCTTAAGTGGAGAGGGAAATATTAAGCCTCCAACCTTGGCTCATATTGATCATGCAACAGGATGCTCATTTCCTTCTGGTCTCTTGTGATCCATCCTGACAACTTTTATTCAGGACCTCGAGCCTGAACCACCGACCCTGATTTTTCCGTATTTGAAAAGGCTAAACAGAGTTGGTACTTATCCAGTGATTGCTGGTGTTCACATTCCTAAGTCAACAAAGTGATTAACGTGAGGATGTGACATATTGTGCAAGCCACTGATGGGTTGCTTTATACGGAACACTTCACTATTTGTAAGAAAAGTCATCTTTGTATTTTGCTGTTGGTACTTCATGGCTATTGAAGACCCGTGGAGACTGTGAGCAGGCCTATTCAGAGGGAAGCAGACCTCTTTTTAATCGTCTTCCTTTTTCTTGTCTTGTAGCAGCAGTGGACGCCAGCTTAGTGAAGTCTTCATCCAACTTCCTTCTCGCAAGGAGCTTCCAGAGTACTATGAACTCATCCGCAAACCAGTGGACTTCAAGAAAATAAAGGTAATTATTCTTGCCTCATTGTAGCAGCACAACATTCACCTTTATGTTCTCATATTTCCAAAATTCTAATACTACCAACCATGTAAGGTAGTTGGAAAATGTTCCTGCTGGCCATCCTGATTAGGGCATGGGATCCATCATTTTATATCAGTAGTAGAATTTGTTGTTCACACAAGATGATAGTGGACTCCAGGAAAGAAGCCCACCTTGTGGAACGCCATCCCATCAGATGTCAAGGAAATAAACTATCTGACTTGTAGAAGACATCTGAAGACACCTGTTTAGGGAAGTTTTGAGTGTTTGATGTTTTATCGTGTTTTTAATATTCTGTTGGGAGCAGCCCAGGGTGGCTGGGGAAACCCAGCCAGATGGGTGGGGTATAAATAAATAAATGATGATGATGATGATGATGGCAAACAGCACCTGATCCCATCACTGCAGGGCTATTCTAAGGATTTGTCATGGCCTGTTGAAGCTGAGTTTCCATGCTGTAGTTGCCAACTGTGGAAAAGCAATGCCATCTCTAATCGATCACAGGAATAGCTCACTTTTTCTCTCTTGGTTTTGAAAGTCCATTTTACAAAGTGTTGAAGTGCTGTACTTAATGCCATTCACCACAACAAAGGCAAATGAACAGGAATTGGCCAATGCAACACAGTTGTGACAGATGTGTAGCAACATCCACAGTGGGGAGACCCAGTATTTTTCTGCATTATTTGTAGGAACACTTTTTGAATAATATTTATTGAGAATTTTAAGATTACAAAGAAACAAAGAAAAAAAAGAAGGAAAAAACAAGTAACATTTAAACAATACGAATCAATAAAAAAACAAGGTCAAAAAGAGAAAAAAACAAAACACATAATACATCAAAATCAAAAAGCTAAAATAGACAAAAAATTTAAAAACAAATCCAATATTCCCAAATCGTTAACTGTCATTACCTTGTTTCATCGACCTCCTCACACCTCCCTTTTTTGTATTCTAGTTGTTAATTATCTCAGCAAATGCTTTCCATCTTTCATAATATTCTGTCATTAAATTACCTTAATCTATTTTAACCTTATCTTGCCATAAAAGGCCCTAAAACTTAAAACTTAAGTCTTATTTATACCAAATTCTCTTAACCATGACATATTCTTACATAATTCTTTTTAACATTTCTGCTAAAGCCAAATAATTTCATTCCAACATTTTTCTAATACTCTTTACTTTTACAAGATTTTCCTAAATAAATTGTTTAAAACTTTCTTCCAATCTTCATCCAACGTCTCTTTCTCCTGGTCTCAGGTTTTGTCAGTCCTTTCTATCCCATCCATCTAGTCCATCAACCTGGTAACCTTATATCCGAGGCCCTTGGACCTCTTCCATGTCCCATCCGCAGATCTTCTTCATATTTGTACCTGTGCTTTACTTTGTCTTCTGCTCCTTTCACTTGGGGAGACTCCAGCTTGACAATGTTTTTGTCCCTTCTCGACAGATCAGCCCCTTTTCCAAAGTCAACGCTGAACTCCATGTGGTATTTAAAAGCATGTTTCAAAGTCCCTCCAAAGTTTTTTGGTAGGCTTGTAAGAACAGTGCACACAGCTCTTGCAGTTTCAGCAGCAGTGCATTGATCCAGTTTTGCTCTACATCTTGTGTTGATCTGTTAGGTTGGATGCTGTAGACCTTATTTTAACACATTAGTTTTTCATTGCATTTTAATATCCTTGAAAGCAACCTCAATAATGTGCGGTTACCTGAAGTGTGATCCAGCTCTGCTGGCTTATTAAATTGATCTCCAAGTGGTGTTATGTGTCTGTCAAATTGGGTCAGTCTTTAATGTGTTACAAGACACTTTTGCTGCAACAGACTGTTGCCCTTCTGGAATATGTGGCATAGTGGTTAAGAGTTGTGAACCATTAGAAACCCTGGTTGAAGTGTCACACCTATCATGAACTTGTTAGGTTTCCTTATCAGACAATGTAAATAGTAAAGGTGCCACCCAATTGTGTACATCCACAATTGTATCTACAATTGTGTCCCTCTTTTAAGCTGTTAAAAGTTAAAGGGTCCCCTGACCATTTGGTCCAGTCGTGACCGACTCTGGGGTTGCGGCGCTCATCTCACTTTATTGGCCGAGGGAGCCGACATACAGCTTCCGGGTCATGTGGCCAGCATGACTAAGCCGCTTCTGGTGAACCAGAGCAGCGCACAGAAACGCCGTTTACCTTCCCGCCGGAGTGGTACCGATTTCTCTACTTGCACTTTGATGTGCTTTCGAACTGCTAGGTGGGCAGGAGCAGGGACTGAGCACAAGAGCTCACCCCGTTGCGGGGATTCGAACCGCCGACCTTCTGATCGGCAAGTCCTAGGCTCTGTGGTTTAACCCACAGTGCCACCCGCGTCCCTTCTTTTAAGCTGTTATTGTGCCACAAATAACCAGCATGGGAAAATATGGGTCAGCAGGCTAGTAACTTTTATAGACTTCACTGAAGGACTGCCTCTTTCTATGGTGGAATATAAAAAACGCTGTGAAAATGCTTTTTTAAAAGAACATTTTAAAAAATACATTGAATTGAGTGTCGCATTTGTATATTACACTTTACAACATATTTAAAACGTTTTACTTGCAGCTGAATCCTAGGAAGAGCAATTGAGCCCTAGCCTGGGCAAGGCTGAGTAGGATGTGTTTAGTTTCTTTCTGCTTTGCCACCCCCTTTTTATCTTAATACAACATACTAATATAGATGGTTTTACATGGTTTAATGCAGTGGGCAGTTGTTGCTTTTACTCCCATTACGTTTAAATACTGATGACTTCTGTGCAGACATGACCTGGAACCTGTCCCTTTTCTTCCCTTTCCTTTTCAGGAGCGCATCCGGAACCACAAGTACCGCAGCCTCAATGATCTGGAGAAGGATGTTATGCTCCTGTGTCAGAACGCACAGACTTTCAACCTTGAAGGCTCTCTGGTAAGGCAGTTGCCGCTGTCGTATGAATGGCATGTATGTCCCTGTCCATGCAAAGAAAGGTTCACTGCATCTCTCTCTCTTGAGTCCCTCAAAGTGCGCATTGAACTAGACCTCTTGTTCTGGAACTGGAATTGTCAAAACCCGATTGCCGGCTGCTTATCCCTAGAACAAGTAGCTGCTGTTGTGTCATCCCAGTTATCACAGGGGTTGTAATTTTTTTTATGGAACTGTGGTATGGTGGCTGTGTATGAAGCAAGTTCTGAGGTTGCATAGAATTGTTATTTGCTGCGTCATGAGGTTTTCTGAGACTTCAGTGGTGTGTATAATATGAAGTGCCTTGAACACTCAGAAGCACTTTCAGCATGAGCCCTGAAAAGATTTCTCTTTGAGCAAAAGCATTGTGGCAGTGTAGCATGATAGTAAACATGTGAACTAGTTTTGTGGAGCTAGGATTTTACCCTAAAATGTGATTTGCATGTTCCTTGCAGATTTATGAAGACTCGATTGTGCTGCAGTCTGTCTTCACCAGTGTGAGGCAGAAAATTGAAAAAGAGGAAGACAGTGAAGGCGAAGAGAGCGAAGAAGAGGAAGAAGGAGAAGAGGAAGGATCTGAATCTGAATGTGCGTACTTGCTTGCTTGCTAAGGTTTCTTTTGTAAAAAGTATGTGTATGCAGTTTAGTAAAAGAAAATGCCTGAAAGGAGGAACCAGAAAGTCAGCAAACTGGTATTGGATTGAGCCACGGTCTCATGTTCTATGTACACTCAGAGCAGCATATAGGGGAAACCCTTGTGCTGCCACTGTTTTCTCTATACTTGGAGACTTCTTGATTTTCCTGGAGGAAAAAAACCCATATGGGTTTTCAGTGTGCAGATGCAGAGCCTTACTGTCATTGCTCAGAACCAGGTGGAGGTGAAAGTATTGCTTCTTGATTAAAAAAGACAATGAAGTACAGGTGGCATAAAGGGAGTTAGGCTATATAACGATGAAGCCTTGTCATGAATGGTATTGCATTTCCATTCCTGTGTTCTTTGCTCATGAAGAGATGGGAGCACACAGAGATGGGGACAGAGAGAAGAGCATGAAGGCTGATCCTATCCTGTTGTGGCCTTGCCAATCTTACCTTTTTCTCTTTCCCCTCAGCTCGTTCTGTCAAAGTGAAGATTAAACTGGGCAGGAAGGAGAAAGCACAAGACCGGATGAAAGGACGCAGGCGCACCAGCCGTGGGTCACGGGCCAAACCTGTAGTTAGTGATGATGATAGCGAGGAAGAGCAAGAAGAGGTAACTGCAGGATGTCATTCCCCTCACACTGTTGCCAGTGGTTCTCAAAGGAGTCTTCAAGGATGGATTTGTGCAATTCCAGTGAAGGGAAAGGGGCAAAGAAAGGAAGACAGACAAGTCCTTTTACAGTTTAGGCAAGCACAGAAGTGGGTCCTACTGCTCATGATCCAGCCTCTTGGGTATGGAGTAGTGGACAAAATGCTGAGTTAGAGCCAGGGGCCACTACTCATCCATGAAATTTCCTGGATGACTTTAGGCCAGTATATCAGTCTAATCTATCTCTGGCTGCTGTGAGGATAAAGGGGGAGGGCGCCCTGCGTAAAAAAAATAATTGCCTAAAAAAGAGTGACATATATTATTTTTCTTTCTCCGTCAGGATCGCTCAGGAAGTGGCACCGAAGATGATTAAAGAGACATTCCATGGTGCAGACCTCAAAGCATCCGTCTTTCCAAAGCAGAGATGCTGTATTCCCTTAGCTGCAACGGGTAGCAAGAAACGTAGTGTCGGATGTGGGCAAACTGTATAAAACTCTTCCATATTTATACTGCAGTGAAGATGTAGGACTTGTTTGTGTCTTGCCTTGTCCTCACATCAGTAGCATTTGTAACAGCATTAACTGTTTTAAAAAGAATTATGAATTGGGGAACACTTGATATATATTTTTTTTCTTTTTATGGCAGTACTATTTTCAGTTGCAGTATTGAATCACTGTAGTTTTAACCTGTGGGTGCATGTGTGTAGCAGTCCACTTCCTAGTACTGTATTTTATGAAAACAGGTTGAGCAGCCAGCTGCCCACCAGCTGAGGAGAGGGTGGCAGTGGCAACTGTGTGTCACTGGATTTCAAAACAGTAATAAATTAAGCAAAAAGTACAGCCCTTTGTCTGAGTGATGCTTTCACCTTGCTGTGTCAGCTAAATAAATTCCTCCAACTGTTGCCATTTTTAAATAGCTCCTTATCTTGACTGATCTCACAGCATCAAGGGTGTCTGCTTGAGACCATTAACCAGCATTCTGTCTCACATTACAAGCCTTTCTTAAAATCACACCCATTTCCTTGCCTCTCTTGTGATACCAGTTTTATGTCATTTTTTCCTACCCCAAAAAAATCCATATTCCTTGAACAAACACCCAGCTGTTGGAATCAAATATTTATACAAAGCACAGACATACAAAAAGTAAATTGCTGCAGCAAATTAACTTCTGTGGGCCAGTTATTTTCTCCGTACAGCCCCAAAACTGTGGCAGGTGCTGTTGTGTTGAAGACACTGAAGGAGAGGGAAGTCCAAAGCAAAGCCTATCATGTTCCCAAGTTTGGCAAGGGGTCATTTTCAGAAACGGGTGGAAGGCGGGAAACTGGGGGAGCCAAAAAGTGGCAGAGACCATTTCACAGGAGCAAGGATGGTTTACAGCACCAGAATATACCAGGACCCAAAACTGGGAGGAGCAAACAGGATTACGGGAACATTTGAGGTGGTGGTGCTTAGCCCTTGGGAGTCACCCATGGCACTCTTACCCAGTTTGGTGAGCCATGTTCGCCTGGCATGGCTGAGGCTTCTCAGGTGATCACAGTCTGTGTAGCTGGCTGGTGCCTGGCACCATCACAATCGGTGTACTTCTGTACCAAAGAGCGGAAGGCCTTCCACACGGCTGCATCGCGACAGCAGATGGTGCCACCCCCACGGTATTCCTCTGCGCGATTGCGGTTCATGTCCCCAACACAGGCCCAGCCAGGATCACTTTCTGTGCTCACACACCACTTGGAATGGTCCACCATGGAAGCAAAGGAAATGGCTGCATGCTGGAAGGCTATTTCCTCCATATTGTAGACTCGGAAGTGCCTGGAACAATTGGAAGGCAGGATCCCTCTGGACCTGAGCCAGAACTGGACGTAGAGGTTACTGGCGAGAGCTTGGGCCAGCCAGCCTGAGTAGAGATCTGGGTAGAGGAAAAGTTCTTATGAGAAGAGCCTTGACATGACTGTGATGACATATTACCAACCCCTTCTTTTAAGCGTGTTGCTCAATATATCCCATCACCTCCATCTCATCACTTACCATCGTCAAAGGAGCGAAACTTTGCAAAGCTGATAAATTCCTTGCCCCCCACCGATCTGAGGGCCACGGTGGAGTTCCAAGGCTCCTCCTCAATGTGTTGCCCCTCTGAAGCATTCAACAAGGCAGGCAGGTCCTGGGCAAAGGTTCCTTCCACGTGATGATCATAGACAAGAGGCTCAGTGTAGAGCAGCTGATTCCCTGCAGCAGAGAGACAACATCTGGCACATCAGAGCCACTGGCTTGTAAAGGAGCTGTCCTCCAGCTGACAAACCTCCTAATAGAGACACTCAAGATTTACATGGGTGGCATCAGATATGCCAGCTGCAGGCTCCGTTGACCAGCCATATACACTTGCATCTTGCATCACAGCCTTGTCAGGGGCAGGAGAAACGCTGTCTTGTTGACCCATTTCCCTACCAATGCAGCTGGGTATCTATCCAGCAAAGTTAGCTGAGAACAGATCGCCTTCCAAGCCCAACTGTGGCAATTCTGTTCCTTGCTCTGGTTCCACTCGATCATTGATGACAGAAGAGGGTCCCTGACCCCTAAGGAAGGAGTGTTTATGTGCATGTGCAGAGTAGCCAGAGCTGAACTGGATCCTTTTCTCCTAACTTTCCCTGTTTTTCCCCGAAGCTGGGGATAGTCTCAAATAGTACACAGGGGCTAATTTCTGCCTTAAGCTACTCTGTAAAGTACCACGTACCCCTATGGTGTTGTATACAGGTTTGGTTCATACAAAACACATGTCAGTGAAACAGAATTTGCAGGGAAATCCTACCATAGGGAAGCCCTAGCCCTTCACCACCAGGAGCCTGGAAAGAATCCCAGATACTTCCAGTATCGATGTTCTGTCTGTATCAAGATCCTACACCTACCAATCTCTTTGAATTGGCCATAGGGAAGTGTGATGCACAGGAAGGTCTGCCCATAGGATAGGCCACTGTGAGGCCAGTCATACTGCTCATCTGCACTGGGCGGGAAATGAGGAGTGCTGTGAAGCAGCCAGAATCCCTGTGTTTTGTCCAGCAGGATGACTCCTAGAGTGGGAAACAAAAACAAAAAAAAGTGGGGGTTGAAACTTAACCCAGGTGTGCTGAAGTTCCAAGAGTGTTGTGCCAGGTGCCCAGGTGGCTGGTCTGGCCAAGTCATGATCTCCAGCCACCACACAAGTTGACGATAACGCAGAACCAGTAGCTGAAGTACTCAACCTTCTTCAAACTTAAGACACATTTGCTGTGCTCCTTTGCATGCATTTGGAGAAGGGGGGTCTACCTTTTGTATGGCCATTGAGGCTGGAGAAAAGCTCATCTGGAGGCTCATAATTGAGGCTGGAGACAAACTCCTTTGGAGGCTCATCGTTGTAAAGGACATAGGCTGTTTTCTCCTCCTGGGTGAGAAATGAAAGGTAGGGTGGTTAGAGAACTGGTCTATTTTCCAAGCTTTCCTCTTCACTGAGTTTACTGAATCAGCCAATACTTTAGCCCCTCCTCTGGGCCAGGCACTCAAGAGCCAGCCGAACTGCACAAGGAGTCCAGGTAGTTGCACTACTGGCAAATGTAGAGGGGTGTTTAAAAGCTTTCCCAAAGCTGGAAAAGCACTAATGAGACTTTGGGAAGGAGGCGGGAGGAATATAGGATCCTGTGTTGAGCCCTCACGCCTTCTTCCCAAAGCCCAGCACCTCCATTATGTGACAGCATGAGGGGGCTTCCAAAGTTGGCAAGGGCTGCCAAAAAAAAGGCCTTGAGGGCTGCTTGTGGCCTTTGGGCACCCTGCTGTAAAGGATCATTGGGTGGATCTTGGAGATCATGCAGCACTTCTTGCAGGAGCAAATAAATCTCAGCTTGAGGAGGGCCATCGCTCAGTAGCAGAGCATCTTGTTTTGCATGCAAAAGGTTCCAGTTTCAATCTCTGGCATTCCAGGCAGTATGAGGAAAGGCTCCTGCCTGAAACTACAGAGGCCAACAGCCAGTCGTTGCAGACAGCACTGAGCTAGATGGACTAACAGCCTCACTAGGTATGTCGGCTTCCCTTTTAAATTAATTAAGCCATTTTGAAAGCCTGGGCTCTAATCTAGGCAACTGAGACAGTCTGCCAGTGGACAGACAGTGAACCAGTCTGCCTGGAGTGAAGGCTTGTACTCTGGACTAGAATTGAGCCTTTGCAACCAACGTCACCCTATCACTCCTACTCATTTGGGATACTGCAAAAGCAGCCTCACGCCTCCTTTTCTCAGACTCACCTGTCTCCAGGATGCCTCTTTGTACAGCTGCTGTACAGTCCGTCCCACGGCTCCTTCGGTACTGTTCATCAGGCTTTTGCCTTGTACCCAGCCCTGGGTCTGGCCGTCTAGATACATGTACCGCATGCCCTCTGCTGGGGGGCTATGATGGGGTTTGGGCAGCTTGTAGGCAATAAACCTGAAACCCAAAGCCCATTAGAAATCACACACCTTGCCACACAGGGGACAGAACTCTGTCCTTTCCACTTAGTAACCATGTTGCCCACTTGTGCCCTAACTAGACATTCCTAGTTTACAATCCCCTTTTCAAATATCCCACCCACATTTGTTAGGAGTGTAAAATCCTTATTTATTTATTTTATTGGTTAAAGCACCCTGAAAACTTTGCAGAAGGGTAGTAACTTTGAATAAGCATAGTATGTAAACCTCATAAAATAAAACAAGAGTAATAAAAGCAATTAGGTCCGATGGACACACACCAATCCACAGGCTGCCCAGAGTCGTCATAGCAGGAAATGCTCCCCGAGACGACATTGTGGAGGACGGACCCAGACAACAGCAGCAGGATGGGCAGCATGAGGCCTTTGTCTGAAGTCCCTGCAAGGAATACAGCAACAGCAATGAGTGATGGTCAAGAAGTAGCCTTGAAAAGGTTACAGTACCTTTATCCTTGGTGATTGCAGCCCCGTTTCTGAATTTTCAGCTTCCATTGTAACAAAGCATCTTCAGCGCTTTTACTGACATGAAGGCAGATTTGTTTTTATCCAATTGCTCTTCAAGGGATAGAACAAGGAAAACAGACTCCTTAGTTAGCCCCTTACTGACCAAGCTGCATAGGACCTTCTCTTGGCCCTTTTTCTTTCCTGTTTATTTCCATGAGCACTCCCTATTAACAGCAGGTAAGAATGAGCTAATGGGACACAGCTGGCGCTGTGGTCTAAGCCACTGAGCCTCTTGGGCTTGCCGATCAGAAGGTTGGCGGTTCGAATCCCCGCGATGGGGTGAGCTCCCGTTGCTCGGTCCCAGCTCCTGACAACCTAGCAGTTAAAAAGCATGCCAGCACAAGCAGATAAATAGGTACCGCTCTGGCGGGAAGGTAAATGGCGATTCCGTGCGCTGCTCTGGTTTCGCCAGAAGTGGCTTAGTCATGCTGGCCACATGACCCGGAAAAACTGTCTGCAGACAAACGCTGGCTCCCTCGGCCTGTAAAATGAGATGAGCGCCACAACCCCAGAGTTATCCGCGACTGGACTTAACTGTCAGGGGTCCTTTACCTTTACCTTTTTTAAGAATGAGCTCAAGTACCAGCTGTTGGTCAGCAGCTGCTAACAGGGGTTCCAGCATCATATTGCAAGATCCTGAAGAGTTTGCTCACGTGAGGAATGCCACCAGCTACATATGGGACTGAGAGCTACAAGAGCAACGCCCCTCTTAAGACAAGGAGCTAGAAATCGCAACAATGGATCTGAAACACATGATGAGCCTCCTGACATTTACACCCAAGAAGATTTCAGGATTCAGCATCTCCCACTATACACAACAAGAAGATTTCAGGATTCAGCATCTCCCACTATACACAAAGGCGTACTTTACTCTTTGGTGGGGAAACCAAACAAATCCTAGGTAGAGATGCTCCCTAAGAGTCAAGACAGCCTGCCAACTGACCAAGACAAAAGAGCCCCTGGGCATGTGCAGAGCATCCAGCAGTTTTAAGCTCAGAGAAGGAAAGACCTGGGATTGAAAGAGCTGCTGGCGGTTGGGAGATCCATCAGATCAGGGACGGGCAACCTCTTTTATTAATATTAAATATAATTTTCTGGTTTACAATTTAGAATACAGTCATACCTTGGGTTACAGATGCTTCAGGTTGTGTGTTTTCGGGTTGCAGACACGCTGAAACCCAGAAGTACCGGAATGGGTTACTTCCGGGTTTCGGCGTTCGCGCTCGCGCATGCGCACAAACACTAAACTGTGCTTTGCGCATGCGCAGAAGCACGATTCACAACCCGTGCGTGCGCAGAAGCGGCGCTGTGGTTGCGGACACTGTGGGTTGTGAACGTGCCTCCCGCACGGATCATGTTCGCAACTCAAGCGTCCACTGTATTTATTTAAACCACCATGAATATATCAATGACTTCCCTTCTTCTCTTTCCATGGTTCATTTTGCATAACATAAATCCCTGTTTATTTTATATAAAGTAAACCATACAGAATTCCATTATCACATCCATCAAAACTTATTTACACTGTTGAATTTATCTCAATGCTGCCGACGTTTTCAAGTGTACACAATTTTCCCCTATATATTCAATAAACATTTTCCAATCTTCTTTAAACATATGTTCTTCATGTCAAAGGGGTGATGATACAATTGGCTAAAGATTTTGGATATAATATTCAGTTAGAATCTTGGGAAAGGTTGTGGAAGGAAGGTACTGTATTAACTTTACTGCATGCAGTGCACTTAAAGAAAATGTTATGAAAATTATGTACAGATGGTATTTAACATCACCTAAATTGGCTAAAATGTCCAAGACAAGAATTAATGAGTGCTAGGGAAATGTAAGGCTAGGGAAGGTATCTTCCACCACATGTGGTGGACTTATTAAAGGGGTAAAGGCTTTCTGGGAAATGGAATATAATGAGTTAAAGAAAATGTTTAAAAATACTTTTGCTAAAAAACCAGAAGCCTTTTTACTGGGTGTAGTGGGTGAAAGGGAAGATAAAAGACTGTGGCAAGAATTCTTTTAGCCCAAAAACGGAAACAAGAAGTACCAATGAAAGAAGAGTGGCAGATGAAGATGGTGGACTTTGCAGAACTGGCGAAGGGGACAGGAAAATCCGAAACCAGCACGATCAAGTATTCCAAAAGGATTGGAATAAATTTATATGATACAGTGGTGCCTCGCAAGACGAAATTAATTCGTTCCGCGAGTTTTGTCGTCTTGCGATTTTTTTCATCTTGCGAAGCACGGTGTCGGGAAAGTTTTGGAAAAGCTTCAAAAATCACCAAAGTCTTTAAAAACCTCAAAAAGGCTACCACACCGCGTTCTATGAGTTGCTCCTCGAAGTCAAGTCGCAACTGTATTAACGGTGTTAAGAAAAGGAAACAAACTTGCAAGACGTTTCCGTCTTGCGAAGCAAGCCCATAGGGAAAATCGTCTTGCGAAGCAGCTCAAAAAACAAAAAACCCTTTCGTCTAGCGAGTTTTTTGTCTTGCGAGGCATTCATCTTGCGAGGTACCACTGTATTTGAGAGATTATTGTAAGCAATTAACATCACTACCAGGGTTGTCTGAAGACCTGTAATGAGAAATTTTCTATCTTTCTATATTAAATTAAATTTGGAGTCACTCTGTAATTGTAATTAGAATTGGAAAACGTATAAATTGCAATGATATAAAGGTTAATTTTGAAAGCTATAAGGTGGGAGGGAAGGAAGTCAATAGGCTCTAAGCACCAGGGCAGTATAGTGGATAATGATGATGTGAATCTATACAGTGGTACCTCAGGTTAAGTACTTAATTTGTTCCGGAGGTCCGTTCTTAACCTGAAGCTGTTCTTAACCTGAAGCACCACTTTAGCTTATTGGGCCTCCTGCTGCTGCCGCGCCCGATTTCTGTTCTTATCCTGAAGCAAAGTTCTTAACCTGAAGCACTATTTCTGGGTTAGTGGAGTCTGTAACCTGAAGCGTATGTAACCCGAGGTACCACTGTATATTAAGTGGAAAATAAATTGTGTGTGTGTGTGTGTGTTCTTCAGTAATAAGACGAAAGAGGGACAGGGTTGGACTAGATGACTCTGGGGGTCCCTCCCAACTTCTTCCCTCACTGGAGGCATGCTTTCCTTGCCTGACTCCACGGCGTACTCTGCACATGCCCAGGAGCTCTCTCGGTGATTACTTGTTGCCAGTCTCGTGGGCGGCGCCAGAGAGGCGGGGGGGGGGGAGAAAAAGGAGGGCCCCCCAGAAGGAGCTCATCCCCCTCTCACTTGCCCACCGAGAGAGACGCTGGGCCCCTTCCGTCCCTTTTCTGACAGGGAAAGAAGCCATTCCCGGCAGCGCTGCCTTCTCTCGCCGCCCCCCGCAGCGGGACCAAGAGGGGTTCGGCGGGGAAGAGGGGGGTGAGGGGGGGTCCCTCAAACTGCAAACAGGGCCGCTTACCCAGCTCTCTCTCCGGAGGCGCCGCCGCCGCCCTCAGCCAAGTTCGGGAACCGAAGAGACCGACGCGCCGCTGACAAGGAGCTCGGCAACTTTCGCTCGCTTCCCCAAAATACAGCCGGCGACTCGGGGAGGCGGCGGGGGGGGGGATGGGTCACGTGCCCGCGCTTGGCCCCACCCGCCCCGCCTCCCTGGGCGCCCCCGCGACGCCTTTCTCTGGGCGGGGCGGGTGCAGGTTCGGGCGCGCCGGCTCTGCTCGCGTCTTGCGCGCAATCAGCGCTTTTATCGGCAGCCGAGTGATTCACGGCGGAGGGAAGGCGGGCTCTCGGGCGCCCCTAGAGGAAAGGCAGGGAGCCGGGGGAGCCTGGCAGGCGCGCGCAGGGGGGGGGGGTGTCCTTTTTTGTGTGCACAAAAGTTCCTATTATTATTATTATTATTATTATTATTATTATGTGAAATATACTTGGAGTCCAGAGCGGATTTCATGCTCTTTATTCAGCTCATATTATTATTATTATTATGTGAAATATACTTGGAGTCCAGAGCGGATTTCATGCGCTTTATTCAGCTCATAGTGGTGAGGAGGAATGGAAGCTCCCCCAGAATGTCTGCTTTATATACATTATTTACACAATGGGCCCCACTTGATTGGCTAATTCCAGGATTCTCCTGTATGCCAATCAGGTTGTGGATTCACTTCCACCTGGAGCTGGATTGGGTGGCTCCTGTGAACCAATCAGACTGCTGCATTCTGGATCCTATTGTTCTAGGACCAATCAGACTGCTGCATTCGGAATCCTATTGTTCTAGGACCAATCAGACTGCTGCATTTTGGATCCTATTCAACTCAGTACATAACATTATATTTATGCTTTTCAGATTTATACATTTCACCAACTTCAGAACTGCTGTCAGATGTTATATGTGTGCATATATATATATATATATATATATATATATATAATTTATGATTTTCAAGTTTATACATTCCAATAATTTTTCAGTCATTTTAACATTTCAAAACTTGACTTCGTTCCCCCCCTTTCTGCGGTTCCTTACACTTATTTTCAATATCTTCTGCATATCCAAATTAACTTAATTTGCTCATTTATTCATCTGCTTTAAATATATACTCTTATGAAACTGCTGGTTATTACAATAATCCTGCCAATGTTCTTATATGTTTACAATTTATCTGTAAGTATTCAATAAACCATTTCCATTATTTTATAAAAAGTTGTCTTGATTTCCTTTTCTTCCCGTAAGTTTCGCCATTTCTGTGTATTCCATAAGTTTTTGTATCCATTCTTCCTTTGCTGGGACTTCTGCTTCTTTCCATTTTGGGTCGAGTAACATTCTTGCTGCTGTAGTAGCATACGTGCATAAATTTCTATACTGTTTAGGTGGTTCTGTCCCTATAATTCCCCAAAGAATTATAATGTTCTTTTGGGAACATTCAGGCCTAGAAGAAGCAACTTGTCGAGGAAAGAGCTCAACTGCCTGTCGAGGAAACTCATCAAATCCGACACTTGGCAAAAAAAAAAAAAAAGGCGTCCAGTCCTCCTCACTAATGATAACCAGAGTGATAAGTTGTTCCATGGCGATGTTCTTCATCTCTTACACACTATTATCATTATTAAAACACATTTATTCAAATGTTGGAATACAGCTTTATCCACTGCCGTAATATCAGAGAGTGATCACTCCAATCCTCAATCTCTCATCCCTGTCATGTTGGCTTGCCAAATAACCTCAGTAGGAACCCACTAGCAATCTGGTTTACATTTACAATTAATATATCCCATCCACAGACACATCTGCATTGATGCTGGCATTAAAATACCCTGTTCTTCAATAAAGAGAGAAAAAAGGAGACCAAATTGTGTCAAATGTATCTTTTGATTAGTCGCTGATGGTATGTGAGGTGTTTTGATAGAGCAATGCTCCAGATGTTATGAACCCAAACCTCTGGTGGTATATTAGAGTCTTCCTTCCATCGTTGGGCAATAACTGGTCTAGCTGCTTTGAACAGGAAGGAAATTAATTCTTTAGATTTAAGGTTATAATTTGGGGTCAAATCTAGTAAGGCATAACATAAAAAGGGCAGACTAATAGTGGGATGGGCAGGAGGGCCATTTGTTATAGGGCCTCAAGTTCAAAGGGGACAAATTTAGGCACTGCAAATCTCTTGTGGCTGGAGCAGGAGGGATCATTTTTATGCTGTGGTCCAAGTTCAGAGTAGCATGGCAGGACCTCCTCCTGCTCACCTCCTTGCCAGGTGATTGCTACTGTCAACTCTGACAGCATCATTTAACAAATAGCTAATATGTGATGTGGTTTATCCTAGCCAGATCAGAACTCTGGCATGGGGAAGGGGCTTCAGACTTTTGCTCCTGCCAGTCCTGAACAGAACAGGAAGCCCTGGAGGCCTGCTATTCACAGCAATGCTAATAATAATAATAATTTATTATTTTTCCCCACCCATCTTGCCGGGTTTCCCCAGCCACTCTGGGTGGCTCCCAACAGAATATTAAAAACATGATAAAACATAAAACATTAAAATCTTCCCTAAACAGGGCTGCCTTCAGATGTCTTCTAAAAGTCAGATAGTTGTTTATTTCCTTGACATCTGATGAGGACAGGTGCCACTACCGAGAAGGCCCTCTGCCTGGTTCACTGTAACCTCACTTCTCACAGGGAGGGAATCGCCAGAAGGCCCTGGGAGCTGGACCTCAGTGTCAGGGCTGAATGATAGGGGTGGAGACGCTCCTTCAGGTATACTGGGCCGAGGCCGTTTAGGGCTTTAAAGGTCAGCACCAATACTTTGAGTTGTGCTCAGAAACGTACTAGGAGCCAATGCAGGTCTTTCAGGCCCGGTGTTATACAGTCACCAGTCTAGCTGCCGCATTCTGGATTTCTTTCTGTTATAAATAGCAGATGGAGGATGTTGGTGAGGATTCTGATCTGGGCTGGGGCTGGGGAGAGGGTGAGGGTGAGTCAATGCCTTCTTCTCCCCACAGCACATTCCTGATTTAGAATCATGGAATTGTAGAGCTGGGAAGGGACCTTGAGGGTCATCTAGTTCAGCCCCCTGCAATGCAGGAATCTCAGCTCAAACATCCATGACAGATGGCATCTGCTTCTGCTTAAAAACCTCCAATGAAGGAGAGTCAAGCAGCTTCCGAGAAAGTCCATTCCACTGTCAAACAGATCTCAACTGTTGGAAGTCTCTTCCTAACGTTTAGTTGGAATCACCTTTATTGTAATTTTAAGCCATAAATTCAATCCTCCCCCCACACCGCCTATTTGTTAAAACAAAACTCAACCACACAAAGACAGGTGTTTGATGGTGGATTTCAGATTTCTTCTTATTAAACTTTATTAAAGGACATTCAACCACAGAAGCCTAGTTGCCTTCACGAAGTTAAAGGGGGCAGTAACCTCTTGGGCTGGATATAAAGCAAAGGAGCTGAATAGATCTGCAGACATGGCTGGCTGGAGAACCAGCCTTGGAGGAAGTGGAAGCCCACAGCCAACAGCAAGATCAGGAGCAAGGCCTTGGCTAATGCCCACAGCAAGGTACATGCGTCCCGGAGAGTTGGGCGCAGGGGACAGATGCAGGAGAATGACCTACAAGCAGAAACAAGACACCAAACGCAAAGTCAGCTGCACAAGATGGTTTGGTTCTCGGTGGTTCTGTCTTTGGGGAGTTCTTGTCTGCTAAGAAACACCTACATGCTGCATGGGATTCAGAGCAGTGTTCTAAGTAAGGCACACAAACTGTTCACAAAGCATGCTAGTCAAGTCTACCACATGAATTGAGATTATACCCTTGAGTCCACCTAACATTTGCGGGAGACAGTATTGCATGCAGTGCCAGATTTACGTATAAACTAAACAAGCTATAGCTTAGGGCCCCAAGAGGGCCCCCCAAAAAAATTAAAGGGGAAAAAAACTGGGTGTACATTTCCAAAATATAAGATAAAAAACAAATAAAATAAAACCTACATACAGCAACAGTGTTTTGTGTTGGACGCAGGTAGCGCTGTGGGTTAAACCACTGAGCCTAGGACTTGCCAATCAGAAGGTCGCGGTTCGAATCCCGGGGTGAGCTCCCATTGCTGGGTCCCTGCTCCTGCCCACCTAGCAGTTCAAAAGCACGTCAAAGTGCAAGTAGATAAATAGGTACCACTCCGGTGGGAAGGTAAATGGCGTTTCTGTGAGCTGCTCTGGTTTGCCAGAAGCAGCTTAGTCATGCTGGCCACATGACCCGGAAGCTGTACGCCGGCTCCCTCGGCCAATAAAGTGAGATGAAACCGCAACCCCAGAGTCGGCCACGACTGAACCTAATGGTCAGGGGTCCCTTTACCTTTACCTTTTAGGCTCCTATGATGTAAGTCATGGGCCCTGCCTGCTAGCTGGCTCCCTAAAATATCACTTGTTTGCTCATTTCTGTATATAGGGTGCCTACCTTCTGCACAGACTGGTTGCAGGGCAACATGTGCAAATGGCTTTAGATACCTATTGGGTTGATAAATTACCATATAGCATATATTCAACACAAAAAACAGTGACAATTTGTTGTTGACAAAGGACAGTTGATTATATAAAGCGCCCCATTACCTTCAGTAACTTAGGGCCTCATCAAACCTAAATCCGGCCCTGATTGTATGGACAAAGTGTCTTCCAGGGGATCCTGCTTTTCAGTATCTTCTCTCTGAGAAACCCCTGATCTTTGCAAGAATGCTAATATTCCCTTGGACCCAACCTGAAAACCACCAACTGACCACATCAGCGCGCAATGTCTGTGCCTTCTCTTCTTCTCCTCACCCCGAAATTCTCACCCCGCTGTGTCCTCCCTTGTTTGTATGATATTCTCTGATAATCCGTTTGATCACTTACCAGGAAGGGAGCTGCTCTTTGAAACTGATTCTGTTTAGTTCCAAACATGGAAGCCTTTTCTGGAAGAACAAAAAAAAAGCATATGTTGAGATTCAAGTGATTGGCTGAGCATGTGTACTGTGAAAAGCCCTATATTCTGCTGTAGACCAAGAATGCCCCCTAGAGCGAGGAATCTGGCACCCCGGCAGTGAACCAGGAATGAGTTTTATTTCCAGATACATCAACATCTGGAGGACCACAGGCTTCTCACCCCTGATGTATATTTTTACACCTTCCTTTTGGCAACAAGGAGTCAGACAGGAAGAAATGTGGCAAGGTTGAACACTGAAGGATTTGATTCTCTGCTACCTCAGTTGTGCTGCTTGGATTCTGAAGTTTCTGGGGTACTAAGGCAGGGTTTACCGTATATGCTATCATTTCCCCCTTCCATTCTGTCTGAACCCCAAGAATGGCACTGACTTGAGCCCATAAACATTTCACGTAAACCACAAACGTCACATCCCCTGACTCACATGCCCCCTGCACTCTGAGCATATAATTTGTGCCCCTCATACCATCTGGTCACATGCTCGCTCCTCTAAAAGAAAGCCCCCATTCGAGGTCCCCACTTGTTCTGAAAGTAGCTCTTTCTGGAATCTGAAACAGAACATAGTATTACATCTCCAAAAGGAAAAGTTTGTGAAAGAAGCAAAACAGAAGGCAGGAGAAGAAAGGACAGTGCGGCTATGGCATGAGATATTGTGGGCCCAAAACATAGTTACTTTGATTGTACTTCCTTCTTTCTCCCCTTTGATTCTGCTTGAACCCTAGGGGGAATGTTATGTTGATTTGTATGTCCCCAATGCAGCATTTACCCAAGCTTCTGTCACTTGTGAAAAACATAGAAATCATTCTCTCTCTCTCTCTCTCTCCACCCCCCTCTCTCTCTCTCTCACACACACACACTGTAGCAAACTTTAATACTAACCCCAAACACTTGCATTTTAAGAGAAAACACACAGGTAACCCTGAAATAAACCCAGGGATGTCTGTTTTTGCTCTACAATTTCCAGGCAGCTCATATTCTTAAAGTGGGAGAGAACACTTCATCACATTCAACAACCTCTGGTGCCTGCAACTATTATTCCCGGATGGTGAGATTTGTGAGGGCCCTGTCCAAGGACACTCAGGTGGGTTTGAACAGGCCTCTGTCATAACATCATCATCATCATTTCATTTCATTACTGCTTTTTATTTTTAGGGGGGGGAATCAAAGCTGTTTACACCCCCCTTAAACATCAAATAAAACAATCCAGAATACAAAAATTACAGAAGAAAGACAGATATAAAGTATACATTCAAAGCTACATATTTAACAGGAAACTAAATTATCATCTTAAAGTTATTTCAAAATAAAACATTCCAGAGGAGGTCAACCACGGAATGCACATTTAATGTGGCAAAGTTAACAATATGTACTGTGTGTGTGTGTGTGTGTGTGTGTGTGTGTGTGTGTGTGTGTGACAAAAGAAAACATTACTAAAGGAAATAATATTATTTATTTATTTATACCCTGCCCATCTGGCTGGGTTTCCCCAGCCACTCTGGGCAGCTCCCAATCAAATATTAAAAACACAATACAGCATTAAACATTAAAAACTTCCCTAAACAGGGCTGCCTTCAGAAGTCTTTGGACAGTAAGATAGTTGCTTATTGCCTTGACATCTGCTGGGAGGGCATTCTACAGGGCGGGTGTCACTACAGAGAAGGCCCTCATTTAAAACAGCATAATTAGCAAGAGAATAAAATATTATCATAAACATAGACCATGCTGGCTAAACAGTTCACTCATCTAGTCAGTCTGCCTCTCCAGTTCACCATAAGCAACCATTATTGCTTTAAACTTACAGTGCCATTTCCTGTTGAGCTTCCATCACACTGTCCTCCAAGAGGGTGATGTTTCTGTGCAGCTCCTTTGTTGTTGGAATTAAGAGAGACAGAAACAGAAAAAGCAACACCTGTTTTTTACACATTAGAAATCTCCGTTCTCTGAATCCCAGTTCAGTCAGGCTGCAGGCTCAATTATCAGCCATGAACTGGAGGAGACAGGAGAATTTGAGTACTATATTATATGTTATGGTTTTGGGGACGAGGATTAATGATATTTCCTAGTCCAATGATTTGGCTTGTAAAAAAAGTTCAGGATTTCCCAAGAATACGGGAACTAATTTGGAACTACTTTGAACTTGCCAGGGCATGTCCAAGCTTTATGAGGAACAGCTGAGGGAACTGGGTACGTTTAGCCTGGTAAGGAGGAGACTGAGAGGAGATATGATAGCCAGTGGTGGCGCAGAGGAGATATGAGAGGAGATATGATAGCCATATGGGTGGCGCAGCCCATACGGACTGCGCATGCACCAGACTAAACGTCCTTCCTTCTGCAGTGTTGGATGGCAGGTTGAGAGGAGTTCCCCACCAGGACAGACTTTGCTCGTGTGATCAAGACATCGATTCCATAAAACATATTTTGCTGCACTGTACGAAATATGAGCAAGCCAGGGCTGAACTGATATTACCCTTGCTGATACCTTTCCCGGGAAAATCAGAGGCTCACTATGTCAGGTTCCTATTGGAAGACTGGACGAACGCTAGAACATTAGCAGTGGCGAAGTTTTTATCGGTGATTGCAAGAACCAATGATCCCTATCTTTAAGTCTGAACAAAATGCTTGTTTAACCTGGAGGTAGGCTGTCTGAATTGTGCATTGCTTTGTAACAATTTGTTGGGTCTCTGGACCGTAATAAAGATTGATATGGTTGATATTTTCTCATGCTTCAGGAACTTCAGGAAGAACTTTCCAACAGTAAGAGCTGTTTGACATTGGAACAGACTCCCTCGGGAGGTGGTGGACTCTCCTTCCTTGGGGGTTTTTAAGCAGAGGTTGGGTGGACATCTGTCAGGGATGTTTTAGTTGAGATTCCTGCATTGCAGGGAAATGGACTAGATGAGCCTTGGGCCTCTTCCAACTCTACGATTCTATTAATCCATGATTCTCTGGGATGGTTGGGACATACCTGGCTCTTCAGAGACAATCCTTGTATGGTGGTGCTGAGTTTCTCAATCTGGTGCTGTCTCTGAAACACCCATAACAAAACAGAACTCTTTTGTTCAGGTTCCACCCACAACAACAAAGTTTCGTCAACTCCTAACATTCCTCCTAGCCTGAAATACTAAATCAGTCTTACTAGTGATGATATGGGGTCTGGAAAAATATGATATTATTCATCTCTGTATGTTCAAAATTACGCCCTCTTTTATGTACTTAAGTACTATGAAAAAAACAGTCTGTTTCCAGCCTTAGATGCTGCCTTCAAGTTGCGCTTCCTTTGCAACACATTCCTACAAATAAATTGTAAGAGCCGTTGTCCAAGCCATGGTAGCAGTTAAGAGATCCTGAGAGCAGTTTGTGGAGTTGAGCCTTGCTTCAACATTAAGTCCTTCCTTGAGCCAAAGAGACAAAGTTGCCTTAACTTACCACCGGGAACATGTGTATATCGAAAGCTCAAATACATCTGAGTTTACCTGTCTGATCCTGTCGTTCTTTGCCTGCCACTTGGCCTCCCATTCAGACAAGTGCCTCTGTGGAGTAAGGTTTAAAAAAAGAGCATTCTTGCATTAGCAGCCTTGTCATTCAGAAACAAATGCACAGCCACTTACCATCTGAGCTGTTCTCTATTCCTTTAGATCAGAGGTAGCCAGGTGCAAAGGTCAGGAAATATGGAAGGAGTATGGTGCAATGCGTCAGTGCATCTGTTAACCAGAAGACTGGTGGTTCAAGCCCAAACAGGGATGGCTGTGGGCAGGATTCCTGCATTGCAGAGGGTTGGACTAGATGACCCTTGGAATCCTTCCTAACTCTACAATTCTATTCTCTGACCATCTGGGGGGCATAGGACTGGCTACCCCTGCCTTTGGGTCCTATTTCTGTCTCAGTCAAGTTGGCATGCAACCCTGGAAACCTCCTTTCAATTTCTCACCCTCTGAGCAAGTTGGGAGCAAAGTCCTGTGCTCCAAAAGCAGAAAGCACACCCTCAAGCATGTCACCAACAAAAGCAGGAATACCTTTGTTAACTTCTAATGCCTCCATTCTCAAAACTAATATCCCAAAGTATGTTACTATCAACACATTCCAGAATGCTCCTCCTAGCTATAGCAGTTCGAAAGCACACCAGTGCAAGTAGATAAATAGGTACCGCTGCAGCGGGAAGGTAAACTATCCTATCGGAAGGAGTACTTAGCTTCTAGGTTCTACTGCTGTTCCTGGGTTTGCGTTGTTGTTTTTTCTTACAGTTCAGGGTCAGGGGTGAGGAACCTGTATCCCTCCAGGTGTTACTGGACTATGCCTCCCATCATCTTAACTATTGGCCATGCTGGGTGTGGCTAATGAGGGTTTGAGTCCAACAACATCTGGATGTCTGCAGGTTCCTCATCTGCCTTAGGTATTGATATAGAGCCATCAGCTGGTCCTTATACAAAGACATACAAAGAATGTGACTTTCACCTTCAGCTCATTGCCTTCTGTTCTCAGCTCCTTTAGGATATCCTTGTTGGACTTCTCCTCCAACTGTTGCTTGAAGACCTTTGTGTAATGATAGTCAAGTCAAAGTTGATTTCTTTACAATATGCAAGTCAATTTTAGTAAGAACAAAAGATTTCATGATTGGGCACATGGAGGGAAGCAGTTATGAGAAGCACGCTTAAGGAACTGAAACCTAGGACAGCAATCATTTTGAGACAATTTGCAGTTAAAACTTGCACAGTGTTAAGTAGAGTTGGTCCCTTTGCCCCACCAATAAAATATCTGAGGGGGCTGGGGGCCCTCAAAGCTGATGGGCATTGCCTGATGGGCCTGGATTAAGGTTAAACCCATGTCTTTGGCATGCTAGTTTTCTACTTGCAATTAGTTTTTGGTTCTTTGCTGGCTAGGTCACCACTCAAACATGTGAATTCCTCACTTGCAGTGTGAAGTGGCACCATCTAGGAAAAGTTTAATGACTTGATCCTGCTGCACGGACAACCAAGGCCTTCAGGAAGACGGATGAAACCCATGCTGGTTGGTCCCAACTAAATTTGCCACATCAAGCAGCTCTCACCTTTTTTTCCAGTTCTTTAACAGTCTCAGCCATTCTCTGATTTTCCTTCTGCTGTAATTTAGAGAAGAGATGGAAAGGTCTAACTAAGTCTTGTTTCCCAGATACAGATCAGACTGAGTTCTGTAGTCTGTTCTATTCAAACACACAAACCTGCACAGATTTTCCTCTTTCCCTTTCAGATTATGGGAAGGGAAGGACTCTTAATCTCAGAATCATGGGTTCGAATCGAGCCCCACTTTGGACAAAAGATTTCTGCACTGAAGGGGGTTAGACTAAATGAACTTCCAACACTACAGTTCTATAATTCTATGTCAATTCTTTCCCCCTCCTGCCACACACACACACACACACACACACCCGCACCATACATTTTAAAGTACTATGATACTACTTTAAACAGTTGTGGCTTGCCCCAAGAATCCTGGGAAATGTAGTTTGTTAAGGGTACTGAGAGTTGTTAGGAGATCCCCATTTCCCCTCCCGGAGTGGTTTAACAGCCTATCCCTCTTCCCAGGGAACACTGGGAATTATAGTTTTGTGTGGGAAATAGGGGTCTTCTAACAACTCTCAGCATCCTTCACAAACTATAGTTTCCAGCATAGGCTTAGCCAAGGGGGGGCAGCTGCCCTATCAAGTAAAACAATACAAATACTTAACTGACCAATCACATTGGTTCTGCCCCCCCAAAAAGTCCTGCCCCCCCAAAAAGTCCTGCTCCTCTCACAAAAATCCTGGCTATGCCCATGGTCCCCAGTATTTTTTTTGGGGGGGGGAGTCATGACTGTTAAAGGGGTACTTTAAATTTATGGTGCAGATGTGATATCAAAGTAAATGTGTATTATCACATGACGTTATCTATTTGAAGCTGTATGTGCCTTGTTGTTTTGTTTTTGCTATACATACTCATTAGTTGGAGCGAATGTCTTATATTTTACCCCTGAACATGATCAGAATTTATACAGTATAGCACTTCTGTTTCATGTACAACATTTTGTTATCCTTCAGCAATACTATAAAGTAAGTAGAAGTATTCTGCAGATGTGGGGACCTAGGCTTGAAATGTCTTCTCTAGGGCAAAGTAGTAAGTTCAAGTAACTACTTAATTCGTTCCAAAGGTCCGATCTTAACCTGAAACTGTTCTTAACTTTTTTTTTTTAATGATATTTATTAAAATTTCAGAAGAAAAAGATTACATTAATAAGAAAAATAACAATAAAAAAGGAAAAATACAAAGTACAAAAAAGAAAAAACAGTTAAAAACAATTCCATCTTTTCATCACTTCTCTTATATTTACTTGTTTCCCGGACCTCCTCATACCTCCCTCTTTTGTATTCTAATTCAATTTGTTAGTCCAGCAATTCCTTTCCCTCCTTTTTAATCATGATCTTTAATCTTGATATATTATAACATTAAATTTTTACGTATTAAAAACCAATTTTTCCATATTCTTTTATACCATTACAGCTAGAAACCACTTAACTTCAATCCAACATCATTCTAACATTCATTAACTGAAACTGTTCTTAACTTGAGGTACCACTTTAGCTAATGGAGCCTCCCACTGCCGCGCAATTTCCATTCTCAATCTGAGGTAAAGTTCTCAACCCGAGGTACTACTTCCGGGTTAGCGGAGTTTGTAACCTGCAGCGTCTGTAACCTGAGGTGTCTGTAACCTCAGGTACCTTATTTCCTCATTTTAGCAGAGCACTAGCTTAGCATGCAGTCCCAAATTTAGTCCTCCAATGTCTTCAGGCAGAGTTAGGAAAGACTTCCCCCTCAGGCCTGAAGAGCCATTGCTGGTCAGAGCCAACAGTCCTGAGCTAGGAGGACTGGGCACTAGGCAACTTCCAGTGTCTCCATCATGTTACACCAGCTCAGGAGAAAGAAAGCAAATTTAAAAATAAATTAGGTGCTTATTAACACTGAACTCTGTTAGTAGCATCATAGAAATCTATTGGGTGAGATTCATTTTTATAAACCCCATCAGTTCAGTGAGTCCCACTTGCCCAGCAGGGCTTTCACCCTCTCCCCCCGCCCCCCGCATGCCCCCTCAAAATTGGCTTAGGAGGGAGAAGGAGTTGGGGGCATGACGACCACACAACAGTACAGTATGCAGAGGGAGGGAAGGAATCCTTTAATCTTGCACAGATGGAAGGTTCCTCTTAGCCAGAGGCTGAATTCCAAATGCTAGTTTTGTTTTTTCTTTAAATGTATGTAAGAATTCAGATAAGGAGCGGGAGAAATGTGCAAAATAGAAAACAACATCTCTGGACCCAGGAAGAAGCAGAAGCTATGAGCTAAGAAGTGAAACACAGAAAACAACAGTATATAATAATGTCTGCTGCGTTAATATTTCAAAATACAGTGCCGTCACTTTTAAGTACTGTTTAAAACACTGGACTTCAAAACCTTTAACTGCTGATTCTAAAACATGGATTCCCCAACTGCAGACCAGTTTCGTTCAGGTGGCATGCTGTTAAAAATATAATTAAAATCACACAGCATCTAGCACAGTGCATTATCACTGTTACAACTGGCAGAAAAATAATTAAGTGGTCTGCCAAGACCCTCAGCAATTTTCAAGTGGTCCCTGAAGGGAAAAGTCTGAGATCCTAGGACCTTTTTTTGACTGGAAGGAGGCTTATAAACAACAGTGACACAACACAACGGAACAAGATTGTTTTATCTCCGCCCCCCTTCATCCCTCCGGCAAACACACTGGAAAAAGGCAAGAAACTGTCCTGATTAAATTGTGGTTGTTTTTTTTGTTAAACTCATTACATGGAACAAAGGGCCGTTCCAGAAGGAGAAGCACCATTGGAACTTGGGCTGACCTAAGAGGAATAAAATAAGAATGCCACAGACAGGGTTAAGATAATATTGTTAAGGCTTGGCTTGCTTATCTATCATGTTGATGGCCCTCCTTTGTTCATAGAAGTCAGTGCTGGCTGGCACTTTCCCACAGACCTGCCTTCAGTTCTGTGCAATGAGAAGAGAGAGCAGCAGAGGCCTTGGAGTTACCCAACAGCAGTTAGCTCCTGAATAGACACACCCGTGATAGCCAGTGAGAGGTAGTGAGAGGTATTGAATTACACCAATCGCTCCTGAAGTAGGCATTTAGACTAAATCAGCATATGGAAATTGGTCCTTATCTTTGATAATGCATTTACTCTTTCCCCCTGATGTTCCCTGAAGTCACCTTCTTCAAAGCAGGGTGGGCGGTGCTGACTTTCAATGGCGGACACTACTGAACAGAAGGACTGTGAATGTTTGCCTTAAGGCAGAAAATGGGATTTCTGTGCTAAAAGACTGATATTCTAAACAGCTAAGGCAGAGGTTTCCAACCTTTTTGAGTCCACGGCTCCCTTGACCAACTACATTTTTTCTGTGGCACCCCTGTAGAGTTCAGGAGCCCAGTTATGATACGTCATGGGTAGGCAAACTAAGGCCCAGGGGCCGGATCCAGCCCAATCGCCTTCTAAATCCGGCCCATGGACGGTCCGGGAATCAGCATGTTTTTACATGAGTAGAATGTGTCCTTTTATTTAAAATGCATCTCTAGGTTATTTGTGGGGCTTGCCTGGTGTTTTTACATGAGTAGAATGTGAGCTTTTATTTAAAATGCATCTCTGGGTTATTTGTGGGGCATAGGAATTCGTTCATTTCCCCCCCCAAAATATAGCCCGGCTCCCCACAAGGTCTGAGGTACAGTAGACCGGCCCCCTGCTGAAAACATTTGCTGACCCCTTGCCTGCAGAGCTGGCAGCCTCTCACTCTTTTTCAAACACCCTCCCTTGTGGAGTGTTCCTTCAGCTCCTCTCCTCTCTCCTTGGGAGTCCTCTGGGCTGCTACTTCTGTCCCCCATCCCCACCCCAAAAAGAGGTGCCTCCTCACACTGCCCCACAGGGGCCTGGGACTTGTCTGCCCATTCCCAACAGCAAGGGCTGGTGGACTGGCTGGCTGGGCTCCCTTGCCCACTTGCTTGCTTACTCCAAGGCCACCTCAGCTCCTGGCAACCAGTACCCCCTGACTAGCCCCAGAGGCACCATTTGCCTGAGGAGCTTGTAGCCAGGGCTGCTGCACCAAACAGCTGTGGAAGCCTTTGGGAGGCAGAGATGTGAGAGGGCACCAGAGGGAAGGAAAGAGGGACAGAGACCATTGCTACCCAAGGCACCCCTGACCATCATTCAAGGCACCCCAGGGTGCCACGCCACACTGGTTGAAAACCACTGAGCTAAGGGGATGCAACGTCCATCCAATTCATCCGTGGGACCATTCCAGTGGCACCTTCCCCCCCCCCAGCAAAAATTTGCAGGGAGTGCCTAGAGCTTCATGCCACAAAGCCAGTCCCCACACCTCTTTCTTTTCATGAAGCAATGACTGTACGAAGGTCTACCAAAGAGTCGGGCGGGGGGAGAATAAAGGAGTCCCAAAGAGTCCCTGCCTGCAAGGGTCTCACTTGCTTGTGGATGCGCAGTTGGCGTTGACGGCTTCGGTTCTGGAACTCCCTCAGGGCGTACTGGGCTTCCTCCAGCTCTTCTTGCAGTGCCCGGGTCTTCTTCTCCAGGGGTTCAAAACTGCAGAGGGGGAAAGTCAGCTGTATCCCCCAGGATCAAGTGCACCAGGACCTGGCAAGAAGTTATTGCCTTACTCAGTAAGGCCCTGGCCTCCCTGCCAGAGACTCCTGTCTCTTTCACTTGTCTGCCTAAAATATATTCCAGCATCCTTTGTAACAGTGCATCTCTTTTTCAACTCAGTGCAACAATGGGGAAATGGCTGAAAAATCTATTGATACAGGGGTGTAGTGTGCAGGGCATAGCTGTCAACTTTTCTCTTTTCTTGCGAGGAATCCTATTTGGAATAAGGGAATTTCCCTTTAAAAAAGGAAAACGTTGACAGCTATGGTGCAGGGTGCCCGGGAGCCGTGGCCCCTAGTACACAATTTTTGAAGGAGTGCGAATCAGGCGACCAGCAACCAGTGCTACACCACTGTCTTGATACCAGCCAGAGGAATAGTTGCTGCTGCTTCCTGCGAAGGTTGGCTAATGTTCAGGCACCAAACAGCCTAAAAAACCTAACTGGAAATAAAACACACCCTTTGTAGGCAAATCTAGAGCAGCCACGGACAGTTTTTTGCCCTGTGCCCCATCCCTAGTTTTGGGTGCCCGCTCTGAGAGCCTCTCACCTCTTGGCCTGCAGCAAGGAGCAGAGCTGGGCCTGATGTCCCAAGAGTGCCTCATATTGGTTCTGCCAGACTTCACCATGAGCAAGTTCTTCGTGGATCCACTCCTGCAGCCAAGCGTTCTCTTCCTCAAAGTTTCTGGGTTTAGATGGGGAGAGACTAAGTGAGGACTGAGTGGGTGGTGGAAGTACCATTGTAGAATCCCCAAAGATAGCAAAAGAGATGGCTCCTCAGCTTCAACTCATGCCTAAAGACAGACATCTAATGGCTGTCCATCAATTTTTGTATAGAAGAACCTGGTGCAATTGGGCAACAGAAAATATGAAAGCAGCGTAGGGGATATTACATTATGTACCTCCATTATTCTTGTTAATCTGTTTTATTTCATACTGTGCTGTTGCTGAGACTACAGAAGCAAGGGAATGGCTGGCATGATGTTGTGGGGAAAGGCCAGGAATCTTATCCCTTTCCCCTCAGGCCATTTTTGTCCCCCAAACAAAAATCGCTCCCCGCACCTGAAACTGCTTGCATAGGAGCAGGCTATAAATCTACCCTCTTAAAAGCTGGATTTGTTGCTTCCTTTTCCTACCCTAAGATAAGGTGAAAAAAAATGTTCTTCCCCGACTCAGAAAGTCGTGGACTCTGCTTCACTGAAGGTTGTTTTAACAGAGGTTTGGTGACCTTTTGCCAGTGATTCTTTAGCTGTGATTCGTCCATTGCAGGGGGTTGGACCAGATGACCCATAGGGTCCCTTCCAACTCTATAATTCTATGATTCTGTGTTTCTAGCTGTCCCTTACCCTACTCTACCCAACTGAGTGTTTTATATTGTGATTTAACTCTGTTAAATGCATTCAGTCGGCCCTACCCTCCAAAACTATTGATGGAGAAGTTGACCCTTCATTAATAAGAACTCTCTCTGCACCCATTCTCTGAACAATGATTTTGAACCACTAGTCCTGTACTAGTCAGGATCAAAGTATACGAGATGTTGTTCATGTCTTTATCCCTTTTGTAGTTGGGTGGTTTTAAAACAAATAAATAGCAGGGGTAAAGTTTAGACTATTTGCCCTTGTTTGAACTTATCCCTCCCCTCAGCTCCCGCCGCCATGTTTGCTGTATGTAATGGAAAGGAAATTACTGCAGCCTAATTCACATCAGGACGATGGTGGGCTGTGGTGGGATAAAGTGTAAAAAAGACCCTTCCGTACACTGCAGCCCCAGTCTGGTTCAGTCTGCACAAGGGCTAAAGGAGTGGATCACATCTCATTTACCCCTCAATGCTCTACATTTGCTTATCTGCTTTCTAGCACACACTTGCAATATTGGGCCACACATTGCTCACTGTCAGCTTCTCAAGCCACAAACTGAAAGCTGTAGGAAACGTACCCTCTTTGCTTCAGTTTGTTGTCTCGACTTGGTGCCACATCCATGATGCTCAATTCCTCAGTTGGTCACTTTCTTTTCTAGAGAAAAAAATCAACACATGTGCCAGCATGGACTTTGGAGAGACCGGGGGTTGGGGGAGTTAGCTGATTGTACTGTTTTGGATGGGGAGGGGTGAAGAAGTTGAAAAGGAAGAGGGGAAATTTCCGCCACAGCACCCCCAAGGATGGAAATACAAAAAACAAAATAAAAAAGTAGAGGACCACAAAAATACCACATCCATTCCTGCAAGTTAGTTATAGAAGAAACAACAAGGCACTTACTTCTGGCAAATAGGAGCCAGTCTGAGCTAAATTGGGGCATCAATTTATTGCCAACATGCAGTCCAGCTGAACAGATCTTCTGAGATTCATCACGGAGCTCTGGTTGCCATCACATAGCCACAGGTTGCTTAGCAACCACCTGAACTCGGACACTCTGGCCTTGAATACATCTGCTACTTGGTGCCCTACTATGATTAAGTTTAGCTAAAAGTTTCTTGGCTATCCCATCTGTGGACCCCAAATTCATAAGACCTGTACACAGGCATTCTTGAAAGGCATTATTGTATTGGTGGTTTACAGAGTTGTGGCATTTCTTCCTCTTTTGAGAGATTCAACCTTTTGCATCTGAGCCAGCTTTCCCATGTGATCTGCTACCGTCGTTTTCTTAACTGAGATCTTTAATCTTTTTGGGTTTTGTACAATTAAAGTGTGTTAAAATTACATGGAAATTATGGTTTGGGGGATTAATTATGATATAACGGTTTGCTTTCCTAAATTGTGTGAGACAATGTTTAAATTGCCAGACAACAGCTTAAACAGGAAAGCTGGTTGCCTCAGAAGTCTGATTTCCACTCATATGGTAAACATGAGCTCTGCTCCTTCATACTGCAAGTGTGGGTGGATCCTTCGTTCTACAAATAAAATCCATATCAGGAAAAACGATTCTAGTCTAGCCCCCTCCCAGACATCCTACATACAGTGGTACCTCAGGTTAACTACTTAATTCGTTCTGGAGGTCCATACTTTTTTTTTTTTAATATAAGATATTTATTAGGATTTTTAAAATATTACAATAAAAAATGAAAAAGAAAATACAAAATAAAAATGATTAAAAACCACTCAATTTTTCCATTGCTTATTTTTCCTTAGCTTGTTTCCCGGACCTCCTCATACCTCCCTTTTTTGTATTCCAGTTCAGTTTGTTGGTTCAGCAAATCCTTACCCTCTTTATTTATCCTAATCTTTGATCTTAAAATAGTAACGTTAGATTTTTACCTCTTAACAACCCATTTTTCATATTCCCTTAAAGCATTACAGCTGGAAACCACTTAATTTCTATCCAACATCATTCTAACATTCATTAATTTTACAATATTTCTGTAGATAATCTTTGAACTTCTTCCAATCTTCTTCCACTGACTCTTCTCCCTGGTCTCGGATTCTGCCAGTCATTTCTGCCAGTTCCATATAGTCCATCAGCTTCATCTGCCATTCTTCCAGAGTGGGTAAATCTTGTGTCTTCCAATACTTTGCAATGAGTATTCTTGCTGCTGTTGTGGCATACATAAAAAAGTTCTATCCTTCTTTGGCACCAATTGACCGACTATGCCTAGGAGAAAGGCCTCTGGTTTCTTCAAGAAGGTATATTTAAATACCTTTTTCAGTTCATTATATATCATTTCCCAGAAAGCCTTAATCCTTGGGCACGTCCACCAAAGGTGAAAGAATGTACCTTCAATTTCTTTACATTTCCAACATTTGTTATCGGGCAAATGATAAATTTTTGCAAGTTTGACTGGGGTCATGTACCACCTGTATATCATTTTCATAATATTCTCTCTTAAGGTATTACATGCCGTAAACTTCATACCTGTGGTCCATAACTGTTCCCAGTCAGCCATCATTATGTTATGTCCAACATCTTGTGCCCATTTAATCATAGCAGAGTTCACCGTTTCATCCTGAGTATTCCATTTCAACAGCAAGTTATACATCTTTGACAAAATCTTAGTTTTGGGTTCTAATAGTTCTGTTTCTAATTTTGATTTTTCCACCTGGAAACCAATTTTCTTATCCAAATTATATGCCTCCATTATCTGATAATAATGAAGCCAGTCTCGCACTTTGTTTTTAATTTCTCAAAACTCTGCAATTTCAGTCTATCTCCGTCTTGTTCCAAAATTTCCCAATATTTCGGCCATTTGGCCTCCATATTGAGCTTTTTCAGAGCTTTTGCTTCCATCGGTGACAGCCACCTTGGAGTTTTATTTTCCAATAAGTCCTTGTATCTTATCCAGACATTAAACAATGCTTTCCTGACAATGTGATTTTTAAATGCTTTATGTGCTTTGACCTTATCATACCACAGATATGCATGCCATCCAAATACATTGTTAAAACCTTCTAGATCCAAAATGTCAGTGTTTTCAAGAAGCAACCATTCTTTCAACCAGCAAAAAGCTGCTGATTCATAGTAAAGTTTAAAGTCTGGCAGGGCAAATCCACCTCTTTCCTTTGCATCTGTTAATATTTTAAATTTTATTCTAGGCTTCTTGCCCTGCCAGACAAATTTAGAAATATCTCTCTGCCACCTCTTGAAACAGTCCATTTTGTCCACAATTTGCAATGTTTGAAACAAAAACAACATTCTAGGCAATACATTCATTTTTACCGCAGCAATACGGCCCAGCAGTGAAAGCTTCAAATTTGACCAAATTTCTAAATCTTTTTCACTTCAGCCCAGCATTTTTCATAGTTGTCTTTAAATAAATTCCCATTTTTACTGTCATGTTAATCCCCAAGTATTTAACTTTCTTAACCACTGTTAAACCTGTCTCATTCTGAAACCTCTCTCTCTCCATTGGTGTTAAATTTTTCTCTAAAACCTTGGTCTTTAACTTATTCAACTTAAATCCTGCAACTTGACCAAATTCTTGAATCAGTTCTAAAACTCTTTTGGTACTAGATTCTGGCTCCTGTAACGTCAATACTAAGTCATCTGCAAATGCTCTCAATTTGTACTGTTTGGCTCCGACCTGTATACCTTTAACCAACCGGTCCCTTCTAATCATATTCAGCAGAACCTCCAGGACCGCTGGAGGTCCATACTTAACCTGAAACTGTTCTTAACCTGAAGCACCACATTAGCTAATGGGGCCTCCCGCTGCCGCTGTGCCACCGGAGCACAATTTCTGTTCTTATCCTGAAGCAAAGTTCTTAACCTGAAGCACTATTTCTGGGTCAGCGGAGTCTGTAACCTGAAGCGTATGTAACCTGAAGCGTATGTAACCTGAGGTACCACTGTACTGCTTTTCTAAGTGCAATGATTTATTTGTCTTATTGCTACAATCTGAAAACGGTAACGGCCTTTGAGTAGTTTCTGTAGACAACAAATATAAAAGGAAAATTGATAGAAAGGACAATATTGTAAATAAAAAGACAATAGACAAATATAAGCAATAAGTTTATTGGTACAAAATGGAAGAGGCGGGAAGTCATTCATTTATGAAGAATATTATGATTTTAAAATTACAACTTTTTTCTTTTTTGTGTGTAGTAATATCTGCTGACTTAAGAATGATGACAATAATAATCACGAATATGTTTTGAAAACAAAGAATATGTATGCTTGTAAGATGTAAAGCTATGATGTAAATATATAATTGTGAGTAATAAAAGGGGGGTGAGATTTATTTGTCTTGCAGAAGCCCCCACGTGAGCCCCCACAGGCTACCAGAAGTGCTGCTACCTAGGCACAAGTTTACTGTTATCAGAACTAGGCCAGAATGTACACAAAGGATCCTTGAAATCAATTTCAGTGTTTAGATAGGAGGCTGTAAGTCTCCAAGAGAGCATTCACTTCTTATTCCTTGTTCAGCACCTGCAGAGCTGCATGATGGCAATGTGTATATGAAACAGTGGCTGTTCTCTCCTGCTTTGCGCAAATGGACAAACAAGCCAAGATGGGGACAGCTTAATGTTGCATTAAAACCTGGGCTTGTCGTTTGTTTCTTCTTAACAAGCCAGGACTGCTAGTCAGCCTTAAACCCAAATCCTGACTTGTTAAGGAGAAACAAACCTTGAACACTGTGCCAACCTTCTCCAGCCTGCTGTCCTCCTGATGTTTTGGGCTATGACTCATGAAAATTGGGACATTCTAGAGCTGGACTGTAAAGAAGGCTGATCGCCAAAGAACTGATGCTTTTGAATTATGGTGCTGGGTGCTGGAGGAGACTCTTGAGTGTCCCATGGACTGCAAGAAGATCAAACCTATCCATTCTGAAGGAAATCAGCCCTGAGTGCTCACTGGAAGGACAGATCCTGAAGCTGAGGCTCCAGTACTTTGGCCACCTCATGAGAAGAGAAGACTCCCTGGAAAAGACCCTGATGTTGAGAAAGATTGAGGGCACAAGGAGAAGGGGACAACAGAAGACGAGATGGCTGGACAGTGTTCTTGAAGCTACTAACATGAGTTTGATCCAACTGTGGGAGGCAGTGGAAGACAGGAGTGCCTGGCGTTCTCTGGTCCATGGAGTCACAAAGAGTCAGACACGACTAAATGACTAAACAACAACAATTCTAAAGCATAGAATGTCCCTATTTTCATGCAGAATGTTGGAGGATATGCCTCCAGCCCCAAAGAGTATGGCCAGTGGTCAGGGATTTATAGTCCAAAACATCTGCTTCCTACTTTGCCTTTACACAAAGCAGAGAATAATTAGGCTGTGTGAACAAGGCAGGCCACAGCTCATTGTCATATGTGAACACAGCCAATGATGGAATGAAGAGGGGTTTAGATTTGATGGCAATGCTAAGGAAACCCCACCTTAATGATAATGAGGCAATTAAGCCTAAACCTGAGAAGGGAGGAGAACTGTTTCTAAACTATCTAATGCTGGAATGTTTTGCAGGGGGCATTATTAGGCAAACAATCTGTAACCCTGGCAACCAGGTGGCTTTGATCAGCCCCAGAAAGGATACTGTTATCTGATGAAGAATTTATAGCACTGGCGATTTGAATTATGCAAGGTTTGCAGCGTTGCTTCAGAGATAATGAGACACACCTGTAGATGTGACCACTTAGGGCTAATTACAGGTTACATTAACCACATGATTTTTAAAGCATGCTTAACGCTGGTACTTTTCTTTTGAAGAAAAAGCTGCTAGAGTGCCCCAACTCAACGTCACACTCCCCTTCTGGACTGGTGCTCCATTGCTCCTCACCAGGGGAGGTCTACACACATGGCTTTTAGCATTTATCTATCAGATTTTCAAAACAAAAAACCAGTAAAACTGAACCAAATAGGATGGCATTTTGGTTGTAATGTGGGCCCAGTGCAAAACTTGTATGCATAAGGAACAGAGGCCATGATAAATTTCCATGTAGAAGCATCCACTATTGTGGCATTTTCAGGAACATGGATTTAGTTTGAAAGCACACAATCACCAATTGAAAACACCAATGCCGCAAGTGGGTACTCAACCCATATCTAACCATTCTTAGAACATTACAGCTGTCTATTCACTGAGGAAGACAGCAGGGGTCTGCTGACTGCAAGGAACCAGCTCCCCTACAGAGAAACCTCCTCCTTCTTCTTCTTTGGAGATCACTTGTAGCCAAGTAAGATTGTCTTCCATAAACACAGTTTTAGTCCGTAGGTGACTGTGGAGGCCTATTCTGGATCCGCACATCCTTCCACAGTGGGGACATAGGTTTCTGGGTGGGAGTTGATCATGGTGTGGATTTGCCAAGCTTGCCTTCCTCTTAGCACCATGTACATGCTAGCACTAGATTGGGTGCTCGGGGGGGGGGGGGACAGGACACAGGGCTCCTGCAGAGCTATAGCTAGGTGATCTTGCACCCCTGGCAGAACCATCCAGATTGCGCCCCCTAGCCATGAACAAATTAGCTCTTCTTTCCACCTCTTATCCAACCCACCCATTCAATTCACCCTCTATTTAAAACCATTTCTTATAAGGCAAGACTGCCCTAAATGAGGCCAAAAGACTGCCCTAAATGAGGCCAAACTCTGCATCCCCCCCAAAAAGCACTGCCTATTTAAATCTATGCAGTGATAAAAGCTACCAATGTGTGATCCTTCTGGTGGGGCCAAGGTGGGGCCTTACCATTTTGGCTGCTAAAAAGGTGAGAGGACACCAGAAATTATTTGTCTTCTAGAGGGTAAAACCCTGAGCTCTATTGCCCAGTATCTGATCCGGCAAACTGTAGAATGAACACTTTCAGTTTTCAGCACAAATGAAATATACGAGACAGCACTTTTTCAGCCAATTCATTTTAATAAAGAAAGCCCTGGATGGTACTATTACTCCACCTTCCCTTTATACAGTTAGAGAACCCGCAGGACGCAGTTGTCTCGGGATGCCCACATCCCTTGGATGCCAACTCAACATATGTAAGCAACCCGTAGCTACAGGAACATTCTGGGGGGGCTGAAGACAGTGGTCTGCATGGATGACAACTGGGTCAGAAAAGCAAAATACAGGGAGAAGATTCTATTCCCCATGAGCAAGGAACAAGCAATGTTCCCATAAACTGGAACAAGCAATGGTATGATGGGAACTTTAGCCAAACAACGTCTGAAGGGCCACAGATTCCTCACCTTTGAGAAAGATGAGTTGTTACCACAATCGTTCTGCAATGGCTTGGCTTTATTTCATAGAAATTAGTACATATATAGAACAGTGGCAGACTTGATCCAGTTAGAGTCTGGAGCAGCTGCTCCAGAACTCCCTAGTGCAGTCAATCCCAGCCATGTCTTTAATTGCCATTCCATTGAGATGGCCATAGTTTGGGGGAAAGTGGTCTGGCTCGCCAGATTAGGACCCCTGCCAGGTTAGTTCCCTACCACAGATGCAGATCACAGCACTTGTGAAGGACAAGGGGCTACAAGGAGAGAAAGGCTTACACCTGCAGTTACCCAATGACCCACCCCTACCACCCTCTTCTTAAAGACCACCTGTTGGCCCAGAATGTCCACTGCAGTCCAGGGTTTGGGCATCAGTTACACGTGTTTCTTCACATGGAGGGAGAGGTGATCCGAACGGGAGAAAGTGCGCAGGCAGACCTGACACTTGAATGGGCGTTGGCCAGTGTGCTTACGATAATGGCGAGTCAGCTCATCGGAGCGGGCAAATTTCCAAGCACACCCTTCATACAGGCATGGGTATGGCTTCTCACCTGCAAAAGACCAGCAACAATCACTGCAACCTTGTGCTTCTTCTGAGCCAAAAGAGGATTATACTCACATTTACTTAACCTATTTCTATGTTTACTTCTTGCTACGTTTCTATCCCACCCTTCCTCCCAAGAGTCCCAAGAGCAACAAGCATACAAATGATAAAACTAGTAAAAAAATCTATATACCCCCATGTGTTCCAATACAGATGCAGACAAGGGAAAATATCTACATAAAATGCTTGTTGGAAGAGGCTGGGCTTCACCAGCTGCCCAAAATGGAACAGAGACAGAGCCCATCTAATATTTAATGGGAGGTAATCTGTGGCTTCTCAAGGAAGGCCCCACTTATTGAGTACATTGCAGTAATCCAGCCTGGAGGTTATCAGCACATGGGTGGCAGTAGCGAAGCCATCCCAGTCCAGAAACAGCCATAGCTATCTTACTAGCCAACACTAATAAAAAGGTTCTCCTAGCCACTGAGATCATCAGGGCCTTTCATGACAAAGATGGATCCAGGATCACTCCCAGACTACAAACCTGCTCATTTTGGAGGAGGTGGGGTATGATTTCATCTAAAAAAGGCAACTGAGTAGACTCACACCACTATTGAAGAACAACGCAATCAACAGCAGTTCCCCCCTCCAGCCTTGGCATGGGTCTGGGTCACTGTAGTGAAACACCCCATAGTTAGATGCTGGGAGAGGGGAAAACCAGAATGGAAAGCAGAGTACCTGTGAAGGGAATTTCCAGTGGAAAGCTGGAGTATGATTAAGTAGTGTTCAACTTGCAGGATGATACTACTGAGGACAGCATTACTAAGGAATCCACTCCCAACCCAGGGACCTCCCTCAACCAGAGCCAGGGCTTTTTCAGCTGTGGCTCCGATATGGTGGAACGCTCTGTCACAAGAGACTAGGGCCCTGTGGGATTGGACATCTTCCACAGGGCCTGCAAGACAGAGCTGTTCCACCAGGCCTTTGGCCAAGGCACAGTCTGACCCCCTCCTTTGCTAATCCTCAGAACTCTAGCCCAATGGTTGCCATTAACTGAACTGATTTTAGAATGAATTGATTTTAGAATGTATTTCAATTAATTGATTGTGATTTTATGTAAATTGTGTTACTTTTACTGTTGTTAGCTGCTCTGAGCCCAGTTTCGGCTGGGGAGGGCAGGATATAAATACAAAATTATTATTATTATTATTATTATTATTCGAGCAGCTCTTTTTTTTACCTGTGTGAGTGCGAAGATGGGCCTTGAGGTGGGAGCTCTTGGTGTAAGTTTTCCCACAGTTGGGATAATTGCAGATGTGGCTGGCAGGCTGCTTACGGGATGAAGACTTGTGTCCTTTCTTAGGCTTGTCTGCGGCTTCCTTGGCAGGCAGGGGAGGCGTCAGGGTACTGTAAAGGGAAGATGTAGTAGACACAGCTGCATCTGTCTGGTAAAGCTGGAATGTGGCTTGGTAGTGGCCAGGGTAGGTAGGGAAACTGCTGCTCAGCAGACTGCAGTGCGGCAGCTGGGATTGCGCCGGTGGAAGCTGACTGCGAGACCCATGTTTGCTCTGCAAAGAGGGACCTGGGTGTACATAGGTCAGCTGGTAGTACTGGCCATGAACTCTCTGTTTTGGCTCTCCGTGGTGCTGTACTGTGGGAGCAAAAGCCCCAAAATCTGCCTGGGCAAAGAAGTGCTGCAGATGATCACTGGACAATGCTAGGCTCTTATTTGGATCCATCACATTCTGGGCATATCCGTGATGGGCAGGAGGAACATAGTTCACAGAGCTATCTCCTGGTTGGAGTTTGGTGTCAAACCCTGGTGCCCAAGGAGCATCAGGCACCCCTCTGTTGGTTTTGGGTAGCCTGCCTCTCATTCCCTCCTCAGTGGTTACTGGCAGGCAGGCAGTGGACACTGGAGGTTGTTCCTCTTGGCCAACCCAAGTAGCACTAGCAGTGGCTGGCTCCGAGGCAGAGAAGTTTCTCATGAGGAAGTCAACATCCCAGTAGGCTTCATATTCTTGCTTCATCTGCTGAACCCCCTCAGGCTGGGGCACATCTAAGAGCCCCCGAGATGAATGGCCTAACGAATCCTCCTGTTTCCACCACTGTAACGTAAACAAACAGTACAAAAAGGTTAGGCCCTGGTGCCACAACTTGCTCCTGCTGAATAAAGCTTGCAACGGTTTCCTTCAGTTTCTTTGCTTTAAACTCGGAAGCAACTTACAAAAGCTTCTAATGCGCTCCAGTGCCTGCCATTAGGGCAAAGATAATGGGCTTCTTATCAGGCCTCCTGCACAAGCTACAATTCTGCATCAGGGATAGGCAGGGCCCTAGCTATCTCTACAGGGAGCTCAAAGATAGGCAACAAAAATGTTCATCAGAATATTTTGAGCCCCGGGGAAAAACCATGGAGCAAATATTTATTGTAGCTCCTGCCTTCTAATGCTCTCAAACCCACCTATCATGATCACATCCCACAGCACTGTACTGCTGTTGTATGACTAGATGTACAAGAAATTTATTTATTTATAAATATTTTTTATTAGGAATTTCAAATTAGCAGTTTTTCAAAAATACATCATCCTCATTTTCCCTATCCCCTCCCCAGAAAACAGAAAACTCTCCCCCTCCCAGACTTCCCTCAGCTCCTCTCTCTGATTTTTCAGCATTTGTTATTCTCTGCATGTTACAGAATTGTACAGATCCTTAATTTATCTATCTAAATATTATCAATAAAAAGTTTGTGTATGTTTATTCAAAACCTGCCAAGGAGACCAGTTCATTTTGTTGTTTCTTTAAGTACTTTGTAAAGGGTTCCCATTCATCTTTAAAGTCACAGTTATCCTTGTCATGTAATGATATACAAGAAATTTAGATCAGAATCAGGAAGCAGAACTGAGAGATGTCCTTGCAATGCCAAGTGCCAAAGGCCCAGCACACAGGAATCTTGGTTATAAGACAGGCATAGGCAAACTCCAGCCTTCCAGATGTTTTGAGACTACAGTTCCCACTATCCCTGACCACTGGTCCTGTTAGCTAGGGATCATGGGAATTGTAGTTCCAAAACATCTGGAGGGCTGGAGTCTGCCTTTGCCTGTTATAAGAGCTCTCTCCTCTAAACACAAGCCTCCCTCCTCCATCTGCCTATGAACACCTCTGGGGCGCAAGGCCTCTTGCAATCATGTGATCCTCTGTGGAGGATCCAAAATGAATCACCATCCATACTTGTGTAAGGTAGGTTAGTAGTCTTATTCTTGGATTGCAGAAGGGGTGGAGACCAAAACAAAACTGCAGCTTGCTTCGCCACACCCAGCAAGTTCATGGCTCAGTCAGAGATCTGAACCAAGGATACCCCATGCCTACTAGTTTGTCAGTTTACCTGGCACAATGGCAGTGTTCACAAGTTGCTCTAAAAATCCAGGTCCCACCACAGTTAAAGTCAAGAAACAGGCGTACAGTGATTTATAAAACAAGCAACCATTATAGATTACACGTTTCTCCCCAGTCATAATTTCGGAGCATTGATTAGGTACACATTTTTGAAGAAAATTTAGGCAAAGGGAGGGGCAAAAGAGAAAACATAATAAAACTGTGCAGAAAAGAAGGTATGCTATCTTGCCCATTTCACATGAATGACAAAATTTAAAACTTAAAGGAAGCCCCACATATATCACCAGTCTCCTGGAGGACACTGCTTTCTTCACATGAGAAGGCATTTATACTGCTGATTCTACAGTGAAAGGGCAAATACATTGGCAGAGTGAGCATGTTGTTAGAAACACATGGAAATTCAATTCTACCCTAATTGTGCCAAAAAATATTATAAAATGCAGATCCCTGCCTGGAGGAGCTCACATTCCAAACTTAGATTAGGAACTTAGGCAGGAAGAAAAAAGGGGGAGACATACAAGAGTAACAGGCATGTTGTGCCCAGAGAAGAGAACATGAAGACTGCTATCATGTATTTCTTAAAATATCTGAAGGGCTGTCCCAAAGAAGACAAAGCAGACCTGTGTCTAGAACCAATAGGTGAAAATTGCAGGTAGGCAGAAACTTCCCAACAGTAAGAAAAGCGGAACAGACTGCCTCAGGAGATGGTTGGACTCTCCTTCACTGGAGGTATATAAGCAGAGGCAGGATTGGAACCTGACAGGGATGCTGTAATTTTCCCTTGAGTGAGCAACCAATTGGAGTGTATTGTTTCCAATGTGCCTTCTAGATCCAGAATTCTATGACTGTGGTTATAAACAACATATTTAGCAGGTAGGCATGTGCAACTTTAAAAGCTATCCTAGAAGCCTAGCATATGCATATTACAAGAAAACATATATGGCTGTTTCAGAAAGAGTGCCTTGCTGGAAGCATGAAAACCAAGTTTTACACACACTTTTTTAAAAAACAAAAAAGCTCTTCCTTTTGCCTTCTTCTAACAAGTTAGGCAGAATTCAGAAGTGTTTGGAAAGAAGCAAAATGCAACACATCAATTAAGGGCTGATATTTTACAATGCTAAGAAACATCCTAGGGCCAAGCCAGAGACCGGTTAACCCACCCCCCGTTTTAATTCCCAACCGTCGGCAAAGGATACAAGCCAACAGGACACCATAAACCCCTTGCTCCTCACCTGGATAAGTTCAGATTGTACATCCTGCAAGTGGTTGAACCCAGCTGAGGATATTACAGTATCCACAAATGCCATGACCTGCAAGTAACAAACCAACTTGAAGACAAGAACGCAAAAATTCAGAGGTTTGGTCCAGGAGCGCACCTTTCTTCTCATTCACCTAAACCCTACAGCTTCTAATCTTTTTCCAAAAATAAAAACTTTGTATTCTAATAACCCTTTCCCCTTCTTAACTCTTTCTCTCATTTGCCAGTTTGGAGGGAGCGGAGAAGATTAAATGGGACTATCAGCACCAATCAGGAGCAAGGTGGGTGGGGCTGCCTAAGGAAGGAGGCGGAGCTGGGTTAATGATGTTCAGCTATTTTGCTGCACGGTTATTGGCGATTTTCTTTAAATATCTGTTTGGTGAAAGTCACGCTCATGTTTACACAGAAGTACATGTAATCATTTTAATTGGGTTTACTTCAAAGTAAGTATGTATAGGGTTGCAGCCTAACAACCTTCAAAGCTACTAGAAAAGTTGGATTTAATTTTGTATCTGTCCCATGTGTGGCCAGGTGGTTTTAAATCCAAATGATCTAGCTCAGTTAGATGGTAGACCCCACTGCAAACTAATCACAAATTTATGTTTGGGTTAACCCCGAGGCATCTGAAACAATTAAGAAAGTTGAGGCACTTTAAAGTCTAACAGTTTGTATTCTGCCCCCACTGAAAGCTGCAGTTCCAAACTCACAGACTTCTGAGTAAACTTGCTTTACAATACAACCTTATGCCTGTTTACTCAGAAGTAAGTCCCATTGACTTTCATGGGGCTTACTCATAGAAAAGTGAGCAATCTTATAATGCACAGGTGAAAAGAATGAGGGAAACATCCTGAGGCATGTAACCTGCTTTAATAAAGGCACATAACTTAAAGAAAAAGTAAGAATCCAGGATTCCCTGTTCTAAATACTAAAGCATCCTTTTTGAGAAAAAAACAAATTTATTCTTAAACTAGGAACTTGCTAAGGTTCATGAGGGAAGTATTATGGAATTCTCAGTTTGTATTCCAAAATAAGGTGAGCATACTTGGCCAAAGGAATTTAAAGGTGTGACTATAGGGTTAAACTGCTAAACTGCTGGTTATCAAAATGTTCAACTCCGTTCATTTGGTTCTGAATAGAAACAATGGTTTCTTTGCCACTGTGGTTGTATTGCTGGTTTCCTGGATCTCCTTGCTTATTTTGAATAGGCCCTAGATCTAATTGAATTGTTAATCTCTATACTTTTTGTATTTCATTTTACTGCAGATGTGAGGAACCTTTGGCCCTCCAGCTGAACTGCAGCTCCCAGCCTCCCGGGCTATTGGCCACACTTGCTGGGGCTAATGAAAGTTGTTATTCAGCAATGCCTGGAGGGATCCCCCATATTTATTTATTGCTTTTAACTCTCCGCAGAGCCCCTTACCACCATGCATATAGGCCTGTAACTGAGAATTATTCTTTCTACATAGACTCTAATTTATTAAAAGCTTATTCCACAATGCATTTCTTGGTATCACAACAAGATATGTTGTTGATTTCACCTTCATAAGAACGCTGCTGAGTTCAAAATGTAGTAGGGACCTTGGCTTAACCTTTTGGGACCCTTTCTTAAATGTACAGATTTGATAATGACACTTTCCACACGGTCTTCCATTATTTGCCCTACCTCTCCTCTCTTCATCCTGCCAATTTTTGCAGCTGAAACTGTATAGAAGATTGTTTTGCGTGTGGACTGTGTCACATATTTATGCATTGTTTGCATAAGTCAGAGGTGGGAAACTTGTGGTCCTTCATATATTGTTGGACTCACATCAACTCCAGCTATTGGTAAAGGATGAATAAAACTGTAGCCTAGCAACAGCTGAAGGGCTGGGAGAGGCTTGGCACCATTTTGAGCAGAAAACCAAACTCTACCTGTGCAATGTTTCAAGATGAAAAAGATATTAATATTAAAGCATAAGAAGAGGTTTTTTCTGCTTGTAGTGTAGCTTCTAGAACAGGGGTCAGCAACCTTTTCCAGCCATGGGCCGGTCCACCATCCCTCAGATCATGTGGTGAGCCGGACTATATATTTTTTTGGGGGGGGGGATGAACGAATTCCTATGCCCCACAAATAACCCAGAGATGCATTTTAAATAAAAGCACACCTTCTACTCATGTAAAAACACCAGGCAGGCCCCACAAATAACCCAGAGATGCATTTTAAATAAAAGGACACATTCTACTTGTGTAAAAACACGCTGATTCCCGGACCGTCTGCGGGCCGGATTGAGAAGGCAATTGGTTTATTCTATCATCATCAGATTGGGCACAGTCTTCCTTTTGGGAGAAAGCAGGTGCTGAGCAATTCCACCTTCTCTCTGTCACCCAATAGCATTGCCCCATCAATGATACAGTGGTACCTCAGGTTAAGAATTTAATTTGTTCTGGAGGTCTGTTCTTAACCTGAAACTGTTCTTAACCTGAAGCACCACTTTAGCTAATGGGGCCTCCTGCTGCCACTGCGCTGCCACTGCACAATTTCTGTTCTCATCCTGAAGCAAAGTTCTTAACCCGAGGTAATATTTCTGGGTTAGCGGAGTCTGTAACCTGAAGCATATGTAACCTGAGGTACCACTGTACAGGCTTTTCCTTTTCTTTATTTCTTTTCCCTTTTTTACGTTTTAGTTAGGGACTTGCGGAAAAGGCAACTTTGGGTCCCCCTATCCAAACCCGCCCAAGTGCTCAGTTGAAAGCCATTCAGGAAACCTGAGTAGCCTGGAACCTGGGATGATTTACCAGCCTCTTCCCCCAAATAAGTCTCTTTTTGTTTTCCTGCCTTGCGCTGGAATAAGAGTTACCGGTAAGCTCTGGCTTTTCTCTGCCCTGCTTTTCTCATTCTCTAAGTCTCCTTCTCTAGCTAGTTAACCATCCTACTTGTAGTCCTTCTGTTTCTATCCCTCCCTCTCTAACCCCTTTCCAGCTCTCTCAGGGTCTACCTTGTGCCCATCACCTGCCCCTCTTCATATTTGCATTTAGAGCCCTCCATTCTTAACCCCAAGGTTGCCAGTCCCGTTCGCAGGCTGAGTGTACAGTCAATCTTTCGTTTTCATAACCCCACTCAGCCTTTACTATATAACAAGTCAAACACTCTTCGATTTGCAGTGTTTGGCGAATTGCTACTTCACCCGTGTATAACTTGTTTCGTGGTGCCCTCTAAACTTGAGCAAAAGCCTGGCCAAAATAGATGTGCTTGCTGGGTACAGATGTTTATCAGCAACTCTGTATACCTGTAGATAAATGGTACCATTTTCCACTCAGCCTGGCAACTGAGGAGTGATAAGGGCTAGCCTGAGGTATAATGGAGAATGCCAGTGCTATGAAGGAATATCTCCTCCTTTTTCTCCTTGCTGAAGACTGGTGTGTGCTTTTAATATGTTGATAGGCAGAAAATCAACAATTAACAGCAGAGAGCTTCTCTCTCTCTCTCTCTCTCTCTCTCTCTCACACACACACACACACACACACGGGGGGGGGGGGGGGAATTGCAACCCTACTGCTTATACTCAGTTTCTGGCAATATACAACCCCGTCTCATTATATTCTCAAAGCTTTATTTGTTTTTGCACATTTTGGCCAACAGGAATAACATAGCATTGATTAAAATCACATTTTACTGAAGGTAAATCAAGTGAATTATGTCGTTGACAGCAAAGCATAATTTCCCAAGTACTGCTTTTCCAAGTAGGTCTCTGTGTATGTGTGTCTTCTTCTTAAGGGAAGATGGCAGCCAGCAGTGCTCCACCAGCTGTCACTGCAGCCGTGGTAGCAGCAGACAGCCCAGCAGCACCGATTGACTGAAGCGCGGCAACAGCGCTCCCAGCTGCTACTCCTCCACCATTGGCGATGGCCGCTGCCGACATCATTTTTGCAGCCAGGGAGCCAGCTACAATTCCAGCTCCAGTGAAGCCTGCTGCTCCCAGTGCTGCTGGGACACTAATTGTGGCCACTGCCAAGCCGGCTACACCTCCCAAGACACTACGTGGAATACCCACCATGTTGGCTTTAAGAGACGCACTCCTCTCCTTGTAGATCTGCCCCATCTCATTATATTAATATCTGTGAGCTACTGGTAGAGATTGTCTTCTCCTGCTCTAGAGTTTCTCTTCTTCAGGAGCTCGTGGGCTCAGATATTTTCCAAACAAGCGCCTTTGTGGAATATCTCCCATCCCTGCTTTGAAGCGTCAGCAGAATTAGGAGCAGAACAACCCCTATTTTGCTTTCAAGCCTGTTCAGCTGGGCTTCAGGTCTTTTTTAATCTTCAGAGCTCACCATGTTGAAGTTGGGCAGCATAACTCTGCCTGCAAGGCTTATCTCCTCACAGGAGCAATTTATCCCCCCTCACTCTCCACGCTAGTTTTAATATCACCACAGCTTGCTACCAGGCCCTTCTGAGGCATCCAGATATAAGCCTAGAGCAAGCTGGTAATCCAAGATCTTGGTTTTCTCTTAAAGCAACCTGCAAATGTCTTTCCAGGGGAATGCTAGTCTGCTGCAATATATTACCCAGGAGTCTCAGAGCCCAGGCCTTTCAATGCATCTTCTGGACCCAATTTGCTTTCGAGAGTCACTGTGCTCAGCTGATATTATTCTGGGGCTCTCATATAATGTAAGTTTTGTCATGGACACTGTTTCTCCATTCTCTACCTGCACATTAGGTACTATTACTATTACTATTTATTATTTCTTACCTGTCCTTCACCATAAGGTCCCAGGGTGGGTTACAACAACTTAATTAAAACCAGTTTAAAACAAATTACAGTGAGCAGAATAGGACGGACCCTAGAAATACGTATCTCAGATGGGTCTGAGGGGCTGCTTTGCAAGTATGATTGAAATGAAATAAATGTTTACAAAGAACTTACAAGTGGTATAGTTAGATGGATGTAGTAAAGAACTTCTAATAAATGCTTGGAATAGACTTTGTGAGAAAGAGTATGCCTCCATTTTTGTTATTGGCATGTCTGTTTCATGTAATAACTGGTGCTTAAAAACAAACAAACCTACATGTTATCTCCCACACCTTCTGTGCTGCCATAGAAACAACTAGCTAGTAAAACGCCTAGATAGAAGGAATCAATGGGCCAAAGCCTCGCCCAGCTTTATCCTAAGGGCAAGAAGAAGAAGAGTTTGGATTTGATATCCCGCTTTATCACTATCCTAAGGAGTCTCAAAGCGGCTAACATTCTCCTTTCCCTTCCTCCCCCACAACAAACACTCTGTGAGGTGAGTGGGGCTGAGAGACTTCAGAGAAGTGTGACCAGCCCAAGGTCACCCAGCAGCTGCATGTGGAGGAGCGGAGACGCAAACCCGGTTCACCAGAATACGAGTCTACTGCTCTTAACCACTACACCACACTGGCAAAGAACAATAGGCCAGCTTTTGAGAGCCAGTGTGGTGCAGTGGTTAGAGTACTAGACTAGGTTACAGGGGTCAGCAAACTTTTTCAGCAGGGGGCCGGTCCACTGTCCCTCAGACCTTGCGGGGGGGGGGGTGGCGGACTTTTTTTTTTTTTAAATGAATGTATTCCTATGCCCCACAAATAACCCAGAGATGCACTTTACATAAAAGGACACATTCTACTCATGTAAAAACACACTGATTCCCAGACAGTCTGCGGGCCAGATTGAGAAGGCAATTGGGCCACATCCGGCCCCTGGGCCTTAGGTTGCTTACCCCTGGACTAGGATCACAGAGACCCAGGTATAAATGCCCATCCTTCAGCACGAAGCATTTTGCCACTGTGGGCAGTGGCAGCGGGGAAGGCAATAGATGGCATGGGAGAAGCCACAGCGGGGCTGGCAGCCATGCCATGGTGAGGGTTAGAGCCAGATCTGCCTGCCGCCTGAAGCAAATGGCTTTACCTCAACTTTTGCATGGGCCAGCCCTGACCTTCGCTATATAACTTGGTGGCTGAATAGTACCATCTCCTCCTCCCTGTCCGCATCCCTTCCTGCCCTAACCACAGAAGAGGTCAGCGCTAGGTCCTTCCCATTGCTGGCAATTGTGAAATCAGAGCACACCATTAGTCACACTGGCAAACACTACAGAATAGGACCTGGGTTCACACTGTTAGCTTCTGCTGGGATGACGTTTTCCATCACAAAGGGTGTGCCCAGTGCACATGCACTCCCCGGCCCGTGCTTTAAGAAAGTTATATACAGTGCAAAATGTGGCATTTGTTTGCCTTCAGTGAGGATGTGAAACCAAATGAAATAATATAGCAATACCACTCCTCCTGAACACTGACTGTTCTAGAAAAGCAATATCCAAACTTCAAACGAAAGAAAGGTGAATGGAAAAAATTCAAACCAATCCCATCACGGATTCTATGATAATTAATTTAACATTGTGTATGCCATCAAATGCCAACAGTGCCTTTCAGCTCTCTATATTGGACAAACAGGCCAAACTCTACGCCAAAGGATAAATGGACATAAATCTGATATCAGGAATCACAAGACAGAGAAACCAGTAGGAGAACACTTCAGTCTCCCAGGACGTTCTATACAAGATCTCAAAGTAGCTGTCTTATTACAAAAGAATTTCAGAAATAGACTGGAAAGAGAAGTTGCTGAATTGCAACTTATTACCAAACTTAAAACCATGGAGAGACCTGGTCTGAATAGACACATTGGATTCTTATCTCATTATACATGATATGGCCCCTTGCTCTTTCCTGTAAGACCAATTGCAATCGTTAACAGGTTTACCACACCTATCAGCCAATCACCCATTCCCACCACCCTTCTGAGGTAATACCCCTCCCCACCCTCTCACTATATATAATGGTCTGGGGACTTCTGTTTCAATGTATCTGAATAAGTGTGCATGCACACAAAAGCTCATACCAATACAGTGGTGCCTCGCAAGACGAAATTAATTCGTTCCGCAAGTTTTTTCTTCTTGCGAGTTTTTCGTCTTGCGATGCACGGTTTCCCATAGGAATGCATTGAAAATCAATTAATGCGTTCCTAGGGAAACCGACTTCAGACCAGGTCCGGGACAGTCTGTCCCCCGACCTCTTCTGAAGGCTGGGGGACAAGGGCTTTTCTTCCACCCCCAGCATTTTAAAACCCCGGGACAGCGGAGGGCTTCTCCGCTGTCCGGGGCGATCTTAAAATGCTGGCGGGCGGCATTTTAAAATTGCCCCGGGACAGCGGAGGACTTCTCCGCTGTCCGGGGCAATTTAAAGCCCCTGGGAAGGCAGGCAGGGGGACAAAGACTTTGCCCCCGCCAGCCTTCAGAAGAGGTCCTGGACCTCTTCTGAAGGCTGGCGGGGGCGAAAGTCTTTGTCCCCCCCCCCACCTGCCTTCAAAAGCTGTCCAGCCAAGGCTTCGCGGACCTCTCCGCAAGCAGCGGCAGCACTGCCGCTGCTCGCGGAGAGTTGCCGGCATGCCGAAGCCTGCGCGCGCTGAGATCAGCGCGCCCAGGCTTCGCGGACCGGAGATTTCCCTATGGGCTTTCGTCTTGCGAAGCAAGCCCATAGGGAAATTCGTTTTGCGAAGCGCCTCCAAAACGGAAAACCCTTTCGTCTAGCGGGTTTTTCGTCTTGCGAGGCGTTCGTCTTGCGGGGCACCACTGTAATAAACTTAGTTGGTCTCTAAGGTGCTACTGGAAGGATTTTTTTTATTTTGTTTCGACTACGGCAGACCAACATGGCTTCCTACCTGTAACTTATTTATGGGTATTTGTTTGTTTGTTTGTTTGAAATTGAAATACTGTCCTTCATCCGAAGATCTCGGCAGCTCGCAGCATAAAAATACAAAATAAAAGCACAAAATACATAATAAAACAAAAAACCCCGATAACCCCCTACAAATGCATTTGAAAGGCCTTAGAACAGGGATTTTCAATCAGTGTGCTGTGGCACCCTGGGGTGCGTTGAAAGGTGCTCAGGGGTGCTGCAGGCAACACTGGACTATGCCCCTCTTTCCTTCCCTCCCTCCCTCTGATGCCCTCTCCCATCTCGGCCTCCCAAAGGCTTGCACAGCTGTTTGTTGCAGCAGCCCTGGCTACAAGCTCCACAGGCGAATGGTGCCTCTGGGGCTGGTCAGGGGTGCTTCCCAGGCCCCTGTGGGGCAGTGTGAGGAGGGACCTCTCTTTGGGGTGGGGAGTCAGCTCAGATATCAGGGTTGGCAGCTACGGCTGCCCAAGGATAGGGGAGAGAAGGCTGAGGGAACCCTCCACAAGGAAGGGTGTTTGAAAAAGGGTGAGAGGCTGCCAGCTCTGCAGGCAAGGGGTGGCGTAACTGGGCTCCTGAGCAGGGGTGCCGCAGAAAGAATGGAGCTGGTCAAGGGAGCCGTGGACTCAAAAAGGTTGAAAATCTCTGCCTTAGGATGTTAATCTAAGAATATTAGAGTTGTATTTTTAATATTTTGTTGGAAGCTGCTCAGAGTGGCTGGGAAATAAATAATAAATTGTTGTTGCTGTTGTTAATCAGCCAAAGTTTGCCTGGTTGAAGAGAAGCATTTTCCCCTGGTGCCTAAAGATCAGGGCCCAATTGAGGTTTGATGAGGTCCTAAGCTATTGAAGGTAATGGGGCCCTTTTATATCCAGCTGTCCTTTGTCAACAACAAATTGTTGCTGTTTTTTGTGTTGAATATATGCTATATGGTAATTTATGGACCTAATAAGTATCTAAAGCCATTTGCACATAACAAAAAATGTATTTTATCAAAGTAATTGTTGAAGTGAAATACAATTATGAAGTCTATCTTATATTTTGGAAATGTACACCCTGGGGTTTTTTTCTTTAATTTTTTGGGGGGGCCCAATAGAGTGGGGCTCTATGTCATGGGCTCCAGGAAAGCCTCCCTGGGGAGAGCATTCCACAAATGAGGAGCCACCTTAAAGACAAGCAAATTTGTTACTGAGAGTCTACTTCATGGGTAGGCAAACTAGGGCCCGGGGGCCAGATCCAGCCCAATCGTCTTTTAAATCCGGCCCGCAGACGGTCTGGGAAGCAGCATGTTTTTACATGAGTAGAATGTGTGCTTTTATTTAAAATGCCTCTGTGGGTTATTTGTGGGGCCTGCCTGGTGTTTTTACATGAGCAGAATGTGTCCTTTTATTTAACATGCATCTCTGGGTTATTTGTGGGGCATAGGAATTCGTTCATGATAAAGCGGGATATCAAATCCAAATTCTTCTTCATTTCCCCCCCCCAAATATAGTCCGGCCCCCCACAAGGTCTGAGGGACAGTGGACCGGCCCCCTGCTGAAAAACTTTGCTGACCCCTGACTCTGCTCCATCAGGTGGACGGAGTCTCCTGCGTGGCAGGTGAAGAGAGAGAGAGAGACGATTTGGCCGGGGATGCAAGCGAGGCTGGCAGCGCGCCCGCCTCCTCCTCCTCCTTCCCAGGCCGGCAAAGCAAGGCGGCGTCGGAGCAAACGCCTCCTCTGCTGGGCCAATGGCGGAGAAGCCCTCCCTCTCCCGCCGCCCGGAAGACAAGGCAGCAGCAGCGTTTTGGCCTAAGAAGGTGTTTGCAGTGAACCTGGAAGGGACGCGAGGCGACCTTGCTGCTTGCTTGCCGCCGCTTTGCGAGCTCACAGAACAAGAGCGCAGCGCTAAGCCGAGGTGAAAAGCGGCAAGCCTGTTGACTGTGCATTTGCAATGGCAGAACGGGAGGGCGGGATTCCTCTTCTGGGGGCCTCCATGCTAACTGTGGCCCGGCTGGGCCCTTTTTTGCTGAGCTCCGTGCGTTTGGGTTGGTTGCGCGAGAGGGATCCACCCAGGCCTCCTTCCTCTCCCCAAACTGAGAACAGAAGATCTCTGCCGTTTGCTCATTGCACCAGGCGTTTCAGCCACTTACTTTTGGGCATGTTATTGGCGTTAGGGATAAGCCTGACCAAAGGTGTCTTATTTGGGAATGGAATGGCCAGCTAGTACCACTGCCTGCTTTTAATCTTTCAGCATGGCGAGATTTAATCCTGCAATTGGCAGGGAGCCCTCCAGAATTTGTGGCCTTACAATCTTGTTTCACCGACCTCCTTCAGGAACTCGTCCTGATGGCGCTGAGGTTACCTGCCAGGAGGCTTTTGCAATGCAGCCGTTGTGTGACAGGCCCGTGCGATGTCCGTGCACAGGCCACCAGCTCAGCTGTGCAAAAGGGTAAGTGGGCAACTTGTGCTAAAAGCGATACCTGAACGGGTGCAATATTGAGGAGAAGGTGGGAGAGATAATAATGTCCGCACATTTCTTTGGGAGATTCCACCTTGCCCCATTCTCCCTCCAACGGGGAAAAAAACCTGCAGCTGCCACCCAGACCCCTTTTTATATCTTAATTTTGGCCTGAAGGTGTACGGGGCAGATTGTGCAAGGAGGAGGTGTTGGAGAGGGCCGAGTCCTGAAGATGGTGGCCTCTCTTAGCTGCTTTCAGGGCTGAGAGTGACAAGTTGTCTTACAAACCTACATTATTGCGTCTGGGGGCTGGGGATGGAGGGGTTCACTGTGCTGGGAAATTGCATTATATTGTTGCTTATATTGCAGAAAAAGAAGCAAAGCCCTCTGGGAGAGAAGAGAAAGGTATGCATGTTTCAGTTGGCTTGTGGAATGGGATGACCTTTGATTTAAAGCTCCATATTTGGACTTCCAGCCACCGTGTCATCTCCTGCAATGTTCCTCCCTTCTCTCGGTCCTGCTCCACTTAAGAATTAATGTTTGGTAGGCCGTGTGCACCCGTCTTCCAGTGCTACTGTATAAAATAACAGCATCTCGCTAACTGAACTCCCTGAGCTCTCCCCTTCACCCAACTGTGTATCATCCCATGTGGACCTGTTGGGTCTCTTTAGAAAGATGAACTCGTAGTTCTCATAGGACAGTGGTGGCAAACCTATGGTGCCAGAGTGGGCACGCAGAGCCCTTTCTGTTGGCATGCGCCATCACAGTGCTGTTGTTTGGGGTTTTCAAATTGGGCAGCAGCTTCCCCCCACGCCTCCTCATGAGTAAACTGCTCCCACCCCGCCGCAGCAGCTTAGAGGCAGTTTGCAAAACAGGTGTATTCCTGTCTCCCTGCCCCCCCCCCCCCGCGATTGGTGGGATTTTTTTGCAGCCAGCAGGCTGTAGTTTCTGTGATTGGTGGCTTTGTCAAGGGTTTTCGTTGATTGGTTGCTGCCTGCTATCCTTGAGCACTTGCCAGTGTGTGTGTTTTTCTCCCCCCCAAAAAAAACAACAACTGTGATCCAAGCTGCCCAAAAAGGCTCTGCTAGTCTTGGCAATCCCCCCAAAAAACTGGGCAATGCCCCCCCAAAGCTCTATGTGTTGTTTCTGCTCCAAGTGCCACAGGAAGTGTTTATAATGCATGTGAGTGTTTTGCTCCCCCCCAAAAAAAACTGTGATTCAAGCCCCCCCAAAAAAGCTCTGCAAGTCTTGGCAATTCCCCCCCAAAAGACTCTGGGCAATACCCCCAAAAGCTCAACGACTCAGGGAAGCCCCCCCAGCTCATTTTATTACGGTATATTAATTATTATCCCATATTAAATTGCCGTGTTGGGACTTCGTGATAAATTAGTAGGTTTTGGGTTGCACTTTGGGCACTCGGTCTCCAAAAGGTTCGCCACCACTGTCATAGGAGGTCAGCAACTGTTAAAAGCCTGCTTTGTCGCTGTATTTTGGTCAGTGGTAGAGCCCAGATATCCTGTCCTTGTAATGCTCAGCATTTATGGAAGATGCAAGCCATTACCTGAAGATGCTACCATGATTACAGCTGTCAGCAACTTTAACAGAACAATACTATGCATGTCTGCTTAGAAGTAAGCTGCACTGAATTCAGTGGGACTTGCTCCCAGGTTAGTGTGTATACCAGGGATAGCCAGATGTTCCTGCTTGACTCCAACTCCACCATCCCCCAGCCAGCACAGCCAACGTTCAAGGGAGGTGGGAGATGTTGTCCAACAACATCTGGGATGGCACCACATTGCTGCTTCAGATGTAGGCTGTGCTGCAATGAAGTGTTTATTTGTTGTGATCTCTGCCCAAATAGGCAGCTGTGAGCTCAGCGGTTAAAAGTGTTAGGGGAAGGACTTTTCTTACTGGTACCTGCCCCCCGCCACCAGCGGGGAGATAACTTCTTTAGGCTGAGCTTTCTGTCTTTCTTCTCCAGGCCCAAGAGCCCAGTTTGACTGGCGAGATGCCTTGCAGTTGGAGAGGCTCCTGTCTCCGGAAGAAATAATGATTCGCGACTCATTTCGCACCTATTGCCAGGAAAAGTTGATGCCCAGGATCCTCATGGCCAACCGAAACGAAGGTATGGTTTGTTTGTTTTTAAAGTATTTATTGAGTACTTGTAGCCTGGTACTTTGTGCTATGTGAGTTGGTGCAGGATACTGCCCCTTCCCTAAAGGTGGGGAATGGCTTGTTTCATCTTCCACATGAATGTGCCAGTGCGTTTAATAGCTAACCACAGAGTTACTAATTTAATGGGCTGATTTGATGGGGCCCTGGAAGGATCCATGATCCCTGCTGTGTGTTTTGGATCAACACCAAAAATGAGACTGGCTTATCACCCTTGAAGGCTCCAGGAGTTAAATATTTCTCAGGGGGTTTTTTGTTTTTGTTTTTTAAGTTTTTAATCATTTTGTTGAATTTGTGTTGATTTTTTTTTTGTAGAGCATCTTGCATGACCTTCAAGTGTTGTATCCGTCATAATATAATAAATGCTGCATTTGGGTGGTGCGGGCTTTGTGTGGCTCTAAGCCATTTTGTACTTATGGCAGAAGCCTGTAGAACAGTTGCTTTAAAGGGGTTCCCACACTTAATGTGCCGACCATCCTTCATGCGCTACTAGTAGCAATTTAGAAACGGTCATTGCATCACTCCCATGCTATTAGACATAGCATTGAAGACCAGGGCTCTGTGGGCCAGAAAAGAAGCATGAAGATGTAGTACTCATAGCAGGTTCTGCCTACAGTTTTGCTATCTATATTTCCATTCTCCCTTAATTCCTTTCCTTCTCTATTTTTGCAGTCTTTCACCGGGAAATTGTGTCAGAAATGGGGGAACTGGGTGTCCTTGGCCCTACTATCAGAGGTAATGCCATGTGGCTCTTTTATAGTGTCTGAAGAAATGGCTGGTGTGATCTGGTTGTGCTCCTGTTGATGTGATGATGGTGGTGTTATCCTCCTTTCTAAAAAAAAAAAAAACAAATTGGGGTTTATGGAGCCCTGTAGCTGCTGATCATTTAATTGCTTTTGAAGTGTTGGGGCTCATTATTTTTAGTGAGCTAGTGAAACATTTTGGCTGTTCTAAGGCTGGTTGAAAATGTATTTGCTTTATGTTGTTTGCATGCTGCTTTATAAATATACAGTAAGGTAAAGGTAAAGGGACCCCTAACCATTAGGTCCAGTCGTGGCCGGCTCTGGGGTTGTGGCGCTCATCTCGCTTTATTGGCTGAGGGAGCCGGCGTACAGCTTCCAGGTCATGTGGCCACCATGACTAAGCCGCTTCTGGCGAACCAGAGCAACGCACGGAAACACTGTTTACCTTCATGCCAGAGCGTTACCTATTTATTTACTTGCACTTTGACGTGCTTTCGAACTGCTAAGTTGGCAGGAGCAGGGACCGAGCAACGGGAGCTCACCCCATTGCAGGGATTCAAACCGCCAACCGTCTGATCAGCAAGCCCTAGGCTCTGTGGTTTAAGCCACAGCGCCACCCGCATCCCTTATAAATATACAGTACAGCTGCATAAAATATTGGAGTATTTTAAAGGGCAAAAATAAGTTCCTAAACTGCAATAACATTGTTCTCCTTTTGTCGTCCCCCCCACTGCCCCCACAATCATTGTCAGGAGTTGGTGGCGCAAGATGCACTTAGAACTCATGGCTCACTTGCTAAATCTGTGCATCTGCTTCTCTTAGGCTATGGCTGTGCAGGAACCACCTACGTAGCGTATGGACTCCTGGCAAGGGAGATTGAGAGAGTGGACAGCAGCTACCGTTCGGTCATGAGTGTACAATCATCTTTGGTGATGCACCCTATATATGCATATGGGACAGAAGATCAGAGGCAAAAATACTTGCCAAGGCTGGGTGAGTGAGTAGGGTTCAGATGCTGGATGTGAGAGATCAGAATTTAGTTGCATTTCTAGACTGTGGCCTGTTTTTCTTTTGCCTTCATTGTCTTTTACTTAACCGGTAACTTAGGCTTCAGTCCTAACCCCACTTACCTGGACGTAAGCCCCATTCAGTTCAATAGGCCTTCTTTCTGATTAGAAATTGTATGGTTTGTGCTGTAAATGCTGAGATGCAGGAACTGACAGATTTTCCGACTACTGTATTCATTCTTTCAGAAAAGTCTGGGGGGGTTTCAGTCCACTCGCAGTCTTCAGAAAAGTGATGTGGGCGGAAGCATGAGCCTCGACGACAGAGAGGGAAAGAAAGGGGTGCTCTGGGGAGCAGCTGTAGCTCATCATGTCTTTCTCCCCACAGCCAAGGGAGAGTTGCTGGGCTGTTTTGGGCTTACGGAGCCCAACCATGGGAGTGATCCTGGTGGCATGGAGACCCGGGCCAAATACAACCCCTCCAGAAAGACTTACACACTCAACGGCACCAAGACCTGGTGAGCTCTGCAGCTGTCATGGTGCTCAAGTGGGCAGGGGAGTTACCCGGAGCAGACTGCAGGCAACAGCAACAGTCTAGATTTATCAGAAGATTTAAATACCAGAATGAGGAAATACGGAGGGACGCAGGTGGCACTGTGGGTTAAACCACAGAGCCTAGGACTTGCCGATTAGAAGGTCGGCAGTTCGAATCCCTGCGACGGGGTGAGCTCCCGTTGTTCGGTCCCTGCTCCTGCCAACATAGCAGTTCAAAAGCACGTCAAAGTGCAAGTAGATAAATAGGTGGGAAGGTAAACGGTGTCTCTGTGCGCTGCTCCGGTTTGCCAGAAGCGGCTTAGTCATGCTGGCCATGTGACCCAGAAGCTGTACGCCGGCTCCCTCGGCCAATAAAGCGAGATGAGCGCCGCAACCCCAGAGTTAGTCACGACTGGACCTAATGGTTAGGGGTCCCTTTACCTTTATGAGGAAATACTGCCTTATACAGCTGGCTTCAGACAGACATTGCTTTCTGGGGAAGGCTGGATACCCAACTCAGCTCCGCTACCCATCCTGGAGAATAGTCTCCATGCCTTAGCTTTCCCTGTTGAGTGGCCCCTTTGGCCTCCTGGGTTGAGATTTAGTTGACCAGAATCTTTTGCATTCTGTAAGACCTGCTCTGGGTGGTGTACCCAAACATCTGACACCTGCTTGCCGTCCTCTCAGGATCACCAATTCTCCAGTGGCCGATCTTTGTGTGGTGTGGGCCGTGTGTGAGGACGGCAAAGTGCGGGGTTTCCTCTTGGAACGTGGAATGAAGGGTCTCTCCACTCCAAAGATCGAGGGCAAGTTTTCGCTGCGAGCCTCTATCACGGGGATGATTGTTATGGAGGATGTGGAGGTGCCCGAAGAAAACCTGCTGCCCCATGTGTCTGGACTTGCTGTAAGATTCCTTCCTGTTCACTTTGATCCTGCCTTCCAGAAGATATACTGGGCAGGGCACTAGCATTGAATCTTCTCTCACAAACCCCACCCCAGTGGCAAACCAGGATCAGTATCACCCGCTGCATTCTTGAATGCACTGCAAAAGGGCCACCCCATCTTCACACAGTGTTATCTGTGGGACTTGTTATCATAAGATGTGGTGAGGGCCTCTAACTTAGATGACTATAATTAGACAAATTCATGGGTGGTTGGTCTTTCAATGGCTTCTTGTTATGATGACTGTAAACTACTTCAAAGACACCAGTTACTGGAGAACAACAGTGGGAGTGGGCTGTTGCAGTTATTTCCTACTTTTAGGCTCTCGATAGGCATTTGGTTAGCTCAGGCTTCCTCAACCTCGGCCCTCCAGATGTTTTTGGCCTACAACTCCCATGATCCCTAGCTAGCAGGACCGGTGGTCAGGGTTGATGGGCATTGTAGTCTCAAAACATCTGGAGGGCCGAGGTTGAGGAAGCCTGGGTTAGCCTTTGGTCTGATCCATGAGGACTGAGTTTATAGTAATAAATAGAGTGACATATTCCAGGTCTTTAAATATGTTTAGGGGTGTCATAGTGGGCACAACAGATTTTTATTTATTGGAGATGGGCGGTGGTAGTCCAGTGCATTTTTAAAATTATTATTCATTAAACTTATTGGTTGATTTTTATTTTTACCAAGGTAACTCAAAGCAGCTTACAAACACATACATTGAAAGTAACATACAGTATAAGAAAAAGCAAAGAAAAATCTAAAACACAAACCTATTCTTAACAGGCAGGATTAAAACCCATTCCAAATTTAGCAAAATGTTAGGCTCGATCAAGGCATTTCAAATGAAAAACTGTAAATTAAAGGACATGTTGATCTAATTTTTGCAATAAATATGGGGAAGCATCCCCTCAAAAAAATTAGCTCAGAAGAGGGAAGTTCCATATAGGAAGACGACTGATTTGGGAGATCTCTTGCATACATTTCCATGGCTATCGGTGGAGAATATCCTTCACATTTCAACCCCCTTCTCCCACCCCCACCCCACAAACTAACACTAATTTTACGGGACTAAAGCTGGGGAAATTAAAAATATGAAAAGGTGGCAAACATTATGAACTGTCCTAAATGTTGCTCCATTCAGGTTTAGAGTTCCAGAAGCTAATCTATAGGGAGTCTTAGCAGCAGAACTGAGGGAATCCTGGTCAATATCTTACCTGAATCTCTTCCCACAGGGTCCCTTTGGCTGCTTGAACAATGCTCGCTACGGCATCGCTTGGGGAGCGCTGGGAGCTGCTGAATTCTGTATGCAAACTGCCAGGCAGTACACCTTGGACAGGTACTGTTTTAAGAGGTGGGGAGGGGGTACCAGATTTTTGAAGATAGCATATGGGTGTATAATACTTCCATATCACTTGTTTCTCGAGTTCCTTGTGTTTGGCATGCATTCCCAAAGCCATCTTTACAACTCTGTAACGACTCTAGCTGTATAATAGCAGAAAGCAACTTCACCTCACCAACCAATGGTGTCTCGTAGGTCCCAGTTTAAAGTCCCTCTTGCAAGAAACCAGCTTGTCCAGAAGAAGCTGGCCGACATGCTCACAGAGATCACTATTGGCTTACAAGCTTGCCTACAACTGGGACGCCTGAAAGACGAAAACAAGTAAGTGTGTGCATGAATGAAAGCAGAAAATTGGTTCCTGCTGTAGTGAGAGTTCCGGGGGGCGGGCGGGGGGGGGGACTTGGTTGATCTTTCTCCTCCTAAGGGGTTTTACTGACTGGAAGAAGTATGGGATTGGTTTGTGGATAAGGAGCACTCATTGCATTTCAAAATACATGCATATATTTCCAGGGTGAACAAGTTAGGGATTAAGTGGTGATGTCCTGAGGTGGTAGAATTAATTGCTGCCCTGCACCCCTTCCATATCTCCTGTTTCTCCCTTTTAAATAAAAAAAAATCACAAATATTGTCCCTAACAACATGTTAAGCATTGTCCTTGTTTGGGTACTCTGCCTATGTTTTAAAACAAAAGCTCCCAACAGTCTTCTAATTCCCTGCTCCTATTCTGTTATTTCCTCTGTGTTCCCAGAGCAACCCCCGAGATGATCTCCATGCTGAAGCGGAATTCCTGCGGGAAGGCTCTGGAGATTGCCCGGCAAGCCCGTGACATGCTGGGGGGCAATGGAATTGCTGACGAGTACCATGTTATCAGGCACGTCATGAACCTAGAAGCTGTCAACACGTACGAAGGTAAATTGGTTTCCTGGCTTTCTTCCTGCAAGATCACAGTTTTGAGGAACTTCTGTTGGGATCAGAAAATAAATATGGAGGACTGGAAAAGAACTGTTAGCAAGGTTGTAGCATAAAGACAGCCATCTTCTTTTCCTTTCCTTTTTCTTTATTTGATGTATCCCTTAAGGCACTATAAGGCACCATTTGTTTGGTACATACTGTATGAAACTTGCCAAGCCATACACCACCTTGCAAATCCTTCCCCCTACAAAGTGGATCAAGGAAATCCATGGAGTGTTGGAACTATTCTAACATTACTCAAGCAACATGAGAGCCACTGCAGAGAGGCCTCTGTCCAAGCCACTAGAGAAACATCAGGGGCCCAGACCACATGCAAAGAGTCTGTGATGGAGATCTTTTCTATGATAATGTTACCTCATTGTGGAGAGAGACATTGCCAGCATAAGAAGGAGCCACATTGTGGACACTTTGCTCACAGTGACCCTAACACCATACCAAAAAACCCACACTGTAACAGCATCCACCTATCAGAATGGGCCTTAAGTCTAGGCATGCATTCTGCAAAAGTGTGCAGTTCATTGGTCTGTTTAGATCTGTATTGTCTACACCAATTGTTCCCAACCTTTTTTTGGCCATGCCCCACCTAAACATCTCTAAAATCCTGATGCACCCCCCACCCCGTGACATATAATTCTTATTATTCAAAAAGTGAATTCCTGTTCATGTGGAGGAAGCCTAAAAGGACATTAACATGGTCTAACTCATTCTCGAATTGCACCCCCCCCCTTAAAAATCAAATTGGCCCCCTGTGGGAACTATGGGTCTACACTGACTAATGGTGTCTCTCTGGGATTTGAAACAGGTCTTTTCCGCCCTACCTGGGGATGCCAGGAATCAAACTTGGAAGCCCATTTTTTCAGACCGCTTACTTTTGTTTTTTCCCCAGGGACCCATGACATCCATGCGCTCATCCTTGGGAGAGCTATCACTGGACTTCAAGCCTTTACCGTCAGCAACTGAATGCATTTCTGCAGGGTTCCTCTTCGCTGCTCATGGCTCCAATGCAGTGGGGTTTGGTGATGCCACAACGGTTTTAAAAGCTATTGCTGCTGACTGGACTCTAAACAAATATGTTTCTTAAGCTCAGCTCAATTATTTGTCATGAATTTGAAGCCATACCAAAACCAGGCACTCAAGAATACTTACTTCTCCACCAGGAGGCATAGAGATAAAGAGCATTAAGATGGCAAAAGAGCACATCATTAAGACTTGGATTATCCTTTCAGTGGGTAGTAGGGAGGGTGATGGCAAGCAGAGAAAGTTGCAATATAGAGGAATCGCACAGTTCAAACATTGCCAAATTGTCTAGGAGGCAAGCTGTTTTGGCACGTAACTCTGCCAAACAGTCATGCTATGAAAAGCTCTCTGCTGCCCCAGGACCCAGCCAGGACAATAGCCTTGGTTGCTTATTAGGTGTCCATAACTGCAGATTATCTGCCATTTTAATGATTTACTGTTCTTTTGAATGCAGCCCTTGAGGTTACTAAGCATTAAGAGTGGGAATTACAACTTACTGTCCACTTTGCATTCGTCCTGTCATGCAACCTTGAGCAAGCTGCTGCCTTTCAGTGCCTCAGTACCCATTTGTTAAACAAGGACTGACATTTGAGCAGATTGTTTTTTATGTTGAGCTCAGCTAGGGCTTTTTTGAACTTGTGATTCTCATGTGAGCTTTTTCTTAAATAATAAATTGAATTTGGTGGATTTTCCACAGCAGATACATGTATGTGAAGTTGAAGAACTGATGTGCCATTTTTATCGGGCAGGTGACCAGTAGCAATCTAAAGCTAATTTCAAACCGGTTTGGACAGTAGCAGACAGTGGTGGGGCTGCCCCAGTCACCTGGCCTCCCTCCAGCTAAGTGGCTACTGCCTACCAGGATGGAGAGGGGAAGGGCTGAGGTGGCAGTGAGGTTGGCATGGTGGAATCGCACTGATGGAGCCAATCAGTGCTCCTGGCATGTTTCCACTGCGCTGACCTCATGCATCTTCTTTCCCTTGTCACCACTCCCCTCTCTTCCCCTGAAGGTGTCCCTTAAATGTTCCATCAGCTGTGTGGGGATGTCTTTCTGTGAGTAGCTCCTGCACAGTATGGGAAACATTTAAGTGACTCAACTTTGGTCAAGTTTGTGGTCCCAGCCACAACATCACTCCAAAGTGGGGTGGAAGCTTGCCAGAGGCCCCTGCCCACTTGCCACTTTGCATTCTTTATGTGTTACATAATCCCTGTTGTTGTGGGGTGGAATTCAGGAAGTTGTAAGTGGGGATGTGCCGGAAGTTTTTAGGTGTTTTTAGCACCTGCGGTCTATAGCCACATTACAATGGGTGGGGCTTAGAGGCTGACCTCAGGTTCTTCCATACTACACCATGTTTTCAGAAACACTCTAGAAATAAAATTAAAATGATGATTCCTTGCAACACTTGATGACAACACAATATATAATCTTGGCTTGTCTCCGGGGCCAAGATCCTTTTATAAAGTTTAGATCCTTCTCATTGTGGGATCTTTTCTGATTGTTTCCTGCTTTACACAATAGCATACTGATGAACTGACCCCAGAATTGCTCATTAGTTGCCTATGGGGTAGGATATTAATGGCCCCTTTGAAGGAAAGAGGAACTGACAGACTAGGGAGCAGTTATGGGGCTGATTCATTAGTATTGCTGCTGCAGCACCTAAAAAGATGCAAAATGAACAAGTAGGAAGCTTCTAATTAAAGGTAGAGAGGCCTGGAAAGCCTCAATAATGTATTGTCAATCCACTGTGGACAGGCTGGCAATTGCTTTGTACCTACAATAAGACAACGACAGGAGTAATACAAAGAAAACAATGTTACAGGCTGGCAGTGATGTCTTCTGGATTCTCTGAAGCATGTGAACCCAAGCATAGCAATTCCAGATAAAAGTAAACTTAATGCTGCTGCTGTTTTTTAAATTTCTCACTGTGCTTTTATTACCTTCAGCTGATTCTTTTTATTGCAGTTTGCGTTGGATATTTTTAATAGAAAACCAGCATATTTTAAATATAATAAATAATTTTAAAACTGGGTTGCAAGCAGTGGCAGCAGCTGATTGTGAAAGTGTCTCTGAATGGAAGTTGGCTGAGTTTACCTTAAAAACAACTCTGCTGAGTATAATCTGTATACCAACTGGTTAAATTCAGAGTGAATTGAGCACTATTTACTCTCAACTCAGCATGCTTCCAGGCCAGTGTAAAACATGAACATAAGATCTTAAGCTGTCACTGCCACACCCAAGGAAGCAATTACTTTTTGGATAGGTCCATGATAAATTAAACGAATTAGCATGCATACTTAAATTAGCAAGTTCAATTTCAATAGTGATCCTGAATACCAATTCTATCCCAGGCGTTCTAGAGCTGAAACAAAGCTCTCCTTGGTTAATTATGATGTCAAATATCTTACAGATCTTCTCTGAATATTTGCCAGGCATTGAATAATTTATATTCAATTATATCAATATAGTATATGACAGCAACTAATGCACCTGTTTTAAAACGGGTTACATGAAATCTAAATGGAACCCCAGCTAGTAATCTGGCCAATGCACTTTGAAACAGATGAAGTTTCTGAGTCATCTTTAAGGGCAGCCCCATGAAAAACACCTTGCAGTAATCCGATTTGGAAGTTACCAGAGCATGCAGTACAGTAGCCAAGTAATTTCTGTCCAAAAGGGACTGGAGCTGTTGTGGCAACTGGAGTTGAAAAAAATGAACTTCTAGCCACTGAGGTAACTTGAGCCTCTAGTGTAACTTGAATTCAGGAACACGCAGGGAGCAGTGGCAAGATCATGGGACAGAGCTGTGCACGCCATGCAGCCTGCCTTTCACTCCTTAAGTTAGTTTGCTATCTTTGTATGTAGTAGAGGATACTGCCCCATCATCAGTGTTGATTTTAATATCAACTTCCAGTCCAGTCATCCTGTTTTCAGCAAAATGTTTTGGGCCAGCGCTGCATATCAAATGAGATAGTGTTTCATATGTTCCCTAAATTGTTGTTGCATGCATCATTATCTTGGTGGTAACAAAACATCCCTGGCTTAATTGCAATGCATACTTTGGTACAAAACTTGCAGAAATAACTAGCAGTTGTAGCATAATTAATAAGCCATCATGGCCAGAAAACTGAATAGTTCAGCACCCTTAAAAAATTGCCCTGTTGGAATAGCTCAATGATGACAAAATGGAAGCAGGAGACAGAAATTGGGGACTATGTTTCCCTTCATTCTGCTTTAGTCAGTATCTGTTCAAGTCATCTGTTATATTTATAGTTTCTTAAGACATAATGGCAGTAGTTCAAACTCTTCTGTTAAACAAAAATAAAGTACAGTTTTTCATGCTAATATATTTCCAATTTTATTGAGTTTTCACCCTGGAATAATTTGACTCGTACACACAAGCAAAGAATGATGAACAAAGTGCCTGAAATTTGCTTACTGAGGGCCAAGTGTGATATCTGTTGCATAGTTTGGTTTTGTAGTTGATTTTTTATTAAATGAAGGGGAGGAGCCTTTAACTCTTTGTTCCTACTGTGTAGTGATAGGAATCCCACCTCCCATGATACCAATTGTGATGTAACAGGTGTGTGAGATAGGCCGAGGCAGGCCTGTGGCAGGGGCAAAGGAGTAAAGGCACCCTCCTGCCATTCAGTGGTCCCAATCCTGCTACCCCACCCTTCCACTTTAGCTATTTAACAAAAATCTGCTATATAATATGAACATGTCTAGTTTGATCCTGATAACTGGGATTCAATTTGTTCCTTTCTGTTTAAATACGTTCTTCCTTTCCCCACCTTCATTATTTTTTAAAGTATTTTTGAAACAAGTAACAAATTCAGAACAACAAAAACAGTCAGAACTCAGGTTACGGGGCTTGGGGTACCAAGTGAGTATATATCCATTACATTCACCAGTGATGCAAAAGGACATGTAACAATATCCCCCAACTTTTTCTCTCTCCATGCAATCACAATTCAGACTGCTCACACAGGTCTTTATATAACATCTCCACAGTGTGACAGACCTTCCTGAGCTCTGCTTCAATTTGTTTGATCCTCTCCATGATCTGGTACAGCTCTTGGATTTTATCTTGAATGAGCTTGTTATGATGATCATAGACAGGGAACATGCTTTCCTCCAACTTCTCTGCCAAGCTTGAAACCTTTTTGGTAGAAAGAGAAAAAAGCAGGAGTTAAAGTAGACTTTAGATTTCTAAGGACTCCTTAGTAATAGGGTTTCCCTGAATCAAAAGACTACCTGCTTTTCATTTCTAACACAAATGTGTCCACCTGTGAGTAGCTAAGGATTAAGTGATAATTCCTTAAGAGTGGCTATGCTCACACATCAGCTGTATGACAGTCACATTTATATGTAGGGTCTAGGAAGTATAGCAAAATGAAATGGCAGGATCGAGCTGTGACAAGTTAGAACACAAATAGGCAACCATGCAGTAATTTTGAGTTCCTTTGAAGTGGTCACAAAACGCTATTTGTGGTGTGGTCACTGTGGGGCTTTTTCAGGTGTTACTGATGCAACATGGGCATGTCAGTAAACATATAGGAAGGAGAGCCTGGCAAGCAGAGGGTGGCATGCTAAACACTGATTGCACCATGTTGGTCTCCCCACTGCCTTGCCCACTAAACAACAGCGACCCACCTACTGGAAAACTAGTGTAGCAGCTCCACCCCACCAAGGGAACCACTTCTGCCAAGCACAGAACAGTGCAGAGTTCATGGATGAAGATGAGCAAATTAGTCAATATGGATGTGGAAAAAGCACCTTTCAATACAGGAAGTGGGAAGAGGAAAGAATTGAGGGAGTTTGTCCAGTCGATGGAGGGGATGTGGTATGAGGGAATAAACTCAAGGCTGGTACTTAACATTTTTCCAGGACACTGGTGTTAACTAAGATTTGTAAATCTTAGTTAAATGCACCAGGTAGATTTGTAATGTTTTGGGGGAAAATAATACAAAACATTTGCTAACTGGCAAGATGGAGCTCAACAATTCTTTCCTGATCCTCAGATTCCTTGCACTCCATTACCCCCACATATTTACCTTCATCAAAAGACCTTCTCGGAAATTGTTCATGAGCACTTGGTCTTCTTTACGCTTCTCATTCATCTTATCAATTATTTGCTGGGCTCTTTCTTGCAGATTTTCAATAGATGAATCAAGGGCTATGAAATAACTTGAGGATTTGCTGTCTGACTCCCCTCCAGTTGTATTTGAATTAGGAAGAGGTGTGTTGGAAGTTTCTTTCCTATATATAATGAAAAAATGTCAAATGCTGTTTGAATTGTCTTCATTTTTGCCTTTGAATTCAAAACAGCAAAGGCACCAATATTTTACTCAAGAGAGGGGGCTACTCAATTTATCTGATTTTTTAAAGAAGTTCAAATTATAAAGAAATTGGTTATGCATGCACACAAAATAAGCCAAAAGAAATGAATCATAATTTAGTCATATCTTACAACATATTCTCCTACTTCACAGGATTATCAAGAAAGTTTGCTCAAAAAAGTAACAGGAAGAAAAAGTCAAGACCACTCAGTCCAGACACAAGGGGACATAACACCAAACTGGTTTCTGATTCCAAACCAAGGTGCATTTTTTGGGGGGGGGGGATTCTCATTGGGGGCAAACATATTCACTGTAAATTCAATAAAAAATTGCCAGATGTTATAAAATGTATCTTTCTTAATTTGTCCCCTAAAGAGACATATTTTGCTTAATTATTCTGAGACTGACAGGAATCAGGCTTTGTTGTACCAGGTACCCAGCAAGAGGTCAAGGTATTTCCAATGTCTAGTGATAACCAATCTGGCTGCCATTAATAGGAAGCCTACAAGTTCCTTGAGCTTTCAGTCTTTATTTTAGTTTTCACAGTAATGGAACAGGCAGAAGATTCTGGCCCATAATACAGTTGATATTGATGAAAATTATATCCCCAAAGAATGTTGCTTTGGGACACTTCCACCAAGTAAGTCTCTTTACTGTGCCAATATCGCAAGCAGGAGAGGTTGTTTTTAATGTATGGAAAAGTTGCACTGGCATATTGTGCCAATGAAACACTTTTTGAGAATTACCTCCACTGGCACCAAAAGATTCCAGGTTTTCTTCATATCCAAGTCTCTGCCACTGCCCCTTCCTCCAAAAAGCCCAGGGGGAGCATTGAGAAGGTTATCCCATTTTATCCTCACAACAGCCCTGGAGGCTGAAAGCCCACCAGTGAATTTCATGATTGAGCCAAAGAACCCCATCCAAAGTTCTACATTTCATCTAGTATTCCCTTGATTGAAGAAATATGGACTCATTCCTTCTCTCTGAACCCATAATTCAGTGGGGGGTCACGGGAATATCCTCAGGAATGGGCCCTGGTCTTGCATTACATGCAACAGGGCAGAGATTACATGTTGCATTACATGCAACAGGGCATTTACAGGCAGGGCTGGGAAACACACCTGTCTGAAGCCCTGAGGAGCTGCTGCCAGTCTGTAGAAAATACTCAGGTAGATGGACCAATACTATAAGGAATATTTCTATGTTCCAATGGTTGTGGCCATAATGTGCATAATATTAGTCAAGCATCCACATTTTGGTTATGTGGTACTCTGGACCAGGTGCAGCTGTAGCTGATACTGCTAAGTGTTCCCGTACTAGGAGTGAACCACTTTCAGTAAGAATTTACACTGAAAACCAATCTCTCTAAAACATTTGCTTTATGAATGATTCCACCTTTGTTACCCATATCAACTCCTTCACATTTGTTAAATCGTTAGATTAGGACATGCTTTTGTCAATATGCACAGTTACCGAGTTTTTGCTCTATAAGACTCACTTTTTCCCTCCTAAAAAGTAACGGGAAATGTGTGTGCGTCTTATGGAGCGAATGCAGGCTACGCAGCTATCCCAGAAGCCAGAACAGCAAGAGGGATCGCTGCTTTCGCTGCGCAGCGATCCCTCTTGTTGTTCTGGCTTCTGAGATTCAGAATATTTTTTTTCTTGTTTTCCTCCTCCAAAAACTAGATGCGTCTTATGGTCTGGTGCGTCTTATAGAGCGAAAAATACGGTATTTTAAGATTTAACAGTACTTTGGTATTTTGGTTTATTTGGTGTTTTTTTAAAATATGTGATTCTTACCTGGATGGATTATCACTTAAGTCATTTCTTTCTAGATTAGTGAAGATGTCAAATGGACTGTCAGGTTTATCTTGCTCCTGCTCTGACTCTTGGAGCTGAAATTTCTTATTAGACATAGTAGCCTGTAATGATGAGGAGAATAAGTTTATCTATAACACAGAGATTTAAAAAACAACAACGGATAATTACAAAATACTTGTATTACAAAACATATGTACCATTTCTCTATAAGGAAAATTATAATAAATACTGTAACTAACAGTGAATACTCTCAGAAATTCAGGACAAGCATGCTGAGCAGATTTAGGCATATTTTGTCTGTGGTCAGCACAGTACATGTAACTGTTCATTCAGAATCCACTAATCAAATCTGTTGTGGGTGATGGAAAATGCTAAAATCTCAGATGGCTCTTACTGATCTTGCCTGGGTCATGAAAGAGATAAAATCCTCATCTAGTTCCAGATGAAATCCAAGCCTAGCATTCAATAACTACGTTTACTTGGATTCCATCCTTGGCTTAGGCCCGTATTTTTCCATCACAGGACAGGACATTAGACTGCAAGCCATTTCTGAAACTCCAAAGCTGGTTTTGACGCAGCAGAGGCATCAGCTGAACAGTAAAATAAGACACTCAATGTCTTGTGCATGCAGATGAGATATACTTCCTACTCAGGATTGTGGCTAATATGGAAAAACAGTTAATAAGGTGAGGACAGAGATGCCCATCTCTCTCACATGCCCACCTACATAATGACAGCAACTTGAGGTTAAATAATAAACCTGCAATAGAAAAAAATAATCTGAACTGATTTTCCTCACCCTCCACCCCTAGTTTGCCGAGAGCCAAAGAAATGATGACTTCTTGAACAACTTCTAATCTGTTCAGCTTGGAGTCGTCTGGAGAGCATTCTATCCACAATTTGATTTATCCTGCTTCATTTATAGTCATTGTGTTCAGGAAATTCAAGTAGGAAAGGAATTAAGTGCAATCAAGTGCTCTATATGTGTATCTGAGAATGAATCTGAATCACTATGTATGATGGTTTGCTTCTTTTCAAGTGAGTAATATTAATGTTAAATAAATTTTTAAAGAAGCAGTTTTTCTCCTCCAGAACCCAAGAAAAGACAGAAGCGAAAATATATCTGCATGTAAGATGGAAAACTGTGGTTTTTAGCTGATAGGCTGATGAGACTTGGGAGCAAAGAAAAACCTCAGTTCAGATACCTCTTCAGTCATGAAGTTGTGTGACTTTGGCCAAGCCCTTCGTTTTTGTCATGTTGTATGAAAAATTGAGGTTATCATAAGAGAATTAGGCTTTTATAAGTTACGTATATCATTCAGTTCTCCATTTAAAAGGGGGAAAAAGTTGTCTTTCTTAAACACCTCCCCACTTTTTAAAGCTTTGCTAATGTTACAATTAGAGATAAGGAGGGGCAGGGTTTTTTCATGACTGAAAAAGTCACTAAAGTAACAAAATTTTTGTACAGTACCCTGGCACCTTCTTGCTGCCCAGCGGCAGCCATTTTGTGCTGGCACCCACAACACTTTTAACAATGTGCGTGTACTGGCACCTCAGGGTTTTTTTACCACAGAAAAGAAAGCACGAGGAGGGGATTACAAAATGGTGTAATCTGTGTACGGTAGGGAGGGGAGTTGATGGGGTACATTTCTCTCTGCCCGATATTGTAACCAAACGTCTTGTTGTGTGACTAACTACTGTACGAGGTCCATGGGACACTATTAAGGACATGTTTAAGAGACATTGCTATATAAATAATCTCTTCACAGAAATGAAAAAGGATCACACACACCCTACTCTCAAGAAGGATCGTGCATGGAAGAAGAGACCAAAAGAAGATTGGGGGTGAGGGGTGGGGCTTGAAAATGATTTTGTGAGAAAGAGGTGTCACAGTTTACCTTTTTCCTTCACTGATTTTGTTCTAAGACAAGTGGACCAAACTCTGCCCTGAGGGAAAGCTGCTTCCCGCCCAAAATTCCCTCAGGGCAGCAGCAAGACTTTTCCTAGCATTTAAACGGGTAGGAGGGGCCTGGGAACAACTATCTGCATTTCCAAATCACCAGCCACCAGAACACATTCTGTTCGAATGAAAGACTATCTATTTTTCTATTTATTTATGCTACTACATATTTATTTATACTCCCCCTGTAGCCTTATGAGGCTTTGCCCTCGGGTGGAAAAATATTGCGCCTGGGAAAGGGAAGTGGGAGTCAACAGACACTCAAGGAATAGTTTCGGAGAAAAGGCTTTTATTTCTACCATCCATGAACTGGTAGAAGGAGCAAGTGTGATAAGTCACAAAAAGCATGCACGAGTTCACAGTCATGTGCACAAACATATATACCCCTTTCCAGTTCCCTCCTCCTTTCTCCTCCCTCAGGAGTCCTGCCCCATGTTGAGGTTCCTGAGCATGTTCAGATATGTTTCTTTCTTTTTTTTTTAAATGATATTTATTAAAATTTCAAAACGATACAAGAATTACACAAAAACACTAAATGAAAATACAAAAAAAATACAAAATACAGCAAGAAGAATAAAAAAAACCCCTTATTAAGATATAACAAAACAATAAAAAATAAAAAGAAACAAACAAAGTAAAAACAGTTAAAAACACATTAATTTTCCATAGCATATCTTCCTTACACTTATTTCCCCGGACCTCCTCATACCTCCCTTTTTGTATTCCAGTTCAGTTTGTTAGTTCAGCAAATCCTTACCATTAAGCTTTTACCCATTTATAAACCTTTTTCATATCTCTTAAAGCATTACAGCTGGAAACCACTTAGTTTCTATCCAACATCCTTCTAAGATTCATTAATTTTACAATACTTCTGTAAATAGTCTTTAAATTTCTTCCAGTCTTCTTTCACTGACTCTTCTCCCTGGTCTCGGATTCTGCCAGTCATTTCTGCCAGTTCCATATAGTCAGCTTCATCTGCCATTCTTCCAGAGTGGGTAGATCTTGTGTCTTCCAATACTTTGCAATGAGTATTCTTGCTGCTGTTGTAGCATACATAAAAAAGGTTCTGTCCTTCTTTGGCACCAATTGGCCGACAATGCCCAAAAGAAAGGCCTCTGGTTTCTTCAGGAAGGTATATTTAAATACCTTTTTCAATTCATTATATATCATTTCCCAGAAAGCCTTAATCCTTGGGCACGTCCACCAAAGGTGAAAGAATGTACCTTCAGTTTCTTTACATTTCCAGCATTTATTATCAGGCAAATGATAGATTTTTGCAAGCTTGACTGGGGTCATGTACCACCTGGATATGTTTCAATCTCTTGTTCTGGCATGGTTCCCGGACAGAAAGTAAGTTGCAATGTGGTTCTTTAGCAAGGCCAGAAGACATGAGAAAGGCCTGAGAAACAATGGACTGTTCTCTACCTTTGTTACAGCAGAGTGGAATGTTTCTGATGCTTAGCTGCTGAGAAAATGATTTTGAAAAGTTTTGAGAAGCTTTGAGCCTGCTTTGGCGGGGGGTGACTTCGGGCCTAGGTGAGGTCACCTGTCCTCACCTTCCTTCACCCCCTCTTTTCCTGACAGGGAATAGCTATACAGTGGTACCTCGGGTTACATACGCTTCAGGTTACAGACTCCGCTAGCCCAGAAATAATGCTTCAGGTTAAGAACTTTGCTTCAGGATGAGAACAGAAATCGTGCTCCGGCGGCAGCGGGAGACCCCATTAGCTAAAGTGGTGCTTCAGGTTAAGAACAGTTTCAGGTTAAGAACAGACCTCCGGAACGAATTAGGTACTTAACCCGAGGTACCACTGTACAGTAATACCTCATGTTACGTCATAGTGGGACGTCGAATTCCACCCATTGCATTTAATGTCATGCTATTTAAATTAAAATTGTAATACAGTTGTACCTTGGGTAAAAATTACAGTGAAAATGTATATTAAAGAGGCAAACTTCTAATCTTTTATAGAAGCAGATTGGTGATAATTGAGAACAACTGAGATGATTTAATGACACCTACAGTGGGGCCAGGAACCACTACATTTGCAATAATACATAGCATAGATAAACTGGCATTGGTCAGCTAATTAACACATACAGTATTATAAAAAACTGTTGTTTCTATTTAACCCAAAAGCAGTGGCATTGAACTTTTTCATGTATTGTAATTCAGCTGTTTCATGTTGTATTCTTTCTTGAGTCCAGAATGGACACCTTAAAATAAGTTTATTAAAGAGTGTCCTGGAAGGCTGGTTTGTGGATATTGCAGTTTCTCCTGGCAATGTCCACTTCTTGCTCAGTTCAAAATAAAATTAGTTAAACATTAGTTGCCAGCCAGGGCAATATATACATATAATATACTTATATATACTTATAATTTGACAGTTCTTGCATTAATTTGCTGTTCTGCAAAGACAGATTTGTAGAGTAAGAATAGGTTAAGAAGGTTGAGATCCATGACTCTAAAAATCCAGAGGATGGAAAGAAGACTCTTGTCTTTTAAAAGTTAACAAATCTAGACAGATTCCACAATCAGTGAGGATTTGTGAGTTGTCCTGGATTTGGGTGACACCACATATGAGATTTGCCAGCTGGTGTATTTTTACTATCATAATCCATGTGCAGACAGCACCAAAATAGCGCTTTGCACCTTAAGAAAAGGGGGCACACCTCCCCCTTGCCTTGGCTAATAGGATTACTAAACTAAAATTATTACACTACAGAGCACTAAAGCAAAAGCCACCCCACTTTCTTGTTAAAGTGGAGCGATATTTTGAAAACGATCAGAAAAGAAACGCCAGATAGAGGAGGCAGCGCTACCAGGTGGGAGGATGAAGTATTTTGAGCTTAGGAACCCTGTCAAGATAAATATTGCTGAGTGTTTCATCCAAGTACATTTCCTTAAGTCCAGAAATGTGCAAATATCCCAGGCAATTCATTTCAATATGTTATGGACTAGTTAATTGATAGCAACAATAAAAAAACCTACTTTCAGCTTTTATTTTAAAAATATTTTTTTTTTAAATATAATTTTAAAATTAAACTTTTGCAGAGTTAAAAGCTCAGAAAGGCAGTTTTAGGGTTCCAGGAGAGTGGTTTTCAACTGGTGGATCAGGACCTAGTCCTGGGCCATGATCTAAGGTGGGTCACAACAACAGGAGTGACTGAAAACTGGGTAACCAACTTTTTACAGTGGTGCCTCGCAAGACGAAATTAATTCGTTCCGCGAGTTTTGTCGTCTTGCGGTTTTTTTCGTCTTGCGAAGCACGGTGTCGGGAAAGTTTTGGAAAAGCTTCAAAAATCACCAAAGTCTTCAAAAGCCTCAAAAAAGGCTACCACACCGCGTGCTATGAGTTGCTCCTCGAAGTCAAGTCGCAACTGTATTAACGGTTTTAAGAAAAAGGAAACAAACTTGCAAGACGTTTCCCTCTTGCGAAGCAAGCCCATAGGGAAAATCGTCTTGCGAAGCAACTCAAAAAACCAAAAACCCTTTCGTTTTGCGAGTTTTCCGTCTTGCGAGGTACCACTGTATTGGCTTCTGTTCTGTGACTTTAAAAAACAGTTTATTGAACATTTGTGTTATATTTTAACTGTTATAAATAATAATAAACATTAAAAACATTTAGTAAGACAGATACATTGACATATACAGCAATTAGCAGGTGATTGTGCTTATTCCCATGCAATAAATGACAGTTATTAAATAGCTAACAACTGGCTGCCTTTTCATGACACCCAGAGTCAGCTTCCTCACTCTGCTAACAGAAGGAGGAATTCCGCCAGATAAAGCTTTTCTTTCTCCACTCCACATGACCAGTTTTTGTTTTTCCAGAAATGGGATATCTGTCATTTGTTCCCAGCAGGCCCTGGTGCAACTTGATACCTGGATAGCAGTTAAATAGCCTAATGTGAATGTCTACTCTACTACATCCTCCCACATTCTATCTTGAGACTGTGACCAGATACAAACTCCATAGCTTCATCATCAGCCAACAACCCTCTCTCTCCCCACCTCCTGCATTAAATCTGATTTCTATCTATCCTGAAGACCAGTTCTAGAGAACTCAAAAGCTTGCACACTATACTGTAATATTTTGGTTGGCCTAATAACACTATTGTCCTAATATGGAAGTTCTTTTCTTATAGTATCTCTTTTACCTTTTACCTAGTGAGCAATGTAGCATTTGAGGGGAACTGCATCTGTGTGAACACACCTTCTTCCCTACAGACCCTCTCAGGTGTTTTAATTTGTTGTTGTTTTTTAAATTTGTTTTTAATTTTGAATTTCAAATTGTTGCTATGAGCCATGGAACCTGAGGGCGAAAGGCAGGTTGTAATTTGAATATAAAATATAATAACCATAATACAGTACAATATTGTTATACACCACCCCAAATCTCTGAGCGGTTTGAGATTTCAAGGAGCTCCAGATGCCTTTACCAGAGTCTTTCCTTTTGGAGACCGTGGTGCCTTTATGTTATATGTTTTATTTACACATATATACAACCTGAGTCTGCCGAGGTACCACTGTAGTCTTATTTATGTTTTAACACATGCTGATTTCCCAGGATTGAAAAGTGCCTAATACACAGTTTGGAATAGTTAAATTAGTTCTTTCACACAATTAACAGCATCTAGCACACAGCTCAAATACACACATGAGTATTGCACCTAGATTAATGCACAGGATCTGGCATCCAACTTAACACTCAGGGCTTAATTAAATCCTGACTCCAGAAATTAATGGTCTGGCCCCCACAAGCGCATAACAATATATTTTATTTTAAACTGCTGCTTTTTCCATATGTGGTGGTCTTGCAATAAGGTTAAAGTTTACTGGGAAATGATATATAATGAATTGAAAAATATGTTTAACATTCATAAAAAACAAACAAACCCAGAAGCTTTTCTCTTGGGAATTATGGGATCAGGATTACCTAAACAGTGTAGAAATTTATTTATGTATGCGACCACAGCTGCAAGAATGTTATTTGCCCAAAAATGGAAGGAAGAAGAGGTCCCGACGAGAGAAGAATGGTTACAGAAACTGATGGAGTATGCAGGAATGGCAAAACTTACTGGAAGAATAAGAAATCAAGATAAACTTTTTAGAAAGGAATGGAAATGGTTTATTGCATATTTACAATTAATCTGTAATCAGGTCAAGACATTGGCAGGATTATTATAAAAACCTGCAGTTTCAAAAATATATATGAGATATATATGAGAATAGACGAATAAAAGAAAAAGTTAAGATGATTTAGAGTATGCAGGAAAGGATGGAAATAAATTAAAAGAACTGCAGAAAGAAGTGGAAGGGAGACGACCTCGGAAATGTTAAAATTATGGTTGAATAATTGTTGTAAGAATATAAATGAACTATCTATCTAATTTATATACATTACAACAAATATATGTATAAAATGCTGTGGCCAGCTTCCTGCAATAATGTGCTCCCTTCAAAACAAATTCACTTCATGCTGATAGTTGTAACTCCTTTAAGCCACTACATTTAGGAGATGTGTGTTCAGTTGACTATTCTTATCTTGTATCCTAGCCTCTTCTCTACTGGTCATTGACCAAAATAAATATACTACTGTGCTGTTATCATCAGCTGTGCATTCAAAAGCCCAAAATGAGATCCAACCAGACAGCAAACCATTCCGTGACATCACTTGAGTGGGCGGAGTCTTTCCCCTGGGTTTCCCTGGCAAGTGCTCTCTGCACTTATCAAAGCAGCGGGCTGGGCAGTGACCGCAGCTGCTAATCTATTTGTTGTGCTTCTTCAGCGGAGTCCTGAAACCAGAGGAGCTCAGAACTGCCTTCTTCTCAGCTGCTGCCTGCCAAACTTGCAAAGAAGCAGATGCGCCATCAAAGCAGGGAACGAGAACATAAAATTCAACATCACCACCCAGGTAAAAGATGGGGAGGGGTATGTGGAAACTGGAAGGAAACTTTTAATAACTGTGCAGGAAAATGATGTTAGTTTCTGTCATTTCTCACATGACAAGCAGCAGCACCCACCAGAATTCCCTTTGCTGCACCAGTGGAAAGTGTTAAAAGTACAGGTTGCTTTTGCCCTCGCTATGGAACATGTTAAAATGTGTCTGGTTGCTTTCTCACTTGTTTAAACAGCAGTGCATTGATACAAGACCCCTGGATTTTATACTGGATTTGTAGGGAGGGCAGAGAGTCATATAACAGGAGCTGATGCCAAATCGTCCCTTCTGATGTACTTTTCCTTCTGTTTCTCTGTGACTAGCTATAAACTGATGCACCCCAGAGCCACTCATAACTGGCACTAACAATTTAATGATAGTGGTTTTTTGTGTGTGCATTTTCTTTTTTTTTCCAAGCCATAACTGCAGAGGCAGGCTAGGGGGAAAACAACCAAACAAAAGAGCAGTTATTTTAAGCCTTGTAAATCTTAATAACTTCTTGGAAGGCTTAGGAACAAGTAACAGGATTCCACAAAGCCTTTGCTCAGTAACCCTCACTGGAATTAGCAAGAAGGCGAGGAGGCAAATTTCCCCACAAATGACTTTATTGCTTTTAAAATTTGAATTCTTTTCTCAATGGTGTCTTTCTAGCTTTCTCTCCCCCCTTAGAAATTAAGTGCTGCTCAGTACCAACAACTGTTATACCCGATTGGAGGAGGCAGCTTCGCTTCCTATTGATTAATCTGGTTGGGTAGCCATGTTAGTCTCTTGTAGGAAAAAATAAGACTCCTGTGGCAAAATGCATTTAACAAAGAAGGCTTATGATGCATTGTATTTATTAGTTTTAATATGCCACTACTACATCAGGCTGAAAAAACCTGAATGAAATTCTTACTACGCAGTGGTGTCCAAACTTTTCTCAGAGGGCCAGATTTGATGAAGTGAAGGGCCGTGAGGGCCAGCCAAAGAGCCAAAGTTGTTGACCTTTTTGTAGGATTGTTAGGATTGAAATTGTTGACCTTTTTTGTGAGGTTTTTTTTAGGGTTGAAGTTGTTGAGGTTTTTTAAGGCTTTAACCCCAGGAAATAAACTGCCACAGGGGCTGGATTAAACCGACCAGCGGACTTTGGACATGCCTGGATTAGGGGCAAACCACTCTTTTTTCCTGCCTTGCTTTTACAATATTCAAAATAGAGACAATCTTCCTTTCTAAGGGACAGGGTGCTTTTTTTCACAATCCTTCATTTCAGCAAGTTGTTGGACAATGTCATGAAGTTTCTGTCAAGTGAGAACCTTTCTGACTTTTAAAATACAGTACAGCTGTCTAGTTCCCATTTGCCATGCTAGTGCTATGAAGAAAGGCTCTGGTACTGTATCCTTAATAGCTGCGTAGCTAAAATGCATTTTTGGAGATATTACAAGGTTTTGAAAAGCTGTACGTTCCTGGATCCTAGCTGCTAGCAGTGGCCTTAGTTGGGTGAATAGTCCTAAATGGTGTTTTTTAGGGAAAAAAAAACATTTAGAAGGCAATAGGAAGGTCACTCATTGATACTGATGTGTTAATTTGCTATGCTGTCTTGCATGTCCGCATTCCTATTGATGCATACGCCTAACAACATAGACATGGGACCTGCTTCCTTGTGGTGAGCTCCCACACCTCCCACACCTCTGCCACATTTCTGGGATAGTTCCTGGCCTATGGCTTGGCTACACAGTTATAAAATTTATAAAAGCTTTTTTTTTTAATTACCATGTTTATTAGTTGCCCAACAGCCAAGTTTCTGTCATATAATAAAAACAATAAAACTCAATATACAATTCTAAAAAGCATTAAAAAGGTAAATATATCACAGAGAGAAAGCTAAAACTATATCCGTTTTAGAACTGCATTCTGAAACATTCCAAGTGTTAAAGGAAAAGATTTAAAAGGCCATCGTAGCTCGAACACTGATTCGCTACTGGTTGACTTTTGTTCTGCCCAGTGAAATATTGCTGCTTTCTTTGAATTGGCAACAAGTGCTTCTACAGGAGTCTTAACTTGTAAGATTATTGAACTGTATTGCATGGCTACAATGAAGTCTGAAGGTGTATTTTTTACAGCAATCCTGCTATGCTAACCAACATGCAGCATCAGCAAATATCAGTAACCCAGAACAAGTTATTGCACAGAGATAGAGCAGACTTCCAGTTTGCTGTTGCACTCATGGCTTTGTCTTAGGACTCCTACTACTGAGACATTATAAATCAAACTGAATTGTCACTATCCGTACTTTTCGCTTTTAATTTCCTTCTGACCTCACTAGTTAACAGCTCTGCACCTCTTTACTATCACCGTGTGTGTGTGTGTGTGTGTGTGTGTGTGTGTGTGTATATATATATATATATATATGCAACTGACAACTGCCTAGTTTAGGAATGATTTATGCCATAATGAAATGTAACTCTTCAAGGTGCCACAAGATCCTTTGCTGATTATTCAGGAAGGTTTTGTGGAAAGAACTAGTACCCCATTCTGACTTCATATTGCCATATCTTTACAATTAATTTTGCTCCCTCCAGCTACCAACTTTATAACTGTAGAAGTGGATGCCAGTACCAATCGTTGACAAAGCTAGCTGCTATTGCCCATCACCTAATCATCCTCCCACAGAGGGCATTTTGCTAGTTGGTGAATATACATAGTAGGAGGTCAGTAAAGGAGCACACCGGGATAGATTTATTATGAAACAGGAGGTTGAAAACACATGGGCTGAAACTCCAGCCCATTCATACTATGCAAAATGCAGACAACCTATTTAAGGTCAGAGCTTTTGCCTTCGTACTAAGGGTGTTAACAGAGCAGCAAAAAGTACAGTATGCAAAACCTCATTAAAATCTCTTCTTTGCATCAATATGAAAATGGTAGCCTACTTAATGGATCTGTTTGCAAAGACTTTGAAGTCTGCAATGCACTGTACATGCTTAGTAGCATTATTTGCACCTTACTTAAATGGGTGTCTCGGGCAGGAGCGTCATTTAGAAAGGCACAAGAGGAACTCTCCTGACTGTATTCGGGATAAAGAAGGAATTATTTTCAACAGGTTTGTCTTCCCTTTTGGGCTTTTGAGCATGTGTGGTAAGATGCAGTTGCCCATTTGTTTAATTTCTCTGCCACCCTGCTTGAGGAACACTCCCATCCTGTGATTTAAATGCTGGGAGAAGCTTGTGGGATTGCCACAAAAGAGACGGAGAAATTTCTGGGAGATAAAATGGCCTATGGACCCCCTTCTTAGAGTAGAACTGGGATCTGCCTGGAGCATCCTTCTTAACAGTACTAAGGCTCCATCTGTGCTTGAAGTAGGGAACCAGTGGCCTTTCAGATGTTGTTGGACTCTATCTCCCATCAGTCCCAGAAACCATAGCCAGTGCTAAGGCATTGCAGTTGTATTCCAGCAACATATTGATGACCGTAGGGTGATGTAACCTGGCAATGGCCAACCTGTCATCACTAGAGGATCAAGTCTTAATTGCTCTGCAGGTTATGGGGAAGTTTGTCAGGTAGATTTTCTTGGTGGAGCAACACTTGTAGCATCACAACCTGAAATTGCTAAAAAAAAAAAAAAAAAAATCCCCTTATTTGCCAAGTTCAAATAGGGAATTCTAATGCTGAAAGCTGGTAGATACTGATGTAACCCATTTGTAGGACTCCTAGTAAATTTTCAGTTTCTGTTGAATATTTATTTATATGATAATATTTGAGTGCTTGGCATAAAAAAGGACTGGTACCTGCTTTGGAATTTTGAGGGGGAAATGACCGGTCTCTGTTCTAATGGCTAGGGAGGGAAATAGGATTAGTTATTGGGAGCAGAAGACTCAAGGAACTGTCTGGATAACCTGTTTCTTTATGTATAGATGTTGGTTTTACTGTATTATTTACTTGGTGCTATACACAGCTTTGTGATTTTCAAATGAGAAGTGGTATAGAATATTTAAAATAAAAGGTAGAAAAGGATGGGGGAAAGCAGCATTCTAAATAAATGGATGAAGATAGATGGGAATGAAATTACAAGTTCTGTCAAGGTTTATCAGGATCTGGCATACTGGCCTTCTATGCAAACCTCTTACCACACCTAGAGCTTAGTCCTCACTGAGGTGGTAAGCCTGTGTCCAGACAGTACTGCTTTACATTGTTTTTTGAAAAGATTCCATGTGCACAAACATTGGAGAACCCTCATTGGTTTTTAACTCTCCCCGGCCCCAGTGCCATTTTCCCAATCTAAATTGTCACTTCCAAAGCTGTTACTGAGCCCCAAATAGCAAAAACTCTTAAAACAGCAGCTGCTGGGAAACACTACTCTCTTTTTAAGTCCAATGTTCCTGTGGTAGGATGCTAAGAAACCTGTTGGTTGGTGTCAAACAAACAGTGAGCCAAACAAACTGATTTCGGAGGGGTTACCCGGGGGTGCAGATCAGTGGTTTCCTTGCTGCTGCTGCCAACCCATGCTCCATTCCCCCAACAAAAACCCCTGCATGGTAAGGCAACCCCCTCTTCTCCAATACCACTGCAAATTTGGCTGTAAGAGCAAGTATAAGTCATTTGCAAATGGCATCAGGACAGGGCTCATGATGGGCCCCTAACTCCACCCCCATCGTTCTGCCCAGACGCTGAGGTCCAGCGCCGAGGGCCTTCTGGCGGTTCCCTCATTGCGAGAAGCAAAGCTACAGGGAACCAGGCTGAGGGCCTTTTCGGTAGTGGCACCCGCCCTGTGGAACGCCCTCCCATCAGATGTCAAAACGATAAACAACTACCTGACATTCAGAAGACATCTTAAGGCAGCCCTGTTCAGGGAAGTTTTTAATGTATGATATTTTAGTGTTTTTTGGTTTCTATGGAAGCCGCCCAGAGTGGCTGGGGAAACCCAGCCAGATGGGCAGGGTACAAATAATAAATTATTATTATTATAACTAACCAAAGTATCTTCCCCTTGTGTTTCAGACTCTCCCTGTCCCTGCAGCCACTTATCCACCAGGCAACAAGGCTCCACAATATCAGAACATGGCTCTCCCCTCTCAAACGTGGCCAATGAACATGAGCTCCTCGAATCGCACCGAGACCTTGGCACTACTCACTCAACCCTCTTCCTCCAATGAGAGCCCTCTTTACAGTGAATACCAGCCAGCTGCCTATGACCTTGTTCCATTGCCCAAAGCTGTGCTCTACATGATCATGGCCGTGATGGTGGTGGTGAGTGTGGCCTATGCCATTGTCGGTCACCTGATCAAAGACCTGGCACATGATCTGGCAGGTGAGTGTGGCAGGTGACAGCAGCAGTGATGTACAATAAACTATGCCCTTTGTAGCATTCAGTGCTTTTAAAAAAAATCCCAAAATCTGCACCAAGAAAAGCTGAATTCTGTGACCTGTATAATTAGGCAGACTTCTCAAGCTTTGCCCAATTTACAGTGGTACCTCGGGTTAAGTACTTAATTCGTTCCGGAGGTCCGTACTTAACCTGAAAATGTTCTTAACCTGAAGCACCACTTTAGCTAATGGGGCCTCCTGCTGCTGCCGCGCCGCCAGAGCACAATTTCTGTTCTCATCCTGAAGCAAAGTTCTTAACCTGAAGCACTATTTCTGGGTTAGCGGAGTCTGTAACCTGAAGCGTATGTAACCCGAGGTACCACTGTATTCTGGTTTACTAGCCATGAGAATGGACACTGAGAAATACAGGACACAAACCACACAGAGCCTTATTTCTCTGTGTTGGCATCCGTCTCGAAAGACAATGGAGTGCACCTCCGGGGGTGAAGTCATACCTTTGTGTTAGCAGCGCTCTAGTGACCTCCCCGGGACACAAGCCTGGGTAGTATGTATGGAGGTCCTGGGCTGCCCAGACAACAAGACCCTCTTCTCAGCATCACTGATGTGGTCCAATAGAAAGCAGAGCAAGATGTCTGGCACCAGTTTGGCTGCAGGAATTACCGGAAGAAAGCATACAAGGCGCCATCCAGCTGTCTTAGGGACTCCACTCTGGATTTGTGTAAGGTTTACTCCTTAGTCTTTTCTTCTCCTGAAGATATCCCCACAAGGCAGAAGTAGTTTAGGATCAGATGGGCTACCTTCTCAGGATTATGATCCATATTACTAAGGTTTATTTCTGTAAATCTTATAATTCACAGATTTTGGTTTTTCCAAGCAGACACTGTTGAGATGCTTGTAGCTACCAGGGCTAGAAACATTTTTGAATGGAAATTGTGAAGAAACTAACTTTGAACTCTGTACCATACTCTGCATTTTGCCTATGCTCCTGTAGTGTGCAATATACACACAGCCCAGCCTTTTATGACTGTTAAAAAACCCAAAAACTCATTACCTATTTCAATGGAATTCATGGGCTTGATTCCAAGATGTGAGAATGTTTTGCACATAGAAATTTCCAACAGTCCTGTGAAATGCTACACAACCTGGTTGTAGTCCTGAGGTCAGCGGATAGAGTTACGATCATTCCAATAAAATGTTTTCTGGTGGGACCAGCTTTGTAACACAATTCCCATCTCTATAGGGCTCTTTAGTTGGGATAGGGGAAAGAGGGGGGAGCTGCAATGACAGATGTTTAACACTAGGAATTTATGGATACTGTGACCATCTCCCCTACAGCCCATCACTTCTACTTGCAGAAAGTAGGGACGTGAGTGGCGCGGTGGTCTAAACCACTGAGCCTCTTTGGCTTGCCAATTGGAAGGTCGGCAGTTAAGATCTCCACAACAGGGTGAGCTCTCATTGCTCTGTCGCAGCTCCTGCCAACCTAGCGGTTTGAAAGCATGCCAGTGCAAGTAGATAAATAAGTACTGCTGTGGTGGGAAGGTAAACGACGTTTCCGTGCGCTCTGGCTTCAGTCACGGTGTTCTGTTGTGCCAGAAGCAGTTTAGACATGCTGGCCACATGACCTGGAAAGCTGTCTGTGGACGAACGCTGGCAAGATGAGCACCACAACCCGTCGCCTTTGACTGGACTTAACTGTCCAGGTGTCCTTTACCTTTACTTGCAGAAAATATTTGGGGTTGTAAAGTGCTTCCATCACTAGATATGTGCCACAAAGCATAGCGTAATATGGCTATATACCACCACAGCATAAATCTCACCTACACTTTAAAAGAAAGAAAAAAACCCACTTGGGCATAGTAACACCACTATCCCCAGACATGGCACAGACTTTAAGTACTATTTTGCATTATCTTGTTCTATAATTGAACACTTATTTAAAGCCAGCACTACACGGTACCATCTATGTGAGCTGAGTTGGCCTGTCTCCATTCACTTGCCATAACCAACGCCAAACTGCTTGCCCTTATATTTGTAATGTATCAAAGAGCATCCCTTATATTGTGTGGCAGTCCATCACACTTACTGCTAGAGGCCATGTGCTCCAGTTGATTAACAGAGTGGGGGGGGGAGAGGAGGAGATGCTCTCCCCACACCCTGCTGCTCCATGGAGAATGCAGAACCCCATCCGATACAGAGTCAGATGAAAACAGGGCAGTAGCTATCCATAGTAGGTACCTGTTTTGTTAGCAGCTGCATTTCATTTACAATAAATCAGCAGGTAAGGTTGCAATGCAGAACACTAGTCCAGCCATTTTCTTAGTGGTGCTCAAGATTCCTCCCCTGCAACGCTAAGGTGCTTTTCCTACAGGAAGGGAAAACACAGGATGGCAGCTTTGGAGACATTTGCCTTTAGGGGATAGGATATATAGCTTAGTGGGAGAGGACGATTCTATAGGCACAAAGACTCAGGCTCACTCCCTGGCACCTCCTTTTAAAAATGGATCTTGGATAGCAAATCAGGGAAATACAACTTGGCTGACAATACAGGGCTGAAACACCTTCCCCTCCCTGATAAAGCGACTGTTTCATGTGCCCCCTTTAATTTCTCCCTCTAGATTGCTTGCTGGGGCCAGCGCCTGAGGAGCCTGACGAGGAGGAGCCAGAGCCCCCACCTCTTACAGGTTTCCAGCCCTCCCTCTTGGCCAAGGCCCGCACTTGCAGCTGCTCAACACACCACCACCAAGAGGAGGTTCATATAACATTAGAGGTGACATAGTGACTGTGGAAGAGCAGGCAGCACAGCCTTGCAGAAAAGGAGAGCGGAGTTCTTGGCTTCCTGAATTGAATGGGAGAAAACGGGCATGGCAGACCAGCAAAAAGAGCCCAAGGAAGGAGGCAGACGACCACGTAAAGAAGCACCGGCCTGTTCTGAAGCAGTCGTCCCGCCTTCTCAAGGCAACAGCTGTCTTGCTCCTCAACTTCTGGGACTCTGCTTCTCTGGCGCCATGAACTCAACTTCCATGATTATCATTATTTCTTAGTTTTATAGCCAGTGGCCTCTCCTCCTTTTTTCTTCCTAAGAAAACTGAACTGGAGAATCATTGGAAACTCACCTAACCAGCTTCATGAACCAGACTACTGCTCTGGGCCTAAGAGGCTTTTGTCTAGACTGCGAGAGGAAGGGTTGAGCTCTAAAATGGTACCTGCAGGCAGAACCTAGGAAACAAGGATCTGGAACCACTTGGTTGTTGAACACTGCTTCAGCTTTGTGATATTTTACTCCATGAGGTGGAACATCCAGAGTCTGGGGAGGGCAAGGGCTACTCACACAGCTCTGGCATTTCAAAAGGGCTTTTTTTGTACAATAAAGTAATTAAACCTGTATGCCTTGTGGGCTCTTGTCTCCAATTGCTGAATGCTGCCATTATGACAAGAAGTTAATATGACAGAGGTAGTGACTATACTTCCTCATTTGGCACTTGGCCTGGTCATGGTCTCAGCTCCTTTTTGAGAGCTTGAATATGAACAAAGTTTTAGCAGAACTCCCCAAGCTGTAGAACATGGACTTTCTTTCTTTGCAGATCTTCCCCTTACAAGTAGTAGCTGTAGCCCAGATTTTGCTTTACAGTTTTCCCCCAACAAACTGTGTGTGCTTTATCTGACACCTGCTTGTAGAGACAGCTGGAAATCAGGATATCGAAATGTGTATATACCAAGTCCTTTCCAAACATTTGCCTCCTACCAGGGTTCCCAAAATACAGCTTTTGATAGGAAAAGGGTCAACGTAAAACCAACCCACTGTCCTCTCATGTTCTAATGCTTAACAACCTTTTAAGATCAACAGCAGCCCTGCTTGTGGGTTCTTTTGAAGAGGGCATGAGACACAGAAGGATTGGGGATGAAGAGGAGACAATAAAATGATTATAATGGAAGAGAAGAGGAAAGGTTGACATGGAGGCAAATAGAAGAAAGAATTCAAGGCACAGAAATTTTTTTAAATACTGAATTTTTGTGTGGTGGGGAGAAGTGGCAATCGTATCCCACCTATAAGCCAGTTCCCACAATGCAGGAGAAAGACCCCTCACCCCCCCAAAAAAATACCCCAATATTTTGGTATAAGCAGGGTGGTGAAAGGTACAGAAGTTCCCCTTCCAACTTGTTACTTTCCCACAGGCCATGATGGTAAAGCTGACAAACTATGCTCTACATATCAGTAGAATTGCAGCGATTCCTGACTATTTACTCAAATCACAGACTTGTGGTCGAGACACTTTTACTGAATGTAACATGGGCTACAAGTTTATTCCCCACACAAATTGGGAGAACCCATTCACCCATGATCTCTCCAAAAGGTGTAGGGGCTAAAGCGTCCATACAAAACAGCGGAATGGCTTGACAGGCACTTTCCCCCAAAGGAACCAAAAGCGTGGAGAAAGGCCTGAAAGGCCCAGTTTTCCAACAAGCAGCAGTGCTAATAAATAGGGATGTCTCTGAAGAGAGGAAAGTTTCTGTGGACTAAGCATCCAAGCGGCAGAGTGGGCTGTCATATACCATCTGCAGATTGACTTTGTGACCAACCAGTTCCCGGATATTATTGATGCCATACCTGATCATGGTGGGCCTGAAAGAGAAGAGGGAGGAATCTCCATTCATACCACTTTCACGTCCCTAGCATTTTTCAAAAGGCAACAACACAAAACAGACATTAAAATAAAATTTGAAAAATAGTATTAATGTACTAGACCATAGCAAAAAGTCACAGCGAAGTACAACTAGAGCAGGATAGGTTTGTCCACACTATCCCAACAAATGGATCTTTCCCCCATACCCTTTGGCATTCTAAATATGGGATACACCTTTGACTCAACTTCTGTGGCCCAACACACAGGCTACAGCACTGCTGATGCTCACAAGCTTGATCTGGGAAAACAGCCTGTCTGAGGGAAAGAGGTGAGTGAGGTTTAATCCTGCAGAGGCGAGGAAGGCACATGGCTTTGGGTCATGCAGCCGCACGACAGAGATTTATAGTCTTGGGAGACAGAAGGTGCCAATTTGTAGACTGAAGCTTTATTGAGATTAGTTCCAGCCTCTGCTGACTTAAGACTCTTAGAAGGGTGCAACATGCATTAGTCCTTGGTCCCTGACAGAGAGACAGGCAGCCCCCAGGCTTGGGGCACTTCCGGACAGGACACTATAGCAAAAGGTTGCTTAACCTGGGCACACACTCCAGCCAAAACACTTACCGTTCCAAAGAAAGGCCCCAGGCGATGACGGTCACCCCATCAGGCAGACCCATGGGCAGCAGCATCTCTGGGCGGAAGACTCCTGAATTGCCCACCTCCACCCACTTCTTTAATCCTGGAAGAAAAGTTGTATTGTTAGGCTAGTGAAGTGGGTCAGGGTGGAACAGCAAAGCCACATGCCTAGGCAGAGCCCAAGCTCTGGGGTTGCTGGAGTCCAATCTGAACAACACCCTGGGACAGAGGGCAAGTCAGAGATATGGACACCTCCCACCCATAAAGAAAAGCGCCAACACAAAGCAGGTATTTTTATGTCAGGCTGCTCATGCACAACACTTTCCCAGGTCAAATCAAGGAAATCATTTCAGCTGACTTATTGGAGCCCACTGCAACTTGTGAGGCTGTGACAGCAGCTGTAAGGGGCAAAGGGTGAATGCTGACTGTGTTGTCGTATCCTTGTGAGCTAATTCAGGATGATGTTGACGTCTGAAGTCCTAAATGGTTTGGGCCCTAATATAAAAGACCACCATACTAACAAAAATGAGGACGTAGAGGCATTCTTTATGGTTGTGCCTCCGTTCTGTGGCTCCTGCTGCTTCGAAGCTTAAGAACCTTTAAAAACAATGAAACATTTTTAGCGGATGCTTTGCACACCCAATCTCTCTTCCAGTGGTTCTCTTCACCTGCCTCACCTGCCCTTCCCCACTCCCAGAATAGGGTTAAGGAGCATTTGCTTCTCTGTTGCCTTTATCAATTCACTGACTTCATTATTCTCATGTTTTATAGAGAAAAGGGGCATTATGAGGATTAAACCTGAAAGGCAAGAAGGTATTGGTTTCAAGTAAAATCAAATTCATCAGCCTTGCATTTCAAATGAAGGGCTGGGGAGGTTGCCATGGTGTTCGGGGCACGTCCTTTAAATATCAGGACACATGGAACCTCCAGAAATAGAAAGGCCTATGAATAGGTGGCATACTCTCAGACTACTGTTGACACAGTGGAAAAGTGTCCTAATTTATAGCGCATTATCAGGGTGAAGAATTTTTGCAACTGCATGAGTCATAAGGGGATTATGAAAGGCTAATTCAGGGGCAGTTGGAATTCCTTCTTAAGGCACTGAGTGTGCAGCTGCCTTCTTGGCAAAGGTGGAAAACTGAAATTTCTCACAGGTAAGAATGCAAGTAGAGTTCAGAGTGCTTGGACTGCTTGCCCTGTTCCCTCAAAAGCCACCCACGATTTACAGCCTTTCCTTGGTGTACCTGACCTCTGCTGCCAGTAACGCCGGCTGCTACTCAGCTCAGCTACTAGGCAACTTGCTTTGATTCCCAAGGGCAGGAGCAAAGAGATACTGCCAGGGACATGGAGGACTCCTGTGGCACAGCGTCACGGTTCCACAGAACAGTACACAGCTATCTTCCTGCACTCACCCTGGTGGTAGCTGAACACCTCCATGCTGGGCTCTGTGTAAGGATTGTAAGCGGGTTTGAAGCGCAGCTGGGTGATTCCTGCCACAGAGAGAGAGAGAGAGAGAGAGAGAGAGAGAGAGAGATGAATGGAGCTGGGAGGCTGGTCCCTGAAAACTGAGAAGACAACCACCAAGGAGCCTGTTTCCTGCCAGACTGCTTCCCAACTGGAGTCCACTCTGTATCCTCCCTCTTATTCAACAGCTCTTACCCATTTTGGTGAAAAACTCTTTCAAGACACCCATCAGGTCGCCCAGTGTCAAGCCATAATCGGCTACCACCCCTTCAATCTGGTGAAACTCAGCCAGGTGGGTGGCGTCGAGTGTCTCGTTCCTGAAGACACGGTCGATGGAAAAGTATTTGGCGGGGGTGAATTTCTCCTGCAGGAGAAGAAGCAGTTGTCACAGTTCCACACTTTGGATTGGTTCAAGTACTTCAGTCTCAGCAGGCAGGCAGACCATCCCAGCCTCAGAGCGTTTTTATCCTACCAGCTTTAGATTACTATTATTAATTGAATTTGTATTCCTCGCTCCAACCTGACAGTTCCTAGGTAAATGAAGCCTGGCATTACTTTATATGGAAACTCTTCAATGACCTGTTGTTTTGTCAGCCTTCATAGCTAGGATACATCTAGGCAGGAAAGAGTTTTTACTGGATAGTTACCTGCTGCGCCAGCTGATAGAGCATGCGAGCACTGGCGGATGTGGTGTGCGTCCGAAGGAGGTTCTTCCGAGCCTCCTCCAGCTTCCACTCATATCTGTACCTGGGAGGGAAAGATTGAGATGTGGGGTGTGACTCCAGCAGTTAATATCTGAGGTACAGGAGCTGAAACAGGCCCTGTGATGGGTGCTATTGCTTGGAAAATGAAGAGAAACAGTTTGCCTACTAGACTCAAGCTTCTTTTTTGAAGGGTCTCCCATTTCCCAACAGCATGATACAGATTTGGGATTTCCCTTCCTTACTTATCAAAATCCCAACTCCTCTGCTGTTTACAAATGAACATGGACCCTATGGCTATTTCCAAAAGCACTGTGGCCCAGATGACAGCACCTGCCAATCAACTCCTCTCTCCACCTAACCTTGTAGCACAAGTGTCACAGAGAGAAGTGCCCCCATCACCCTCCAGACTTGGGAATGGGAGAAAACTCTATGCTATATGCTGCAGCAGCAAACCATTTGTTCTCCTGTACAACATGTTGCACACTAATGTGAGCTGACTGGTGCGGAGATGCTTTTCATAACCTTTTCGCACTTCCAGGCCCAGCACTAGAACTGCAGAAAAAATGCTGTTGAGTCTCACCCCTGAGAGCCGTAACCTCCTTGTGAATGAACCCTCTTTACCCTCTTCAGGTAATCCATGGGGAAGTCGATGGCTTCAGCAGGATCTAGAAGGAAGAAGGCACATGCAAGTGACTGGGCATATGGGGCTCCAGACTGTCCAGTAGCGAAAGAAAGAGGCTGGAGTCAGCCCCTTACTACTCTCCAGATAAAGAGATAAAGAGAGGAGAGGCCTGCCGACTATCCATAGCAAGATAGGTAGCCATTCCACTAAAGCCCGTAAGATATGAAACACCCAACACAAAGAGAAGAACATATGCTAGATACTTGGGGCTCAACTGGCTCCCAAAATGAAGCTGTCCCAAGATCCTGATCCACAGCCTCTTTGCCAGCTATGAAACCGGATACAAAGGTCATGCGTGGCCCAAGCAGTGTGACTGACCCTTTAGGAAGAAGGTGTCATGCTGGTCCCGAGCTGGATGCTGCTGTGGCTGGAAGAGGGCGTCAAAGTTCCAGAAGGAGCTCTCAATGAAGTTATTGGTGGGCATTTCTGTAAAACTGAGAAGGGAAACACACAGCCATTAAGCAAAGTTTTTTTCAAGGGTTGATCCACTGAAATTAATTAATTAAAATGACAAATTTAGACCCATTAATTGCAATAAGTCTATCCCCACCCCACCCCCATTAATATGGCACATCACAGAAGACTGGCTAATGACGATGGGCACATGGCAGGGACATCAAGATGTACTCAAGCCTAGAAGAGCAGCGGGGGGAGGTTTGCTCCCGTCCCAGTGCTTTGCCAGCACAGTCTTCATCACATGGAGTTGTCTGCATGGGCAGGTAAATGACAAATGCTAGCCCAGTCTCCTCAGCAGACTGTGCCATGACGTCAAGCTTGGGCTACAATGCACTGCCTCCTCCGAGGAAAAGAAGCAAGGATGGGCAGAATTCCGAAGACAGGCGTGTATTGAATCTACAGCCAGCTGTGCAGGCCTCATGGGCATGTACCACGCACACGGCATGGTAGAACACACCTCACCACCCGCAATCACCATTTTGTCACACCCACATACCCCAATATTTTGCAGACATTGAAGTACACACCCCATTTCAAGGAAGATCTGCCGGAACTGGCTGCGGACCTTGAGGAGTGGGTGGAGATGTCCGCTTTCAGGCATAATGCCCAGTGCCTCAAAGTTATACGCCTTGAACTTCAAATCTTTCCAGGAGCCACTGAAAGTTTAGGAACAAGTGTAGGGAAAACAGGGGGGAAAGTTAACTTTGCAACGGGCTGCGGGTCTTTTCAGATCACCTTCCATGCAGAACTAGGAATGCAGAGAAGGCAGCTACCAACAAGTAATGGGAAGCAGAGTGGTCAAGAGTTGTGCTGAGATTTGTTACAAAGCGGTTAATGTCTACGACAGCAATCCCACAACAGCCGAGTGGGTATTTGGCAAATCTTGATTCTATGGTTTGAAGCCAGCATTTTCACAGCCAAGGTTCACACCCGGAACCCAAGAGCAAACTGAAATGGCAACTAAAGAGACACAGACAGACCCAAATCGGACAAAGAGCTCAGATCCCCTGTTAGTCCGACTTTAAATGAGGACTAGAACAGTTCCTTACCTGGCAATCATCTCTGGAGTGAGGTCCGTTTCCTGCTTGCTAACTGTGGTACTGAAAGCATTTCCTTTACTGATCCAGTATGTCTTAATGGTCCTGAAAGCAAATATAAACTTGTTTCAAAATACAACAAGCACAGTAAACAAGAGGTCCTGCAGTCTAGTGGATACAATGCTAGAGAGGTGGGTTCAAATCCCAACACAGATATAGATCTAATCAGACAAGTGCGCGAGCGTGCGCGCGCGCACACACACACAGCCTCAGCTCCCTCCTGGCAATGCAAGCAACAATAAATGAGGTAACTGCAAAGCACTTTCCAAACAGGAAATTTTCTTCCAATGTTCAGGCACACATTCAGATACCCTGAGAATGCACAATGAACTAATCTGCTCATTGAGACTGTAGAACATTTCTACTGCAAAAAGGGTGAAATTAGTCCTGAAAACATAGATCATCCCATGCAGAGTGGGATGACAGAGGCTCAACTCACACTTCTGCCAGGAGTTTCCGCTTCTTCAGTTCATTCTTGTCCTTCTCTTCTAGTTTGTCACCCTCACCCTGCTCCACCTGCAGCAGCTTCTCTCTGACAGAGTCCTGCACAGTCTCCACCTAGAAGGGAAAAAAAGGAAACTTCAGGGCCCTGATGCCGTCTTCCCCATCCCAACATCCTTGGATTGAAACCAACACTCATCCGCACTGTCCAACCCCTTTTCTGACACAAACCCTGCAGAAACCCAAACCCAAACTGATAAGGAGTAAGGATTACCCACCGCCCGGAAGACCCGGGGTCCACCTTCTGCGGTCTTGTCTAGCTGGATCCACTTATTGGACATTGCTTTGCTGAATCCCACCTTTCCACTTGGCAGCTTCTACAGTGAAAAGAACCAAAAGTGACACTGTCAGGTATCCAAAAGCTACTTAATCAAATAAGCCCACAGGGAAGATAACCTCAGTAAACTTTTACCATCAGCTCACTCTGGACCAGGCCTTCAGGGGGGATGCTGTTAAACACTCGAACTTCATGGCTCCCTTCCTGGACAATTTCTTTGCCCTCAGGTGTCAGCTCCCACTTCTTGGATGTGCATTGCTCAGCCTCAATCACCTAGAGAGGACAATTGAGAACATCAGCACGGGTAGAAAGGGTCTGAAAGGAGGTGGGGGCTGGAGCTTGAAGCAGAAAAAAGGGAGTGTTATAAGGCAGTATTTGAAAGACAACTGAATACTGGTGGTCCTATCTGAAAAGACCCCAATTATCTTACAGCTCATTGGTTTTTACTGTCCATCTAGAATATTTGTTTGTGTAGAACCCCACCCTGATCCAGTCCTAGTTTTTGCTGAAAGGGCTAACATATGCCTGTGCTAAATCACTTCAGATTATAGCTAGGGGTTCACATGGCAACTGATTTTCCATGCAATCAATCAATAATCCTTGCACATGAAAAACAAGCATATCAGCCAGAAAAATTCTAGCAATATCTTCTTTGTCATATGTTATCATACTTCCATCATGTAATACACTTGTAGCCTGAAATGGAACAGCACAGACACAGTCTTATTGCCTCAGCGAAAGAAGGCCACAGCTGAGAGCTGGAGATTTTAGGGTGCTTTCAATGCCCCCCACCATATCAATGCTGAGATAAACCACTGAGATTTCTCCCTAGCAAGCCTTCAAAAAAAGTCTTTACTAGGATTTCATTTTCTTAGGAAACTGCTCTTCAGTCAGAACAAGACTGAACTTGCTTTTGGAATGCTCTCCCCAGAAGACAAACATGGCACCATCACTATCTATCTTCAGGCACCAGTCAAAAACCTTTTTCTTTGGTCTTTAATTTTCTGTGGCCTTCTTCAGTAGGTGGGATGTGTATGTACTGCCTCGTTATAAATATGAATGTATTTTTAGCTTTCACTCAGTTTTAGTCCTATGTTGATTTAAATTTATGTGTTATTGTTTGTAAGTCACCTGGAGATCCTTTTAATTTATAAAGTGACAATATAAAATACAATAAACATAAATAATAACCATCATTTCACGACACAGTAATTCAGTTTTACTAGCAAACCGGAGGTCAAACTAGCCCCTTTCCAGCCCCAGGAGGAGCACAGAGAGTTTTTGCACAACACACCTACACACTGCAGTTTACAAACTGACGTGTCGTGACACACAGTTTGGAAAGCTCTGCTGTAGGACATGACTATCTTAGAGGACAAGTGGAAACTTTGTGAAGGAGCACTTTGGAAAGACATTTAACAAAAAGAGAGCATTTTAATCCTCACAATCCTGTCAAGTTGGTTAGGCTAACATCTATTTGTCCAGGGTTGCTCTCTAGGCTTGGAATGGCCAACCGGTGGCTGTCCAAATGTTACTGGACAGCAAATTTCACCATCCATGTCCACTGGGTATGTTGGTTAGAGCTCATGAGAGCTGCGAGTCTGGCAACATATGAGTGCCACAGATTAGCCACCCCTGTTCTAGTCTTTATAGCTATGGATGGATTTTAATTTGGTTTTCCCAAGTACAAATCTTACACTTTATCAACTACTCCATACTGTTTCATAGTGGGGTAGGAGAGCTGGGGGGAGGGTTGGAATCACATATGCAAACCAATGCACCCCTTTAGTTTCAGACAGTACATGAGTAGACGAATCTAAAAGGCTCACAGGACACAAATTTTCACGGCCCTCCATCAGCTATAGTGGCTCACTTACCAGAAGAAATGTATTTAGCATTAACTGTGGAAGTGTATACAGTACTCGATTCTAACCAAACTAAGCCCCCTAGAGCAACATCAGGCTGTTGGGTTTTGTATTTTTTTTAAAGTAAGGCTCTCCTCTCTGTTTTGGCCCAGCCTGTGAAGCAGCAGCAACTGCAGAACACAAGTGGCTTGCTTTCAAGACCAGCCTTTCCCAACCTTGGGTGCCCGTCCTGACGTTGGACTACAACTCCCATCATCCCTAGCTGCTTGTCCTGCTACCTGGGGATGCTGGGAGTTGTAGTTCAATGACATGGGGGGGGAAGACCCAAGGTGGAGAAAGGCTGCTGAGTCAAACCGAACCTGAAATTTGGGGATACAACACTGCAACTCTCGCTTTCACACCTGAGGGAAATGTTAAAACAAAGCAAAGTCCACCCCCCATTCAAAAAAGGAATTAAAGGAGTGTGCCCATCTACCCTTTTAATAACTCTGTGGGGATCCTACGCTCCGCCCCCTGTCATTTTCTTAAAGGAGCCATAGAGCGCCGCTCTACTACCAAGAGAACACAGGCCAGCACGCATGCGCAGTTCTCCTGTCCCCCGCCTCAGGTACGCAGAAGCGTCCCTCTTCCTTCCGAGGGCAGGTAAGGATGACGCCACTCCCGCGACGGCTCACAGGGGCGTGGCCAGAGACCGCCACGCCCACTTACCTCCCCCAACGACTGCAGGCTCTTCACGGCCCCGACCAGCACCTGGTGGTCCAAGCCCAGCGCCGCAGCCGCCTCCAAGCTGCAGAGCCTCGCTTCGCCTTGGGCTCCTGCTAGCTCTAGTCTCTGCAGCAGGAGCTCGGCCGCTGACCCAGGACCCGCCGCCGACTCCACGGTGGGAGCCATGTTCCCGGCAACGACCGACAAGGAGTTCCTGCGTTGGCCGGAAGCGGAAGTGACGATCTGGGCATAGAGTTTTTGACGTTTATGTGCTAGAGAGCCTCCATTGTGAGATTACTGTACGGGGGGGAGAGAGAATAAGCCGGTCGATAAAATTAAATTGTCCGAGGTGGGAAGACAGCATATTCCAGCTCCTCATCCACAGGTAGAAGAACAAGTGTAATAGTGTAATTACACAGGAGTTTAATTTTTTTTGGGGGGGGGGATAACAGTTTTCAGTGCTTTGAAATTCAACTGGCCCCCCCCCCCGCCTCCACCTCACAACAGCAGTTGGTTGGTTTGTTTCATAAAATTTTACCCACCGCTTGATTGCAAAAAGCAAACAAAATCAAAAGCGGTTTACAAAAGGATGAAACAATAAAATCGGGGGGGGGGGGGAGGAATTCACAACCTTGCTTTAAAACATTTAAAAAGTTAAGATACTAAAACGGGTTGAGATTATCTCAGCTATCCGAGTAGGCTTGCCTAAACAGGATTGATTTTTGGCAGGTGCCGAAAAGAGTAGTATGGTGAAAGCGCCTACTTGATCTCAACAGGCAGGGAGTTCCAAAGTGCAGTCTTTCTCCCCACCCCGAAATGCTTGCATCTTTTAAAGGCAGGGTTCCTAAATAACTTGCAACAGGGAAAGTTGGAATAGCTGAAAGGTCACAGTGGTAAGGAGGGCCTCACCTGTTGAATTTCTTTCGTGAGCCATGTTTCAAAGGCAAGGAAGTGTTGGTTAAAGTTCCCCTTTTTGCTGCATTACAGGCATATTTTATTCCCTCACAGCCCACAAAGTATGAAGCTGTGTCCCTCCAGATGTTGCTGCGTTGCAACCCATAGTATTTAACCATTGTCCATGGTAGCCAGGGCTGATTTGAGTTGGAGTCTAACCGTGGCATGCGGCTGTTCTGTTTGCAGGTTTAGAGGAGCGACACAAGCTTGGTGTAGCTTGGTCAAACGGAGAAGATGACAAACCGGTTTCTATCTACAGTTCCCAGGTTCTTTGGGGGAAACCCTAAATTTATGTTTTTAATGTATGCTGTGGCATACATTTATCCTTTCCTGCTTTGAAGGCTGTGCAGAAATTCTATAGACACTTTCCTCCCAGATGGGGCAAAGATAGCTGCATCTGCCAAACTTCTGAAAGGAAAACGCACCATTTTGGCTGAAATGGAACACTATCTGCAATACCAAAGCAAAGAAACACTCTTATTGGCATTTGCAGCCTGTTAGAAAACAGCTTTTCGTCTCTAAGGACATACAAATGCCAATAACAAAAAAAGCTTTCTCTAAAGCTTTTTCTTCCTCCCTCCCCAGCTGTTTAACGTCTCTACAATTGCAACAAAACATGTCCCTCTACAACCACAGCAGGCACTGCAAACATCCAGCAGGCCAAAGGTGCACTCCTCCATTGCCTCCCAAGACAGATGACAACAATACAACAGCCACTAGCCAACGGCCAACAGTGGGCAAAATAACTCTTATGGTTAGCCACTATGTCAGTGCAAGCAAAAAACAGAGGCCCTAACCCTCCTCTGCTGTATTAAAAATTTCATGTTCAGGAATCCAGCCACAACCAGGAGTGAGTGATTTGTCCAGATCTTTTGTTTTTATCCCCCTTGAAGAAATAGCTCAGTGGGTACCATTTTTCTGTATGGCAAAATAGGTGATCAGTAGGTTTCAACATGTTTGGTTATAGCGCCACCTACTGATACTCTGAGAAAGGGGTGTAGCAGCTCATTATTTCTGTATGTGCATATACTTAAAATTCAAGTGCTAGTTTCTTAACCTAGCTTAAAATAAGGTGAGCTTTTATTGATTTGCGGTGGGTATAAAGGACGGTGTGGCCATACAAGACCAGTCATATTACAAACCTATACTGTGAAGAAATAAATACGTTGTAGTATAGGTAAAGTTAAAAGGACCCCTGACCATTAGGTCCAGTCGTGGACGACTCTGGGGTTGTGGCGCTCATCTCGCTTTATTGGCCAAGGGAGCTGGCTTACAGCTTCTGGGTCATGTGGCCAGCATGACTAAGCCGCTTCTGGCGAACCAGAGCAGCCCACGGAAACGCCGTTTACCTTCCCACCAGAGCGGTACCTATTTATCTACTTGCACTTTGCCGTGCTTTCGAACTGCTAGGTTGGCAGGAGCAGGGACCGAGCAATGGTAGCTCACCCCGTCGTGGGGATTCGAACCGCCAACCTTCTGATCAGCAAGCCCTAGGCTCTGTGGTTTAACCCACAGCGCCACCACTTAATTTATGTGGGGGTTTATGTTCTAGGGATAGTGTGTAAAGCAAAAAATGTGTATAGTCAAAACACATTGGGTTCAATGGCAATTGCCATTGCCAAAGTCTTTTTTCCTGGATGCCTGTCCCCTTTCCACCACCCTTTTATTTTTATTTTTTATTTTTTTGCCAAGCACGTAAACCTGAAAGCATGTAGGTTAAATGCACATAAGTTGTGAGTTACCTATATAGCTAATCTACTAGGGCAGCTGACCAACTGGAGCTCTGCAGTCTTAGCAAGTTGTCAGAATTGTAGTAAGCAAACACTAGCTGATGACCCACAGAAGTGTTGGCTATAGCGCTCTGTGAATGTGGAGACATGGAGCACTCACCCTTGGTAATAATAAATCCATGAAGGCAACTGGCAGCACTTTGATGGGTGCAGTGCATTTTGTGAGATTAATGTGCACTCATTTGTCAGCTGTCACCATGCAAATGAGCCAACCATCTCAGAACAGTCCCACAAGTGAGTGATGGTTTCGACAGTGCAAAAAGAAAGTGGCTTCTCTCTTCATACCTCTTGCCTTTCGCAAAATGTCTCTAGTCTAATAAATAATAATAATAAGTCCATTTCCTTCATGGCAACTCAAAGCGACTTACAATATTGTAAGCAAAAAACCAAAGAAAGTAAAACCAGCAATTATTTTTTTAATCTACATTATGCAAAAAGGCCTTAGATATGTAAAAGCCAAAGGCCCAATTAAAAAGGAAAGGTTTTGCCTGGCACCTAAAGATATGTAATGATGGTGCCAGATGCGCTGTTCCAAAAGTGGACAGCCACCACTGAAAAAGCCCATTCCCTTGTTGCACCCTCTAGACCTTCAGTGGAAGAGAGCACGTGAGGAAAGGCCTCAGATTATGATCACAGGTATATGGTTCCATATGGTTCTTTATACTGAACGTGTTTTCAGAGCTGTGTCTGATGAGATTTGTGGCTTAGTAAGTATTCAGACAGAGTAAGTCCCCTATTTCCTAGATACTAGGAAGTAATGTCAAGCTACATACCTGTTTCTTCAGAGGGAGTGTAAGTCTTATCAAGTCTACCTTCCCTTGGAGCAGGGATGGGAAACCCGTGTCCCTCCAAATATTGTTAGACTTTCAACTCGCATCAGCCCTTGTCATCTTGTCCAGTGGTTAGGGATTTGAAGGGCCACAGGTTCCCCATTCCTGCCTTTTTGAGAGCTTGTGCTAGCTATGATGTAGCCTTGCTCTTGTGCTAACTATGATGTAGCCCCGTATGACTTCTGTTTAGGCTACTTTTTAAAAAAAGAAACAACAAATAGAATCATTAGACACCCAGGACAGGAATTATGCAGAAGAGAGAACATCAGCAAGGACAGCAGGCTAGGTAAAGATGAGAAGCTGCACTTGCTGAAATGCCCTTCTGTATACATTTGGGTATACAGGGATGCGGGTGGCGCTGTGGGTTAAACCACAGAGCCTAGGGCTTGCCGATCAGAAGGTCGGCTGTTCAAATCCCCGCGACGGGGTGAGGTTGAGAAATAGTTACTGCTCTGGCGGGAAGGTAAACGGCGTTTCTGTGCGCTGCTCTGGCTTCATCAGAAGTGGCTTAGTCATGCTGGCCACATGACCTGGAAGCTGTACACTGGCTCCCTCGGCCAGTAAAGCGAGATGAGCGCCGCAACCCCAGAGTCATCTGCTACTGGACCCAACAGTCAGGGATCCCTTTACCTTTTATACATTTGGTAAAAGTACAGGAGACATAGTCTCTGTATAGGGTCACCCGGGATGCCAACTACGATGATTTTTTCAGGGTTATTCAAAGTGGTGTGAACCTCTTCCAAAGTTGTAAAATACAGGGGGTGAAGTCTGAGGGATTTTGGAAGCATACTTTCTGTTCCCACAATCTTCAGAGACTGTTCATAAAGAAACAATTATGGTAACTTTGTTCCCCAGAGTTAGATGGCAGACTGTTGGGTACAGAAACTACCTGGGCTTCACATAATATAAAAGTCACTTGAATTACAAGGGCTTGCCCGTAGGGGACTTACGGAGAGATTGGGTGTGCTTATGTGGCATACCTGACGCCTGAACTTCACATGCCAGAAAGCCTTAGGTACGTCCTGGTCCCTGTCCTGTACATGTAGATAAGGACATCAGCATAACCAGCAGTCTCTCTGCAAGGCAGCCCTGATAGCCCAAGCAATCTAAGTTGTCTGTCTGGGGCAGCAGCAATATTTATCGGGGGGAAATACCGCAAAGGGACCTGGGGCATACCTATCAGATTTTGCACTACAGCCATTTGAGATGACACACTACACATCCACAGAACGGTCTGTTCTAGCCTTCTTAATGTGTCACAATCTTCCCTGCATTAAGGCCTCCTCATCTCTCTCCTTCTCTGTCGCTGTCGCTCTTTTGGTTTATAAAGTCTTTCCCCTTTGGTCTTCAGAGCACCATCAGCCATACTTGACCGCTTTAAAGAATATTTCATTTTAAACACCAGCACCTCCAGTTCAGCTCCTTCTGTTCTTTTAGGTCCTGATTCCATATCCAACAGGACCCCCTCCCCAAAGTGTTGTGATGTATCAGTCCAGTGCAGGAGTGTGTTTGTGGGACCATCAAAAGCCCCACTTCTTCATAACTATTAAATATAAGGATTTATTCGTTTAAAACATTATTTATTGAAAACATTTATATGGCACCCTTCATCATATTAGATCTCAGGGTGATGTAGAAAACACGAAAA